CCTAACCCTAACCCTAACCCTAACCCTAACCCTAACCCTAACCCTAACCCTAACCCTAACCCTAACCCTAACCCAGATGCTATCCACTGATCCTACCCACGCGTGTTACCCAGCAGACTTGTTGACCTTTTTTATGACACGAGTTACCCGGCACGACGAACGATACTTGGTAAAATATTTTATTATTATTATTTAATTAAAAGTTTTTAAATATTATATATTAATTATTATAAGATTGAATCACGTGTTACCCGGTATAACGAACGGTATTTAAAATATTATATTATTTTTTATTATTAATTAAATTTATAACGTATATTATTTAATATTTATATATGTTTTTAAATTAATTTATAATATATTATTATATTAAAATATATCGTTTAAACTTTTAATTAATTTATATTTTATTTTTAAAATATTTATTTTATAATTATTATTTATTTATTATATAAATTCGTTTTTATTAATATTATTTATTTATAATATTCGTTTTAAAAAATAAACCGTTATTTATTTTTAATTTAATATTTTATATATTATATTTTATATTTAAATTTAAATTTTATTAATATTTAATTTTATATATTTTTATATTTTATATTTTATTATAATATATAATAAATACATTTTAAATAAATTTATATTAAAAGTTTATTATAATTTAAAGTTTTTATTATTTTATTTTTTATTAATTTTTATTTATATATAATTAAAACTTTTATTTTAAAATTTTTTTAAAATATTATATTTATTTTATTTTAATTTTATTAATAATATATTAAATATAATATTATTCAATAAATAAATTTTAAATAAATTTATTAAAAAAAACATTTCTTTTTTATATAACGTTAAATATTTTAAAATATATTTTATTTATTTTTATTTTATTTTAAAATTACATTTCATTATTAAGTATAAAAATAATAATTTATTTATAATGTAATTAATTATTTAATTTTAAAAATTTATTATATATTTATAAAATTTTAAAACTTTTAAAAATTAAATAAAAAAAATTAAATAATTTAATATATTACGTTTATTATTTTTATTATTATTTTCGTTTTATATTATATTTTATTTTATTATATATATTTATTATTATTATTATTTAATTAAATTAATACGTTTCGTTTATATTATATTATTATTTAAATTTTATATAATAATAAATTTAATATTAATTTCATTTTTCTTATTTTCATAATAATAATAAATTATATATTATTAAATTTTAATTATATATTACATTATATTTCATTTAAATTAATACTTTTAAATATATTATTTTATAAATATTTAAATATTTACATTTTCTTATTTCATTTTAATTAATAATATATATATATTTAAATATTTATATTTCTTTTATTATATTTTAATTAATAATTTACATGTATAATATATATTACGTTTTATATTAATATTTATATTTTTTATTTTAATATATTATTTAATATTATATATATATATTAATTTTAAATTATATTTAATTTTTTTATTTTATATTTATAATATTTATTTTATAATTTTCATTTATTTAATATTTTTAAAAATATTTAAATATATTTATTATATTTAACTTTTATTATTTATTTAATTTAAAAACATTAAATATTAAATATTAATTTAATAATATATTTATTTCGTTTATTATTATTTATTTTATATATATTATATTAAATTTAATTTTATTTTAATTAAATTATATTATTTTAATATTATAATAATATTATTAAATTATTATTAATTTATATAATTTATTATAATATAATAAATATCTTAAATAAATTATATATTATTTATTATTAATTTAAAAACTTTTTATTTATATTTTTAATTTATAATATATTATATTTATTATTTATAATTATTATAAAATTCCATTTATTTTTTTATAATTTTCTTTATAATTGTTTTAATTATTTAATTTATTAATATTTATTTAAAATATTTTTATTTTATTTTTATATATAATTATTAAATATTAAATAATATAATATATTACGTGTATTATAAATAATATTTATTTTATTTATTATTATATATTTAATTATATTATATAATTTATTTATTATATTATTATTTTAATATTTAATAATATAATTAAATATTATAAATATTATTAAACTTATTTTATTAATTTTAAATATATTATTATTATATTATTTTTATTTTTATTTTTCTTATTTTATTAAATTATATTTAATAATTTTATTATTTTATATTAATATATTATATTTAATTTAATTTAATTAAAATATGTAAATAAATTTATAATATTATTTATTATTTATTATATTTTTATTTATTTTTTATATATTTTATATATTTTATATATTATTTATTTATTTTTTTATAATTAAAATAAGTAATAAAAACTTTTATTTTAATCCATGCCCTGGAATACAGCGCTTAAACCACTGTCCCACGGTTGATTCGACGTTATTTTCCTCCCTTGCTTTGATTGGCTGCATTCCTGCTTACGTCAGCCCCGCTCTCCCGGCTTCAATGCCACTGCTCCTAAGTCTGGTCCCTACAAATCAATAGCAGGTCAATTAGACTGTAGATTCAAGACAGGTTCAATTAGACTAGAGGTTCAATACAACGTCAATTAGACTGTTGTTTCAATTGCTGTTCAATCTCGGTTCGATTAGACTGCAGGTTCAACTGTAGATCAACTGCAGTCTAATCGCAGGTCAATCGCAGGTCAATTAGACTGTTGTTTCAACTGCAGTTCAATCCAGGTTCAATTCGACTACAGGTTCAACAGCTGTTCAATACAGGTTCAATTCGACTACAGGTTCAACAGCTGTTCAATACAGGTTCAATTAGACTACTGTTTCAACTGTCGTTCAATCCAGGTTCAATTAGTCAGCAGGTCAGTTGCAGTTCAATTAGACTACTGGATCAACTGTAGATCAATCGCAGGTCAATTGGACTGCAGGTCCTTTTCAAGATTTAGTCCATTGTAAGATCCCTTCTAGTCTAGGATCCCTTCTAATCTAGGATCCCTTCTAATCTAGGATCCCTTCTAATCTAGGATCCCTTCTAATCTAAGATCCCCTCTAGTCTGAAATCCCTTCTAGTCTAAAATGGCCCTTAGTCCAGGATCGCCTCTTGTCTAAAATCAGGTCTATTCTAAGATCAGTTCTAGTCCAAAATGCCCTATAATCTAAAGTCAGGTCTAGTCCAAAATCAAGTCCTGGCCGAAATCTCCTCTAGTCTTAAATCCCTTGTAGTCCAAAAGAGCCTCAAGTCTAAAATAACTTCTAAGTCAAAATAACCTCTAGTCTGAAATCTCCTCTAGTCTAAAATCAGGTCCATTCTAAGGTCCCTTCTAGTCTAAAATCTCCCCTAGTCTAGAATCTCTCTTAGTCTAGAATCCCTTCTAGTCTAAGATCTCTTCTAGTCTAAAATCCCTTCTAGTCTGAAATCCCTTGAAGTCTAAAATCCCTTGTAGTCCAAAATCTCTTCAAGTCTAAGATCTCGTCTAGTCAAGGATCCCTTCTAGTCTAGGATCCCTTCTAGTCCAAAATCTCCTCTAGTCTAGGATCTCCCCTAGTCTAAAATCTCTCCTAGTCTAAAATCTCTTCTAGTCAAGGATCCCTTCTAGTCTAGGATCCCTTCTAGTCTAAAATCAGGTCCATACTAAGGTCCCTTCTAGTCTAAAATCTCTCCTAGTCTAGAATCTCTTCTAGTCTAAAATCCCTTCTAGTCTAGGATCCCTTCTAGTCTAAACTGCCCTCCAGTCTAAACTGCCTTCCAGTCCAAAATCTCCTTTAGTCCAAAATCTCCTTTAGTCTAAAATCTCTTCTAGTCTAGGATCTCCTCTAGTCCAAAATCCCCCCTAGTCTAGAATCTCTCCTAGTCTAGAATCCCTTGAAGTCCAAAATCTCTTCAAGTCTAAAATCCCCCCTAGTCCAAAATCAGGTTCAATACAGGTTCAATCGCAGGTCAATTAGTCAGCTGGGTCAACCACGGTTCAATCCAGGTTCAATTAGACTGCAGTTTCAATCGCGGTTCAATCCAGGTTCAATTAGACTGTAGGTTCAATCGCAGTGCGATCGCAGTTTAGTCAGCAGTTCAATTGCAGTTCAATTAGACTACTGGATCAACTGTAGATCAACTGCAGTCCAATCAGACTACAGCTTCAACTGCAGATCAATCGCAGGTCAACTGCAGTTCAATACAGGTTCAATTAGACCTTGAATCCAACTGCAAATCAATCGCAGGTCAATTAGACTATAGGTTCAATCGCAGTTCAATTGAATCGCAGGTCAATTGAATACAGCTTCAAATACAGGGCGGGCGCAGGGGCGCAGGGCCACAGGGGGCTACAGGGGGGGATAGGGGGGCCAGCGCGGGGCTTAGGGCGCAGGCTAATTGAATAAGGGTGGCGGTGTCAAGAATATTGTGGCGGTGTCAAGAATATGCGGCGGTGCGAAGAATAAGTGGGTTTAGCGCGTGGCGGTGTCAAGAATTGCCCGTGGCGGTGTCAAACATCGACCCACTTTAAGGTATGTTTGGCAAGAATATCGGTTACACAAATTCGTGTAACCGGTATTCTTGCCAAGAATAGCCACGTATTGTATACAAGTGCTCTGTACGTAACACCTGGATAACACTCGTCTATGCTCGAGTTGAAACTGCTGACATAGAATAGTAATGCCCCAAAGACAAGCGATGGTACCCTTGACGCTCAAGGACGGCACGCACATCCCGGCCGGTACGAGAGTATCGTTTGCGAACTATCAGCATCAGAATGACCCTTCAGTAACGCCTGACCCGGGGCTGTTCGACCCGTTAAGATGTTATCGAAAGCGCCACTCGACTGCGGAGCTGAAGAACAAGTTCCAGGCGGTGCAGCTGGACCCCGACATCAACCCATTCGGCCATGGAACCCAGGCTTGTCCTGGAAGGTATTTCGCCGTAGCGGAGATCAAATTTATCATGGCACGCCTGTTGCGGGACTACGAATTTAAGTTTTTGGAGACTCAGGGGAAGCCGAAATGGATACATGCTGACGAGAACCTCGTGAATGACCCTGGTGCTAAGATGATGATGAGGAAGAGAAAGTGAGGGGAACAAGGGAGAATGGGGGAATGACGTAATTTCCCTTAAGACAATGTATCCTGAGAAGAGGTTATCATTTGTAAAGATTTCTCAGAATACTTACCTAGATAATCTTGTGATCAATCTGATACCTACCTAGACATAAGGGCGTCAATCCTGTTCAACGTTGGTCCAGGGCAGAGGGTTGACAATGTCAACCATTAGGCATGTCGTGTTACCTGTATCATACACTGTATATGGATGTGACTGGTACCATGCGGCGTATACATAAGGTATCGTCGGCTGTCGGTTGCAGCTGGTATGTACCTACTAAGTACCTGTTAGATCATTATGTAATTCGGAATTTCCCAAAGCAGGGTGAGGGGCATCAGTATATATGGTGGGCCAGCTGTCGTATATCAAGCATCTGTTACCCAATACATCCGATACATCAGTTATGCGGCGTGTAACACTCGGACTCTCCAAGTAGGCAATTATACCGATGGCGCCCGATTACGATAAAGCAGCTGGCAGCCCTTTGCTTGCCCAATGATAAAGGGATTCGTTCCTTGCAAGAGTCCTGGAAAACTTCTATTCCTTCCATAGCCTAGACTCTAGCGACTCAGTAGACAGACATACACACGCATACTCATACCTACCTACCTACTCACTTTCACTCTCACGCACACAATCTCTCATACACACACCCTCATATACACATACACAGTCTCATACATACGCACACACGCACACGATTCAAATCTCGCTAGTCGCCTCGAGAGCCTCATGACTTCGCGCGAGAACCCGCAGGGCGATGTTGTAAAGCCCAATCCCCAAATCAAAGAGACTTTCCATTTGGAGCTCTAACTCTGTGCAAAGATATCCGACATGGACTTGGCCGCGTCCTCGTCGGCAGCTGCTCGTATGTGCTGCGCGGCGCTAGAGCCGGTGCTGACAAACCGTGTGACCCTACGAAACGACTCGTTGTACCCGGTGGAGAGAGACGCTCCTTGGTGGGTGACTCCAAAAACGCCACGGCGTCCGAGTTGCGCTGCTGATATGTCGCTCCCAGGTCGCAGACGTGCTGGCTCCCGGCGACCTGCTTCGTCCGGCCGAGTAGTGCTCAGGACGTGGTGGAGACCTTAAAGGCTGTGAAGCAGACGGGATCCAAGTTTGCCGTCCGATGCGGCGGTCATAATCCCAACCCGGGTTTCAGTAGCAGCGACGATTCGGGCATCGTGATCGACCTTCGCGACCTTAACACGCTGCACCTCGGACAGGACGGGATCTTGCAGGTTGGCGCGGGAAACAAATGGGGCGCCGTCTACGAATACCTCGAGGAACGTGAGCTTACCATCATCGGTGGCCGACACAAGGACGTTGGTGTCGCTGGTTTTCTCCTCGGAGGTACGCTTGCTTGCTTACCTACCCGCCTGCCTACCTACCTATGCAAGGCTCTAATGCGTAGCTGACGTGATCAGGGGGTATGCCCGCCTTCCCGGGTCTCTACGGGCTGGGCGCAGATCAGATCAAGAACGTCGAGGTCGTGCTAGCTGACGCGACCGTCGTGAACGCCAATGAGGAAAGCAACCCAGACCTAGTAAAGGTCCTCAAAGGCGGCGGGTCAAACTTTGGTACGCGGCCACCCGTGCTGACCCATTTACATAGCACTTTTCACGACAAGCGGTTGACGACGAGATAGGCATCGTGACGCGCTTCGACATCCAGACGTATCCGCAGATCAAGACGCAGTATACGGTCAACGTTTACGACCCGTCGGACTACGTCAATATCATGCGGGCCGCGGCAGAGCTGCAAGTGTCCATGGAAGCCGATCCCAAGATTGGCACGTTCACATACGTCAACCCCACATTCATCGCCGTCGGACTATTCTACGCTGAATGGGTTGAAGAAAGGCCCAAAGCTTTCGACACCTTCTTCAACCTAAAAAGCCTCATCTCGGCCGCCGTGCCCACGACAAATGGCACTATGAGGGATCTTGTCCTGGCCATCGGAACCGATTTCCCGGTTGCTCGGCGCCAATACGCATCCCAGGCGTCCAAGGTCGATGCCGACTTCTACGTGGACGTATACGAACACTATCAGCGAGTGGTGAAGAAATACCCGACTGCTGGCAACTTATCCTACAGCATTCAGCCAGCCTCGATCGCGGCGATCGATGCTGGAGAGAAAAAGGGCGGCAATATTTTAGGGCTAGAGAAAGTCCCTCAATGCTGTATGTCCACCACCCACTACCCCCTACCTACTAGATCCCACCCTTCCCCCTCCCCCCCACTCATTTTTTTCTGATTGATCAATGCTGACCCATTCCTAGGGTGGGCATTCGTTGCTGAGTGGGAGGGCCAGCAAAACGATACCGTCGCAGAAGAGGCGATCGACGAGCTCTACAAAGGTATGCAGAAGCTTTCCCATGAGAAAGGGCAGTGGCTTGACTTCATCTTCATGAACGAAGGGAAGTGGACACAAGACGTGCTTCGCAGCTACGGAGCGAGCAGTATGAGCAAGATGGATGAGGTAAGGGCCAAGTATGACGCAGATAGCGTGTTCCAGACTCTGCAGCAAGGCGGATATCTGCTCTCTAAGGCGGTGTGATCCCACGTACCGAGCCCTATCGAATACGGCTGGCTACATGCGAGATCTGGCTTTCGTCATCACCCATCGACTCAAGGGCACAATTTTGGCTTGGAAAATAGTTGAATGGCGTTTCGAGAGAACTTAGCTCTATACTTGTTAACATGTAGGTCCTAGGTAGGCATCTAAGATATTAGCCACTGGGAAGGTTCCTCCGCATCCCCTTAGATTGTATCCCTTGATGCTATCCGTGCGAATTACGTCATATCCGAGAGCCTTATATTCCGAGTCCTAAGTCGTTGGTCTGCGGAAGGGTACGTTGTCACTATTGTAAGATTATATTGCTTAGCTACCTAACAGAGTAGGTAATATTAGGTAAGAGTTGGTAGTAGTAGGTATTCCAACCTATAACAGTGCTAGCCAAGCCCTACGCCTATGCCGCTATCCGACGTTGGCGATACGGGAAAGATGTTGGTGATAGGCAACATCTAGATAGGTGTCTAAGAATTTAGTCACTGGTAGGGTTCCTCTGCATTCCTCTATTATGCCCCCTAACGTTATTGATACAAACCTTCATTGATACGAACAACCTCGCATCTAAGAGGAGCTACATAGCGAATTTCCGGTTGGTTCAGTCCTGAAGTAATGCGCTATTAGCCAACGAATGCTGCGAATGTTGTTCAATAGGAAGCAGGAGGGGGTGATTTGCAGTCATCAAATGCTGTAAGAATGTATTTGTACTACCCTAGGTAGGTATGTCTTGGCCCGGAATACACATCATTAGAAATGTAACATAATTGCAGATGTAATACTACTAATCAAGCCCTACGTGTGCGGTGCCATCTTACGAGGGTTGGTGATACAAGAAGGATGTTGGTAACACATAATCGTCGTATTATTCCTTTAGTGAGGGGGTGGGCGGCGGAGGATGGTGCAGTTCTCGTGTACATCGGTACAACGCGTGATGCTTTGCGGCAGACTCGACTACGCCTCATTCCAGCATTATCACCTCCGTCACTACAATCTGAAGCAGAGCTCTAAAGGCAGTCTGGATACCTAAGTCTGTATGATGGCACGTATAAGACCGGGGCGGGCCACCCCTGCCCCTGGATTATCACTGACAGCACCAAGCTAACCCCTCTGGTCGAGCTTAAGCCAGAGCACAATGTTCAGCACCATACGATATAGCAATGTGGCAGACGGGCCATGCTATCTCGAGAAAACCGCAGCTCCTTTCGACAGGAAGCGCCATAGCAAGCCCGCACGCATTGCGTGCTGGAGCTGCCGCGTGAGCAAGGCAAGTCAAGGATGGTGGGCCATTACCCCGGTTGCCCGGTCGCAGAACGATGCACGGAATATCTCAGCACTTAGACACTAACGACACGCAGCTGAGATGCAGCGGCGAATCAAACGGCTGTCAACGATGTACGGGAAAGAAAATCAAATGTCGCTATCCCGAAGTACCGGGCCCGGCTCCCAGACGCCTCGTAAATACGGAAAAGTGCGAGCTGTCGCCCCCAAAGACTTCTCCCGATACCATTGAGGACACGCCGGGGAGCAAGGTAGGACCGTGTACTGCCGCCGATGCAGCGGCTGGTAACTTGACGTTGGCAAAGCCTCCTCTAGCAGCGGTGTCGCCTACAGCCACCACGGAATGCGACAACAGTAGTCCGGACTCTACCCCCTTATCACTCGATCCGGGGTCCGGCTTGTCGCAATCCTTTGAGTGGCCGAGTTTCTTATTTTCCAACTTCCAGACTTGCGCCGACGAGAACATGGATAAAGACTCCGATCCGTGCATGATGACGGAGGCATTTTTTGACAAGCCCGACGATAGCTGCAGCTTAGCGGTTAACAATATTCCGGACGAGGGGTTTAATCTAATAGGAGCTGGAGCCAAAAACACCCGTCCAAATTGTTCCTGCTTCGAGCGCATCATATACACACATGAGGATATCGAGGTTAATCTTCTGTGGCGTCGCTACAACATAGGCTCCGGCGACGACAACCTGCTACAGAACCAAAAGAGGGCACTGGCCGATTTCGAAAGCCTCATGGAGTGCGGCTCGTGCACCGCGCGATCCGCGTACATGATGCTCCTCATATCCATAGGCAGGAGGATCCTCGACAGCTTAGACGCTGTAGACGGGACAGGCCCGCCGGCGCCGGCCGCTATGGAGCGAGACTACTACGACGACGGCGCCGGTGGCGGCGGAAGATGTAAACGCGCGCGTAAAGTAAGCATCGGAAATTGGAAGCTAGACGCGGACGACGAGTTCCGAATCTTCCAGAGTCTCGCGGCCGCCCGCGCGACCAAGTTGTCAGGTCTGGTCGAGAAGCTAGAACGAATCACCCGCAGCCACAACTGGCCCGCGCATCAAGACATACTCGGCGACATGAGCGAGGTCCTGCGTAAGAAATGTATGGCCTATGCGGGAAGAATAGAGGAGATAAGCCAGACGTTATCGTAATGATTGTATGCGAGATACTGCTGTCCGTGATGTTCATCAAGTACCTAAGACTTGAAAGTACGTAGCATTCACCGGGCTCCAATCGAATCGCGATCGTTAACTCCAATCCCCCTAACGTCCTCGGGGTGCACCGCATGCTACTCCGAGAACATGTCACCCAAAGTACATCAATTGAATCCTACTTGTGCAACGGGACCAACATTATGAACCGTCATTCCCGACACCGAGCGAATTCGGCAACGTCCCCTGCCGGGAAGTCGGCCTGTAATTAGCAGGTATCATCGTCCGCCGTCGTATGTCATCAACGCGTTATCATTGTGCTCAACTGCTTCGATATAACTAGTCGATTTTGGCGTCGACTTTCGCCGTGATTAGGTAAGAAGCATTCGCATATACCTAGTGGAGTCCCAGGTAAGCAGCCGGAGCAGCAAGGCACAGAGCCATGATGTTAGGTGATTTTTCATAAGCCCAACTAAACTCTTTGGAGGTCTGCTTCATGCAAGCAAGTTTGCTCAGAATCGCCGATCGTCGTTTTGACGTCCATGTTATATATGACAACGCAACAGAAGGATTCGGTGGAAGGATCCGATATTAACCCTTTGCCGCAAGAGGAGGTAGGATATTTCAATTTCAATAGGATCGGGAACGGTATAAGGGAAAGCTCACCTGGGCAGGCACAGATTACCAATGTCTCACATACAGTCTCCGTAGCAGTGCCCGTTCTGTTGCCCGGAAACCTCGTTGGTTCGACTCAGCCTCAACCTCCGCCGATTTCTTACCTTTTTCAACCTTCCGAGTCTGCGTCGGCACCTGTGCGGCTTGGCCGAGACACACCCAATATGACGAAGTTGTGTTGCACCATGTACCGTAAGCACGATAGATACCTATCCATGGCGCTTTCTGTCCAATGAGTCTGCAAGTCTGGTGAATATCCATGGCCCATAAAATGCTAAGCACGTCTCAGGTCTTACAAGAATCCAACGTCGATGTAGGGGGTCGATGCAACCATTTGTCATATCATTTCAGACCGCACTGTCTTTGCGGTGCGGATTCCTACGGCCTCGCCCTTGAGGCCGCAACGGGTTGGTCATATTGACCCCAATAAGCCTCATAGTTTTCTTGAATAGCCCGTTTTTGTTGTGGCGTTTCTCGTTATGCCCTAACCGAAGAATTCACGCTTTCTAAACTGCCTCGGAGAAGTCGTCAAGTTCTCCAAGCCCCCTCAAAGTTCATTCGACAGTCCCTCAAGTCGATATGGGGGCCTCTCAATCCTCTGGCGTGTCTAATGAAGCATACCTCGGCGTCGGATCTGTGCTTCTCGTACTAGCGGCTGTTTTTGTTGCCATTCGCTGCACCATCAGCTTTACACAAACAAAGAAGATCCATGTTGACGATGGTAAGTCCCGCTTAGCCTCTACCTCGCTTTCGCGATGCAGCGATGACCCATATTGGCTACAGGGATCGCGGTCGTGGGACTGCTTTTCATACTGGCGACTTTCATTGTCCAGTACTATATAGAACAGGGTGAGTGCGAGGACGGATGAGCCACTGCGGATCGGACAAGATTTAATAAGAACAGGCTTCCGCGACCCGACAACATCGCCGGCATGGACCATTAAGGTAAGAAACGATGTTCGGTTTCGCATCGATCGCATGCTAAGTAGATTGGCGTCTTGCCAAATAGATGGGCGTTTGCGTCGTCATCCTCATCCTATTTGCCCTGTGGACCACGAAAGCGCCGATTCTCCTCCTTTACCTGAAGCTCTTCGGTGTTTATCCTTGGCTTCGATGGGCATCCTATATCACGCTCGTGGTCACGGCCCTGTGCTTCATCGCTGCTATGGCCATCACGCTCGCCCATTGCGATCTGACCGATAGTTATGCGGAACCCGCAACCTTGGATAAATGCATCAGCGCATCGGCGACCGGCGCCATCTTCTCGGGCTTCATCGCCGTCTTTGCCGACGTGATCATTTTCTGCCTTCCCATTCCAGCGATCGCACGCATGAGGATCGCGCTGTCCAAAAAGGTCGGGCTGGGGATCATCTTTTGCTCTGGTATTCTGTAAGTGCCGATATATCCCCCCTGACCAAGTATTCCGCATCCTAATATGCGCTGACAATAGTGCGATCGTGTGTGGGATTGTGTCGCTCTATTACAAATTCCTTTCCCAGCAGACAAATATTCCAATCGGGTTGCGACTAGCCATCATATTTCTCATGTCAGTCTCCGCGTGAACACCGTTGCCCCTCGCTGATCAGCTAACGAAAATGACGGGTAGCCATATCGAATGCGTTGTAGCCCTCTCGATCGGCTGCGTTCCGGCGCTGAAGGCGTTCTGGTCCAAGTATATCTCCAAGTCGATCGTGGTGGCTAAGGTATCAGCGTATACGAGTTCGACCATCGTGGCGTCGAACAAGGCCCGCGCACTCAAAGGCCGGGTACAGACCGGACTCAGCACGACGGCGGTCTATGATTCCCAGCGAGATGGCTCCTACATTATGATGGAATGAGGCAATGGTAGTTTTCCAGAGTATCTAAGCCCCGTTATGTAGGTTGGTATGATGTTGCAAGAGTCGTACGTTGGTCGTACGTTGTAACGGTTACATTGATTCGTGCCTCTTTACTGCGTAGGCAGGCGTTATATTAATCAACAGCTGTTCCTTTTTGGATTCCGTTGGTATTGAGCGCCACCGGCCCCGTCATTGACCGATTGGACGATTAATTAAGGTCTTTACATAATAGTTGTACTGTTATACTATTACATAGTATGTCCATGCATTGTTGAAGCCTTAGTATTGTGGTTAGTGCTATCCACGTTGAAGAGCCAATTCAATTCTTTTTGAATGGATCCGAGGACCAGCGCGTTAAGACACCGACCCGATCAGACAGGAAGAATAGTGCTGTTGGTACTTTCCACGTTTAGAGATGGCCATTTATGAATGGTATGGAGGATGTAATCTGTCGATAAATATTTGGGCTTGGCAAGACCTAGTAGATTGATGCTATTTAGTAATTAAAAACCATGGGTTGGTGTGAACACGATATATATCATGAACCGTGGTGGCAGGTGCTTAGATGCGGTGTTCATTACTGTCGTAATGAAGACATCGCGACGTATATAAATGCGTATGTGGCATAGTGCGTGGTAGATTATTACCCATTGACTGAAACTAGAACCACTGGACCAATGCCGTCGGCGAGCGGTAGTATCAGTGACCTTTTATGATACCCGCCGCCTTCTCGGCTACGGCATACACCGAAGAAAAGATATTGCCACGTGGAATCAGCGGGATAACGTTAGCATTAACGACGCGAATATTCTTTGTCCCGTACACGACCAGCTTCGGATTCACCACACCCCCCTTTTCCCTGGGCATCATGGCCGCCGAGCCGCAACCGTGGTATGCGGTGGTGGCTGTGTCGAGGACATACTTCTTAGCCCCGTCCAGGTCTCCGACGCGAATGGCGTCCGGGTGATTACGCTTCCCGCCAGGCTAAAGAAAGGGCATCAGTTGCTTTGAGGGGCGCAGCTGCGTGTCGAGTGCTTGGATATGCCGCGCCATAATCTCTAAATCGGCGGGGTGAGAGAAGTAGCGCGGGTCGATGTGGGGCTCGGTGTCGATGTCGCCAGAGGAGATATGGGTCGCGCCCCGCGAAAAAGGGTGCGACTAAGCACAGCCTAGGCTAGTGAAATTCTCGGGGAGCAGCTGAGTACCAACAAAGCTTTTACCCCCTTCGTGCAGGTTTGTTTAGGCTAGGAACATGAGCCACGCCATCGAGCTGCTGTCAGGGCCCTCGAGAATGGAACGGACTGTGTTGTAATACTCCGAGTCCTTGGGCCCCTTAACCCGAGGAAGCCGGTCGAGGAGCTTAGGTATATTGAACACACCGGAGGCAAGTATGACCTCTTTGGTGGGTGTGAACGTTTCCGTCTTACCTTCGACCAAGGCATGAACACCCGTAGCCTTAACAGTGCCATCGCGCGTCTTGGTGAATAATGTTCTCTGGACCTTGGCCTCTGTAAGAATCCGGACGTTGGGCCTCCGGCGAATAGGAGCGCCGTAAGACGAGTTGGCGTAGCTCCGAATTTTGGTTTCCGGATCGACGGTTGCCGTATTGCTGTAACCACCAATCGAATTACCCGAGAACGGATCTGTAGTATAATAAATAGGAAGGCGTCAGTAAATGCTCTCCTTTTCTGCTTTTCTCCGCTCTAACAACGCGGAGTGTTTATCAAACTAAACTTACCGGCAGTAGTGACCTTGCCCAGACCGCGAAAGGCGTCAATCCACGCCTTACATAGAGGGTCTTGAATGATGTCTGGAAAAGACACCTTAATAGGGCCGGAGGTGCCGCGGTGTTCGTCGTTGATCCAGTCGATGCCGACATGCTCCAGCGTGGCTTGGTCCGGCAGTAGTATAAGTGTATGACTTCTCACAAAAGAGTACTAGGTTAGTCCAGTCCCATCCAAGATTGCCTAGCTTGGCCCAAGCATCGATGTCAGCCTGAGCTGGAGCGATGAAGGCTTGGCCGTTGATGGCTGAAGAGCCTCCTAGAGCTTTGCCCTGGGGAGTTCGAATGGATCACCCCCCTAATCCCGGCTGAGACACAGATTTGTACTGCCAGTCAGCATCGGAGCCCACAAGGGACGTCCACAGCGCTGGGATGTTTACCCTCGGATCGACCGAGAGATCCTTCCCGGCCTCAAGCACCCATACTTGGACATCCGGGTTTTCGGACAAGTGGCGAGCGACGACGAGGCCGGAAGCGCCTCCGCTGATGATTATGTAGTCGGGGGACGTCGGGGAAGGCATTAGTTTTCGTGGGGCTCTTAGACTTAGAAGTAGCAATAAGAGTCGGGAGGTCAACTTAGAGACTGAGGTGAACGGAGAGGCAGGGAACCTTTAGAAGAAATGGGTTCTACAAGGGGGAGAGAAAGGATAACATGTGACTAGGTAGGCTAGTGCTTACATAGGTGCCTATTTGTCCGTCGTCGCGCATGCTATTAAATCAATTGCATGGAGTAAACGGATACCTTCATAGGGAATAATGCGCTGTAACTCACTAAAGCTATAACGCTAGTAAGCGCTATTATTCCAGAGGCTCTTATGGATAAATACAGTGCTAATACAGTGTGCTACGAACAAGTAGTACTGTAGGAAAATGACTTGGCGAGACGGCGGATGTTATGTATAATAGCCACGAACGTACTTAGGATTTTGAACGTTCTTCTTACCTCGCTTACAACAATGTGAAATGTACCCATGGGTTTTTTTATTTGAGAGTATGAATAGATACCTACCTACTTCTACAAACTAGGTATCCTTTCCCCTCGCGCAGGAGTAGGTTTAGTTACTGCACCAGTCAACCTAGTAAGCGTGGCTCTGAGCTGACCGGCCAATGATTGAGAAGCCCAATTCCGAATAGGGAAAGTAAACACCATGCTGCATACCTTGGTACCCAATCTTATAAGGACGCTTGTTTGTCGACGCCGATGTTGATTTGACTAGGATTTGGATACCTAATAAAGTCCCTAGTAGCCCTCTATTAAGCTGCTTGGAAAGCTCATCAACGTTTGGTTTGGTTTGGTATATTTAACGACGGGGCAAAATGGAGTGACCATCCCTCAGGAACCTCTCGAAGGGTATGCGGCATGTACTGCTACTACTAGGTCTACTTCTAATTACACACAAAATGTCCTAGTCTTCTATCATGAAATACCCTACATTTTTAAGCTACCGACACGCATGATGATGCTCGAATCGCTCCCGTGGGCTCCTGCGTGTGAGCTTGCGTTCGACGTAAAGTATTCGGAGGGAGGGCGCCGTTTGAGGCTATTGTTTCGTTAGGTAGGTAGCAATTGTAGAAGGTAGGCGATGATTAATGGGCTTTTGCCCCTTATAACGCTAGCTGTAACTATATGCCTGGGCTAGGAAGGACTGGGGCGGCAACGAGGTCAACAACAGAGGACTTCTTGTTAATTAAAGAGATGCATCAAATTTAAGGTAGGTAGGCATCGTATAATATCGTGTATCCTCAGGGCCAACCTGGGTTGAATACATAGGTATAGCCGGTGTTAATCACTGTGTTTTCAGGCGAACCGCTCATGAGACTACAAAGTTGCGGAGCCGGTCCAACATGTGAGGGTTTCTGAAGCGATGTTACATGAATAAGCTGTCTCCGTATGTATGGGGAGCAGAACTTTCCGAGGCGGACCAACTATCGCCCCGTAAGACGCAAAGTCTCCGCAAGTCGCCGTCTAACGTCGCGCCAGGTCGGGCTGCGCAGTGATGTTTACTGATCATGGCTACCATTTCACCTATGATTCCATTCGTATTGATGATTCCTGTTACGGAATCCTGGCGGCCAAGATACGCGGTGCGAGGTCTGGTGGTATATATATCGCTTCTTACGGCCCTCACGACGGTATCGTTTCATTCCATCTCGCAACAACATCACTTTTTGAAATCCCAATAGCTTTCTCAAATCCACCGCGAAGTACAGACTCCTAATATTTACGTCGGCCATGTCGGCTAAGAAGTCGGTCCTGATCACTGGCTGCAGTGAGGGCGGCATAGGCTACGCGCTGGCGAAGGAGTTCCGTGCCCGCGGCCTGCGCGTTTTTGCCACGGCGCGCTCGCTTTCCAAGATGGCTTCCCTCGAGAATCTCCCCGACGTTACGGTGCTGCAGCTGGATGTCACTTCGCCCGAGTCTATCGCGGCAGCCGCGTCGGCCGTCTCCGGAGCAACGGGTGGCAAGCTTGACTACCTCGTCAACAACTCCGGCCTGCAAGTTCTCGGCCCGCTGCTGGACTTTGACATGGACCGAGCGAGGGACATGTTCGAAGTTAATGTATTCGGAGCTGTCGCTACGGTCCAAGCCTTCTCGCCTCTACTCATCGCGGCCGGGGGATGTGTCGTCAACATGACTTCCATCACCGCGCTGATGTCCCCACCTTGGATGGGTAGGTTTTCTGTTGCTACTTCCGATACTTTGATGCCGGTCTCTGACTAGCATCTTATTTGAACGCAGGGTTCTACGCCGGTTCCAAGTCTGCCTTCGTCACCATCAGCGAGTGTCTTCGTCTAGAGTTGCGTCCGCTCGGGGTCAGCGTGGTCACCGTCAACGTGGGCGCCGTGAAGACCAACATCTTCAGCAACGCTCCAGCACGCTACGAGCTGCCTTCCGGCTCGAGATACGGGCCAGTGGAAAAGCAGATAGGGGCGAGGGTGACGGGAAACGACGTCTCTGGTCAAAAGGACACTCCCGAAGCCTTTTCCCGAGCGCTCGTCGGCAAGGTTCTGGGCGGCGCGAGCGGGAAAGTCTCGTGCGGAAAGCTCTCAACCATTATCAGGGTGCTCACGACGTATTTTCCCACCTGTCTAATTGTAAGTGTCTAATTTTTTATTTTTCCTTTATCTGCCCTCCCTGTTTACGTGGAGTCTTACGATTTCCAAATCCGCGTGTTCCCCAGCATTTATTAATACTACTTCTAGGACCGTTTGAGCATTGTTAATACTGGGCTTGATACCTGGAAATAAACACGTAGCTATTTAAATATAATATTAAAGGTATCGTAGTTATTAAGTATCTTAGCGTAGGGAGTTATTGGCGAACACGTCTATAATACTCTATCATACTATCATCTAGGAATCAACAATCAACAGTCGGTACCTGCTTAAATCTGGCTATAACCACTACTAGCCTCCGTAAGCTCGACGTAAACAATTAAGCTAAATCAGCGCGGCGCAGCAATAATCAAGCTTTCTGTATTTTCATTCGGGACCGGATTTTATGAGTCGGCCCATCCCGATAAAAGGAGATAAAGGATGACTAAACGGTGTACAGACGGCGGACGATCGTACCGAAGCTCATGATAAAATAAGGCAGTTCTTAATTATTACAATTGTTACCAACGTGTTGTAAAATACCATCCTTTAATTGGACGCCCTTGCTTTGAATCGCATGAGGACGGCGTTAACTTATCCACCGCACTACTATATCAATCTATCCCTGCAGGTACCGCTGCAAAAACGAGGCACTGCTTGTTCGTTCCCGACGCTCTTTGTTTTCCCAACTTTCTGCATTTGTTATCCGTATATTATCCATCTGTACGACTTCGTCATGTTCTCTGATTCTGCTGGCTCGACCGTCCTCCTGATCTTCATCGGCGCTGTCACCCTAACCTACTTCCTCGCTCGCAAGATGTGGGGCCATGACCCTCGCGAGCCGCCGCTGGCTCCCCAATCGATCCCTATCATCGGCCACATGATCGGATTATCGCGGAGCAAGTTCAACTACTACGTCGATCTTAGGTATGACCTTCTTGTCCGCGCCGTGAGCCGAGACTTACATTCATCCCAGTGAGCAGACAGGTTCCCCGATCTTTACCATGTCTCTCCCTGGCCAGAAGATGTATGTAGTGACGGATCCCGAGCTCGTCCAGACTGTGCAAAAGCAACATAAGATCCTTGCATTCCCGCCTATCGAGGCCAAGTTTGCGTCTCAGGTCTGCGGAGCTAGCCTCGAGGCTCAGGCTATCCTGAACAAAAACGTCAACGGCGACGAGGGCAATTTTGGCCTTTCCATGGAGTCTTATGATGCGATGCGGGCGGGGCTCAAGCCTGGCTCGCAGCTCGACGATATGAATCGCCTTATGATCCAGGAAATCGCAAAGTCGCTCGATTCGCTGCAGCCACGCAAGGGAGAGTCCCGGAGGATCGGGATGTACAGCTGGCTCAGAGATGCCATCACGACGGCTACCACGAGGTCTGTGTATGGCCCTATGAACCCGTACGACGATAAGTCCATCGCGGACGCCTTCTGGAATTCGAAGGCGGTCTCATGTCGATTCTGGTGGGGTTTCTTCCGTCCATCACTGCTAAAAAGCCGATTGCGGCGCGTGCCAAGGTCGCCAAAGCCTTTGAAGCATATTACAAAGCCGGAGGTGTAAAAAAGGCATCAGCTCTCGCCCAGAATCGCTATCAAGCAGAAATAAACAACAACGTTCCGCTGGAAGACATCGCTCGCTACGAGGTTGGAGGATCGATCGCCGTCTTGGTAAACACGGCGCCTGCGGCGTTTTGGACCCTTCTCTTGCTTCACTCCCACCCGGGCGTTCTCGACGATATTCGGAAAGAGATCGACGCTTGCATCGAAACAACCACCGAAAACAGTACTACCATCAAGGCTATCGATATCACTACTCTTAAGGAGAGTTGCTCCCTTCTGCTCTCCTCATATCAGGAAGTTCTCCGCTATTGTTCGATGGGGACTTCTGTCCGCGAAGTGATGGAAGATACGTACCTCGGCCCGTGGTTGCTGAAGAAAGGCGCCATGCTACAGATGCCGAGTCGCATAATTCATCAGGATGCCAATATTTGGGGTGCCAATGTCAAAGACTTCAATCCTCGCAGGTTCCTCCCCGAAGAGAAGCAAAACCGGCCTCGTGACACCTGCTTCCGAGCGTTCGGTGGCGGCAAGACCCTTTGTCCCGGGCGGCACTTTGCAACTAACGAGATCCTAGCGGTCGTCGCCGTTTTTATCGCAAGATTAGATATGAAACCCGTAGAAGGCGACTGGAAGCTTCCGACTACCGCAAACACCAACGTTGCTGCGGTTGTCATGGAGCCGGATGACGATATTGAGGTTGAGATAAGAACACGGCCGGGATTCGAGGACGTCCAATGGGCCATCAACCTTAACAAGTCGGAAAAGATATTCGCTATGGTCACAGAGGACAGCGTCGAAACAGAGTAAAGTTTATTCGTCGCTTCGGTAAAATTTTCCAGTCGTGAGGTTCTCATGGGTATAAAAAAATGAATGCTGCCGTCGACGCCTTGAATTAATTCAAAGTAGCTCAATATAGAACAGCCATCATTTCAGTTTCCCTGCCACCGACAAGTGATAACCACGGGCAAGCTTTGGACGCCTATTGATATACGAGTTGAAAAGAAATAATTAATAGGCATGGACTTTAAAAGTAGGTAAGTACCTCAACTATTCGAATGGTAAAAATTAATTACCTACCTGGTAGTTACTTATGAAACTATAAATCAGCACCATTGTAGCTATTTTTGGGAATAGGGGCAACTGCTCTGCCATTAAACCATACCTAACAGATTGGAGCTTCATGTATCACATTTACTTTGTGCCAATATCACTGATCACAGCTAGCATACCCATCCTCCATCCACGTTATAGACTGCCCCGGTTACGAACGAAGCCTCGTCGCTTAACAAGAAGGCTATGACGCGTGCTATCTCGTCCGGTTCGGCTCTTCGCTTCTGTGCCGTGTGCTGGAGATTGCGTTTCACATCTTCCGGATTCTCCCCTTCCGATAAAGGCGTTCTCACGGAGCCTTCGCGTAGCATTCAGCACAAGCCCACTCTGCGTCTGGATATGTCCGATATGACTAACCTGGCGAGACGCAATTTATTCGGACTTTTTGGTTTTCCTTCGCTGCTGTTCGTGTGAGTCCGATCACGGCCGCCTTGCTGGCGCAGTAAGCAGCGTTCCCCGGAGCGCCGACTTGGCCGAAAACGCTCGCGGCAGAGACCTATACGAGATCAATACCTGGCGCATAGCCGTCATGATACAAGGATCGAGCGAGTTTATCTTACAATGCTACCTCCCTCCGTCATCGCCTTGATTTGGGCCTGCGAAGGAAAGATGTTAGTAGATTGTTTTAGCAGTTCATCTTGCGGACAACGTGGATAGATAGTATCCCGAGTATGTGAGTCATAAACCCCAGAAACGGAAAGAGCGGGAAACAGCTCCAGAATATCGGCGGTATCCTCACCCGTATACAAGCGAAAACTCCCCGCACGTTGACCGCAAAGGTGGAGTCCCAGTCGTCGTCCGTCGATTCGACAACCGGGGTGGCGTGTTTGATGATGCCGGCCATGTTGACGGCTCCGTCTAGTTTTCCGAACTTCCGAACCGTCGCGTCGATCCACGCGTCAACCGAACTACTATCTCGTACATCCACTACGGTGTACATGTGCTGTCTAGCATCGTCGCTTTTCGACAATGACGCTGTCGCCTCTTTCACGGCGGCCTCGTTGATATCCGCGAGGGAAATCACTGCGCCCCGAGAGGCGAGCAGTCGTGCCGTGGCGAGGCCCATGCCGGAGGCGGCGCCTGTGATGGCGATCTAGGTGAGATGAAAGGTTAATATATGTACCAACTTATGTAGTCTTAGCACTGTGATATGCAAGATGAGTACGTACAACTTTGCCGTCGAAAGAAGACATAGTTAGATATCTGGATAGATCTGGATATTTCGAGATCTTTCAATACCTAGTAGGTCAAATATGAACCCTAGTGAGATTTCGCCTGCTTTATTCCGCGGTTAGAATAGATACTAGGTAAGGTACCTTTGGTGTTGTACGATGTCGGCCCCGTATTCCGGAATAGCCCCTATTTGATTGGAACTTTGAGAAGCGGGGCGGTTCCATTAGTCTTATCATTGATCCCATTTATTTGCTGACGAGACAGGCATGGCTTTCTAAATAGGCAAGTATTCCCACTGTTGGGTTGGGAGAGTCGGATGTCAAACCCTCGCGAGCACACACGTACTCGTGATAGGATAGAGTTCAAGATAATGTAGACTCTCCTTTGAAACAGGTATGAAATGCGTATCATAATCCGTGAATTAATATTATTCAACTTTCCATCCGTGGTGATGCGTATAGCTGATGAGATAGGTTACCATGCGTCCGATTTACATGTAGAACTATTCTTGATATCCTTATCCCACGACAAACTCTGGTAGGTATGCAGGTAGGTATAGGTAAGTATGGTCGGTTACGTCCGCGTTTGTGAATGGTACCATCTCAGTAATATTCGTATCCTCAACCTCTTATTAACACGTAATCTACGATATTGTCGTACCTACTTATAGATGTAAAATCCTATTAAGGGGTAGATAGCGTGATCAAAACATACCTTCCAAGTGCTATTCGGGTTTGCGCTTAGCCATGTCGATCCAAGAGACACTCGAGCTACGGGAACAGGGCTTCGCTCTCCAAGCCTCCCTTATAGTCTTCATTGTGACCGCAAACGTGTCGAGGCCGCTATTCCTCATGCAGGTCTCGAACCAGTCGGAGAAGGCGGACTGCATCGTGGCGTCTTCGGTCTCGCAGGCCGCGATAAACGCTGGCCAGACGAGGCTTAGAGAACCTCCCGCGATCCCGGATCCCTCGCTCTGATGGCGCGTGAGCGACTGGAGCACGTTTGCCACCATCGGTTGAAGTAGCGCGGAGTCGACGTCGTAGATCCTTCGGTAAAAATAAATTGCCAGCGCGTTCTGCACCGCGCTAATTATGTTTGCGAGGTTGTCGACCTTCGCCACCTCCACGCGTGAGATTTCAAGAGTCGCGAGACCGCTCTGATCTCGATGCTGCTTGATGCAGTTCTCGAGGTTCTTCGCGCGACTGAGAAATTCGGCAAGGTCCGAGCCGGTTTGCGCGACGCCCTGTCCGGCGCTGTCCTTCTCCTTGCCCAGCCGTATTATGCACGACAGTAGGTAGATCAGCGGTTCGGGGACGCCGTAGATTTCGGGATATAGCGTCGCAGGCCACGCTCCGGGACGTTCGAGGTGCAGGTCGTTCTCTCCCTCTTCCTGGTCTTTCGGTACCAGCATCTCCTGGGCTAGGTCGCGCCAACGTGATACCTGGAAGGAGAGGCTATCTTTGCTGTAGATGATCGAGCCGCTCGATTCTATGGCTTTCTGGACCTCGTGCCGGTGGGGGTTATTATTACAGATGCAGAGACTCTCGTAAAACACCCTCTGGAATGCGTAGCAGTGGTGGAGCAGGCGCACCTTTCGCGACTTCTGACGGCTCAGACCTCTGAGGCGGATAAACTTTTCGGCCTCCACGAAGTAAAAGTCGACGCGCCTCCGCCTGCCGGTGACGCTGTACAGGTGGACGAGGGTCAGAAGCGCCATCAGAATGGTCTTGTACTTCGCCGGTTTCGGTACTTGATAGGCCGTCTCCAGCGTCGCCCGACAGTACTCGCGAGCTTGCCTCTCGTACACCTTCGCCCTCTCGAGCCATACTGGTGACTGGTGCTGTGTCATCCTTCCGAGGCTGGAGGCGCTGATGGCCAAGGTGCCGAAGAAGATCGTCGAGCTCGCGTAGCTTAGGTTCTCGCCCATCGTCAGAGCGGCGAGGCAGCTCTTTACGTGAGGGATGAATAGACTGTGCCACGGAGTCTTGGTGTGCCCGAACGGGGTGACGAAGTTCACGACGTTGGAGGTGTAGTGTTTGAGCAGGAACACGGCGTCTCCGGGTATAGGCGTAGGCGCGCCCGCGAGCGCGGCCAGGGGATCGCACGACGCGTATGGCCTGATGCCGAAATCTACGGTCCTAGGCGAGAAGCGGTCGCCCGATGACGATGCTAGGTCTCCGAAGGGACCCCGACCGCTGACGCAGAGAGCCGTGTTCTGCGTTTCCGTTGCGGGTGCCGTCTCGCATAGAACTTCGGCCGTCACATCCGCGTAAGTTACGTCGGTGATGTCGTAGATGGTCGGCGTCGGAGGTAGAAGTTCTTGCGCGGAACCGTCGAAAATGGAATCCAAAAGATCGGAAGACCACTGCTGGCTCATGGTAGAGTCGTCGGCCATTTCTTCCGGCGCGTGCTGAGGCTGTAATATTTCGAGCCGGCTAGGGCGTCTCAGAGAGAGGAAGACCCGAAACACCCCAAATGGCCCGTCGAGTAGTTCGATGCTCTCTTCGGGAGAGGCTTTCCCGCACTGCTCTTCCAGGTGCGAGAGTTGCGCCGTCACCGACGGCGGCGGTACGCTCGAGGTGAGCCGTCGGCTCATGTCTCTACGCTCCGCCTCGGTAAAGAGCAGCCGCCGAAAACGAGCCCCTTTTCCGGCGACGTCATCATCGCCGTCGCCATCCTCTGATGCGAAGAAGATGTTCTTCTCGTATCCTTGGCAGGTCAAACCTGCTGTCCTACATAGGAGGCAAGCAGGTCTAGCTTCGTCACATTTGACCCGCCGGCTGCGGCACTAGTCTTAGATTAGCTAGGTCGGGAAAAGCAGTCGCTCACTCGTGAAATGTGGGCTGCTGCCCTATACGAAGATAGGATAGCTACTTACGGTATCGCAACCTCCGAACGATCGGACGGCGATGCGGTCGTCCCCTGCCATGCCCTATTAATCAGCTGGGCGTCCGGTAACTGCGTTATCGTGGAGACTTTCCTCGAGACGAGGCCTTCCGACTGCCCGAGAGCCGTGGGCTTTCTAAAGGGAACGCGGCAGCGTCGAAGTGGGGCTTTCGGAAAGGGAAAGTTTCCCCCAAATCTGCTGCTTAGCGTCGCTAATCGTCCTAGCCCCTGGAAGACTCGGTCCTACCCGATAAGGTGTTTCATAGACCAGGGAGGATCGCCTCTCACGCTTCTCTAGTATATCTAGGTAGGTAACTACGGCCCGGGGCTACCGATTAACATCGACTAACCAAGGTCGTGACCGGGCTTTGCTATGTAGAGATACGCAGATAATGCGTTTGAGATACGACCGATGTCGATATTAGTTGCCCTGGTACAGATAACTACCAGGTAGATAGGTATGGGCGAGCTCGAAATATAAGTGACTTGGTTCGCAATGGCGTGGCTGCGCGTTCTCCTATCTGGATGTTGATTCCTACCAGAAAGTAGTAAGCATGATTGAGATATAAGGCAGACTTTATAAATCTGATGCGTCTCGACTCGATACGGTTCACTTTCCACGTCTACAATAACGGCACGCTACCCGCCAGAAGTACACCGTGACCATGTTTCCTGATGCTGAAGATCGAGGTCGGCGCGAAGATGTGGAAAAGACGACCGCGCTCTCTCCGATAGAGAGCGCCCGCGACGGGCAAGTCATCGAGCAGCTCGGCACCAAGCGAGGCATCAAGTCGCGCCAAGCCCAGATGATCGCCATCGGGGGGAGCATCGGGACGTCTCTTTTCATCGCCAGCGGTCAGGCCCTCGCTATAGGGGGGCCCGCGCTTCTCCTTGCGGCGTACGTAATAATGTCTCTCATGGTATACGGTATTGTTACGGCAGTCGTCGAGGTAAGTGAGAAAATTGCATTTGATCAGATACCAGATTATAAGACATGGATGGTATGAGATTACGACATACTAATTCCTCACTTTCTAGGTTGGCACCCATCTGCCGGTTTCCGGGGCCTCGATGTCGATGCACTGCGGCCGGTACGTGTCGAAATCTCTAGGCGTCGCGCTCGGTTACCTCTATTTCTACTCGTTCGGTATCCTCGCAGCCTACGAGATTACTGCCGGGACGATCCTCATCGATTATTGGCCGAACGACGTGAACGTAGCCGTTTGGATCACGATAGCCATGGTAGTTATCATCGGACTCAACCTTTGTCCCGTCCACGTCTATGCCGAGACGGAATTCTACTTCGCCGGCATCAAGGTCATCATGATAGTAGGGCTGCTAATCTTGTCCCTCGTCTTGATGCTCGGCGGAGGACCTTCGCACGACCGTCTCGGTTTCCGTTACTGGTCTGATCCGGGAGCGGCCAACGCGTACATCGAGACGGGAGCGCGCGGTCGGTTCATTGCCTTCATCTACGTCTGGATTCTTTCGGGCTTCTCCTTTTACTTCGCTCCCGAACTAATTATTGTTACTTCCGGGGAGATGAAGAACCCGCGCAAGAACCTTCCGGTCGCGTCTCGCCAGTTCTTTTACCGGCTAATCTTCTTCTACATCCTCGGCTCCATCGCGATAGGGGCTATTTGCGCTTCGAACTCGTCCGGGCTTGTCTCCGGGGCCGGTAACGCGAACGCGTCGCCTTGGGTCATCGCCATTCGCAACGCCGGCATCGAGGTGCTCCCTTCCGTCGTCAACGCGGGCGTCCTCTCTAGCGCCATCTCCGCCGGAAATTCGTATCTCTTCATGTCGGGTCGTTCGCTGTATTCCCTGGCGGTCTCCGGAGACGCGCCCCGGATATTTACGCGATGCAACCGCTGGGGCGTGCCGATATACGCCGTCATCGCATCTAGCCTCTTCGTACCGTTAGCCTACATGGTCTGCAACTCGGGTGCGGGAGTAGCGTTCAACTGGTTCATAAGCATCACGAACACCGCGGGATACACATCCTGGATTCTCTGCTGTGTCACTTTCCTGAGATTTCGCAAGGCATGCAACGCTCAAGGCTTGGCGTCGCCTTTCAGATCGCGAACTCAGCCTTTCGCTGCTTGGATCTGCTTGATCCTCTTCGCGGCTTTGCTATTACTTAACGGTTTTACTGTATTCTTCCCCGGGAAGTGGTCTATCAGCGGATTCTTGACGGCGTACATCGGAATTCCCATCTTCTTGGCCATTTGGCTTGGGCACAAGTTTACCGTCGGCAAGAACGATCCTTGGATTTACAACTCTCATGACGTTGATTTGACTACGGGCTTAAGCGTGGTGGAAGCGGATATGCCAGAAGGCCCAGAGGATGAGGTGGGCACGTTAACGAGAGTTAGTTTCTTCAGGGCATTCAAGAATCGGTTCACCTCGCGATCATGACTGGGTGGACCTTGAATATATCAGGCGCTGTCATTATTTAGAGTCATATACAGGCCTAAGTGAGATAGAAATAACTTGTCGATAGGCCGCAATACTAAATCCTACCATATGATCAAATCTCGCAGGCTCAATAGTGTTGCCAGTCCAGGCAGCCCAGGTTTATATTCAGCAGGGATCTATGTTGGTTATGATTACCAAGTTTAGTTGTCAAATATGATTTTCAAAATATTACACATCATTCCATCACCATTTACGATATTTGCGCGGCAGCTTAAGACGTTGGTCTGATAAGAATTCTCAAGATTGGGTGTATAATCATGATGCTCTGCAAAGAACTAACCAAGGTCTTGTAAATTCTTGTGAAAGCTTTTAGGTGAGGAGGTAAATATCTGTGTGGGTGGGTACAACGATAGTTGAAGGTAGAACGACCCCTAGATAATACCCATTCGAAAATAACGCTGAGGAAAGTTTCCTCTTATGGTGGATGATAAGCAGATGTTCAGTTAGGTAATGCTACGATCTAGGAGGATGAATATAAGAACGGGTTAGTCGTGTGGGGCGCTCGTATTTCCATAGGTACTTGTAGAGAACTCTATTATATTTATTAGTTATTGTTTACCTACCTACTCGGAACTCTTATTTCGAGGCTCGTTCATTTATATTGAAGGCGTGAACTGTATCTCTTTGATTTCCTAGTAGGTATCCCGGATACAGCTAGAGTGCCTCTTCTCTCACCTCGGGATTATTCATATTCATACGTCGTGCCGTTATCTAAGTTTCTGCCCCTTCGTTTCTCAACTTCGCTTCGGTAACGATCCCTACGATGGATGTTCCAGGTTTCGCTTTGGTGACCGGGGCTGCCTCGGGAATCGGCAGGGCGTGCGCGAACACGTTTGCTCGGGACGGCGCTGCCGGAGTTGCACTGTTTGACCTGAACCTTGAATCCCTGTTAGAAGTCAAGGCAGAAATAGAAGAGAAAGGGTACGCCTCCAACGGAAAGGCCTGTCGTATCGTAGTACATCAGGTCGATGTGTCGAACGAGGACCAGGTCAATCAATCTGTTAAGGCGGTTGTCGAAGCGTTTGGACGGCTGGATTACGTCGCCAACGCCGCGGGAGTCGCCATGAAACACGAAGGTGGCGCTGCGTTTGCGCACCTCAGCGATTGGCAACGTATCTTGGATATCAATCTCACTGGATCTCTTATCATACTGAAGGCGGCATCTCAGATCATGTTGAAGCAAGAGCCGATTCTATCGTCCATCGACCAGAGACCTGTGCAGAGAGGCTCGATCGTTCTTTTCGGATCTATTCAGTCTGTCGCCGGCATCCCTTTGTCTACCGCATATGCCGCTTCTAAGGCTGGAGTTTTGGGACTGACCCGGTCTGCCTCCGAAGATTACGCGAAAGATGGTTTAAGGATCAATGCAGTGTGCCCCGGGTATACCGAGACGCCTCTGACGACGAAAAATCCGGGTGTATTTAAGGCGATGCAGGAGCGCGTGACGACGGCAGTACCCATGATGCGTGTAGGAAAACCTCAAGAAATTGCCGACGGCGTTGTCTATCTTGCCGGTGGCAGAAGTTCCTTCGTTACAGGTACCGCACTTATGGTTGACGGTGGATATACTGAGAGGTGAAGTGAACATATACTTCCCCAAATATGTGCTTAACACTTTATTTCAAGATAAAATATCCGCCAGCAGACGGCGTCGTTATATCTAACATATTCCATTCTTGTGACTAGTAGTGCATTAGGATTGGCTAGTATAAATCTCATCTTGGCAGTGACATTATTTCTAACTACTCGACGGAGAACACGCCCGCCTTTGCCTCCGTGCGGTATGGTATCCCCCTCATCCTGATGACAACATAGGCATCGAGGTCTAAGGGATGTGATGGTAATACGAAAAAATACGTAGTCCTCTTCTTGATCTTTTTGTGATGGGGCAGCACAGTCCAAGGTTGTCAGGATTCTAGAACGCCTAATTCCAACATCTCTCGTCCTTCTAGCTATTATTGGTACACCCTCGATGAGACGCTAAACATGGAGAACACTAACTAAATACACAAATCGGATGTATCGGGAACGGCCCACACAGCCAAGATAACAGCTACGCGGGGAAGCTCCATATTGATAGACGACGAGGGGGAAGTGAAAAAGGAAAGTAATCCCTGAACCCACGCTTTTGCCAATGTGGCTTAGGTAAAGAGAAATGGGTAGAGAGATAGGCATATGGGTACTTATCTTTCTATGGTAATACATTCCTATACAGAAATGTGATTGATAACGCCCACGAACGCCTGATCATGGGGGCGAGTTCGTTACCACGTTATCAATGTTCGAGGAAGGGCTCGGCTTTTAATATGCAATTCGTAAGAAAGGTGGTGACTTGGGGGATCGCGTCGACAAAATAGGTAATTCGACACCGTGGGAACCCTTGAAATGCTACGACTCGAATTATGAGATCGCAAGACGTACCTCCACATGTTTCATATTTATTTCCTATATTGACCGATCGCGTCCTTTATGAATCTCCTAAACCTCCAATAATTATAAAAGATTGTTCGCATATCACCGAATATTGTGCTTAGATTACCTACCTAGCCACCATGGGATCTTTGGGCCAACCTAGGGCCGAGTACGACGTTTTGATCATCGGCGCCGGATTCTCCGGTATCTGCGCCCTCCACCACATCCGGGAACGCTTCCCATCTTGGCGAGTCAAGGTCCTCGAGGCCAGCTCGGGCGTGGGCGGCACCTGGTGGGCCAACCGATATCCGGGCGCTCGAGTTGACACGGAGTCTCTGACCTATCAGTTCTCCTGGGATAAGGAACTCTTGCAAGAGTGGTATTGGAAGGAGACTTTTTCGACGCAACCTGACGTGCTGAGATATCTCGAGCGCGTGTGCGAGAAGCATGATCTCTACAAGGACATCCAGCTCGATACCAGGATCAAGTCCGCGGAATGGCTCGACGGATCTAGTTCTTGGCTCTTCGCCGACAGCCTCGGATCCGAATATCGGGCACGGTTCTTTGTCAGCTGCATGGGCTTCCTCTCCCAGGCCACCCTTCCGGCGATTCCGGGCATTGAGGACTTCCAAGGTCGGGCGTTTCACACTTCGGCGTGGCCAAGAGACCTCGACGTTGAACGAGATTTTGCTGGAAAGAAAGTTGGCGTGATCGGAACGGGCGCGACCGGGATACAGACCATCACGGCTATAGCTAAAGCGTCTAACTTCGATTCTTTGACTGTCTTCCAACGGACCGCGAATTGGTCGGCTCCCCTCCGAAACACGGAGATTTCCCCGGAGCAGATGAAGAAGCACGCCCAGGAATACGACTCTATTTTCGGCCAGTGCGCGAAAACATCTTCGGGGTTCTTGTATCAGGCCGACCCTCGAAGATCATGCGACGTGACCCCGGAAGAACGCCTCGCGCTATGGGAGAAGCTATACAACGAGCAGGGGTTTGGCAAATGGCTGGGCGTCTTCAAGGACACCTATACGGATCGCGAAGCCAACCACATGTACTCGGAGTACATGGCGGCGAAGATCAGGGCACGCATTGACGACCCAGAGGTGGCGGATTCTCTCGTGCCGAAGAATCACGGTTTCGGATTACGACGCGTGCCCCTAGAAAGCGGATACTTCGAGGTATATAATCGACCCGACGTCAAACTGGTTGACTTAAAAAAGACGCCGATCGAGAGGGTGAATGCCGCGGGAATCGATACGCAAGATGGCAAGCACCACGATCTCGACATCCTCATCTACGCGACCGGGTTCGATGCTATCACGGGATCCTTCAGAGCTATCGACTTCCGCGGCAAGGGCGGTCGTCCGCTGCTCGGCTACAGCGATTCAGAGAAGGGTAGTCGAGCTATATGGGTGGACCACAAGCCCAAGACTTTCCTCGGGATAATGGTGCCAGACATGCCCAACATGTTCATGGTCCTTGGGCCGCACCAGCCTTTTGGCAACGGCACGCGCAGTCTCGAGAACGCCGTAAATGTCGTGTGCGACATGCTCCAGCACATGTTCGATCACGATTACACGTACGTCGAGCCAAAGCCGGAGTCCATTAAGGCGTGGGGTGAACACGTCGTGGACTGCAGCAAGGGGCTATTAGGAAACGAAATAGATAGCTGGATGACGGGCGTCAATACTAACGTGAAGGGTAAGCAAGAGCGAAACATCGCGAGATACCTCGGCAACGTGGTCGGATATCGGAAAAGATGTTCGGATTGCGCCGAATCGGGATGGAAGGACCTGGCTTTTGCCTAGATTGTGATGTGTAATCGCTCAAGTTCAAAATTCGATCTACCAGTATAAATCAACCTCGATCCTCAGTAGGATCTCTGATCCTCGACAGTCGTCTTTGGTTTAGTAGTGTCGTAAAACCAATAAAGAAGAAATGAAGCTCACGGGACGAACAGGAACTACAAACTACCTAGATTCGAATGACAGATAGCCCAACAGTCTACATTGAAAACATTAGGAGCTCCACCCAATAAGCCTTCGGGAAGATACATACACGCGTGTGTCGTGACACCTCTAATCCCTGAAGCTGATCCCTGGTCCTGATTGGCGGATTGGCTTAAATGTAGACGAAAAGGGAATATTCTAAGATAGACTTGCCCCACGTAGCTTCTTACTTTTGGGACACCCAAAATCCTTCGCTACTTCGTCAATATGGGGCACCTAGGTGCTAGATATGCTTGATAACATCTTCCGTAGTCATAACCTCTCCAAAAGCAAAGCCGAATCCTTTCAGACCTGCTTCGTGTTGAGACTTGCTCGCGCTACCGCAAGCATCTTTGACGAGCCACTACACGAACCAAATTAGTAATGCTCGACAACTTAAGGATTCCTGCACCAAGCCAGCCGTCCTGTAGAAGATACAGCTTACCGTTTCCCAGCCTCGATTAAATGCCCCGCGCGCCGTGGTGTCGACGCAGCAGTCGGTCATGCAACCGCAGACCACTGCTCTCTCTACCCGCATGCCCTTCAGGCGCTCATCTAAATCCGTATTGATGAACGCGTCATACGTATTCTTTCTCACAATCTGAACATCAATCCCGAATTCCTCCTTTATCAATTTCTTGATCGGTGCCTGCAATTCCCAATCCTTCGAACCCAGATGAATGCTACCCTCGGGACCCCACTTTCGAACAAGTTGGTTGGGGTAAGGCGGACCGGACAAGTCGGTCTCGTCGTGTCCGTGCTGGGTAAATATGACAGGGAGATTATTCGAGCTGAAGTGGCGAATGAGAGTCTGGATTCGCGGGAGGGCAGCTTCAGTCATAGTGGTGAAGAAGTTTTGCATGTCAATGACAAGAAGAGCTGATTTTACTGAGGAAGCCATGGTTGCTATTTAGAGAGTAGAGTTCCGGGTCATCGAATTATTGATTTCTCCCGAAAGATTTCTCCCGGAGAAAAACCTGGTGTTGCTGACTTGAAACGGAGATATCTCCAACGCCTCAAGGAATGCAATGACAGATATATGACGTAATATCACGATCGGTACCTACGTATAATCAACCAGAATCGACATCCATAACAATCTAGGACATTAGGATACAGCCCAGGGCGAAATCGCATAGGTAACCAAATTCACGTGTTAGTTCTATTGACAGCGACAGGAGTTGTCAATAAGTATGATTATACTAAATCAAGGTGCCTAGGTAGGTAGGAAGTACCGAAACGTTCTCGATAAATGAGATGTTTCAGTTACCCCAATAATGATAAAATGCCCAAGAATACTAACCCTTGTCGAACGATGCTATCGTCATCATCACGAGAGTACGGTAGAGACCAATCATGTCATAATCTGTTGAAAATGAACTTTTTAAGGGGAATTTTATAGTAATATACCTATCTCATCTTGTGATGGAAGAAGTCTAATGGTACCTTTTACTGAGGTAGGCACCTGATTGACAAAATTTCATAAACATTGCTCAAGTCGCAGCGGCAAGCTTTAGGAAAAGAGAGCCAGGCGAAACTTAGTTCCAATATGAACACTCCGCGATAATAAATACACATACAGACTAAATCAACGAAAAGGGGGGTAAAGAAATAATGTGGTGGTCTCCCTAAGCACGTGAGATTACGAATACCTTCCCCTTATGAGCTCACCTCCTTCGTCCAATAATATGTATAGTTCTAGGGATTAGATGGCGTGATATTGTTAGTCGCTCCTCACCTCATGTAGATTTGTATCTATTCCGTATCCCGTTGATGCTCATTTTGTTAGATCGTCCGCCGTCGGACGTCTCCCTTGTATTTGTAATTTTCCCAGCTGTAACCTAATTGACATCACATCATCACCCCCGCTTGGGGGTCGGCTCTTAGTTAAATAGGATTGGCAGACCCGGCAATTGACCTCGTCGCAGTCCATCCAGTGAAGCATTTAGATTCGTTCGTAGATGGCTTTAAGGCGCAAATAATCATCACAACACATTAATCAAAATCCAAAAGTCGCCATGGCAAGTCCGATCAAGAATGTGGTCGTCGTTGGGGTTAGTAAACGTCTTCGCATGCAAATGATATTACCGGGCTTTCGATAACCACCTGCACACAACTATCAACACTTGCTAATTCCTTGACCTAGGCGTCGGGTAATGTTGGAAAGGAAGTTGCCCGGGAACTCGTCAAGGCCGGGTTCAACGTGACCGCGTTCAGCCGCGAAGGCTCGACGGCTACGTTTCCAGAGAACGTGGCGGTGAAGAAGGTCGATTATGAATCCGTCGAGTCGCTAACCTCCTCGCTCGAGGGACAGGATGCGGTGGTATCTACCATCGCGACCGTGGCTATCGGCAGCCAGAAGAGGTTGATTGACGCCGCGGTAGCCGCCAAGGTAAAGAGATATATCTCGTCGGAGTTTGGCGTCAACTCGAGAGTCCTCGGTGACGCTCCGATCGGGAAGATTCTCCGAGGCAAAGTCGAGGTCCTCGACTACGCCATTGAAAAGTCCAAAGAGAACCCGTGGTTCACGTGGAACGGCGTGTCGAGCGGGTTATTTTTCGACTGGGTAGGATCCCTATATATCGCGATCGCGGTACGTTGATGGTACTAACGCGTCATGTGCAGGGACTTCGGGTAGGGTCAGTTGGATTCAACAAAGACACGAAGACCGCGATTATCTACGATTCCGGCAACGAGCCCTTCCAGGCCTCGAACCTCGACTTCATCGGCAGGGCCATTGCCGCTATTCTTTCGCAGCCGGAGAAGACGGCTAACCAGTACCTCTCCATCGCGTCGTTTAACCCCTCCCAGAACCAGATTTTGAAATTCGTAGAAGAGGAAACTGGCGAGAAATGGAAGGTAGAGCACGCTAGCACCGACGAGCAGGAAAAGATCGGGCTGGAGAAGCTAAGCAAGGGAGACTTCAGTGCTTTCTCTAACTTTCTGCGGAAGCACATCTTTACGGATGGGGCCGGCCGCGCGGTCAAGGGAGAAGGCAGCGCGAACGGATTACTCGGCCTTCAAGAAGACGATCTAGCTACTACCTTGAGAGAGTGGTTACGTACCTAGGTAGGTAGGCAGTTGAGCGAGTGACGACAGATTGGCGTGTTGAATATTTGGCATCCTAGTATCAACTACTTTTAACTACTATTAACAATGACCTGGATCTTGGAAAACAGCACCCATCACTCGCACGTATGCATGTTCAACTTTACAAGTAGACAAGATTCTAAATTTTTCGCGCCGAGGTCGGTCCTCTCCGACCGTCAGGCCTAATATTCGGCGGCGCGGGACGCGACTATATACAGGAGCACCCTTAGAATATTTCCGGCATCTCATCTCGCCTCCGCCTAAGTGAGGGTCGGGACCTCCCACGGAGCCCAGTCGGTGACGGTCACGCTGGCGCTGCTCTTCTCGACCTCTGGGGGCGCCTCGGCGCCGGCGAGGAGGAAATGGTTGATGTAGGCGGTGAGCTCGGGCTGCTGCGAGGAGGGGAACATGCAGTGGCTGTGGCCTCCGACGAGGGAGAAACCCATGTTAGTCGGTACGCCGAGACCCTTGTAGACGAGGCGGCCGGCTTTCATGCAGCCCGTCGTGCTGACGGGGCCCAGCCAGTCGATGTCGTTCTCAAACGCTAGCAGGCCGCGGGGTGCGACGAGGGCGGCCAACATGTGGTGGTCCTCGGGCATGGTGTTTGTCTTGGACGTGTAGGCGTCGAGGTTCTTGCTGAACCACACATTCTCTCCGACGATCTCGCCCGCGGTCTGGATGTTCTTGCCCTTGTTGTGCTCGTCGTCCGAGATACGCCAGCAGGCGGCGCCGCCAGAACCGGACTCCTGGGGGAGGGTGAGGGCAATGCGGTTGGCGAGGGCGCCGACGACGAAGGCACCCTTGCCGTTTCGGGAGCAGCCCGTGGTTCCGAGTCTCGCGGGGTCGATGCCGGACGCTTCCGCGCCGACCTGCTCGAGGCCATCAATGACGCGGTCGACACCCCAGGCCCACGCGGTCAGGGCACCGGCGGAGTGGGTGTTGCCGAAGAGGGTGTAGAAAGCCCCCTGACCTCGGGAGCTTCCGGACGCCTGCGAGGCGAACTGGTCGTTGTTAAAGCCGACCGTTCCCACGGTGGCCGGGATGGGGAGCGAGGAGCCTCCGATGGTGATGATGGCGGGCCCCGGGCTAGTGCTAGGCTTACGGATGGAGGCGTTGATCGTGACGGACTTAGAGCCCACGGTAACCTTGACCGACAGAGTGGTACCCGACAGAGTGGCATCGACGCTGTCTGGGGGCGGTGGGTAGTCGCCTAACTCGTACTGCTGGAGGAGCTTGCTGATCTCCTGCTGGCGGCAGTCCCAGTCGGCCTTGGTTGCGACTTTCTTCCCGTCCTCGAAGGTGAACGGGTCCGGGAGCTTGGCGAAGTCTACGGCCGGGTAGGTGTCTTGGAGCGTGCAGTCGGTGGTGTTCTGGCGCTGGCGAAGATCCGCATACGGTAGGGCGTAGGCCGCAGAGCCCAGCACGAGGGCGGAGGTCAGATGGCGCATCATTTTCGGGCGCGGTGAGATCAGCGACGGAAGGGGAAGGTGTTTTTGGGAAGTGGTACGGTTCGTCGGTTGGCAGAGGGGGCTTGAGGCGTGGGAGCAGCTCTTATACGTCTCCTGAATAGGGCGAGGCGGTTGTGTACAGGCTACGCTCGTCCTCCCCTGCAACCTCATCAATTTCCGGCTGATCTCGCTCGCTTGGACTAGGGTCGTTCGACCTCCCCTTATTTCTAGATTGATAGGGGAGTCCGCTATCGAATCCAGCTTCAGACAGCTCCGGCCGAATCTCGACGTCGAGGTCACACCCCACCCTAAGTTGCATAATTAAAGACCTTGCGAGCGCCTGATCCAGCCGGTTCGACAGCGGTGGCGCGCTTAAGCTTCCCTGTCGCGCATGGCAGGACTCGACCCCTTGCGCCGAGATTTACTTGGCACTTTGGGGATTATGGTGGAAGATTTTCTGGGCATTGGACCTTCGCGACTCCAAGTGTGGGGATATTGGCTAATACGGCTAATGTCGTCGACATTGGTGTGAAAGCTATTTACGGCAACATTAATTTGACCACCATCAATGTGCCAAAAGGAAAACCCCTGTCACGTATAAAGGAGGGTTTTTGCATCTTCATATATCTGCGGACGGGAGTATGGTGATAAGTACCTATTGTTGGCCAATATTTCCACCGAGGTTATTAGCTAATGATTGAGGATCTTAGGGCAGAACCACGCGAATGCTCGGCCGACGGTCAAGCCCAAGGAGACTAGCGAGGTATGTCTTGTTTTCAAACAACGTACGTCTTTTAGGTGTACACACCTACCCCTAGGCCCCTAGGTATAGTACGTAACTATATACTTGATAGCGACCTAATCCTCTCAAATTTATTTTCGTACATACCTAGGAATACGTCGCTTCTCGCCTCCCATCATTTTGGGAGTTTGACGGTTTAGTTCCTCGCATAGCCGGCGATGGTACGGGCTAAAGCGTAGAACGAACCGGGTCGTCAGTTTCTTCGCGCGTGGCTAATCATCGCATTCCTATTCTTAGACGTCGCAGAACCGAAGGTCCGAACTTGATAGCCCTGCAAATAGCCGGACGGTCAGGGTAGCATCGAGCCTTCACGTAGACGCTCCGAATTACCGCACGTGGTTAAAGCGCCTTGCAACCTCGTCCTCGAAGCATGTTAGGTTCGTCTGGAGATCTGGCCCTGCCTCCAAGAGAGCTCAAATACCTCAAGCAATTGCGGCGAACTTCCCCAGGTTCTTGGCGGCCGGTAGTTGCTACGGTAGGACTACTCGAATTTCCAAATTCGCGACGAGGCCTGGGTGACGCCGTACCGGACAACAATTTCGTCGAGGTAGCTTTATCGTCGCCGATACATATCTCAAGATGGCGATGACCTTTCTCGTAGCAGCCCTAACGCTGCTAGCAGGCCCGGCGGCCGGCCACGGCGGTCTCGCGAACTACACCGTCGGTGATACTTGGTATAGGGGGTAAGTGCTGAGGTGATCGGGTACTTGACGAATCATGGTGCTCAGTTCCTGGATATGAGGGCATTACAGATGTGTCGCTAAGACGAAACGTGCAGGTATAGTCCAGACGAACCCTTGGCGGAACAAGAAGGCCAGCCTTGGATGGTCCAGAGAGTGTGGGCGAGCATCGACCCGATCTTCTTCGTGAACGATACCGGTCTTGCGTGCAACACCCCTGGCACGGCGCCGCCGTCTTATATCCCCATCGCGGCCGGAGACGACATAACCGCCGTATACTGGTACTGGCTGCATCCTTACGGCCCGATGTCGGTATGGCTCGCTGACTGCGGCGCCTCCTGCGAGGACGTGAACGTGAACGACTTAAACTTCTTCAAGATATGGGAGGCGGGATTGCTCGAGGGTAATGTCATAGAAGGCATCTGGTATCAGAAGAAGTTCCAGAACTGGGACGGCTCCCCTGACCTGTGGCCCGTCACGATTCCAGCTACTATCAAACCGGGGCTATACGTAATTAGGCACGAGATCCTGAGCATTCACATCGAGAATAGGCCGCAGTTCTATCCCGAGTGCGCTCATCTGAACATCACCGGCACCGGGACGGCGTTGCCGTCGCCAGAGTACTTCGCCAAGTTTCCCGGGTCTTACAAGGAGGATGGTGAGCAGCCGCATACTCCAATATCCGATTGATCTGGTGCGAGGCGCTAATAAATCTAGACCCATCGATTCGAATCGATATCTACTCGGATGCGGTGAAGACGGCGACGGTAAGATTCCCAAGTTCGGTTTTACAGTCCTGTCCTAACATGTCGCAGAATTACACCATCCCGGGTCCGCCGGTATGGGATGGGTGAGTCTATCAACATGCCTACGCATCAATAGTCTGTGTGCTAATGCCGCGTAGGCTGGTAAACAAATATTGTCAGGAGTGTTAGTGAACTTATCCGGCGCCTTCGTGTACTGTTTGGATAGGCAACTAGCCTACGGACACTCTGGATAATTTCAATGAAATACGGTCACCTACGTACTCATGTTTGCCAAGATAGTGCTCGAAAAATATTAAGCACCGCGCCGTCATGTTAGTGCCTTCACGGGGTTATTGCGCAAGAGTGGTAGCAGGACCTAAGCTAGTATTATTATGACCACCCACATTTCAGGCTGTACCGTCACCCCTATGCTCTTTTCGTCGAGAGGGCATGCCGAACGGACTGGTAAGAGGACTCATGAGACCCGTAGAGGGGCCTCGGTCGTCGGTTCTGTATGTATCCCGGAGGCCGATCCACCGAGGCGTTGTAACAGAATCGTGGGCATCGGACGCGTCCATCTTACGGAGGGGAAGGTCGTTTGAAACGCTCTGCTGCGCCTTCATTCCCGTGTTGCCGGTGTTACGCCGCTTCCCGGGACTCTCGCCACCTCCTATCCAAGCGCCGTCGCTCACAAGCTCCGTGAATTTTCCTTTCCTTTTGAACAGTTCGTCGTAAGAACCAGTTTCTACCACGCTTCCCTGGTCAATGACGACAACGCGGTCGGCCGTGCGCATCATTTCCTTGCTATGCGTAATTACGATAACGCACAGATCTTGATTTCTCGCGCGGTGGGTAGCAAAAATATCGAAGCTGCCCCTGTCGTCGTCGACGTGAGTTCTGGCCGATCGCATCAGAGCCTCTATTGTGCGCCTCACTGCCTCGGCGCTCTCCGAATCCAGCGCGCTCGTAGGTTCATCCAGCAGCAGGATCTTCGGCCTCCGAGCTAAGGCCCTAGCGATGCAGACCCTCTGCGCTTGTCCGCCGCTGAGTGCTTGTCCGCCGTCGCCGACTACCGTGTCGAAGCCGGCCGCCAAGCTACGGACGAAATCGTAGATTCCCGCCTCCCTAGCTGCCCTTTGGAGATTTTTTAGGCTACGAAGCGGCGACTCTTCCGGTAACCCGTAGAAGATATTTGCCGCAAGACTGGCGGGGAACAGAAACGGCGTCTGCGGAACGTAGCCGATGTGGCTTCGTAGGCTGGATACGTTGATCTTAGAGGCATCGGTAAAGCCGAAGCTCAGCTGTCCCTGCTCGTCGGAGATCCGTCTTCCACCTGAGGTGTCCGGCACGTACAGACCAAGGATTAAAGACGCTATAGTGCTCTTGCCGCATCCCGAAGGACCGACGATAGCGGTCGACGTCCCGGTGTCGAAGCTTAGGGAGACGTTCCGGAGGACGGCGCGGTTCATCGACGGATAAGTAAAGGACAAGCCGTCCATCAGGATAGGGAAAGGGCGTATAAGCTTAGACATGCCTGTCGACTCGTGAGACATTTCCGCAGGCAGGTTCGCGTAGTAAAGGAGCTGGGCGGCGGTGGCTTGCGAAGCGGTGATGCTGGGTACAGAGTTCAGGATGTTGGAGGCGGTCGTGAGGCCGAGTACGAGCAGGTTTACGACTTGCAATATGTCGTGCACTGTGATGGCGCTGTTGACGGTTAGGAGTACGGTTGCGTACCAGAAGATCAAGGCCATCATAAACCAGAATATGGACTGCCAGGAAGCGTAAAGCGTAGACGTCCAGGTGGCCTTCCTGACGCCGAGGTCAAACGCCGCATTTATAGATGCGTCGTGCTTCGCGGAGAAGAAGCTTTCCAGAGTCAGGGCTCGGACGACACGTACGTTAAGGAAGGTCTCTGCCGATACCGCGATCACTTTTTCTAAGGCCCTGTTGCACCGGGTTTCCCACTTCGTTGACACGAAGGCGTAACCTTTCGTGGCCGCTACGAGAAGCGGGGCGCTGCCGAGGCTCACTAGAGTCAGCCGCCACGATATGACTGCGGCCCAGACGATAGTGGTAGATATCATGATGACGACGACCAGCAGCTGAGGCGCGAATCGCCCGAGGAGGTTTCTCATCTCTTCCGCGTTTCGGTCCATGCATTCGCTAATGCGGATGGTCGAGTGCGCCGGCTTCTCAAACCACGCCTTCGGCTGCCTCAGGACCCTACTAAACGCCCGCATCCGCAAGGCGTTCACCCAGGCCTGGGCCGCCCACTGCATCAAATACTGGCTGGCGAGGGTCGACAGAGCCCCGGCGACGGCGATCAGGAGCAGGTACAGGGCCCACCTCTGGCCGGAGGCCATCTTGTCCCCGCTGGAATATAGCACCGCCAGGAGGTTCGCGAACACGACGGAGAAGGCCGGGACCGAGCCCGCGACGGCGATGCACGCGACGAATCCGATAACGAGAAAGGCCCTCTCCTTCGTCGTCAGGCACGGCCAGACCGTCTTATATATCGCCAGCAGCGGTAAGGCTTTCGCCTGCTCCTCTTCTCGCTTCGCCTCGTCGATATCCTTATGGTCGATGCGCGACTTGGAAGTACCCGCGGATGTGTCGCTTGCCTGTAAGCCCGATCGTCGATCCTCAAAGACGCGGCCGCGACGGCTATCTCGCACCGTATCCCCCAGCTCTCGGAGGTGTAAGAGCATGCTCCGGGACGCCGACTCGCCCGCCCGAGGCACGTCGGGGTCGGCATCTTCGTTCCAGGTACTCTGGTTTAAAAATTGCCGAGCCTGCACAGCGGGGGCACCGACGCCTAGCGCGGTGCTCTGCGCCAGGTAGCGATGGTCGTCCTGCGTCTCGAATGGCCAGAAGTAATTGGATGAAGCACGACCTCCTTCCGAAGCGCTCTTCTGGTAAGAGAGATCGGCTGGGGGACTCGTTGCTCTTTCTGGCACTTGTCCGTTATACGCTCCGTTGTCTTCGGTTGCCGAAGCTGCCAGAGTAGCGAAGATGCCGTCGCCTTGCTCCTGCAGAGCTTTGCGGAAGCCCTTCTGTATGACGCGCGCGTCATCCATGACATATACGAAGTCGTAGTCCTTAATCTGCGCGACTTCGTGGGTGACTATGATGGTCGTCTTGCCCCGTCGCCACTGTCTTACGGCATCCATGACGAGGCTTCGGCTGACCGGGTCGAGTCCGCTGGTAACTTCGTCAAGGATGAGCACCGGGGGGTCACGTATCTTCGCCCGCGCGAGAGCTAGCCGCTGCTTCTGTCCGCCGCTCAGGTCGTGGCCGCCGGCGCCCACGTATGTATCTAGGCCGTTCGGGAGGGTGGCTATAGTCGATTGGAGCAGGGCCGTCTCGCAAGCGGCCTTGACCTCCGCTCTGGATACTCGCGTAGGGTCTCCGCGCCCCATAGCTACGTTTGCCGAGAAGGTATCGTTGAAGAGCACGCTCGCCTGTTGAATCAGAGTGACATTATTCCGCACCCATTCTGTGTCAAGGGTCTTGAGCCCGTAGCTGTCGATGAAGATGTCGCCGGCGAAGGGTTCGTAGAATTTCAGTAGCAGATTGCCCAGCGTGCTCTTCCCGGAGCCGCTTCGTCCGACGACGAAATACAGCCGGCCCGGCTCAAAGGTAAATGAGACTTTGTTTAATACGACCTTCGACAAATTTGACGGATATGCGAAGCTGACCTTGAGTGGATATGTTAGTTCAAGACGCGCCGAGATTGGAAAGTAAAATAAAAAAACAAAAGTAAAGAAAATGATGAAAGGGGAAACAGCAGGACTCACATCGCTAATTCTGATGTCGCCGAAACACTCTTTTGGGCTGTGGTTACCGATCATCCTGCGCATCTTTCGTCCGCTTTCCGCATCGTAGACTACGAAATATAGCGCTTGGCCGGCAGACATGCCCCTCGCCAGAGCCATGTACATGGGCACGAAAGCCTCAAAGGCCTGCATCGCGCCGAGAGCGGCGTAGAAGGTCGTCACGACATCCCCTGGGCTCAGCCCTTCGTTGACTAGGACGACGCCGTAGTAGAATCCGATCACGAACATCCCGTCTAACCAGAGCTTGACGTAGCCGGACTGGCACGCGGCCGCCCTGGCCTGGATCAGGTATTTATTCATGGAGCGCCGTATGGCCCGGAGATACTGCCACGTCTCGTGGTCGTTGGCGTTGAAAGCTTTCACGAGATCTATAGCGGCGATGGCGGATATCGCGTATTTCGACGCTCGGCTAAGCTCCTGCTTCTGCGCTTGCACAGCCGACTTGAGCGTGCGACTTAGCACCGCGAGCACTGCGACGGAGATCGGTACGGTTGCGAGGAGCACGAGCGTGAGCTTCCACGAACCGCGGAAAGCCACGACGAGGCTCGCGACGGAGGTCGCTATCTCCGCGGCCAAAGAACCGAGCGCTATCGACGACGCCATCTGGAGCTCCCGAGTCTGCCTGCTAGATCGTTAGCATCACTCCGGAACCGAAAGCTACTCGGATTAGGGGTTTGTACGTTTGCATTCTCACGAGTAGGCTGGCCACCCCGTCTTCCCGGCAATCGAACCATTCCATGTCCTTTCTCAGCATGGCGCCGAATATCCTTTGGCGGATGTTCTTCGCCTGCAGCTCGCTGAACAGAATCCACGAGAACATGAAGGCGAAGTTGACGATCCATCCGGCCCCGCCAACGACTGTCAGAACGACGCACCACGACGAGACCTGGGTGAGGGTGTCCGGCCCGCTCAGCTGTCCGGACCCGAATTCGGAGATGACCCCGAATATCTTTCCGATGAGGATGGCTTGAGACGTCCTTAAGGCGCCCGAAAATAAGGCCGATATCAGACCGGCAGTCAACGGCCCGCAGTGCCGCCATGTAGTAAATGTGAATAGGTGTTTGAGTGATGGAGAATGTTGTTCTCGCTGTTGCCACCGTTTCCTTGGAGAATCCATCTGCGTCGGTAGTCATGGACGAGGCGCGGATGCTTCGCCGATCTTAGTGTCGCAAAATTCGGTGATTTTAAGGTGTAAAGCCCGGAGGCGTAAAATTCGTAAAATTATTCAAGGTCACCCAATTATGCAATTGACCTTTCGATGCTCCAGCAGGGCGGTTGGCATGGCTAATACGATAGAACCAGAGTTTTGTTTACGCTTGTTACTCCGGAATTCTTAATAAGGACCGTCTAATTTTGGAATATTACTGTCGCGCGAACAATCCTACCTTCATTTTGTTATTTTGTCCACATACGTTTTTAGCTGATTCCCCGGCGGCAAATGCCTTTGTCTAACTGTGGCCTTTGTTGTCGAGAAGAGTAAAGGGGCGACAATGCGCAATGGAAGAGAATCGTTTAGCTCTAACTGGAAAAAATTGAATCGATTTTCTGTGTGCGATCAAGACAACCGTCGAATCTTCGAACGTGCACTTACGTCTAGGTCCCTACTAACAAATCCATTCGGTACTTCTGGACGTCAATCGTTCATTCATGCTTCTATCCATTAAAGACGTTTCTATGGTTTAGGCATTTGGGCCGAGCTGGTGCGATTCCGCATGCCCTTAATACTCGAGCTACGCGCCTAGCTTGCAAATCTGCAGAGCTGCGATCGCGCGAGTTAGTCTCTATGGCCAATTGCGCGTAGAAACCCTCGATCATCGACACGCGATCTCTCCTTGCGTAGATGCGGATTGCGCTGAAAGGGAACGAACTCGTAGGTGTTCCGTCATGTAGGTGTCCAGCCAAGACGAAGGCCTTACGACTTGCCGATACCTTTAGCCTTCTCATAGATCCAGTCGTTCAGGCCAGCTTTGTTTCTCGCTATCTCGATAGCGTAGAATTGCATCCTAGGAACTAAAATAGAAGACGTATTAGAGACACGAGACTCTTAGTTATTCGGGATTTGGGGGAATGGCGGAGATTTAGTACCGAATATGGTTGTGTCCTGTTCGTATTCGACGTTAGGGCTCGTCCGCAGCATGGTGCCGAAGTTGTAGTCGTCGACTCTCTTGTCGTAGGCCATCATGAACTTGCGCCACCGTTCCTTGCCCGACTTGCTCTTCATCTCGTCCTCGTTTATGGTTGCCGCGGGGTCGAACTCGGGGAACTCGGACTTGAGGTGCTCATAGATCTCGTCGTCCATCTTCGTCAGCCGCAACGACGATCCCTTAACCTTCTCTAGGATAGCCCAATACGTCTCCAGATGCTGTACCGCTGCGACGATTATTCCAAGTTAGGATGCTGTACAGCGGCTGGCCAGGTACCCTTGTGCGATACTAACCTTTAACAGCGAACTGCTTCTCGATCTGTTACGAGCCGGTTCGTGTCAGTTACGGAACAAGTTGAAGCCTGAGTCTATAGACTTAGAATCTTACATCTTCAAGATTGTCTGCGTTTTCCGCGTCGAAGTTCTTCGGAACTGGGCCAGATATCTTCGTAAATTCGTCCATCGTATGCGAGATAACAATAGATCTTGAAGCAATTATTTAATTAATATGAGTTTTGGTTAAAGGTCGGGAAAGGCTTTTGATCGATTTGAAGATGGATCTTGATAAGTGGGAATGGGAATATCGAAAATCGTCATCAGGAGGGGCCGAGATGAGAAAAGGTTCGGATGGCGGGGTGCTTGTACACCATATAGGTATACTCTCCTTAGAAGAATGATTCGTATTTATCTAATTAAATATCTATTTATCCCGAAATAGGCTCTCTTAGCTCAATGTAACTTAACTCCGAGATTTTCCCATGCCAAGACCACCTCCGACTAGATCATCTCGGCGATCACCTCAGCCTTAACGGCTACATCTCCCTCTCATATCTCAACCCTAATCGCCAACTACCTACATTGACATGTCAACTCGCTTTTTCGCCAATTCTCCTTCCCCTTAGCCAGAAGGACCATCCATAATTACTGCGCCGTTCATCTCTCGGAGACAGGCAACACCTAGTCTAATATAACTCATAAAAAACAAAATACCAACCACCGGAGCGGGTAAGGCTCATCTTTAAAATGCCAACCAGGCTCTGGCGTCTGACACCCCGTGATACCAAGCCTCCCGCAACCTCTCGCCTCTAAAAAGAAATATCCGTAGCGTCAGCGAATTCACCCAATTTGAGGCTTTTTGCTCATCTACTTGAGATTTCATTTGCGCTCAAGTGCCTACTCATAATTAGCAATCGAGCTCAAATATGCAGACGATTCTCGGAGAACTTACGATAGCAAACGAACTTCTTGCTCGGATATTCTCACCAAACAAAACCAGGACCACCGGGACGACCGTTAATACGGTGGCAATCCCTCCCAGCAACCCGCCCATCGCCCCTTCGCCTAGGTTCCGGATCAGCGGTCCCGTGACAAGGGGAAACACGCCGCCGAGCACGTTACGGCAGAACGATTGCGCCGCCAGCGCTGAGGACGCGTACGCCTGGTAGATGTCCGCGAGGTAATTAAAAGTAGCTAGGTAAATGTAGTATATCCCCATCGTGGCGAGGAATATCGCAAAGGTGGGAACCATCCAGTGGATCGACGGCCGAGCCCCGAGACCGAATAGGTAGAGGCCCACCGGGAGCAGTATCGAGGTGAAGCAGGTAAAATACAGCCGCGATTCCGGAGACTCAGCGGGGAACTTCCGCCGCGCGAAGGCCCAAAATCCGCTCACTTCGGCGTTACCCTCCGCGCTCTCCAAGCCGTCTTGCGAACTGTCCGTGTCGGAACCGCCCGATCCGGACTGCCACTTCGGGTGCTTGAGGATACTTTCTTGATATATGCCGACGATGGTCGAAATTATGGAGCCTACGATCATCGCCGTGAACACGTAGCCGGACTGCTCGTCGTCGAATCCGTATTGCCGCTGAAACACGAGCGGTATGGACCCAAACGTCAGATACAGGATAGCCCATGCGAAAGACACCCATAGCGAGAAGAAGAAGACGATCGGTTCGGTGAAGAGGAGCATGAACGGCCTAACTAGAGAGACGGTAACCATCGTAGCGATAGACGCCCGCTGCTCGTCCTCCTTCACGATCCATCTGATCCTCTGCAGGCGCGCGTCCTCTCTCGGCCTAGACCGACCTTCCAACCCGAGGGCCGGCCCATTTTTTTCCACATCCGGCATCCCTACGCCTGACACCGTCGCGGGCTTCGGTACGACGTCCGAATCTTTGTTTAATTCAGGAACCAAGACCCCAAAGACGCCCTTCTCTTCTAATTTCGCGTACCACGTGTTCAAGGCCTTCGCTTTCCTGGAAAGGAGTACCGAGCCCCGGCTCTCTTTGAAGAAGGATGCCACGGCGACCATCAAGACGAAGTCGATGATAGCTGCGGGACACGTAGGTCAGTAGAGGCTCGCCCAACACTCGGTTTGGACGTGGCGCGGCCGCGCTCGGCGGCTAGCTGAGGACCGGACTTACCCTGATGCCAAAATATCCACTTCCATTTATCCCCTTCTCCTCCCCACCTCTGGACCATGACGCCCGCTACGAGGGGCCCGAGACCGGTGCCGAACAGAACGGAGCCGCTGAATATCGCCATTGGCGTGTTCCGGTCTTCCTTCTCGTACATGTCGGCGATGACGCCACCCACCATGGTGCTGAACACGCTTCCGCCAACGCCCTTGAGAAACCGGGAGATCAGCATGCCTGCCAGGTTGGTGACCAACGCGCACGCCACTTGGAAAGCCACGAAAAGGATCCCGGCGGCGGCGAAGATAGGATAGCGCCCATTGATCTCCGAAAACGGGGCTAGGGCCATGGGAGCTATGGCGAAGCCCAAGCAGAAGGTCGTCACGCCGACCAGCGCGGCCTCGTGGGTCGTCCTTAGATCGGCGGCGATCAGATACGCGGGCTCGGAATATGTGCCGGCCGCGTACGCGGCGAAGGAGGTCGCGGTACAAGATATGGCCACCATGGCCCCTTTGCGCGCCTTAGACCAGGTCAGCGGATCCGCATAGCGCGATAAGTCTGGACAGGCCGGAAGGTTCTCGCGGTCCAATAGCGGATTTCCCAGGTCCGGACCGGCCACCGGGGTGTCGAACGTCAGGTACAGGTAGGTGATGGGGGTGCTGCTGTCAGGTGACGGCACGTCGTCGACGGTCTCTTCGTAGGCTATCGTTCTTTGTATTTTAGTACCCGATTCTTCTTGCAAAACATCAGGCGAAGACGGCCCGCACTTCTCAGATATCTCATCCTCGAGTGCTGGACGATCTTTCCGCTCGTCTTTGGCGGAGGCCGGCCAGCCGGTGTCATTTTTCGCCTCCATCACACCGTAAGTAGGTGTTTCGGCAGGAAGGCAGCTATGTATATAATCTAGGATGTTATGTACGTAGCTAAGAATCGTCTATAGGAACGTAGCTTTTCCTTATGTCCAGTCATACACGACGCTTGGAACCGACCACCAGCTTGGCGGGTCAGAATCGGCCAGTCAGTGGTATAAGACGAAGCTTCATCAGTTATACGCAGCTAAAGAACGGCACAAATCTGTCCAACGACAGAAGAGGCGAATCTAAGCGGTGTAGGTAGGAGGATGGTACATTACTAACGACCACGACCGCAGATTTGATGTCCGAGGATCTAGAGACATTTACCTAGGTATGTCAAGCACGTGTGTGATAGATAATCATTGCCTATTACATAGCGAAAGAGCCTCGAGTTGACGAGGTCCAACGTTGGATTGTTATTCCCAATGGCTCGAAGGATCCAGGCGCTCGGGAAGCGGGAAAGGTCTCAACTGAGAAGTGGATATTCCCGATTATTCCCGCTTATTCCCGCAACGGATTGGTGGATATAGCGTCGTATTCCTCCTCAACAACGCCTCCTAATGGTGGACGAATTTTTCTAGGTAACCAACAAACTGATATATCAAGTAGAACAATGAGTAAGTGTCTGCGAATGCCACTATCGCATACGGCATTATCTCCGACGTCGGGGCAGAGGAGGTTGCACGTATAATCCGGAAACGAGAGTCGCGATAGCATCGGTGACGGTCGAGAGAGTGCCGCATCTCCTTAACTGCCGTAAGTCTTCGGTCAGGGATTAGAAGGTAGAACAGTGCCGTTCGCTTGAGCCGGTGGACCAGGCCCAGAATAGAGCGTAAACGATACATGATTTTGCACCTATATTACCTGTGCCAGTTGTACTAACCATGCGCTAATCAATAAATAGTCCTTCAGCCGACCAGAACTAAGCTTTTATGGGCATTCTACACTCTAGCCCCTGGCTGAAGACTTACGCGAGTTAAAAATGTAATTCCCAACGTGTTTTACCTTGACATCACACCGGAATGTCACTCGTTTCTCAGCAGCTGATTGTGTCATCTAAACACAACCCACATTCCTTAAATACCGTCTCTATACAGCTTCGCTTGAAGCAGGGAACTTTATCCGTAGGTGACGACATTTTTAGATCGTCAATCCTCCTAGACATCGACCGAGACATCATTCCGGCAACTATAAGCCGATTGATCTCGTATAACTTCGTTTCTGTCAAGTATAGATAAACAATACGGCAAGTATAAAGCTCTTGGTGACACATTGATTATGATCAGCTAGGAATCCATGATAGCTGGGTTGGTACCTAGGTAGGTATAAATTAGATGCATAGCTAAGAGATCTACGGTCAAGTTTAAGCTGCCAGTGAATCTGTCAGTGACTTCTTGGTTTGGCTACAAGTAACTAGAGTTGGCCAGTTAAAGGAAGTGTACAATATGTATCAGATTGGTTGCTTCGCGAGTTAAACGCAAACTTCCATTCTTTAAGGGGCTTATACCCCTTAGTTATCCCTTTAACTAGCAGTTATTGCCAGTCAGGATTTGGAAGCAGGCTACAAGTCTACACAGCCTGGTATACTAAACGTATATAGAATAGGTACCTATCAAGAAAGCTAAAAGTAAAATTAGTACGTGATTTACGCCCATATTGCCTTGTGTCGATTTATAAGCCAGGTACCTACCTATGTTCCGATTTACGAGTTATGCTCCCGGTTGACAGGACTGGGCTGTTGTAAGTGTTTAGGAGTATTTTGTCTCTGATCCCTGGCTGACGATGACTGCCATATAAAGGGAGGAAAGGTGAGATGACATCAATAAGTGGACCTCGTGATATTTTAGATACGTGTCTTGCAATACAAATAGGAGTACGATCTAATACAATCTAGCCTCATGGATGTTAACTGTTGAGGCCGTCGACCTTACCGTGATATCAACAGTTCGAATACACCCATGGGCGTTGCTGGCCTTTAACAACACGCTTTAGAGAGGACCGGAACACTGGTGTCGATGGCGAGGCAAGTAGGTATATATCAAGTCATAATTAAAGATTACTGTAGAAGTTATATTCTATGATAATAAGATCCGTCGTACATCTTTGGGTAATGTGATGCTTACTAGTGTCGTACATTGATTTTGAATAAGCACCTGAGTTCCTAGGTACCCAGGTAATTACGTAAACGTTACGATTATTATAAGGCCTCATCGCGACCATGTCTCTGATAGGTACCTATTAATTCTCTGGCACGTTGTGGTGATCATTGATAATGTATACAGCAGCTAGGTCATTTGTACGTTTGTCTTATGTCCAAGATCCTTCTCCCTTCTACGTGTTTCAGCACGCGGCTACCATTTTATAGCTGAGTTAGATTGCCGAAGAAAGTCATGATGCAGTATACTCTTTTCTCCATCATGACTCAAACCGTTTGTTGTCACGGTGAGCCGACTTCTGTATATACCTACCTAGAGAAGTCGGCACGTTGCTCTCCATCAGCGCTCAGAATGTAATCGAAACAGAAGCCAACAAGCAACTGTGTATCTATGCTTAAGAAACATCTTGCGAGCTCCTTAGGGGCCTTCGCACACTTCGTTATCATGCCCTAGGACTGTTTCCGAGAATGAAAGCAACGGGAGGAAAAGCCATTGTCTATACTTAGTGTAAAACCGAAACCATCAATGAAAACAACAAAGCATGGCTTAGATCTTGTGCCAACATATGATCAAGCTTTCAAAGAACAAAGGAAGATTGATTGAATTCGGTCTAAGACGGCGTCTAGGTCTTAAGCTTGAGGAATGTGCGCCCGGCTCAGACGCTCATTTCTATTATCTAGTCAAAAGCTTAGCACATTCCTCATACTCACTGTCGTGATCGCTAGGAACAATTTTTTCAAACTACTATTATCGGATCTCGAGCCGCTTTTCTACCCCTTGCCCCATTTATCCACCGTTCGTTCACTCGAGGCTCCGCTACTTGAAACAATATGAGCACGTCGGTAGCGAAAAGGGTCAAGAAGACCGCCAACTCCCAGAACAAGCTTCCCTCGATATTGAAGCGACCCATCGCCTCGCAGGAGGACTACGAGATGCGCGTGGGTCCCGGCTGGACGCTGAGCGACGGGACCTACGAACACGTACCGCAGTCGAAGAGACGCAAGAGAGACGTTCCATATCCGGCTTACGTCGATCTAGCGCACGAGTCCATGTTCGGACTCTCCTCCCTCCAGCTTGGTTATAATGCTCCGATTACTCATTGCGCTATGGATATCGCGACCGAGCACGTTTGGAAATGTCTCCCGAAGGGGGTTCAGGAGCTGATCGAGGTCGCTCCTCCTAACGGCCCCGAGCTCTGGAGTAACAACGCAAGAGACGTCGATGAGATGTACCAGAGGATGCGCGAGGACTCCGCCTTAAAGAATCAGAGCACGTACAAATACTATTCTCTCCTTAAGAGGAAACCCTGGACGGTCTGGCCGATCTGGGTCGAGGACGACTACGGGTTTGACTGGGTGGTGATCGTCTGGTACTCCGAAGAGTCCCAGGCCTCTAGCGGCGTATATGACAGAGTTCGGACGTACGAGGTGTACGACCCGCGCCGCGACATGGGACATCCGGAGGGTGCTCAGGACGGCAAGAAACGCGATATCATTCAAGATCGTTCGGAACGAATCAGGGATCGATGGCTAGATTTTCTCTCTAAGGGAGGTTTCGACACGAGAAATGTACGCAGGTCTAGCGCAAGAATGTGTCCTATGGTATCCGACGACTACACTTCGGGCGAGCGCTGCTTCGCGGCAGTTAAAGATATTCTTGGCAGCATAAGAGATAATTATATCGACGGCGTAACCTTTAACCCTGATCGCGATAGCCTCCCGTCGCTCTCGCGATGGGTCAACCCGTACGGGTCTCGTATAGAGATGGCCGGCATCAACGCATGGGTATTGATGTCGACGTTCAGCTACAATGCCCGTATCGTGGTTGAATGTATCGAGCCCGAGATGAAGACGGATATCGTGGTCGACGGCCAGCGACGAACGATTAAGCCATTCGAGCTCGCCGGTCCTCGCTACCCGCCGCTCATAGCTGCCGCAGACTACTGCGTTGACCCACAGGTTGAGAGCCCAAGTAAGTGAGCCAGACACTAGGGAAAATCCTGATGACGGTACTTAGGCCCCCCTGGGTCCCAGGAAGTGAGACGCAATCTGTCGGACTCTCTAAAGGGATCAGTGATGACCAATTTGGAACTTCGGGGTGAGGGAGGCGAAGACTGTAAATAGACTTCTGTTAAATAACATCGTGGACAGTACGTTTATCACATCTGCTCAATTTCAAGGCCCGGTGAATGTCAGTGATGCCTCGACATAAATGAAGCGTTTTGTATGAGTATGTTTACTTGTTATTTCTGGAATTTGATGAATGTAAATGAAAGATGAAATCATTCACTCTCAATCCTCGATGTCGAGGGCTTGAAATGCGAGATTTGGTGTGGAAGTGACGGATACCTACTACTGTAGGTACATAGGTACTTCTGAAAGTGCGCTAAGATAAAGGTTAAACCCCCTGATAATACCCCGGTCGGTGGGACGCGACGCGGGCTAGACGCGGGACACATCCTGGTAAAGGCAGACAGGGTACACGGGAACTCAGGCCAAGTCGCGTGTCGTTAATTGAATTAATTGAATAGACTTCTGATAGACTTTCAACAAACTTCCAACAGAAACCGCATCTCGATACTTCCCCCTTTCATGATTTCTACCTACTTGGAGACAATCTTTCAATATTCGCTGATTCGCCAATCTCTATACGTAGATCATAGTGTAATCCGATTCAATTATTCCAAGTCCTTCCTCGCTTGCGTTCGCTCTACTTCTAGGTAGATGAGCAGAAACGGAGAAAATGGCGGATTCTCGAACACCGGCCAAGAAGACGCCCTCCTTGTCTAGAAAACCCAGCTCCGTCTCGTCTTCGGCCAATTCGAAGGGCCAGCAGACCATCCTCGGCTTCTTCTCCAAAGCCTCTCCGGCTCTAACCTCTTCGCCCACGCCTTCGTGTTTGAAGGAGACCACCAAGTCCAACAGGAAGCCTTCTACTATCACCCCCGTTCCTAGCAGCGATGCCTTAGAACCCTCCAGCTCTCAAGAGAACCACGGCTCTGCCGCTACGGTAAAGGTATATGACAATTATCCGCCGTACTCGTCCATTACTCCCGCTAAAGCAGCAACTGAGCAGCCCGAATCCGCCCGCGCCGTCGTGGACAGTAGTCCAATCCGCAAGGTAAAGGAGGCCCTCGTAATCTGGACAATGCCTGCTCCTGGATCCTTTGCTGATAATTCCTTTCGTAGTCTAAAAAGTCGGTCAACTACGCCGAGTCTTCCGACGACGAGGAAGACGTCTTCGTATCCTTGAAAGCTTCCCAGACCCGACGCCGCGGCCGCCAGCAGTCTAGGGTTGTCGATGACGAAGAGGACGATTACGAGGAGAGCAAGAACGTTGCTCAAGATGACGACGATGGTATGATTTCTCATCCGTTCAATGGTGACCTTGCGCGACGTCGCGATCTGACGATAGCATATTACAGATGAGATGGACGATTTCGTAGTATCTGATGACTCGGATGCTCCGTCGAAGAAGCGGAAGCGCCCCTCCAAGCCCCAACCTTCTCGAAAGCGATCGCAGGTCTCCCTCCAGACATCCAGGCGCGAAGATAACGACGAAGCCGGCAAGGACGATGATGATGAGGAGATGGCGGACGAGGTGCCGTCGACCTCGACCGCACAGCAATGGCGATACGACCCCGAGAACATCGAGCCGGCGAAGGCGAGGACGGCCTCTCGGCCGGCGCCCAAGGCTCCCGCGGGCAAGCAGAAGGCTCACACGCGCGAGCCCGAGGATCGATATCCCTGGCTGGCTAACATCACCGACATAAACCGGAACCCTCCGGGTCACCCGGACTACGACCCCTCGACCGTCTACGTTCCCCCGCTGGCATGGACGAAGTTCTCCGCTTTCGAGAAGCAGTATTGGGAGATTAAGCAGAAGCTGTGGGATACGGTGGTCTTCTTCAAGAAGGGAAAGTTCTACGAGCTCTACGAGAACGACGCAACCGTCGGCCACCAGCTCTTTGATCTCAAGCTCACCGACCGCGTCAACATGCGCATGGTCGGCGTCCCCGAGAGCTCGCTCGATATGTGGGTCAACCAGTTCATCGCCAAGGGCTACAAGGTAGCTCGCGTCGACCAGATGGAGACCGCGCTGGGCAAGGAGATGCGCGAGAGGGTCGACGTCAAGGCGAAGAAGCAGGACAAGATCATCCGCCGAGAGCTGGCTTGCATCCTAACGGGTGGCACGCTGGTCGACGGCAGCATGCTTCAGGGCGATATGGCGACCTACTGCGTGGCCATCAAAGAATCCGTGGTCGACGATCACCCGGCGTTCGGCATCGCTTTCGTCGACGCCGCCACCGGCCAATTCTTCATCTCCGAATTCGAAGATGACGTCGACCTGACCAAGTTCGAGACGTTCGTCGCTCAGACAAGCCCTCGGGAGCTGCTCCTCGAAAAGTCGCGGATCTCCACCAAGGCCTTGCGCATCCTTAAGAACAACACCTCCCCTACCACTATATGGAACTATTTCAAGTCCGGAAGCGAATTCTGGGAGGCCGACCTCACCCACAGAGAACTCGACTGCAACGGGTACTTCGCAGGGGCCGAGGGCGCCGAGGAGCACTGGCCCGACACCTTGTCCAAAGCTAGGGAAAAGGATTTGCTCATGTCCGCCCTCGGCGCTTTGGTCCAGTACCTTAGGGTGCTCAAGATCGAGCGAAACCTGCTCTCGCAAGGTCATTTCACGTGGTACAACCCCATACATAAGAACGGCACCCTGATCCTCGACGGCCAGACCCTCATCAACCTCGAGATCTTCACCAACTCCGCCAACGGCGGCTCGGACGGGACGCTGTTCGCCCTCTTGAATCGCTGCGTCACGCCCTTCGGCAAACGGCTCTTCCGGCAGTGGGTATGTCATCCGTTGTGCGATATCCAGAAGATCAACGAACGTTTGGACGCCGTCGACGTGCTCAACGCCGACCCGGCGGCTCGGGAACAGCTGTCCTCGCAGCTGACGAGGATGCCCGATCTTGAACGCCTGATCTCTCGGATCCACGCGGGAGCCTGCCGGCCGGAAGACTTCGTGAAGGTCCTCGAGGGCTTCGAGCAGATCGACTACACCGTGAGCCTCCTAGGCACTTACGGTAGTGAGCAGGGCCTGCTCAGCCGCCTCGTCTCGTCGTTGCCGAACCTCAAGGAGCCGCTGTCGTACTGGAAGACGGCATTCGATCGCAAGAAAGCTCGGGAGGAGAAGATCCTCGTACCCGAGCGCGGCATCGAGGAAGACTTCGACAACAGCCACGACAGGATTGTCGAGATTAAGGCCGATCTCCAGTCGCTGCTTGACGAGAAGAAGGCCCAACTGAAGAACAAGTCTCTTAAGTTCACCGACGTCGGAAAAGAGGTCTACCAGATCGAGGTGCCCAAGTCGGTCAAGGTCCCCAAGGACTGGCAGCAGATGTCCGCTACCTCGAGCGTCAAGCGTTACTACTTTAAAGAGCTCACGAATCTCGTGCGGCAGCTGCAGGAGGCGGAGGAAACCCACTCCCAGCTCGTGCGGGAGGTAGCCCTGCGTCTCTTCCAACGGTTCGACGTCGATTACGATACTTGGCTCCGGGCCATTCGCGTCACGTCTCAAGTCGACTGTCTGCTCAGCCTTGCCAAGGCGTCCTCGTCTCTCGGTGAACCGAGCTGCCGCCCCATTTTCGTCGACGAGGAACGTAGCGTCGTCGAGTTCGAGGAACTTCGGCACCCGTGCATGCTCAATACGGTCGATGACTTCATCCCTAACGATGTCGTATTAGGCGGCGATTCGGCCAAGATAAACCTGTTGACCGGAGCGAACGCCGCCGGTAAATCCACGATCTTACGAATGGTAAGCGAGTAGCCTATTCCCTCTAGTTCTTTAGCTAATCCATAACAAAGTCCTGCATTGCGGTCATCATGGCGCAGATCGGTTGTTACGTGCCGGCCACCTCGTCCAGGCTGACCCCCTGCGACCGCATAATGTCGCGGCTCGGCGCGAACGACAACATCTTCGCGGCGCAGTCGACGTTCTTCGTGGAACTGTCGGAGACTAAGAAAATCTTGTCCGAAGCAACGCCGCGTTCGCTCGTCATCCTTGACGAGCTAGGTCGCGGCACTTCCAGTTACGACGGTGTTGCCGTGGCTCAGGCCGTCCTGCACCACGTCGCTACGCATATTGGATGTGTAGGTTTCTTCGCTACTCATTACCACTCGCTCGCGACCGAGTTCGAGAACCATCCCGAGATCAGGGCGAAACGCATGCAGATCCACGTCGACGAGCAGCTGCGGCGCGTTACCTTCTTATACAAGCTAGAGGATGGCGTAGCCGAGGGAAGCTTCGGTATGCATTGTGCAGCCATGTGCGGCATCTCCAACCGCGTTATCGAGAGAGCCGAAGTCGCTGCCAAGGAATGGGAGCACACCAGCAGGCTCAAGGAGAGCCTAGAACGCGCGAAAGAAGGCTGCTATATCCCTCTGGGCATGTTGAGTGATGTTGCTACGCTGCTTGACGAGACGAAGGGTAGAGACATCGGGGTGCGGAGTCTCGATGTTCTTGCTCGAGCTATCGAAGCTCTGTAGAGATGCGGAGGGGCACGTCTGGTTCCTGGTATATATTTTCGGGGGAAAATTGAGCTTGTATGGATTGTATCATAGCTGTACCTACTGGCTTATGCCGCTTATTCGTGACGCTGGAAATTTGCTTTACGTGTATGGAGTTGGGGTACTAGGGGGTAGATCAGGCTGCTAGCTCGTCGCTGTTACATATGCAGCTTCGCTAATAAAACGTGAATATTCGTGTTTAGGAGTCTAAGTTGTTAGTTGATCTCGGTCTACGTTTCGGTAATTCTTCGTTTCGTGTGGTCAGCGATTGCTGCCGGTGTATGACTGCAGAATATGGGTAGGTAATGTTGGATTGTATGATGACAATTGCAAGACCTAGGACGTTGCATCCAACCACCGCCACAAACATTATTCACACACTCCCAATCTACGAACTATAATTGGGAAAGCTACTTTATTTCCACGGAGACAGATTCAGCGACTTTAATGTGGCATTTGTATGGCTGTAAGCATAAGATTTCGGTGGTATAATTCAAGATGTGGTCGCCCTATTCGCTGTGCAGTATACTAACGCAGCCTTGGAATATATGTATTTTGGTCGAGTCGTTACAGAGGTCTCCCAGTGAGGTGGTTTATCCAGCGTCGCCGAGTAAAGGTTCGCGCCGAGCCCTGCGCTCTCCCACATCTCGCCCACCCAGGCCGTGAGGGTCGGCATGCGGCTCTCCACCGCGGCGCGCATGGCGATGTCGCCGTCGAGGAGGCCGATCACCTGGTACACGAAGAGCGCGTGCACGCGAACAAGGTGATTCAGCGGGTCCGGCAGCGGGCTCTGGGCTTCCCAACGATGCCCGCCGCGCGTTCTCGGACGATTTGGAAGCACAGGTCCGAATTTTCGGGAGTGCTCGCGAGATAAGCCGTCAACAGCATATACACGTCCTGCAAGCACCGGGGAATCTTCTGGCTGTACAGGCGGTGGTGGATCAACGGCGACCTGCCCGTCGTGGCCCACTGGCGAAGCCAGGCCTGAGCCGTGGCGACGTACTGCTTCAGGCCGCGTTGTCGAAGGCCGAGGCGGGAAACGCGGGCGTGCTGGTGTACGCGATCGTCCAGGAGTCGGGTTTGTAAAACCAGTCGTGCTCCAGCTGAATCGTCTTCGTATCCCTTGCCAATCCCGGAGAACACGGGTGGTTCGTCTCGTCGGCGTCCGTCTCCTCAGCGCATGAGTAGAACGGTTCGAAGCCGACCATGTGTATGGGGAGCGGTTCTTCCGCGGGAGCCGGAACTTTTCCCGTGACCGTCGACCCGCCGTTCGCTGCCGCGTAGTCTCTCGCGGTCGCATTGATCGGCGAATATCAGCAAGGGACATTCTTCCGCTCGCAGCGGTCGCAGCAGGGCCACCGTTTGGAACACGGCCGCTTTGCCTTAGTGCAGGCAGCGCAGGCTTTCCGTCGCGTGGCCTTGACTGGCGTATTGTCCCGAACTTCTGTTCATTTTTCCGCAATGATATCCAACCTTGCGGGTGGTTTACCGCAACGACATTCAAGCTAGAAAAAAGGGGAAAAAGCTCGTAAGCATGCAGACGTAATACTTTTCACTTAGAAGATATTCTTACATGTGAATTAACAGACACCACAGACAATATTAGTCGGCTTTCATTGAAGTATAGTATTATGTTGCCGACAAATGACTGTAGGTTCCGGGGTGGTATTTTTGCCGCTCATCCGACTCTTATACGGACATCCGTTTTGAATAGGTAGATACCCATATAGAAGCAAATGCTCGACGACAATATGATCAGGTGTCTTCGTAGTAGAAACGATGCTAGATCTGTAGATTGTTTATTGTATTTAGTAACGTGGGTATAATGACTGCTAGGTATTATTATATATCTAGATTATATATCCTAATTATCCTAAGAGGTTGACTGACGACCATGATAGCCAAGTCCAAACACAGACTGAATATGACGTACGGTACTTAGGTATTTACCTAAATGCGAGTAGATACGAACAGATATTAACTCGAGAATTCGCTAATTCCAACACGTGTTAAAGTCTTTAACAAGATCATTCATCCTCTGGATGGGATTCTACGCGTCTTAGTTGTCTTCGATCTTCTCCTTCCGTTCTTCAACCTCCTTATTACTGCTATTGCCACCAAGACCCTGCAGCATAGCGGTCAGTCCGATCTCTCGGTTGATCTCTGCCATGCGCTCGAAATCTGCCTGGGCGGTGCCTTCGGAGCCGAATATAACATCCTAATGCGCAGCATATGTCAGTTTCTAGGATTATCGAGTAAGGAATATTGAGCGGCTTTGTTTCTTAACCTACCATTTCTTCCAAGGTTAATCGCTTAGTCTCGGGCACGAAGAACCAGATGAACGCGGCGCCCATAAATGTTAGAAGGCCGAAGAGGATATATGTCCCGTACCCGATCTTGGTGAGCATGATTGGTGTGACTTGGCCGACAACTACGAGCGAGTCAGCATGATAAACATAAAGGGGAAAGAGAGCAAGGGACAGGGACTCCAAAACGTACTGAAATTATTCATCCAATTGCTAGATGCGCCAAGCGAAGTTCCGTAAGGACGAGAGCTTAGCGGCCAGATCTCGGCCACGATGATCCACGAGCAAGGGCCCCAGGAATATCCGAAGTGGATGACGAAGAGCCACACCATGACCACCGCAGCCCAGCCGGCCGCGGCTTGGCTGGCCCACTGGTTCGCATTTTTTGCCACGATCACGGCGATTATGATGTGGCAGGTGGCCATCCCGATAGCGCCCACTGTTAGGACCGGTTTCCGACCAATGCGGTCGATGTACAGCACGGCGGGCACGGTGAAGATGAACATGACGATGCCGACGACGCCGGTCGCTAACAGGCTAGTGGTGTTGTCGTCCATGCCGAGCTGCTTGAAGATGCTGGGCGCGTAGTAGAGGACGGCGTTAATACCAGTCCACTGCTGGAAGAACATGGTGATGCAGGCGACGGCGACGCGCTTGAGCATCGCCTTCGTCTGAAAGAGCGATTTTATGGCAACGAACTGGAGCTTGAAGGTATTCCAGGCGGTCTGTTCGCTCAGGGCGGGGAAGTGCTCGGCTACGGTGCGTTTCTCGAACTGGGACTGTGCCTTGATCTCGAGGAATTCGAGCTCGACGAGCTCGTGGTCGGCCGAGAGGCCACGGAGGCTAGCTAGGATCTTGCGCGCCTCATCCTCGCGGTTCTGGTGTACGAGCCACCTTGGAGAAAAGGGCATGAAGATCATGCCGACGAATAGGACGGCGGCGGGAAAGAGCTGTAGGCAGATAGGTACGAGCCAGGACGCGTCCTTCTGGGCGCCAAGGGTCGTGCCGCCGATGTAGTTGGTGCCATAGTCGATCCAGAAGCTTACCATGATCCCAAAGGTGATCGCGAGTTGCTGGAGCGCCACAAGCGCGCCTCTGATCTCGGGGGGAGCGACTTCGGAGTTGTAGATCGGCACGATCGTAGCTAGGGAACCGACACCTATACCCGTGACGAAGCGGCCTCCGAGGATCACGTTGTGTCCTCCCGACTGGGCGGTGGCCTGGATGACGACTCCTATCACGAAGACGGTCACCGCCACCAGGATGCCGTATTTGCGAGAGATGGCTTCGGCGACGAAGCCCGACAGCAGCGCGCCGACCCAGGCGCCGAGCTCGAGAATGGCGGTCAGCCATCCCTTCTTTGTCTGGTCGGCCGAATCGTCGAACGGATCGTACTCGCCCATATCTAGTATATCACATCAGCGCCGAACGGCTAGTCAGACTAGATGGGCGTTGGTCGCCTTTGGTACTTACGTGCCTTGAATGAGGGCATAGATAGGACGCCCGAGAACATTCCCTGGTTGTAGCCGTACAGGATACCGCCGATGCACGCGAACAAGGCGATCCTGAACACTTTGAAATTCTTGACCAGGGCCATGGGACCGGACGCGCCCATCATGGCCTGGCGACGCTTGAGAGCCGCATCATACACGGCGGCGCCGCTGTCGCCTCCCGCAACCATAGTGACCGGGTTCAGGATCTCTTAGCCTGTACGGTGCTAGGAGAATACGGGGTTAGGGTAGGTTCTTGATTAAAGACGACTACGCGCACGGAGAATCGATCTCGAGCTTAGGTCAGCAGTCACTGTCACGGGGAATCGTAGGAATGGCATGTCGGCGGCGGCTTGGGCACCTCTAGATATAAATAATGCCATCCGCTTATGAGAAACCGGGAAACGTAGTCAGGCTAGGCTATTCTATTCCGATAACGCGACGTGCGGGAAAGCCTCTGTGCAAATCACATCCGGCGCTATTGCTGGAAAGACCCTAGAGAGTCATCCTTCAAGCCCCATTATACATTACCAGGATGCGGGATAAATAAACTTGGGGTACCGAGTCACCGCCGAAGCCCTGGCTGATTGGCAGAGGCAACTCCCGCGCTGACTACCTATGGTATGTTGCTAGCACGACGGCCTCGGGTGGCGAGCAAGGTCCCTTAGGTAAGTAGAGGACGAAGCTGAAGAAGCTGAAGTGTATAGCATCTTTTGCAAGATAGCAGCCAGTAGACCGCTTCTCTGAGCTTCCAGCAATCTTATGCGACGCGTATTACTCCTCACGCTTTGCCTGTAAAATTGCTTTCTAGACCACGATCACCACAAAATCTTGGAGAAAACGGCTACCCCGTGTGGGGTATGTCGGGGTAATATTGTAATAGGCTGACTATAACCCACTGTAGTATGCTTCCACGCGACTGGGGTTACGTATTTAGCCTAAATTACCCCAGCCAGAGGTCGAATAGCATTGGATAGCGACACGTGAGGTCGACCGACGGGTACTTTGACAACGTCACGTATCCATTTTGGCCATTCATGGTTTTCGAGTCGATGTGTCCTGTTGTTCTTTATGCTTCGTCCAAGGATGCGTGGGTGTATTCAGGATTTGTTAGTCCGAGGCTAACAAAAAGTCGTCTTAGTAGGACCTGTTAGATATAGAGTATCGCTTTCTTGGTAAAGAGGAACCCTACATGTAGTGCATATCTGCTTAGGCGCTTAGGTAAGGTACGCCTTGAGGTATGCCTCGATTAGGAACCGCCTCCGTCTTCGCTGTAGATTCGTTTCTATCCAGTAGCTTCTTGACGAGACAATTTACGTGCCTATAGACGAGATACTCGACGGACCTTTTTAGAATGATAGTAGCACCCGGGTTGTATGTTAGGACCTAGAATCCGCTACCGCACTTAACCAAATTGGATTGAGTGCATACTAATATGACATTTTTACAACCGACTGGCACGAGATGCGCGAACGAAGACGTCTAATCGACATGATTGTTAAGTAGCACCGATGTGAGAAGCACACATATGAGCAGGTGCAAAGTTGACTACATACCTCGGGTAGGTAGTCATCTAGGTACCTAGGACCTAGGTGAATAGTTCGTGGCACAGTTTAGATGAGTTGAAAGTTGACGATAGAGGTTCCAATAAGTGAAACAAAGTTCTTAGCATCTCTCATTTCGGTTGCGGTGCGTGAAAGGCGCAGGCCGCATGCAACTTTACCAAGAGACCGATTCCGATCTCGTTATGAGCATCTCAAAAGTTCATTCCCGATTGAGTCGAGGCATCTCGGTTGTCTAACGATGGTAGAGAAGGGAAAGTGATCGGGCGACTCAGGCGACGGCCTTGGTAGAGCCGTAGATGAACGTGGCGCTTGTTTAGCGGCTCTATCCGGGAGGATGTGCCGCCGTCTCAGAAGTCGAGCTCAGCTATCCAATCATCACTCGGTCTGCGCCTATTGAATCTCTGCCATGCAGCTTGTCAATGTTTTTCAGGGTCGGGAAACAGGTCTCTGCTACTGTACCGTACCATTGATGTATGTTTGCCAAGGGTCGCCTTGCTACCGCAGCTGAGCTACCTCTTTCCATGAAACATGAGACTTATACAGGAAGGATTCGAGGCTCGAATAGGAAACGTCATAAGTCCCTTGAAACATAGAAGACTGTGAGTTGTTCATTATAACTTGGAACTGCCGATGTGCCCCGTAACTGCTAGTACCAGGTAACCATATGCGTAAGGGGGGAGTAGCACCACAACGAGTCGAATAACGGACGTGATGTGCCTTGTAGACCCAGCTAGCCAAGGGTTGCGATGGAGTTCTCGCGTGCGGCAGCATCCGTGGCCCCCAACATCTGTATATCTAAGACAGGGTCGCTGCAGAGTCGGAAGGCCAGAAGTAAGAGGCACGGCAGTAGCAGTGATCGTTGCCAGTCGATTTCGCTTCAGCATACCGAGAGCAGCGAGAAGCAAGAGATAGAAATTGTGGAGAAACAGATCGTCTCTTTCGTACATCTAATTTCGACGTTGCATCGAAAATGTTTACCAAACGAAAGAGAGTGAAATGTCTATTTTAAACATTGGGCGAATAGGAGAAGAGTGACCTTGGAGAACCAAGAGAATACACGTGATATTCCCGCCATGATGGTGGACGCTAGTCCTCTAGCACCGTAACGCTAGCTCGACCAAAATAAAAACCGTGGGATCTTATGCAGGGAATGCGCGCTCGGGGTTAAGATTATAGCGAATATGACAGGGCATGTTAATTCGCAGCGCCGTGCTAAACTGCAATAGGCATAGCGCCTCCGTGTCCCGGTCGGCTAGCGGGGACATCTGGGCGATCATTGTTATTTTAGCGTGGAATTTGTAGACGCGCGCCTCCATCTATCTGTTCTCTTCTCTTTTGCATCTTTCTGCATTTTTTTTTACACCTTGCTCCTCAATTCAGGGGTCGATTCTACATAGCTATTTCTCAACTCCCGCTCTCATCCAATGCCACCTCTCCACTTTGATCGAAACAGTCGTTCATCTCGTTTCGAAACGCCGCCCCCTAATGGACGCTAACGACAACATGCAAGCTCATGGTGCGCTTGTCCTGGTTAACATTTTTAAATCTGCAGTTTTTCAAGGTTGGTCCAAGGTTGGTTCATGCCATATCCATTGCGTCTTTGCTGCGTTGGTACGTGGTGCTCGGACCATCACGTCAAAAATAGATGATTCGAATGATATCTCCTAGTATCTACCTACGCTACATACTTGGTATCCGCACGTCCAGAAGAGGCATCCGTGGATGTCTTGTGCGCAGGACCCTGAGGGATTCGCGAACGTATCCAAGCGTTTACGTGTTTGTTCGTGGGGGCCATGCTTCGTCGAGCTATCAAACCGACAACCATACCTGGGTAAGTTGGTACCAAGGTATTCTGTCTAGGTATTATGACGGTAGCATGGGTGGCGCTGCCTCTTTATGCAAGGTGCCGTCCCGCTTGCTTTGTCCACCCGCACCCCAAAGTACAGAAATACATCGAGCAATTCTACGGGTCGGCGAAAAGGCTACCAGGCACTTGCCAGATTTGATCGTCATTTTCATTATCTAGCTCTATCTCTATCTCCATAGGTATGTACCTTGGTAGAGCCAGTCAAGGGTATCTTCATGTAAGTATTTCCCAGGTCATGTATGCCTCAGAGGGAATATTAATCACGTATCCGTAGATACCTAGTTAGGTGGTTAGTAGGTGGTAGGTAATGGCTTAGCACTGCGCTATTTCGATTTCGCGAGCATGAAGCGATATCGAAATAATCGCCCGAGATCGTGTACACTAGAACCGCTCTATAAGGTTATGATGGGACGACTAGGTAGTTAGGTAAACGAAAATGCGACGATTGTCGATCAGATCAGCGTTGACCCGCTCCGAGCGTGCCACGGGCCGGATCGTCGCCTTCACCTTCGCTCGCCGCATAATCGTAATCGCGTACACGCGCGCGCGCATAGTACCTAGCTAGGTAGCTACCTAGGTATACCCAGATTTCCCTATAAGGCTGGCGCTTACTGATACGATCTTCTCTTTTTGCTATTTTTGACCGGATACCTGGCCCGCCTCTATCTCGGTCTGGCGTGTGGTGCGAACGTGCGCCCCCAAATGTATCTTAATGTACGTCTTATACCATTAGCCGCCCTCCGCACCAGGCCACTTTTCCGTAGCCGCCCAACTCCAGACAGACGCCATCCCGAAGCTCGCCAGCCAATATCGACGGCCCAAGGGCGATCTATCCACTCTTTCAGATACACAACCTAGGTTTCATGACTACGGCTTGCATGTTCGCCCCCCCAAGATGACAATCGCTCGAGATCTTGCTCGACGACCATGACAGCTCTGTTTCAGATCCGACTTCCTGGGTCTCGCGTTGCAGCAGCGGTCCGGCAACGTTTATCCTCTTCGCCTAGCAGAGCCAGAGCCAGAGCCTTTCGAGGTGGCCGTTACTTTTATAAGTAGCCGCGCCCGTTTCGCGACCTGGCTGGCTTGATACTTTCCCCTCCCGGACCCTCTCGCTACAGCATCAAACGGCCTATTCCTTTTTCCGTTTTCTTTAACTCAAGGCCGCCGTGTTTTTTCCTTTTTCTTGTTATTTTCCCCTTGACAGCCTCGTTCGTTTCACCACCATTCGTTTGATACGACTCATCGACTAAGCTGCCTGAAAAGTTTTTTTGCTGCACCTCTCTTAGCAACTCTCGTAACCTTCCTCCAGGCGAGGCTGAAAGAGACAGGAGAAGAAAAAGAAAAAGGGAACGTTGCCTCGACGATTTTCGAGCAGACGAAGAAGAACTACGCAGATATCGCTAATCCTAATAACCTATTCGCTTCTCCGCGTCATATTTGTTTTTTTTATATGTGTTCTTCCCGTCTCGCATACCTCCAATGAACATGCCTAAGCACACCCGCTCGTCGAGTTCGAGCCATAATCGGTACTCGAACCCGAATCCCATGCCCGTCTCCCTCGCTCCCTCAGCCCCCGTCCCCATCTACAGCACGCGACAGCCTATGCCGCTCAACACGGGGGGTTACTACCCGACCGTGGCCTCTACCTCGGCGCAGCCTCCTATGCAGGCACAGCAGTACGACCCCTATGCGGCAGACGTGGTGCCGCAGGCGCCGATGCCGAACCGTCCCTCGTCCGGCGCGTGGACGGTCCAGGACGACCAGAACCTGCTCGCGGCCAGGCAGCAGGGCCTCAATTGGGCGCAGATCCAGAGCAACTACTTCCCCAACAAGTCCCCCAACGCCTGCCGGAAGCGCCACGAGCGGCTGATGGAGCGTAAGGGCGCCGACGATTGGGACAACAGGAAGCTGGAGCGCCTGGCGAAGGAATACATGAGCATGCGCAAGGAGATCTGGCAGCCGCTAGCCGCGCGAACGGGAGAAAAATGGATGGTTGTCGAAGCCAAGGTTAGCATGTCCCTCCTCCCGGTTTACTAACAACTACGTTCCTCCCCCTATTTCAGCCAGCTTGCCCAGAATGTTTAGAATATTCGCTAACCGGGACGTGCCCGATTCGCTCTAGTGCATGAATAACGGGCTCAAGAACTTGCAGTCGGCGGCGCGGTCGGCGGCGCGGCGGGAGAGGCTGGAATCCGGCCATCCAATCCATGGGTATGACGACGATAGCGGCATTTCCGGCATTGGTCTGACTCCAGTAGATGACCTCGACGCCTCGTATAGCAGCCCCGAGACGACGTCCAGCTCGCACTCGGGCGGCAGCGGCGGCGGCGGCTACGGCGGCGCCATCCACCCCATGGCTCTCAGCAGCCACCCGTACGGCGCCAACTACACCACCAGCGCCGGCACGCTGTCTTCTAGCTACGGTTCTTCGGTCTCGTCTACGGCGGCGGCGGCGCACTACGGCACCGCCATGCACCATTCCCACTCTCAGGGGGGGTCTCCCTATATGGGCGACGGGCAGAGGCTTCCCAGCGTCGACATGGGCATCGACGCCATCATTAATCGACCGGGTCACGGCGGCGGACATGCCCACGGCATGTGAAGGGGTGCGCGATACGAAGTTACGAAGATTTCTTCTATGTTCCCTTTACATATCCATTCATTCATTCTTGGTTTATTTTTTACCTGGTGACAGCGCGGCTTTCCACTACGAGATTTCCGACTCTCGGCCTCGGGCGGTCGGATTACGACGTACGTTGGCGTTGCTCGGGAGTGTCTGCCGCTCCCCTGTATTAATCACCACCTATTTCTTTCTTTACTTACTTCGGTCTTTTGCAAAACTCCTAGGCGTTCGCGGCGTCAGCATAGCACGGCGAAATTACGGGACATAAAGAGGGGCTGGGATACGGAAGGGCCGCCGGCGAGCAGCTCACCACCATTATGAGGAAGGAGGCTTGATACGGGGGGCAACGGAGAGTGTGGCGGAAGAAGATTGGATTACGAAAGAAAACTCGGCGCTCCTTTATAATTGCTTTTAGGGGGAACTATCATGCTACGGATATTTACCATGTCAACCCTCCGTTTTCACACATACCAGAACTAAGGGAATCAGGGGTACGGCGAAGTTTGGAACCCAAGTATTGCTAATGACTGCTTTTCGGCAACAGAGGCTTATGATTAGTGAATGCTCTGTATACTAGATTTTTACCACATAGATACCACGGGACTAGGGAAGGCCATCTGCTAGCTGTACTCACAAAAGAGCCCGAACCTTGGCCGGAGACCGGGGTTAATAATTATTAGATTGCTAAGCCAGGCGGGAGTCGCGAAAATACAGTCATTTCCTGACCGAAACGGCAGCCCCTGAATTTGCGTCGTCGGCATCATTCGAACACGTGTGGATGGGTCATGCCACTTAATATAACCTGCTGTCGTGGTTTGATCCAGAGAGTAGTTTCTTTTACATATAATAGGGATATATGTTACAGATATATGCGTTTTTCTTCCCCGAGGTGCCATCCTCGTGCAGATCGGCAAAGCTAGGCCGGAGCGTAAGCTCATTTAGGCCCAATAGGGGGCACGACTGTCCTGGTCCCATCGTCGGCGACCTCAGCTTCTTCTCCGACTTCGTCTGCGATCCAATCCTCGTCTTCCTCGTCCTCGAAGTCTGGCTCGCCAACTACGCTTCTCCAAACACGTCCCCACATTCCTTTCTTTTGCACGAGAGCTAGAACCATGATGACCGGCAGGTGCCAGACGCTAGCCCAAAACAACCCTCGCGCGCTCCCCTTGAAGCCCTCGCTCCGCCAGAACCGCACCGCTTCGCGCGCCAGCCAGAAGTTGACCGGTAGGCTCGTCACGGCAAAAGTCCACTCGGTCACCCCTACGGCGCAGAGCGCGATAGATAATGGGAAGAAGAGCAAGCTGTACCTCAGGGCCACACGCGCGTTGCGTGCGGGGTTGATCCAGCACAGCATCTTGTGACCGGCGGCCTTGTATTCCTCTCTTATAGGCCACGATAGGGCCATGAAATGAGGAAATTGCCAGGCGAATAGCACCGCGGCAAATAACCAACCACCAATGGCGTCGGGGGTGAGGAGAAGCTCGCGGAAGGATCCGTCTCCCGTGGCAGATTCGCCGGCCGCCGCGGCCCAACCCATGAGAGGCGGGATACCCCCTACGATAGCCCCGACCCAAGTGTTGAGCCAGGAGATGCGCTTCATGGGCGTGTAGACGCCGGCGTAGAGCGCGATATTCGCAGCGCCCAGGAACGCGACTGTGGGGTTAACGCCGAAGTAGAGGCCACCGACACCGGCGGAGGCCGCGAGGATGGCGAAGACGAGGGCTTTGCGCTCTGATAAGAGCCCGCGAACCAGGGGCCGGTTTCGCGTCCGCGTCATCTTGGCGTCCCACGCTGGTTCGTAGAGCATATTAAGAGCGTTCGCACTGGCCGAGCAAAGCGCCGTCCCGGTGGTAAGGAAAGTTAGGGTCAGGGGCGATAGGGAGGGCGTGTCTAGACCTATAGACGGCGAAAGAAAGGCGGGGATAGGATACAACGCATAAGGTGCCATAGCAGTGAGGACGATGAGGACGGTGAGACGAGGCTTCGACAGAGAAAGGAGGAGAGATATTTGTCGACGCAGGGAATCGGCCGGGTGCTTCGTAGATGCCGTAGTCAGAGCAGACGAAGCATCTTGCGGCAGCGGATTTTCGGCCGCCGTTGCGGGATCTGAGGTGTTAGAAGCGGTAGACGGGTCTCCCGCCGTAGTATTACGCCTTGCCGCCCGTCGGCGCCGGTGGGGAAGGTCTTGAGCGGCATGATTCGCTGCCGGCGCACCCGTAGCGGGACCATCTTCCAGCGAAGCTGCCCGGGGTGTTTGGATTCGAGGTAAGAGCCTGTTGGATATAAAGTAGCCGGCCTTTAACCTCGATTTCTGCTTCGGCGGAGGCGGAGCGACAGAGTGGGCGAAGGCCCTCCTAGCTGGAGTTCTCGCATAGTTCAGCTGTTGACTGCACCGCCAACAGATATTATCGAGATAAAAGGGCCGGAACAGATTCCCGGCAGGCCGTGGGCGCATACTGACCGCAGCTCATATCGCCAATCGCGTTTCTTAAGTGACTGTGGTGCGCATTGGCGATTGGCCGGACGTCTTAATAGGGGAGGTTGAGCGATCGTCGTGAATATTGAAATGACGATAGCAACGAAAATGACGAAAATGGTGGTATGAGAAAATGAAGATATCGGCCCATACATTTCCCGTGGTACCCTTGCATAATCGCATACGTGGGGTATGCGGGGTATCCATATATAGGTCTCTCTGTACCTTCAGGGGGGAAGCATGCAAATATACGACGTATCGACCGCCTGAAATAATGTTAGTATGAATCCTAAATAGCTGCAGAGCCATCCTCTTGAAACATACATTCTTCTTATTAAATACATATCAGAACCTTGTTCGAAACTTTCATATTTGCATAAAAACGTGCAGACACTAGGTATTTCAGGGGGTACAGTGTATGTAATACAAATGATTCTAAACGTTATATACCAAAACAAACTAACACTAAAAGAATAATCACTAGATATCTACTTCATATCCATTGTCTACACCTGTTTTTCGTGGCCCGAAGGAACTCTACTGCTGTCGAAGCTTTCCGCATTGTTTGGTGTATGCTTCGTCGTCATCACCGGTTCCTCAGGAACGACGAGCTTCTCGTCCGTCTCCTCAATCTCCTCTTCCAAAGTCAAGTTAAGGATCACGCAGATGAAAGCCGTCACCGTGAAACCTGTCTCCATGACTAGCACGATCGCGTCTAAGAATCCTTGCAGACTCTTGTTATCTCCGCTATAGCTGAAGACGTTGTCGAAGTAGGTCGGAACCAGGGTGGCTACACGTAATTATTAGCATGCATCTTCTAAACGCGAAAGTATCTGAAAGGGTGACCGAAAAGGGCAAAAAAGGGACCAAAAAGAAGGGGAGCCAAGAGCAATAGAAACTGACCTCCGTATCCGATGGACAACCCAGCCGTCAAGATAAACCTGTTTCGGCGGTTGAAGGGAACCCCCCGGGCTATGATGGCGATACCCGAAACGGCCACGGAGCAGAATAAAAACGTAGTCATCCCACCGAGAACGGGGGACGGGATAGCGACGAGAGCAGCCGCGAATTTTGCGAATATGCCCATTATGACCAGGAAGAAACTATTCAATCGCGCATCCGTCAGCTTTCAAATCGAAAAGAACCTTAGTATAGTCTCGGAAAAGTAAAATACGTACCAGCAACAGTATCCGGCCGTGCGGTTTGCGCAGCGCGTGAGAGCGATGACTCCGTTGTTCTGCGCAAACGTAGACATGGGCGTGATAGTCATCAGAGCGGCGAGGACGCCGTTCAAGCCGTCGGCTAACACGCCGCCCTGGATGCGGGACTCGTACGTGCTACCCTCGACCTCGAGACGTGAGACGTCGCACGTGGCGGTAATATCCCCGATCGCTTCGCACGCGCAGATGATGAACACAGCTAGCACCGGCAGCACCAGAGGTCCGTACACGGTAAGTTTAAACGTGTGGACCCATATGAAAGACGCGACCGGAGCGGCGTCGATGCCCGAACGGTCGAAGTAGCCGGTGGCGGCGGCGACGATGCAACCCACGAGGAGGCCGACGATGACGCTTGTGGATTTCATGATCGGGGCTCCGAAACGTTCGCAGAGGATGATGGTAAGGAATACCAAGAACCCGAGGCCTGATCCCGCGCGCGTCAGTACTAGACCTTGTTTTCTCACACTTGTTTTCAATATAACTTACCTAGATACTCCGGCGAGCCCCAAGGTAAAGCGTGAGGGGCGCCGACGTTCGGACACACTGCATAGTATGCCGTGGGCGTGGTGTCCGCGCAGGATCCGCTGCCGCCAGCCCAGTTCTTGAAGCCCGTCTCGATGAGGCTGATGCCGATCAACTTTAGATAGTTAGTTAGCCGCATATGTCCGGCGCGGAAGTACGGGATGATCTCACCATCACTGTCGGGCCGGTGACGATAGGGGGAAAGATCTTAAGCATGATCTTCGGCGGTATGAAGGCGATGAGAACTTCGATCAGGGCGCACACTGCCGCGGTTCCGAGAAGCGCGCCGTACGCGTCCGGGCAAGGCAGCTTCGTGCCGTCCGCGTCCGTCGGACACATCCCGTTAGCGTACATCTGCTCGAAAGCACCTGACGCTACCGTGATTATCGAAAATGAAGTACCGACAACTGAGATGAGACCGGTACCGAGGTAATATCTAGATACACCCATAAGTCTCATATTCGTAAAAGATCCGACTGGGATGGTGAGAAGAATCGCTGCTTCTCATCCGAGCGGAGATGGCTAGGTAAGGAGAGTAAGACTTACGGAGTGCCGTAGATGTGAAATCTGGTGATCTGGATCGCCGAGAGGATGCCGGATACGATCAAGGCGGTCGAGACCAAATACTGCTGCAGCTCAGTGGGTAGGTTGATGCCGGACGCCATGATGATAGGAGGGGTGATGATCCCGGCGAGCATAGCCAAGGCGTGTTGGAGACCGAGGAGAAGGGCTAGGACGACGGGCATCTTGTCGTTGAGGCCGAAGAAGGGCGAAGCTTGCCGAGACTTCTTCATGAACGGCAGATTTGGCCGGAGAAGGAAGGCATAGTCATAATCGCCTAGGATACCTTGCTTTGTGAGGAACGTTTTCTTGAGGCCGTTTAATCGATCGCCCATGGTCTTCTTCGATTCGTGCTGCGGCACGATCTGGGACGGACCCTGATCCTCGTCCATCTTATAGTAGGTTGTGTGTACACTTAGGGACAAAGATGATAACACTCGGGCAAACAGCAGTCCCAAGATGAGGCCGTCTTGATATTATATATCCCAATCGTGATAATGATATGTTTGCCTCAAGTACGTATATACTCAGATATACATGCGCATGCAGATATGCAAGATATCCAAACTGACTACCAGATATCTGGGTTTGCCGCTAAGAATCGAAGGGCGCCGTCTGATAGCTTATTAGCTTCACGTTTGGAGGTTCGAGTACGCGGACATCGCGACGTGCTAACCTGCGAAAGTACAAAACTTGCCTCGCGCATATAATCTAGGCGCCTAAGATAGGTAATGTGGAATGAAAGTCAAGCAGATAATTCTTAACCTAAATGCTGCTACGTGTAAGGCTGGACGTTTAGTGAATAGCAAGGATCAGCAGGTGCCAAAAATTTATTATTTTATTTTATCTCGTTTACAACGCCGCGCATTTCTGGACTGGACTCGGTTCTCAAGATGCGGCTAGATGGATGTGCAAAAAAATACAGCGGGGCTACCCGATAGCATTATCTGTCTAGCTATTACCTAGGCACGCCGCGTACCGTCCACGATTCAAGGGACGACATGGATAGCTTCCTTTCTCTGGCGTAGCTGAAAACCCGCGTCTAGGTCGGGATGGCTGGGACCGTGCCGCGTCAAGAAGTTTGTCAAACATATCGGTCACATAATCTCCTAGGTCCACGGATATCCCGTCTAGACTGCTAGATAACCCGTACGCTGCCCGTAGGGTGCCTATCCGGGTAGCCTGAAAGCTGATCTGATGGATGGGGCCTTCATCTCTCGAGGCTTTCTTCAGCTCCGCGGTATCCATGGATGTAGGTACGTATTCACCTAAGGTGTGATACGCAAATGTTTGAATGTTTTCCTTCGATCATCGATATTCTTATCTTGTCGGATTCGGACGTCATACCTAATTCAATTAGCTATTGAGGCGACAACTAAGTTGAAGAAATTTTCCCAAGGAATAACCAAGACAACCGATGAAGCTGAGTGGTTGTAGATAAGGAGAGGCGCGAGAGTGGAGAAATCCCTAACTGGACCCCTGGCTGCCCTGATGGCGCTAGCCGGCTTGGGCTTTGGCTTTGCGGTATCAGACGTATCCCTAGGTACTTACGCAAGGTACCTCGTCACTTACTGAAAACATAAATCTATGGGCAATAGGTATGAGATTACATGTACTCGTTTACCTAGCGGGTAGGTATATCCCTATCTTAACTCCCACGCTTTTCATCATGCCTTATACCTATATGTACATGTCTTTCTGCTTGCCTAGCTGACTAGGTAGGTTGGTACATACCTTGGAGGTAGATAGTTAAGGAAATACTTATCTCGGTTCTCAAGTTGTCGATCTCGAGCCCCTAATATACATAATAACGACGGCGTCTCCAGTGGCTCCGAGATGGCCGGTTCCGTCTGCGGCGCCGTCCTCCGGGCTCGTCGCCATCCGCCGTCTTGCGTGCTGGTCTGAGCTGAGGCAAAGGGTAAGGGGTTCCCGCTCGACAACAGGCTTCACGAAACCCCCTTTTCGGACCTTAAACCCGCGGTAGACGACGACGACGGATAAAGAGTCCTTAATGGCAGGTTTTCTACCTTATGCGAATATTCAAGTTAGACACCTAACCATATCTCCGAGTGATGCCCGTAGAAGATGACAGCCTGTTAGGACAACTATTTCACGCGATCTTCACGCATCGCTTCGAGATCTGGACTTGACCGGACTCTCTCTGAAGTAAAGAACTTTGCCACGCAATCCTTCACGCACTCAAACCTAACCTCGAAATTCCTTTTATCAGATCTGAAGAGAATGAAGATAAGAATCGATAGGTCTCGAGCTCTCGATTGGAACTAGCTCGAGCAAAGCAAAATCGTCAGCCTCTCTGGACGCCATAGCAACTTAGGGGCAGCCATAGTGTGCCTCCTCATTTGCCTCAGAAATATGTTAGCCGTAGGCAGCAAAACTAGGTTGCTTACAGCCCCTGAGTTTTCTCCGGTCATGAAATGTCGTGTTTCATCTTGGTGCTCTTGTATAGCCATGTCTCGAATATTCTATAAGAGCCGTTCAGGATGCATAAACACGTTTATGGAGAGGTTTGCGAATTTCTAATCTCGATCAGTCTTTGTCTGTTAACATCATCGATAGCAGTTAGATCTCCAAGCTTACCTGCATAATTAATCCTTAAGGATCTACCTACCTGGTAAATAGGTAGGCTGCGCTGTCTCGATATCATTCTAGTTGTCATTGATTCGGTACCTAGCTTTCTAAGCCCGATCATACCGGCATTCTCGCGGGTTCATGATAGCTTCGGTTGCAGATTTTAGTTGTCTGACCAAGTTGTTTTCTCTTTAGTCGCCGAGGCTCGCCGAAGTTTGTGTTATCCTGCAACTCGTTTCATACCTCATTTGGAATTTATACTACCAAGTAAGCGAGGTTGGATGAATCTCAAGATTCCTTGACACACACAGGTATCTACATAGGAGGTTATACTTAAGCATGTGATAGTAAATTGATGATAGCGAGTTTGTCAAAATCGAAGCATACCTAGGTAAATTTGCGGTTTCTTTCGAAGACTTACCTATCAGCCTACCTCGCTACCTACTTACGGAAACATGTAGGCGCCCAGGGAAATTCATCTTTTCCGTCGCTTCCGCGGCCTCTAATTGGCATCTCGAAACGTCACTCGCTCTGCAACCGATCGAACGGTACGTGTCACTCGATCGTTTGCCGTATGCAAGCGCCCGCCGGCGTTGTTTGTCTAACTGTCTAATTTCTACACAGGCGCTGTGAACCCAATCCCGCCTCTCGCCCTGCTGCATTAGATGCGTTCCAGAAACAGGCCGTGTACGAACCTTGCAATATGCCAGATTTGCATTAAAGTATGACCACCTCATGACCTGCACCTGCACGCATTGCCTACCTGGGTTTTCTACACGCATCCGAACCGTTCTTATGCTTTTCATGGGCGTTTCTGTTCAACTCGTGTAAATTATGTAGTATGCGTCTGTATGCTGTAGAAATCAATGGCTCAAAACAATGTGCGTAAGAGACGCGCGTCACATGCCCGACTAAATTAGGTAGGCGTCCTGAGAATCGGTGACTTGTCACTTTTGCTTTCCTTATTATAAATAATTTGAAATCTCTCTTTTACTTCATGATGTTGACGCCTTTTCCTTCATAATTTGGGAAGGAATACATCCATGGATGACGCAGGGGGCCGCATCTATAGCGATTGCTCACTCTGACACTTCGGTTCCCGGGTACGCCTGCACGGTGACATTAGAGTTGCTTCTGCTGCTTGATGAAATCAGTTGACAGACAAACTTCATACTTCCGGATTGACCTCATCTTAGCCCTGGCCGGAGTAGCTTAAATATCGCCCTTCTTTGGCTCGCTCATTGACAATGTGAGACAAGACCATTGACCACCGTACGGATCTTCGTGAAGATATCTGTAGCAAAAATAGCAAAAATGCCTTGTAAGCTAGCGATAACGTCAATGTCTCTCGGGCGGTGTACCGCGGGCCACTCCCTCGTTCATAAGCTGGATATGGCTCGGCTATACGGTTACAGAGGCGTCGAGCTCTTCTACGAAGACCTCCTAGACGTGGCGCGACAGCTACCCGAAGACACGGCGGTGGACAACGAACTTGAGGCAGCTCACATCATTCGCAGGCTCTGCCAGGAGAGGCGGCTCGCGATCGTGTGCCTCCAGCCTTTCGCACACTACGAGGGATTGCTGGACCGCCAGGCGCACCTCGGGCGCTTAGAGCAGCTCTTGTTCTGGTTCCGGCTAGCGAGAGCCTTGGGTACCGACATGGTGCAGATCCCGTCCAACTTCCTTCCGGCCTCCGAACTTTCAGAAGACCCTCGCGTCGCCGTCGAAGATCTGAGAAAGGTGGCCGATATGGGCCTCCAGCAGAAGCCGCCGATTCGTTTCGTGTACGAGGCGTTGTGCTGGGGTACACGTTGCGATCTGTGGGAGCAGAGCTGGGAAATCGTGCAAGCCGTCGACCGGCCCAACTTCGGCCTCTGCCTCGACACGTTCAACATCGCCGGACGTATCTACGCCGATCCCTCCTCGCCGACGGGCCGCACCCCTAACTGCGACCAGGCCGTGAGAGAATCGATAGCTCGCCTCGTAGCTACCATAGATCTGAGAAAGGTGTTCTACGTACAAGTAGTCGACGCCGAGCGGTTGGCGGAACCGCTGATAGAAGGACACGAGTTCTACGACGCCGAACAGCCGGCGCGGATGAGCTGGTCTCGGAATTGCAGACTCTTTTACGGCGAGAAGGACCGCGGCGCATATCTTCCGGTGGTGGAGATATCTCGAGCGATCTTCCAGGGGTTAGGGTTCGAAGGATGGGTGAGTATGGAACTGTTCAACAGAAGGATGTCGGACGAGGACGAGGTGGTGCCCCAAGAACTAGCAAGCCGAGGCGCCGTCGCTTGGGCAAAGCTTGTCAAGGACATGAAGCTGAGGGTCGACGCCCCTGTCTCCGAGAGGATGGTCGCATGGCTATGATCGGTACAATAACACTATAGTCGAAAGGGAGTTGGGACAATGACGTCGTTGAAGAGGCTCCAATTCGAGCTCCATCCCTTAATTAACGTCTATTGGTATCCATATATTAGGGTAGTACAGCACATACATAATGTTAACGGTCCCGTTTCAATATCTCATTTACCCCGCAGTATGTTTTAAACTACCCCGCACGTACCCCAACACAAGTATATATGACCGATCAAGTTACATTTCCAAGGTTAGGTATCGTTGTAAACATCGATCATTAGCCAATGGTTGATCTCATGTAGTATTTTCTCGAATTATTTTAATCGTTAAGGAATACAATACATTTGTACCTTCTGTAGGTACCTCCTGGTTCAGTTTGAGACAATTCAAGCACACTACCTAGATTCGAGTACATATTTCACATTGGAGTTGGGTATCTCGGGTTACAGCGAGTATCATCCATCTAATCCAGACCCTTAAAGCGCAAGACCCCGTGGGCTCCGTGAGGGCCGAGGTCAACATTTGCTTTACCTTTTCTCCTCTTCTTTTTACTTCGGCTCGTTCCTTCGTCGCTATCAGAGTCGTCGTCCGAGTCTTTGTTTGCTTGACGCTTCGTCGTATTTCCGTTTGCCCTATTATCGCCGCTAGCGCTATCATCGTCATCGTCGTCCGATTCGTCTGCCTCGCTACTCTCGTCTTCGTCGTCGATCCCCCCGCCCCGCAGAGATGATTCTTCCCATATTTTCACCGTCTGCCCTCCGCCGCTGATCATTCGGCCTTGACAATCAAAATCGAGACTAACCACCGCCTCGATGTCGTCATGCCGCAGGCCGCCTTCGACTTCTCTCTTCGCCAGGTCGACGATGCGCAAGCTGCCGTCTCCCACGCCGACGACGACCTTTTTCCCTCTCGCTATGTCGCCGGGGATTTGAACGATGCAGTCGAGGCTCTCGCCGCCTCCTTTTCTGGGATCGACGACGATGCGGTCTTGCTGATCATCCCAGGCCCCTTTGTCCCATAACGTCAAGACTCCCGTGCCGGTGCCCACTGCCACGACGCCGTTGTCGCGGTTCTTCTTGGGGCCCATGCCTTCGACGAAAGCCGTGCACAGAAGCTCGTCCTCCTGGTCGTCGCTGCGTACCAGCACGCCCCTCCGCAGGTCCGTGACAGCTAGGGTCGTACCGCCGGTAGAGATCCACTGTTTGCTGTATCCGCTCGTGCTCTCGCCGGAGGGCGGGAGCGGAGTGATGCTCGACACGAAGTCGTCGTGCGGGAAGTGGGTTTGCTGCGGTTTCGACGCCGCGAGCGCGCCGTCCCGCAGGTCGAGGAGGTGCAGGGCGCCCGAGTCGCAGGCAAGCAGCAGCGTCTGAGGGGAGAGCACGTGGAGCAGCGAAGGGGAATCCGGAATCGACTTCTTCGACGGGATAGCGATCTTGGAGGCGACTTGGCCGGTCGTCGGGGAAAAGTGTTTGAGGAGGTAATCCGTGCCGGCCGAGTAGAGGGCTGTTCGAAGTTCAAATTAGATGCTATCAATAGAATACCTAGCGCGTAAGATTAAACAAAAATTTACCGGAGCCGTCGTTGCTAAAAGCTAGAGTGCGGCAGCTGCCCTTGTGTCGCCTAGTTCGCCATATGGTGTCGATAGTCGCTTTACCGTCCGACAGGGTGCTGACGTCGACGTCGTCTTCGCTCAGCCGGTCCGCGGAAGGGAGACGGAAGCATTGGACATGTCCCGACGCGAGACCGACTCCTAGGAGAGGTTCTGTCGGGTGTACGGCCTGCGTGAAGAGGTCGGCGCTTAAAGGTAACGTGCAGAGATTTTCGAACATGACGGGCGCGTTTCCGATTGACGGCGGTTGGAGCGATTAAGAGCTTAGTTCGAATTTCAAATTCAAATGAACATCACCAAGATACAGTTTCCATCACGTAGCAATTGAACAAGCGGAATAAGATATTAATTGAGCGAGACCAAGACGAAAATAAATTGTTGTTGATATCCGGTAAAAGCATAATATGAGGAACGGAAGCTGTTATCGGTCTTATCGCCGCTACACGTAAAAGCATAATCCCCCTTTAAATGGATTTTACCGCTACCATGGTTCAGTCGCATTTTACGCCGCAGGCTCGCATTAGGTGCCGCGGAATTTACTTTATTTCATCTACTTTATTTCAAATCCTCTGTAATGTTATGATGATGTTTGAATAGGTCTCGTATGCACTCTTGCCATCCATCACGACCTTTTCTACGAGTCGGACTCCCCTATGTAATCTACTAGTACATATTAGTACATGGTATAACCCGGATACATGACGCCTCATCTTATCTTCTTAATAATAGGTAATTTACACCTCGACACCATTCTCAGGTACGGTATGCCAGCTAGCTCGGCCTCAGCTTTCCTCTCCGGCGTTCGGAGCCGTTACTTCGATGCCCTCCAGGAAGGCGCCTGGGTAGCCTTCAGTCGTCAATAACCTGTATCCTGGGCAGCTTGGTTTGCTTGAATAGGCAAAGCTCGGCCGGACGAGATCGTCTTCGAACTGCTCAGGTATAGCATATGTGGCTAGGTATATTTTTGTCGTCGTGATTAAGATAGGACGGGCATGTCGTCTTCAGTCAGCTGGGGGCTTCTGAGCGTACCAGAAGAAGTAATCAAGGTATATGTGGGCGGTCGTCGTCTGCAATTCCTCTTGGGCGTTGGCCACGAACTCCCTCATCTGCTGCGGAGACTTTGAAAGCACTGGGAATACTATAGGCGCGAGTGCGTCTATGAGATCCCCGAACACCGACTTCATATACAACCCGACTAATCGAAGCCGCTTTGCCTATCCTCTGGTGTTAGACCGCGGTGAATAAAAAGTCTCCCAATAACCACGGACATATGGCGGGCTTATAAAGAGAATCTACGGTACCTTCGGCCAGATCCCAATAGGGACTTTGAATTTCTTGCACTCGATGTTGACGAAGCCAATCTGTCTCAGCACCTCGTCCATGCTGTTGGCGATGGTCCATCTTATCCCACGCTTAGATAGCGCTTCGGCTGTCATATCGTAGAATTGGGTGAGCAGGGAATCTGCCTGGAACGTGTCGTCGTCGCATTTCAAGATTCCGCCGAAATCCTGAACTTCAATCCAGCCGCCTGGCTTGAGGTGCCTTTCGGCGCTCCTCTTTCAGTATCCGCTGCTATACTAGATTGAGGTTTGGTGAATAAAACTTACCTAAGACTCTGTCTGCACACTCCGGGCGGATCTTGCGTTGTCGGGAAGACCTGGCGGATGTGCACGAGATCCCAACCGTCGCCGTGGGCCCACTCATCTTCGATGTCGTCGATGATGAACCTGACGTTGCTCGGGACCCAGAAAGGTTGGATAGGGCTCAAATCGCATCCTACGACCTCGGCCCCGGGGAACATTTCGGCAACTGCGATAAGACGACAGATGTGAACATCCGTGGTCCCGGGTCATGGTAATGATAGCTTCGACTCACCTTCTATAGCCCATGTTCCCGTGCCGGTGCCCAGGTCGATTATTTTCCGAGGGTGGTCGCCGATCGGCGCGAAATAGTTCTTACCTCTAAGATATCCGTCAGCGCCTGGGTCCGGAGCGTAAGGATTTGCTCGGTAGTTCATGATATACCTCGTAAGTTCCAGGATTGCGACATGTTTCATGTCTTCTCTATTTTGTTCCGTCTCGTCGTTGGGGATAGGATCTAGCCTCAATTTAGGTTAGCCCCGAATATCGACGAATTTTGCCGCAACTTTGAGTAGACCTCGAAGTTGTCAAAAGCGCTCGAGACATGCAGCATGCAGGTTTAAGATAGCCACGAAGCGGGGAAACGAATGGGAATATGCCTACATGTTCCGTACCGATACTTGTGATACTAGCATAGGCGAGTTAGCGATACATCCCGACTATATTAGAACGGTTCGGTAGGTACTCTTCGGCCGTTCTCGTAAGAGTGCCGGTAAATGGACGAGGAAACGCTGCCGAACATGCTCATCGACGAAGCGTCAAAATCCGAGGTCTCGAACTCGTCATCCTGCACATCTTCGGGCCCGGCGACTGCGATTTCGCTACCGCTTCCAACGATCGTGTCCGAACCCCACGCGTCGTCGGGGTCCCAGTTAGATTCCATGATAGAGTTAAACTGCCGGCCACGTGCTGGTCTCATATGTATGGTCTAGATATTTTGCGATATACCTAAATTCAGAGGAATAGATATAAGATGGTCGAAAAGCACTAACAAAGACATGAAATAGGACACCGAGCGACAAAGAAGCTTGCGTGGAAGCAGAAATGGCATGGTACTCTCGCGGATAGTCGAATATGAAACTATTTTCGGGACCCAAAAAGGTTCTCCGGGCACTTATACCGCTAGAACGGATTGTCATTATGTGAATCTGCAGGGGTCGATATGCGGCAAGGCGGACTCTACAGGTATCTTCGAATTACCACATCACCTTGCATTGCAGGTGCCAAAATTAACCGTAAGGATATGGGGTGGCTCATTTTACCAGCAGTACGGTAGCGTACACGAACTGCTTAGGTCGGTATGCTTAGATAGGTAAGCATATATTAATTGCTTCGAGAAATTGCGGTGGAATTTACTAAGAAATTCTGCTGTATAGGTAAGCTACGAAAGTGCTGTGAGAAGGAATACAACGCGGGGGGAAGAGACTTAGGATCTCCGATCATCCACTTGATACTAATGCAGGGGGTATGTAATATAACTCATTAGCAGCTTCAATATCTCCCTTTGAAAGCTATGGATTGGATAGAAGACAGGTTACGTATGAGAGGATGGATTCGATGGATTCGTCAACATTTGATTTACGCATCCACAAACTCGTGATCTTCAACGCTGGCAACATAAAAGGGACTGAAGAAATTCAAAAATAGATACCAATATATTCAATCAAGATATTTATAGGTACATACCATGGCAATTATTTTCATTATATTCCCTGACTTCGACTATAAGATCCGCCTTAATACCTAGGTATTCGATATAAGCATAAGCGACCTTCAATTGGACGATATTCTGATGATGTCGATTTTAATAGGTACCTTAATTGCATACAGGTACATATTCCCCAATTACCACGAAGATCACTGGGCATGACAACTTACGGTGTCTCCTTCTATACGCCTCTGGCCTACTAATTATACTTTTATTATATGAAAAGAAGGAACGACTTATGAAGCACTTTTCTCTGTATAATTCTGAGTACCTAGTACCTAAGTCATCTTCCGAGGAACTTGGAAGTTGAAATAATATGATTTGGTCCCATTCAACAACATTTTCTTAACTCTTAGTCGAAGCCAACATGGCTACCACCACTTTGCGAAGGACTATTTTCACATTACTCGCACTAACCGCCGCCATGGCTTCGGCAATGGCACCGTTGAGAAACATCATGTATCTCACAGGGCATGTCCGAACCCTCCATCCTCTATTTTTCTGTCCTAACGGCGGGCTTCTAGGCAACATCCCATAGCACCGGATTTAGCTCTGAGCTCGCCTATCACTCACGTAGCCATGGCCTTTATGGGTCCCGACATCTTCAATCAGGAACAAGCTAGTTCAACTTGGCCGCTGTTCATGTCCGTCAGCGAGGCTCGTTCCAAATTCCGCCCGGGCACCAAGATGATGGTTGCCATCGGCGGCTGGGGTGATTCGGCGGGGTTCGATACCGCAGCGCGGACAGACGAGAACCAAGCTCGATTCGCTCGCAACATAGCCGCCATGGTTCGTGATACAGGCGCCGATGGTAAGTTCAACATACCTAACCACTAATTCAGTCTCCTATCCATTATTCTAACAGCTCGCACGTAATAGGTGTCGACATAGACTGGGAGTACCCCGGGTAGGTTCTACTCCGGTGTTGAACGGAAGTAAGTATAGAGCGGGGCTAATATCGAAGAACCAAAGAGGCAACGGCGAGGATTGGAAAAAGGTCCCCAACGAAGAGAGAGCCTGGGAGGTTGCGGCGTTTCCAAAACTGCTCGCCCAGATCCGGAAGGCTCTCGGTCCTGACAGGCTCATCTCGGCAGCGGTACCAGGCCTTCCGAGAGATATGCTCGCCTTCAAACCCGAGACTGTCCCTCAAATCATGGAGTCTCTTGACTTCTTAAACGTCATGGCGTACGATTTGATGAACCGCCGCGACAACGTAACCAAACACCATACCGGTGTCCAGGCTAGTCTAGACTCTGTGCATGCTTACATGGCAAACGGTGCGGCACGCGACAAGATCAACTTGGGCTTCGCCTTTTATGCCAAGTATTTCCTCACCGAGCGCGCGCCGTGCGTCAAGAACCCAATCGGCTGTCCTACGGGTCTGATGGAGGACCCGGTGACGGGTGCCGACCTCGGTCGGGCGGGTTCTTTTTCGTGGCATGACGAAGTCCCTCAAAATGTCAAGGCATCCTTTGACAAGGCTATGACGCAGGGGCGTTATGACGAAGTTGGCGGCGGCTACTACTACTGGGACGAGCAAGAGGCTATCTGGTGGACGTTTGACACCCCAGTAGCCATCGCTAAGAAGTTTCCCCTCATTGTGGAAAAGGAGAGGCTAGGTGGCGTGTTCGCGTGGGGACTAGGCGAAGATGCGCCGAAATGGGATCATCTCAAGGCGCTCAACGCCGGCGTGAAGAGCCTCTCCGCCAGAAAGGAGGAGCTATGAGATTGTCCATGTTATCTTGATGAGAAGGGTCCTGATGAACTAGCATGCGTTAGTTTTCCTGCTTAGACTACATATTTATGCAACAGAAATCCTGCACTGCTTATGCCGGCTAGGAAATGCAGACTTTCTTATGCGATCATGATGAACCCTCACGACTCAAAGCGATGTACCTAGGGAAGTCCGGACTCCGGACACCCGGACTAACATGCTTGCTGTTAATTGCCTAGGTGGGTATTTTCTGAGCTGTTATATACATAATTCATGCGACTTCAAGCCATTATTTCTCTGATATTTGTAGTACCATGTTGTCTCCACTACTCCTAGAAAATATTGAAGCAATTGGCATAGTACGTCACGGTAGCCGACCAGTCCGAGAAGATACCTTGAACACCAACCTGCCGCGCTAAGACGTCGATCAACCTGTACATGTCGCCGTCCCTGTGCGTGCCGTTGGTGATGGTCGAATAATAGTAGTCGCCGGCGGCTGCGGCTTGAGCTAACGGCCCGGAACGCTCGAGCGACCACGTTAGGATCTTGAAGCCCAGCTTTTTCGCCGCCGTCGCGTAGGAAGAAGGGACGTATTCGTTGTTCTCGCCGAGGGAGACGAGGTACTGGAGCGGCGGCGCGATGACCTGCACGCCAGCCTCTTTGTAGAACGACAAATTAGCAACGGCGGCCGGGAACGTCCCCGGCGTGTCGCCGCTCTGGTCAAGAAGTACGGCTTGCTTCCCGAAGGCTGGATCGGCGCGGAGCCAGTATGCCACGTCCGCAAACGAGAAGCTCTGCAGCCAGACTCGCGACGGGTCGATGCCCGCGGCTCGGTACTCGTCGATCACCTGCTGCGCGTACACCTCCTGCGTGTAGTTGCCGTCGAACGGCATCGGCACGCGCGGCTGCTTGAGCTCGGTCGTAAAGTCGCGGCCGCGCGAGTCGACGAGCTCCAGAAACTCCTTGTGCGCGAGCACGGTGCCGCACGTGGCGTACAGATCGGTCCGCCACGCGGGGGTCCCGCGCAAGTAGTCCTCGGGCGTCGTGGCCGAGGCGTTGTACCCGTCCATCTTGCCGCAGAGCGACTTGAACTCGGCGAGCGTGATGTCGCTCGTGCAGCAGTACGCGCTCGCGGCGGTGCCGTTGCCGTCGGCCGCCGCGAACGGCGTCGTGCACTTGGCGCCCAGGGCCGTCGCGACGATATTCGTCGTCGTGTGCAGGTCGCACTGGTCGTGGCGGCAGACGAGCTGGCGGTCGCTAGTGAACGCCACGTCGCACTCGAGGATGCCGGCGCCCATGCGCATCCCCGCCTCGGCGGACTCGCGCGTCTCCTCGGGGAACTGCAGGCACGCGCCGCCGCGGTGGCCGATGCTGAACTGGCTCGGCCGCGCTACGGCGTCGGAGCACGACCTCAGCTTGTCCTTCAGCCAGCCTTCCTCCATGTCGGTTACCAGGAACTGCGGGCGCGGGCCGAGCTCCGCGGTCCGGAAACGCTGCTGAGTTGGGTTGGACCACGATTTGGGCTTCCACCACTCCGGCGTCTTCGGTAGGGCGGATGCCGAGGCCGCGGCGAGGCCGATGATGATGGCAGACGCTGCTTTGAGATGCATGGCGACGCAATTGATACTGGTTATCGTTATATGGCTGATCCGAGGAGACGAAGGACGGAAGAAGGCCTGACTGTGTGGGCTTGGCGCTAACACACAGACCGGATCAAGACGTCGACAAGACGGAAGAGCTGATGGCAAGGCTCTCTTATCAGGTTTTCCAGCTTGATGACAGCGCCAGCGTTTGCCAAGTCGGCGTAGCAGAGATCGACAGGAAATTCCGAGTCGATCCTTGATGCGTTAGGCCATTGTCCAATGAAAAGAAGCAGTGAAAGAACATGATCCGCTACGGTGCCGTGGTAGGACTTCGGTTAGCTAGTAAATTTAGGATTAAGCTTGCATTTGTTGAAGTTCCTTTCTTTTATGTATATTGATAACAAACTGACGCCCGTCGGAGATAAGTTATGAATATCTCGCAACAGCAAACACCAAGTTCGCCATCTAGGACTATGATAAGAAAACTAGAGGCCGGTAAGATCTAGTCAACCGAGGTTTGTTTGGGCTATGATTGTTCAATTGTTACATTCGGACGAAACGTGGAACGATATTCGTACCTTACATTTTGCATACATGTAAATACCATTGAGGCTTGGTATGAGGGCACGTGGGTGCCCCAATACAGCGGAACCCACGAGCATGAGTGGGAATTAAGAATTAAGCGTGCTGCAACGCCGTGTCGCGATTTGCTGGCTAAAGAGTAGCCAAGGTCGACATCAGATATTATAAGGGTTCATTATGTTGTATAAGTCAGGATTACCCTCGCACATAATTAGGCTGAATTAAGTCTGGATTATGGGGTAATGCCCATTATTATAACTTCGATTAATTAACGTAAATTTACATGTTGATAAGTTTTTATTTGCTCGTTTATCGTTTCGCATTAATTATTGAAGATTTTTATTTTATATTAACGATACTTCATTACAAGGTAGGTACGAATTTCAGTTAAAGATCGGGTATATAAGCACTCTAGTATATCTTATTACAATAAACATAATACTACCTATATTCTTCAGCATACATTATTTCGCTATGTCGGCCTTTATTGACCCTTGCATCTTAGCTCCCCCTTCCAGCCAGCTTCCTTCTAGCCAGGTAGTCGATACACCTTGCCCTCGTCGGCGCAAGGGACGAGAGACTATTGGAACGTTACTTGTAACAGGGAAGGTGTTTTCCAAGTAGTTGAAACCTGGGCCAAGAACGATAGGTTCACTACACTTTTTATCGGATTAAATAATTCGTTTCGCTTAACCTGGCTCAAGAAATTTAAAAAGGAAGTTCTTATAAGGCCAAGACTTTGACACTACCTTCTTCCGTACTACTTCTGGAAGTTCACGACACGTATGCAATACTTCGACATACAGGTCGCAGCGGGCGGCGCAGCTCCCAGCGATGCTAACACGATGGCTGAACTGTGGTTGACATCGTTTGTACTGTGTGGGCAACCTCATAGACCTCTTATCAAACTGGACTTAGCGTGGAAGTTGAGACTGTCGCGATAAAACTCATCGAGTAAATACAGATTTGAGGGATCAGCATCTCGTTATAACAAGGGAAGATCATTGGATTTATGCGAGAGCCGCAAATACATCGTATCAACTCTTGTTCATTAAAGCAATCCCTACGTCCTTCCGGTCTTCATTATCCATAACTTCAAAGCGATAAGAAATCATTAACCCCTTTTTCTAAAGATACGTAGGTATGAATCAGAACGTGACTCCCGTATATTATCAAAATCGTAGTGTTGTCGATAATCCACTAGTTCAGAAATAGCACCAGAGTTAAGAATGTTTTAACATATTTATTAGGTGAAAAGCCAACAAGTATGGGGAGTATGAGAAACATGTAAGATGGGAATGGTCGAGAGCAATTAGCTTTTCTCGCTGCCTTCCTTGTCTGTGGGAGGGTTGACCTTAGCACTTGCTGGGTTTTCGACGTCTCCGGTCTTTGATCTACGTCCTCTTGCTTTCTTCAAGAAATCCGTGATACTTTGCATTGGCCCTTTCAAAGCCTTTCCTAAAGCACTTCCTATTCGCCTCATGTTCAAGGCCAATATTGTAAATCCTATAGCGAATGCCAGCGAAATTGTGACTGGCAAAGAGCTTATTAGTGAAGAAGCAATTTGAATTGGCAGTGCATTTGCTTACAAGTATACTTTGATACAAAGGAGATTGAGAGCATTTGACTCGGACCGGAACGAGGGAACTCGGCGATGTTGAGGGCGAAGAAGCTAGTCATGAACGAAAGTGGAAGCTAGCATAACATAGGTACATTAGCTTGCTAGCGTTTTATGGACGCGTCCTGGGGAAAGACTCACAAACACAATCGTGATGACAGTGAATGCCATCAATGTCGCCCCTTGTCTATCGGTCTTCTTGTTCAGCTTCAAAATCTGCTCGTTGAGATGGTTTGTTGTTTCTTCCTCGAGCACATTTGCTTGCTTGTTTTTGAGGTCCAGTAACTGCTTTATCTGTTTCATCTGGTATTAGCCACCACACTTTCGTGGAATATCTACCTAGTATAGAAGTGTAGAGTTAGAAAATCACGTACAGCTTCAGACGTCTTCTGGGCGAAGTTCATCAGGTTTTTTACTTCGCCAAGGTTGTTCTGAACAACTGCGAGGGGTGATGAGTGGCCGAGTCTGTCGTCCACCATGCTCTTGTGGTTCACGCCCTTTTTAGTGAGCTTGCCTTGGCTCTCCACCATACGATGCATTGTTTTGATGACATTCTGTTGCGTCGTGAAGACGGTTAACATGATATTCAGCTCATCCTGGATATCCTTGATTTCTTTTAGGTTCTTTATGTCTTGTTCGATGTTGACCAATTGTTTCAAGATATTTTTGCGCTCTACTTGTTCATCGCTTAGGTTTGCCCTGGATTTCTTGTTCGGTTTCTTCAAATCATCGATTGCCTGTTGGAAGCCTTGAAACTGTTTTGTTTCCTTGTGGGTCTAAGAGTTGATATTGTCAGCGTAATGCAGTTAGCAATACATAAATTTAGATTAGGTCACTTACGAGGTCAGCAATTGACGATGAGTAGATATCGTAAAATTGGATCGAGTCGTCTCGGCGGCTTGTCCTATCGAGATAAATTCTTCCACATTCCGCAGCGATAATACGTGCTAAGTCATAGCCGTGCCTCGGGGGCATATTGGAACATGTCGACATAATATTGTCGATCAGAGCAGTGGTCCGCTTTGGCCTATCCGTAACAATTCTGTTGCTCCTTTGGGGGAATGCCGTGATGACCGTGCCGGGTAATTGTCCGCATGGAGGAAGCACCCACATCCAGAGCTGATCCACCATTGTTAAGACTTCCTTGATTTTATTATCCACGCCTTGTTGTTTTCTGTTGTAATATCTCGAGGCAGTCTGGTCCCCGTCTCGATCGGAGGTATCATCTAGTGTGTGGTAGTAATACTGATCAAGCGTTCGCCTAGGGTGTAAGGGGTGTTGCTGGTCTAGGTACATCCAATACATCTTCTCAGTGCCGTTTAGCCTCGTCTGAGGATTTTTCTCGAGCTTTTCAATTTCGGCGATCGCTTCTTTTCTACTGATCTCCTCATATTCAAGCGGATTCATTTTTCCTTCTTTTTTACCTTCGTTCACTTTCACCTTTACCTCCTTTTTGTCCGTTATCCTCTTTAGCTTCTGGAACTCATCTTTCCTTTCCCAGTGCAAGTATGGCATCTAAAGGAAATGTTAGCATATCGCAGTGTTTGCGATGAGATGGGATGATTCCTATCTCACAAAAAGTACGAATCCCTGGGAAGGAGGCGTGCCACTAGGCTTTCTTGTCTTCGGTCCGTTCTCTTTGGTCTTGGCTCTTGCTTGTAGCGAGGTCTCCATGGCATCTTTAGTAGATGCGTTCCCATTCCCGGCTTCGGTCAATATGCCCTTGTTCGTCGCGGCTCTTGCTTGCTTTTTAGCTATGTCTCATGTTAGCAACCGTAATAAAGTCTCACATCCAATATAGAAGTCTTATGTTCGTCTACCGGTCATGCTCACATAATTGCGATAATAACTGGCAATCTGGCCTCATGAAGCGCGAATGATATGGCCATGGCTTATGCGTGCGATGTTGGTGGCCCGTCCAGTTCTTGTTGAGGACATTCCTATACAGTGTCTGATGCTCGGGGCCAGCCTCACCATAGTGTTTGGCCATGAGTATCTGCTCAATATTATTAATACGTACGCGAAGAGAATATTTGTCTCGTGGCGGACAGACCTCGACCCATCTCATCTTCAGAACTAGTTAGCATAATGAAAGCACGTATTGGTAGCAAACGGCTATGACTTACGTTGTTCGCTGGAAGGTGAAGCCATTTGCAGGAAAGAACAGCGTCTTTTGGAACGGTATCTCCGTTGTCCAGCAGGTCTTGCACCTTCGGCGTGTCGGACCGCAATTCGCTTTCGTCCTTTTCTTGAAAATGCACGACGAGCGCCCTGAACTCGCCGTCGACAACACCGCTAGAAGCAAGGCGCTCTGTCGCAAGCTGTCCGTCGTTTCGTTTGCTTTCAAGTATATCCATGACTCTTCTATCTATTATGTTGGGATCATTCTGTAGTGCTTTAGTGTCGCGACTGGTCTCCACGTCGGCTCCGTATTCCAACAGAACTTCCACGACCTGGGCGTGGTTATTTGTAGCGGCATAGTAAAGTGGTGTCCGGCAGCTCTTATCTTGCGAGTTGACATCAACATGATGTCTGTCTCTAACATCATCGTGGCTGCCTTTGGTAGGACCTTGAGGAATCTCCTGGGATTTCGTCTTAACTTCCACCCTTTTTTCGGGACTCTTCTCATCCTGCTTCTGCTTCCCCAATGTTCTCTCTTTAAGTGATTCATGCCTAGGCTTGACTGTCGCCGAGGCGAGATTGAGTGATAGTAAACTGTTCACAACCGCGAGATGTCCCTTTTCTGCGGCCAATGACAGCGGTGTTCGGCCAACCTTGTCCTTCCAGTCAGCCGTGGCTTTCTTCTCCAATAATGCCTCCACCGCGCCCTTGTTGCCATTCTCCGATGCCCATGATAACGCTGTTCTACGATTGGCATCGCACGCATCAACACGAGCACCCTGTTGCAAGAGGACTCTGATAGTTTCGCTTGCATCTTCTCTTTTACTAGCCGCCGCCCAGGAGAGCGGAGTGCGATCATGATTATCAACCGCGTCCCAATGCATTTTCTCATCAGTCAAATACTTGAGTACCGCAATGTCTCCTCTCTCTGCAGCCCAAGATACCACTGATCTTCCTTCAAGGTCCCGCGCATTGAGGTAATGCTTAATAGTCGACACAATACCCTTATCCGCTTCAGGAGATAAACAATAACAGAGAGCTTCCTCGACCGCACGAGTTCGAATGTATATTTCCTGCCCTCGCAGTTCACTTGTTTTCGAAGTTGGTTTGTATTCGTGCTTTATGATAGCTTCCAGGATCTCAGGGTTACGAGCAACTATGGCAAGGAACACTGGTGTTTCCCCTCTAAAGTTTTTCGAATAGAGGTCGCTATGGGCCTTGATGAGTTCCTGAACTACCTGAGAGTGTCCATAAATGATAGCGCATGCAAGCGGAGTGTCGCCGTCATTGTCTTGGGAATTGATATCTCTCTGTATCTCACACAGCCTCTGTACCAACTCCAAGTGACCCTTCTTTGCTGCCATTGAAAGAGGCGTATGTCCGAAGATGTCTTCCTCGTCATGCTTTGCTCCCCTTTCTAGCAGAAGGTTGAGTGATTCGATGAGACCTCCACGAGCCGCGTAATGTATTGCGGCCCGGTTGCGGTTGTCCAGAGAATTAATTCGGTGTTGTTCGAGAAGTGTTCCGATATCGAAGCTCGGGACGGGATATTCCACGGCCCAGGACAATAAAGATCGACCAGTTGGATCAATATAACTGGCTTCCGTGATACGATTGAGCAATAGAGAAACGACCTCAATCCGATCTTCCATGGCTGCGAAGTTCAGGGGGAGTCGTTGTGCGAAGTCTGGGAGCTTTTCGTCTGCGCCACTCTCCAGCAGGAGTTTCACGACTTCTTTGTGACCCTCCTCGGCAGCCAAAGATATCGAGGTCTGGCCATACTCCGACTCTCGATCATCGAGATGCTGCCGGATTTTTTCATTTTCCAGCAACAGTCGAACAACCTCAAAATTTCCCTTCTTGGCAGCCCAATGCAATGGCCCTTGTGAAACTTCGTCATTGATTTCAACGTCTGCGCCATGTGCAAGAAGAAGCTCAACGATTTTCTCGTGGCCAGCCTCAGCAGCAAAAGATATTGGAGTCTGACCCGTTGAGTTCTGCTGGTTGATCTTAGGCTTTTTCTCCAACAATAACTCGACGATATCTAGATGACCATTCCAAGCTGCCCAATGTAATGGCCCTTGTGACCATTTATCCGTAACCTCGACGTCTGCGCCACGTTCTAGCAGAAGGTTAACAATAACTTTATGACCGTTCTCGCTAGCCCAAATAATCGGGGTTTGGCCATAGTTAACGTCCTGGACGTTTAAGTCGATTTTTAGGTCGGTATTTTCGTCGGGCTCTTTGAGAAGCTCTTTCAGCTTCTCTACGTTCCCTTCTTGAGCATATTTGAGAACTTCCATACTATCCATATCTTGAGTACTGTGGACCAACGGATACAATTTGGATCAAGGTGCTAGAATGGACCAAGTCAGATTTTCACAATGCGAAATAGTGATGGGTATGTGATCAGGCTGACGGCTGTGGGGGGGAAGGCCAAGAAATCGAGCAACAAAATCTACGTGGCTGTAGCATCATACTTGACACAAGCGAGTCGTCTTCGGCCGGCTCTTATCATCATTTGTCCAGTAATATTGCGGAGGCTGTGATGTAGAGAGCTAGGGTCTCGAGCATCTCGAAATGACTTGTCACCCCCCTCCCCAAAAAAAGAAAGATCATCAAATTTTAATATCGTTAAAGGAAAGTATAGGAAAGTATAGGTAATAGAGCGTGGGCTCAATCACAGCTGCATGAAGGTGGCTAGCTGAACCCATCAGCTAAGGTCCCCGAAACGCCGAGGACCCCGGAGATCCTGGTTGAGCCTCACCTCGGATCTAGTTCGAGATGAACTGTTAAGTTAGATTTATGTACTTAAGGCATCGCTATGAACAGCTTAAGCTCACGCTCGTTGGAGAAACAGCTTTGATTCTACCGGACGTCGTTGCGATGCAGTGCTGAAGGTAGGTAGCAAAAATGCTAAATACGGCAATGGGGGCCGTAAGTTTTTCAGCTGTAGTAGTAATCATACATCTGTTGACATAACGGAGAGCCTTGTTGCCAGGTATGTAAATGTCAAGTTGGCCTTCGGCAGACTGGGATGGCAGGATAAGCAGAGCACCGTGCCTGAATAGGCAATTAGGAAAAGTGCTGACGACAGGAGGAGCAGCTGAAGAATGATTTACGTTAAGCCAGGATGCGACCTCATATCTTGAATTTGCACTTGTGTATCAGTGGTCTGACAATCGGACTTGATGCATTGGTGTGAGAGACGACGTTCGTTGAAGTACTAGCACTGGCTTGTGGCGCTTCCCCGTGCCTTCGGCACTGCGCTTTAATAGGTAGGGAAACGAGCAGCGATTAGGACGACAACGTTGTGAACGCTGGAGTTGCCAAACCCTATATAGAATTAGCAACTAACAAGCCTTGTTTGTTAGAGTCATGCTAACCTACGATGTTCTGCGTTGTTACCGCTACTTATCATAATGACATGGTTGTATCTGCCGTGGATCGACGAATTTGGCAATTTAAGCCGGGGTGGTTGAGTCCTGACAACGATGCTTCAGGTCCTTGTATCAAACATTGACAATCCCGAAATCCATGGAAGGCTATATTCATCTTAAATAATTAACTAACTACCTATTACCTAGTTAGATCCGACACTGGAAATTCTTGGGACGTATTACTCACTTGGTGTCCAGAAATATTGCTTCAGCTGTGGAATGTCGCTAGGTACACACAATGTTACAAGTTTGAGCTGGCGTGCTTTGCTCTTCTCCTGACCTATCTGAAATACGGAAGATTGAGCTAGAAGCCACTACGAGATCGGACCCCGACCGAACGTTACAATGCTAGTGATGAGAAAATGTCGACGTATCTTCCACCTCTACCGGCGAGCTTTGTGGTACAGGCATGTGCATATCTCTTGCGTGCGCGGAATTGGGTGTCTGGGAATAGAACCCCTGGTGCGTGGCCGCATCTCCTCCGCCCATCTCGATCGGATGTTTAGGTTGCGCGTGTAGCTCATGTATCTCGTGGCTCGTAGCCTTTATCCTCCTCTTCTTCTTGACATATATCAACGCGATGGCAAGCAGCAACGCCAGGACCCCGAGAGAAACACCAACGCCGATCCCAACTTTTGCGCTTTGGCTGAGGCCATTTCGGTTGGCGTATTGGGAACTAGTCGGGATGCTGGAGGTGATATCAGTTGTGTGAGATGTAAGCTGGTTGGTAAGTTAGCTAAAGAAACAGAGACAATCCGTGTTATTTTCGACTTTTCTTACTTGGGCAGTCGTGGATGTTCGGAAATCAGTAGACTGAAACCTCACTTGGATACCGAGCGCATTTATAGCCCCCGTAATACCCGTGATATTCTGAACTACTGTTGTTTGATCATCTGATATTACGTATACCGACGTCAGCGTCTAGGTAGACGGAAGATTCTAGTAGTAGTCGCCCCATCTAGGATGGCCTTCAGATTGACAGGTGTAGGGCATTGCTGTTGGACAGCATGTCTGGATCGTCTCTGTGGAAGCTCCGATTACATTCGAAGCGTTGCAAGCTGGTCGGTAACCGCTAGGGCAGAGTCCGGGAGAGTAATATAGAGCATTTGATGTTAAATACCCGCTGGGCCAACAGCTTCCAAGATCTACAGGCCCTTGAGCCCAGAATTTCAAGTCGTCATCGGGTACCTGATATATACGGGAAGCCTCCGAAGCGCAAGGAGTTGGTGGAACAAATGTCGTCGTTAGCGGACCGATATTACTGCCCATGGTTGGAAATGGCGTTGTGGCAATGGTATTTTCTCCTACCCAGTGAGAACTGTGCCCAAGTCATATGAGAAAAGAAGAGAGGCATATTTAGTGCTGGTAAACCTCGCCGTAGTAACAATTAGGGAGTGAAACATTGTGTAACGACGTGGCTGACACGGGATATTAATGGCAACTCGTGCATATGCCCGAGCCATTCGCTTCTAATTTTATGGTGATTCTAATTAGATACTAGGAGTCAGAAGCTACCTCGATAATAATAGAGCGCCATGCCTATTGGGTATAAATTCAGCATCAAGGGACCTTGAAGTAAGCCACTGTTGAAAAAGATACCTGTTTCAAATACGGTTACACCAACTGGTATTACTCGACGTGGGAAACTCGTTCATTTAACTATCCGGGGTCCAAGTCAAGCCTAAATAGGAGGCACCGCGAGTATAGCTGGACCAAGCACTTCTTCAAGAAGGTATTGTTTATTGCCTTATAAGAGGCATTGCAATCGATGTTCGAAGCGACGTACCATTTTCTACGAGAGTTAGTCAGGTAGGCTGGTGGAACGTACTTTGTAGTCATTACTTTTAAAATCAGGAAGTATTCACATACATAGATGTGGAAAGGATCTCGCGATGTCTGAATATCTGATTCTATCATATCCTTAACGGTACGTAGGTACTTGTATACAATCACAGAAACATATTACCTAATACTTCCACTAAATCTTTGAGCTGGCCAATCAAATTGATCACGCGCCCCTGAGAAAAGATTCTATCCTATTGGACCCCGAAGTCTAAGAACCGGACCAATTACGTCACACCACTCATCCCTGCCCCTCCTAGCCCTATGACGAATGACGGAGGACTGACTTTGTTTTTCAATTCTTAATTCTTACTACTTCCGATTCCCTCTATGCGTTGTATACGGATAGCAGATGCCGGATGGGATTGGGTACTCCCCTGCGTCGACCAATGGCTACGAGTTCCCAGGTTATTTTGTCTTAGGCCGTAAGCGTTTTGCCTAGGCGCTATGCTTTTGTACCTAGCAAATACCGCCCATCACGGCTCAGGTCGACAGGTCGAATGCGCCCGCTCAAGCCCACGTCACGTCACCACTTCGACGCTTTAGCATTCGAGATTCATCCATGGATGTTATTTTCCACTCAGCCCCGTTCCAAGTTTCCTCGCGCACTGGACACCGTTTGGACGAATCGTCATCATCGCACATTGACTCCCCTACCAAGGTTCCCTGTCATGCCACGCCGCGCCACATGTAATGTCTCGTCCATTAGCTCTGATAGTTCCAATATATGTAGGTACGCATTAGGTAGCTTGGGCTCTATAATATATTCGCTGTCCGCCGTTTTCTTCTGCGATTTATTAAATATTCTCACCCGCGTATTTTGTCTCATTCTGTGGGGCTACATCATCTACATCTACGACGTCGCTCTAGCCTGCAACCTTTACATCGCTAAACATAACGCACTTCCACGACTACCTACCTTCACTGCCACAAAGCTCTACATTTAATAGTTGAGAAAAAGAAAGGAAATAGCATTAATCAAGATGGCATTCGGATTTATCCCCATCGTCCACATCGTGGCTGCTATCTTCGCCATTATCGAACTCGGCCTAACAGCATACCGTACGTCTAATAGCTAACAATATATAAATTGCGAACTACCCACCATGTAGATCAGATACGGTGACTAACATCATATCTCCCAACTAGTTGTCAGCGGATTCAGCGGCAACAACAATGGCTGGTACTACTACGACTACTCGCCGCCGCGACTCAACTTCATGGTCTTCAACTCGGTGTGGTCGCTGCTGGTGCTGCTATACGTCGGCGTGGTGCCGCTGTACATGACCAGCTTCTTCCACCGCCTGGCCGCGCTCGCCCTCAACACCATAACCACGATATTCTGGTTTGCCGGATCCATCGCCCTCGCCGTCTTCGTCGGTGGGCCGTATGACTGCCATTCTAACACCTGGTGCGGTGCCGAAGAGGCTGCAGTCGCCTTCGGCTTCTTCCTATGGTAAGTTCTCACCCTTGAAGTTATTCCCGGGATGTTGAAAAGAGGGGAAATACTAAATGTCGCGCAGGGCTCTCTTTACCTTCCTCACCGTCATCGACGCCCTCGACTCTCTGCGGAGCCGCGGTCACAACGCCGGTCCCGCCAACAAGCCGAACGCGTATCCCGGCGCTTAAGCAGTCTCGTCTACTATCCCCAGATACTAGGCGATAAACGATTTCCCCGTGCGCCTATTTTTATCTCCACTCGCGGGAACACGTATTTGAATTTTGGATTATGGATTTAAAATGGAAATAATCGACGGCGTTTTTCTGGAGGCGAGGGGGAGTCGGTGAAGACGGGATAACGAGAATATACCCCTCCTGGACGTTGTCATGAGTCAGCTAACGATTTCACCGGTTTTATGGCCGCCTTTGGCCTAAACCCGGTTCTTAATGAGTTGAACGAGCACATAATTATTACTGTATCCCAAGGCGTACGTATGCGTATGAAATTGGTGCCATGAGTTCTGTTAATTTAATATGAAATTCAAGTGTACCGGAAATGATTCGTATACAATCCAAGATACCTCCCTAGTATTTGTGGATGCATAATGGTTCTCATGTAGATAGGCACTTTGCAATCTTACCATCAACAATAATCAGCTTTGGTATCAGTATTTTGTAACATTACTTCAGTGATTAGAACAATTTAATGTTAGACGGACTATTACACACCATGCCCCTTGAAATTCAGTTACTTACATAATAAGGGTGCCCAACCCCGTAGCGTGGTATCTGCCGGCGTCAAACCTACCTAGGAGTTGCGCCGAACCCTTCAACCCTATTATAACGCCCTTCCGTTATTACCCCGAGAAAAGTACCGCTTTTAGCTCAGGGCTTATTCTTATCTTGGCTACATGCCTTTAAAGCTGCGGTGTAGTCGAAATCTACTCGATGCCAAGCCGTGGCTAAGTTGCCCCTCGGATTGTAGATGCTCTTGTGGGTCTCAGGTTGGGTATTATACGCGTCGTCCGTGGCTTTGACTACTAGGGTGGCCTTCGACTCGCCCTTCGAACCTTTGACCATCTCGGACAGCCCAGTCTCGTATCTCCACCTTTTCCAACACCAAGCCTTATTTCCTCTTTCGAGATTGGTATCGTCGACCAGCTGCGCCTGATCCCACGTCAACCCACCGTCCAAGCTGATATCCACGCGTTGGATTTCTCGCCCGCCGCCCGAATAGGCGTACCCTTCGATCTGGACAACCGAGTTTTGAGTTGATTCGCTGGCCTGACCGCCTGAGGTCTTGTCTGCGGGCTGTACTCTCGTGCGCGTTATGGCGCTCGTGATTGGCATTACTTGGATCGCCTTGTATTTGTCCCAGTCTTGCTTGACCTCGTTCGGCCCGAAACACTTGTAATCCCGGCGTTGCCAAGTAGTGGTGCTCTCCTCGTCACTGACAACGATCTTATTCACCCACTTGACGCACCTTGCTGCTACGTGGCCCGGAACGACGACCCTGACAGGAAAACCGTGGTCGCGCGGGAGAGGCTCGTCGTTCATCTTGAATGCGAGGAGCACGTCGCCCATGGGATCAAGAACCGTCGAGATTGGTATGCTGGCACCGTACGCTTCTAGGCCCGAGAATTGAATATGCCGCGCGTCCTCTCCCGGGTCTTCGAGCGACAGACCGGCATCGGCGAGGACGTCTCGTAACCGCACGCCCTCCCACTTTGCGCAGCTTATAGCGCCGACCGTCCATTGCAAACCGTTCGTCTTCTTCGCGTAGCGGGTCATGTCGCTGCGCCGGTTGCCGGAGCATTGTAGCACGGCCGTGACGGTGTGCTGTTTAAAACGAGCCTTGAGATCCTTGATGCTATAGGTCTTGATGTCGCCGTCGGGTAGTTCAATCGTGATATTGTGTTCTTCTGCCTCGGCGTCTTCTACAACCGGAACCCACATATGGTTTCGAACATAAAAGACCGGGTTCGGCGTAAGGAATGACTTAGTAAGTTCTTGGTTAGGGGTTTCCGCGTTGCAAGGCTTCGCCGTGAGCTGCTTCAGTCTTGTATCTCTGACGGGGTCTAACATGAAAGGATCTTCGATATGCTCCTGCAGCGGTCGTCCGTTCTCTAAATCATCCGGATGGACTTTTCCAACGATATATTGTTCGAGAATTTCCTTTACGTAGGGAGATTTGTGGATAGAAAATATGTCCCAGTACGGTTCGATGCTGCCACCGGCAGCGCGAAGGATGACCTCTCCGCCTGGGTGACCAGGAATCCAATCTGTTATGTCGTATACCTTATCCTCACAAATCACCCACGGCCGCTCGGACTTTGGTCCGTGTGCTTTGACTTCGGCCAGCCGATAACGTGGTAGACCATCACTATCGTTCGGGATGGAATCGGGCGGCGGAAGGTCACCATCTTGGAGATTTTCGAGAGGTTCATTGGTAACAGGCTGAAGGGCGGAAAATAGTATGGTGAGTAGACCGCTACCTGCGGCAAGAACAGGTAGGGGTCTTATACGGCGACGGATGGGGGGCGCCCGTGGTACGGTTCTATACGATGCGGCTCGAAATGTGGATCGAAAGCCTACGAGTCTGATCCGGGAACCAGTTGATTGTCCAGTTCCGAAGTTGTCAAGAAACCCGAGGGTTCGCTTAGGCCTTCTTGTTATGTTCGACAACCCCGACCCAAGACGTTGAGAGATTGGTATCGACATGGTGTCGTTCACCTTCGGGGATTTGCCCTAGATCAGACGGGACTGAGTGGTCTCGGCGATGCGTCCATAGCACTTCACTGTATGGCCACCGCGTCAAGAGACTTAACCTAGTAGAGTTGGTATTGTTGGAACTAGTTGAAGAGACTGTTTATTAGTCTGTAGATCCGCCTCGTTGGATGAATTGACTTGTTGTGTCCAGGCAAGATTGATGTAGGGAAGAAATAGACGTAAGGTGAAATTTAGTACCAGCAACAGCTATGCTGTTTAGGAGAACTATCTCCTAGTTTTAGTATTATCATACGATACGATCAATCTGACGATGGTTGAAGAGTGAAAGAAGATAGAAGTCGAAGACCCGGGGATAATTGGATCTTAAATGCCACGGAACGAGTCAAGGGAATAAGGAAAGAAACCGGAAGGGTATCAATCTTTCGGTTGCCGATTGCCGTCAATCTGTGCCGTATGAGAAGCGGTGACCGGTATAGACGGGATAAGAGACGACAGTGGAATAAGGGGACGTCGGAAGGGAATACGATGGACGGCTCTTAGCCATAGGACCAATTGGTAAAGCTTGCCCGATTCAAGGCTCCATCCAAAACAACCCTACCTCTTTGTCCGCCAAATTCATCTTGCAAATTACTATAGCACCTACTTGCGATTGGTACTATCCTGCATCAATGGTACAGGTTAGGAGAGTCCCAATGAAACTTAATAACCTTAGATTCGAGAAGAAAGTACGCTTCAAGCTGGAGATGTGAATATATGATGGAGGAGGAAAGGGTCTAGAAGGCAAGCAAACGAGCTAAAGTTGAGACGTTCCAGGGTTAAAGTGGGCTGCATCAGCTGGGCAGCTAGCAGGGTAGGCAGGGCTGACAGCCAACAATAGCCAATTAATTACTTCAATTCGTCGCTTCCTCCCGAGACCCGATCCTGTGCCGGCATTCGGGCGCCTGAGACCTTAGTCCGGTCCGTTAGTCGGGTTACCGTAGTATTCGCGCATGCAGGTCACTACTAATACCGATACCTGTATGTTCTTCAAGTCACTTGTGAACGTAAACGGCTATCGAATTGTTTGGAAAAACAGAAGGCGTTTGACGTCACTGACAGGAAGCAATCGTCTTCTTACACCAGGTTATTCTCCGTCGCGTCACATATGGGAACCAAGACTAATTCAGACCGATACTCGGACATACGACGCGGTCTAAGCCTTGAAGGCTTTCTAGTTTGCTATTATCGCCCGCGAGGGGCCTTTCTATGTTACAAGCAAGGTATAAGTACACGCCGTCGACTTCTTCGGACGACCGATTAGTCGTCTTCCTCCTCGTCGGTGTAGTAGTCGAAGTCGTTGGGCGGCTCCGCTTCTTCGTCTCCCTCGGCATCCTCGTCGACGGCGGTCAGAACACCGGCTGCCGCCGCAGCGCCGCTGGTGTTCCGACTCGGAGTAGCGAGAGGGTCCCGACCAAGCCGGCTCAGGAGGGCTTCCTCGACAGTTCGAGGGTTGCGGTTCTGACCGCTGCCGGCACCGGCGACGGGTGCCTTCTCTGTCGTCATCACCTTCAGCTTCTCCTCGATAAGCGCCTTTTCCTTCTCGGGCTGCATGTCGTGAAGAAGTATGGGACCACCGGTCGGCTGTAATCTGGTTAGCGTCGTTGAATAGATAGATAAGAAAGATGGGATCATCTTACCAATGGACCAGCTCTCACCAGCTTGACAGGCCAGTAACGGCCCTTGGCGAGGCTGATATACTTGAGCTGTGCCGGCAGGACTCGGCTCATGTTCTCGATGTCGTAGCCGGCCTTTTCCTTCTCCGCCTTTTTCTTGACGTCCGTCGGAGGTGTCGAGCTTTCCTTCTCACCCGGCGCCGGAGTCTCGCCCTCTTTCTTGTCTTTCACCTCCTCGCTCGGCTTACCCTTCGAGTCGATATCCATCTTTTCGCCACTAGCGCTAGGCTTGGAGATAGTCGGGGTAGTGGTGGAATCGATATCCATGCTCTCTCGTCGCTGCGCCTTCTCTTTCTTCTGAGCTCGCCGCTTCGCCTGGGCGGTGGTCGATAGGATGGCGGTGGCGATCATCGTCGGGCCCTCCTCAGTCTTGACCTCTTGCTCTGGAGGGTAGTCGAAGAGACTCGGCTTCGTAGCGCAATGGAATTTGACGTCAATGATATCCAAGTCGTGGTCGAGGGCGATGATCGAGGTCGGGCTGAAAGCCAGGGACAAGAAGTGGGTGAACGGGAACCAGTACCAGTACTGAGTGAATACGGCCATGCCCACAACGCCGGCCATGTTGAGGTTGCCGGTCTGGGTCTGCAGTCCGATCGTGCAATTGCGTCCGCCGGCGTCGATGATACCTAGAGCGAGGGCCGCGCCGAATTTGGTCATAGCATCTTCGTGGCGGTCGCCGACTACCTTCTTCAAAGTCTTGCGGATCGCCGCGACCTTGGGGTTCATCACCTCGTTCTGCTGGATCATGATCATGGCTAAGGCGATCAGGGCGCCCTGTCGGACGAAATCGGTAGGATCCTTCATCATAGGCTCTAGCAGGTCGATAGCCTCGTCCAATCCGGTTCCGGCGCACGAGATACCGAGCGCCATAGCCGAACCATAACGGACGTGAGGGTTGTACGACTCAGAGAGGAGCTCGACCATACGGGGGACGCTACCAGGCTTGCGGAATAGAATGAAGCCCAAGCTCATGACGGCGATCCGTCGCACGTCATCATTGACGTCGCTGACGGCGACGTGTAGCAACTTTCGGATGGCCTTATTGCTGCCGGTGCCGCAGTAGGCCATCGCCACGGTCATGATGCCGCCGTATCGCAACGTTGGATCCGGGTCGTTTAGGAGACCCTCTATCATAACATCCGCGCCCTCCTGCTGGCCGTACATGATCAAGGCCATACCCAACGCTAAGCCTCGCACACTCTTCTCGTGAGACGTTTCGTGCGCGTAAGCGACCATATCTTCTAACGCCTTGACGTTGCCGGTGCCTAGCATGATCAAGCCCATAGAGAGACCGACAGCCTCACCATTAAGAGCGGAATCGGCGTAGAGGACGGCCTTGAGGTTCTCGAAGATCTCCTCGTTCCCGCTCGCCATACCGGCAAGACCCAGCCCGAGGGCGCCACCATGCTGGATGACTTCCTCTTCGGCAGCAGTGAACTGGGTCTTGAGGTAATCTAGGGCGTCGGCGCCATGGTTCGCGTGGATGAGGCCGTACGCATAGAGAGCACCGCCCTGGGAGTACGGGGAACCGCCGCTGATACCGCCGGCGCCCCGAGGGAGATAAGGCTCCAAGAGCTTCTTGGACTGTGAGAGATTTCCGCGATGGATCACGCCCAAGGCTGCGGTAGCGGTGAATTTGGACCAGTTGACGGCTTTACCTAGCCATTCCAAATTGTCCCTGAAGAACTTGTCGTTTGTCGTACCCTGGTTCATGAAGGCATTGCAGAAGGTGACGGCGGTGTGGAAGATGGAATTCCGGCCCTCCAAGCTGTCACGGACCTTGGCCAGGATGTAAGGGTCATAGTGGTTGTTGCGGTAGAGGAATTCGAGGTTGAGCTTGATAGTCTTGGTACCATCGAGGATGGAGCGGATGTTCTTGTAGATCGCGGCCTTCTTCTCATCCACTTCCGCGGACTCGGCGTCGCCAGCGTTGGCGTCGTTGCTTAGAAGAGGGTCGCTCTCGGCTTCGCCAGCAGCGTCGTCGACCTTCTTCTGAACAGGCTCGCCCTTCGGCAAACCTGATATGACCTTACCTAAGAAGCCTTGCGTGCCGTTGTCGTATAGGTCGAAGGCGAACTGGTAGGCTATGGCGGTGGCTTCTATAGTCTCGGCCTTGACGAGGTGCTGGATGACGGTGCGCGCCTGCTCGTCCTTGTTTAGGTAGACGATGCACTTGGCGATGGAGAAGTAGTCGGGATCCTTGGCGCGACCGCTAGCGAGAATGTCGAGGATGAGCTGCAGAATGTCGTCACGGAAAGCTCGCTCCTGCACAACGTCCATGCAGATGCCCAGACAGTAGTCTAGAAGCTCTTCGGCGGGACCCATGGCGTCGTCTTGGGTTGACTTGCCCTTATTGCGCTTGTAGTCGTCGTCGGCGCGCTGGATCACTTTGCTGACGACATCGAGCCGCTTCGCCTCGACGGCGATGCCCACGACCTGCTGATAACGCCTCTCCTTCAGACAGCTCTCGAACAGACGTTCGATAACATTGTCAATCGCGCGTCGGGTATCGAGCTCATTGTTGGTCAAAGCGACGGAGGACGACCGGTGCTGTTTCTTCTGCGGCTCGAAAGAAGGCTCGAGAATGGTATTGTCGGTGGAAGCGCGAGAAAGAAGAGACTTGGAGGGCAAGGTGGACTGGGAGAAGGGCGTCGTAGGCGAGATCAGAGCGGAAGCACTACCGTCGATGGCAGTGCTGGAAAACGCAGTGGCGAGAGCGGGCAGGGAAGTATCCTTCTTGCTGACGACGGTGTGGTTCTCGTTCTTGGTAGCGATGTAGTGGTCGACGCAGTTGGAGATGATAGTCTCCTCAAACTCGCCGGGGTTGTCTAGCTTAAAGAGCTCGCCCGCGGCCAGGGCAAAGAACATGCTCTCATCGTAGGCTTGGAGGTGATAGTAAACTTTGGACAGGACGAGAGCAGCTAGCTTGCGTTCGGGGAAAGATTCGTCCTCGTACAGAGCCTCGCTAATAAATCGCTAGTTAGCATCGTGTCACCATACCGGATGATCGACGCAGATAAGATATCTGCATCTGCGAAACTCACATCTGACCTAGAGCGCTGGCGACCTCGAACCAAACGGTGTCGATATCATCGTTAAGTGTCTGCAGGGCGAAGACCTTGAGCTCGGGTTCCTCGTCGGCCAAAAAGGCTAGCACGCCAGTAGCGGTGACCAGACCGGGCATCTTGAGATAGAACGAGTCGATGCGTCTATCAACGAAGGTGACGAATCAAGGGAACAGTTGCGCGACGAAGGGCTTATTGATGGCGGAGGAGGCCAGTGATTACCGATGTAAACAAATAAATGGGATCGATTCGGATTACGAAAATGGCCACGGTTACATACGCCGTGCCGTGCGATGCGACGTGATGAAATATGGTAGATTATGTGATGTTTTGTGGAAGGATGAAGCTATTCGAATTTCGAAATTAAGGTACGAAGCTTAGAAAGCCACGGACAACGACCAACGGCTACCGGGTGAACCTTCCACGTCCACGTCAGGCAAAGCTCTGCCTGCCTGGCTTGGCAAACCTTACAACCCAGCCTTAATCTGGTAAGCCACGGTGGCTTGACGAAAACAGCGAGCGGACCAATGAACCATTCGCATGAGGGGCAGGGGGTAGGTAATCTTAAGATTCAAAAATACTGGGGCATCGTGGACCCATGTACATTTTGTGTCTTCAATGTTCTTCAATCTATGGTCACCTTTCTGTTCGGTTCAAGTTTTTCCAAGGGTTTAGAAACAATCGATATTTATGGATATTGAACATTTGCTTATTAATATGTATCATAGAAACCAGTGGCAGGAAGAGGTATGCTACCAAATATTCTGGTTCACGGCTTCATGTTGCTATCAATATTTACATTTACATACATCATATCTAAGTGCCTTAGCACATATGCACGTACCTATATACGCATGTATCGCATAGCTCTTGTACCGGTACATAAATCCACGCAGCTACAAGCGCTAGACTATGGGTATCTTCTACGTAGATATCACAAGCAAGGATAGGAGGGGAACAGAAAGGCCAAAAAAATATCAAAGCTTTAGGTACAAATTGGATTGATCGATTCATCGTGTCACGCACGCTTTCGCATTCATCCCTGGAACTAATCTTTGTTCATAATTCCACTAACTTTGTACAACTAGGACAAATATCTGTCAATTCTGTCGCCGTTCGCTATAAACCTATTACCTATTACCACTTACATGTATTTTGAACATTGCGCATAATCATTTTTAATATCGACACCCGATCGAGAGATACGGAAGCATAGATCTTTGTCGTCGCCTGAAGCAGTTCGTTATTCTGATAAGATCGAAACTGCAATAATTGATATTCCCTTTTTTTTCGCGATTCCATAAAATTATCGACTCCAACAACGCGGACTTATACAATCCCAACCCGACAAAAACGAGTCATCCATCCATCTCCGTTTGCATCGCCCACCGACATTTTTTGCATGTCACCTAAGAGACGAGCGGCCACCTTAATTACGATATCGCATTGAATAGCTAAACCAACGTAACGGGCGAAACGTATCGGCTGAATGTATCGATGACGTTGACAAACGCGGCGGCTTGAAGCACGAGCGAAGAAGTGATTGTGTCGTGTGTTGCTGTTGCATGTGTGCGCGCGCGCGATAGAGCGTCGCTACAAAGTAAGAGTGACAAATAGAGAGGTGTAGGGAAACAAGAAGACGGGGAAGAGGTCGCGCGCGCACATATACAGTTGTATGTGCGTATGTGCGTATTGTGTATGTGTGTTGCGCTGCGAAGAGATTCGCTGTAAGGGGAAAAAGTCAAGATTTCCGTGACTCAAGAGGAAGGAGTAAGAAAAAAGAGACGAAATCAATAGGGATCTAGCTCCAAGAGAGCAAACAGCTAACATCGTGAAAATGGATCTACGTGCCATGTTAAACGGTCCGGACGGGGGCGCGTCGAAAAAGCAGCAACCTCCTCAGCCATCTATACAACCGCCGTCCTCGTCGGTCTTAACATCGTCAGCTTCGGCCACGCCCACCACTCCGGCTCACTCTGGTCCGCCGCCTCAATCGTTCAGAGACTATAATCATTCTACCCAAGCATCGCCCGTTTCGCATCCTCACGAATACCCTCCCGTCGGCGCTCCCAACCATCCGAGTCACGCGCCAGGATCCGCCGGCCCGTATCAGTCACCGACCTCGTATAACCCACCCCCAAACGCGTTCGGTGGCAGACCCCCTGTCCCTCCTCTCCAACCACCAGGATCGCACGATTTACGTTCGCCAGGAAGTGCCTCTATATCAGGACCGTCGCCGTATCGACGCACGCCCACCTCGTCCGTCAGCACCGCAAGTGGCGGTTACCCATTTCCCCAGGCTCAGCAACCGCCTCTAAGTCCAGTGCAAGGGCGCCAGTACGGCCCACCGAGTGCGGGTGCTGGTCCGGGTGTTGGCCCGAGTGCAGGTGGTGCCGCTGGGCCTTATTCTCGTGATAGCTACAGTACACAACACGGTTCTATATCGTACGCACACGGCCAACAACCGCAACCACTCCCACAGACACCACCCGTCGGCACTCCTGGTGGTAGCCAGCAATATTTGCACCATAGATCACATTCTATCCAGTCAACTCCCACGCCTACATCTGCACATAGTCAACCGCCGTCCTACGGGCTCCCCTACGTCCAAGGGAGTCCCGTCGCGACGACGCATCCTCACCCTCTTCCTTTAGATCAGCTACAACACCAACTCCAATCGCAGGCACAGTTTCAGCATCAGCATCAAAGTCAACCGTCTCAACCTCCGACGCCTCTTGGGCAGCCTTTGCCGGGACCAGCGTTGCGTCAATCGCCAGCGGCGACTTACCAGCAGCCGCCTAGCCCGTACCAAAAACGCCTTTCTACCGTTTCCGCGTCATACCCACCCCAAGCGACGCAAACATCGCCCAAACCACTTCCGCCAGCACCGGTCCAACGCATGTCAAGTACTAGCAGTCACAGCACCTACGACGCTGTCGCGGAATCTCACCGCGGGTCACAGTCTCGAAGCGAACGCGAAAGAAGCATGAGTGTCTCACCGAAAACACGTGTATCTAGTTTACCCAGCAACGGCGGTCATCGCCCCCCGTCCACTAGCAGTGACGCAAATCCTTACCATCCTCAACCTCAACCTCAACCTCAGCCCCAACCTCAACGTCTAACGCCGGCTTCACTTAATAATAATACTATGGAACCACAACACCCGACTACCCCGGCAAAGCGAAAACTGGAGCATCGCGATCTCGGACCCGACGATCTCGAGAACGACCGAAAAGCTCCTCCGCCACCTCAGATGAACGGCAACCACGATATTCCACTGGCCAAGATGGCCCAAATTTCCGGCTCACCTGCCGTTCTGCAGCGAAAGCGTGCCAAGTACGTCCAGCCTCCGGTCTGGGCACACAGCGGCAGAGATCGAAGCCAGGTCATAGCGAAGAGCCGTAACTTTGCCTTGAAGCATCACGGACGTCTACTCGCTAACGCTGGCGGGTTGGTTAACGGGCGTAACCGTAACGATGCGACAGGAAATGTCAAGTCGGAGCACGTATCTCGGCATGCCTCGCCCGAGACTACGCGGTCTACTACGGTCGTCAAATCAGAGGAACCTAATTACAGAGAACCGTCAGCATTCGGCGGTCAGCCGTTCCCGTGGGAGCCTAGCATCGGTAACGAGACGCCCAAGAACATCGTCTCTCGCGAAGTCGCGGACTTCTTGGGCATTCACGTCTTGCAATATCCTCATATTGAAGAGGTCCAGAGCCGAGGCGCGCAGTTCGAGATCGAAGCCAAGCTCGGTACCATCATCGACAAGCAGACCAACGACCGCATCTACTTTCCCGAGATAAGAGCCGGCGAATGTGTATTGAATGGCGGCAGGGTCGCGTTTCGTAGTTCGATGACCGAGGTAAGTGACATGTTGGATGATGCTGATTATCCTACCCGGTGCTTTGCTAACCTATTCGTCGATAGCACCAACACAGTGAACTCAATAACTATTTAAACGACCAAGTCAAAGCTTCGTTCCCCCGGAACCCCACGGCAGCTAGTCGCGTCCAGGTTCACTACGTACATCGCAAGGAGGTCGACCGATTCTTCGAGCTCTCGTCCCATATCCGCCAACGAATCCCCGGTTGCATCTCCGGTCTACTGCCGCCGAGCATGCCTGTCAAGGCACGTGTCACGTACGATTCCCAGAAGCCTGATAAGGTGTTGGCCAAGATAGTGAAGGGACGGATCGCCGACCTAAACATACACTTCCCGCATTTGCCCCTAGACTGTCGTATAAGTATCAATATAGAATGGGACTGGGATGGCCCCGCAGAAGAGATCGAGAGTTATCAGAACCCGAACAAGGAGCGGGCGCCCGATCGGATCAAGGATCGACTAAGCTACAAGCACGGCTTCTACCAGATCGATCTAACCCAAGTGACGCAAGGACACCCGACCTCGGGCGGCCAATTGCTGCAACCGCATCTCGGCGCCGCGAAAGAGCACGAACTCGAAGTCGAATTGGAGGCCCGTCCACTGATCGAACATGGCCGCATGCTCATACGGCGAGAGCCGAACCGATATGAGGACTTGGTCGACGGTCTTGTTAATAACGTGCGTCTGCTGGCTAGACAGTGTCCGCCGCAGCCGTAGTGATCACTCGAGCCGGCGGGGAAAGGATGTAGGCGTGGGTACATAGGAGTCTGAGGGAGCAGAAAGTATCTGCTATGAATAGCTGTGCGCAATTAGTAAATAACATGGAACATCCTGTTTTCGAGTCTTGAAACAGGATGAGTAGAATATGATGGCGGTCGGAAAAGCAAAGGACTTCCTGTTATCTTGATTTTCTCAGAACGTGATACCGGTTCGGAGTCGGGCAATTGACACGACGTCGGAGTTTGTCTGGTCGGTTCGCATTGTTTTGCATTGACGACGTCGATGGCATGGCATGATGAATTAAAACGCGAGGCGCCTTGTTTTGCCGCTCTTCCACTCATAAACCTGATCTGTGCTAAAGTGAGATGTCGACCTTTGATCCGCAAGTCGGAGTAAGCATGTTAAAATCTGACTCCATCGGAAGGAACCTAACCAAGTTCATGACAACCCGGACAGGGTAGGTAGATAGGTAGTCAAGGAAAAGGAATCTGGTAAAGCCCCTGTTGATGATCTTATGAATAGGTACAGAAAAGCTCGAGTGACATCTACGTTAATAGCACTGAAAACGACATCCCAAGTGAAAACACATCCATTAATATACATGTCGCCTGAGACGATCTACAACCCGAGCAAGACATTAAAAGATAGGTACCTAGCTATCTAGAATTAGGTAGGCTAAGTGTCCTCCATGCGCCAAAAAGACGAACAAAAAGAAATACAAACTGTAAAGATCGAATACATCCCCGACCTGGTCTCTCCCCCCCCTTTTACTCTACGGCACCTGCAAAACTAACTCAAGCATGTTTTCCCATCTAATCTTCTCTATCTATCCACCGCCTCTTCTTCCCCAACGAACTCCACCTAGGTACCCAATCTTCTAAACCGGCCCCGTACCCCGTCTCGTCCGACTACTCCTCCTAGGACTCTCCTCAGCAGCGGGCGCCGCCTCCGGCTCACCAGAAGAGCTCCGTCGCCGGAACCCGAAACGCCTAGGCGGCCGCGTTCCGCGCCCCGACTCGGTAACAATCCTCCTTGCGGCCTCCCAGTCCGGCGGCAGCTCCACGAAAGGACGGTTCTCAGCCGTCGGCCCCGCGACAGGCGGTGCCGGCATATCCGGTGTTTCTTCTTCTACTTGTACTTGCTGCTGCTGCTGCTGGACCGCCGCCTTCCCGCTGCTGCCGCGCGGTCTAGACTGTTTCCTAGTATTCGACTTAGGCCTACCGCGGCCTCTCCTCGGCTTCTTCGGCGTGCGCGGCGCGTCCGCGGCTAAGTTGCGCACGGGGTCGGGCACGGCGCTCGCCTCGGAGAATTCCTCCGGCACGAGGTCCTCGTCTCCCGCGCCTACCTGCGTGAACGTCGGGTCCGCATCCTTGTTAGGTCGCTTGCGCTTCCGCGAGCCGCCGAGGTCCGGCTCGATTTCGTCGTCGTCGTCCGCGGCGGTGGGTACGTATTCTGTGCCTGACACGCCTTCGGTGTCGGGCTCGGAGAGGTCGTCTCGCCTTCTGCGGCTACCCGACGGGAGGGCTGGGACTGCGCCGCTTTCGGTGTCCGGTTCGGAGAGGTCGTCTCGTCTCCGGCGGTTACCCGGCGGGAGGGCTGGAGCTTGTTCGACCTTCACGGGAACGTTGGTTTGGGCTGGCGTCTTTCCGCGCGCGCGGGGGGTGCGGACCGGTTGCTTTACGGGGGGGACCCAGGCATCCGCCCGAGGGATGCTCCACGGGTCGTCGGAGCTTTCTTCGGTACCCCCCGCATTTGGAGGGTTTCCTTGAGAGTCGTCGGACAAGTCGCTGCTGTCCCCAGGGTCGCCCTTCTTCGGGCCGGTGTAGAACGGGTCGGGCGGGAGGAGGCCGGCGCCCTGGTTCCCTGCGGGAGGATCGACGGGGGGGTAATTGGGGTCGGCTGGTGCGTCTTCAGGCGCTTCGGGCTCTGCGGGCTCTTCGACATTCATCGGATCCGCATTTTGATCGTCGAAAGTGATGTCTTTCACGGGTAGTGGAGTACGATTATACGAAGGGCCGGGAACGTAAGACGGTTCGTCGAACAAACTGTCCGGCCCATCGCCTTGCGGGTCGTCTAACGGTATCACGGTGCCCTCGTATGGCGGCCACGGCAGTGCCAGAACGCCGGTCCAGATAGTGTTCGCTGGATGGTTCGGGTCGTCTCTCATAGACCCCGCTGAGAAAACCTGATTATAGGCCGGGTCGTAGGTAACCTGGATCATCTCATCGCGCACCGGGAACATGGAGTGCCTGTAACCCGGGTACTTCTCTATGAAATCGAAGAACGCCTTACCGAAGTCGTAATTTTCGCTCGGGACGATCCAGCCGCTACGGTTGGGTAGCTTGCTGACATCCGTGGTGCCTAGGCCGCGACGAATCTTGCAAGATCCCTCCTCGGCCATATGCAACTATCGCGGTGACGGCGTGTTAGCTTAAAACATACTATATTTCTAGTAAAACTAGGGGTACGTGGCGGATAAACTTACCTCGGCCATTTCTAGGCCGTGGCCTGCTGGCATAAAGCATCGCGAACATCTCCATTCCGGATCCGGCTGGAACGAAAAGGGGCCCTCCGTCTCCTTCTCGAGTATGAGGTCCCACTCGGGAGAAGGTACTCGGCGGGGTGGGATTTCGTCGTCCTCATCCGCCTCTCTCCAGCGCGGTATCGGAGGATATATCTTGAAGTCAGTCTGGGTCACGGGAGGTTCTTCCCAATCCAGTATAACCTCGTCTCGATGACTCTTTCGACCGCGACTAGCGCTCCGAGCGGATTGCTTAGGTTCAGAACCGTCAAACTGAGTGCCCTTGGACTCGGCTTGAGTAAATTTGGGACCTTTAGGTGTGGGAGCCGCCTGCTTGGGGAACGCAGGTGCAGGCTGAGTGGGCTGAGTAGGCTGAGCAGGCTGAGGAGGACCGGACAAGGGGACGTGAGACTTCCCAGTGCTTACGGGGTGGCCCGTGGCTTCTCCGATTTCCCGTTGATGCACATCAATAAAGTGTCGCCTGATCGAATTCTGGTCATAGTACGGGAGGAGAGTGCTTTCTCGGTCGCACAGGAAGCACTTCAAGGTCGCGTGGTCTTCTGTCAAGTGTCGAGAGAGACCCTCGCGGTCCCTGAACGGAAAGTACCTGTGGCAGTCGGCGTAAGGGCACTCTCTGATCCTGTCTAGCAGATTACCCCGTAGCGTATGGGTTTCTCTTTCGAGCCGCGCCATCTCGCCAGGAGTCCGCATCGCGGTAGTGTACCCCGGCACGTAAGGCCCGGTCCTGACGACGGTTTCGAGAGGGGCGCCCTGGGTTGGAACCACAGGTTTGGCCGGGTTGGTGAAGACGCTAGGAGCGTCCCAAAAGAACCTCTCTCGCAGTCTTTTGGCCCTCTCGGCGCCCGATTCGTTGTTAACAGTATCCTTGAAGATCCTATCCATGGTTTTGGAAAACGGTCTTCGTCGCGACGGTACCTCGATTTGCGACGAAACCACATAGTTTGGAGTTCCGCAGTCGTAGCGTGGTCCCCACGTAGTTTTCTGTTCCACGGCTTTTGGTACGAATTAGCTAAGGCAGTCTAACATGTAAGCAGTTCTTCTAATACTTACACCAGCCACTTGTCCAGACTTCAAGAGACACCGTAATATTCGGTTCCGTGATTCTTCTTACGATCCAATTCCACCCATCCTCGTCCGTATCGGATCCGACAACGAAGTCTATGTTGTTCCGTCCCCAAGTTGTCTGGGTTAAATGCAGAACTAACTCCTTTTGGGTGTCTGAATAATCGGGGTAAAGGGTGGACTTGACAGCTTCTTTGAATTCCGCGAAGGATCCTTCGCTGTCGATCGCGGGCATCGAAAACAGGCGATCTCTAGAGTCCTTAGCATGGAAGCTGTAAGATGAGTAAACAGGACGAGCTACGATGTTCGACGTCGTGTTTGTGCCGTGAATTCTCGACCTTAGGAATCCGCTCAAGATATCACGCCATTCAAGGAGCGCCTGCGCCGTGACCCCTCCTGGGCCAAACGACACCCGGCCAGGTTGGATAATAGTCTCCCAGTAATCTTCTCCCGGGATCCAGAGATCGAGGCCGGCGAAGTTTATGGATTTCATCCACGGATTACTCGCTTCTACTTCACCGAGTATTCTCTCGATATTGAGACGATCCTCGTTTGTTCCGGTAAGCTTGAGGGTATCCTGGTGGACGGTTCCCGATTGCCTAGGCCTCGTCCCCTTCTGAGGCGAAAAGTCGTTGTCGTAAGCGAAGCTACCAGGTACCCAAACGGCAACCTGGTCGCGCGGTATGGGAAAGAGGCTGAAACTCAGAAGAGGTAGCTCGCCGCCCCTAGCCTGATCGTTGATTATCTGTGTCCAGGTCTCAGGGGGAGGGTCGAATAGTCCGTACGTAATTGGCCCGCCATCGGCGAATTGGAGATAGCCGTGAGGAACTTTAGGAAAAAGGGCTCGCATGGCGCGAAGATATTCACCGTGAAACTGGTTCGGCTTGTGAGTTGACTGAAGATTTTCTGGAACTTTCATATACACCATCCTCTCGTTACTGGCATCCCACACGCGAACTAGATATCTCTCTATTTCGTAGAACGGCTGACAAGATTCAGGGGTCTCCTCTTTATCGAAACACACGAAGCAGCTATATTCTCCGTCTAAGTTGTTATCGCCGAACCATTGTTGAAGTAACGCGTATATGTCGTCAGAACTGGACGGTTCCGCGCTGGTGTGGCGGATCATGCCTGTGGCTTCGCCAACGACATGCGCCGATGCAACATCGCTTAAGTCCCAGACCTCGAGGCGGATGGCGTAGTCGACTCCTTCGGCCGCACTTAAGACCTGGTCCGTAGCCTCGACGAGACGTGAGTATAGAGGCTGGTTTGGGTCGGCCAAAACCGATCCTTGGTATCCATAAACTCGCATAGGTCTACCTGGCTGTTGGGGCGCCCTTGGGGCATCGTCGGTTTCCCACTCCATGTTAGTAGGTAAAGCGCCGCCGCGGAGACTCATAGACGGGAACTCCTGAGTGTCACAGAGTTGAGGGAAGTACGGATCGTTGACTAGTAGCTCGCAGTTAGATTCGGACTACTATCATAGGTAATATTTGCGGTAGATAACCGCGCTACTCACCACGTTCGCTAGGATCGCCGTACGACCTCTGGGAATAATCATCTAGGAACTCGAGAGGGTCGCTACTCAGGGCAAGTTTGTGCTCCCCGAAGTCAATGTCCTTTGCAACGTCCACGTCTGGAATGCCAGGCTTCATGGGCGCGACGGGAAATCCGAAGAATAGAAGAGTAAGCGTAAGCTCAAGCGAAGGCGTTTGCCCTTTAAAGCGCGTTTCTAGAATACGTTGATAACGGATGATGTTGTCCCTCTGCAGACTGGCTAGCGGCGACGGGGCTACGGCCGCTTCGAGAAGACGGATCTCGTGAGGTGAGAATGTCCTCTCAAGGATTTCCTGGAGAGTGAGCTGCGTAGATTTAAGCAGAAACGAGAAGTATTTCAACGCGCTATCGAAGTCCGGGTGACCCTCGTGAATAGTAGGATTTGCCCTCTCCTCGAAGGGTATCTTCCTTGCTATGAAAGAAACGTCCTGGCTGCGCGGAGCCTTTAGAAAAGGCTTGATCTGCGCTTGATCTAGCTGAGCTAGCTGAGCTTGCGATAACGGTGGCCCGAAGAAGCTTTCTTTAATGCCTGTCGTTTCGTTCTGCCGAGATTGGGTATTGCCTGCGCTGGCGTTACTCATGACGACGAGAGCTGCGATTCTGCTTTTTAAAGTGTGTAAAGAAAAATCAGTTTACCGCATGGGTGATATGACTGGGAGAATATTATGGTAACATTGAATATTCAGCCAAGCGTGTCACACCTATGAAGTGAGATCTTACGGTAAAACGTAGCAGAATACGGAGGATGAGGGGGAAGGAAGTGGTGAAGATGTTGCCTACAAAGAACAAAGGTAGCGGTCTTACGATCGAGATATCTAATAGAAAGCAAACTCAGCTTCGACACATCTTAATAGCATTCCTACTCTTCGATGCGGCGAGGAGGATATAAGCTAAAGATGAACGCATTCAATTTTGACCTTTTCGATTATTACGCTAGCTTTCCGCCCGAATGCGAAGACAAAAGAGATGTCCTGAATTTAGACTTAACCATATTCGGTTGAGAAACGTCTGAAGTCTTTCAAGTTGGTTAACAGTCATATTTGCGATGTTGGTGACCGTTTCCGGATGTGTTTGCATCTAGAAACATTTTAGCAACCCTTTCATGACTTAGCACTAAGAGTCAATCTACCTTAAAGGATCGAGATATAATACCATTAAGGGAAGAAGGAATTATATCCAGTGCCTTGTAAATTAGTCTAGTTCCGATCCATATATATTCTCGCGTCCTCAATGCCATAAAGCTAGCATATACCTGGAGCGGATGCTTGCCAATAAGTAGACTCAGGTTTTTAATAGCGATGGAATGTCTTGCATGTAAACTGTACGTTTAGAGGCTATGAAAAGCTATGCTTCTGACGCTCTTTAAACTATTTATTCATTAAATGTTTTTATTGGTACTTTCTCTCATACTAGTATTGATACGTACCATCGTGTTGCCATAATGGATGCGCTGAGAACGAGTTACATTCCTTTGGCCAAACATTCCACAACATATCGTGGTTTTAGTCATCCCAGATCGCCACCAGCTTCCCATGTGCTTTAGTTCTAGTTGTCTAAGTGTTTTCTTGATCTTATGTAGGTATGGATAAGTAATAGTGAGCTGCCATCTCGACGCTGCCCGAAGGACGACCGCAGGGTAAATCAATTCTTACCAACCTACCTATTTAGAACAGTACAGATCAAGTTAACCAGGGATATTGGTTGACACTAAGATAGGTATTGATTGGACGGGTTGACTTTACCTGATCAATGTCCATTATGTGTCTCTAGTTAACGACTCGGGCAAATCGTCGCCGTAAACCAAGACGAAAGGAGCTAAACACTTTCATCCATCACTTAATATTTCACTATACCAAGTTACGTAAGCCTAGACTTGAAGCTCCAGTATAATGTGGCAAGCAGGACTCTCCGCACTGACATCCTTCTTTTACGGATGCTTTCCTCGTGGCCCGATATCATTTGCGAAAGTGGGATGCTCTTCTCGCAGTAGCCGCCCCCACTTCATCCGAAGTCGCTGGCCGTCCGGAGGTTCGTCGACCGAGGTCGAGTAGTATGTGGAAGACATAGAATGGTCAGAGATGTAGCGGGGGAGCCCCTGCCCCTCCGACTGCCGTCCCCGTTTTGTCGTAAGACGACTAGATAGGTCCGGCATAAACCATATTGCTATCCCGCATTCGAGATCTCGTCAACTACATCTCATTTCTACAATTTGGCTCCTAGTAGGATACATACTTGCCTAGGTAGAATGGGATCCAACCCGCAGAAGAGTCTCCTTGACGTGTTGCGGTCGCAAACCGCAGTGGACTGTGACACGTTCGATGTCGAGGGTACGAACATATATTTGCTAGAGGCTAGTTGTTAGAAAATAAAAGTAGAAGCTGACTAGCTCCTACAGTTCCGAAGAAGCTCAGTCCGTTCGTAGACTGTACTTCGAACCAGGTAGGCTCTCCTGATTTAAATACTATCTTGTGAGATAGGGCGCTAAAAGTGTATAAGGCTATTGCGTATGGCGAATTGACACGCCTCGGCGAAGATGGAAACCCGGTGCACGCTCAGTTGATCCAAGATGCCGTCAATTTTGCATCATCGAAGAGCTCGGCATATCCGGGCGTGTCTGTTGCCGAGCTGGCGGTAGAGACGATGATGGTCAAGCTGGCTCTCAGAATAGTGCCCTACTTGAAAGGTTACTCTCATATCCAGACAAACCCGAAGTATTCTTACGACAAGCAAAAGACTATAGAGAACGGCAAACGTACGAGTGTCCTTGCGGTAATAATCCCAACCTGCGGATAGCTAACAGTGTCTCTAGGAATTGTAGCAATATTCAAGGCTCTCGACCCGGAGTACGATTCTCGCAGGGTTTGCATCAAGATACCGTCTACCTGGGAAGGCATGCAAGCATGTCGCGAATTAGAGAGCCAAGGTATAGCCACGTTGGCGACGACGATGTTCTGCCTTGAACAGGCCTCTCTAGCCGCTCATGTGGGTTGCACTTATATCGCACCATACATCAACGAGCTACGGGTGCATTTCGACGAGGGGTATGTCTAACAATTATTAAACAATATTAACAGTCTGTAATCGATCGCTGATCTGTGTGCGCACTTAGTTATGTCGACCAGCACAAGGCATTCGATTTCTGCGGTGCCGCACAGCGATATTATGAGAAGATCGGAAGCAAGACGCAGGTATTGCCGGCGAGTTTGACGTCCATCCAGGAGGTCATGAAGTTGTCTGGCGTTCATCACATCACGGTGGCGCCGCACCTGTTGACTCAATTGGCGGAGACTCCGGCCGATCCGTGGGACGGAGAGATTGGGAGCGTCTTGAAGGGAGGGAAAGAGGAGGTGCTGGGCGATTATGGAAGCATTGTAGAGAATGAGAGCGCCTGGCGTTTAGCCTTTACTCGAAGTCAGGACGGCAAGTCTGAGGGCAAAATCATTCAGGCTATCAACATCTTCTGCGATAAACAGGAGGGTCTAGAGGGCTTGGTTAAGTGATAGATAATGGGTAATGAATGCCAACAATCTCATTAGTGTTGACGGCAACGAACTGTAGCTTACCTAGTTGGGTACTATGTATATGAAAAAAAAGTGTGTTTGTCGTAGGTAAAGACGTTCAAGATTGGTGGCTTATTGTCAGTGTTTGGACTTGGTCCGTGATATGCTTTAAGACATGACCATAATCTAACCCTACTTAGCTTGTAGGCTTGTAGGCTTGACCAAGATAGAGGGTTTGTGAAGATAATATGATCGTGATCCGAAGCTAGACAAGACATTGTCTTTCTCTTCGTCCCCTTCCAAGATGAAGACTAAGAAGATCGACCCCTGCCGTATTTCTCGTGGAGATTTCCCAAGGCACTCGTAGATAAAGCTCTCCATCCGCCCGAGCCCTCGCGACGCCACATAAGCCCTAAGTTTCTCATGCACGTCCGCGCGTTTAGGTACTATATTTCTCGCATCTTTATACCTTTCAAAACAACGACGGTCTGCTCGCAAGATATTGTTCGTGGCCTCGTAAAACATTGAAGAGGCATTTCATAAGCCGGCACTGCACGCCGAGGGAGACATAGGTGAAGGAATCCCACGGTGAACGTTAGCCAATCAACTCCTCTTCAGCTCGGCAAGCTACCTTGATATTCGATCTGACCATGGTCGGCATGGTTTAGATCTGCATGATGTCTATCGTCGAAGGCTGATAAGCCACTCGCTTCTCATTGGGTTCCGGGCTGACGCGCCTAGAACATGGGGTGACGGGCAAGGCCAATTCTGAATCTATCTTGGACCCCTGCATTCTTACACAGCTCTGTTATCAGACGCCGCTCTCTATCGTGAAGCCAATTTCGGGAGCCTATCTATAAAGCATTCCTTCCTACCTGGGTGGGCAGATCTGTTCACCATGGGTTGATCTTTTAATGACGTCCTGGCTTAATGCTCCTACAGTTGACGTAGAAAGGCTCTAGATACTTAGTAGTAAACTCGAGCCACATAAGCCAAACCAAGATCTGCTGCCTGCCATGGTAAGGCTGTCGATGACCGAGCTCAGACGGAGGTTTACCTCCGTCCACTCTTGGGAGATTCCCAAGAGGTCGGGGGCCCTCGCACCATCGCACGTATGGACGAACCGCGATATGGGTATAGCTGCGCAATTCTTCGCGATAGACGACAGCGAACGCTAACACGCGAATTCGAACAGACCCTACGCCTATCGAGGACCGGACTTGGAATACGTGGAGCATTCTAGCGTACTGGGCTACCGACACGATCAATCTGTCGACATGGCAGACGGGATCCGCCATTCTCGCCGTAGGCTTAAGCTGGCGCGAAGCGATCCCGATCATGGTAGTCGGCAACTTCTGCGTCGCAGTAGCACTTGTGCTGAACGGTGCCATCGGCGCAAAGCTCCACGTACCCTTCTCCGTGATCACGACCAGCAGCTTCGGGTACTATCTGAGGTACTTCTGCATCGTCAGTCGAGCAATTCTAGCCATGTTTTGGCTTGGTGTACAGGTAAAGAGTCCGCGAGATACCCTTCTCTTTTGAGAGCCTTTGACCAATTTACGTGATCCAGAGTGCAAACGGTGCTCAATGCATCACGATTATGCTACGAGCTTGGGCGCCCTCGTACAACGATATACCAAACCATATACCCGAGTCTTCCGGCATTACGACGCAAGGAATGATCTCCTACTTCCTGTTCTGGATCATCCAATTACCGTTACTTCTTATCCACCCGACGAAGCTACGGCCGCTCTTCTGGGTCAAGCTCACGGCGGCGCCCGTTGCCGCAATCGCGATGATGGCGTGGTGTGTCAAGAAGGCCGGAGGGGGCGGCGATATCTTCGCCCTGCGCGCGACCGTTAGCGGACCGCAGTACGCGTGGTTATGGCTGAGTTGTATGTCCAGCGTCACTGGAAATTGGAGCACGTTGGCGGTGAATATACCAGATTTCACAAGGTATGCGAGATCCGCCAACGGTCAATATATCCAGCTACCGGCGATGCCCATAATCTTTACCTTGTGTGGTGTACTGGGTATCGTGACGACATCCGCGAGCAAGGTGTTTAGCGGAGAATACTTATGGAACCCTCTGAATATCCTCAACATCTGGCTCGAGTACGGACCCGGCGGGCGATGCGCGGCTTTCTTTGCTGCTCTCGCCTGGTATGTTGCGCAGGTTGGTACCAACATCACGGCCAATTCCATTTCGGCTGCCAACGACTTAACCGTCCTTTTCCCTCGCTGGATCAACATCAGGCGAGGCTGCATGATTGCCGCAGTCATCGGAGGCTGGGTGCTGGTGCCGTGGAAGATCCTGAGTTCCGCTGAAAGCTTTCTCGCCTTCATGGGCGGTTATGCCGTCTTCCTCGGACCTATGGCCGGCATAATGGTAGCTGACTACTGGATCGTTAAGAAGAAGCATATCGATATTCCAGGCCTATACAATCCCGATGGGCGTTATCGCTATGTCGGCGGCTGCAACTGGCGCGCTGCCGTTGCCTTCATCGTGCCCGTCGCGCCCCTGCTTCCCGGACTGGGCCTGAGCATCAGCGGTCCCGACGTCGTTCACATCAACGCCGGCGTTACCAACCTCTATACATTTAACTGGCTGTTTGGGTTCGTGGTGTCGATTGTCCTTTACACAGCTCTAAGCTTCGCGGTGCCTGCAAAAGAGACTTTGCTCAAGGACACTATCTGGGACTTGGATGGCGCCCCAATCTTGGCCCACATACCCGACGATGATGTTGGAGCCGAGAAAGCTTCCGGTTCTGACCCATCCGAGAAAATAGGAGCTTCTGATGCGAAGTCCTCGTGAAGGCGCCAATGAGGATATATTAGGATGTATCTATCCGGCTGCAAAATCTGTGGGTGTATCGGAATAGACGAATCAACATTTCCGATTTGCTAGACTAGACGTTGTTGCATGTAGAGGACACCCTCCATAAGCAAACATTCAGAATACATGCATCGTTCGGGTTTCGTGTAGCCCATTATGCGCATGTATTCACGTACCAGGCGACGGCAACGAAGACCGTGCGAGGACTAATTGATGAGCACGGGATATCTAGATACCTAGCCTGTCGGCGTTATGAAGCATTGTTCGGACTATCTTCCCTGAGTCATGTTGTTTTATTGTTCGTTTAGCTGTTGACGTATGCCTCACACCGCGGACGCTATGACGGGAAAAGGTCATGACTTGCTATCTCCGTTGTGATGCTAACAAAATGCCGTACACCTCTATTATAAATCCTATAAAGGATGTGGGCTGCATGCAAGATGCGTGTATACATCATAGAGAGGCTCCAATTATATAATGCTGCAGGGTCCCGTTTGCCGATCATGGGTCCCGGTACCAATCTTTCCCCTGGTCCATGCAGGAATTCATGATGCTGAGATCGTAGAGCTTTAAGGGGCCAGACAGCCAAACATCGGAAATAACCATAGGTCATTGATGGCTGGAATTAATAATGGACTTAATTGACGTAATGCCGGCATCTTTGTCCCAATGCTGCGTTACCTCCTTTAGCTAAGGTGTTCAGCTCATCTTTCGCCTCGCGTTTACCCCTCGGCGCGAGCACAGGTTTGGGTTGTCTTGAGAATTTGCGATTTCCTTTATTATACCCTTTGACCCCTTGGATTTCGCCACCAGAGATGTCTCGCTCAGGTAAACTTGATTCTCAGCTGCTTAGAGCTTCTAGTGGAAGCGAACATGGTTGAGCTTAGACGGATCCTATCCCTAGCTACGGCGAAGCCATATAGAACTTCTGACCTAGAATACGGAGAGCGTCCGTATCTCAATGAGAATAGACACGTCGATTTTAGACCCGACGATGTCGAGAATCCGCATTGTTGGTCAACCGGTAGACGTTGGTACGTTACAGTATGCGCGGTTCTACTTGTCGTAAATGCGACCTTCGCCTCGTCGGCGCCATCTGGGTGTTTTGGTGTATGTTTCCTTGTCACGTTATTATAACCTTTAAGGGCCCCTTGCACTTTCATACATATACTAACGCAGGTACCAGAGCATCGCTGAATGGTTTGGCGTCTCCGAAGAAGCGGCTGGACTTACCATAACCCTTTTTCTTCTTGGCTATTGCGCAGGACCCCTTATTTTTGCTCCCCTATCTGAGGTATGACATTGCCAACATCACCCCTTTACCATGTCAATCTAATCAGCTACTAAATAAATTTATTATCCAGTTTTATGGTCGAAGATGGATCTTCTACAGCACGTTCTTATTATATATCGTCTTCAACTTCCTCTGCGCTTTCGCGCCGAATTTCGGGAGCCTGCTCGTAGGCAGGTTCCTCACAGGCACATTCGTGAGCGCGCCGCTGAGCAATAGCCCCGGCGTGCTCGCGGATCTGTGGGGCCCGGTCGAACGCGGGAATGCTATGGCCGTTTTTTCGTGCATGGTTTGGGTCGGTCCAGCCTTAGGACCAGTCATCGGAGGCTTTCTCGAACTGAAGAAGGACTGGAGATGGAGCTTCTACGTCCTGCTCTGGCTCGGAGGCATCACGGCAATTCCCATGTTCACCATTCCGGAAACCTTCGCTCCCGCGATACTCGTACGCCGTGCTCGTCGTATAAGGCGGGCAAGAATCCCCGGCTACGAAAACGTCAAGGCCGAAGTAGAGGACGGTGACCGTACGCTCCTAGGGATCTACAAAGTAGCTCTTACGAGACCGTGGATTATCCTATTCGACATGATATCCTTTCTATGTGCGGTCTACGTGTCTGTCGTGTATACGCTACTATACATGCTCTTCTCTATTTACCCTATCGTGTTTCAAGAGAGACGCGGATGGAACCCCGGGGTTGGCGAGCTTCCTCTGATCGGGTCTGTGATCGGGTCCTTCATCGGTGCCATAATTGTTTTATTCGACTCAAGGCAGAAACAAAAGAAGATAGAAAAGGGGATCCCGATGAAGCCCGAGGACCGTCTTACTCTAGCCATAATGGGCGGAGTCGGGTTTCCGATTACCATGTTTTGGTTCGCATGGACCGCTGAATATAGGTGAGACTTCCATACGCCGTAATGTTGAATTGCGACTGATGCAAAGTAGTTGGATCCACTGGATAGTTCCGACAATTGCTGGGGTATTTCTAGCTGCCTCTCTCATGCTCATCTTCGTGGGGTATCTCACATATCTAGTCGATTCATACTTGATGTATGCCGCGTCTGCGATCGCGGTGAATACTGTCTGCCGTTCGGCTTGCGGTGCCGCGGCGCCACTGTTTACCAACTACATGTTTGATGCCCTCGGGGTTGGCGGGGGTGGCTCGTTGATAGGGGGCGTTGCGACGTTGCTTGCCGTGATCCCGTTTGCTTTCTACAGGTATGGCGAAGGTATCCGTCGGCGTTCAAGATTCGCACCGACCGAGCCAAAGAAACCTGATGATGAAGAGGCTCGGCCACCCGCGGAAATGGAAAAGACACGCCGTGACGATCTTCCACCAATGCTATCAGATACGACCAGTACAATAACAGATGACGATGTTATTGGTCTACGAAGTGAAAAGCCAGGCGAGAGTCGCCATGATAACGCCCAATAGCATTCGGGCCAATCGAGAAATGAGGGAGAAAATACCTAATATGATCAGATAGTCAGAGAGTTACATATTATCATTTAGACTTTAGGCGGATAGAATGGAAGAGACAAGCAAGTATAGCACATTTAACGTATTGACAATATCAATATCGCTTAGAATATATAAGAGATTGAAATATATCTGCCTAAATAGGTATCATCCACATAAGCAATAAGTACTTTATGAGATAAATTTCCTAACCAAATTTTGTGTTTATCAACGAGACCCATTAGTAGCACCGGTCACGCCGTTTGCACTGTCTACTGGTCCCACTCCCTTATGGGATCCAGCGGCCGGCGCACCGTTATTCTTCGTGACACTTTTCCCCTTCGTCACGCTTACCCCATTTGCGTATCTCAATTTAGCATCCTTCGTCATCCCATTGTGAGTCCCGTTAAATCTCATGTTCGCGATACCATCGTACCCCTTAATACCCGTGGCCTTCTCGAGGCGCGTAGCGATCTCCTCGTCAACTTCCCGGAATATAGCGATCTGCCGCTTGATGAACTCCGGTTCCTTGCAAACCGCCATCTTCCCGGCAACGTTGCCGATGAATCTCTCGCGGGCAGGTTCGTCCCATACTTTCCGGTACAAGGCCCTAGGTGCGTTGAAATCTTCCGGTCGGATCTCCGATAGGAACGTGATAGCTTCCCCGGTGAAGTGACCGTGAGTTTTGTCGAGGTCAACGGAGCGGTCGCGGAATTGGATCGGGTCGATGGAACTCAGGTAGTTGGGTCTCGCTCCCTGGTTGTAGAAAGCCATCGAACCGTCCCGCTGGAAATTGCCGAACATGAAACCCGTTCGCGGGGCATTGACGGGCAGCTGCTGATAGTTGACGCCGATTCGGTGACGGTGCGTGTCGGGATACGAAAACAGGCGAGACTGCAAGACGGGGTCGGCGGACGGCTCGATGCCAGGAGGCATGTGCGCCGGATTGAAAGCGACCTGCTCTATCTCCGCGAAATAATTGACGGCATTCTCATTCAATGTGAACTCGCCGATCTTCTTACGCGGGAATTGTCCCTGCGGCCAAACGTGGGTCAGGTCAAAGATGTTGATCTTCTGCTTCTCCCACACCTCCTCGGCCTGTTTCGGCGTCATAGTCTGGATCTCGACGTTCCACTTCGGGTAGTCTCCGCGCTGGATCGCTTCGTACAAATCTTTCTGGGAGTAATCGGGGGATTTGTTCGCGGAATCCTCTTGAGTGATGAACCTGGTACCCTGCTGGGACTTGAAATGGATCTGGGTGTAAATCCAGTCGCCCTGCTTGTTGACGAACTTGAGCGTGTGACCCGCGTAGCCATGCATGAAGCGGTAGCCATCCGGAATACCTCGGTCGCCCATCAGTATCATCACTTGGTGGATGCTCTCGGGATTATTGCAAAGGTAATCCCAAAACATGGTGGAGTCGTCGGCGTGCGTAAGGTGAGTTGACGGGTCACGCTTCTGTGTGTGAATGAAGTAAGGAAACTTAGCTGGGTCTCTCAAGAAGAACACTGGCGTGTTGTTGGCAACGAGATCCCAGTTACCGTCCTCGGTCCGGAACTTCACGGCGAAGCCTCGAGGGTCTCGAGCGCAATCGTGGGAGCCGGCCTCGCCTCCAACGGTAGAGAACCGCGCAGTGATGGGACATTTCTTTCCCTTAGTTGAGAAAATGTCGGCAGAACACAGCTCCGGAATAGGATTTGTACATTCGAAAAAACCACTACGAATGCACATGTAAGCAATCTCTTTCATTCTCAAATGTGATGTGATACTTCAAGGGCCCGTTCCGAAGACTGGGACGCCCTGAAATAAGGGGTGGTGATGAGGTTGTGGATCCTTACTGAGCGCCGCTACCCTTAGCATGTACCACTCGTTCGGGTATGCGTTCTCGGTCAAAGTGAGAAAGGAGATCGATCAGATGGAAGTCCTGTAGAAGGAGAGGCCCGTTTTCTCCTACTCTCTGAGTCTCGTAAGGATGGGGCATGGGAACGCCATTGCTGCGCTGGTTAGTTGCGAAGCGCATTATTTAGATATCAATATAACACACCTTGTAGCATATAACGTGTCCTTGGACGTCGACTTACGGTCTTTCTCGTAAGAAGTGAACTGGTTGGCGACGTGACCAGCAAACGAGGTATCTGCAGATGGTGCCATCTTCAATGTTGGTTTATCTTCTTAGCAGTAATTTGAATGTATGTATTATGTGATATTCGTACATATACTCTGAACCAGTGTTTAACTCAAGTACTACTTGCTATTAAAAGTGATAGACGTAGATACATATAACGACAGCATAGCGTATGCGGGTTAGGCACCTTGGTGGCTCAGAGGCAAATGGGAAAACACCTATCTACGATGATTCTTTGTATGATCATAGACCTTAACCCACTAAAATTGGAACCCTAATCATAGTGCTAGACGGTATTTGGACGACTCAGAAGTTCGATGACGGTATGGTGACAAGGAGACTCGCCTCGGACTTTAGGTAAGGTGGATTAAGCCTCGTGAACGCGAAAGCAAAGCATAATTGGCGTTCCTTGATTGGCAGATCAGGGTATCTCAGTGAAGAAGAAAAGTTGATGATGTAGATGAATTCCAGACCAAATGTCGTATTGTGTACTTACTCCCTTACCCCTTTTCGCCGTCCAACTCCTTGGGTAGGTAATTTGGTCAGTTTCATTATGAGAAAGCCAACTTCTTGAACTTTTTTTCGTATATATGCCGGCTAATACAGGATATCAGTTTGCTATTCGTCCCGAAGCTTTACGAATATTAGCTGTCTAGGGAGAAGGGTTGAAAGTTAAGGAAAAGCAAGGAGAAACTAGATGCATTAGTACCACATATACATCCGAAGAGCGGTACATTCCCTAACATTTGAGGCCTGGGAAGAGGAATAGATATCATGGCCAATTAGTACAGGACTTGGAATTGAAAATCCTCGGGCCTAGGTACATACATCCTTTTGTCTTCATGAAAGTAGTAATTCCGCACATTTGCTCATGAATTAACACCGTATAATTTAAGCTATCCTCGCACTGTCATCCATCAGCCGCATGGCTTTTCTTTAGTGACTGCAGGGGGTATTGGATAGTGGTTACCCATTAATTTTAGCGGAGAGATCACTCTTTCCATTACGATGGGACTTCTCAATCATCATACCAGTTCTCGGGGAACGTTCGTGTTTCCGCGACTCTACATTCGTTAGAATACTTTGAAGCGGACTAGGTCGCTCACAATTTGCAATTCGAATAATGATTTCCAAGTTCTTCGATGAGACTCGTCGTGTCGTGCGATTTTAAAAACTACAGGGGCCTCTGATAAATACAGTGTCTCACATTTTGGGGGATTCGCGCTGTTTGCGGGGATGACCTAAATATTTGAGTTCTATCCGTCACTGTAAATCATCGGAGATTTTTCTACGCCCATGGAGATTTACAATTACTTACTTAGTGATGGCTTCTTTATGATTGCCGTTATCACAAGCAATCTGTATACAACCCTACCCCATTTCATCCTGAAGCATATCAGGTTAACAATCATGGAGGGTAGCCGTCTACCTGTTGGCAGGTATGTGCCTGGTCTCTTCATCTCTAAGCTTTAGGAAATCTAGACTGCTTGTCCAAACCCGTGCAATACGTAATATTTGAATAGAGACCGATCTGTCAACCCAGTGAGCTCTATCTCTCGCTCTCCTCCACACAATTCATGTCCAGACAAGAACCGACTCATCAACACCAGAGGTCGAGGATAAGCGTTCACATCGGAATAGCTTGCCTATACCCCGACAAGACCGCCACCAATCCTCTTGGCACGTCGAACAATGCTTACTATGTATCGAGTTGCATCGCGTGGTGGTAAACGATGGAGATATGCAGGTGTTGGAATCATAGGTAGGTAGTTTATGGTTCCGCGGAATCTCTCATGCCATTTGCAAATCGGGCTGGTATCATCCACGTTCATATCTGGCGGATGCTACGCCGCCTTGCCTCGTGGTATGTGCCTCTCCAGTTGGTATAAGAGATGAATGATCGCCGGCTCAAACGCTATGACTCTCACACCTCCTTTAGAGATCTTCCTGGGGTAGGCCATCCACATCATCAACCCCGCGGGAATCTAAAATCACGAAGGTAGTCTGTTGGTTATTCGTATTAGACATGGCCGCTGGTAATGGGACTGCGGAACCTCTCGCGAAGGGTATCTTCGCTAGTGCGAAACAGTCGTGGGGTGACCTCTTTCGATGGAAGCAGAGAGTTGTCGTGACGAATGAGCTCGGCGAGTCCTATACGGAGTGGCACGCCCCTGAGAGACCTCGAAATCCTATCTCGCTTTTCATGCTCTTGAGTGCTAAGAACTGGATCTACTTCCTTGTGGGTATGTATGCGTGGACTGCCGACGCTTTCGACTTCCACGCTCTGGCAATCCAAACTGTCAAATTGTCAAACTATTACGAACGGACTAAGACAGACATCACCACTGCGATTACCTTGACGTTGCTTCTGCGATCTGTCGGTGCCGCCGTCTTCGGTCTGCTCGGTGATCGGTTTGGTCGGAAATGGCCGATGGTTGCGAACTTGATAGTCCTCGGCCTCTTGCAAATTGCGACAATCTACAGCGCGACGTTCGAACAGTTCCTGGCTGTACGGTCTCTCTTTGGGTTGTTCATGGGTGGCGTATATGGTAATGCTGTGGCCATGGCTCTCGAGAACTGCCCGTAAGTTTACGTGCCTTGTTATAACAGTATATTATACTGACATGTCGACTGAAAGAACCGAGGCGCGCGGCCTTATGAGCGGTATTCTGCAGCAAGGTTACGCTCTTGGTTACGTCCTTGCGGCGTGCGCCAACCTCGGCGTTGGCGGAGCGACCGATACTTGGAAAACGGTCTTCTGGATTGCTGCCGGTCTTTCTATCTCTGCCGGACTCGTCCGCTGCTGCTTTCCCGAATCGGAACAATTCAGAGCTGCAAAGGCGGCCGGTCACCATATTTCGGCGGCCGATTTTTGGACGGAGACGAAGTCTATGCTCGCTAAGGAGTGGCGTATCTGCGTCTACTGCATCTTTCTGATGACTTGGTTCAACTATTACGCGCATACGAGCCAAGACAGCTACACCACGTTTATGCTCGAGTCAAAGGAGCTTCCAAACGATGCTGCGACTCGCGCTAGTATCCTAATGAATACGGGGGCTTGCGTCGGTGGCACCATCATCGGCTACCTCTCCCAATTTATCGGTCGTCGTCGAGCTATTGTTGGAGCTGCGCTGATCAGTTGCTGCCTCGTGCCGGCCTGGATTCTGCCTACGACCGAATCAGGCCTCTCCGCTTCCGGATTTTGGATCCAATTCTTCGTCCAGGGAGCTTGGGGTGTGATCCCCATTCATCTTAACGAACTGTCGCCGCCGGCGTACCGATCCACATTCCCGGGCCTTGCATACCAGCTAGGTAACATGATATCTTCTCCGGCGGCACAAATCGTCAATGCCATTTCGGAAAGCCACTTCGTCCTAAGCAAGAGCGGCAAGTTGGTCGATGGCTACGGCCCAACAATGGGTATTGCTCTTGCGATCGTTGCGGTTGGTATTGCGGTGACGGCGGCGCTGGGCCCGGAGAAGCGTGGGCGGTCTTTTGAACGCGCGGGGCCTGCTGGGGCCAATATTCACGGTGATGTCGAGAAGGTGGTGGATAATGCGTCGATATCTGATTCGAAAATGCACGGTGCGGTGGAATTGGAGTCTGGTAAAAGCGAAGTCTAGGTAGGGCGAGGATGTTGGTTTGAAGACTGTCATAAGTGTTTATAACTTAGCATACCCATATTATGAAGATGATGTAGATGGAACTTACCTGGTACGAAGGCACCTGCCTCATGTACATACTCAAATACTGAACAATATGACCCGCACGTGTCGTAAGGGTGTTGTCGGTAGACTTTGGCATGTGCCTGGATTAGCAGCTTTTTTCAAGGTGACTTGGCTCCTGGCAGGCAGGAGCGTACTGTTAGCCCCGGCGTACGACTGCCAGTGTCATTATACTACTTACATATCTACTTAGTAGGTACCTACTTTGTCCACTGACAATTAATTTTGTTGTTCCTACAATACCCACGTGCACCCATGCGCTGACCGCCCACTAAATCACCACCTCTGTCGTCGCTCTACCCACAGTACCTGAGTCTGAGTCACCTAGCTTTCTATTTAGCACAACACTGTAACTTATCCGTCTAACTCCTTCCTTCCACTTCTTTGAGTACCCAGGCTGGGGCCGTGTTACTGTCCTTGTTTGATGCATATTTCTTCTTTCAATACCTAGCAACGAAAATAACCGAACCTTCACGGATTAATTCCACACGCACTAATTTTTGGCATTGTACCTCACCGTCCTGACATTTGGTAAGTGATAATCTATCACTCTATTTTATTCGTTCAATCTCCCCATACGAATCCTTCTTTCCTAACACGTTATCTTCCTATCGTTGATCCTCCTCTTCTCTCATCCTCGCCACCTTCTTTGCGTACCGGTCTGTCCTTTCATCCCCACATCCATTATCGCGGCGACGTCCCAAATTGCGAGGTATCGCCACTTCCAAAGTATATGCTAATTTATCAAAACTTAGGTAGCATTTAGGACGGCGAGGCACACGGCCCTAATCTCCTCCTTGGTATCGTCTTGCAAGGGTTATCATAAGATCTTACGCTCTTTACGATGTATTCCTCCACCATGAACCTTGCTCCCAAGGCCAATGGCCAACAGAAGTACAAATGTATGTCTTTAATTCGCCGATATATGCAAAACTTGATGACTTGACTAACAAGACTAAAGCAAAGTACTTTCCAATGGACAATGGCAAGTCTTTCCCCGAGCATAGTATACTACCTTGGTAACTAACTATGTCCTAGTCCTCTTCTATGGCGCGGGAGATAACCTTTCCCATAATAATGGGTTCTTTATTGGCTTCGCTGAGGCACAAATCAAGCTTCGACGTAGCAAAGGTATCCTACTTACCCGGCTCTGGTCCGACGCTTATGATGCTCTGGATGCGGAGCAGCAGAGTGGTGTCTATCGTTATTACTTGATGTGGGTGCGCAAGCTTGCTGGCAGTAAGTAGACGCATATCCATAGCATTAATCGTCGGTACTAACAGCTACAAGTGATGTTAGCAGAGGAGTTAGACCCGGAGAAGGTTAGGAATAGGGCGCCACTTCTTATAAAAGCGGCCAAAGCCATCGCAAAGGCCGATCACAATGGAGCCACGTCGGCACAAGCTTTTGCTCAAGTTCCCAAGACTACAATCCAGAACCCCTCGACGACAGCACCCTCTCAGAGACCAGTCTCTCTTGGAATGCCTCAGGGAAAATCGAACCCGCCTGCCGCCAAGTTCCCCCCCATGACTCCCGTAAAGAAGGAGAACGAGAAGCCGCGTCCGGCTGAGCCTAAATCCATGGCGATTTCGAATTTTGAAGAGCGTTGCAGGAAACTAGGGCTTCGCTTCTCTTCCTCAGAGGACTAAGAGATAACCCAAACCTGAACACGTCGTGGTGGTGGTATGAAACTCGATCGAGTTCTTCACCGTGAACGTCTAAGACGTGAGGTTGTCACCTTTTACATATACTGGTACCCAGCCTTAGCTATTGATGGAACAATTGGCATCGACATACATTTTGTCGCCCTCCTTGTGTCAATTGAATACTTAATAGCATGGCCCGACTGTTCAGGAAGGTAGTTAATAAAATTCTCTGATATAAATTTGGTTGTTATAGCTATGGTCGGGATCGTAGTTGAGGAGTCGCTGCTGTCTCTTCAGTTCATTACCTAGCGTCTGGATTTCGAAGCCTCTGATTCCATCGGAGCCGCTTCTTATCGAACCCAGATCGTCCCAGGGTGATGAAAGGCGGTGGCGTTCTGTAGATGCAATGGACTATGTTGGAAGCGGGGACAGGATGTCTGCACCTTCTAACATGCGTATAGTAAAATACAAGGGATACAGGATAGTAGACAGAGGCTCACTCTTGCGGCTTACTCCACCGGTGAGCCCAAGGAACTTATTCAGGTAGCATCGATGTAACCCATCAAGCTTCGCGTCAATATTCAAACATCTGCTATGACGATCCATCGCCCGGCAACTTTTCGAGTGGAGAGCTCCCTTTTCCCGATCCGTACCATTACTAAGGTGACTACACTAGTTCTAACTTCTCGGGAGAATAATAAGCTCGGACGTGCACGCGATGGAAGTTATCCATTACCGTTACGGAAATATTAGCCGCGGAGGTTCTCTTAGGTAAGATTACACGCATGTGAGAGGGGATATTTAAGACAAGAGGCAAACGATTAGCTGATTGGGCAGAAACATATTGTCAGAGTTGGTCTAGCTGGTATCGTTCGATGCGCGTTCCCGTCTGTGTAATCTCCTTAGTTCTGGCCGTACCAGGTAGGGAGAATACGTACCCTTCGGCTTATGATTGGGAGATGGAAGTAATAAATAATATGATAAATAATATGGCACGATAGAGAATCTGGTCAATATAATCCCGTGTGCCAGCACGTTGGTAAAGGCCATTAGAGTACCTATTGGTACCGATTTGTGCGTTACGGCCGCCTCTGACGGTGTACGAAGTCGAGGCAAGGGATATTCAGGGGAAGATGGATGTCAACATTGGGCAAATGGATCCATACCGGTGAGCATTTCCAAGCCTTGGACGTTTGATGTTATCTTGTTAGTTGTGAAGAAAGCTGATAATGACCATTACTGGTTATAAACCTGTAGAGGTATGTACATCCATAGCTCTAGCTGTTAGTAGCTAGGTAATCGTGTTAGAGTTGTAAAGGTTCGTGATATCGCTTGACTTGGCCCCTATTTAGTCTGTTTAGAGCATGGGGTAATGAAGATGTTAGGGGATCTAGGGCTAAGCTGTTTAGTGTTTTGGCTTGGCGCTAGGCCAGCCCTGCATATCCCCTACCCCTGTCGTTGTCTGTGGAACCGATTCTTTATCTTTCTCATACTAGTAAATTCAAACTCAGAAATTCATCATCTAATCTTCTACCTACTTAGATTCATATCATTTTTATTCATTCGAAAATAGATGATACCTAATTGACGTACGGACGAAACTTGCCAATCCGACGATGTTCGTTGAATATATTGACCTTAGGCGATTTCCTGGCTGGCTGTTCATGCGATTACTATCCTACCAGAGAGTGCTAATGCAAGCTTCAGCCCTTGAGAACAGCGCCAAGCCGTCGACATTCGATATGCACCGTTATGGAGCCGTGCGTAAGGCGCTGATCGGTTCATTCCTTACCTTGCCCCCCTAAATCCGGGGTCTCGCGAACATGGCTTCGAGTCCTATCAATCAATGCTGATGGCCAACTCCTGGCCGTCCCTCCAAAGCTAGACAGTCACCTACCAGTATGTCAGGTAGAAAACGGATTACCCCAGGAAGCCCACGTATAGGCTCGTGGTTGACGTACTACTCCACCTAAGCTTCATATGCAGTCTCTGGAGAGGGACCGATTACGCCGAAATCAATAGATTCTATTAGTTAGTTGGAAGCCCCAGGAACCCCGGTCGAACCGTAGCCTCTACATCCTTAAAAGGCATCTGATCTAGAAGGACCCATTGGGTACGCAGAGATACGCAGAGCCATGCGACTGGGACCCGTATGGTTGTCGGCTTCAGGGATGTCAGAGCCGGCGCATCGTGGAAAACAGCCAATCAAAGTAAAGCCCGGTCACATTTACGGGCAATGTTCCAGAATCCGCTACTTATAGACCCTAACCTTGCACTGATAAACCCCCTTACGGTAGCATCCCCCACGTTGACAGTTTCCATGTCGTACATATTCTCGATGTCCCCAGCTGAGGCCCTCATCAGACCGGTATGGGGAAATACTTCCTCTTACGACCGAGTCGAACTACCTACCTGCTTACTTGAGGCATGAGAGGATACCGGGTATCTAGGATTATATAAAAGCAAGGCCGCGTTGCCTTGTTTTCTCGTATCACCACTCGATTCACCGTGTGAACTCGATCTCCACTTTGATTCCGAACCTCTGGATAGCAAGCGGATTACACTATTATAAGACTCTCAAAAGCAAATGTGGGAACGCCACGGACTCGTCGGTTATCGGATTTAAATGATAGATCTCAACGTCGCCCACCATCCACCTCTCCACCTCTGAGACTTCGCTTGTTGGACTATCGATTTCTTCTTATTTAATTCATGGGCATCAGTGTTTCGGACAACAATTTTCGGTTAAATAATTGAGTGTGCGGATGCAAGTCTAGGATAGCTCAGGTTTCTCAGACGGCTAAGACTTCGCGTTCCCGATTAGGATTGATATATCAAGTGGATCGATCTGCGGCGTTGCATTGAAATTTCATTGAAGTTACCTGCTTCTTTCGACGAGAGCAGACAAGAGTGGCTCGCTACTAAACAGCTTTCGCAACCTGCGACGCATACGTGTACCCAAGACCGACCTTGTAGCAGCTTGTCATACAAAACTATCCATTAGCAATCTGACACTTTCTCCGTGGCACCGACTGTCCTCTCCGAGAGGGCACGTTGGCCTACGCGAGACTCGCAAACTTGTCGATATCACTATCACATAACATCCTGATGCGAACGCGGGAAGACCTGCGTCGCCACGTTTCTTAGCCCGATCATCCAACTCGTAGCAATCTCAAACTTTAGGAGACGCAGTATTCATCACTAGCTGGGCCAAATTTCCTATTCACATAGCCCACCATGTCCGGGCGTAGCGCGTACGTGAGGAAAAAGATAACGGAGCCGAAGTCTGGAGGTCGGACTCCGGGAAGCTCTCGCTATTCTGACCGGGATGACCTTTCCGTTACCGACGCCGGCCTGCCGCAAGGCACCGGCTACGGCACGATGAACGCGCGATTCTTGAAGTTCTCGGAACCTGTGAGGGAGGCGGAGCCGATAAATTACCGCAACGAGCTTACGAGCTTCAACAACATCAGCAGTGGAAGCCAGAGTGGCGGAAGCGACTCGGGGAGAAGAGAAGGTGGCGGCTCGCAGCGCCCGGGGCCGATGGCTGATTATGCCTACGCTAGAGCGAGAAAGCCAGTGCTGAGAACGGAGGACGTATCAGGCATCGAACGCTCCGGCTTTCGGAGTGTCGTGGACAAGAAAAGCGACGACTTTCGTAAGGGGCTTACGAAGGCTTTCACGTTCGGAGCTAAGAAGAAGAAAGCTGGCGAGGCCCTTCGACCCGAGTCTTCCGCTACCGTCAGAGGCCACGGCGATACAGATTCCTTCGACATGAACGAGATGCCTATAATGCATATGCAAACCCCGCAGCACTTGGTATGGGATCCGGAATATCAGCAGATGATCTCGCCGCCGCCGTCCTCTAAACTGCCTCCGATCCCTCCGCCCTCGACTACGCCGCCGATCAAACGGTGGATTGGTGCCGGAAAGCCCGTACAGCGATGGAATAAGCTTCGCAAAGACCCCGAGCTGTGGGATCCCAACGGCGACGTGTTAGTGTTTTTTGGTCGCAGAGGACAGGCCCCGCGACCGAACCCTTCTTTCCGCCTTTCTTCTCACATAATTGAGGCGACCGAATCTCGGTTTCTTATCACTCTCCTTCGCGAAGGATCTACGGAAGAAGAGTACGACCCGCGGATACACATGCCGCCGTCGCCTATTGGTGCTCCGCCAATGCTACGACCGCACGGCTCTCATCCGCAGCTCGGATACAATCTAGGTCGCCACGGTCAACCGACGCCTCCGGTTTCCGAGGATACCAGTCTCGCGGACACCGACGGCCAGATTTCCTACGAGATGTATTTCCCGACACCGCCCAATTTAAGCAAGCTCGAAGCACATCGGCATGCCATCACAACACGCAACGTATTCGCGCTGCTGTATCATGCGTCTCTGGTCGGTCTATCGCTTTTCCAGGCGCTATCAGATCTGCTTGCGCGTCTCACGACGTATATGCCTCCAGAGGCAGACAATGTCGGCACTATCATCAACTATCTGTCTGCGCGTGGTATCGACGATGCCCGTAACGACGCGGAGACCGCAGTATCTATGCTAGCGTGGTCGGAGACCCCGGACGTGCGCTGGGAGGAAGGATGGTCTGAGGCCTTCGTGCATTGCGCCGGGATGTATTCCCGGTTAGAAGGGTGCGCTGATTTCAAGAACGTCACGCCGATTACACGGGCACTTCTAGAGAGAGCATGTCTCGAAACTCAGCTTCGAGTGCAAGCGGCAGAAGAACGCCTTGCCGAGTTCTCTTTCGGAGACATTTGGCCGACGGCTGGCCCTTCGGCACGAGGCCCTGCTCGAGACGCCGCCGATCGTTTGCAGCAATTCTTTATCAACCACTACGCTACGGTACATGGCGACTGGCCTCCCCCCGAAGCCGGCGCGAAAACGGTAGAGGGCGAGGAGATGTGGTTAACTCGGACGTTGGCAAAGCAGATTCAAAAAGATTTCGGCGCGCTATATGATTACCTCGTCAATAGGGATATCGTGTGGGACGAGTCTGAGACCAGGAGCAGCAGGAAATGGATGATGGTTTCCGAGAGCGGCAACAAATCGTTCGACCCCGACACCCCTGACCTCCCACTCACAGATATGCTGATCGAGTTCGACAACCGGATGCGATTTCCCCATATCCCCCACCCCTATCCTCTAGTTCCCGAGTCGATTCCGCCGATCACACCCCCTTCTTCCGGTTTGAGTCGTGAGAAGTTGAGAAAGGACAGGAGCAATGCCAACAGCGCGAAACAGGGAGGCGACGATCGGATCAACGAGAGGCGTGCACAATTAGCTTATACCGAAGCTACCAACATATACATACTAGGATCGGACTTCACGCAGTCCGACTTGATCGAGGGCTTTGTCAAATTCGAGAAAGCGGACCAGATTGGTAGCGTCGACCCCTTCGTCGCCCGTCGCGGCCGCTGGGTTCTCATATACGGCATACTCCAGACTCTCGCCAGCGTATCCGTGGATGCACCCAACCTGCGGTATAAGGAAAATGTGTCTTACCATCTATCACCGCGCTTCAAAGGAATGAAGACACCGCCGTGGAAGGGCGCGTCTGGTCCCGCAGCTGAGGCCCATCACGAGCTCTCACACTGCTGGCTCGCTCCTCGGGCCTGGCAAAATAATACAAGCGGTGAAAGCGTCGACTCAGATACATCTAACTCGGGAGACCCGGTGCTTCGTATGATGCGCGCGCAGGCGCAGAAGTTCCCCCGGCCACCTAGGACTGTGACGAGCCGATCAAACAACGGTGGCGGATGGAACGCATCTCGGGGTGGGCGATCCAATGTTCCCAGTGCCCTCTCGCCTACGATATGGGGTGGATCTTCTGCTATGAGCGTCAGTGGCTTCTCCGACGACGCAGCCTCAAGCATAACTCGGCCGTCATCATCCAAAACCCACGCCAGCTTCAACCCGAAAGGTTATGCATCTTCTCAAAGGGCCAGGAGCGAGCGCAGCTTCGCGACCTTCGGACCGAATAATACCGGCGGTCGGATTGACGAGGGCAGCTGGCAACCCCAGGGCTTGAGCATACGCCGAACCAAGCCGCCTGCACCGTTGGATCTTAATCTCGATATGTCGCGCATGGAGGGGTTCTTCGATTCGAGCCATAGCCCTTCTAGCTGCAGTGGTGCGCCGATTCTGAGTCCGAATAGTTCTGCTTCCGACGGTCTCGGGCCGGTGATTCGCGATTTTGATGAGCTTGATTCTGTTGCTGAGGAACATATGGGTTAGGCTGTGAAGTCCAAAAGATACAATTTTCAAACACATTGGGGACCTAGGACTAGGAGTTCTCCAGGATTTTAATTTCAACTTTCTATGGGAGGCTATTTAAATGGGATGGAGCAGGGGACGGGGACGGGGACGGGACAGGGACGGCGGTGTCGTTCGTTAAAGCATTCGATGAGCGATCAATGCTGAATGATGTGTACGAGGTTTGAGGGAGTTATTTTCCTTTAGAAATTTGCCATGAGGCATGCAATACCCTATTAGAGGTCATGAAGCTATTTTAGTAGTGTACCATCGGTTCTGGGCTTTATACGGGGTCGGGTCGAAAATTCTTACCTGTAACTAGGTATATAAACAGATACTACCTCTACTTGTCTTCCAATGAGGAAATAGAAGCATAAGTTGGCACATACTAACCGTCTCGCCAGTGTCGAAAACAGAATAATGCCTTTATCGCCTTCGGCCGGGGGTGCTTGTAAAGGGGGGTTCTGTTCACACAACAAAGCGTTCTCCATAATAGCGTATAACATATGATGGCTTCATGGCAACCGTAAGACTATGCGCGTAGCTTACCTGCTTAACATAACAGGAACTCATTGTTGCTGCGAGTTTCGATACTAGAATACCCGGTTTTTCTTTTGTGCCATGAAACCATACCTATCCAACTTACTTCCTCACAAGCTTAGTAGCTTCCCTCATGAAAGCCTTATCATCAAGCAACTCAACCGCGATCTGCGCCAGCGCTCTGGCGACGATTTCTGTTCTTCCATAACTATACTCCGTCCCCGCGGTCTGCTCAAACTCGGGCTCGTGGTTGAAACCGCACGGAGCGCCGGCCACGGGCTCGCAGATACCGAAGTTCGGGTGGAACACGGCTTTAAACGTGCTTAGGACTTGCTTCGTGCTGGGGTCGAGCACCGCGTCCTGTACGAAACCGGCGTCGGTGGCGGCGGGAGCGATGGTCGAGAAGTTCCAGTTCGTCTGGCTGTCGTGGTCCGCGTCGTGCATCAGGTTGATGAAGCGGTCGCCGGGGGTACTGAGGACTTCGAGCGCCGGGTACGGCCGGTCCGTGGTGATGCTTTTGGCTTTGGAGGTGATTGTCGACGTCACGTTTTTCAGGAGCGAGTCCAGATCCATCGTATACCGAGGTCGAACCGATATCGTGATGTCCAGCTCCGTAGCTGTGATATTTCCTGGCAAGAAAAACGAAATGCCTTGTTTGCCGCTGTTCGTCAAATTGCGGAATGTCTCGATACTTAACCTAAGTGGACTTTTCGTCCCCTCAGACGCGTGGCCTCCGGGTCCTTCCATGGTCACCGCGATCCCCTTTTCGACCTCGTCGTCTTCCGCGACGGTGTAGTTGACGCCGATATACGTGCTGTCTAAAAGCGCGCCCACAGTCGCGTTCACATCTTGCAGACTTAGTCCCGCGATCCCAAGCAAAATCTTCTGCGACACCACGTTGATAGCGAACATCCCCACGTCCTCGACAGGAGTAGCCGTCGTGCCCGAGGGCAAAGTAGTCCCTAAATCCGTGATCAGCACGAGCGCCTCGTACGCAGTCCTCACGGCATCGGCATGCGTATCGCCCACAAAATTCGCCTGCGCGTCGACGCGAGCGCCCATGGGCTGCACGGCGTTAGCGCTCGTGGGGTGCGCCATCATCCACATATCCACTTCGTCGAACGCGCCCGCATCCCGCAGCAGCCCCTTCCCGCCCGTGTTCTCCTCGTCGGGCGTCCCTAGGATGCGGATCCGGCCGGGGATATCCAAGGCGATGAGAGCCTGGCGCGCCATGCTCGCCGCGGCGAGACCGTTGAGTAGGATGTGGTTGTGGCCGCAGGCGTGGCCGATGCCGATGAGGGCGTCGTACTCGGCCATGATTCCGACGACGGGGATCTCGTCCTCGGAACCCGTATACCCGGCGGGCTTATGCACGAAATCTAGCTGGAATGCGGTGGGGAGGTTGTAAACGTGTGGTTTTACATCCCACAAGCCGGGCTTGGTCGTGGTGAAGTAGTCCACGACGGTGTCGTGGGCGTGGAATTCTTGGAGGGAGGTCTCCGGGTGGGCATAGATGTCCTGGGATATTCCCTTCAGGTCCGGAAATATATCTGCCGAGATGTTCTTCAGGAGCGCGGGAAGCGTACTCAGATCTGTCGCCGTCGTAAGGCCGATCGAGGCTAATAGGAATAGGTGGGAGCGTGCCATGTTCCTATGACGCGATTTACCGCCGGTCTGGATTGCACTATGGTTTGCTACGATATCAGGCCCAATCTACATATGTAGATCACAGGTGTAGGTTCCAGTAGCGCATAGCTTTATATTTATGCTGGGGACTTCCTGGCCGATCCGGGACCCATTATGTATATATCAATCAGTAAGATCATTGATGAACTTATGACCTTTGGTCAGTAATCAGAGTTTCGATAAACACCTAAATCTAGGAACAGACGGCTGGCCATGCAAGCTTAAGTCCGCGATTCACCTTTATTGCTGACGCTATGCATGTGTATCAGTCAGCACCAAGCCGTTCCCATGCTCGACGAGTCTAGGTAAGTGATGGTAGGGGACGACATTATACAAAATCCCCTATAGCATGGAATATGGTGTGTTTATGGCGGTCTCAGGCGAATATAAGATGATCCATGTATGATCGTAGCTGGGAGAGAATTACCCATCTTCTACTAAGAGAGTATTCCGATTCCAATTTCCAGTAGATATCGCGGGACACATCCGCTACCCGCTTAATTACATGCTAAAAATAATGAGTCTGGCGTCATCATCGCCTGTTCCATGCTCTGACATATACCATATTATGGACATGGCCAATTACGTAAAATATAGCCACCGACATCTGTACGATATTTGTTCATTAGTAACAATCCTAAGGGTAATTATACATAGTAAGATTGGGTCGGTTCATAGAGCCCCTGAAGTCCCCTGACGAAAAGCATACCACTAAAGTATTATGCTTTACACGTTAGAAGGCCAATATAAATACCTACCATATATATGCTTACTGAGGACAGGAGTGTGAGATATACTCTTCGGTCCTTCTTTTTACCTGCTCTTGTTCTTGGGAAGCCGTGTTTTTACCTGAGTGTGAACACGGCCCCACAATAGCGGGCTCGGAGGGCATAACACGTCCCAGCTAGCCATCAACCACAGCCGAGAACCGGTCGTCGCCGGTTGTATCACCACCGGAGGCCTTTGCAGCGGCGTATTCCAGGGAAAGGAGAGCAAGAAATTACGAAAAAAAAGTATGATCAGGTCCAACAAGGGAAATCCATGTTTGACGCCTTCCCTACGAACATTGTATCGCTCAGTACAGCAATATAACTACCTAGTGGATCTCGGTATGCTTTTTAAATATGAGATGGGTGGGCCCCGTGTCGTCTTAGAGCAAGCCGTATCTGCGTTGGATGCCTAGGAAGACTTTGAGGCGACCAAAATGTATCGCGGCCGCTAGATGAAGGTCGCCAATAGATCTATAGGATACACAGACAATCGACTACGACGGCTATTCCGAACAGGTTTCGCTACGAGACGTTACCGCTGGAGCCTATGAATAAGAGACCAGATCAGGAGCAAGATTAGAGCTCCGTGTAATGTCCTATTAAGATTTAGTTGGAAGTATTTGCTAGCGATCTCGCTAAACAAGATACCTCTTTTATAAAACTTCTCCCTTTAGACACGTATTGAGTCTTCATATTTAGATGTAGGTGGGACCTTTAGATACCGCTGTCCTCTACTTTTGCTTATTTGATGGAATATTACTTTCCTCTTTTCAATAGTCTGACTTGATAGATGAGTTGGTTGCTCTGCCTGCGCTAGATTCCTTTGGTGCTGTTAGCTGAAGTAATGGATGTGATACACACCGTCCTTGAGAAGGTGTGAGTAAAAGGGGGGCAAGGAGTGAAGATGTTAGGGGTAAGTTTCTGTCGCACAGGCCAGGATGACCAAGTTTTTTTTGGTTCTCTAGAACAACGTTGAATTGACCAACCACCTAACCAACCCCGCTAATTTTTGAGGTCTAGATTTTAGAGGGCTAATCCTGGGCTAGGATACTAGAATACGAACCTGAAAAGAGTGCAGAGATCTTGAGGAAAACTTGGAAACTAAGGGTGCTCCTACATTGTCGAATATTACGTAGGTCCCTAGGTGCATATAGTAATAACTTGTCTTTTCGTGCATTCCATTAACGACTTTTTTATCTTCTTCATCGAATCGCATCCACATATAGAATAAAATACGTAGTACCTCAAGGTTACAGTTTCGGGTCTTTTTAAAGGTTCCTTTAGGCTGGTAGCATCCCTGATTGAGCTCCCTAAGCTTCTTGGTTCCGCCGACGTCATAAATCAATTAAAGTTCCCCATAAGGCGTTGCCCTGCCGCATGTTTTTTGTTTACCTGAAGAAAGTTGGAACCCCGCCAGTTTCACCCGATTCATTCGTCTTTGCGACAACCAACATTTCGCAAGTTCACGTTGCGTCGACGACGTCAATCGGGACTCGTCAATACTAAACCTATCCATCGCTTCTGTACATACTACTTCTTTACACATCCGTTTTATTCGATTGATAGACTTTCTGCATCGTTTCAATAATCGTCGTTGTCAAAATCTACGACACCAAGGATCGGCATAAAAAGACGCATAAGACCCCGGTTCAACCTACCAACCAGCCGCCCGCCTTGTCTCGTAGCTTGTGCAGCTCTTGGCGCAAAGTCACCCTAGAGCTTCAGCTCTCCCTCTCCACCTTTTGTATTTTGCGGTCATCGTCTTCTTGGTCATCTCTTATTCTCCGCTCACTCCGTTCTCACACCTTTCTCACCTGCACATCCAATTGTCTTCTTGTTGGTTGCAGACCTGCTACATCGTCGCGCCCAATCCTTCGTCTCTCTAGTACCGTCAATTCAATCATAGAAGATCGAGAGAAGGGCAGAAGCAATCCGGCAAGATGCTGTTCGCAATCCTCTTCACGTTCTGGCGCTTCGTGCAGATCGTCACACTGGTAAGTTCAACCCTCCCACACCTGCATTTACACCCCGACAAGTCCATGCGTTATGCGCCGATCAGTCGCAACACTAACACCCAACCGCCACACAGATCCCGACGATGGGCATGCTGGCGTACTTTGTCAACGGCTACGTCCAGCTGAACCAGCTGACGCCGAACTACATCCTCGTGCTCTTCATCGTGTCCGTGCTCGCGCTCGCCTGGTCCATCTACACGCTCTTCAGCTACCACCGCTCGTCGTCGAACGCGACCTTCGTCGCCGTCGTCGACCTGCTCTTCGTCGGCGCCTTCATCGGCGCCGTCTGGGCCCTGCGCTTCATCGCCCAGGCCGACTGCACCCACATCACCACCGGCGACCCGTACGACATCAGCTTCGGGCCCTTCGGCAGCGCCTCCGCCACCAACTGGGACGTGAACGTCGACAAGACCTGCGCCATGCTCAAGGCCTGCTTCGCCTTCGGCATCATGAACTGCGTCTTCTTCTTCGTTACTAGTATCCTCGCCTGCCTGCACGGAGACCGCTCTAGTAGTGGCGACCGCGTCACGTATTACCGCGAGACGCATTCCCACCGCCACGGCCACCGAAGCAGTCGTAGCCCGAATAGCCGACATAGCAGCCACTCGCACCGCCGCGTCTACGTCTAAGGTGGTTGTTTGTTTTTACCTCCGCATCTCTACGGGTAAAATTAGAAGTTTGTCGGAAATGAATGAGGAATTTGTAAAGAAAGGCAGTCGGCGTTTATTCACAATACATGTTGAGCTTATGTTGGGGTCGGACTAGACTATGTCGATTTTGGAACGAGATGGTACAAGATGAGAAGACGAGATGAGATGAAAAGAACACAGCTGATCTGATGGAATGTGGAATGTGGGACGAGACGGAGTGATGTACCCTTTTTTGGACGAAAGACCTGCCCACGTTTTGATTCGCAACGATTACGACTTTTACGATGATCATGGCAATGCTTGTTACGTACGGCCTTTGGGTCTTCGTGTATCTAAGTGTTTCACTGGCTATAGCTGATTTGCTGTCAAATGGATGGATGTCGATACGGTCCATAGCTTTTTTGGTTGCATGAATGACAATGCAAAGGAATATCTTGGTGAAAGCTGTCTACCATTCAACTGCTGGCTACTTAAGTGGATGGTGAGGACCAGATAGATTTAGGAAAAAACTTTTGGTTTAGAGATTTGTTAGGAAGTACTATTGAGCAATGCGAATTAGGAATGCTCGAAGGATATTGCCATCTTTAAGCTCCCATCCACCAAGAGCTCTAGTGTCCTAAGTACGAATTAACTTTTACTATACTTCGTAAGTGTGTATCTTTAGAGTATTAAGTAGATATCGATATATATGCCACGCAACATGATCAGCTGGATACCTAGCATGTCCTGACGCATCTTACATATTGGCGTACCCTTTGGTATCCAATATTACCGATGCCTCTGCGACCAGGCTATTCGACTATTGTCTTCCGATAGCCTCATATGGAAGCACATACCTGTGCATAGTGTTCTTATCATAAGGGGGTACAGGTACTTTGTATGACGACCTCCACAGCTATAGGGAGACTGAAGATCAACACTAATACTCGATTCTGGTAAGCCTGCCCGGCTGCATAGTTCAGCCGCTAGCTCGAGCTTTGGGCTTCGAGCAGAGGCCTAGTACCTTTGCCGCAGGCAACTTTTGATCCTCTAACAGAAAACCACATGGGCTATTGTTCCTTTTACGGATGCTCACTTGAGTCGGTAGGTATCGAAGTATAGAGGTAGACCTCACGTCCGTAGCTGGTCTTGCCCAACGGTATACCCCCTCGCAACACCGCTCCGCCCCTCCTCAACAACCGTACTCTCTTCATCATCCTCGGCACCAAACTCGGTACCAAGTCCCTGCCAAGTCCTCTGCGATCTCAGGAACTCTGCTCCGGGACTCGCCACACCGTTCACCAGAGCCACGTCCCCAACGGCCCTCTTAACGATCGCCGAGGACGCCGCGCTTTGGCCATTGACCAGGTCTACACCGTCAGTTTCGGATCCACTTCGCGATACGCTGCGTATGGCGACCCGCATTGGTCGACTGTGGCTGACGAGCTTGCCCGTTCGAAGGTCGAACTCGGGTGCTTCCGACTCCTCGTCGCTGACACCGCCTTCGACATCTTCGACTTCGTTTTCGGTCACCTCCTTATCCTTTTCTTGCTCGGCACCAACTTCCGCGTTATCATCTTTAACAGGAGAAGCTTCGACTACTCCTTCGATACCACCCCACCACTCACCAGTCCAGACTCTGCTTTCATCCCCTTGAAGTGCGAGACCTAGCTCGAAGGGAGTGATCACAGGTTTCCACAGGCCCTCTTGCTCGACCAGTCCGCTCTCCCAGCATCCGACTACAACCCAGCCATCCACTTCGGCGAAGTTGGCTAGTTTTGCAGCGTTCAGCTTGCCGACCACGATGGTGTAACTCTTCTTCCCGGCAGCCGCGATCTGGCTTTTGAGCGTGGAGATAGTAGACATGTAGTTCTTGACGGACAAAGTGTTCACCAGAATTCCGATGATAGATGCCGTGGCTAGCCGGATGACGAGGCCGTAGCGGCGACGCAAGAGACCAGGTGTTGCACTCGGGTCGGGTACCTCAGATGTTGTAGTGTAGGGCGAGGAGGGTGTCGAATAGATGCGTAGAGAGGCGAGGCGGGAAGAGAGAGTTAAGAGGAGGGACGTTGGAGGCGTAGATATGTGGAATAAGTGATATTCGTTCAGACTATAATTGGTCTGTTCCTCGGCCGGCGCATCAGGCCATATGACTTTGCGATTAGGTATCGTTCCAGTCGGATCCCGCACGATCTCAGTCGCAACGACATTACTATATCCCCTTTCTCTTAGCGACTCACATATAGGCGCCACATGTTCCTGAAACATGACGTCCGTCATTACCACGACCTTCTCCGTCTTCTCTGAAAACTCCTTCTCGAATGATTCCGTTACGGAAGCATAGTCGAGCTTCTGCTTTGTGAAAATATGTATTACCGGTAATCTCGACGTCGGACTTAAACACGCGCGCCCGTAGTGTACAACACCATCGGCATCCGCGTGCTCTGCCGCGATCTCATCAACGCAACAGGCACTATACGATGTATCTGCTAAGATATATAGCCTTCGTCTTTGTTGCTGTTCTTGGCCTGGTCCTTCTTCCTGGCCCTTATCCAGTTCATTGCCAAGTGCATTGACAACCCATGGCGCATCAGGTAACATGGCGTCGGGGAACTGGAGGGCGATTCGATTCCATCCATTTTGTTTGATCTCGATGGCCGTCCGCACAATCTCGTAAACTTCGTAGAGCTCATAATCCGGCCGATTGGGTCGTTTCGCCTGTGCGATGGAAGAAGCTGGGGTTGGGTCTTCGAAGATATGTTCGGCTGGTGTTGAGAGGACCGGCGGCGCGCTTAGTTCGGACGTCATTGTGAATCGTTAAGTACAATGAATATCCAGATTGTCGCCGAAACTTGAAATTTTCACTTTTACAATTAGAAGTTTGCTGTTTGGTCGCTGGCCTTGGAGGGGCAAGGTGGGGCACGAGGGGCTATAGAGTTCTGCCATGTAGTAGCAGCACTATCGATAGCGGGTAACCCCGAGGCTCAGGATACTATGGATGCATCCATAGCGTTGGGTCACACAGAATAGATTGCGATCCTTCGGAGGAAAGAGCCCTGGCATAGGCATAATATGGATGTATCTAGATCCTTTGTTAGTGCAGGGCTGGCATGGTCAGGGTACTAGGTAGCTTCTCTGGCCTAACAGAACTGACTTATTATTTATTAAACATCCATCATTCTCACGTGGATACTACCTAGGTACTGTGCATATAAGATATATCATAAAAAGGGAACACAACTTGAACATCTCCCTGACATGAAGTTCATATATAACCGTAGACCTCAAGGATTGACCTTGGACATCTCCATGCTAAAACGTGTAAAGATAGTGTCACTATGTTATTAATGAGATCTAATGCAGATTGGGCAACATTCGGCATTTGCACGATCTCAACATGAAACAATGCAGTAAAAGGATGCAAATGCAAATCGAGATTTAAAGGATTCAGAGCGCAGAAACGGATCCCTTGAATGCGACCCCCAATGCCCATGCAGATTGGTGACAGCAGTCCAAACCTGGATTCTGCAAACTATCCCACCCATGTTTACCCCAGTCCGAATCCTATCCATATACCTAATGCAAATATGTACAATTCCCTCAAACCCTCATGAAGTTGAAGTAAGTAAAACCCGTAGACAGATCAAAGCTTCACTTGACCCCCATTCAAACGGTCCCAGTCGTTCTTGGTGAACTTGACGTAAGTCCCATTTTTGAGCCAATAAAGCTCGTCATCGCCGATAAGCGCAGGGTTCACGCCTTGCATTCGCAACTCCTGCTTCTTTTGCTTGTTCGTGTCCGTAACTTGCGTGGTAATGCCCTTGCCAAGCCTTAAAAATATCGGCACCGCGTATTTCGGCAGCTTGCTACGTACGTGGTTGGCCAACGATTGTAGTAAAGCGTCGTCAGGCTGTCCCTGAGATAAGACGAGCGCGGCGCACCCAGCTCTTCCGTCGTGGTTCGGTAGTTGCACACCATATACGTTGGCCTCTTGTACGGCCGGGTGCGAGCCCAGAGCCTCACTCACTTCCGTCGTCGCCACGTTTTCGCTCTTCCATCGGAACGTATCACCTATACGGTCGTGGAAACGCATGATACCCTCCCGATCCCAGCTCACTAGGTCACCTGACCGAAAGTAATGGTCGCCCTTCCGGAGCACGTCGCGCATGATCTTGCTCTCCGTCGCTTTAGGGTCGTTGTAATATCCTTGGAAGTTTCCTTCTGGTTCGCCTGGCAACCTGAATAGAAGCTCACCGACGTCGCCCCTCTTAACACGTCGGCAGAAGCCCGTTTTCGGGTCCCGTATTGGTGTGTCCGTCTCGGGATCTAGCGCTACGATGGCGGAGGATATTATGGCGACTAGCGTGTAGAGTAATCCTACGTAGCCGATGGCACCGCTCGCCAGCTCGTTACGCGAATAGTTAAACAATGCTAACGAGCCTTCCGTTGCTCCGTAAAATTCGGCGATCCCGTCGATTCCGAACCGGTCCTTGAACTTGTTCCAAACGTCCGGGCGTAGGCCGTTGCCGAATGCTAGTTTAACGTTATGCTTCTTATCCATATTCTCGCCTGTGTAGGGGTCGATCTGAGGTGGCGCCGCAAGTAAGTAGCGGCACGTCTCTCCTACGTATTGAATCATGGTTGCCTTGTATTGGCGAGCTTCCTTCCAGAACGTTTTAGTTGAGAATTTCTTGCCTAGCGCCAATGTAGCACCGCTTTCTAAGCAGTGGGACATTCCCATAATTGTCGCTGAGCTGTGGTAAAGAGGCATACACTACGTTCAACGTGTTAGTTCATTACAATTATACAGTTGAAAGAGCTTCTGCGGCGTGCGGCTTACCGTATAGAATATGTCGGAGGGTTTCGTAGCCAACCAAGAGCCGGCGAATGACCCGACGACCGACAACTTTTTCCAGGATACGATGGCGGCTTTTGGCATCCCGGTCGTGCCAGAAGTATATATGAGAATGGCCATATCCTTATCCAACTGACCGCCACGGAGAGAATCTGGCGGCCGTATCGCCTCGGCGGCGAACACTTCCGCTTTTGATTCATCCGTGAGCAGCTCGATTCGCAAATTCCCTAATTTGTCGCGAACTCCGTCGTCAACTTTAGAAGCGACCTCGGGGTCAACTAGCATGAGAACCGGCTCTGCTGTTTTGACGCAGTGGACTAATGGCTGCCCGGTTAGGTTGTAATTGATAAATGCCGGTTTCGCCCCGATAGACCACAACCCGAAACAGACGAACACAAAGTGGTCCGAGTTCTGAAGATCAACAGCGACAATGTCTTTTGGCTTGACGCCAAACTTCGTCTTGAACCAGTTGCCATATTTCAACGCTATTTCATAAACCTGGCGGAACGTCCATGATTTATCTTGAAAGAGAATGTACGGCCGATCTCTCGTTGACTTGTCTGTTGCCTTTTGCTCTAGGACGTAGAATGTACTACAGCGATCACTCCGCTCGCGCTTAATATTGCGATATGTTGCCGGAAGAGTGGCGCGCAGCAACGTCCTGTCATACCAGAACCCGGTTTTGACGTTGAGATATGCGAGCCCAGCAGCAGCCGCCGGCACGGCGAGCGCCAAAGGAACTGACTTTGAAGTTAGCGAAGAGGGGAGGTTGATCAAATTTGGGACATATTTCGGGTCGAACAATGTTTCACTGGAGGCTTAATTTGTAAATTTGTGAGGTCGTGTAACTTACTTGGCATATTACAACTCTTCGGAATTGGATTTCTGAGACAGTGTTGGTAAAATGGATTTCCTAGAACGGCATACCAGCTAGGTTAAGATGTTTAAGATACGGAACAGCCTCAATAAATATTGTAAAGTTTTTCAGATAGTTGTCATAATACTAACACAAGATAAATAAATGGCGAACGACTCAGGATTAAAATACACGTGGACGATGAATATGATATGTTACATATGACACGAAGCAAGGAAAAAAAATAACCTTTCATGACGGTAAGGGGACTGGAATATGTAGTAAAATAAATAAGATAGCATGGGGCGCGTTTTAGATAGTTTCTAAGACGCTATATCCCTCGGTGGGCCGCGTGGGCTCCTTTCGAGACGGGATCCCGCAGACCAATAATACTGGATCCGCATCGTAAACTTACCTACCTACGCATGCCGGATATCTAAGTCCATAGGCCCGAAGGGATGGCGATGTACGGGATACCCATCTTAAGAGAATAATCTATCGAAAGCCATTGGGTTCTTCCTCAAGCCCAACCACTAGGCTCGGACGGTGTCAGAGTAGCCCCGGAGACCCGAAAGCTGTACGCTTTACTGGGCTGACTGGGTAGATAGGTAGGTGTAAGGTAGTAGGGAGCAGGTAGAGAATCGCCAACATTGGTCGATCCGCGAACTACCCCTCGGCGTTTTGTAGTTGATTTTCCTGTTTGATTTCCTAATTGCGTTTTGAGCCTCGGCTTGCAACGCACTTCAGTTACACAGAATAGCCTGCATGTTGCCTTGCCGGAGTAGCGAAAGCGATTTGAATGTCAAGCACCAATGACGTCGAGAAGCTTAATGGGGTATATCAGGATATGATGCGTCTATGTCTTATCAGATGATGCTTTGCTGTCCAAATGTGCGTGACTGATGGGGGTGTGAAGCAGCGGGTTACGACCAAAGGTCCGAGTCATGTTTAAAGTACAGTGGCTAGGGAGGTCAAAGAGACGCCTCCGTCACCGTCGCATTCGGATTCGAAGGTTCCATATTCTTCACATGAGCCACCAACAAGGACTGCGAGGTTTAAAGCCACAACTCGGCTATTAGACGTCAGCATTGGAACGAACCTACCAATCAAATATCTTGGCGGTTCGGATAGATTACAGTTGCCTGGGATTGCTAGATATTTTGTTGAGTCGACGAACCGGTTATTTTTATCCGTGGAAATGAAATCTTGTATATTGAATTTGAAATTGCACATGAAGTTGAGATGATATGGAAATATGAAAAATGAATGTTGAAAGTTCAGATAAACATCACGTTTATTTTTGGATCGCCCGATCCCTTACCTGCCTGTACTGCGTACTGTACCTTCCTGACAGATTCAATAACGATTGATCTCGTGGCCAAAGATGAAATGGCCAATTGAAATTCATCCTTAGCTCGTACAGCATTAGCGCTCTAGCGCTAGTGGCTAGCGGCACCGCTGCACCGTCACGCCTTTGGAGACGACAGGTGTGACCCGCCTGCCAAACCCAAACAAAGTAACAGGAAAGTAGCACCGTAGCACCGTAGCACCGAGAAAGCTTCGACCTTCCATTCTGTTTTCCCAAATGTCAAATTCCAATAGTATGGAGAACCTGGCAACCTGGTAAATTTACACATGACAACAATTGCGACAGCTCCAACGACGCAATTGATCACGAGCCATGCTTTCGATGAGGTAGTCCCGCTCTCCCGCTTAATACAGCCACAGCCATAGCCATGTCTTCCACTTCGGTCTCCGATCCCCGACATGATGACACCGTTGCATCCAGAGGTCAACAATCACCTGCAGACGCCGGTAGTGCTGGCGATGTTGGTGACAAACGCGATAGCGACAGCAACCCCGGGAAGACATTGAAGTCCAAACAACCACCCCCGGAGAAAGTAGAAGATATCCATAGACGGTCTTACATCGTCGCCTCCTTTTGGTTTATCGTACTTTTCTTCGGACTACCAATATGGTGGAAGACCACTACGATATACCGGGCAGATCTGCCCCTGAGCCAGATGATGGACTGGGCTGACGGCAAGGTTAGAATACTGTCTTACTATCTTTTGATATATGTCTCATAGGTCTGTTGTTAACATCTCCTTTATCCAGGCTTGTAATCCGGTATTCCCTATAAGAATTGCTGTTGATGCGCCGACGCTGCGAAACGACGAGACCGAGAACCTCGTACGCATTACCCAACAAGCCTTGGACACTCCGACCGATGACTTCAGGGGGCATCGTTTGCAACTTGAAATATCAGAGCCGACCAACGTAGATCGTGCTAACGCCAACGATCTGGTACGTAATCCGAACATCGCTCTCACAATACGACTAAACCCCGGCGACGTTGCTACATCATCATTCGATTCGCAATTGCCCATCCTCGACGTCACCTATCCCCCGAACTCGATACCAGCACCCGACTCTGCCACTTCCGGCTTTGCGACATATCTGGCAGCGCAGCTCCGAGATGCCTTTTCTGAAGAGCGAGATGTTTTGTCATATCTGGCAACATCTTCGATGCCCTTCGAGCAACGACCCCCGGGATCCTCCCACGACTTGAGCGACTCCTTGTCAAAGCGAATGACGAGATCGCTAAAATATTCGCGGACTTATCACCTTACGTTTTCGTTGTTTACGAGCGGACCAGCTCCGAGCAGCTGGGATATCGAATCTGCCATAGATGAATACATGAAACCGATACTGGACATGCTCGGACCTATCCATAACTTCACCATCGACACCCAGGTGCAGCTGTACGCTAACCCAGGTGTACAATCGCAAATGCTAAGCAAGGAAGACCTATCCTCCTTTATCAACGCCGCCGAATGGCCCTTGTCGCCCTCTATAGGGGGTGCGCCAACGGTCAACTTCGTCGTGTACATCGGCAACCAAACTATTGGCACCGCCTCGGAGACGGGCACGTCCCAGTCCTGGCTCATCCCACAGTGGGGATCCGTATATCTCCTGCCGCCCCCTTCTGCCGATCACGTCTCTTCAGGAGTGTTAAAACAACCCATCCTAACCTTTACTTCGCATCTGCTGTCACTGCTTGGTACCCCGCAATCGGGACCATTGCCGATGCGTCTCTCCACGCTAACCCGTATTCGATCCGCCGACTTGCTTCTTCGAGCCTCCTCATCTCTAGGGTCATTAGCTCGTCTCTCATTGGCACTTCCGAGTATATCCATTCCCTCTAGCGTCGCTGATGGGGTGGCAAAATCTATGCATCATCTCGAGCTTGCGTGTTCCAATCTTGGTGGACCCAGCGGGCTCGAAAACGCATGTATCGCCGACGTAGAAGCGGAGCGGGCCTTTTTTGAGAAGAGCATGGTCGGCCAGCTCTATTTCCCTGACGAGCATAAGGTCGCCGTATATTTACCCCTTCTGGGCCCTGTCGGAGTACCGCTGGTTATTGGCCTGCTGAATCAGATCAAGGCCTGGAAGAAGGCGAGAAAGGAGAAGGTCAAGGAAACATAGGTGAGCGAGGTCGCGTTCGAAATCAGAGTTCATCAAAATAAGGTACAGCGAGGACTTTTGCGACGAATCAGCATTTATATATTATCCTCGCTTCACGATCGACGTGCATACATAGTAGTGAGCACTAACCGGGGTTATGAGTGATGGGTAGGTACTTAGGTAGTCTTTGAGCCCTACATACTTACATACGCCTACCCATATTCTGTCAAGCAGAGACAGAAACAAGCTCCCGGCTAATCTGTTCCGGATGACTCTAAACACTTGGGATACGATGAGCCGTAGCGTCGGCGCTTCTTACGCAGGTGGTGTAGAACTAAATATACAAAATATACTCATCACCAATCGGATTACCAAGTTCGGATGCTGGAATGAGAACCCCAGGTCATTTCTTCTGGCCCCCAACGTGTCTATTGGTCTATTTGCTCAATGCTTGTGCTTTTCCTTAGCCCACCGCTTTGTATGCATTGTAAGTTTCCAACATACTTAAAATATCCATGTCTATGACTTTCAAATTGTGACTTTGGTTGCCAACTCATCGCTGCCCTTTTCTTTTTTCAATCCCGCTTTAGCCAACTCCACCTAGCCAGCACCTGTCTTTTTCATCGTTACAAATCCGTGGCATTATCTCCGAGCTGGTAGGCTATCAACTCTCAAGTCTCAAGAATATCACACGATACCAAGCTCGGCATTCATAAGGTTGCGGTTACAGTGGTAACGCTACGAACTGAAGTTTGATGTAACCTTGAACCAGCACCCTACATCACCAAGGTTATATTATCCCGTACATACGCATCGCCACGCCCGAGGCTTTGCGCACTCTCGCCAATCATCCTTCAGTGAACAAACGCCCGGATGGTCTGGATAGAGTAAGGCTCCCCGTAAGATGAATTTCTCCGTCTCCGACCTCAGCGCCGCGGCGGCTATGATACCGCCCCAACCGCTGTCGAAAATCATATTGTCGGCGCCGTGGAAGCAGCTCATCCTCCCCGCAGCTCTGCTTTACGTCGGCCTGTGCCGGGCATTGCGCTTCAACCGTGAAAACGGTCTCCGGCGGAAGCTGGGCTACCCGGACCGGGCGTCGCTCGCGCACATGACCGTCGTCGATGCCCAGCAAATTATCAAATTTTTGAACGTTTGGGAGACACCGCTGTTCCAGTTCCTAGCTCTAGAGTTTGGGTTGTTCAAGGTAAGATAAGATGCCCGCCCTACTTGCCTATTTATACCTGTTATACGGTATAGAGAGTTATAGGATCTCGGATGAGTCGCTGACTTGAATGCGTCGTTCTACTTAGACGTACGGGGTAGAGAGCATAAGTCGTCTGCTCTTGGCTACGGGGAATTTGACGGATCCGGTTAGGAGCCCCAAAAGGTCAGTGTAACAACTCATGTCTCCATCGCTTCCGTGCTAGATGGAGCTAAGATCTAGATACCTTGTGGGGATGTGCCTCCAAGGCGATCTATGAGATCGGCCCACTAATTCGCTTCGGTGGACGACTTTCGATAGTCCATTCCAGTGCGGTGGTCAGGGGCGACGACTGACAGTTTATAGATTCGAAGACACGGCGGCCTTGATCGGCGAGTTTATGATGAACCCGCCCACCTCGGAGCGGGCCGTGCAAGGGATAGCGCGCATGAATTTCCTGCATAGCAGATACGTCAAAGAGGGCTCCATCTCGAACGCGGATCTGCTGTACACGTTATCCGTGTTCATAGCGGAGCCAGAGCGTTTCGCCCGGATGTACGACTGGAGGCCGATGAACGAGATGGAGTACTGCGCGCACGGCGTCTTCTGGAAAAGCGTCGGCGACGCTATGAAAATCGAGTATAAGGGCTACCTCGCCCGTGCCGGGGCGGGGTGGCACGACGGCATCGAGTTCGCCGAGGACGTGACCGCGTGGGCTAAAAGCTACGAGGTCGTTGCCATGAAACCCAGCACCGTATGTGCTAAGCCGGCGAGGGCGTTGATACCCATGATAACGTACTGGGCGCCGTGGTTCGCGAAGCCGTGGGCGACTCAGATCGTGCTGAGTCTCATGGGCGATAGGGTGCGGGATGCTTTTATGTGAGCTGACGTTCTTTTTACCATTTTACCATGGCCCTATTTCGCTTATGTGGCTTACGGTCCTGCGGGGCCTTCGATCTATCCCGTCGAATCAGGTTACACAGCCTGAGGTAGATCGATGGTTACCTACATTGTTTCCCCTTTTAGTAGTATTTGGCTTTTCGCAAATGACTAATCTGACGAAGGCTGCCTGAACCGGACATCGCGGCGGTTGCGATAACCCACACTCTGCTGACGATCCGGCGGTTCGTCGTGCGGTACCTGACGCTGCCACGCTTCTTCGAGGTGAAGCGGCTCGGTCCCCAGGACCCGAAAACCGGTCGTATGACGCAGATGATTCCATATGGGAACTACCCCTTTTATATCAAGCCGACGCTATGGAATCGCTGGGGCCCTCTGGCGTGGGTTATCTGGATGTACGGCGGTAAGGTACCGGGAGACAACCCCGAAGAATACATGCCTCAAGGATATCTCTTCTCCGACATAGGCCCTAAGAAGCGTATGGGTCAGGGTATCAAGGAAGCGGAGGCTGATGCTGATAGGATAAGGGCTAGCGGATGGAGTGGCTGTCCTTTCTAGGCGTAAAAAAAGTAATGGTGGAACTTGTGGCATCAGTGTTACTAATTAATACATGAGTTCCTAGAGCGAGACGGCGCTGCATACAAGGTTAAGACATAACTGAGGCAAAGGTTGGTAGCCCCTTTTCCAGTGTATATCGTCGTTATGTAAGTAGTCTCTACTAGAACTTGAAGACTGCCAGGGATGTTGTCGTACAAAATGGCATATTTTACTATGCACCAGGAACTAACTGAGTAGGTAGTCACGAGACTATATTCACCCAGGGGTAACACCACTAACTCACGGTTTAAGGAGGTGCGCTTATCGGCCCTCCGTTTTGTGCCACTTTCAAGGCAAACATACTAGGAAGTCGCTGGAAAAGGACCCATCAAGACAGTTACACAGCGTATCCTTATGACCCGGGGAAGGCGAATAAAGCGACTTACTCAACTGACGAATGTAGCAAGTCTGGAGAAATATTGTAGGCACATATATTATGCTCCTGAAAATAACGATTTTTAATTTTTCAAGTCTTTTTCTTATAATGCGTCTGCGTCCGTGACTTTGGTTTTACAGGGTTCGGCATCAATTTCGTACCAGACCTTTGGAATATTAATTATTAATTAATAAGGCTACACAGATTCATACACCCGGGTTTCCCAACATGACAGTGTCAATCTGGTATAAAGTATACTTCTGAATATGCGCGTTCAACTGATCTCATCGAGCTGAAGGCAAATGGTATTGAACAGAGCGCGTATAGACTGGGAGGAGACAGCTCGGCTGGTTGAAAATAGGGGGAGGCTAAGAGTTGGATCCATGGATGCTGTGCGAAATTAGAGTAGCTGTAGCGGTACACCATAACTCAACTACAGAGCATAGCTATTCATAAGTAGGTATTCAATAAAACAGCCGCGTTCTTTGGATCTACACCCGTAAGAAACAATACGGCGCCGACGAACCGGGCCGTCCCTAAAGAAAAGAGCCCCATATTTTGCCATGCTTAAACGTCGCATCCCGAGGAGAACTTGGATTGATCACCTCGGTAGGAGTTTTAGTCAAGATATGCATCCAAGATTACGATACGTCGTTTCTCCCCGTGTCTTACGCAGCTCACGGCGGTGTATATACTTATTTACTTGTAGAATCTGCGAAAGGTACCCGGGCTTAACATTTTTCATTTGGCCACCTGCTCGGGCCGGCATGTATGCAGATGATATATGATAGTCGATGAAGCGCTCACATATCCTCGCCTCACCGGTAAGTACCTTGGCGATTCAATGTATATCAGCCGACATTGCGTCGCCCGCCTTCCCGTTTCCCTCGGAAGCTCCATAGAAGAAAAACAGGACAGGTTAAGAAGTTGGAAGGGAGACGAGTGATGCGCTTCTTTTTCAGGTATTTCGTGGCTTTCGGGCGAGAATAAAACGACTAGGATTACAACGTGGAGGCTGTTATGGCGGCGGCTTATGCACATAAGCTTTTCCCGTGTTAAAGACGCATAATTGCGGGCGAGGAAGATCCTGGTACGATCCCAATGAAGCGGGCAAAAAGCTGGTATCGCATAGGTAACAGTGAGCCGGCCGTCTTTCTCCAATTCAATAGCTTCTATATACACCCATGTCCGTTCATCAACCTCACTTCCACACCTATACTCATCATCCATGTAACGTTCATTACATAGCTGTTATGTACATCCATATTTACATCCAACATGCATACGCTACCAAGGACCCGGGTACTTATCTAGGGTAGGTATATGTCACGTTTGCTTAATCCTTACCTTGTCACTATTTTTGCCGGCACTGGCGTTCAACGAACGGGATGAATGTACATCTGATTTAGGAAGTCTGTGACACCGAACCCGTTGAGATGCATGCTGTTTAAGTCGATACCTAACTAAGTAGATACCCATGGAAAACGATTTCGGAAGAGTACCTATTTGCAAGTTCCCATGATCGTTGGAGGCTATCATTAACAACTAACCCCCTAGTCGAGGCCACTCCTCCACAAAGATCAAATACTCCTGACTCGTCTACCTACCTACTTATCCTCCCAATTTTTTTACCAGTTAATTTATTGATGAATTGAAAACTCCGGCGAGTATATTAAAATTGATATTGGGAGAACGAGGCTCCTGAATCATACTGTCCGGATAGCTGTTGAATATGTCCGATCCGCCCGTCAAGGCGTCGACAGCGCCAAAGACCGCGCAAACCACAACATCACCCGCAACATTACCAACGTCTGCAAAATCTCCAGCTCCCGCACCCTCATCATCGCCAAAAGCGCCAGAAACAACAGCTTCGACCTCAGCGGGTGTTCCCGCGCAAGCTCCCGCGTTGGGGACTACCAGCTCCAACATCCTCCCTGCGTCTCATTGGGCTTCGGTACCTGTATGTTTAACATGAAGATGTCGAGGGGAAATTTCCCCAAAATCCTTCTAAGGGATATCATTGATTGACCATGGCTCTAGCACGTTGAAGAGTCTGATTACGAGGATTCTGCATTTGGAGACGACAATGCTAGCTCGACTGCGTCGCTAACGGCTAGTATACTTGAATATCGAACTGTACACGGCCGTACCTATCATAGCGAACGCGGAAATGCGCAGTCGTGGTGAGATTTTATCCCGATCTCTGTTTATCAGCGACATTTCGTAAAACCCGCTAACGTTAATTCTTGGATCGAAGGAATCCTAACGATGCCCTCCACGATGAATCGATGGATATTCTGTAAGTTTTACATTTTACCAACTTGATCACTCCGAGAAATATTACTAAACACTCATTGACAGCCATCACGTCTCGACCTTGATGCAACACGGCAAGATTTATCTAGCCCCCATTAGAGATGATATTCAGGCAAGACATCTAATATGACAAGGTCATTGAACATTCGTTTCCTAACATGTCACAGAAAGTATTGGATGTGGGTTGCGGCACAGGTAAGTTCGACGAAATGACACTACGGATCCATTTTATCTGACGATTCTTATAGGGATATGGGCAATGTTAGCCACCATGGTTTTCATGTCGATGTTTCATATAAGCTAATGCCACGTAGTGACTTTGCCGACCTGTTTCCGAGCGCCGAGGTCATCGGTGTTGATATCTCACCTCAGCAGCCTCAATGGATCCCGCCGAACTTGAAATTTGAAGTAGATGACGTGACGCAACCCTGGACCTATGAACCAAACAGCTTTGATTACATACACTTGCGCTGGCTCACCGGATCTATTCCAGATTGGGATGCCCTTTATCGGGAGATATTCCACGCACTGAAGCCCGGAGGGTACTTTGAGCATAAAGAATCAGCTTGTACGCTTACTAGCGACGACAACACAGTTCGCGTAGGGTCCGCTATAGACCAATGGGGGAAAGTATTCACGGAGGCTGGCAGGAAATTTGGCCGTTCCTTCAGTGTTGTTGAAGACGGACTCCAAGTAAAGGCGATGGAGAAAGCAGGTTTCGACATCGTACTAGTCGAGGACATGAAGGTAGGCGATAAACCCTAGAAGTTGTGAAGAAGCAATCCGTTAAGTTCAACAGACACCACTGGGACCGTGGCCGGCGGATGAGAATGAAAAACAGATCGGGATGTATAATAGGCTAGCTATCGAGCAAGACGTTGAAGGTACGATATCATGTTATTTTGTCTCTTCATGCTCAGGGGATACTCACTATTCGTCACAGGGTTTTTGATGTATATGTGGACTATGGTGATGGGCTGGAGTAAGGAAGAGATCCAAGTTTATGCCGCACATCTACGGCGCGAGTTACGATCTCCGAATATCCACGCCTATTACCCCCAAAAGGTTGTCATTGGCCGAAAACCAGAGAGTTCTTCATAAGGATGCTCCCAACGCTGTGTCAATTCACGTACCAGCCTATCCCTAATTGCGCTCCAGAGTCTTGGGGTTATCCACCATTATATTACAGTCGGTGGCACATGCAAAACAAGTTGGCAGAAGCGGAAAGGCCCGAAACGATACTAGAGTGAATTATTACACTAATCTACGGCTTAGTTTACTTGGAAAGAAATACATTCTGGGCACTTTTCACAATCTGAGGCATTAGCTACCTATTAGAATGGTTCCATTGTGTGACCTTTCGGATGTCTCAATATATGTGTAGGTACCTTATCAAGCGCCCCTTTCCCCCTAATATATCACTTCCCCCTAATATATCACCTCACTCCATGGAATAACATTCTAGCAAATTCTTAAGAGAGAGGTAGCTATTATCCCATCGATATTTAATATCAATCACGATATTACACAATTTTCAAGAATGTTCGTTAAATCGTAGTAATATCTTCCCATGGTTAGTATCGTCTAGTACGAAGCAGCCACAAATCCAAGTCCAAGAACTTTCGCTGTGTGCCGAGTACTTACCATCAGGTAGCCTACCATGGCCAATTCGCAATATTTCATGTCAATTATAGTAAATATCGGTTTGGCTTTGTAACAGCGCCCAATAGCACAAGAGTTCCGAATGACGTGGAATTAATATAAACTAGAAACAGAAAATAAATATAAACAAACGTCGAGCCTCGTCCCTCTATGACGTGTACTCACCAACAAGAGGACAACGAATATTAATATTATGGTTAAATTTAAGCTTAAAAATGATGTGACTCTACTTTTCATTAAGGACTAATATATGATTTTGAGAACTGGTAGAAGCTTGTGACTCATCAAAAAATGACAAAAATGTGCTGCTTTTCATGGAAGAGCTGACGCAATAGCAAGATCTAAAGGTACTTGTTGACTCACTGTATAGTACTGTATGAATATCTGGATTTGATCTTCAAGGTTGCTTGCATAATGACGGGCCTCGCAGGATATTGTTACCGTGATCTATTATGGCCTATGCTTTTTCTTCCTCGTGTCGGTACCCCACCTGTTCCTCGCTTTCCTCTTCTCCTCAAAACCACGTCAAATCTCCAGTATTCATCTGGATTCTGCGTTTACTGTATATTAGTAGGTAGCATTTCTTTTAAGAACCCGTGAAGAGGCACTGGAAAATACTGACGGTTATTATAACTCGATTCTTTCCCAGCACATCGTCCCTTTTGAAAGGGACCAACACCATGGAGCTACCACAGAACGCCACAGTGAACAAGCCTCCCGAGGAAGATCAATCGGTTCAAGAGATTCTGCGAAAGATTGACGACATCGTAGAAGGCACGTTTCGCATGAACGATGTAATTGCGCAATCACAAGGTGTCGTTGCTTTTGCTGGCAATTCTGTCGACTCTCAATCGGCACTACTCGATATGTTCAAAGATGTGATGATTGCGATTCAGAGGAAGGCGTCCAAGGCAGTCCATGAAGTTGAAATGAAGCTAGGCCCCAATTTGCAGCTTAAGAATAGCCATGACATTGCCGAAGCGTCATTGGAGGACCTGGTCGGGGTTAACCCAAAAAGCCAATCGAATCAACTGCTAGGCCGAGCGCTCCTTGGTGGCAAGCAGAGTTACAAGCTTCGCGACCATATCTCTATCAACCCGAGTCTTCGCCTGTTCGTCGACGACGATACTGCCGGATTATCACAGGCGAACCCCCAAGACCCTTTTGTGATCTTGCAACCTACATTACGGAACGTGTGGGTGGTTCAGCACGCCTACGCAAGACTACAGAATTATAAGGAAAGGCTTATCAGAGAGTATCAAGCCTCAGTCGACCCTAGCCTTGGGTCGAGTCGCAAGTTTGCACGCGAGTACTACGAAGATCTCAGTCTAGCAAACCTCCCGTCGAAGAACAAGCTCGGAAACTTACTTGATGTCAAACGCTCTCCGGACAATCAAGCCACCCACGACATGATGATCGCTCTTCTATTCACAACCCTTGAAGGCGACCCTCGGTTTGTAGAGGCGGTTACAGAGGAAGACGTCGGTCTGAATGGGGAGGACGATGGGAGTTCTTACTTGGTAATCCCCGTTGCCGAAGCAAGCATCAAGATGTTGTATGACACATACAAATCTCTCAGAAAAGCGACATCAGAGCAACGCCGGGCAGCCAAAGACAAGGTGTTCGCAGCCAATCTACCGGTAGATGCGGTGGACGAGCTAGAGAAACAGTTCAACATCGGCGGTAGCGAGAATTCTGACCAGACAGGCGGCGGTAATAGCAAGAAGCGTCGCAGGATGCTAGAGGACGAATGAATTCGCCCAGGAGATGCGAATTGTGAACAAAAAGTATTACCTACTATTCAAAGTCACTTCGAATTCCTGATTAGGTAATGACCAACAAGGACTCGACGAGTTTCAGCGGTCCAACTCTGCCAACTCTCGTGCTCACCCACACACCTAACGCTTTGTCTCCAATAGCAAAGAGTAATATGGGTTCGAAGACTTAGATATAACATACATAGCTTTGCCTTGCCAAAAATATGAAATGGAGTTTTCCGTCCACATTTCTAGAACGTGGATACTATGCAGGTACACGCGTTGTTATCTTAGAGTTGGTCCTTTTTCGACTTAATCGGAAATTATTACACTTAATAACGACTAAAATTCAGATAGTGCAAGGGCATGGTAGTCATTGCGTCAATGGCACGTTAGTGGGCCGGCTTGCCCAGTGTGGGCGGCTTGTTTCCTCAATGGGAAAGCCATATCATATCGCAACCCTGATCTCGGGAAAAATCTCGCTGATGTATACGAAGGATTTGGAGAAGTTGCCCATCGTGCTTTCAGCTTCCGGGATACCACAGTCCCGGAGGTAAGCGGGTGCGAGCGAAGGAAACCCCGGGATGACGGGATAATGTTTACTGAGTATGAGGAGGGAAGTACGATGCGGAAGACCGTCCATTTCATAGAAGACGGGGTAAGCACGACATCGAGATACCAAGTGCAGACGGCAATTGAATGCGCGCCGGGGCAAGTGCGGGGTTCTCGAGAGCCGGCTGCGTATAAGTCAAGTACTTGCATACTAGGTAAGAAGGCATGAAAGAAAGAAGGCAGCGAATAAAAGAAAGAAGAGGGAGGATTTGAGGAAGAGCACATTTACCTTCTAGAAGCCCAGGGATCGCAGCCTCTACCCGACTTCGACTTCACAGATCGCCTTGTTTACCTGGTATCTTTCGGTCAAGGACCGGGCTAATGCAATCCAACTGACCGGGTTGCAATCCTTGGTCAGATAGCACATCACCGAGTGCCTTACAAATATAAAAACCCCAGGTCCGCTGTTTAATTGCTAGGTGCCTTTGTTGTTACTGGTATTCTGCTTTCCCAGGTCGATCGCTCCACGCCACGCCACCAGCGCCATGCCGTCCTTTGCACATATCGCAGCGGCTGCTCTACAGCTGAGCTTTTTGGTACACCCGGGACTTGCCGTACCGACGAAAGGAGAACCCAAGCTAGGCGCTGTCGCGTCCGAAAATGCCGTCTGTTCTAAGATCGGAACCAATATTCTGAAGACCGGCGGAAACGCGGCCGATGCTTTAGTAGGTACGGTGCTATGTGTCGGAGTTACCGGCATGTATCATAGCGGTATCGGTGGCGGCGGCTTCATGCTCGTGCGCGGCAGCGACGGGAAGTACGAATTTATCGACTTCCGAGAGACTGCTCCGGCCGCCGCGTTCGAGGATATGTATAACAATGACACCAATCTAAGCTTATACGGCGGTCTAGCAAGGTGAACACATTGATCTGCCAGGCACTTGGTAACGAAACGGAAGGCTAACGGCATCACAGCGGTGTTCCGGGAGAGCTTCGAGGGCTAGAGCATCTCCATAAAAACTACGGAAAGTTGCCGTGGGCCCACGTGGTAATGCCAGCTGTCAAACTTGCTCGAGAGGGCTTTGTAGTGTCACAGGATCTCGTCAACCAGATGAACTCGGTGACGCCGAACGGCGATTTCCTCACGGACGATCCGGCGTGGGCAATTGACTTTGCTCCGAACGGCACCAGAGTCCAACTAGGCCAGACGATGACGCGTAAACGCTACGCCGACACGTTGGAGACTATCGCGAAGGAGGGCCCGGATGCATTTTACAATGGTGCTATTGCTCAGGCAACCATAGCCGCGCTGTCGAAGGCTAACGGGACGATGACTCTGGAGGACCTGAAGAACTACACAGTCGCCATCCGACAGCCTGCCAAGATCAGCTACAGAGGCTACAAGCTGACGAGTGTTAGTGCGCCAGCAAGTGGTGTAGTAGCTCTTAGTGCTTTAAAGATCGTTGAAGGATACGAGGGATTCGGCGACCCTGCTCAGATCAACCTCACAACTCACAGACTAGACGAAGCGATGAAGTTCGCCTACGGACAACGAGCTAAGCTCGGCGACCCCCTCTTCGTCGATGGTGTCGACAAGTACCAAACCGAAATGGTTTCCGAAGCAACTGCCGCCGAAGTCCGCTCGAAGATTTCCGATTTTACTACGCAGAGCAACGTGTCGTACTATGACCCGGAAGGTCTGGAAAGTCTTGAAACGCCTGGTACCAGCCACGTCGTTGCTGCCGACCACACCGGGCTAGCAATCAGCATCACGACGACCGTCAACTTGCTGTTCGGCTCGCAGGTCATAGTCCCCGAGACTGGCGTTATCATGAATGACGAGATGAACGACTTCTCCATCCCGAATTCGTCCAACGCATTCGGCTACATACCAAGCCCGCAGAATTACATCCGTCCGGGCAAGCGCCCCTTGTCTTCGATTTCGGGGACTATAGTCGAGTCGGCGGATGGGAAATTGTACTTCGTCATAGGATCCGCCGGTGGCAGCCGCATCATTACGGCGACCATCCAGAACATCCACCACGTTCTCGACCAGAACATGACAACGGCCGAGGCTCTCGCGGAACCTAGGTTGCACGACCAACTTGTCCCTCAACAGGTTTCGTTCGAGTATGCGTACGATAATAGTACCGTCGCATACATGAAGTCCTTGGGAAACAATGTTACGTGGGTAGCGCCCGGCAGCAGCACCGCTCAAGGCTTGCGGTTACTTCCTAACGGGACGTTCGAGGCGGCCGGAGAGCCACGGCAACATAACTCCGGTGGTTTTGCCGTATGATGGGATTCTTTCTTGCCAGCAAAAGTTAAACTATCTTACGACACGATGTTGGATTAGCGAATCTGGACTACTTATTTAACCACATAATCTAATTGATAAATACTATACCAATAATCCAGAACGCCCTCCTTCTTTGCCGAATATTTCTTTCACGTCTTTCTAGGACGTTATGTGTCAATGCAGTTATGAATTAACAGAAGGCAAAGTGTACCCCTAACTCCAAAATTCGTAGATATCTAGGATAACCCATAATACGCAGCAAACGGATCCTCCGTCCGATTCAACCCATTCCACTCCAACTCAACCCTCAAACCCTCACTCTCATTCCTCCCAAACAAATGCTCGACCCACCCCAACGCCATATCCGTGCCCGCACTAACCCCCGACGAAGTCCACACCCTCCCATCAACAACCCACCGCGCCTTCGCGATCCAGTTCACGTCCGCCGCGTGCTCGACAGACTTGACCCATTCGAAGGCCGCCTTATTCGTCGTCGCGTTGCGGCCCGCGATCCGGCCCGTGCGCGCTAGCAGCGACGCCCCCGTGCACACCGTCATCACGTAGCTTAGCCCCGGCTCGTCGTCGTCGTCGTCGAGGCGGGCCCGCAGCCAGTCCACGTGCGGCTGCGTGGCGTTTATGTCGCGGACGCCGGAGCCGCCCGGCACGATGATGACGTCGAGCGGGGGCGCCGTGCCGAAGGTATGCGTGGGCAGCACGAATTGCGTGAAGTTGGGGGATGCGGAGGAGGCGAGCGGGCCTCCTGAGATGCCGTTGAGGATGCTGCGGTCTATGCTGACGGGGGCGAGGTCCGCAGATATGAGGGAGAGTGTCATGGTGTGCTTGATGGAGACTAGGTTGAGCACGTTGAGGGGCCCGAAGACGTCTAGGGCTGTGAAGGCTGGGAATAGTAGGTAGCCGATGCGGAGAGGTGCTGTGGCGGGGGGTTAGTGGGACGAGGTGTGTTCTTACGACTGCTATGGCAATGGAGGTGGCATACCGGTTATGTTGACCATGATGGACGATCTGGCTTGCATTTGAGGTGAGGTAAGTAGAAACTATCTCGTTACACGGTAATCACGGCATCCCTTGCAATATATATATTGTACACGCGAACACTAGTGCAACTTATCGCGGTTACCCAGTACCTCGGTACCGCGATGCTCCAAGGGTGTTTATCTGAAGTGCTGCAGGGCTCACACGCCAAATTCTGCTCCTTCGTGAATCAATTTCCTACAAAGAGTGAGCAAGTATTGCTAGTTTATGTGCTCTTTGGTGTGGATTAGATGATATATGATACTAATTGGCTATCAATTGCCTCAGTCTTTACCAGATGACCATGTTTCGTCCCTTGTAGGATCTGAATGAGTGGTTTAGCCTCCGCAGATCGTGAAAAAAGAAGCGGCGCAGCACTGTGATTGTGCGGCTATCCGAGACTTCACGGCGATACTCCCTTTATCCGAACCTCAGATACACAGGATTGAAAATAGTTCATTACCTTTACCAACCTTGCAGAATAAGTTACCTAGTCACGATATCCGGATGAAACTTCTAGCGTTTAAGATATCCGGTTGGATAGGGGAACTATACAAACTTGAACACGGCTTCGCCATGAAATTCAGTCGATGCGATAATTTTAGTAGGTTCATACTATACCTGACACGGACACCCAAGTAAGGACTCCCCTAGATTATGAAATATGCTCACACTGGTCGCCCCGTCAGTGTTGACCTCGTTCATAATTGGGGGCGAAGCCTACAAAAAGGGGTAAGCTGACTAACTAAGAGATCTAATGGTATGGATATGGTTATACCTAGTAGATAGTAGTTGAAGTGCGAAATCATGAAGGGCAAGAATTAGAAGTTACTCACTCTTCCCGCACAATGGCGTAGTTGAAGTACCTATGCAGGACTGACAGGACTAGTTTTTCCATTAACTGAAATGTGGTATTGAATTCGAATGATAGTTGAATATAAGGTGTTTATGTAATCTGTATCGCCAATGACCCCCTATTGTGACGCGCCTATGACTGCTGCGAGCACCGGAGGCGTCACAAGTCAATAGTATTGACGAGTTGGATTTGGAGAAACCTTTACCTGTAAGATACTGCCAGAAGCGTATCTACTGTGATTCATGTTGCGATAATTACCCTGCGTCACGAAGCAGATGAATGAATCTGAACTTAACCTAACTCTACGCGGATATTTCCCAGGTAGATATGCTCAATCTCAATTTTAAGAATGCGCTACCTCATAACACCCGAGTAAATCCCCTAAGAGGGTGGTCCTCATTGCTCTTCACTGGGACAAGCCCCTCACGAAGTCGGACCCCCCTCACGCACACACGTCAAACGCACTACGCGGCTCAGGATACCAGGTTTTTACAATTACGGGCCCAGAGGACTTCAATCCCTTATCTTGCGAAACGATCGTTCGCTATAGAAAGGAGATCTCGTAAATAAGCCTATGGAGTCATCTTTCTTCGAGTCCTGCTAATGTCACATAGTGGAAGATGACATCCCCCCAAGGCCGTCAAGGTCACTAGCCGGGAAAGTTGCCGTTGTGACCGGGGCAGGGTGTGAAGGCGATGGCCTTGGCAATGGTCGGGCCATCTCAATTTTGTTGGCTGAAGATGGGGCTTCGGTTATCTGCGCCGACCTGAATCTCGCGTGGGCCGAGCGTACCAGCTCTATGATCCGCTCAGAAGGCAAAGGGGAGAGTATCAGCTGTCAGGCAGACGTTACCAAACCTACCGATTGCCAGAATATCGTCGATGCAGCGCTATCCAAGTTCGGGAGAGTTGATATTCTAGTCAACAACGTGGGAATTATGGGTGCCAGGGGCACGGCAACGGAGTTCGATCTGGAGCAGTGGCGTCGCGGGCTTGAAATAAACGTCACAAGCATGGCGAATATGGTCAAAGTGGTCGTGCCTCAGATGCGCAAGAACAGTGAGTCTCTAGGTCAGATTCGGGGAAGTATCGTCAATATGGGTTCGGTTGCTGGATTAGTAGGGGGCACTCCCCATCTGCTGTACCCGACGAGCAAAGGTGCCGTCCTGATTATGACACGCGCTATGGCGGCACATCACGCATCTGATGGTATCCGCGTAAATTGTGTTTGTCCAGGTAAGTGAGCGCAGGTCAACAGTTCTTCCTTTTCGCTGTACCGTTCTCCTAGCTAATCCGGATAGGTATGCTCTACACGCCTATGATGTATTCGAAAGGTATGAGTCCAGAGACTCGAGCTGCGAGAAGAAACCGAAGTCTCTTACGGACGGAAGGGAACGCATGGGACTGCGCGACGGCTGTGAGGTTTTTAGCTAGTGAGCAGGCCCGTTGGATCACGGGTATGGTACTCACAGTCGATGCCGGAGCCACAGCCGTGTCAGCCATTGAGCTAGTGTGAAGAGTGTTATTGTCTCATATTTCTGCCTCGAAATTCACGTAAATCCTTAGCCGGTATGCTATCCCTATTTTAATAGATTATCGCCGACGTTGTACGTGATGCAGTATAAGTACCAATAGTAATGTTATTATGCGGGTTAGACTTTCCCCGTAATTCGCATCACACGATCCGGTAGCGGACTAGGCGAACGTACCATTCGCGTCACCGCTTTGATATATCAGATATGTAATATATATTCGGAGACACCCCGCTCGGATTCTTCGACAACGAGATCGGAATATCGAGCTTCGCTTATCCAATACGAATCAAATATCGCAAACTCATTCTCTCGTGACATCTCCTCTACATCAGTCTTACCGAAAATTTGAATGACCACGGATGTCGAGTGTAAGATCGTGGACTAAATCTGATCAACTCATAATTAGCCGGAATGTCTTTGCACGCCTTGATACATCACGAACTGAGTCCGAGCAGTAGTTCTGCCGCAGGACCATCTGCGATTAGTTCCAGGAATGTAACATCTAAGATACCAGAAGACAACCTCAATCGTACAGCCCACGATGACGAACCTCGATCACCTCAGCCGACGACGCCGTCACCCGAGCAAATCCAACGAGTATTCGATGTTGCTCCGTTGAATGTCACGAACAAACGCCGCCGGCTGGCCATCACAACGCTCATCGTTGCTTGTAACCTCATGCAGATGATTTGCAACATGATGGGCATAGCCGGCGGATTAGCAATCAGCGAGCGACTCGGTGTATCTGGTGTCCATGCTAATTGGGTTGGCGCATCTTACCCGTACGTAAACCCTCATTTGATTGAAGCCATCCCAGTCTAAGCAGTAGCTATTGACATGTACAAGCCTTACGCAAGGAACTTTCGTTCTCATCAGCGGTCGCTTCGGCGCCGTGTACGGGCATAAGAACATGCTACTATTAGGAAGTCTAATCCTCATCATATTTACTTTCGCCTGCGGATTCTGCAATAGTTTCGTGGCCTTTAACGCGATGCGCGCGGTGTCCGGCATTGGAGGCGCGTTCGTGATGCCGAACGCCGTCGCCATGATCGGGATTACGAACCCGCCCGGCTTCGCGAGGAACCTGAGCTTGGCCTTCTTCGGCGCGTCTGCTCCCATAGGCGGCTGGCTGGGCGCCCTCGTCACCGGAGGGTTTCTCCAGAGCACGCCCTTGGTCTGGTTATTCGTATTCATGTAAGTACATCACACGCACGAGAGATTGGGCAGGCCACTGACGGTCTGTTCGCAGCGCAGCTATCAGCTTGATAGTCACCGTAGCATTGTGGGCGCTTCTGCCGCGCGAAGTGCCCGTAGATCCTAAGGGGAAGATTGACTGGATCGGCTCTTTTCTTGCCCTCGGTGGGTTGATTGTCTTCAGCGTCGTATGGAAGTAAGCATCCTAAATCGTTAAATCGGTGCCTAGAGGCTCGGTAGATGTGACTGTAATTGACCTAGTCTTCTTTCTGCAGTCAAGCACCAGCTGTGGGATGGTCGAGCCCTATGATCATAGCCACACTTGTCGTCTCCTTCGCTCTGTTCGTCGGATATTACATCTGGGAGCACTATTTTGCATCGGATCCAATCATGCCGCTAAGCATCTTCAAAGCCCCGTCATTCACGCCGCTAATATTCGTAGTGCTACTTAACTTCATGGCGGCGGGCAGCTTGTTCTGGTATACCGTTCTCTGGCTACAGGAGATCCGTCATTGGACACCGATGCACTTTGCTGTAGGTTGGACGCCCTTTGGTCTCGGAGGTGCTGCTGCTACGTTTCTGGCAGCCTATCTGATCCCCCGAGTTCCGGCACAGTGGATCTTGGCCATGGGTTCTTCTTGCATGTTGGTCGCTAGCATTCTCATCGCCACAATGCCGGAGCAGCAAACTTATTGGGCTCAAGTATTCCCGAGCACTGTCATCTCTGCGCTGTCGCCCGACCTAACCTACACCGCTGCTCAAATCGTTGCCAGCAACTCTGTTGGTCGGAAGCAGCAGGGCATCGCAGGTTCGCTGATAGGATCTTTGCTTTTGTACGGTACCAGCTTAGGGCTTGGATTCGCGTCGACCATCGAGTCGGAGGTAGGCAAGGGACATGACAAGGTGGTAGGGTATCGAGGAGCGTTGTATTTCACGGTAGGCCTTTGCGCGGCTTCGCTCATACTTGACATCTGCTTTGTGAGACTAGTGCAGGACAACCGCGAAGGCTGGGAAGATCCTGCGGACGTAGATCCAGCTGATGAGGTCATAGCGCCCGTGGCAACGGGAACAGAGCTGAGAGAATTGCAGCCACGTCCTGAACAGCGCTGAAATGGGCGTTGAGCCACCCCCTGAATCTCGAATCTCGCTGAAACAACGACTTTCTTCAACGTAAATTAGAATATTACCAGACTTTAGATTAGAATCCATGACCAAAATCAACATTGAATTTTGGCCGACTGCCTTAGTTTATCTGGACGTACTGACGTGCGAGAGTAAATGGAGTTTCGCGCATTTCATTTTCCGATCGAGAATCAATTTCTTGCGGAGGTAACTGATACGGTTTGCGGACATTCATAATCACGTCAAAAATAAGCATAACCCACACATTATGTTACTTGAAGTATATAAAAGTCTATTATAAATGTTACTCTGGTATGGACTATCCTGAACTTCCATAGGAGTATTGGATGAGAAATGTTCGAATTTGATATGTGCGGTTATATCCAGCATTTACGACCTTAGTCTTATAATACCTGATCAACGACCCGCCAGCTGTCAGAGCGCTTAGTGGTAAGGGCAACGACCGACTGAGCGCTTGTCAACTGCAACTTTGCCAGGCGACTGAGGGAAATGTTCGGCCGCGACAATTCTGTTCATCATATCTCCCAGGTCATCTGCTACGAAAGGTTCCTTCGCTTTGGTGAAGCCTAACTCGTAAGGCAAGCGCTCGTTCTCTAATAATCATCGCCCGTTAGCTTCTATGCGAGTTTATCAAGCTCTAAATCATGATCTTACCGAATAGGTATTCTACCCAAGCCTTAGGCACCGTGCCGGACACCTTGTCGCCAAGGATAGCGACATAAGCTCCTGATTCACCAATGCTGAAGGCGGAGCCTAGGTCGGATAACGAGTACTCGGGATTGGTAAGATTCGAAGTCATAAGACGAGCGACGCGAGCATTGGATGCCATTTGTACGGTGATCGTGTCTCCGGTCCAGTACGACTTTGTTTGGTTGAAGACGGCCTCATTGAAGACATCGGGGGGTCCAAAGTAAGCGTCTTGGCGGCTATAGGTATAAGGTTAACGGACTTGTAGTTAGACAACAAGTTTTGACATAAACTAACCTCAAGCTACCATCATGTTCTAAGATGTTGTGGCGGCTAAGATCATTCAAGTCGAAATATGTCGAATTGGGCGTTGGGTTCGTCGTCACCGCGAAGTTGAACAGCTCCACAGACAACGCTGAGTCTATGTTTAAAGCGGTTCCGAGAGCGTCAATCGTCTTGTTGACGGTGATTCCTTTTCCAGTATGCGGAAGGAAACCGTGGTTCGCCAAGGTGTTCAGCATAGGGCATGGGCCACGAACTATCGAAGATCAGCTTTACTCTAAAATTGTACATTCCAAGTTATACTAGCATACCATCAGTGGTACCAGGAGCTGTCCACGGAGCAGTACTTGAAGGTGCCGAATAGACTGTTGAGCCAAAGGCTACGACGACGGGAAGATACACGGACTTCATTTTCAACTGGTTCGAATCGGAATTGTCTAATGGCTTGCAATGAAATAGATAAACAGGTGTAACCTCTAAATTATTGTATACATCTTTGGCGACCATAGAGGTAGGTATATATAGCGTAGCAACTTTGAGCGGTTGCGAATTAGACCGTCGGGCATCAGACACCCTTCGGGATAAAGTTGACGGGATAAGCCTTCAGTCATCTTCAAGTGGCTCGCCGCGTCATCGTCGCAAGGCAACAGCATAATACCACCTCCAGATGCACACTGTCCGTCGCAGTCCAATGCGGTGCGGTCTATAAGTCATCAGGGGACCCCAGATGTCGAAGCTTACCGAAATACGAATCGAACAACTTAGCCTCGAAATCCCCACAAAGAGTGATCCCGCCATTAACGGAATCGGCTTTCCAGCAACAAGGGCGACTTGCAATGCCGGATATGTGGCGGAGCAATTGTTGCGAGTCTGATAGGTCCGTAGATGTATAAGCTTCTGGAGAAATACCGAATAAGGACCTATATGGTCCTATTCCGATTGGGTTGTGTGATCCTTCGGCTGCTTCCCTGGAAATTTTAGCGAATGACTGTTAACTCATTATAAATACGGATCGAGCTCAGACCCCAATATGCGGGAGAAATGGCCAGGGTTTCTCGGTGCGCGTGAAGCCCGAAATCTCCGGACATCTCCTGCGGCTGAAGCGAGTACAAATATCGGGTAACTGCCTTGAATATGGTCATTTCGGCTCCGATCGGGTAACATCAGTCTCGATACCCGGCTTATTTCCCAGCTCAATCTGTAGAAACTGGGAGTTGTGATGTTCCTGTTCTGAGATTCCTTCGCAGGCAGAATTCTAAACAAAAAGACATCGTCTCAGGTTGGTCGGTATCTTAGCTCTTACAAGTTCTCGACGCGTGCTCTGCGCCTCTTTAGTTCAGCTGGGCTTATAGCATAGCTTTGCGAAGCCGATCGTAATCTCTTCCCACATTACTTATTCATCCGGTTCAGCTCAGCATTTAGCAAGGTTCCGGTGCCGCTGGTCAACAAAATCATTTAGATACTATTCGCTCCATTATACGCCGTATAGAGCTCCCAGATACGTCAGAGTCCGTAATTCCGCAATTAACCCACTGATGATAATCGTTCAACTGCTACCAGGAACATGATTCGAAATGCTTCGCCGCCATCGCTGTGTCTCAGCCACGTGGCGGGCCATCCTTCCATGGGATTCAAGTATCATCTTTGGCATTAACTTCGAATACTCGGTGCCTCCGCCTTCCGAATCAATACGTAAAATCAGATGGCTAAATTCGGGCTCGATGTTTGCCTGGAACTAATTTTACTGTTCATCTTTAAGTAACTAGCTCTGAGTCTACCTAGGCTAGTTTCTATGTGCCCATTACCATATTGCTTCGATTAGGACAATTCGCCTGGAAGATAAACTTACCTTTCTACTCCTTATTACCAGGTACCTCATAATTTATCTGCCTAAGGTACCTAACTATCATAGAAGCTTTAGGAATAATAAGGATCCTAAGGTTCCATGCGAGAAACGCCGTTGAGCCATATCACCGATAGGTAAGTATTGTGTATCGAAAATGATCGAGCGTGGGTGACGGAGGGTGGATACGACGAATATGCCCAATTCAAGGAGAGGGCAATTGACAGTTACGAAGTTTGGCTTTAGTTTCGTCCGCAGGTAGTGTAATAAACCTCTCAAAATCATGCTTTGCTCCATACAAACCTTGCAGTTTCTCAGGCAGCATTCATGCAACAGCGGAAGATTCTCTACTGATATGAAATTACTCCAAGGTAAACTATCCGACAAAAACAAATTTCTTCGGCAGCAAGGAGCGAGCTGTGATGTCACAGCGCGATAAGTTGGCCAAGAAGAACTTCCCATATACACGAGCTAATTCCTTTTCGGCATGCTACTCGTCTGTTGCTTAGTAATTATCCCATGTGCAATGTCCAAATAGTTACCCCTTTTCCGAAGTTGATATTCTTATAGAATTGGATACGTACCTAAGAATTTGGGTACCAAGACTTGAATAAGTAATCAGTTGTTTCTTTTCATATCAAGACAACTCTGGATAAACTCACTGGAACGTGATATCTCTTTGCTTTATGATGATGATGATGAATTTGTTTACGTCCAGGGGCTATAGCAGTACTAAGTACACATAGCGGCGCGTATCGGTGACGCATGGGACGTCTAGAGTACCTAGGTAGGCAGAGCTAGAGTTCCGCTTGACACAAGGAAATTATTTTTTTATCCTCCTCTCCTGCCTATAGCATTACTCTAGCTAGTGAGCGCCAGCCCTGGCTAACCGATTATATTCAGGAAAAACCCTACTCCGGGTCCACCTTCTTCTAACGTCTTTTAAAACCACCCTCCAACGCCCAGCGAGCCCTAAAGCGGGGTAAAAAAACCTGAATAAATCAGACCGTTGGTTAAGTTGCCCACAGTGGGATTCGAACCCACTCGCTTCACGTAGTCGTACGCTAATGCGCGGCCAGACGCTTTAACCACTGCGCCATGTGGGATCTCTTTGCTTTATGTAGAGTTCGAAGACACGTTAACACCTTCGCCGAAGTCTTGTTCTAATAGTAACCAACGTGGGTAAAGCGAACCCAAATCCGCCAACATGCTACAAGTAGATCCCTCGCTGCGGATTTGGCCCGGCTTGTGCCACGATACGACATCCATCCAATCCGATCTGAGTGAAACTAAGAGATTCTCTATGTGATCTCTACCTACCTACATCCCCGTATTCGCTTACCCGGTCGGATGGCGGTAGTGCTCAGCCCAAAATGCTCCAAAACTGTAGCTCGGTCATAGGCATGCCCTATATTCATGAGTTATCAGTTCTCATACTTTCCGGGGACGACAACCAACTCGTGTAAGCCTTTGGCGCTGCCGTAGAATCACGACGGGCTTGGACTCGATTACCATGCCACGGGTGCTAAAGACGACAATCTACGTGATGGTTGAGTCAGAATGCTCGTAGATGGACTGATCATTGTCATGATCGCCTACCCTCGTCATCCACGGCGGCAGCCGTGGTTTAGGTTAAGGAATTATTCCATGTTCCATTCGTACCTACTTCACGTGCTCCCGGTCCTCGTCATCTTCCCTGGGGGCAATAAAACACGAGCACCAACTAAATGTCTCAACGCACCACTTCCTAAGTCGTAACCAGGGGCTTGTTCAAAGAAAAATCTAGATACCTAAGTAGTTACTCTTGAGTTTGCTAGCTAAATTGAGACTGGAAAAGTAGCAAATTTGTTCTGCGTAATATGCAAGATGATAGTTATAGCCTCAAGGCTGTTAAATTCATCCATCCGAATAAAATACAATTATGTACTTACCCGCTACATGAATAGGGGCTATTAGATAAATGCATCGAAAAAGGGGGAGGCACAATGGAAACTCAGTGAATTAACCTAAGGCGCAGCTATCTCGCTCCTTCATATCGGCCCCCGAGCAACAAGGGACACGAGAGAATCGCAAATGAAGAAATCAGAATGCTTTATTTAGCCACAACATCGTATAAACTCAGCAATCACGCCATTGCTACCTTTCTATCTTAGAATAGCACGCGGAAGGCTCTAATCGCCGTTTTCTCTTAACGTAGTTACGGAGTCAAGATGTTCGGAGTACACCGATATCAGATATTCTTGAAAAGTCCTTACAATTATCAACATTGTCGACGAAAAGCAATGGCCAGTCCATAGTGTGGATGACGACGAAGGAGATGGCAAGCAAATATAAACTTCATTTTCCTTCCATACTAATGATCAAAAAGTCTTTACTCTTGAAACTTCATAGAGATTAGACTTTGTTTTATATCGACAGCTAGACTACGTTAAGAATAAAGAGGTGAAGGTCCGTCAAAATAGGCAAGTCAAGGCAGAGTGACCCTCCCTATTAAAGAAGGGGCAAAGCTACAAAACTTCACAGTTCACCCCGAATACCACGCTGTAAACAAATAAAACCCTTAGCGATAAATAACATGACGGTTTGTGTCGTCGTATTGAGAACCTAACTGTCACGACAGGAACAAAGACCTGTGGGTGGAAGCTATCACCTGCCAATTGAGCCAGACAACCACCAAAAGACGAGGATCGCAAGTCGAACAGCCTTGCGATTTTACAGGTGATAAAGCTGATCCGTCACACTAACTTAACCTACTTCGACTAATCAACTAATCACCATTACTTCCTAATTCCATACCTTTCACTATTCTCGTCGTCCCTAATAAGCTACCTAAGAAACACCTGATAAACTAGTCTAATTCGAAGAGCCTCATAATGAAGGCTGCTGAAATGCGGATGGTGAGCACTCGAATATCCATCCGAGCTACGTGGCTATATGTAACTGACTTAACAGGCAAAGACGGGAACTCTCCAGACAGGAGACGGGTACTACACCTCTACCAAGTCAGTTCACGATGGAGGTCAAACATGTTGACATTCGATCAGTTCCTACCGTCCATCCTCTGGTCATCTACCTAATCAGCCTCTACCCTAAAATCGAGTAACCACGTACGTAACTCTAGGTAAGTGCCCGGGATACACACGCAACCAAAACAACTTTACTTTCTTCCATACCTGCTCACCTAGGTAGTTTTTCAAGCTTCCTTTCAATCGAAAAGACAGGCACCAAAAAGCAGCATCATTCCTTCATCGACTACCAAGGAAGAAGCAGGCTTTTCTTTTTGATTATTCGTCAAGACAGGCTCATCTTCTTCCTCGAATTAGTTGCCCTCATCTTTTCCACCGTTGGACTACCTCCTACTATTGATCTTTTAACATCACACGCTTTAGTACACGTCCATGTTGAAAGTCTCTTGCTAATAAAAGCAAACATCTTCATCATGGCAAAATCAGGCCCCGACAAAGAGGGGCTATCCTCTCTCAGGTTGCATGATCATGGCTTCAGTGACAATGAGGAAGGGCATGTATCCAGTGAAGGATCGCCTTACACGGAACCTGAATCTAACGACATGTGCCAAGAGGCTGCTGAGAGCCCGTACTACGAGGACTGGGAGGAGCTGAAACCAAAGATTTACAAGCTATGCTCGCAACTATGGCCGCAATTTCACTATCTATTCGGTAACCACCTGGAGTACCTTTCTCACGGCCGCCACAACGTGAACATCGGTCTCTCGATACCTAACCCGAATAAGGTGGCTGTGTTGACTCGATCTAACTACGTCCTTCGCATTTCCAAGTCGAAAGATGGCGCGCGCAACAATGTTGCAGTATCCAAGTATCTTCAGAAAGCAATGAGCTTCCCTACTCCGCAAATCCTATTCTACGATCTCACGGCTAACAACGCGATACGATACCCTTACGTGATTACTAATCGAATTACGGGCATGCCCCTGAGCCGAGCCATTAAGAATGGAGCAATCACCCAGAAGAAGATGCTGTGCGTGGCCAAGGATCTAGGCCGTTTCTACAAGGAGATGTTGTCTATCAGAAGCAACCGTGCCGGGCTTATTCTTGCCACCAACGAAGCCCCCCTGGACTCCGATGTCTCCGCCCGAATCCTGCCCCTGGGAGCACACGAAGATGAACCTATTAAAGAGTACGATGCTTCGGATGAGACTTCATTGTACCCATTCACAGTATACGAAGCTCCGGATATTCCTTGCGCTATGCTGATGCACAAAGCCGTACTACTATGCACGCTTCGTGACAGCGATGACTTCCAGGGCTATGAACGATCCTTTTGGAAGCAGATCAACTCTATCTATGGCGAGATGGAAGGTATGGGACTATTCTCTAACAACACCATATGCCTCTCTCGAGGCGGTCTGTCCCCGAGCAACATCATGATTGACACCTTCGGCTCCGTCATCACCGTGACTGGGATTCTGGGCTGGAATAAAACTCTCTTCTTGCCGCAGTTTCTAGCGAACCAAGCTCCAGCATTCCTATGGACTCCTGTCGTGCGCGATGGAAAGATGTCAGACTTTGATTTCTTGGAAGCAGAACTTGAGACCTTTGGCGGTTTGACCGTAGCGCCGCTGACACCAGACATGGCCGAGTTGAAGCAGGTCTTTGAGAAGCACGCAGGGGAAAGCTACACATCTAAGCCTTTCACCAAGGAGGCGTTCTTGGCTGAACGAATACTGCAAGCGACCTTCCTTGACTCTGACGACTTTCTATTCTTTACCGTCATATTGAAGAAATATATCGACGCATGGTACGGAATGGAAAGACCCCCTATCCAAGATGGCGAAGACACGCCTAACGAAGTCACCGACGGTGCCACCAACGGCAAATTGACCGACCTATCGACCTCGCAACCTAAGAAACTCTAGAAAATCACATGCTAAAGGATGTTAAACCCGGTATTACCTATAAATGTCATAGCTCCCGGAAAATGAGTTCCTAGCTATAGGGGCTCTTTAACCCGCCGATAACCCCTGTAATACCCGTGTGGCCCGATAGCAGAGGAAGTGGAAATCTTGGCGGAAGTGTCTATGGCGAAAGAATGACAAACGGATAGTGTGGGTGATGTGGAGGGGACGTAAGGGTTGGAAAGCAAGCATTTTGCGGAAGGACAAGATTGCAAATTTTTTTCCTGGGGTGGTGTTCTAGGGTGGTGACGAAAAAGGGGGGTGAAAAGATGTGTAATTTGACGTCTGAAAGAAGACCTACATAACTTGCTAGGATGGATTCACTATCGAATGATGAACGGTATAACATCCACATGCTTGCTACATTGGGTATCCATCTGATAATTCAAACCTGTTAGCTGCAGAACAGCCAGACAGCTTAAACTATCGGTATCCGTATCGCCTTGACGCCAATGCTCCATCTATCCGCCCATCGTGCCATGGGTGTGATAGCGAAGTGGGTATCATTCAACAGCTGGGGAATATTTGGAGAAGTGTGCCTGAAGTGCCTGAATGAAACTATTTTTGCTCCCTTTTCTCCCAATTCTCCAATTCCGCCATTCGCCAATGGAACATCGTCAATTCCATGATAAATGATTATCTTCGAATTGGCCAACGTTTAGATAGCAACGCTCCGTTGATGGCCCGCGATGGGTTTCATTCTCGCGCCAAACACTTTATCTTCCAACCATTCAGGTCCAAATTTCTGACGTGTGAAGCGGAACCATCCACCGTAACCGTATCTCTCTCATGCAAGGTGGGCTGATAGAGCGTCCGGCTAGTGTCCGATACCAGTCGAACCTTGATCCACCAGATGTCCGATCGCGAACCCAAGAAAAAAAAGTTATACGACCCCATAAAAACCCAATGGTATTGCCACCGAGAGAGATAAAACCCGACCTAGGTACGCGGGAAAGGTCAAGTCCAGTCTAAGGGGAAACTAGTTTTCTTTTTTTCTTCCTGCTAAAAAAATACCTAGGTGAAAAGACGAATAAGCAAGCAGGAAAAATTAAGTAGTTACGTAGGTAAAATATACTTATCCAACCATGAGCCACGACCCGGCGCGCTCCCTAGCGGACGTGGGCTTCTACCCCGACTCGGCGCCCGAAACGCCGTACCTGGGTCTCGACACCGGCAGCGCCTTCCCCTCGGGCGTCGCCTCGCCGGACCCGCTCCTGACCCCGTCCAACAAAAACAACAGCAACAACAACAACAATGAGTACTTCGCGCTAGACCGCAAGGCGCTCGCCCAGGCCCTCGGCCAGAAGCGCGACAGCGACAGCCAGATCTCGGTGCGCATGCAGACGCGCGACATCACGGACCGGCACCGGTACGACGACGAGTACGACGACGATGGCGAAGACGAGGTGCTTCCGGACCTGATGCTCGAGCTCAGCGCCATCAGGAGCCGGACCCGCAGCGCCGCGGCGCGCATGCCGGACGCGGACGTCGAGTCCGGCGCCAGCACACCCGTCCGCACCAAGGGATCATCGCAGGGCGTTCCCCCCGAACTCGCCAACTTCGCGGCGGAGATCGTATTCGTGCTGGTGTGCAGCGCGGGCCAATTCATCTTCGCGCTGACGTACGGCCACGCCAACGTGGCGCAGCTGCAATTGCGGACCGCGCTGGGCCTGCCCGCGACCCAGATCCCGTGGGTGCTGGGCTCGAGCCTGCTGGCCAGCGGGCTGTCCGTCATCGTCGCGGGGTCGCTGGCCGACCTGGCGGCGCCCAAGCCGCTGATGGTCGGCGCCTTCATCTGGAGCGCCGTGTGGCACGCCGTCGCCGCGGCGGCGCTCTCGCCCCGGCTAAAGGTCTTGTTCTTCGTCGCGCGCGCCATGCAGGGGCTCTCGCTGGGTATCCTCGTGTCTGCGTCGATGAGCGTCCTGGGCCGCGTGTATAAGCCCGGCGTGCGCAAGACGAGGGTATTTTCGCTGAGTACGTGACGCCACCCCCTTTTCTGACATTTTCTTGTGTAACCCGAACTGACCCTTTTAAAAATTGCTTTTTTTAAGGGGTGGCCGGTCCGATGATACCCCCAAAATACTTTTACCTTTTTATTTATGTGGAAATGAGTACTAACTTTGGATAATAGTGGCGGCCGGTGCCCCTTTCGGATTCTCCATCGGTTGCCTTCACGGAGGCGCGCTGGCCCAACACTTACCATGGCTTTTTGGCAGCACGGCCATCTTCCTCTGCGTTGTCGCCGTAGCCGCGTACCTGACGCTACCGGATCTAACTCCCGCAAAGGACAGCCACGACGCGGACGCGCCCTCGCTGCGAGAGTTCGACTACGTCGGCGCCGTACTCTCGTCCTCGGGCTGCGGTCTGGTGCTTTTCGGGCTGACGCAGGGATCGTCTGCTAACTGGAACCCTTACACGTACTCTCTTATCATAGCGGGTGTTGCAATGTTCGTCGCGTTCGCTTTCGTCGAGCGCAGCTTGAAAAGGCCTTTGATTCCTAATGGCTTGTGGAAGACACCGGGATTCGCTGCGCTGCTTGTGGCGTACTTCCTTGGCTTTGGGGGTTTTAGTATGTGTCCCATCTCTATAACCATCGTGATATTTACGATCATCATGAGAATGCTAACAAGACTCTTTCTTAGCCGGAGCGTGGCAGTTCTACGCCGTCCAGTTTTGGCAGAGGTATCAGGGCGCGAGTCCAGTAACTGTGGCTCTTTACATCCTACCCAACGGAGTAGTCGGAGTGTTAGCGGCCTATGTCGTGTCCAAAACATTGCACGTGTTCCCGGGACACTGGATTTTCATAGCTAGCATGATAGCTTTTGCATTAGGACCCGCCTTCTTCCTCCCTCAGACGCCGAGCACTTCTTACTGGGCTTTATCGTTCCCTGGCGTGGCGCTCGCAACGTTCGGTCCGGATATGAGTTTTGCGGCGGCTGCTATATTTATCACGTCCAGCGTGCCGCGGTCGTACCAAGGGTCTGCCGGTGCCCTGTTGGTCACGGTGCAAAATCTGACATCAGCTATCATGACGTCGATCTCTGACTCGATCGGCGTCAAGGTCGACCAGTTGCCCTCGGGTGAGATCGGACTCGAGGGCCTGAAGGCCATCTGGTGGTTCGGACTCGCATCCGCAATGACAGGAGCACTTATCACGGCTACCTTTGTGAGGATCCCGAAGGCGGAGGAGAAGGAACACGTGCAGTAACGAACTAAAGGGTACATCTTTTGGATATTATAACATTGGCTATTGAGGGGTTTATTATAAAAGAGGATAAGACTACGGGTAAGGCACTCAGGGGTGAAACGAGGATATACACAAAACGCAGGGTATGATGAGTTAAGAGAAGTTAATGAGCGATACTTGGGATATATAGACGGGTTAGACGGGTAATTTCAACATTCGTACGGTAATCTAATAGAATAGGAATCGGTTTCACTTGCAGCTCATGCTCATATGGTAAACCTAAGCAGTGCATTACGCTCAGTGTGTGTGAAAGGCTATAACCTTGATTGTTATTAGCCATTCACTGGCAGTTGATGATCGGTACATTGGCTTGGTGAAGGCAGAAATGGCAAAGAGTCGTCGATTAAAAATATCAACCTAGCTGCTCGTCTGCTAGCATTGAAAGTTAGCATGTAGTATAAAGATCTGCACACTTTATTAGTAGGAAGATATGTTAGTAGTCAATAGCTCTAGGATTTCTTCCTTGCAACGTTGAGCTGAGCCTAATGGCTTCCGTGCCACGTTCAAGACGATGACCGAAGAGTTTTTTTTTAGTATGCCGGATTAGGAAGTTCGCGATGGCGTAGCCCAATAAAAGAGGGACGTTAAGTCCTGCAGACCCCTATTGCCCAGGTAGTGTATGCAGTTGCTCGTAGCCACCATATCCTACCAATAAAATCTTTACGGATTAATAGAGTATACCTAATCCGTAAAACAAGCCAAAATGAGAACACGAGTGGATATTCAAGCGGTATCCGTTCTTGTTCGGAGAGAACATAACCTGACGAGCTGAAACCTACATCTTTTACCGCTTGATATCGTCCTTGAAGTAGTCTTGAGTGGCAGAGCGGTTGAAGTCATGTCGACTATTTATTAGCCCCCAACGGAGAGACGAAACCGAGCATAGCCACTCCAGGGAATAATACAATAATGGAACAACATGGGGAGATCTGCCGGAAGCGCCATTCGTTGCCAATCTATGCCCACAAGGTCGCCTGTGCCCTTGTCTTCGCTCTGATCACAAGTCTGTTCGGCCGGCGGTGTGTAGTTCGGTGCGAGCACTTGTCTAACTCTAACGATATCGGCTATGGGTACAGTGAAATTGGCGCAGATCGGTTCGTAGAACATGCGCGTTTTGTGACCTAGTTGTAGTGTTCACACCTGTCTTTTGATGAACAACGCAGTATTTACACTAAGTTAGATATTGAACATCGCTGTTATGTTGTACACCCGGAGCTAGCTGAAACCTGTAGTACTGCTTCGGTCGTTCGCACCGAGACACAGACTCGGATTGCTTCCTTTATGATTGTATTGCGACTCTGGGTTGAGGGGATTAATAGTTTTCTTGACTTGGTCCTCTCTCTTACGAGCATCGTGTAGCTTCTTAGCGCTTTGAAGCTTGGGTACCCACTAGTGTAGGATTGCAGGGTCTTCCAATCCCTAAATCTAGATAGCTAGCAGCATACGGTTAGCGCGAAAGAGGCTACAAGATTAGTTGCCGATGAATATTTCTCTACGCGAAGCGAAGGCTTCGTCTTCGGAGATGACTAAGTAACGCGCTGGTAGAGTTATGGATCTGTAAAAGGGTGTTTACTTCAATTTATGACGGTCGAGTTAGGTTTTGTCCCGAGATTGCGGCCAAGTTTCTGCGGAACCGGTTGGATCGATCAAATTACGCAAATGTGTACCGTGACGGAGATATAACGAGTCTCATATGTAGGTACGAAGTCGGGATACTATGTAGATCGACCGCATCGGTAATACTTATTTTAGAAGCTAGATAGGGTGTGCGCTCATCGGTGGTACGTGAAACGCCACGATGCTTGTTTGAACCTCAACCAGAAAAGCCCTTTAAAAGAAGTTGTTCCCAAGGTGTCTCAAATACCTAGAAATGGATAGAAACGAATTTGTGCGCATACCGCAATATGGCATGGCGACGGATTGGGCGTTTCAGCTGCCAAGATTCTAGACTTGAGTGGTTTCAACATCCCCGCTGCGGCTGAGATCTTGCTCGAAGGGACTCTTCGACTTCTTCATATTTCCGTTTTTGCACTAAGATATTTGCTAGGTAGTTAATAGTCCTTAGTAGAAACAGAGCTCTGAAAATGGACGTATCGGTTTCTTCGTAGGTGACAACCTGAAGATACTGTTGGACCCGGTATATAATAAGGTGGTATCGAGGACCTGGATAGCTGCATTCCGACTACCAGATTCTAATGTTGGTAAGGCAGCGCTAATGATGTTTCCGTGTTCCAAGTTAAGATCCTGTACAATATCCGGGCGGCCTCTTGGGCGTAGTGTCACGTCTTGAATTCGCTAGAACCAATCAGCCCTACGCATTAGATTCCTGACGAGGTCTTTGTGCCGTGAGCCGCGCAGTACTAGTAATCGTACTATCTAGCAGTCTAGGTACCTAGTGCACATGTGAGTGTTAGGTATGATATCATTTGACAAAGATTTTAGTAAAGTATCAGAAAGCGTAATGAATGGCGTAAGATTATTAGCCTCCAGGGCTGCTACCGAGCAGTCTGGCAGTTAGCACGACATTACGAGAGTCTAGGCCGAAAAGCCGGATGAGCGGCTTTGATGCTGTAGCTAACGTTTAAGGCTGTAGCGAAAAGGTAATGTCGTGATCCACGATGATGAAATGGTATTTGAGCCTTGGAAATAAACGTGAGGATAAGTGGCAGAGTGGATAATGGGATTAGACGATTGGCGGAGTTGAGAAAGCTGGAGCCGCTATCTGAAAATAGAGTTAGCTATTAGCGTTATGGGGTCAGTAGTTGCCTGTTATTACCCACATTGTTCCGCTGCAATCCACCTGTCGTAAACAGCAACCCATCAGACATTAACCGCATGCAGCCTTGTACTAGCTCATTATGGCAATAATGTTTGACTAGCTCGCGCGTTAATGCAACCGCTCCTTGACGTTTCTCCTTTGCTGCGCCTCCTTTTGCGCCTGTCGAAACTCGGAACCTCTGAACCCTTTCCCATCCTTTTCACTTACATGCGCGAAACAGTCACACCTCGGGAAAAACGGCAGCAGTTTAGGGTCTCGATTACAGCGTGTCCATAGGCTTTTCAACCCTCCATACCAGCTCATACCTAGGTCTAGCCAGGTGTGGCAGACATTATTAGTGAAGGACCACGCAATACCATGCAGATCTGAGTCGGGTGCTTCGTCATCCCCCTAATTATTTTTCATTATCTGGCTGCGTGTGGTACTTGCTTTTCATTCATCTCGACCATTCATACCTCTCCTTTATCCTTCTTTCCATACCTACCACATTGTATTATATTATCCATCTTAGATTCTGAACCTCGGGTTGGAGCTGGTCAGCAAGCAGGAACTGCAAATCTCATCCCTTGGCATCGACTTGGCGAGTTGGCGACTTGGCAACTAGGCTTAGCACCGAGCTGAGATATCCACCGAGTGACTCTAGTCAATCATCAGCCGTCATTTTTAAGTTACTTCCTATTTCAAGCTCATCCATTAGTAGGCTGCCTAAGTACCTATAGTATCTTGGCATCCGGGCTGGTCCTGGGGTTGTTGTGTTGTGTTGGATCCGATAGTTTACCTGTTTCAGACTTCTCACATTACATACTATTCATTCTATTCTCATACCTATCCATTACATACATAGCCTCTTTGTTCCTCCCCTTCCGTATCCTAGCGGCGACTTCTCTAATTCCTTTATTACCTATCCATCCTCGCCACGAATTATCTCTTACTATACCTTCTTGTTTTCCTTTCCTCTTGATTTTCTTTCATTCGTCGATACCTAGGTACTAAGCCTAAAAGATAATCGCGAGATCACCAAGCCGCGTCATCATACCGAGACCCTGGACGGTTAACTTCCCCGGTGACCCACGAAAAAAAGTCTTGGCTGAGATTTCCATCGGGTACCTACATCTCGTCGCCAAACGAGTTTATCTGAGCCAAGAACGCGATCTTAAACCACCCAATACTCTACATCTTTTCAGATCCGAAATATGAGGACTGTCGCGACGCTTGCGACGGGCGCTTTGGTCGCCTCTGTCGCCCAGGCACAGGTTGTTCAATGGGATATCGTGAGGAAGCATACGGGACCTAAATTAACGAGGCGAGCTGGCACGTTTACGGAGGTCATCACAAACGAGAAAGTTCGGGGAGGTTACTTTGCATCATGTTCAGTCGGAACGCCTGCCCAAAATCTCACCTTACAACTGGACACGGGTTCGAGTGATATCTGGGTTCCTTCGAGCTCCGCGAGCGTGTGCGAGCAAACATCTTCTAGTAGCGATGGCTGCAGTCTCGGATCTTGTAAGTAACCTTCAAGCAAGAAAAATAAAAATCAGGGAATAAATGTCAAGGTGGCTGGTTACTGACTAATGTTTGTCACAGTTGACGAGAGCGAATCTAGTACCGCCACGGTCGTAGGCGAAAACGAGTTCAGTATTTCGTACGTCGACGGTAGTCATTCTAAGGGCGACTACATCACGGATACGTTCCAGATCGGTGGTGCCAAGTTAACCAATATGACTATGGGTCTTGGTACTTCTACAGATATTCCGTACGGCCTCGTCGGTGTTGGATATACCTTGAACGAAGCTATCATCGGCACCACCCACTCTAGCTCGTCCCAGTACGACAATCTTCCCGTATTGATGCAGAAGCAAGGCCTCATCGCTACCAACGCGTATAGCTTGTGGCTTAACGATCTAGACGCGAGCACTGGTAGCATTCTATTTGGTGGAATCGACACGGAAAAGTACAAGGGCGATCTTACTCGCATTAACATTCAAAAGGATGCCTCGGCAAACGCTTTCACGTCCTTCATCGTCTCCATGACGTCCGTACAGGCGACATCGTCCTCCGGCACCGATACGCTATCTTCTGCGACGTTCCCGATTCCTGTCGTCCTGGACTCCGGCACTACTTTCAGCTACGTGCCGACCGACTTGGCAACGGAGATGTGGAACGAGGTTGGTGCCGAGTACTACAGCGAAGTAGGACTCGCGCTCCTGCCTTGCAGCATGGAGAACAGTGCGGGTCATTTCTCGTTCGGCTTCGGCGGCACTGGAGGACCCGTCATCAACATTACGATGGACGAGCTTGTCCTGCCCCTGACTACTGGCGGGGCTGTGACCTTCCCCAGCGGCCCCAACAAGGGCCAAGAGGCATGCCAATTCGGCGTTCAAAACTTCAGCAGCGACAGCACCACGTTCCTTCTAGGCGACACTTTTATGCGATCAGCCTACGTTGTGTACGACTTGGTCAACAACCAGATTGGACTTGCGCCCACGGATTTCAACGCCACAAAGTCCAACGTTGTTGCGTTCGCTAGCGAAGGTGCCCAGATGCCGTCTGCCACCGCCGCGCCTAACCAGGCTGCGGTCTCCGAGTCGGCCTCGACTACAACAGGATCGTTAGGCGCAAGCGGCGGTTTCCTGAACGACAAGTCTTCCGATGGCTCTTCGCTTCCACCGCCCCTTGATTGGTCTAGGATAGCAGTCATGGGTGCCAGCATGAGTCTAGTGCTGGTTGGGAGCGGATTTTTCATGCTTTAAAGAGTTATCTGTCATAAATCAAGGCGTTCAGGTTACGGCCGAATTGTGCATTATTCTGTTATCATGATATTCATCTACCACATCAGCTGATGCATTCTGAGTAAAATCGGGGTTAAATGGTTTTAGCATTCCACGCGCTATGGTGAAGAAAGGATAAAGATGGCTTGGATTCTTCGAGGGGCTTAAGAACTCTGGAAAGCGAAGACGAAGGCGAGTAAAGTCGGGGTTTTCGTGACGACCGAAGGGACGAAGTCTCGTGTAGGATGAGGACGGCCTCATGAGCTCAGGAGGAGCTAGTACTTACGGGCAACGAAGGTTATTATCGTGTTCATAAAAGCATACCTAGAGTAGCAAGTTTATTGCAGCAAAGACTGTGTATACCAATGATAATGCTGATCATCTTAGTGCTGAGTGTCAAGTTACTCGAATCTTTGAGCGTGATCCATCCACCTCATACGTAGGTACATATGCAGTACAGGTATACACAGGTACATGGTATAGCTGTGGAAGCATCAATTAGTGCGATGAGATGTGGAATTGGAGCGCTGTGAGTGGTTGCTTCCAAGCGGCATTATTCCCCCGATAAGCCGTTATCGTCCCAATCAGCCCATAAAATTTCTTAGGCTTCGTTTATTCGAGAAATTGAAGATTCATCCCGCCTTAAGAAAAGCACTTGGCGGCACAATTTCCCCATTCGTTCGCTATTGGGGGTTTTGAAACTTCAGGTTTATTCGTTCTTTTGTGCTTCCTTCACTATGAGGGTCCAGCGAGCCGTAGCTGTCCTCAACGACAGCCGTATCCTCGGTTCGAGGTGCAGCGCTCGCTTCCTCAGTGTGGGTTCCAGGGCTCCGGGCTCTCGTTACCCTGCGCCGCTGATCGCAGCTCCGTTACGTGTAGAGGGGAGAAGATATTTCAGCCTGACCAAAACTCGATATGCTTCTGCGAACGCGGCTGCTAGTGCTGCGTAAGCTTCTTCCTTTCCAATGGTCGGAGTGCATAAAGGTAGCTGACGTTAAGTCTATAGCTTGAAGCGCGCTGCCGAGGAGGCCGCAAACCTCACACCCGAAGCCGTCTTCCAGAAAATGAGCCCGGAAGAGAAGAAGCGACTGTCAAGAGTGCGCAATATTGGTATTGCCGTATGTCGCAATCGGTTACTATAGAACTATAAGAGAAGACAGACGGGATACTAAACAGGAAGATAGGCACATATCGACAGTGGAAAGACGACAGCTACCGAACGAGTGCTGTTCTATACCGGTCGAATTAAGGCTATTCACGAAGTCAGAGGCAGGGATGGCGCAGGCGCAAAGATGGACTCTATGGAACTCGAGCGAGAGAAGGGAATCACTATCCAATCTGCTGCCACGTTTTGCGACTGGAAGAAGGTCGAAGACGGCGTGGAACAGACCTACCATATCAATTTGATCGATACGCCTGGTCACATTGATTTCACCATCGAGGTCGAGCGCGCCCTGAGAGTGTTGGACGGAGCCGTCATGATCCTTTGCGCCGTCAGTGGTGTTCAGTCTCAGACTATCACCGTGGACAGGCAGATGAAGCGATACAACATTCCCCGAATAAGTTTCGTGAACAAGATGGACCGAATGGGCGCCAACCCCTGGAAAGCTGTCGAACAAATCAACTCTAAGTTAAAGATTCCCGCTGCGGCCATCCAAATCCCTATTGGTGCCGAGGATCAATTCAAGGGCGTCGTTGACCTGATAGAAATGAAAGCTATCTACAGTGAGGGGCCGAAGGGCACAATCATTCGGCACGGCCCTGTACCCGATGACTTGAAAGAGCTTGCGGAACAGAAACGCCAGGAACTGATCGAGAAGCTCGCCGACGTTGATGATGAAATTGCTGAAATTTTCTTGGAAGAGGGCACGCCATCTAACGAGCAGATTAGCGCCGCTATTCGCAGGTCTACTATCGCCTTGAAGTTTACTCCCGTCATGATGGGATCTGCTTTAGCCGACAAGTCCATTCAGCCCTTGCTTGATGCCGTCTGCGACTATCTGCCCAACCCTGCCGACGTCGAGAACGTGGCGTTGGATCGCTCCAAGAACGAGGCGCAGACCAAGTTGGTTCCTTACAACTCGCTGCCTTTCGTCGGATTGGCGTTCAAGCTCGAAGAGAATAACTACGGTCAGCTTACCTACATTCGAGTCTACCAGGGCTCGTTGAAGAAGGGTACTTGGTTGTTCAATTCGCGAACCGATAAGAAGGTCAGAATTCCCCGTATCGTGCGAATGCACTCCAACGAGATGGAGGATGTCTCCGAGATCGGCGCAGGTGAGATTTGCGCCGTATTTGGTGTCGACTGCGCCTCTGGCGATACCTTTACGGACGGAAACTTGCCGTATACCATGTCTTCCATGTTCGTGCCCGACGCGGTCATGTCGCTTTCCATCAAGCCCAAGAAGAGCACGGATGCCGACAACTTCAGTAAGGCCATGAACCGTTTCCAACGTGAAGATCCCACATTCAGATTGTTTGTCGATGAGGAAAGCGAGGAGACCATCATCTCGGGTATGGGTGAATTGCACCTGGAAATCTATATCGAGCGTCTACGACGTGAGTACAAGGTTGACTGTGTCACTGGCCAGCCTCGTGTCGCGTATCGTGAGACTATCAGCAACAGGGCCGACTTCGACTACCTTCTCAAGAGGCAGACAGGTGGTCCTGGTGACTTCGCTCGCGTCGGCGGCTGGATCGAACCTAACGATGAGCCGGAGAAGAACAGCTTCGAGAACCAAGTGGTCGGAGGTGCTATCCCTGATAAATTCATCTCAGCTTGTGGCAAAGGTTTCGAAATTGCTTGCGAGAAGGGCCCTCTACTGGGTCACAAGGTGATCGGGGCCCGTATGGTGGTCAATGACGGAGCAACGCACGTGACGGATTCTTCAGATTTCGCTTTCAGTTTAGCAGCGCAAATGGCCTTCCGCAAGGTGTTCCCAGATGCTGGCGGTCAAGTTCTTGAGCCGCTGATGAAGACGACCATCATGGCACCCAACGAGTTCCAGGGCAACATTCTTATGCTGATGAACAAGCGAAACGCTACTATTCTTGATACGGAGATCGGCACCGAGGACTTTACGCTGGTGGCGGATTGCAGTCTTAACGCCATGTTCGGATTTAGCACTCAGTTGAGAGCGGCTACCCAGGGCAAGGGCGAGTTTAGCATGGAGTTTTCGCATTACGCGGCCGCGCCGCCTCACATGCAGTATGTTTCTATCGTATCCCTAAGCTAATGTTACTGGTGAACGAGATTTGCTAATGATTGCTTATAGGAAGGAATTGATCGCCAAGTACCAGAAAGAGCTTGAGGCGAAGAGAACCAAATAAAGATACTTCGCCTTGGGTGGAATTCTATTCGCAGCTAGCTTCTCCAACACGCTATGCTGCCTCAAGACAAGTGTACGAGTGGATGTCATCGACTCATTGTCGGTCTACTACTAGTATCGGCACTCAGGGGAATTGGCATTTTCTCGTCAAAGTTAAAACTAGTTATGCCTACACTACGAGATCACAACGGTGATTATGGTGTGTACATTATAACGTGATGATATATTACGATATGCCAATAGCGGGCTGTATATAAACCCCGGGCGTATCATGAAGGCTCGAGGTATCGTTTAGGTACAAAATCGACCTAACATAGACGAAGGATTGGAAAATAAACGGGCAACGATACCTACTGAGAAGGGCGGGTATTGAAAATGCCTTTACGCATGTATAGAGAAAAGATCTAGAACATGGAAATAGAGAACCTCTTCCCTCTACTTTAGGGCCACTCTTGACTATATTAAAACGTCCCGTGGCTTTTGAAAGTCTTTCAATTCGTATCATTGAGTCTAGAGCCTAGATTCTGATTTTGGTTTTACCACTTTTGATCACCCCTTTTTCCGTCTGTAAGCCCCAGCCCCTTTTTGCGCCTAGGTGTCTGAGTAATCAAAACCAGAGCATTGATGAACCCATAGCCCCCCTGAGCGACCAACTGAGGTAAATATCTATTTCTTTATCCGATAGGACTTACCAACAAGGTACCTATAACCTCTTCAAGATATCCACCACAACCTCCTCCGTCGTCGCCTTACCGCCCAGATCCGGCGTCAACAGCTTGCCCTCCTCGAGATTCGCGTCAACAGCAGCGTATATCTTAGCCGCGGCCTCCTCCTCGTCCAGGAACTCGAGCATGAGCGCCGTGCTCCGCAGCGTCGCGATCGGGTTCGCGATCCCCTTGCCCTCGATGTCGGGCGCGCTGCCGTGGCACGGCTCGCCGATCGCGAACCCCTCGCCCACGTTCGCCGAGGGAACCAGGCCGAGCGAACCCACTAGCGCCGCGGCGCCGTCAGAAAGGATGTCCCCGTATAGGTTCGGCGCTACGATCACGTCGTAGTCTTCCGGCTGTCGGAAGAGCTTGTATACCATGCTATCCACGATCTGCTCCTCGACGCGGATGCCCGCGAACTTGGGGTTCGCGAGGGCGGCGCGCGATGCGCTGCGGAATAGCCCGTCGGTTTGCGAGAGCACGTTCGATTTGTGGGTTATAGTGACGAGGGGGCTGGAGTGGATAGACGAGTTCGGCCCCGAGGCGTCGCGGATCTTCTGGCGGCGCAGGGCGATCTCGCCGGCCATGGCCGCGATGCGCGTGCTCGCGCGCTCCGAGATGCGCTTTATAGCCTCGGCGTACTTGCCCGTCGGGCTTCCCGGGATATCGACGGTGCGCTCTTCTTTCACGTACAGGTCCTCGGTGTTCTCGCGCACGATGACCATGTCGATCTGCTTGGGCGCGCCGCGCACCGTCTTCACGGGCCGCACGTTCGCGTACAGGTCCAGCTTCTTGCGCAGCGCGACGATGGGCGACGAGTACCCCTTCACGGCGGACGTGGGCGAGCTGACGGCGCCGAAGAGCGCGCCGTCGCAGGATTGCTTGAGGGCTTCGACGGTGGCGTCCGGTAAAGCGGCGCCTGTGCGCTCGAAGGTCTGGAAGCCGGCGTGCAGGTCCGAAAACTCGAATCTGAGGTTTAGAGAGGAGGGTAGGGCTTCGAGGATGCGGCGCCCGGCGGGGATTACTTCGCGGCCGATGCCGTCGCCGGGGATGAGGCCTGGGGTTGTTTAGTTTCTTCTTTTTTGGGGGGTTGTTTTTTTAAAGGGCAATTGTTGTCTATTTAGGGAATTCGATGGTAAGAAGTGTATACTGACCTATCCTAAGCAGTCTAGAAGCCATGGTGGTGGTTCAATTGGTATTCCCGTTTACTGATGCAGCTTCACGAAAGCTTCAGCGGATAATAAAATTTGTGTTCTGAAGCTATGGTAAAATCGTAGTGGGGTCTCTAATTGCCGGGATCGGAGGGGCACCGTAGCTTCAAGGGTCTTGGGGGCTAATTTACCTAGAACTGCTAGGCTAGGCCAGGGGCCTTCAATGCGCATTACAAGTTCGATATTGCTTCTATCCTTCTATCCGCACTTACAATGCGCAAGTAACATGAACATGCATATTAATGCACAATTAAAGGTTTAATGTAACGGATCATTGCATCATTAGTGCATGCATGCTCCTTAAAAGACATTTGTTCGGGACCTCTGCATACCAGACTTTTCTCCTAGGCTCCTAATTAGGCTCCTAGGCCTCTAGGATGTTCGATTCCCAGACTCCCGAGAGCCCCTAAAGGGCTACGTTGACTCGAACCCGCAACCCGCACAACCCGGTAAATACTCCGCATGTTATGCTACTGGGCAGCCTGGGACTAGGTACCTGGGCTACTAGATATGATACATAGCTCGAAGATCTCGAGAGGGGGTTGTTTGCTACCAATGAGGGCCAACCTGAAACGTCCCATTCATATATCATTATATTGAGTTGTGGTTTTGATTGTTCTCGAGTGATGCATGTCAGATATATATGCACTCGTTGTCCGTACAATTGGGTCTCGCCAGCCTGTCATATGTGTCTTTTTTTCTTTCGTCGTATCCGGGGCCTGGTTACATAATTCTGCATTTAATTCTGCATTGTTACGAGCGTTGGAATTCTACGATAGCCTTTCATCCGTATGATTACAGAATGCAGTGTACCTTGGTAGTTTGGATATTTGATATTGGATATTCGACTAGACGGCTTAATTATGTTGAGCTTGGGCTTGGAACTATTGGATAACTAATGCGACTTGGGCCTTTTATTCACATCACGCTACACACCTATGTAATTCTTTCTTTCTCGGCAGACAATATCTTGTAGTTATACATACAAACGATAGCACTGACATCTCATGTTGCTGAAATGTGTCAATTTCCTTTGTCCAAGTACCAAGTCTTGCGGAAAGGGGTAAGCTTATAATGCTGCTTAGGTATACTTGAATGCGCAGGTGGATGGAGTTAAGTATAGAAAATGACACGACGCGGATTACAGTCTCGTGTATGTCTTTACAACTCATAGAAACCATAGAAACACTCAATTACAAGTGACTCTCTACTCATATTCAATAATCATACCCCGGTAAGCCGTTAGACGCGTTTTGGCAGTTCATGCAAGCCCCTGAATCCACTTTATCCAACATGAACTACCCCTGTCTAAATGGGCAATTTATCTAATTAAAGGAACCGCAGCTTTAAGGCGGCCTTATTAGGCCACATGCCACCAAATAATTCCCATGCCCGTCCCATGTCGACAACTTGGAACTTTAACTTTCCCTTGATAAGTCTTTTGACTCTTTTGACTCTTTACTTCATTTCACCTTTCTACCCTCGAGACGACATCGCGTAGTCAATAGTGTTATTTCGTTTTTCTATGTAAAATACCCCCATTGTCCGTTGCGCTTTATTCGATCCACGCTCATTTGTCTTGTTTAGCATTTGCTTATTTCGAAGACTTGATTATTGTTTCTTTTCGAAGCTTTGCATACACTTTGCATACGCATACCTTTACATATACGCAATACCACACGTTCCTCGCCTGTGGTAGTCTTGTCTTCTGTCTCGGGAAGCCCCTTAACTGCTGCCTAACCTCCACAACGATTTCCCGCGAATTAGATAGCTTGGGATTGACTCCATTGACCCCCTTTCTGCGTCTTTCCGACTGACAACTTGTCCTCAATTCTCCAAGACAGTTCGACAATTACCCGTCGAAGCAAACGAGCGATTGTATCCAAGACAACCAACAAGACACAAAATTAGGGGGCATGCCATCCGTCGTTGCAAACAGTAGTTTCCCGCGGTGACAATTGTTGATATACGATCGGTAACAACAGGCTGATCTATCCGTATTTTGCTCTCTGCTCTTTCCAACGACGTCGAGAGTCGATAACTCGCAACTCAGCAATGTCCGGAGTAAGGAACCTCCGCGCGATGTTCGAAAACAGAGGGGAGAACAACCCTCCAGACAGAGGGAGATCCCCTGGTCCTGGAGGTGTCGGTATGACGCATCTCTGTCTTGAACACACTTCTGCACCTCTCTGCACCTCACCTCCAAATAGCTCACGATCAACCAACCTTCTAATGTTCCATCTCACACCTATAAATGCACAATTCAAACCTAGAACTGCCAATTCTTAGTTCAACTCCACAATTCCATTTCCATGCTCAATCCCCTATTCCCAAGCTCCGTTTACTACGTCATCCGTTTGTCATTTGGTAGACGCCAATAAACCCCTAAACAAGCTATAGCTAACGTTAAGTCTGTTTTCCCCGCTAGCCTCCCCGTCTCCGTCTCATTCGCCGAGGCGGTTATCTAAAGTTCGAACTACCTTCGTAGCAGTTGAGAAAGACGGGCGCGTTGGATTGAGAAGAGAACCGAGCGGAGATTCAGTTTCCGTAGAAAGCAGAAGACTCAGCGACGAGACCGAAGCTACGCACGCCACCACACCACAACCTGCCTCGGAAAAGACAGACGTTTTCGCTGAAAATATGGCTAAGAACGCATCCGCCTTCAAGTCGAATTTGTCTCAAGAAGCCATTCCCGAATCGCCAGTCCAAAGCGCCCCTTCACAGCCTTCCCCTGAGAAGGGTAAGGACAGTCGGAGTCCTAACATTGCTCCGAATCCAAACCCAGACAAGGTCACGGATGAGGAGGAGACGAAGACGAAATTGTTACCGGGCAACCCAACAGATAAGGCGGCGACAAGAGGAAAGAGTGTGACGCCTACTCCGCCTACTGCCGCTTCAACAAACGGGAAGCCCAAAACTGCGGCCACAGCTAAGCCCGCTTCCAAGCCTGCTCCTAAACCCGCACCGATTTCGACTTCCGCTAGGTCCGTTTCGAAGCCGGCTAAGTCGCCTACTAAAGCGATTAGCAACGCTGCGAAGGCACCTCGTTCTTCGAGCTTAGGTCCCCCGAAACGGGCAACTCCCGCAGCTTCTAAGGATCACGATGCGCCGAAGAAGGCGGCCGCTCCCGCCGCGACAAAGACGACAGCCACTGCCAGCAAGAAGCCAGCACCCATTGACCTTCCCTCTTCGGGAGCTGGATTCGTGAAGCCGAAGCCTAAGTCGCCCACCCGGCCTATCAAGCTCCCTTCTTCCCTTACTAAGCCAACCGCCTCTTCCGCTTCCAAGCTCGGAAGCGGAAGCGGCAATGCAGCTCAGGCTCCCAGACAATCTTCCTCGAGAGCTTCCGGGAGTGCCGCGCATTTAAACGTGGCCGCTCCCGTTCACAGATCGCCTAGCAGATCGAGTCTTGCCAGCGCGGGCGTCATCACGAATAACAAAGGCCTAAGACGTCAGAGTTCGACCGTCGGTCGGCCACGGCCGAGCCTGGGACCTCCCCCTAAGCAAACAGCCAAGGATCACCCCGTATCTAAGAAAGAGGCCCACGTTGACGAGAGTTTCCTCGCGCGCATGATGAGACCCACCCAGAGCAGCTCGAGCAAGACGTCGGAGAAGGCCCCCGTGACGCCGCCGCGGAAACCAGTTTCGCCCATGACCACCCAAAAGAAATCTGTGACGAAGGACAAGGACGCGGATGCGAATGCGAAGAAGGTGACTGCTAAAATCCAAGCTTCGTCCAACAGCCTCCAGGCGGCTATGGACAGCGTGAAGCCGGCTGAGAAGGAAACTCCTACGGCAAAGGAGGTCGCTCCCGTTGTAGCACAGGCTGAGACTGCAGAGGTTGCTATCGAGGTCGCCAAGGTCTCGACGGAGACTGCTACTACCCCCGTGGTAGAGGAGGCAAAGGCGGAGGCTGTCACTGAGCCCACTATCGTTGTTGAAGCCGAGGAGGCCAAAGATGAGGTTGTTGAGAAGCCGTCTGAGCCCGAGGCAACAGTCCCAGTTGTTACCGAGGACGCTGAGAAGGTTGAAGATATCGAAGACTTGGTCCAAGAGACTGTAGAGGAATCTGTCAGCCAGAGCCCTGCGGAACCTGCTATTGAAGTATCCGCTGTTGAAGAGGAGCCTAAGGAGGCAGAGGCCGTGGAAGCCGCTCCTGAGGTAACCGAGGAGGCGGCCCCGGCTGAGAGCGAATCTACCAGCGCAGCAGTCGAAGAACCTGAGGTTGAGGAACCCAAGGCCGCAGAACCCGAGGTCACGGCAGTGGAGGCAACCAATGCCGAGGAGAGCAAGGAGGAGACGAAGGTGGAAGATGTTAAGGAGGATGAGGCCACGTCGGCGGGTCTTTCTGAAGCTTAGTTCGCTATCCGCCGTACTCTACAACAGTAACAAAAGGTTCGATTCGGGTTACGTTGGGAATGGCAGCAAAAATATCAAGAAAACCACAAAGACCAAATTTGTTTGTATTGGCGAGGCGCAGATGATGATACCTTTTTTCTCTTAAGCAAAAAAAATTCCACCGGAGCATAACCTAACCTGGGGGGAGGGGAGTGGTTCCTTTTTTTACTAATTCTGTCTTTTATCCCCCTCCTGGTTTGCTGGCGAGGCATTGCTGTGGAGTTAGGTGATGGTGATAATACCTATTGCATACCTAGACCTTGTTTCTGTAAAAGCCTTGCCTTTTGTCCCTTTGTCACGTTCTGTCACTGGCTAGAAAGATGAGATGGTTGGGGATAAGGGGTAGAGTAGGTACAGATCATTACTTGAGAAAGCAATGATTCGACTCTTGAAATAAGTACTTAGGTATATTCGAATGATAACTTGTAATGAAAATATGTTGCTCTGCGTGTTGCCGGGTATTGCAAGTGATGTGCTAGTCAAGCTAAACATTCATAATTATATCCTTCATGCTTACCTCTTAGGTATAAAGTTTTACCATACACAGCCTTTCGTAAAAGATGAAGTGATGGTTGGATATATGATATGCAGGTATAGTACATTTCTATGGTCGTAGTCTGATTCTATACACACCAGGCCTGCCACCATTTTCCGGGCCGTCTGTCCTCTTCATCAAGTAATACCTGCAGACGTACCAGTCTCCCAAAGGGCATACTCGTGGATCTAGAGAACGCGGTAGATCGGAAAGTTGACCATATCGTATCATTCTACTCATCGAGGGAGCCTTTTTCGGCCATGTTCCTCTCATAAGCATCTCTCACGTTGTTAACAACTCATCCGTCTCCTCCGTACCTCGGCTTTCCTCCCACCAGCACCATCCAATCTTAAAAGCAACCTAACCAGATCCCATCAAACCCCCGAATTTATCTCCAAGAAGGCCCGACCCGGCACAGCAACAAGCCGCCAAGCTTCCGTTCGATCGCCTCCCGTATATCCATGGTGCCGCCGCTCGTGTTCAGGATGATAGACTCCCCAAGATTCAAACCGCGGTAGTACTCCGCATCAAAACCCCTCGCGAGGCGCTGCAAGACAGGCAACTTCGCAGTGCGCGGCCTAGTCGGCGTCGTAATCGGCGTCATCTGGCCCAGCACCGGCGTGCCGCCCGCCGACACATTGTATTTAAGGCCTAACCACAACCGCTGCTTGGCCACGTTCGCCGTCGTCAGCGGCTCCGGCTCGAACGTGGTGATCGTCGCCGGGTCCGGCGGGTGTCGGCCCCCCCGCGTCACGAACGATATGTACCCTGTTTTGTGCAGGGCCATGGCGACTTGCAGGTTGTACTTTGTGAAGGGCACGGAGGTTAGGCCGAGACGCGCTTTCGAGGCGTTTTGTAGGTGCGAACACATGTTGACGACGTTGGCGAGACCCATTTTTTCGTTTTGCGTGTGCGCCCTGGCGGGCGAATCGGTGGTGGTGGTAGTTTCGAAGTTTGGAAATGGGGATGGGTGGAGGGGTGTGTGTACGCCTTAGGTTATGTCCAACCGGGTTTCGCTAGCTGGGGGTTTGTCGGACTGGGAATTGCTGCGCTGCGGAGTGCTCAGCTTCCGATATAAAATTGTGGTTCGGTGGTACGCCCGTCCGTCGTAATGACCGTTGGAAGAATGCCGGGATGCAAAATGCTGAATTGTGAATGAAGCTATCGCGATATTCCAATGGGGGATGGAAAAATAGAAGTGGGCCCCGAATGGCCGGTCGGATAGAAAATTCGGCGGAAAATCACTGGATCCGACTGGGAAACTATTTCTTATCGATTATGGGAAAGAGCATTGGTCGGGTGGGATTGCGATTTACGATATCTGATTGGTCGTCACATCTACCCCACCATTGCCTCTATCCAACATGAGAGTGGGCAGTTAAGCGCCGAGCTGCTCTCATTCATCCCCCTCATGCAGGCCGGCAGGGTCAAATTGGTCGGGTTCGATGGCTGATGATGGCGTAGTACCATTCGTCGTAGGTGATTTTATTTTTATTTCTAGGTAGGTACTTAGGTAGGAGAAAGGAGTCTAAGCCGGGGTTGATGTCACCGAGTGGTCTCACATTTTCTTGAGCTCTCTTCCAAGCTTAAGACTTATTCTTCCAACATCTCTTTTTTTCCCCTCCATTCTGACATCTTTGAAGCTCTCGTGATTTTGTCTATTAGTATTACATCAATAGAGATAGCATATACGAAGCTGGTCTTGATTGCTATCTATATACTGTTTCTAATACCCGTCCCTTTAAATTGTACCTATTGTCCGAATTGTCGTAAAGACGCAGTTGCCGTCGAGATGGCGGTTCGGCCCGGTGAAGAAAACGTTGCGACCCTGTGAGTGCCCAAGCATTAGAAGGTCTTCAAGAATTAATCTTACTTATTCCTCTCCCTAAAGCTTCGGAGACGTCCATTATTTCTATAGCCCACCCGAGGCGAAGCCACCGCATCATCGCTTCGATAAGGGATCTTACGTGTATTTGTTCGAAAATGCGAATGACCGGAGAGCGCGTGTCGAGATCGCGAATCAACCAGGCACGGATGACCAGGACGCCTTCGATGGATGTAAGAACACATAGACTTGACTAATTATAACTTGCCCTAATTCCATGTGGTATAGTTCTAGACAGGACGCGTGTGCGGTATTCTTATAAGCAACAATGCCTCGTAAATATCTTAGTCGAAGGTGTAGCCGGTCCGCCGATAGACCAAAGTCAATGGCATCTTCCGACCTACGATCCTCGAAATGAGAACAAGTACCACTACAAACTTCACTCGCTCGATATCTACTTCTGGACTCAGGCCGACGCCTTACAGTTCGTCAACGGCGTGCGACGAGTCCTACCTGCATCTCAAGTAGAAGTCGCAGATGAACCAGGCCCGCCGCCACTTCAATACAACCAATCTCAAGACACGAATCCCCTAGTACAGAAGCTAGAAAATGTCGCCATCTCGGATCCGAAGTACTCAAGTCCTAAGCCCGCGCCACAGGGAGTACCTACCTTCGCACCACCTCCAACCTCGGCAGCAACAGTCGATAGTAAAGGAAGCTCGAGCTCTCCCCAGAGCTTTGCGCCGATGGCTTACAACCCAGCTGCGCCAGCTGCTGCAGAACAGAGAATACACCGAGAGAAAACTCCTCCTCCACCGGAAGACGAACACGACCCCCTCGCCGCGGCCGTCGCTCGCGACCAAGCTCCGCCGTATACTCCTGGTTACGGAGCTACTAATTTCTCGGCTCCGCCAGGCAGCCATGGTCTTCCCGGCCCTCCACCGCAGACTCACCCAGGTCTCGTGAGTCCCGGTCTGGTTAGCCCGGGTCTACCAACTCCCGGCATCGTGAGCCCAGGCTTTCCGCCGTCGCAGTTCGGACATCTTCAGCGCTCGTCCACGGTGCCCGTATCCGGGATGGCATCGCCGGGACTTGTGAGCCCGTACGGCGCAAATTTCCCCGGATCACCCGGGTTCGCGCCTCCTCCGGTCCAACCTGCGCAGCATCATCCAACACCACCTCCCGTGCAGAGCCCCGGCTTGCCCCCGCCGCCTCCGGGGGGGTATGCTCAGTTCAATTATACCACCAGCCAGCCAGCACCTGGGGCCGTAGACTACGGTATCCATCAACAAGTATACCGGCCGACGGAGCAGGAGCACGCTTCTAAGTACGGCTTGTACAAGCCTAAGCCAGAGGGCCACAGCAAACTGGGCCAGAATGTAGAGCGAGTAGAGAAGGGTGTTACGGGAATGCTGAAGAAATTTGAGAAGAGGTTTGGTTGAGTACTTACTTCACTTACACTTGTATTTGAAAAATACCAATTTGAATGTCGAATATCATCTTGTAAAACCCATGCTGGCTGATGAATTGTGCATGCGGGTGCGAGTAATTGAATCAAGGCTAAATTTCTCGGTGTGCGGAATAAGTAGCATCCCTCTAGCGCTTCCCTTTAGGATCTGAGGATAGACGCATCTAGGCCTTCGTCGGCACGGGATGTTGCTGACCATGCAGCGTGACTTGCGCGTTACGGCAACGCTAAACGAGAGGGCTACCCTACATATCTGCTCAAGATACCAAAATAAAACCAGAGGCTTGAATAGACCAAGTTTGCTTCATGATCTATTTGTTGTTGGTGTGTTAATACATATATAGATTCCTTGTTGCGTTATGCGATGTATTAGGGCAACCAACGATTGGAGGGATATTTTCTTTTTGGCGAGCACAACTTCACGAAATCCGAATTCGACCGCGTCCGCTATCCGGCATTCACGGTTGCGTGGTGCCTTATGTATGTCTCATCCCCTCAGCTGAAAAGCGCTGCTAAGCATCCAGCTCAGGGCATTCATTGGACCCTTCGTCTTATCCCGAACTTCCGGCCGATATACTAAGAAAGATCGAAAACATGTCTGAGATGCACGGTAATCAGGGAACTCGTACCTGTATGTCTCACAGGCCCTTTGCTTTTCAACAGAAATAAGGGCAGTTTTCTAAATAGGGGATATAGATTAGATTTCGTTTGCCGTAATAATATGGCCTCGCCTTTGCCCGCCCAGATTGGAACCCGAAAAGAGTTAAGAGGTTGCTTGAGCCTTAAGCGCTCGCGATATCAGTGGGGTTGTCGTGGCGTCCGTACAATGCAACGTTAGCGCAGGACAAAGTCCCAGGGACCCGGCAGCCCTAACATAATAGGAACTGGGGACGGGATTGCACAGGACCGGAGAGCATGGGTAAATCGTAAACCAACAAGGCGCAGTCGCAAAAAGTGGTCAACCTTAGCCATATTCCGATACGATCTGCCATGACCTGAGTATGATTTCATTGACGGGCACTGACGTGGATTAATATTTGCAAGGCGGGGAGCTATGAGATGGCATAACTGCCAAGAAACGGGCGAAAAGATTTGTCAATTACGTTTCGAAGTTGTAATGCTGGACTACTATGTACGTGCCGTAGTACATCTACTACCTAGGTGTTAACGTCCGTAGCCCGTAGTACAACTGCACGGTTGTAATGGAGAGGCTCGGTTGAGGTAGCCTGCATAAACGAACTACAGGACGGCCAGTGATGTGCCAGAGCTTCCAGGCTTCGTATACCCTTCGTTTGCGGACAGGTAAGAACAGTAAGGTGGTTTCTTCCGGATTAATAAATCAGCTTATTATCGCTGAAAACCTTGTCGAGATTAAAACGTCCCGTCTTTCTAAACATTGGCAACATTCATGCTACCTCGAGAGGCACTATGATGGTTGGTTATGCTGGTTATGTCAACCATCTCCTTTCTTGATCTCTTTCTAAAAGAGAACTAGGGAGAGCAAGGATAGTCGAGCTGTCGGGTTTGGTATAGGGTTACGGTTAGCTCGCTGTCTTGCAAGCTAGGAAACCTGGTCTGGTGGAAGGATTGAAGAATAAACCAGCCTCAATCGGGGCTTACGACATTTCAGGCTTTCTTGCCTATCCGGACGAAGTGCCCAATCCACGCTCTGCTGATCTTATTATCGTACTATGATGTAAGTACCTCGACGACAAGAATTGCGCACGTTGGTACTTGGACGTTTGAGTTGAATTATTGAACCCCTCTAGAGATGAAGAGAGGAAAAAGTTGAAGTTGGATGAAACCAAAAAGCCAAAAAGAAACACTGCACGGTAATTATCCAGGTAGGTACGACGTAGAATCTGACATCTTTGATCGGCAGTCCACGAATGAGAGGGTCGAGGCTGCCGGTCAAATACCCTTGCCCACGCGGTGCCTGCTACTGCCCTATTCCTGCATGAGAATGGTGTAGCTTTTACAGCCAGCACCTGCCGGCCTTTGATGTAGGTATTCGTTTTCTCCCCCACTCCGCCTCTTTTACACCCGCAACCCGCAACCCGCAAACCTTCGACCTTCCCGTCCACTTCTTCCAACTTCTCCCATCGCCACCCTCGAAGTCCACTTGTAGCTTTGCGGTGTATTGTTTTCTTAACGATTTACAATTGTATCCATCTATCACTTTCAACTGATATCGTCGCATCTATCCTATAATATATTCACTTCCTTTAACCACCTATCAGCTATACTCAAGCTTAAAGCGCATCCATATTAACCACGCGATCCACTCATTAACAGCTCACATTTGTCCGGTCTTTTCGGAGCTTGAATTGCGGGCTATTCTCATAGCACTCCTCATAGAGTTGAACTACTATAGTGTCGTTGGATATCGAAACACTAGATCAAAGCTAGCGAAATTGACAGCTCTTTATCTATCTCCTTCAGACCCAAGTACCTGTAGGACGAGTTCCGCCAGCTCCTGCGACCATCTCAACCTTCTCACATACTCCCATTAACCTTCCTGCTATTATCCCCGTGTTTCGCCCGCTTATTTCACTACCGAGAAAGCCGGGTTTATACGGTTGTTGTTATCACCATAGTTAATCGATTTCATTCGATCCAATCTATAATATAGTCTCGGGTTGTCGCAGTTGCCATGCGCATAGCGCTTAATCTGAGATAGCATCGGGTTCGTCGGCCGCCAGCCTGCAAGACCGGGTATTGTCCCGACGGCGTCGCAATATCCTACACTCTAGTCACTCGTTCATATTCCACCATGTTGCTCCCACATCGCATTCCCCTCCCTCTTCGATCTGTCGCCAGCGACGATTATCTCATCCGTGAGAAATTGGCGCCCAGAAGCGACGATACGCCTCCTTCAAACACAATATTCATCGTAAGTCCACCTGCCTAAGTCCTATTATAGCTTTAGCTTGTTGGTTTTAATAGAAGCTAATATGTGTCACAGGTTGTCGGCATTATTGCTGCTGTGCTTGTGTTTATTTTCTTAGTTTATTGCTTCACACGCTACAAGTTGAGAGGGTCAAAACGAGGCAAATACAAGCAAACTCCCGACGACGAATCCATCGACTCTTCCGTCCCTCGAAGCAGGAGAAGACGAGATGGCCAGTCGGCTTCTAACCCCTCAGTTGCGGAAGGCAATAGGAATAGTGCGGTATCGCAAATAGATAGGAACACTTCCATTCGATCTATCATGACTCTGCCGGCGTACCGAACGAAAGCGAACGAAAACGAGCAAGTTATAGGTCGCGAAGGAGAACGTGGTGGCGTCGACGTCGTTGTAGAGTATCCCACCGCCGAGGATTTGGAGAATATGCGAGAGGACGAGATGGAAACTCTGTTCCAGATTCGGTTGGCGAGGAGAATGCAGCGCGCCGAACGGGAAGAACGACATCGGTTAACTAATGAGGCAAGGGCTCGCGGAGATGCGGTGGCATTGAGCGAGCTACGAGCCCAGAGACGAGCCGCGCACGAGGACAATACCGTGGAAGAACTGCGTGACGCGTACGGGCAGATCAAAGAACGACGGCAACGCGCAGTATCTAGCGTGAGTTACCACGAGCTTGGCGTAGCGCAGCTCAATGGTACGAGGGTCCGCGCAGGCAGCCATGGTAGCGAAGGAGTAGGATTGCTGTCAGACGCGGCTAGCATCGCCCTATCGACGCGATCGCCTTCTGCACAATCCCATCGCCGCGACCGAAGCGCCAGTTCCGTCTTGAGCCTTGATAGCGATTTTCCGTCTCCGGCATTGAGGTCCGGAGCTTCGACGCCTCGGCAAGGTAGTAATCATACGCGTGCCGGCTCAAGTCCAGAAATAATCACCGAGGCCGACCTAGGCGATTCCGAGATGCCTCCTCCGGACTATGAAGACGTTAGTTTGGACGATGTTAGGTCAGGGGCTACGACTCCGATGTTTAATGAACCTCCACCCGTCTACACGAATCCGGCAAGCGGGCGTGAGCGAAGACTAAGCGCACAGACTGAAGATATGGTGGAGAGGGTGACGGAGAGCGGTGACCTTTCAACCATAACCACGAACGATTCGCGCGATGAACGTTCAACAAAGAGGACCTCGAGAGGAGTAGGCGGAGCTCCACAGCTGCCCAGCTTGCGAATTGGAAGATTGCCACAAATTGTTATCGAACCTTCAACCGCCCATCCCAGCGAATCGAGTCATTGAGCACGCCCCCTTTTTTATCACTGAGCGAGGAAGGCCCATAGGTAATTACGCATGGCTCTAGCTAAAGCGACGCAAATTCGACAAGTCGACATTGCAACCCCCTGCATGATCATCGCGACTATGCAGCCCGGAGCATCTCATCGCTCACGAAGTTATATCACGACTATATGACTGGTCGGCACATATTCATTCTGTGATACTTAGAAACCTAGATATTTCGGAGTATTAGGTATTAGCAAAACATGCATGGAACGAATCGGCGGAGACGAGAATTTGGGTAAATAATTGAAATAATGTGTTTGGACGATATTCTGTATCATATCTGCAAGGTGTTTTGGTGTTGCAGGTTCGTTTATGGTTATAAAGAGGATGAGGTTCTAGCGAAGAACTTGTCTCAACGAGCATAACTTGCCAGATGGCTGGGCACCTAACTTATGGGAATTACAGCCTGAGACATAGCTACGATATATTATACCATCTATTGATCATAGTTACTCGAATTCACATGTTTTCTGATCATTCTCCTTTTCTCTTTGATTATCTAGAAATGCTCATGGCAAAGCGATCTAATGTCTAGGATATCGATCCTCTTCAACAATGCTTGTTAGATACCCTGTCAGATATGACTTTTTATTCCATCCTTCACTTACTATATTCCCGAGACATCTCGGCATATTTATATGGGCTACACGGGTATCAGATCTTTAGTCAGGCTTTCGGAAGACGTCGAATGACGGTAGGCTCCGACCCGTCCCGGGATCTATTAGAAATCAGCAAAGGCGGAAGTCGGCGAAGCTGTAATCGGAAGGGCGTATCTCAGATTCTCTCCTATTACATAGTCTAGTCCGACTAAATAAATGAACATAATAGGTATATATGATGAGTTCATCTAGCCCTACATTGTTCCAAAGTGGTTAGTGTTTGTGAGCTGGAGCTTTCGCTATTCGGCTCCTTACCGTCTTACCGAGAAGTTGGGTATACTAGAATCTCCACTCAGCCTATCTAGGGTAAGCAGTATACCTACATTGAGATATGTTCAGTAATCTTGCCCACACCGTACCTAAATAGATAATCAATTGCGGCACGGGGGCCCCATCTTGCACCATTGGCCTTAATATGAGTAACAGGGAATATAGGAGGTAGTAATAGACAATTATTAATCCATCCTCCTCATCCAGCTTGTCTCGCTTAGGTAGGTGTTAAATAATAGTCCATCCCCCCTGTTTTCCTCGTCGGCCTCGGCAGGAAAATTTAGAGAATTCGTTTATGCAGTGGATGCGTTACTTGTGAATACGAATATTTCAACCTTGTCTTTCGGCCTTACGAAAATTAAAACGTTATTAACTTACTTCGTATCGCTACGTTTAAAGGTCGAGGCCGTCGTCGATCATCCGCGCGGAAACTAACAAACCTTCGGTTTAGAATCCTGAAGGGCGGTTGCGTGCGGAGAAGCAAGGGTAAAGGGAATACCTAGGCCTGGATTCGTCGATCATCGCAACGCCACAAGGAAAGTCAACTAAAATTCCGTCTAACTACGGTTTAAATGACTGTCATGACGGAAAAGGAGAAGGAAAATGATAGCGATGCGGGAGTGTTGAGTGGGGAAGATCTCTTCGAGGGATCCGTCGACCGCACGGAGGATGTTTCCGGTTCTCAGGAGACATCTACGCCGGCGCCGGGTTCGCCACCCAAGCCTGCTGAAGTTCCGGAGTACGTATAGCCCCGTGTATGATACCTATCAACCCGCCCCTTTTCTAAAACTTACCTACCTTCTCCCCATCCATTTCGCAGAATAATGTCTAGGTTACCTACTAACCACCCTATAGCGGTGGCCTCGACGCATGGCTCCAAGTCTTCGGCGCCTTCATCATCATGATAACAACATGGGGCCTAATAAACTCCTTCGGAGTCTACCAAACATACTACGAGACAGACCTGCTCAAAACCAGCACCTCCTCTGACATATCCTGGATCGGGTCCCTGCAAGGCGCGCTCCTCATGATAGGCGGCATCATATCCGGCCCGCTCTTCGACGCGGGCCACTTCCACGCCCTCACCGCGTCGGGCCTGTTCCTCGTCATCTTCGGCCTCTTCATGACGAGCCTGTGCGCGACGTACTGGCAGGTGCTGCTCGCGCAGGGCATATGCGTCGGCCTCGGGTGCGGCCTGCTGTTCCTGCCCTCCGCCGCCATACTAAGCCAGTACTTCGCGCGCCGCCGCGCCCTCGCCCTCGGCTTCCAGAGTACCGGGTCCCCCATCGGCGGTATTATTTTTCCTATTATTTTTAGCCGCTTGCAGCCGCGCATAGGCTTTGGCTGGGCGACCCGCGTCATCGCGTTTATACTGCTTGCGCTCGCCGTTGTGCCGCTGGTGTTCATGCGTCCGCGCGTCGCGCCGCCGAGGAGGAAGCGCGCGTTCATTGATAGAGACGCTCTGCGTGAACCGCCCTTCCTCGCGTTCGCGGTCGCGGGCATCGGCGCATTTTTGGGACTGTACGTGCCGTTTTTCTATCTGCAGCTGTATAGCCTCCGGTTCGGCATCGCCGACGCGGGGCTCAGCGCGTACCTTGTCACGCTGCTGAACGCGGGAAGCGTGTTTGGTAGGATATTGCCGAATTTTGTGGCGGATTATGCGGGGAGCATGAATATGCTCGCGGCTACCACGACGGGCGCGAGTGTTCTTGCTTTCGCCTGGTTCGGCGTGAAGGATCTAGGGGGGACGGTCGTGTTTGCGCTGCTGTTTGGCTTTTTTAACGGCGGCGTGACGAGTCTGCCGCCTAGCGCGATCGTGGGCCTGACGCCGGATATGAGTCGTCTGGGCACGCGCATGGGTATGCTGTTTGCGGTTATTGGGGTTGCGGTGCTGGTCGGGACGCCGATCGCGGGCGCGATCCTGAGGGACCCTGAGGATGCGGCGCGCTGGAAGGGGTTGATTGGTTTCGCGGCCGCGACGATGCTTTGGGGTGGTGTTGGGTTTGGGGTTACGGAGTTGTTGAGTTTGAGGGAGAGGAGGAGGAAGGAGAAGGTGGTGGATAGTTAGGGGGTGGTGTCAAGGAGGGTGATATGTGCGGAGGAAAAGTGAAGATTGGAAAGGTGATGTTTGTTACGATATATGTTGTTAATGGCTGCATGGGAAGCTGGATATGGGAAAATATGTATATATGGATTGGAGGGCGTTCAGGTCTGCATATTAGACAGTGGGTGAATGGGTACATTGAAATGCTTTTCTTCATGATCTTGATGTCGATTCACGTGTACCTATGGGAGGTTCGTGCATACCTCGTCTTTATGCTTTACCCGGTGTATTAGGGGGTCTCGTTAGTGCTTTTTTACATACCTAGGCTTTTTAGATCGCATCATATTATGATTGGAGTGTTTAGACTTTCGTTAGATGCTGTAGCCAGCTGAGGCTCAGGGGTTGGAACCAGGCCAGTCCTCCGTGGATTACTGAGATTGATCGTGGGTGAACCTCTGACCTGCATATCATGTCAGCACTATAAATGCACAGTTCATAACCCAATTAGGAATCCAAGGGCGGCTTACAACGTATACTCTCGGCGCATCGGACGTCCGCAGGAACTGATGGATAGCTCACCAAGTCACACGGCACGATACCACGGCAACGAATAGGAGGTTTTCATAAGGGCCGTATCAAATTTTCATTAATTTAACTTGTTTAATCTTTTGTATAATGTCATTCACATTATCTCGCATTTCGTGGGCAATCCGCAAGGGCCTTCGCTCTTTTCCTTCTTCGTCGGTCCTTCCGGAACAGCAGAGGTAGTCTGAGGTTCCGCCTCCTTCTTCTCGCCACCATGTAGTCACGCGGAGCCGGAGGCGAACTTGGCAACGGTCTTGTAGAACTCGGTACCCTGGATCTCGGCAACGGAAAGCTCCTTCTCACTAGGCTGTCGCGAACCGTCACCAGCAGCGAAGGTACCAGCACCCCATGGGCCACCGCCGTGGACCTCAGTTAGGTCGGTCAGGGTACCGAAGGCCTTGGCGTAGCCGAAGGGTACGTAGATGATACCGTGGTGGGCGAAGGTAGACATGGCCGCCAAGGCGGTCGACTCCTGACCACCTCCGAGGGAGGCAGTAGAGATGAATAGACCTGCGAGCTTGCCGTGGAAAGCACCGGATTGCCATTGCTTGCCAGTCTTGTCCCACCACACACGCCACTGAGCGGGGAAGTTTCCGTATCGTGTCGGGATTCCGAGAAGGAAGCCGTCGTAGGACTCAAGGGTAGCCGGGTCCTCCAGGACGGGGACGTCAGCGGCCGGACCCGGAGCATACATCTTGGCTAAGACCTCCTTAGGGAGAGTCTCTGGGATCCTAAGTCCATTGTTAGGAATTATATATAAGTCAAGAATGAGAATGAGAGTCGTACTGGAAGATATCGGCAGTACCGCCAGCCTTCTCGATGCCGGCCTTTTCGGCCTCGGCTAGCTTGCGGACATGGCCGTAAGTGGAGTACTATGGACAGTGTTAGTTAACCTTCAACTTAGTCAGGACATAACTCGTAATTGGACGACGTCACGCCACTGTTTCACCGCGGGAAGTATAATGTTCCTGCATGTTTCGGTGTTCAGGTCTTGGTTGAGGGGTAAGGCTTGACATCTAAAAGCCTCCCCTTTTCCTATCCCCGCACAGCGCTCGTGTAATTACATGTAAGAAAGGAAGGACAGCGGTCACTTACATAGACGATAGCGATCTTAGGGGCCATTGTGATTAAATGAAGTTAGGGGTATCTATTGCTGCGCTTGTATAAAAAGACAAAGTGAGATCTTGATATATAGAAACTCGAGTGATAATGGTATGATGTGGTAAGTTTAGTTATAGTCTTAGGTAGAGTAGAATATCAACAGCGGAATCTTGTTGACTTTATACTCGAACTTACCAAGGGTACCTTATGTCCATGACAACATGATAGAAATAGCCGCTAATAGACGCCGTTGATCGAGGGGTGGGGATGGTGTGCTTCACGTCTGCTTACCTTTTCTTCCAACCATATTATTAACTCGTCATATACGGATCTATGCCTAGGTAGGTACATGTATGTCACAACTTAGATGATCCCCTCGGCATTGGAGCTTCATAGTTCGATCTCGTTCTTTCCTCTCTATTCTAGACTTGTCCTAGCAACCGTCGTTACGAGCTCCACTCCCCCAAGAGGTCAGCTTGCCTGCCGGGCTTGCATGGTACTGTAACTTGCAGAGTAGCAATGCGCCGCATCTCGAACCGCTAGCTCCGCCGGAAAGGTACCCCCTCTCCTGTTTTACGTATATTGCTAATGCATAAACAGTTCTGATGCGATCTTCAATACCTAGATCGCCACTTTTTGTTGGTAAGGCGATCACGAATTAAAAAAGCTTGGTGTCCTTTGGTGTGCTTAGTTACAGATTACTCAGTCTTGACAATTGGAGAAATGGGAAAATAGGAAAATATTCCCGTTAAAGTTCCCCACATGCAAAATAAGGTGTTGTACCTGTACCTCATCTGCAGTGTTCGCCGCGGGCGTTGGTATTGCTGCCCATGTAACATCGAGGCGGAGTGAGCCTAGCTTGAAGTATTCGATATGAATTTGTATGTATGTCTACTACTTTTCAGCCTACCTAGCTCTCCTCTCAGAAAAGGATTAAGGGGATAGAATGTTGTATTGTTTTTGATTTTCTAAGCTCTAAAATCTCCTGCGGAGATTTTAAATACCTCCCACAGTGCAGGTAGCACTTTCCCAGCATGTACACTCCATCTAGTGCGGAACCACAAGAGCCCGCCCCCGGGCGACTTCCTTCAATATAAAAGTCCATTCTCGAGGAAACAACCACACAACCCGAAACAACCAGCCCTCGCACAACCCTAACGAGCCCACAGAACACAGCTCCCACAATGCCTACACTAGGCTAAACACCCACGGGCCACCGAAATAGGTCGGGTCCCTCCACTGCTCACCCAATCCCCGGGACAAAACCACAGCCGGGAGAGGAACAAACGCAGGATATACTGATGGGAAAGCAGACATCAACGGGCCGGAACGGCAACGAGAGGAAGCGGCAGCGGCAGCGCGGCAGGCCGAGAAACGAGGTTATATTGATGTTTTTTGACGACGGGGGAGACGGTGCTCCAGGACGACGAGGTAACAGCGGGCGAGACAGGGCCCTCCTTGACGTAATTTTTTAAGTAAAAATACAGCTGAACGAGTGACTAGAACGAGTGACTGATTGATTATAATGCTGTAACGATATTCCCATGCGTAGATTCCGGTGTGGAGGCACCAGAAAAGGATTAAGGGGATAGAATGTTGTATTGTTTTTGATTTTCTAAGCTCTAAAATCTCCTGCGGAGATTTTAAATACCTCCCACAGTGCAGGTAGCACTTTCCCAGCATGTACACTCCATCTCTCTCCTACTAAAAAGGACCTATGTAGGTACATCCAGATGCAGTACCCAATCTGCGGCTTGGTCCGCCGTTATGGCGGAACCAAGCTCCAATTCCGGTAAACGTTCTTTTCAAACTTCCCCAATGCGGGATGATGAAATGGCGTCGGCTGCTGATTAATAGCTTACATCAACTGCTCGCGTAATGTTTATGAGAGGCTTGAGATCAAACTAGCCCCGTCATTGTATCCGCCATATTGTGGAGTCTTAGCTAAAGAGAAGGATAGTTCGTTGTTAGATTCAAAACGGCGCCCGGGATGAATGAGGATAGGCAAGGGAATCGTGTCATCTATCCGAGGAATGTTTTGTCGTCCTTGACAAAGCACGCATCTCGGGTTTCCATCCGGTTTATAGTGGATCAAGCACACAGTCAGCACCATCTAAGCGTCGATAACATTCTAATAATCAGGCAATCTCCCCCATATCCCCGCAGAAGACGCAGCCATCCTGCAGCCCGTGGTCTAGAATGTTACAGTGCCGTACGTACCTGCAGTTCGACATCTTGGTTGTCCATCTGCTAGCTACCTTTTTCCTCCACGTACATAGGTAGATACGCAGTATGTCTCGGATGAGTATTTAGTATATTCTAACGCCGTCTAGACGTAGGGAAGCACGTTTTACTCCAATATGTGCGTGCCTATAATACTCCCCCATAAAAGTACATGCCCGACGAGAGGATTTGGATCAATATTCTGTGACGCAATATTCGACTTATCATATAAAAGTCAGGCGTTGTCATCTTAGCAAATTAAGCTTATTGGATCGCATCGACGCTGTAGCAGTGCAGACAGACATCTTCCCTCCTACCCGGTACCGGGTACCACTACAACTCGGAGGGTCCGTTGACGGGAACCCAAGAGCGGCAGTTTAATATTTACGGCAAACGGCAGTCGAGATTGTCATATGCAAGTGTGGCATTCTTGGCATTGCGACAGTTCTACCAAAGAAACGATCCAGCCGAGAATTCACCTGACGTATGTTGCTTGGAATGTAGCATGGATTACTGCGTTGCCAAAGCTGCAAAAACAGCATGCATCAAGAAATAGCTTCTCGTATGCTCCCCCTTAAGAATTTTTATCGTTGACTTGTACATGCGGTACTTAGCATTTGGCGAAACTGTAACTCCACTATCTACTTTAAGGACGCGCGGAGTACAAATTTGAGAAAACGCGCAAGATATTTCTTGATTCAGCATCTTAGAAAATATAGGTGACCTCCCGTCTGCCTTTTCTGTACATGTCGTAATAAGGCTGAGAGAAGAGGGAGATTACTCAAGAAAAGGGGTATACGTTACACGAACCACGCTTCGCATCGTCACCATGGTAGGGCTATGCTCTACTCACACGAATAACTCCTGACATTGAATTCAAGGTAAACTTCTTGTTAACTGCCTATCAAGGTATCCATGAAACTTTCATAGGAGATGGTCAGTTATATATATACCAAGCTTCTCTAATGCCTGGCGCAGTACCTCAGTTTCACTCACATATCCTATACGGACGGTTCCGTCAAAGGACGAGGTTTGACCATGTCCGAAGCATCGCGATCCCGGCAGAAACATGACCTTAGTCTTCTCCAGGACATCCTTGCAGAATTGCTCGTCGTCGACTGGCATTCCGTCCCTATCATTAAACCGCACGAGAGCTGTGGTGCCCGCTGAAGGCTTCGTCCAGGAACATGTGCTCGAGTGGTCTGCCACGAACTGCTCGAGCAGCTTCAAGTTGTTCTCAGCTAGTGAGATGTTCCGAGCTATGAGCTGCGGTCTCACGGAGGCACTTAGTGCGTACCGCGCTACCTGATCGTCGAGCTGCGACACGCTGATGGTGGTATAGTCTCGCGCGGATGCGATGGCCGAGATAATGGACGAGTCTCGTGAGGCGACCCAGCCGATTCGGATTCCTGCCAAGGCCCAAGCCTTGGACATAGAACTCGTCGCTACTACTTTGGGATAGCCCATCGATATGGCCGACGGCGGGATTCTATCCTGTTCGATAGAGTGGAAGAGTGGCCTGTAAACCTCGTCTGAAAACAAAATGATATCATGTTTCCGGGAAATGCTGATGATTTCTGACAGGACTTTCTCTGGTATCGTTACTCCCGTTGGATTGTTCGGGTTGTTGACAACAATCATCTTACCAGACCTGTTAGAATAGGGGGATACAATTATGGGGATACCGTTGTTACATGCCTTTGTATTGCTCTTGATCAAGCCCTCAAGCTCCGCAACGTCGGGCACATAGCCATTTTCCACTTTGAGCTTCCATAGCGAAACTTCGGCCCCTAATGACTCCGGAATGGTGTATAATTGCTGATAGGTTGGGAAGACGGATATAACATGGTCTCCCGGTCCGACTAGGCTGTAAAATACCAAGTGGTTGGCAGCTATAGCACCCTGAGTGATTATGATATTCTCAATTGTTAACGGAGGCGACTGCGTATTTGCCTTGCTCTCGTCTTCGTTGTATATAGCCGTTATGTTTCGGCGTAGTTCGTCAGATCCCAAAATTGGACCATATGTCATGGGTTTAGAGAAGTCAATAAGTTGGCGTGTATCTTCTTGTTGACTACTGTTGAACTGCACCAGCTGGTCGATCGATATGGAGGAACAGCATGTCTCGGCGATATTGAGCACTCCCGGTGTATTCTCATACTTGTCCATCCACTGCTCGACTTCGAATGCTGGGAGTTTTACCATCTTGATATAACCTTATATAACTCAGCTCAATGAATGCTGAATACGAGCTACAAATTTGGATCCGTGATAGAGGTTCTAGGACCGTTGGGAAATTTTATTATGATTCAGAGTCGAGATAAATTGCAGGACAATTCAGGTGAGAGTATCTTTATACCTATGAATCTGATTTGTTACATGGGAAGGGCGTGATGCGGGACTGTAAATCGCCGTAGGTTGGCCGGAGGGCCTACGGTACTAGTAGATTTGGAGATAGTGGAGATTGCAACGTAAGTTAACTTGACTGTTCATACCTAGATACTACCTACCTACATAAGCAGATAACGAAGCTCGAGATGCTCTGGATCGATGCAATGAGGCGTCTGTAAAATAGGTAATTATAAGTTTCTTGGATTATAAAGTTGATTTTTTGGAACCGGTTATTATGTAAGTGTTGTCTGTTTCTTGTATGCTATGGCCGTCAACACCATTGTTCTGTTATCGCCATTTGTCCACGTTGAGGCGAATTGAGGCTCTTTTCCGAGTCTATGAAACCAATTGTGTCGAGTTGTAAGAGGTTTATAATGAGTAAGACATTGAGAGCATTTATACTTTACCGCGATACGTTGTATCATGTCGTTCAAAGGGGAACGTAATAACAGCTGATTGAAAGATGTAACCAGAAGAGGATAAGTTGTGAGAGTTTCGTACCGTTGTAAGATAAACCCCTTTTGAGTTTGTCGCCTTTACTTCGTCGTGAAGCCTTCTACATCACAAAAAGAAATAGGGCATATTTTGTAGGTTCAGAACTTTAAATTTATAGATGACATCCTATCACTAATGTATAGAATTGGTTGAAATATCTCATCCATGGATTGTTATCTGATCTTTAATCATACAAACAATGCGCAAAACTCTGATAAGTTCATAAGTTGGGGATTTGGTGGCTGCGCTTACTGTTTGGAGAAGCACCAGACCCGCCAAGCTTTTATCTAGAGCCAATTATGGTGCCATCCTGAACTCTGCTCGGACGGTCGCTGCCTACCGGTGCTTAGGTGTCTCCGAAGCTCAGTGCTCAATCTCCAAATCTAATCTCTCCTCTCTCATCTCTCATCCTCTTCTGTCTTTCCAAAGCGAAGTCATCATTTTCCGACATTAAGTCGGTAATATCTAGAATTTCCTCTTTTCTCTTCTCTCACCACTTTTCATTGCAACTATATCCATCTATTTATTTTATTTACCTTGTGACCTTTTCAATATCGAATCCCCATCGCTGACATCATTCACGCGGATAGCTAGACCCAGCAGCCAACGAGCCAGCATAAGCGTGGGTAAACTAACCGCAGCTGGTGGTGTAGGGGTGGTGCGGTCAGCTGGCCAGCCTATCTGAGCATCTGGTCTTACTTGGGACCTGCAACCCGGGGCAACCTATCCGCTTTCTAGCCGTATCCGCTACCTAATCTTGGAGCTCTGTCTTTCCGTGTTTCGTGTTTCGTGGGGCTTGCGGTTTAATGTGCCAGCCTATCGCTGACTCCCGTCTTTCCTTTCTTAAACATACCTAGTAGCTTAAGCTTTCAGTTGGGTGATCGCAAGCATCGAGCATCGATAACCCTCCTTTCACGGCATCCTTCATCATGTCGCCGTCGAGTCTTCGACGCGCGGCCCTCAGTGCGCTGTCGCTGTCGCTATCATGTCTCGTCGTCGGCCAAAAGAACTATACCCAAATCGACATGATGCGGGCGCAGTTAGCTCTCCTGGACGGTCGGCCAAGTGACTGTCCACCATGGTATATCAACCTCACGTCTTAGTCGCTTAGTGTTTCGCAAGCTAATGAATTACTTTGTCTAGCTTTAACTGTCTTCTTCCCGCCTACGAGTGTGGTCAATATGCCGAATGTAACGAATACAACGGGAAATGCGAGTGCCCGGCGGGTTTTGGAGGTGACGATTGCTTCGAACCGAGTACGATTGCCCGTGATGTCCCGACCTAATCTCGTAATCTTGCTGACCACGTTACAGCTTGCGGCTCTCTCGCCCGAGGTAAAGATCGACCGATAAGATCGGGTGATACCTGTGAATGCGACGAAGGTTGGACTGGAATCAACTGCAACGTCTGCACTCAGAATAACGCCTGTGATGCCCTGATGGAGACGGGCAGTGGTGGTGTCTGTTACCAGAATGGTGAGGTCGTACAGACTAACCACCAGATGTGCGGCGTTACGAACGAAAAGATCCTTACTATGCTCAATGGCAAGATACCTGAGGCTACGTTTACTTGCGAGAAAGAGACGGGTGTCTGTGACTTCCAATGTAGGCCAAAACCTATTTTGATGAGATGATTATGTTGCTGATTATCTTGTCAATAGTCTGGATCGACCGACTCGAATCCTTCTACTGCCATCTCGAGAACTGCGATTCTAGCGCAGACTTTACTTCGGACCAGAACAGTACCTTTTATAAGTGTCCCGATGTTCAGTGTAACTGTATCAAGGATCGTATGCTGTGCGGAGCTGAGGGGTCTATCGACTTGACGGATTTCCTGCACGAGGAGGTTCACGGACCTGCCACCTTTAGCTGTCTGCAGGAGAACGGCGGTATCAATAACTGCAAATTCAAGGAACCCTCTCTGGATTGGATGGTAGGCAACTTCTTTGGCGATGAGAGTATCGAGTTGGACTGCCGATCCGGCGAATGTCTTTACCACACTCAAGTCCCTGGCTACGAGCGTCCTATCAAGAAGATCAACACGCCTTTGATCGCGGGTGTCATCGCCGGATGCTCCTTGTTCCTTGTCGCTGTCGGTTTACTCATCTGGTACCTCTCTCACCGACAGTACCGATACGGACCTATCGCTCTCGATGACTCTGACGACGAAGCTATCAAGCTGATGACCGACCATAAGCCGGCGACTTTGCAGTTCGAAAACGTCTCTTACGGCCTGAACGGGAAGGTTATTCTTAATGATATCAGGGGAATTGCGCATCCTGGAGAGATCACTGCCATCATGGGTGCTTCGGGTGCGGGAAAGACGAGCTTTTTGGATATCCTCGCTCGCAAGAACAAGCGCGGCCAGACATCTGGAGACTTCTACGTCAATGGAGAAAAGGTCACTGATGCCGAGTTTAAGAGCGTGGTTGGCTTTGTTGATCAGGAAGATACCATGCTTCCAACTCTGACTGTGCACGAAACGATCTTAACGAGCGCTCTCCTCCGTCTTCCGCGTGGAATGGGTCGCGCAGCTAAGGAACAAAGGGTCTACGAAGTCGAGAAGCAACTTGGAATTTATCACATTCGCGATTCTCTAATCGGATCTGAGGAAGGCAAAGGTAGAGGCATCTCTGGTGGTGAAAAGCGACGTGTTGGTATCGCTTGCGAGCTTGTCACTAGCCCTTCGATTCTTTTCCTCGATGAGCCGACTAGTGGTTTGGATGCTTACAACGCCTTTAATGTCATCGAGTGTCTTGTGACGCTAGCAAAGACATACAAGCGAACCGTTATCTTCACCATCCACCAGCCTCGCTCCAACATTGTCGCCTTATTTGATCGCCTAATCCTTCTTGCCCAGGGAAAGACAGTCTATTCCGGCCCCTTCTCTCAGTGCCAGGACTATTTCGACCATATTGGGTATGCCTGTCCTCCGGGTTTCAACATCGCGGACTACCTCGTCGACCTTACGATGCATGCCGGCTCCTCCAGTACATTTGATGACGGATCCATTGTGAACGATGTCGCGAGCGTTGGCCCCAGTAGTACCACCGCCGTCAAGTCTATCGCACTCGCGTCTGGGGCTACTAGCATCGCTGAAGATAGTTCAACGGAGCCATCGTCAAGCCGGCCTCAGAATAAGCGCAAGGACTCGGTTAAGGCAAGACAAGAACGCGAACTTTTCACGAGGCGGAAGAACACTGTAGACACTGCTGCATCTTCCGACGTCGACGAGGATATTGGATCGTATAAGTTACGAAAGCAACCCGCCGGTCTCACTCCGCCCCAAGTTGTCGTCGAAGACGTTCATGATCTTCCGCCGTCTGCGGCGACTAATCTCGATAGCCTTGTCCATTCGTATGCCGAGTCTAACATCGCCAGTAACATCCACGACGAGATCGAGCAAGCGGTAACTACTGCTAGAGTTGCTAACGGACAGAACGGGAATGGAACCAACAGCGCGCATGCCAACGGTAGTGCGATTGGTCGCGGTTATGCTCGTGTCGGCTATTTAACCCAGTTTATCATTCTCTCGCAGAGGACGTGGAAGAATCTTTACCGCAACCCACTCCTCATGTTAACCCATTATGCTATTGCGATAGTGCTCGCCGTTCTCTCGGGATACCTCTTCTACGGCCTCACCGACGATATTCCCGGATTCCAAAACCGACTTGGCTTATTCTTCTTCCTCCTGGCACTATTCGGCTTTAGCACACTGACTAGCTTGAACGTCTTCGCTTCCGAGCGACTTCTTTTTGTGAGGGAGAGAGCGAATGGGTACTACTCGCCTATCACGTACTTCGTCGCAAAAGTTTTGTTCGATATTATTCCCCTTCGTATCATTCCACCAATTCTAATGGGAGCGATCGTCTACCCCATGACGGGTCTCATACCGGATGGTCCGCATTTCTTTACGTTCATACTTGTTCTTGTCCTATTTAATATGGCTGCGGCGGCGATCTGCCTATTCATAGGCATTGTTTGTAAAGACAGCGGCGTGGCAAACTTGATCGGAAGCTTGGTCATGCTCTTCTCTCTGTTGTTTGCCGGTCTGCTTCTTAACCATGACGCAATTCCTGGTGCAGCTCTCTGGCTTCAATCCCTTTCTATCTTCCATTACGGCTTCGAAGCTCTTATTGTTAACGAGGTTATCAAACTCACCCTCGTGGATAACAAGTACGGGCTCGACATTACGGTACCCGGAGCGGCGATCTTGAGCTCGTTTGGTTTCAACAACAGCGCGAAGTGGATGGATATCGCCAACCTGGGTATCTTCGCCGCAGTCTTTGTGGTGTTGGCATACGCTGCCATGCATTTCTTGCTCGTGGAGAAACGATAGAACATAGTCAAAATGGATTAGGGAAAGTCTAGAATACATTGGAACCCATTAGGGCATTTGATGCATTGTTCTATTTCAGTCTATTTGTTTGCATAGCTCGGTTAATACTTGAGCTGGGTTGCTCAAGGGCATACGGGATACTTGGGGCGTTCGAAGGTCAGGCATGTTCGTTAAAGTCGTCAACCATTTTATACTACAATACGATAGATGAGCAATGTTTTTATACACGATACAACTTGTGAAGCTGCGCATAGTCGTATTCAACAACATTTCCGTAAGTGGCGAGACGTAAGGTTCTGTAACAGGAGTGCCGTAATCTGGCAGACTCGTGTCTCGACTTGGCATACCTAATTCCTTGCATTTCTACGTCGACGTTAATCCTTGTCTGATTCCTCGTCTAATTTACCACCAGTAAGTTCCTCAGCAACCTCCTTCTGTCGCTTAAGTGTGCGCGTCTTCTCCGCCTCGAAGCTCTTCACCGCCGTGCTCGATGTTCGCGATACTTCGTTCAGTATGTCGGTGACGGTCGGCGGCTTGCCGTGCAGGTCCCAGATATTCCGGACCTCGAAGCCGCTCGCGGACAGGCCCATGCTCTTCCAGTAGTCGGGCGCGAAGATCTTGTTCACCTCGGCCTCGAGGTCGGCCTCGTCCACGATGAAGGACCGCGCCTTCATGTACAGCTCCTGTATGGCGTCGCGGCGGCGCTCGCTCTTCTGCGCCAGCAGGGCGGTCGTGCGCTCGCGCGAGGCGAGGGCGCGCTCGAAGCGCTCCGGGTCCCGGATCACGGCCGTCTGCAGCGTGGCCGCGTTGATGGTGGCGCGCGTCAGCCGGTCGTCCTCGCGCTCGGGGGCGGCCGCGGCCTCCTGGTGCGCGGCCAGCTTCGCGGCCTGGGCCGCGGCCCGCCGCGTGTCCCGAAGCTGCTTCCGCTTGTACAGCGCCCGGATGCCGACGCGCATGTTCTCGCGCCGCGAGGCCGCCATGCGCCGCTTCCAGGCCTGGACCTCGGAGCGCGGCGGCTGCTGAGACTTCGCGGACGTGGGGCGCGGCGCGGATTTGCTGAGCCATGCTTTTTCCGGCTTCAGGTGGCTGTCCCGGTGCTTGAAGACTTGCCGGGGGATCGGCAGGTGGCCCTTTACGGGCTTGAGCTCGCGCAGGGCTTCGATCGACTGGTCTTGTGGCGGGTTCGGCACGTTGATGAATAGTGGGGATTCCGGAGGGATGCGCTGCGGCGTTGAGGGCCGCGCGGCACTTGTGCTGAAGAGGGATGTTCTGCGGGAGAGCGTTGCGGGTGCGGTTATGCCTCGTCGTGGGAGGAGGAGAGCTGGGCGGGGGAGTAGGGGGGGCATGTTGGCGGTAGTGGTGTGCCGGTTGGCACTACTGGCGGGGACTTGGATGTCCCGCAGTCAATTGAGGTTGCTGGAGTCGTTCGTGTATCGTTTGATGTCGTAAAGAGAGCAATCGCTTAGCTCTCGTTCGTATGTTGGGTATTGGATTTTACTTGGGAAAAGTTGCAAAAGAAGAAATTCAGAATGCCCCACTTTGGAGGATCCGGGGTCCAATCCAATGGGTCCTTGGTAGGGGATAAAATTCGGCGGAATCGAATTCTTGGAGTGGTCAGTCTAATCGATAGCAATTAAAGCGGGTGGACAAAGTCGTTTAAGTGCATGTGTGCTAAAGGGAAGAAAAAAAAGTTCCAGTTCCCCACCAGCCACTTTTCCTTTACTTCTAAGAACCATTATCTTCCCATCCTTCCTCCAGTTTTCCTTCTACCAAACCTCACCAGCTCAAACGAAACTTGGGCGCAATGGGTACTGGTAAGAAGGAACGTAGCCGGCTGGCCCGGCAGGGCAAGTCAGGCTCGGGAATGGACAACATCAAGGTCAAGGGCGAGAATTTCTACCGCAATGCGAAGAAGATTAAGACCCTGAACATGCGAAAGGATGAGGGCAAACCAGTTCGAAACGCCGACGGCAAGATTATCCAAGCTGCCAAGTACCAATCTAGAGATTTACCGGCTGCTAGGGTCGAACCTAACAGGAAGTGGTTTACCAATACCCGCGTCATCTCGCAGGACTCCCTCAAGGCTTTCCGCGACGCAATGGCAGAGAAGGCTAACGACCCTTACCAAGTCCTGTTGAAGTCCAACAAGCTACCTATGACCTTAATCAGGGACGACACGAACACTCAGCATGGCGTAAAGCAGCATAAGGCCAAGATGGCAATCGAAAGCTCTCCGTTTGCTGACGCCTTCGGTCCGAAATCTCAGCGCAAGAGGGTGAAGTTGGGCGTAAGCAGTCTGACGGATCTGGCTGAAGATACGGAGAAGAGCATGGACACGTACAAGGAACGTCTTGAGCAGGCGAGGCTTCTGAGCGGCAACTCTGGAGCCGGTCTGGATGGTGATGGTGAGGATCAGACCAACGGCGAGGACGCACTCACTATGGCCATTGAACCTATCTTCAACAAGGGCCAGAGCAAGAGGATATGGAATGAACTCTACAAGGTTCTTGAGTATGTCATCGCGTTTCTTGGCATGGTCTCCTTGGTCGAGTGAATGCTGACAGCGAATAGTGCCTCTGATGTTGTCATCCACGTACTCGATGCTCGCGATCCCCTTGGTACTCGATGCCGTAGCGTTGAGAAATATCTAAGGGAGGAAGCGCCGCATAAGCACCTTATATTCGTCTTGAACAAGACCGATTTAGTACCCACAAGCGTAGCTGTAAGTGCCACAATTTTCTACATCTAGTCATTTCCTTGTCGACCCTTGTCGACCCCAATGGTTTTAGTCAGGGTGCTGCTCTATTTTCGGTGAGAAGCCATCCGTTACGTCGTTGGGAGATTAAATATCCAGACTTACTGTTCTCATGCCTTCGGGCTGGGAGCTGGCGGGATCTCGTTTTGGGGTGCCGTCATTAGTTGGGCCGTGTTTCATTTTGAGTTGAAATCTATCTCTACCTGTTTCTGGGTGGTCTGTGGTTGATTTCTTAGTAATGATTCATACATCGACTTCACTTTTTATTCTTTTGCAGGTTATATAAGTATTGAGTAGAAGCTAACACTGCTCAAGGCCGCCTGGGTTCGTAATCTCTCTAAGGATTACCCGACTCTTGCTTTTCATGCAAGCATAACGAATCCTTTTGGCAAGGGTTCTTTAATCCAGCTTCTCCGACAATTCTCGCAATTGCACTCGGATCGCAAACAAATATCCGTCGGCTTAATAGGCTATCCTAATGTGGGAAAGTCTTCAATTATCAATACCCTCCGGAAGAAGAAGGTCGCCACGGTGGCCCCTATTCCCGGCGAAACTAAGGTCTGGCAATATGTCACATTGATGAAACGGATATACCTCATTGATTGTCCTGGCATTGTTCCTCCTAACCAGAACGATACTCCCCAGGATATTCTGCTCCGTGGTGTGGTTCGAGTTGAGATGGTGGAAAATCCCGAGCAATATATCCCTGTGCTTCTGTCAAAGGTCAAACAGCACCACATGGAGCGTACCTACGAGATCAAGGGATGGAATGACCACATTCATTTTCTGGAGCTTCTTGCTCGAAAGGGCGGTCGTCTATTAAAAGGCGGTGAACCCGATGTGGATGGAGTTGCTAAGATGGTATTAAACGACTTCATGCGAGGCAAGATTCCCTGGTTTACTCCAGCACCTATCGTTGAAGGGGATGAAGGGAAACCCGTAGAAGGCCGCGAGGGTAGACTCGGCGAAATGCCACGAAAACGAAAGAGAGACGACTTGGAGAGCGTCCCAGCCGCATCTGTGGCTGCATCGGCTACGTCGGTTGCGGATGAAGAGAGCGCAAGTCAAGATGACGAAGAATTCGAAGGTTTCGACAGCGACAGCGATGAATCAGATGATGAAGCTGAAGCCGGAGTTAAAGACGACGAAGAAGATATGATACCCCTAGAAGAGCTGAGCGATATTGATAGTGAATCCGGAGATGAGGATGAAGGTTGAGTAATCGAGTTGAAAGCATGAAAACATGACGGACCGCTGTTCCTCAACTAAGGGCTGCGATGGCTTGTTTATTTATCCCTGTGCCGCCAAATATTCAGCAAGTTGGTCGGCAGGCAGGCCAACAGGACTCACGTTCGTCCCTTTCGGTTGGAAATACTGCCCTTTACTGCCCTTTGGTGCTATTATAGGCATCCTCCGCCTGCCGAGCAGCCCTTAAGTTACGACTTGAGTCGGCTGTGTATGGGCTTGGCACGGGCCTCATAAATCCCTAGAGTTATCCGACGTGAAGCCCTGGAAACATTTTAATTCCGGGTCGGACCTAGATGGTACTCGGAAGCGATCTTTTCCCGGCGTATGACAAGCACAGCTTTCGCCACCCCGATGGCAGAAAGTATACTCGGGCAGCATATCGCCGCCTCGCTCATGACTACATATCCCGCTGGCCTAGCCGCTTGATGTTAGCAGATCATCAAGATCTGGAATACAGTAAATCAACTGGGCAAACGTCGAGATTTAATGGCCAGATTTTTGGCGACATGAAAAAAAGGCAATACTCTTCAGCTTTGTTCAACGTGTTCCGATTCAAATGTGAAAGGGTGTGATGGTGATACTCGAATATTGAACCTCGTGAGTCCTTCCTAATATTATGGCGAAACCTACAAAATACAAAACCCTTCATAAGAAGCTACTTCCTCATATTAGCCGTGTTCTTGCCAGTCTTGTCGAAATTTCAACCGCTTTCTACCGCGATTTGTCACTTGTAGTTACCGTTACCCTCGAATTTAACTTGTACGTTATCCATAGAACCTACTTCAACAGAATGAGCGGCGAATTGGCAAGCACGGGAACGGAAGTAATAATAAGGAATTTGCAAGTGAGGATCACTTCTTCAGCCGTGCTACGTGCATTATGAATCTTAAATACCTTCATCTTCCCCCGTTTCATCCCATCAATTCTCGAATTTCGACCCGGCTTCCCCATTTTGAATGCTCAGTCCACAGTTTTTGGCCCTTTCTTGGGAAGAGTCCTTATGCAATAACTCTTTTGGTTTCACGCAGAACTCTCAAGATTTTAAAGCCATCAAAATTACTCGTAGCTAAGATGCTGCTACCCATTCTTACTATAGCTCTCTTAGCATCGCTAGTCTCCGTAAGAGGTTCTTCTGTGCAAATGAACCTTCAGATGAACGCTGGATGCGGCTTTCATCTCACGACAACTGGAGGATACAATGGATCGGTGGGACAGTTGGGCAATGGCCAAGTAAGAGCCGGGAGCGACTTGTCGCCGTCGTTGTTCACCTGGTTTGGGGATGCTTTCGCTGACCAGCAGGGGAGAGGTTGCTGGTGGACTCGTATGGCTTGCCTATAATCTCATATCTATGCATTTACGGCTTCGCTGACTTTACGGCCTGTTACAGCACCCACCTCTGTCCTCCAATGCGACTGGAATGAGCAGCCGGCCCACGGTTTCGCAATCGGGTGCTACGGCGGCGTATCGTACAGAGACCAATCCGAGTTCTACGAATGTCACACCGGCGACGGCGACGAGGTCAACTTATATCTGCAGCCGAGGGGAGTTAACTGCTTGACGGTTATGATACATGCTGACAGCTGTCGACCTCCGTGCGCCGGTGAAAACTCTTCATCGCCGCCTTTTCCAACACCAACGCCATTCGGAACTCCAACCGGGAATGGGCCCTCAGAGACAACGTCCCCCACGACATCTCCCCCCTCACCGACAAGTACTCACCCACCAGGCGAATGCGACGTAGTCGTCGCCCAAGGCCCCGACGAAATCATCCTAATCGACAGGGGCAACCCCGACACAGCGTACGGCCCGAACCCAGACATGATCGTGCAGCTCTCGCCCAACGCATCATCGATCTTCGTCTTCCGCTTCTCGTCCTCGGACGCGGGCAAGGAATGCGCCATCGTATTCGACCTGCCCGCCTCTTCCTCCTCCCCGCAGCAACAACCGCTCCCCTACCGACTTACGGGATCCGGACCAGTCAGCTTCGCGGTGCTGGACGGGCCGACGACGGAGTCGGGGAATACGACGTGGAACGAAGCGCCGGGCGTCGCGATGCCGTTGCAGTCTGTGGCGCTTAGACCGGGGATTAGCGTTGAGCCCATGAACTTCCCGTGTCCTGGGGCTGATGCGGAGGTTGCGGTGCTGATGACGGATGGTCCGGGCTCGGACGCGTGTTTGGAGTATGAGCAGTCGGAGCCGGGCCCGGAGGGGGGGATGGTTGGGCTTTATCTTGTTAAGTGCTAGTGATTCGAGTTGGGGGTGGAATAGCCCCCGGGGGTTGGGAGTGGAGATGGATATACTACTCCCCCTTTTTGGAATGATGTCTTGGAGTTTTACTAGGGAGTTATACCTAGACGTGCAGGGTGGTCGTGGGATTATTAGAAGGCTTACTATGTGTGCGAGATTAAGGATATTGGTAGGCTAGTTTCTAATGATATCGATCTTACTGAAGGGGTTTTATTATGAGGTTCGATCATTTTGGACGCGGTGAACGGAGTTTTACTTTCATGCGATAGAATATTACGAATGGGACCCCTTCTGCCCCGTTTCGAGTTAAACTATATGGTCACTGATATTACCTACCTAGGTATTCTGCATTAAGATGTCAAGGTCCGTAGATGCTTCATATACTTCTCCCGCTGATCGACGTGGGCAAAATGCCCAGCATTGTCCAGAGTGATCCGCTTCACCTTCTCAATGTGCTCGAAGAGTGGTCCAACAGATTCATTTTGTACCGTGTCTTCTGACCCGTCTAGTAGGAGTGTCGGCACCTTAATTTTATGTAGCGACGGTATACAGGTCCAGTCACGGAGCGAGCCCGTGACGACTAGCGGATTCGGACCATACATAGGTACATGATATTCGTCAAGAATTGACAGTTCGTCTGTTTCTCGAGGTCCATTTCAACGAACTCACATAGTTAAATAGCTCGACATATCTTTTGTCAGACCGTTCTGCATATCTTGGACCTCCCGTGGCCGCCACAGCCGGGTTAGGCTAAGATGCCGCTGGTAAAAGACCCCGACAGCGGCCTGGTACGCTGAGCTCGTAAAATCTTTTGTCTCGTCCGCGCGGTTGAGCACGGCTTGTACCTCTTCTGGAAGCTGTTTCCTGAGAGTAGCTAGGTCGGCCCGGAACCCGCTCATGCTCGCTGGACTGCTAGAAAGGACAAGGTGCCTGAGCTTATTCGTCGAGGGAGAGGGTCGGGATGCCCAGGAGGCTGCTAGGATCCCTCCCCACGAGTGGCCGTAGACGTCGATGGGACGCTCTTGTAGTTTCAAGCACGCAAGAAGGTTGTCTAGTTCACGTATGAATAGGTCCATACACCAGAATTTCTCATTCCCAGATCGGTCGGGCAAGTGCGTTGATCGTCCACTCCCAATTTGATCATAGAAGACAAGGGGAATTTCGGGTGCTAGGTCATTTAGCGGTAGTAGATAATCATGACCCAGTCCAGGCCCGCCGTGGAGAATGATGAGAGGCGTTTTTCCAGATTCGTTCAAGTCACCGATGACTTTGTATCATGTCTGACATGGCTCAGAAATGCCCGGCGCATCAAATTTCGCGAAGCCTTCCGCCATCTTTTGTTTGCGCAACGTCGAATACCACAAAATAAAGTCCAAAACCTGGGCTAATATATTACTCACATCAGATATCAAAGACATATATCATTCAACTTGAACAATGATCTGGCTATTTATTAGATAATCACTACGTATACCTCAAAGTACGGGATCACGCCATTTGTAAGCATAGGACGAGTATGGGGGATCGGAAAAGTGGGATGTGCCATTGTCCGAAGCTGTATACTATACATAGTTCTACAGAGAATTTCACGGTTAGATAAACCGCTCAGAACTAAGAATCATTGAACTTTTGATAGTATTTTGCAAAATAATTCCACTAGGGGATGTTGTACATTAGGTAACGTTTTATGACAAGGCAAACTTGGAACGAGTTTGGTATGGAGTTTTCGTGATTCTCAACCTGTTTGAGCATATCTAGGTAGGTAATGATGATTTCTGAGCTCCCCTGTGTCGTGTTACGATGCTCGAAAGACCTCTTGGGATAGAAGGTGAAATCTTTGGTGCAGCCATCAAATATGAAACTAAGTGGAAAACGAAGACTTTGAGCAGCGAAGGCCCCAATGGTAGGTCTGGATAATTGTGAGTTTAATGATGAGTGTCGATAAGTTAAGCTACCTACTTACACAGGCAGTTAGTAAATCATTATCAAAGTAGTATCCTACCTATATCTAATGAAGGTTTATATTTCGATAAACTTGCACCAAAGTGAGCCATAAGTTCAGATGAGCTTTCCTCCATCGCCCTACGAATTGCCTATAGGTAGGTATACAAGGTAAATAAGTCTGAGGAGGTAGATGAGTAGGTAGGTAGGTAGGTAAGGTGAAGGCAAGTTGTTCTCGAAATGATGCTTTAGACAGCCGTGTTCTCCATTAGCTAAACAGATTGCACCGTCAGCTTACCGAGAATGGCTGTCGTCAAGTATTGGGGCCGACTCAAAAGGAGATTAATATGTAGAGTCTTACGTACGATATTGGTGCTTCATAGGAATAAATTGAAAGCTTACGTCGACTACGTCCGGCAAGGTAGATAATAGATACTTGTTGTATTTACTCCATGGGACAAAGCATGAAAATAATGCTAGAAGTGAGAATAGGTCCGCGGACTTAGTGAGGTTAGTTCATCTGAAGTTGTCTTGTTAAACGTCGTGTAACGAATCATCCTCAGTAAGAGTCCTAATATGTTAGTAGATACTAGGTATGCAACCATAGGATTCGCAAACGAATGGCACATAAGCTCGTCTGAGCTGCGAGGAGGTAGGATGCAAGAACTAATATCTCGATGCAGATCTTCGCCAGAGGTGGTCACAGATCTAATTTAGCGAATCTACCTATGGTTGCTGACCAAATTCTTACGTCCATATTATAGGATCGGTTAACCTCGTCTGTTTTCTAGAACGCGTTTGAACTTCCACTAACAGCTATAATCTTATTAAAGGAGTGAATAATTCTATCGAGTCTGTAATGTTGGTATCAATATATTGCTTTTACGGTAGGTGACAGCATGTTTATGGAGGGTTGGTTCCAGCGGATAATTTATCTGGACGATAGATTCTAGATCCTGAGTAATCAATGATGAATAAGGCGCTCTCACATGCCGTACTCATTTCTTCGGCGAGCTACTTTGATATATAGAAATATAGTTGCACTTTACCTTGCCATGGACAGTCTTGCGCTGTCGTCATCGTAACGTTGCAGTGCCCACGGGAGCTCCCTTTAGCTCTTCCCCTTTATCGCTAGTGAACGGGAGCCGGGTCTGGTCTTGGGCCACGGGGAGGAGTTGGGGTTATCTATGACAAGATAGCGTTCAGATGCGCGGCTTCATCGAGGGATCGTTGCATGGAATGTGAGCTTGCACCCATCTCAGATGACCTTGGCTTCCCGGATGTTTGGCGGATATGGACGTTAAGCTTAAGTCTGCCCTGCTTGGAATCTAAAACCGCTACTAGGTAGCTCGTCAAAAGACATCTCAAGGTTGCAATGACGCGCATAGACCTTGTAAACCCCCCTTTGAGTGCTTGCATGGCCTTGTAATGGAACCGCGACTCCCATTTGTCGGTTCTGGGCCCCTATTCCGAAATAGGAAGCTGTGCATGCCAGGCACTATCACACTCCGGTACCTGCTGCGAGACATATGTCTCTGATGAAGATAGTAAACCTGTCTTATCCGCTCTTGTGATGTAACCGGAAGTGGCACAAATTAGACAAAATACATTGTGATACCTGCGCGTTGGAATACGCTTGGCCAGAGCCGCAACATGTCTTGCGCGGATGGGGCACGGTGGCTGTATGTAAGAATTCCTACAACCGGTTGGAGTCGCCCGTCCGAACATGGAAGCTCCAATCTTCAGCTCATTTCGGCCTAGGATATCGCACGCGTAGGATGAGCTCCTATTCAGTCGCCGAACCCCAGTCGCCCCGAGAAAGATGCCGCCGGTAGCTCTCCCCTGGTCAGCTTCTCCGTTCGCGAACCCTAGGTACTTTGTTGTGCGATAAACGTAAGCCGCGTGGAATTGCCAGCTCGATCACCTGCTATAATCGGTTCTGTCGTTGGCTGCTGTGTAATTTCAGGTACTCGATTTAGAACTAGCCCTGCCGATGCCGCCTACCCAGATACAGATGCGTGCAAGGGATCAGCACTATTTTTGGGTTACGTCGAGGGGTATTACCTAGGACGATGTCTAAGTAGGGAGCTCAGGATACATCGACGGCATGTCATGGGTTTGGTTGCACGAGTTGGGCTGTCATCTCATGGCAAGTAAGACACTACAGGCCTGTAACGTTAGGACATCGGCCGAATGCCACGAGGAGGTGAAGTAAGAATGCGAAGGAAATATATATAGGGCACGCAGATCCCTCTCCATGAGATCGAATATCCATTCCAAACCAGTCTTCACAGTTCAGTTCAGTCCTTACCTACAGCTTCACGTCTTCGTTCCTTTCAACCCACATTTTAAACATGGTTTCTTCTACTCTAGCCCTGGCGGCTCTCGCCAGCTTTCTCCCGTCTGCCTTGGCGGGCTTCGACGCTACCCAGGTGACTAACGTTGCCGTATATTGGGGTAAAGTCAACCGATGAACTGTAGCTATACGCGAGCTTGTACTAACATGTGATGATAGGTCAAAACTCGCTAGGTCAAGCAACCTCTCAGACGCGACTAGCTGACTACTGCTCAAGTAAGTGCATTCCATCTATCCATGCGGTACCGCATTTGCTAACATAGCTTCCACAGACACTGAGATCGATGTAAGACCATGAGAGTTCTTTGACTTGAAGCTCAGAGTCACTTACCATATACCTGACAGATCATCCCTCTTGCTTTCATGGACGGTATCACGACACCCACCGTAAACTTCGCCAACGCGGGCAACAACTGCACAGCATATGCTGGCACCTCTCTTTTGAACTGCCCCCAGCTCGAGACGGACATCAAGGCATGCCAGGCTCTGGGCAAGACCATCCTCCTCTCTCTCGGAGGTGCGACGTACACCGAAGGCGGCTTCTCGTCCTCCGACGCAGCTGAGGCCGCGGCTCAGAATGTCTGGAACCTGTTTGGCTCGGACACCACCCAGGAGAACCGACCCTTCCTCACGGCCGTCGTCGACGGCTTCGACTTCGACCTCGAGTCGACGAACCAGAACTTCGCGCCCTTCGCGACCAAGCTTCGCTCGCTCATGGACGCCGACACCAGCAAGACGTACTACCTGTCGGCGGCGCCGCAGTGCCCGTACCCCGACGCGGCGGACAACGACATGCTGAACGGCGTGGTCTCGTTCGACTTCATCATGATCCAGTTCTACAACAACTACTGCGGCGTCTCGTCGTACGTGGCCGGGTCCACCACCCAGAACAACTTCAACTTCGCCACCTGGGACGACTGGGCCAAGAACACGAGCAAGAACACGAACGTCAAGCTCCTCCTCGGCGTCCCTGCCAACACCGGCGCCGGCGGCGGCTACGTCGACGCCACCACGCTCTCCGGCGTCATCTCCTACGCCAAGACGTTCTCCAGCTTCGGCGGCGTCATGATGTGGGACATGTCCCAGCTCTACGCCAACTCGGGCTTCCTCGACTCCGTCTACTCCGCCCTGTCCGGCTCCAGCTCCAAGGCCAGGGACGTCACCACCTTGGTGAAGAAGGCTAGGCCCGCTCCCACCCAGGTTGCTTAGATTATGTTAGGCAGTAAGTATACCTCCTTGCTTCAACTCCCTTCAAATAGCTAAGCCCGCATACTGACGCGTGTACCTTATTATAGGTGAAAAAGTTGTCGGCTATCATACACTCGTTTTTTTCTCGCAAAGGTACTGGCGATCTTCTTGTAGATAGGCGGTTTGCCACCGAAGATCATCACGTTCCCTTATTCCTTATCGAACGATAGCATAGCGATGGAAATTTGTTGCTTTTTTTATGGAATCCAATGACATTCATGTATATATTTTTCTCTTCGTGTATATATCGACACCTGTAAATATGGGAGGAAACCCAGGCCGCCAATTTATACTACATTTTTATCATAATTTGCTGGTTCTTGTTCGGTAGTTGCCGTGAGAAGACTCGAAACTTGTCAGCTTACCCTCGCTAATTCTGGGCATGTATGGTGAATGGTCCAGCAGTCTGGGGTAGGAGTTGACGATTAAGGCACGGACATATCGTTCCTGGCCCCCACCTAGCTAGCGCTGCCGAGCTCAGCCTACAGCCCTAAGGATCGCCCCTGTCGCCTTGCCCAGGAACTAATTAAGGCCCTGTAGCGACTTTCGTCAGCTCCTTTCTTTCTCTCCCTTTCTTTTCGTTTCCTCTAGTAGCTGCCAGCAAAATTACCGCACGCATGTCGGCATTTTGTGGCCGAAGCGATCGTAAATTTGGGGTAAATAACATCCCAAAGATACTGCCCAGTTCTCGAATATGGGTAGTTACTGTTTGTGTCCCCGCAATGAGAGCCGACAGACAGGTAGCCCTACGGTTGGAGAGGCGTTAGCTGTTGTGTTTGTACTGCCGTCTAGGTGGCGCATTCAGCCTCATCCCTGATCTTAGCGACGGTGTATGTAGGCGATCCATTTTTGCTGTAACCACTGTAGGTAACCGTAGTATAGCCCCTGGTTTTCCGCTACTTTACTCCTCTGGGGATCCATAATTGAAAGGGTTTGGGGTTGGTTGGGGGTCATCTGAGGAAAGGGGGTAGCAAAAGCCCAGAACGACCAAAATTGGCCGGACACAGCCCGTCCGGAGTCGACATCAAAAATAAAGAATGGGATACGGAAGACAACACAGATGGGAGTTGGAAAAGGGAAAGAAAGCCACGGTGACGATGAAAATAGGCCTCGTTTAATAAGGGAGTTCTGAAGGGAGGATGAGGTTGGTCCGTGCTTAACCAAATATCAACCAATTACATCCCATAATCTCATTAACTGAATATATCTCTAATCTCCTTAAAACTTCATGCATAGACGGATATAGGCACTGTATAGAGGCATCTGCAGTTAACTGTGTCTTTGCATGCAATGACGTAAACGTGAAAAGGAGAGCTATCGCGTGATGTGGGGTTATGTATACTTAAAGATCTCTTCCAGCAGACATAAACCTCTCTCATGCCCATCGAATCTTGCTAATATCCCCTAAAAACGATGGCATCTCTTCATAACGTCCTTCTTCTTGGCGGCAGCGGAAAGGTCGCCCAGCTTCTAACGCCGCTGCTCCTCCAACGATCGTGGAATGTCACCAGCATCATCCGCGACCCCGCCCAGATCGCAAATCTGGAGAAGCTTGGCGAGGGCCAAAGCGGAAAACTAAGCGTTCTGGTTCGAAGCTTAGAAGATGTCACGAGCGAGGCGCAGGCTAAGAGCCTCATAGACGAGGTTAAGCCGGATTACGTGGTTTGGAGCGCCGGTGCCGGCGGAAAAGGGGCACCGGAAAGGGTAAAATATCAGAGTGTCGCTATGTATATCCGACCAATTTCCCTGCTAATACCTCAGTCAGACATTCAAGATTGATCGTGACGCGGCGTCTCATTTCATCCGCGCGTCCGTAGCGACGCCATCGATCACCAAGTTCGTCATGATCTCCTTCATCGGGTCCCGCCTGAAGAAGCCGTCGTGGTGGACCGAGGAGATCTGGCAGGAGGACCTGAACACCACGAGAAAGGTGCTGCAAAGGTACTACGAGGCCAAGGTGGCGGCAGACCAGGTTCTGTACGAGGAGGGGAAGAAGAGGAGCGACTTCGCGGGTATCTGTCTTCGGCCGGGCGCCCTGACGTCAGAGCCGGCAGGTAAGGTCAGGCTCGGGAAGATCCCCGTAGCAAAGGGAACTTCGAGTCGTGCGTCAGTCGCAAATTTGACTGCATTGCTGCTTGATGCGCCCAATGTCAAGAACTGCTGGCTTGACATGCTGGATGGTGATGAAGACCCAGAAGCGGCTGTGAAGAAGGTTGTTGAGGAGGGAGTGGATGCTGCTGAAGGGGAGCCATTTTACTAAAGAGTCAGTGTCTCGGTCTAGTCTATACTCTAATTTCAAGGCGGCCTTAAAGACACTGCGGTCTAGATAGCCGCCATAGGGTCAATGAATGTCAGTGGAATGAGTTAACGAGATTTTCTACGCCATTGAGAATTATCACATAAGGAGGTAGGTAGGTACCTAGATACCTACCGTACCTGCCCCTATTAACATGCCACATATAAAACATCTTTCAAATAGCTTTGCCTAGGGCATTCAGGAAATCACAAGTCTCTCAATTACTATAATCTACCTTATAATATTCTGCTTTTGGAATCATGGATGGAACAACACAGCTCTAGGACCCAAACCTTGCCTACCTAGTGTATGTCTTAAAATCTCATGAAAGCTTTTGGCGCTGATTTGCGTGCCACGCATTCCTGCCTCCAAGCGGTCGTGAGAAAGGCACCAAGTGCGGCTACGTTCAACATCATAACGGTCGCTATGAGATGAATCTCGGACACACGAGTAGACATAGACATCGGTTCCATGATGAGAACTAAGACCCTTCGTAATCGTACCTTTGGTTTCCTACCTGTAGGGTGTCCTGGGATGTGCAGTTCGCTGTTATTAGGTAGTATCTAAAACAGCGAGTTGAGATTCCGTGAGTTTTTCATCCGATCGTCAATCCCCTTAATGGAAGACGAGGGAACTTTGAAATATATATTAAGATAATAGCCATTGTTTGTTGAACAATTGTCTTGTATCAAGGAATAAGAACAGCTACGACAAGAAAGAGAATTAACAGCCCTTTGATAAGTTGTGATATTGGTAATAGGTGGTCAAAGACGCTAGGTAAGATCTCTTTCAGCAATAGAAGGCTAGATATCGTCTTTCCGAACCCCTTAGTGCACTACTATTCATGAAAGCTCAACCTGTGTGAGCGCGTCATCGCCACAGCACACAAAAGTCTCACGGCCCTGTAAGCCGGGAGTTCAATGTGGTATATCCCCCTAAACCATATGATGTAGATCACTCACTCCGGCCTATTCATCTTGGGAAATAATCACAGCCGCCTGTTCCGCAAGAGCGTAAACCGCGGCTTGGATGTGAGCGCCAATTGAAATGGGGAATACAGACGCATCCACGATTCGAAGGTTCTGAACCCCTTTTACTCGCAAGTCGGTGTCTACCACGGTCCCCATGGAGCAACTGCTGGAACCGTGGAAGGTAGACCTATAGAATAGAGATCTTAGAATAATATATACTTCATGAAAGATGTGGTAGACTTACATTCCCGCAGCCTTGACCCGGCTATCCAGATACTCGTCGCTCGAATCGACTGATAAAGGCTCGAACCCGCTAGGAGGAGTCTCGCCTGCGATTACCTCCCGGCCAAGAGGAGTATCGCCCGTCATCAGAGAGGCAGCCTTTCGTAACGAGTGCCGCCACACGTACTTATCGACTTCCGTAGCAAAATAATTCGGATCGAGAACCGGGGTATCAGCCGGGTTCTTCGACGCAATGGTCACCGTTCCGCGGGACGTTGGTTTCGCGGCCATCAACGTGTTGCTGATGTGCGTGCCATCGATCGGAAACGGCGGCATTGCGCAATATACGACGAGGGTCTCCATCATGCCCCATGGTCTCTTTAAAAGGTAGTGGTCTGGTCCGGGAGCCTTGCCTTCGTCCTTGGTAATCGCGGCCACAAGACTGTCCTTAGGGACCTCGTGGTTGACGACGTAGTTTATCGGCGTGCCCGTACCGAATTCCGGTTTCGAGAATAGGGGGTTGCTGGAACCTAGGGCGAATCCCTTCGAAGGATCCTTTAGTCGCCAGTTAAGTTGCATCATAATGTGATCGTTAAAGTTCTTCCCGACTTCCGGGATATCGACCTTCGTTTCAATACCGTGCTGTTCCAAAGTCTCCTTAGGCCCTATACCGGACAGCATCAACACCTGCGGCGTCCTATAAGCGCCGGTGGAGAGGATGACTTGTTTCGAACGAAGCTCCGTGCCATCCGCCAAGCGAACACCGGTAGCCTTCGTCTCGGAGCTCTTGTCGATAAGGATGGATTCAACAAGAGCTTCGTTCATGACGGTCACACCGCCCAAAGGGTACGCCAGCGGCGCGATCTGCCGAGCTCCTTTATGGCGGTTTTCGTTGATATCGCCGAGGCCTATATTATCGCCGGCGTTCATATCGCAACCTGGAAGCACCTGCAGACCGAGATCGCGCCAAGAATCTCTGGTGATCTCGGCCAGAGGGTAGATTCGACCTGTTGAGGTGGGAGCTTCTATATACATAGCACCATCTTGACCGTGGTAGTTGGAATTTTCGGTGCTGTACCACCTTTCAGTCTTCTTGAAATAAGGAAGTTGGCCTTCGTAGCTCCAACGGCTGTCATTGACAATCTCCGCCCAGCTGTCGAAGTCAGCCCGAGATCCGCGGAACCAACCGCCTAGACACAACTTCAGCATCTGATAACTAGTAGTATAATTAGGTACAGCAGTGGTTCTTTCATCTTACATCCATTAATCACGGAACCTCCGCCAAGAGCGCGGCCGGCCGGAATGTCGATCTGCCGGCCATCGTAGTGTTTTTGTGGGACTGACTTGTATGCCCAGTCAAACTTTCCGCCGATGAAGTTAAGAGATTGGAACTGGAGGATTTCTTTATCGTTGCTCACGTCCGGACCAGCTTCGATAACTAGGATACGGGCCGAGGGCTTATACTGCGACAAGCGGCTGGCGGTGACGCAACCAGCAAGCCCACCTCCTACAACAATATAATCCCAACCTGTGGTAGCAACCATCGTAAGGTATTAGATAGTTTTGGGGCGAAAAGATAGAGTACTTAATAAGGTAGGAAGGTTTGCAAATTGATTAAAAAAATTGTGCTGAAGACAAGTATTGATCAAATATTACAAGTTCGCGTATCTGCTTACCTACCTTTAGACAAGCTGTTTGGACCGGGGATAGGAGATGGGTACCTACCTAAGTAACCAACTCCCAACTTACGCGGCAATTTCAAGCAGCTGTATAATCCTTTACACATAGATAATCTGATCGGAAAATATTACCTATGACTACTGAGAGGGTGAGTACATTTGCAAAATATCGGGTCCACTTCCAACCATAGAGCTACAACTGTGCGGCGCGGCGCGGACGGTGGAGGGGATCCCTTCACCGATCCGCCATAAGCGTGCGTGATATGCGAACGACGTATTATTTGCTGTTCTATGTGGCACCGCGGTTCAGCCTACCTAGAAACAACTTAGTATTCTCACTCGTCGTGCCTTGGCTAAGCTCTCTTGAGCTAGAGAAAACATGGTTGAATCCAATGCTACTTGTGATTAGCAAGAGGGGATGACGACGCTAACACGAACAGAGGAAACTTCGCGACGCAAATTGTGGATACCACCGTTTAAGTATTATTAATCAGTGTAGTCCAGATCTCACCTAGAAGAAAGAATCATATCTAATATGAATAGCTCTTGTGGTACATCATACATGTACCAGCCTTAGCATTGAGTTTCATTCATCCTGAACTAATATCCCGAACTAATATAACTAGAAGTGAAAGTAGAAAAACTGGCACAGCTTACGCGAGGAAGAACCGTGCTTCCTTGTTAACTGCCCTTTTCTCGATGCCTGCAGTGCTGGCACAGGCAAATTTGTCATCCTGTATCTGGATGACGTTCCAATCGTTGAGTTCGACCTCGTTGTGCCTTGTACCACGGCCTTTACCGATCGAGCACTCGCAGTTAAGCTTTGTGCCGTTCATGTTGCAAGGGCCGCATGATCCACCAAAATCGCCGTTGCCGTTCGGAATGTAGTTCAAAGTGCCCAGATAGTTCGCGAAGCACTTGTTGAGATCGAGGCTATAATCCATACGCGTCCCATATCCCGGCCTCATGCAGTTAGCATGGAGGAGATGGTTCCCGGTTAGGTGAATGTTGTTGCAATAGCAGTTGCCGATGTCCGTCTTATAGACATCGCTAACCTCAAATGCGGAGACGATAGCGAGAAGTGGCATGAAAGCCAGAGTGGATGCGAAGTTAGTCTTCATGATTGTTTGATAATTTGTTTTGCTGATTATTCGGTTGTCTGAATTCTTTTGTGGAGACGCTGATCATGGCGCAATGTGGAGTTTTTATATCTTAATGGCATTGTAAGAATCGAGGGACGACTGAGAAGACAAGCCTCTTTTATGCAGACCGTAAAAGAAGATGTGGTGACTTTGACCTTGTGATATGAGCGGACAAGGAAGGCCCGAAGGCGCAAAGTTTCATAACTGTATGCTACAATAACTAGACAATAAATAGTCATTGTTTAGAGAATGGCCTGTTTCATAACCGAACAATCATTTGTAATGAATTTCAGAAATTCACACAAAGCCTTAATATCGGACCCTTCCCTTCGGAGCCGTGCTGCGACGTGAATAGGTAGTATTTCCGAGTCGCCATACTAGCCTCAACCGACAAAGCGCGGACGGTGGTTTAGCCACAGTATGACAAGAATCCTCCTGGTTCTTTATCCCGTCACAAGAGTACGGGGGGCGGTAGGCGCAGTATTGGCTCTTGTGATTGTTTAGACGTCATACAGCAATCGGATTTATTCTCATGGCTTATTTGCTTCCGTGTCCGCCGCTTCCGATTGCTTTTTTTGAGCAAAGGTCTTATCAAGACGATTGAACAGAGCCCATGAAGTAACCAATAACATAGGCATGGCAATCATGAAGCGTGTATATTTCGCAGCAGCCTTCTTGTACTCTCGGCTAGACGGATCGATACGTTTCGGTTGCGGCCTCGGAGGTCTCGGTGGGAGAGCGGCCTGAGGTCTCGCGGCTTGAGGTTTGGAAGTTGTCGCCATATCGAGTACGATGGTTGATCAAAGTATATACAATTGACTGCTAAACCGGAAAAGAATATGGAAATAACTGGGCTAATTTGAAGATGCAATTGCAGTTCAGCCACGGCTTTTGAGGAAGTTGAAAGGAAGAAAATAAACCAATCGAGTCTCCACTAGCGGGGTACTACCGTAGCACACGTGGATGCAGATCAGGAGCCCTGAAATTTAGCCCATAACCCCTGGAGCTGTAAGCCACAGAGAGGTACCTAGGTACATGACGGGTACCTTTTAGCCACACCTGCGAAAAAGGGGTTGACTGGTCGAGTTAAACACCTGCCATTTCGAATTAACTCTTTAAATAATAGCAATATCGATTCATATAAAGGTATATATTTATGTACAAGAATCCGTCTATAACTTTTACTCATCTCGTAAATAATCATTGTAGGGACTCGTTAGAGACTCGTTATGCCTCTTGTCCTCCCTCCAGCAACCATCTTTTCAACGTGAAGCATACATACAAAACATGAAAAGCTTTATTATAACACCGAACCAAGGAAATGCGTAGACGGCTAGATAAGATGGCTTGCAAATATGATCCATTTAACTATTGTAACATGATTTCGAATATATTTGCATCACATTTTTGATAGACCGTTCGGTAGCCCCTCCTTGCAAGTTCCTGGAGCCAAGCAACGGTTCGCAACCGTGCCATTTTCCGAGAAGGTCAACCAAGCTCTAAATATTCATATATTAGTACGCATCACCTTATATATGGGATGTTATTCTGATAACTTACGATACGGGTAACGCGGGAGGAGGCAAGAATGGCCCCTGGTACCAGCAACAGTACCAGCCAGCGCTAGGCAAAGTGACGTTGGTGTATGAAGGGTCGAGATCGGAGCATTCGAGTGCTGAAAGGAACTTTTGTTGCAAGCAAAGATCTTGTTCGCCGCCACCGTCCTGAGGTGCAGGGATCGAAAACGCCGAGGCGATAAAGGTAGCAAAAGCTGCGATGTTTGAGACACGCATTTTGGAGCAGTTGAGTCTCTGATAAATTAGATGTGGTCGGCTGAAGAGAATATCGTAACTCCCGTTTCTAAACCACGGTCTGCTTGGCCTTTTTATACATAAAGTCGTTGGCGGCAACATCATCCTATCAACGATATAGCCAAGACAGGCTAGGAAAGTAGCAATGAATGTGGAGTTACATCTATACGGGCGTCCCCCCAAGATCTCGTATTGAAGCCTGAATGCAACTCGACCCTAGGGATCCTTTATTTTACCGTACGAACGCATAAACGTTCGGGAAAGTTAACCGCGAAAGTCTTGCGATACTTCAATATCCTTAATTGGAAGTTCTATGTTCTTGGTATTTCAGTTAACCCTCTGAAAAGGGTTGGTGACTTTTTTACTTTGATATCCTGGACCGCTGTCTTATACCAGCCTTAGGTTACCACACGCGTTCCACTAACAACAAGATATCAACACCATAAGCTTGTTATTCAAATTAAGCATTTATCTACCTTTACGATCTTACGATATATACACATTAGAACTATCAAGATTATGTGACTTAAGAAGATAAGCTGCAAAGCTCGAAGGCAATGACGCATCTCTAAGATGGCTAAGACACTATTCGACTTCCAAGGGATTGGAGCGTTTAAAAGGAATACGTCTTGATGATAGAGATTTCGTATTGAACGTTAATCAACTAGAGCATTATAGGCAGCTTGAGATAACCATTTTGTTCTGAGGGTAGGTTGTGATAGGCTATTATAATTGCTGGCATAATCAGGGGCTTTATCGTCATGAAGGCGACGTGACAAGATGTATACCCATGTTAAGAACATCTAATGATTTATCAAGAATAAGGGAAGTAAGGATAGTAATAAGCTGGGTGGTGCTTGATCCTACCATTTTTCGCTGCACCTTCTGCGTGTACACCAAGATGGGATAATTCGGCGAGCTTAGACATGAATTTCACAGCAATGAGTTGATGGCTCTGGAGGATAAGACTGAAAACTTCTGTTCATTCATTCATTCATGAGGCCAAAGAATCTCAGCTTCATGCTCTATCCAATTCACTGACACCCAACTTTTACCCACTAGTTCATAGTGGAATCACCACATAATGATACATAGGTATTCATCGCTAAGTACCGGATATCCCTCCTAATCTCTAGTACATCATCTCAGAAATTTAGGTATATATTGTTCCCAAACAGCACCCCATTTTGTGCAGAGCCTTCCATCCGCTCTCTGCTCCCAGCGATCACTGCCCACTGCCGTCTTGGCGTAAAAGATATCATCAGGATCATATTTGTTCTTGATAGCCAACAGTTTCTCATAATTTCCCCCATAGAAAGTGGTCTTGAAGTCGGCGGCTTGGAAGTCAGCCTCGTTCAAGTATACAGCTCCATTAGGCGTCACTGCCTCCAATTCGGGTAGGAAAGTGTGCGTCACAGCATCTTGAGCGGCCTTGTTTGATGTGAAATCGGTGTAGTTGATCGGTGTGCCGAGAACGGCGCTGAAGATTGTCTTGCGGAAATAGGGGTTCGCAGCGACTTCGTCGGGGGACGAAACGCCCTTGGCGACGTTGAACGCAACGCCAGACAGGAGAGTCTTAGTGCTAATGGCCCGGATGGCTTTTAAGAGAGAATCGGTGCTCTCCTGGTCTTTGACAAGCTCGCGGGGAATTAATCGGCCACCGAGGTTATGATCCGAGACGTTCCAGGTGGATGGTATGGATTGATAACTCTGGAGGAAACCGGGGTAATCGGCGGATTGGTATTGGTACTGAAGCCCGAGCTGATCCATCTTCTCCCTCGTAGGTTGGAAGTAAGCGTCAAGCTCGGATGCTTTTACATCCGCGACCATCGCCGGCATCACCAAGAACCCGAAAGGTGCGGCAACCCAGACCACCCAGGCGCCAGCGTCAACAAGGCTAGGCAATGACTGCAAGAAGGTGCCAATCGTGGAGTAAATGGCGTCTGTGTTGCTTCCGTCGTTGAAGACAGACATGTAGGCGGCCGAGAAAGTAGTGTCCGGGTAGGCCTTAATGGTCATCGAAGTCACAATACCGTACGTGCCACCGCCACCACCTCGCAAAGCCCAATACAGGTCCGCGTTCTCCGTCGCGCTGGCCGTAACGTGGTCGCCAGCTGCGGTGACAACCTCCCAAGCAAGTACATTGTCGGCGGCGAGACCAAATTTAGACGAAAGTATGCCGATACCGCCGCCTTGAGTATAACCTCCTGCTGAACCTACGTTGGGACAGTTGCCGCCGACTACCATGAGGCCGTTGGATGACGCAAAGTTGTAAAGATCAATAAATTCAACACCGGCGCCCACTTTGATTGCGGCACCTTGATATCCCGAATCATGTTGATACTCCGGGATAAGTTCAAGTGATTTCAGATGGTGGGTCCATACTGCGAGAGCGTGTGCTCCGGTCGATTTACCCAGATAATCGTGTCCGGTGTTCCGAATGACGAGACGGATGTTGTGGCGCTTGACAAATTGAAGAGCGGCTTGGAAATCAGCAACTTCAGTGGCGTTGACCGTGTATGCGACGTTATATCCAAGGGTGCATGGAACTTCCGGATCGGAAAAGGGGTTACAGCTGTCGTTGGTGAACTGGTAGGCCATGGGCGAGGACGCTGATCCTAGATGCGTCTTGGGGTAAAACCATTCGTCACGCAGCGCGTCACACTGGTCCTGGTTGAAGGTGACTGCGTCGCCTACGGAATGATGACATGGGGCTGCGATAGGTACGGCTGCAATCAATTTTCCGTTCACCGTGTGATTGAGGTCGTTCCAGTCCGCTGGACTGGGCCATGATTGGTCTCCAGGAATAGACCGACATTGCTCACTGCCTCCATAGTTCAGCGTGATAGCAACTATGACGACGATAAGTGAGATGAGACCTATAAGTCCCCTAAATGCCATGATGGGTGGCAAGAGACCCCAATGGTGTCTGTACTGAAATGAAACCCCTCGAAAGGAATTGGACCGGCCAGAAGAAGAATTGTGTTCTCGCCCAAGTGAGTTATAGATTCCGAAGATGACGGGGAAGAAATACTTATAAGATTTCTAATGCTCAAATCGTCCGCCGTCTTGGGTCCGAAAATCATGGCCCGATCATCACACCGTCTCCTGGCTCAATCTTGGCGGTGTTGGCTCGAGTTGACAATTATGAGGCACAGCATGGAATTTCTCCACAAGCATAATAAACGCGCAGACGCGTAGCCATAAGCTAACTAGCTTCCTTATTTCTGTAAGGATAAGACTGGGTTTCCCTTTGTTGAGGACCAATGCTATTGTCAAATGCACCGAAACTACATCTACAAATCACCTAATAACATATGGCCAACATCTCTAATGTGTGAATACGGCGCGGACAGCGGTCGTGGTCGCTGCAGCTTAGTCTAGGGCTGAGCACTGAGCGCGGACTTAATCGTTAACACCGAAATATGTACATAAGCTCTCCGTAGCTCCCGTCTGCTTCAACGTTATTTATAAATTAAGAATATGTAACTTAAGAGATATAAGAGGTTTAGCATTGGTGATTTCATTTATTGCTTCGATATATCTTGTAAGGTACCTAAGTACCTAGTGGCGTTGGATATTCATATATAGGTACGTAGATGTCTTTTAGGAATTCCCTAACTCCGACCGTAAGGTAGGTAAGGTCATAAGGTTGAGCAAAATCTTGAATACCTGTAGGTTCTTGAAGCTATGCCTGGTTCGTGGAAAGGACATCATAATCGAAATATCTCATTTTGTAATGAGTACAGACATTTTCAGTTGATTAAGGAGTTGAACATACCCTGATATCCAACTCTTCTAACAGAAGCATTTAGGTGACTCGAACATCAAAGTAATTACAGGTTGGATCTTAGATATATCACGTACAGCTATTGCTAACGCGTGGTTCATGCACCGTATGCTCCCGGACGTAGGGCAATGTGAATGCTCTATCATTCACCCTCCATTATGTATGTGCAAGGGTAGATGGATCTCACTATGGCGGGGTTGAGGGGATCGTTTGCCGCCGGCAACTCAGTAAAAGTCCAACACTCCCGTAAGCAACGAAGGCATAGCCCGGAGCTACCTATCCAATCTTTGATCATTAAGCTCATAGCCGACTTTCTGGGTACCCAGCCAATAATGGTAACCTAGGATAGGAGGACCGAGATAGAGGTGTCCAAGCGCTCGCTATCAATTGGAAATGCAACATCCCGAATCTAAGAAGCTTTATAACGCTGCCGGACATGGATTCAATTAATTCGTTCATAGATTCGCCTACACGGCTGGGAATACTCGTCGCACTCTTCGGTATTTTCCTCTATAATGTCCACAAAGCATTGCATCAAAAATTTCCGTGTCCGCTCCCGCCGTCTCCTCCGGCGGAACCGATCCTCGGGCACTTCAGGAGGCTGCCACTAGAGAACGCTCACCTCAAACACATGGAATATGCTAAGCAATACAGTGAGTGGACTAACCTCGTCTTCGCATTGTACGATGCTGACTCAGCGTCACAGATTCAGACGTCGTATACTTCAACGTATTGGGAAATCACATGGTCGTCCTCAACTCCCAGAAGGCTGCGAATGAGTTGCTGGACCAGCGAGGCGCCAACTACCAGGACAGGCCTCGATTCGTTTTATTTGAAGTTATGGGATGGGGTTTGACGTTGACTTTCCTCCCATACGGCCCTAGATTTCGCTTGCATCGTTCAGTGCTTCAAACGGGATTCACCAAGACGGCTATAACGAACTACAGGCCAATCCAGTTAGATGAAGCCAGACAAGCCGTCTCCAGAATCCTCAAGCGCCCCGAAGCCTGGGACTTTTCCTTGCGCCGGTAAGGGTGTTTGTGCTTCGGTGTTGAACATGGCCCGCTGATACAGAATGTAGGTTTGCTTCCGCGATAGTCCTCCGGATTGGATTCGGCGTCACCGTTAGATCAGATGACGATCCGTTCATCAAAATCGCCATAGACGCCAATATGGCGACGGGAGGGGGAGGAAATCCGGGAACGGCTCTTGTTGACTATTTCCCATTATGTTCGTATCTCAACCTGTAAAGGGGTTGCGCTAGTGGTGCTAACGTGTTCCCGAGTCCGTTATATTCCTGAGTGCCTGAACTTTTCCAAGACCTTACAACACGCGCGAAAATGGGGATGGGCTATCAAGAATCTTCATGATATACCATTTTCGACAATCAAGAAAGAATTTGTGCGTTGTTACTATGCATGCCTTTGGAAATGTTGTTAACATTGGAAAGGACGAAGGGACAGCTAATCCGTCTTTTGCTTATTCTCTTCTGACGAAATATAAGGAGAATGAGGAAGCGGGCATCCCCAACCAACTTACACTCCAGGACATTCAAGGTGCATCCGGTGCTGTTTTCATCGCGGGCTCTAATACGGTTAAGTTCTGTTTCTCTCTGCGACTAGGCTGCCATTACTAACCGTGCTTGATAGACATTCGCTACGACGACTGTTGCCATATTAAATTTGATGATCAATCGTGAAGTGTTCGAGAAAGCCAGGGCCGAAGTTGACAGAGTAATCGGCACAGACAGGCTGCCTACGTTTGAAGACCGACCAAATCTGCGCTATATCGACTATATTGTTGAGGAAACCTCCAGGTGGAGAGCACTGTCGCCCATTGGAATTCCCCACAGATCGTTAAATAACGATATCTATAATGGAATGTTCATTCCCAAAGGGTACGCAAGACCTAGTTCCTTGGTGGAGAGGTCTATATTAATTCACTGACCAGGACGTTGGTCTATTATAATACATTCGCTATGTCTAGAGATCCGGCCGTTTACAAGGACCCCGAGAAATTCAATCCAGACCGATATACTCCCAAAGAAGAAGGAGGGGATGGAGAGCCTTTATTAGTCGGTCCGTTTGGCTTTGGTCGTAGGTGAGTTTCAATCGCTAGGTACAGTTGAGACAGTCGGTGTACCTCTAACTGCAAGAAACAGAGTATGTGTCGGACGCCATCTAGCTCAGGCATCTGTGTGGATTATGATAGCTACTCTTGTAGCCACCACTGACATATCGAAACCCATCGGACCAGACGGTAAGCCCATCGAACAGAGCATCAAGTTTAGTACGGGACTATCAAGTCATCCCGGCAAACTCGATGTGGTCTTCAGACCTAGGTCTGGAAAGGCGCTCAGACTCCTCAACGAAGCTGTCAGGGACGCTCAGTGAGCTTGAAGTTGGAACTATTGTCGTATTTCGAAAGGAGGTCATGGTAGTAATCAGGCAGTTGCCTTCTCGCTTTTCTTCTCGAAGAGCTCACTCAATCTTCGTGCCACTTGCTCTGACCACCTAGGGTCATTAATATCCAAATCGACTTCCACAACCTTTATCTTAGTGCCTTCAAGCCCCTTCTTAATAGATGTGAATAGGGCCTCGTCGGCTACTTTGTCGTAATACGCTTGGCCTTCGATCGAGATTGCGCTGATGCCTCTCAGCGGGAGCCACACCTCGGTCAATCCAGGCTCGATACAATTATCCTTGAGTCTCTGGGAGATGCGCCGACCTAGCTCCTCACATTCTTGCTTGGTTGTCCTTACTAACGTCACAGACGGGTTGTGTTCGTAGATCGTCCTCTCCTGGAACTTCTGAGGCATAGTATCCTTGGGCCCAAAATTCACCATGTCTAAAGCGCCGACACTCACGATCTGGGGTAACCCTGCCTTGGAAGCGGCGGTCAACCTGTCCTCGCCTGCAGGGAAGACACCGCCGACTAACTCGTCGGCCAGTTCGGTAGTGGTTAGATCCAAAACACCGTGAAGTCGACTTTCCGCTAACAGCCGCTCCATCGCGCGCCCACCAGCGCCGGTGGCATGAAACACATAGACTTCAAATCCGTTGCGCTCTAGCCACTTGCGCGTAGCATCAACCCCTTTTGTAGTGACGCCAAACATTGTAATCCCGACCCCTTTCTTCGCGCTATTAGCATCCGCAGGTCCTAGGCTGATTCTCTTAGCATATGCTTTTGCCATGCCTGCGATGGCGGCAGCGGCATTATCCAGGACCGCTTTGAGCACCGCATTTAGTCCTGCGATGTCCACGACGCTGTACATCATCGTGATGTCCGTCTCCCTGACATAAGAGCTCGTATCGCTCGAGGCGACAGTAGATACGATTAACTTCGGGAAAGTAACAGGTAGTTCTCGCATGACAGCGGACGCAACAGTCGTCCCGCAGCTCCCGCCAAGCCCAATTATAGCTTGGATCTCGCCTAGGCTCTCAAGTCGTCGTAAAATCGCCGCAGCTCCGCTTATCATGGTCTTTACAAGATCCGATCGGGGGAGGGATTGGAGATCCCCTCGGAACCCGCTAGCTTCTTGCACTTCATGCTGCCGGATAGTTATAGCTTCGTGATCTACGTCGGATCGGCCCGCATCGACTAGAATGACGTTCAGGGAAGAGTCATGCTCTAAAATCCGGGACCTAAGATAAAGAAACTCCTGAAGCTTAGTATCGAACGTGCCAATCACGGCAACCGAGTTCTTCGATGGAGCCATAACAAACGGACCGCACTGCCAAAGTCCTCGGTTGGGATGAATTTTCCGTTCATCAAAGATCGAATTCCTGAGATTTCAAAGAACTCGATAGATATATATCTATCTTTCGCCTTTCCCTTACTTGGACTTGCTTGGCCAGTATGCAGCTAGCTGCCATGGTAATAAAGGTGGAGAAGAAACAAAGGGGCCAAGCAGATGGCGATAGGTATATTACGTAGTAGAACCGTCCCCTACGTATTCTGCGTAACCCGTCCGTCTCGTTCGTTGGTCGCTGCAGGGGTCAATCGGGCTCCGCTTACGCACAGCATTACTTACATCCATGGTAATTTTTTAGTTCTCCGAAGCCCTGTGCCACCCACCTAGTCTCGTCCTACAAGGAACAAAAATCCTGAAACACAATCTATCGGAAAAAAAGCAAAGAAAAAAAAGCCATGGCGCCCAATCTCCCGCGCCAAGAAATCCTGCAGCGCCTGCGCGCCGTCATATCCTCGCGCCGCCCCATCGTCGGCGCGGGCGCGGGCATCGGGCTGTCGGCCAAGTTCGTCGAGGCCGGCGGCGCCGACCTGATCATCATCTACAACTCGGGCCGGTTCCGGATGGCCGGGCGGGGCTCGCTCGCGGGGCTGCTGCCGTACGGCGACGCCAACGCGATCGTCGTCGACATGGCGCGCGAGGTGCTGCCCGTCGTGCGCGACGCGCCCGTGTTCGCCGGCGTGTGCGGCACCGATCCGTTTAGGGATATGCGCCGCTTTCTGGGCGAGTTGAAGGGCTTGGGGTTTAGCGGCGTGCAGAATTTTCCGACGGTTGGGCTTGTGGATGGGAGTTTTAGGGCCGGGTTGGAGGAGACGGGGATGGGGTACGGGCTGGAGGTCGAGATGATTCGGATCGCGCACGAGATGGATCTTGTTACGTCGCCGTATGTGTTTAATGTTGAGGAGGCTGTTAGCATGGCGGAGGCTGGGGCTGATATTGTTGTCGCTCATATGGGTTTGACTACGAGTAAGGGGATCGGCGGGAAGACCGGGAAGACACTGGACGAGAGTGTCAAATTGATTCAAGACATTAGGGATGCGGTAGTGAAAGTGAGAGAAGACATTATCGTATTATGTCACGGTGGACCGATTGCCGAGGTGCAGGATGCGGAATACGTCCTCTCGCGAACGAAGGGGGTGCACGGATTTTTCGGGGCGAGCAGCATGGAGCGCATCCCGGTCGAGATCGCAATCACGGACAATACGAAGAGGTTTAAGGATATCCATATACCAAACTGATAGGTTACAATTTTTTACTACGCATTTTCCGAAACCAATGAAGAGAACTTTCCAAGGTCGAAGCAGTGCTCTACGGAAATTAAGTGGTATCACAGCAGCACACTACTTTACGCCACCCCTATTTCCCGCACGATGCTTCCGCTCCAACCCCAATCCAAGCTATCGCTACAGGCGCACTCGAGAATCTCGAGAGCCAGATCATCTTCGATGTTACACTAGAAGCCAGTTATATTAGTTCAGAGGCTCCCATCAGAGAACTGTGTGTTTTATTATGCATTTTCTGAAGAGTGCGTACTTTTTCAGAGTTCTTTATCATTGTTACGTTAAGACTGTCAAAGGCAAGTTCCGCGTGGATTCCTAGTCCATTACGTTGCGTAAGTATATAAATGCAGATCTATCCTATCAATGCTAACGCCTATGCTTGCTATGGAATAGAAAATTAGCCGGTAGATGATGCACGTTGCACGATGCACGATGCCTGACGAGGAAGAAAGCGAGCATTTCATCAAACCCGGAGGCTCTGCACTAACTCCTATAATGATATAACACGCCGATAAGCCCGGGGATCAAATCAACCACTCTTCATGTAGTCAATACCAGCTTGGAAGATCTTCATGAAGATTTCCGTCTCCTCTATCGTGTTAGGCACGTAGAGCATGGTGAATCCGAGGTGGATCCAGCCCGTGCCGCTCAGACGATGCCGTTCTCCCCAGCCCTTGGAGATGACTTCCTCTGCATCCGGGAACGAGAGCGTCACGTGGCCAGAAAGATCGGTGCCGTGGATATGGCAGATCTCGCGAGCACTCGGACCTGCAAGGGGGCTTAGGGGTATCGAGGGTTTGGTAAACAGAGCTTGGCCGTGCTTCTCCATGGCCGATATGTTCCATTCAGTCCACTCCGCATTGATTTCACCGAGCTTCTTAAAGCTATCCAAATATGCCTTGTGATATGTTAGTAAGTATAGGTTTCCAACATTCGACCAACTTGCCTGTTTGACGTCTGGGGGTTGAGGGTCAGCGGCATTCCTCTCGCGCTGCGGGTAGACGAACGGCAGAGCCCTTGCGCGAGGGCCTGGTCTGACGGGGAGTGGCTCCTTTAGGAACGACTTCTTCGCATTCGCTCTCTGCTCTTCTGTCGCCTTCTTCCACCCCGTCGCGCGCTTCTCAGGCTTGTTGTAGAAACCAGGCTTGATAGTCTCGTTGGGACCATATGCTCTAGTCTTGTCAACGCTAAGTTGAGACAGGTAACCGATTATAGAGTGAGAAGTACCACCCTCTCCCATGGCCTTCCATTTCCGGTAATCCTCCATTATTCCTCTACTGTCTTGTTTTGGTAGGATATAGCCTCTTTGGATAGTTAACGCGGTTCTCAAATTCAATAAGCTGCTTGTAAGTAAAAACGAGCGACGCAGAGACATTTGCTTTAGAGCGACAGAAGACTGTTAGGTAATAGAACGGTTTCCAATGATACTTTTGTATTAAATTTATTAGACTACCTACACACATGTACCTGACCTACGCTGACATCTGGAATGACCTTTTTCAACCAGTCACGGAGATTTGGTTGAGTGTTAAATCCGAAAGCCTCCGAGATAAACTCCGAAAGATCTGGTCGGCCGAGAGAAAGCGGAAGCGCGTGAGTCGGAACTCGGAGGTGCCCATATATTTTCGACGCGTTCAATGAACCTCAAGCTCTAAAGGAATCGATGGGAGGAGTGATCCAAACTATTTATACACGGCGTTGCCGAGTTTACTCGGTCGCCGACGTTTGCCATCCGCATCATATCTCCGGTCCGCCCTTGGAAATTGTTGCTTTACCTATTTAGATATTGCCGTATTGGAGCCTCATTAAGATCCTCTGTAGGACCGATTACATAACAGTCTGCTTTGTTAGGAATTACCTCCCCCGATATGGCAGATTTGGCCTACAAATCATAAAATCACCTTGCATTAGGCTGTAAAGGCCCCGCATCAGGTATGCATACGCACCGAGTTAGGTATTACGAACGTCAAGGTAGTCGAGTCGACATTTCATCATGACCTTGGAATCCATGACTTCCCTGCCTGCTAATTTCAATCGCATTTCTTAACATTTTACTGTTTATTGCGCTTTATACTTAAACAGCGCGAAACCGTTCCTAGATATGCCGCTCTTGAAAGACATTAAGGATTTGCTGGAATCGTATCGACCGACGCCAGAGGTGGATTCTACCTCGTACTCCGGGCTTGACTCAAATCAACTACGACTGATCGAGCCAATCTAACGACATCGTGATTCTCTTCACTTCTCCGTCTCTACCATTCTGAGATCCCAAGCACCATCTTACACAGCCGTTTCATACGTGTGGGGTGATAGCGCCGCAACGGAAGTTATTTATCTGGACGGGGAACGTTTTCAGGTCAAGCCTAATCTATGCTCTTGCCTGTATCATTTAGTGCATGGCGGGGAGAGATTCCTCTGGGTAGATGCTATCTGTATCAACCAGGCCGACAATGTGGAAAAGAGTGCTCAAGTAGGCTGTATGGATCAGACGTATAAGAACGCTGCGTGTGTTGCTGTATGGTTAGGCTTGACACCTTCCATTTCGAACTCCCCGAGTCAGAACACCATCATTTCGCCCCTAAGAATACCCAGAGAGGATTCCTTGTGGGGTGACGAGTTGATAAGCGAACTTGTGAATCGACCGTACTGGTCTCGGGTTTGGGTCATCCAAGAATTCTTGCTCGGAAGTGACGTGGATATTTGGTACGGGAAGAACAATATAAATATTGAACTGTTTCAGGACATGATTCTTGACCATGCTGGAGTCAACCTCCACGTGATTCAACATATGGATTATACCCCGTCAAAAATTCCGCACAGGGCTTGGTCACTTGCCACTGGCCGGACTCCTGAACGGCATCCTGACTTTAGCCGTCCTCTGTGGCGTCTTCTCGTTGATCATCGTTATTCAATGTGCAAGGACCCACGGGACAAAGTCTTCGCCCTTCTAGGACTCGTACCGGAAGAGGAGCGGGACCTTCTAGGCCGATTTTTCCCCAACTATGATATGTCAGAAGATCACGTGGTTATTATCACCTTGATCCATTTACAGGAATACTCTCGAGTCGAAGATGAGTGCCCGGAAATAATGTCGACTTCGGATGATATCTTCCTAGGTCTCGGGGTAAATGATAGATCACGGCGGAGAGAACTTCTGCGTCGAACTGCAGACGTTCCTTTTGATTACTATGACGACTTGACAGGCAATCCGCTAGATAGTAGTGACTAATTCGTGGATAACAACGCAAACCTTAGTAGGGCTACCACTTAAGGGGACGTATGCTGGAAGGGTAGTTTAATACCCTCTGATATCTCAATCTGAGGCAGTTGTAGAAACATCCCCCCTTCACGTTCCTCTGCGCCTATCTCCGAATTGAGTTCTTGCTGAGTTGTCGACCTGGCAGCTTTAATCCCTGAATATGCTACTCTAGGTTGGTAGAAGTGGCTTTCTGGCATCGGAGTTCCTCCAATAGTCACCAGGGGTGATATTTTCATCAGGTCGTTATTTTCGGGTTCGCCACTACTATCGCATCTGCTTGAGTCAGGTGTTCCTCTATTAGGGTTCCACCGAAGACTATCACCGTTGCGCCTCAACGATAGGATGCTGGAGATCTTCGTCATAGAACGTGACCCTGAAATGCGTCTGACAAGTGGTTTGAGGATAGGTAGACTGGCACAGACGATAGACATGCCAGCATGTACCGAAGTCCATACCTCAGTATTTGAGTAAGATGGTACACGGCGACCCGGTGGATAGCCTAGTATCACTCGAACAAGTCCAGTTATTATTACGCTAATAAGTTGTTAATATTTCACATGCCGTGAAAGGGGCGCCATTGGAGAACGTACAAGCCACCTAGAAGAAATATACCCGACACCGTGAGCTTTTGCTCTAGAGACAGTCGCATTCTCGTCACCACTGTAATCGGCAATGTCAAGATTAGGACATCCAGGAATATCTCGCAAGATCCCGAGGCCATCCAAAAGATGTTATAGTTGAGACAATATCGTGGGTCTGAGAGACTGTTGAGCCAGCTCCACTCGAGGGGGATGCAGTTGGTCAGAGTAGCTACAGTACACCCGACCCACCATCCTACAATCAGCCCGCTGGCGAAACAGATCATGTAACGAAAAGCCGTACTAAGAGCAAAAATTCTGTAGTACATAATCAAGATGCCAAGCTTAGTAGCCCCTGAGATTGTGAAGTAGAAGATCGAGGTGATGAAAGCCAACTTCAGGTATAATATGTCGCCAGGTGTATAGACATAATCCGGATTGGTGTTCTCCGAGACCCATAGACCAACTGGAGATACTGCATTGGCTACAGAGATGTGAGCTCCATTCAGACCTTAATAGGCACATATGTAGGTAAGTTCAAGATAATTACCCCATAGAAGTAAGACTGCACTTATCAATGTCGCTATGACAGCTAACATGATCAACCAGTCGTCAGCTTTGAGACCAGCACGTGTGAAGATGCGCGTATAAAATCTCAGGGCAACAGATATGACGGCGAGGACGACGGCGAGGGCACTAATGCCCATAGTAGCGTTCTCATTTCCATGAGGTTGAATTTGGACGGATGACATGATGGGTAAACTTAGGCTAGGCCAATTAATCTCCGCGGATTTACATTAAACATTAAAATAGGAGAAAGGAACATTTCAAGCCGGTCGTTGAATCACTTTGTCAGGGGGATTGTGGGATTCTTCAGCAGTAATAGGGCTGCACCAAAGTACTATATAACCACCAAAGCTGTACGAAAGCCAGCAGAATGCCCAAGAACGCTATCACCTGCGATGTCTTCTAAGAATGGCTCTATAGGTCGTATAGCTTTGGTGTGGTGGCATGCGACGCCAACAATTCTGCTCCGCCCCCAATTCTAACCCCAAGTTAGATGACAAGAGGTCCCATTTTTATCCAATCGGCCAACTGACGGCGGATGGGTGCTTACATCATGGATGCGTACGTTGGTGATAGTGATGGGCATTGGTACTGTAAATATTTGAATTCGTAGCATCATGTAACTCTAACAGCTATAAATAAGGGGAAGACGACCGTTTACAGCCCGTTCGCAGAAGCAGGCTGGCGGTGCCTAGGTAGGTACCTAGCCCCTGATTGGTCAAGTCCGGTATTACAACGCCCAGTAACGCCTAGGCCAATCTGGGGTGGTTGGCTGCACGGTGTAACGGCAGAGAGCCTTCCTCAAGTAAATTCGTCAATTGACTTCTCCCTTCTTCCACTCCAAACACAGCTAACTTAACTCAATAAGATCTCAATAAGAAGTTATGCTTCTACATTGACGAAAATGGGATCATTTCTTTCCAAGAATGAGTTCCCCGTCGACGGACGCGTACGTGTATTCCGTTTTCAACTTAATGCTGATTGCCTACATACGCCGTACTGATAATACTTCAGACCGTCCTCATTACTGGAGGCTCAACAGGGCTGGGACTCAATGCAGGCCGGCAACTGGCTGAAAAGGGAGCCAACGTCATCATCGTTGCGCGTAAACTCGGTAGCTTAGAAGAAGGCGTTCGCTACATATCGGTAACACTTCCCGCTTCCCTCTGCCACGACACAGAATTGAGTGAATGGTTGACTGTTGCTTAGCGAGGCGCTCGCTCACCCGAGACACAACGATTTCACTACATCGTGGCCGATGTTACTACAGCGACTGAATGTGCTCGTGTGGTATCCGAGGTCATCTCATGGAACAATGGCGCCGCACCAGATATTGTTTGGTGTTGCAGCGGCAGTGCGCATCCGACTTTATACATCGACACACCGGTTGAGCAGTTCCAGACTATGATGGACAGCAACTACTTCTCATGCGTGTACATGGCACACGCAATACTCAATGTTTGGCTACGATCAGCAGCAGACGCGAAAGCTGCTATTAAGGAGACGAGTGACCAACCGAAGAAAGCGAAACCGACTTCGTTACCGGCGCGTCATCTCATCTTCACCGGATCTTTCGTGTCATTTTATAGCTTCGCCGGTTTTACGCCGTATAGCCCCTCGAAGGCGGCTGTCCGGGCCCTCTCCGACTCGCTCTCCCAGGAGATGAACCTCTACGCCGCGGCGCATCCAGACCTGCCCCGCGTCCGCCTGCACACCGTCTTCCCCGCCACCATGCCGACGCAGTCGCTAGAGGATGAGAATCGCGTCAAAACTGACTTAACGAAATCTTTGGAGGAAGGCGACCAGATTTTGAAGCCGGAGGAGTGCGCCCGGAGGGCAATTGCCGGTCTGGAAAGTGGAGAGGAGCTGGTACCGACCAGTACCATTATCTGGGCCGTGATGACCAGCGTCATGGGAGGTAGCGTGCGAGGAGGCTTCTGGAAGGGATTGGCGGGTACGCTGGCAGGATGGATCACGTCCATAGTGATGATTTTTGTTCGGTGGGAGATGGATACCAAAGTAAGGAAATGGGGGGCAGTGCACGGATCAAGCGGGATGCTGAAAAAGGAGTAACCGGAACCTAGGAGTTACGCAAGAGGGTTAAACCGCAGGAACTCCAGCTGTTCCTAAAGTGGACGGGACGAGAGACGGGAGAGGGGATGATTCTATTTAAAGTAGAGGAAGGCAATCACATTCACCGATTTCGAGTATTCAAGATTCACTGGGAAAATGGACATCGCCTTCGTTGGTCGCAACGTACCCTTCTTCACTCGCAAGATTTCTGTACTAGCTCAGCTTAGTGGATCGTGGAGCGATTATTCTGAACACGCATACGAAAAAGCCCGAGTATCAAGATGGTAATAGTCATTGGTACTAATATCAAGAACTGCCAATATTTCGCGTTTCTACAATTCCGTATATATCATTGCATGGATACTAGGTCATTATGGGAATATACCATAAAAAAGAGACTTAAGATGTGAATTTCCCTAAATAGGGGTTACTTGATGAACACCAATGTGATCTCGGTAACCTCGTCAAAGAACCCTAGATACAGACAAGAACACTACACCCTTTGTTATTGCACTCTTTGTTGGCTTTATTCGAGAACAATTTCCATTAAAAACATGTGATAAATGATCTTTTAATCTTTATTTAATGATGCTATAAACTTCCTAAACCAATGCAGGAGACCTATTGGGTACTATATCAAGCAAACCCATAATTTATGACAATGAATGTCACATACCAGGTAGGTAAATAACTATAAGGTCAAGCTTACCTAATTAATGTAGGTATGAGAGTGAGCGAACCTGACCTTCTTCCGCCTAGGTGCATCCGGGGGAAGCACACCTATATTCTGTAAATGTTCCCTAACCTCAGGGTCATCTACCGCGGAAGAGTAGATATGCTCACCTTTCTTGATCAATGCGTAAGCCCCGTCCACTGAGCCTTTAGCCATCCTCAATGCGTCGTAAGCCTCTTGGGGCGATACCTTCTTATCGTCAAGTCCGCAGCGGGTTATGACGTGTTCGACTCTGCTTTGGGCCTCGGGGTCCTTGACGTCAGCTACAGAGAGAACGGCCTGGGGTTTCCATTGAAATCCTGTCGTTGTGGGAACTGCCTGTGAAGTCGATGCTACGCTAGGGGATTGGGGTCGATCACTAGAGACAGAGCGTAACGAGGTAGAACGCGATATGGGTGCACCATCCCCCCTGAAAAATGGGCTGTTAGGATTGCTGAAAATGTCCGGCGTGGGAAGAGTGGCATGAGAAGTCTGTACCTCTAAAGTTCCTTTCACCTTGGGGACAGGGGTGGTACTTTGCGACTTTTCCTCCTTATCCTTGTTGGCCTTCCCCAGCTTCCCGAGAGATCTAATAAATGAGATCGATCGTCTTAACTTAGAGACCGGTGAACTTCTAGCACTTGAAGTCGACTGGTTTGCTGACTCACCAGCCTGTGATTGGTTAGTGGATAGATTATCTCCTGCCATTTTGCTTACCTGATGGATGAGCGGATATATTCGGTTTACTCTTCGTAAATTTGGCAACTTGTGATTCGGAGCTAACTCTTGGAGAGTGTAAAGGTATGCGATATTACTACGTCGCCCAATACAAGTTCTTAGTCTCGCCAGTGATTCTTTTATAAACGTTCGGAACATCTTGGTAGTTAGCAATCAAGTAGCTTGTGTCTCTTTGGTTACTGCACCATATACAAACGGCTGAGTTGTGGTACATCTTGCTAGAAAAGGGGCCCCCTATTCCCCGCTTTTTGTACTATTGTAGGCGAAGGCTTGTCTTCTTTCTGCACAATTTCTACGAAGATAGGTATCAGCGAAAGCCTGTCTCCACGTTTACTACTCTCTGGTAATTCCATCCAATACGTTACATATCTACCTAGGCTATAATTGAAATAATTGAAGCTTTTCCTACTCCGAACGCCATGACAACCGCGGCCTCCTCCGTCGCTGCACGTCAGACAAGACCAAGAAATCATTCCCTTCACTGGACACGCCCCTAATGATGACCTAAACACCCGCGCTAAACTCGCTTATTTCACCAGGCTCCTTCGATGGGCGATAAGCCTTGGAGATCGTCCGAGCCGGATCAAAAGGCAAGAATATAACAACGGCCAAGACCATCAAGGCTCCGTCTAAGGCAATGAAATATGTTTCATGCATCATAAGATACCCAGTCCAGCCCTCGATAAGCTCCACTGTCCGAAAAATGCTGCGAGCGAAGATCGCAGCTAGCGAGATAAATAAGGCGATGACGATTTTGTTGTACTCTTGTGGTATGCCGAACTTGGAGGATCTTTGGAGAAAGTCGAGAGTAAAAAGGGTAAAAATGATCATGGCTAGGAGCTGGAATAGAACACCGGCCACCATTATATTAGTCCCAAGCTTGGGGTCGTCTCCGTTGCTCGAGGCCATCGAAGCCATTGCACCGCCAACAGCCTAATTATTTAGTAATGGGTTAGGAAATTCTCGAATAAGGTCAAAGGGATAAGAGGGAACTCACTTGAATAACTAATGAAATTGTGTCGCATGTCACGAACACAATCGTGTACATCCTGGCCGAAAGGATACTATATTCTCGTCCCAAAGCCCCAATAAACATCCCTAGAAGTACGTATAGCGCAGCTGTAAAAAAGACAGGTCCTATTATGAGCGTCGTGATTTGTATGAGAAAGGCATTCCGATTGTACGGGCACTCGGCAGACCAAGTTCGTCCAATCCAGCCGATGAGCTCAGCTAAATACGTGTCAGTCATACTAGTTGAATACCTAGTCTTACAGTAGGTGGTATACATACTTAGAGCACCTATGGCAAGGAGACCGGATGTCCATCGTCTTAGTCGGATTGTTTGTAGGAAATGTCCAGAGAAAGCAAATCCGAACAGAGCGCAGAAGACAATGCCAGCGGCTAAACTTGGCCTGTAGCCATATTGGTATTCGAAGCCTGGAATGGGGTCCTTTTGGCAGTTGTTTGGGTTCCTTATGGCCTCTGGCAAGAAGTCGACGCCAACCATGATGAAGCTTGGTAGGTGGTGTTTAAGGGGGAGACGTTTCGAAATGCGTAAAGTTTACTTGCTAATAAGCTTAAATAAAGAACACGAAAAAGACATTAACAAGAACGAAGACAATACATTTTATATAATACGTTCAAGAGTGAATCTTGATATTAATGTGAAATTGGGTAGGGGGGCTAACTGCAGGTGGAGACAGAGTCCGAGGCGCACCTAGGCACCTATCTAGTCTCTCGGACCCTTACCACGCCCCATTCAGTTCAGCCCTAGGTATTCAGCTCTTGCGGCGCGCAGTGTTATTATTGGGATTATTAGCATCTTCTAATACACGAATCGGATAAACGACACAGCCACCGCAGGATTGGACAACCCTTGGGATCTACTCTGTGGCAGCGAAATGCCGGCTTTTAGGTTGGCGAAAACATGCCGTCGGCATGATTATTAGTGTTCACTTACTCGCCCTTAAACTCGGATTACACCCCACAGTGGTATCGTGAACCTACCGGACTCTTGCCCCGCCCGTCATATCCCTACTATCGCTAGAGCGACAGTTGACGATTCACTCAATCAAATCTAGGCTTATCAAGTAATCGTCAATTGGTATTGAATCGCTGTTATAGGTCAAGGGATCTTCATTCGCCGATGCGGGTGTAGTTCTTAAAGTCCATCGAAATTGAAGCCCATCCGTAGAAGCAACGAGATAAAGTATCATCTACTTCGCTCAAAAATTTAAAACTAATAGCGGTGATAATTCTGGCAGGTTTACCCGCTCCTAAACTGCGGACCCCAGGAGAGGCGACAATCTACTCAGAATGTCGCGATGCATGAACATGATGCGGTGTTCCTGAGAGGTTTAAATACTTTCGAATAATAGTGGCATTTGGGTGTTTCCATATCTCAGCGATAGTGTGAGTGCAAGGCGCGAATCGTTTCTTGTCCAGTAATTCGAGGATTCTCGGAGGTTATTCACACAATTCGTCCATCCGTCATATGTAGAAAGGGTTGCAAAGTCTCGTCAAGTCATATTTTATGACTTTCTCACTGAAGCTTCCGCAATGTTGAAGGGTGGGAGAAGTTTGTGGAGACGGGGGAGGAGGGCAAATTAAAGACGCTCGAATTGCCAAGCATTATCGTGAAGCTGAAAAAACCAAGACATGCCCCCACCTACGTCACCGTCACCAAAATGATCTGATTGGACGGCCGGTCATCTACCAGTCTGAAGGTCATGTGCGCGTCAGCTTGCCTTGAACTGGACGGATTCAGCGTGGTGTGCCTTATCAAGCCTCATGTTTGCCTACGATGATTAAGGTCAAAGTTCACGACTGATGATTTTCACGATCCAAAGCTACGAGTCTCGTATGGGTTCATGATGTCTTATCTACCATTTTTAGATATGAGAACGACCGACGACCCAATAGACCATGGACTCCAATCGGAAGCCCAAGGTATTCAGGCTACGACAACTACCCGGCGATGCCAACAAATCTCAAGCACTTGTATATCTCAGCATAGGTCTTGGCAGTATACCTGTCGATAGCATTCATATATACTCGTTGGCAACGAGTCTCAGTCCCTGGCGACCAACCAAGACAGCTACTCTCATGTTCAATCCGCCACCCGCGCTTCTTCAGGGGGACCCGAGCAAAGACGAGTGGCAAATCAGAGTGAATGGGCTCGAAGAGCCTTTAATATTAGACACCCATTTTCGTGGTTTGACGCCGCTTCGTGAGCCTACTTCAGACCATTGTTTTGAGCAAGTCCACCAACTTCGAACCCAATTGACATTAATGATAACCCGTGTAGTTGCATCGCCCTCTCAGGGCTTTCAAGCCATCCTTTTGGCTCATGGCAACCAAAGAAAGGTGACAAGACGTTCATGTGGATTAGAGATGCGTTGCCCCTTGATCTTCCTCAGCTCAGGCCTATCATCTATGGATACGAGACAACGTTGCCTAAGAGCAAATCATTCCAGAATATCACCGATCTAGCCTCGCAATTAATCAATCAGCTAGCATCTAACGGATGGACTGCATTGAGCGCAAAACCTTTAGTGTTCCTAGCACATAGCCTGGGTGGGCTCGTCCTTAAGCGTGCTATTGTAGCCCTCGCGAATAGTGGCTATGATGATAGCGCGATACAAATTGCTGGGGGTATTTTCTTCGGGGTGCCAAACTTTGGCATGGAACAGTCATCATTTCTCTCTATCGCTGAGGGTAATCCTAATGAGATGCTGGTGGAAGACCTCTCACCTCATTCTCCTTGGTTGAAGGGTTTAGAGTCACAATTCAATGGCATCTCATACCTGAGGAAGATGAACATGTTCTGGGGGTACGAAACCTGCACATCTCCAACCTTGATTGTGAGTAGACCCATTCGAAACACGCCAAACATATCGCATACTTATGTTCAACAGCAAAATGATGATGGGGAAATCGTATCTGGCCCTGAAGTTGTTCTCGTCACACCCCAATCGGCCACTCGAGGTTTGCTCGAAATAAACGAAAGCCAGACATTTCCCCTCAACGAAAACCATTCCAACATCGTCAAATTTAACTGGGGCCATGAAGACTATGGAGTCATTGTCAAGAAGCTTTCTCACATTTGTTGTATTGACCCGACCAACTATGATTCTGACGAGATTGACGAAAGCCGCTCACCTAGTCTGACCTGCGACGATATTAAGTCGAATGGCCAAGGCAAAGGCCGATACATGAAGACATCACTAGGACTTAAGCCCGCTCGTGTGGGAAAGTCTCATACCAGTCAAGAAAAGCCCCAGCTAAGTCTGGAACAGATCGTGGATAGTAAGCATGAAACACCACTTGAGTTATGGCGTATTTTTCTAACTGGATGACAGTACTACTCGACTCTCTCAAAGTAACTTCGCGGGATGATCGAATCCAGGGTATTCAAACACACTTCCGTGATACATTTGATTGGATATTTAACCATTCAGAGTGTGGATTTCTTCATTGGCTACAGTATGGACAGGGTGCCTTCTGGATTAACGGCAGCCCTGGATCAGGTAAGCACCTGGAAACTCATTTCCTCAGACACTTCGAAGTTCTCGCTAACCACTCATACACCAGGAAAATCCACTCTTATGAAATACATTTTCCAAGATGAACGCACTCGCGAGCTCCTTCACGACGTCCAGAACTCGCACGACGAGGTTTATGCCGGATTCTTCTTTCACCACCGCGGCTCGGCAGTACAAAAATCATTCGATGGCCTATTACGAAGTATCCTGAGTCAATTTCTAGAGCAGAACCAGAATGTCGGCTCGATACTATCCCCACTTCTCCCCGTTAAACGTGATAAATATGGGAGAGTCAAAGTGGCCGCTCATAATTGGTCTAGGGCAATGCTGGAGAAAGCCTTCACTATGGTCTTGAAGCAGCAACAGTTTGAACTAGACATCTTCCTTTTTCTGGATGCGTTAGACGAATACCACGGACGTCCTGAATTCATCGCCAGCTTCATCGAAAGTCTTGTGAAGCAAGAGAAGACGTCTATGACACGTCTTAAGGTGTGCTTTTCAAGCCGACCATGGGACGCCTTCACTACTCGCTTCAAAGACTATGCGAGCATTACGATCCAAGACTTCACCAAAGACGACATACGCCGCTATTGTCTGGGTGTAATGGATGATAATCTCTCTTCTGATATTTCTATTCCTATAGAGGTATTGGTTCCACAAGTTGTCGATCGGTCGAAAGGGGTTTTCCTCTGGGTTAAGCTAGTAGCCGGCGACCTTGCCCGTGCTGCCAATGCAGGGTTGAGCGAGGCAGACCTGGAGCGCTTACTTCAATCGCTACCAGCGGAACTCGATGAATATTACGTAGAGATCGTTCAAAGGACGCCGGTATCATCACGGTGGACTCTTTACGCCATGTTGGAAATTGCTACCCGTTCCTACTATCCTTTAGAAGGGCCTGATTTCATTGACGCAGTTGAATGCTCTCGATTTACGTCTTGGCATGAAGCGCTGTCGAGGGTAGAGAAATTGTGGTTGTTAGGGGAAGTAGAACACGAAGAGTACGCTGCAAAGCAGATCAAGATCCATTCTCAAGGGCTCATCGAAATTCGAGGAAAATTCGTCGAACTCCTGCATCAGACTGTTCAAGAATTTGTGAGCCAACCGAAATTCAACGCTCTAGTCCTTGACACGGAAGCAAAGCTTACTTTTGAGAACGGGTATTCTTTTCTGGTGAAATGGCATTTACTTGATAAAATCTTCGACAGTCCCAACAGGAAAAACAAGGACGGAGACGATTCAGATGAGAAAGGAATAGACGAAGAGGATGTAACCCAAATCATTTCGTATGGAAAACTATCAGAGGAATCTACCGGCCGCAGCATGAGGACTTTCCTCGACAGCATTCCCCCTAAAAAATACAGCCGGATCGGTCATGTCTCTGGTGCCTGGATACAGAGCTCCATCGAGTTTGCCGCATTTGCGACGTTACTTCTCTATTTTCGAGAATCCTTCCAGAGAGATCCGTCTTTTTTGAAGAAATGCGATGCCAGTAACCAAAAGTCGTTGATTTCGCTCTGTCTTGGTCTCTTCCGGATAGGTACCGACCACCACGTTTCCAGCCAATACCTCAACTTCGAAGGTGGAGAGGAGCTGGCCAGACTCATAATGGATAATGGTTATAAAATCCAATATGACGAATCCGCGTTTCATAAAGTCATATGTTATTTAACCATGTCTAGGCAAGGCGATATTAGAAATAAGTGTATTGACTTCGTCGTACGTTTCCTCGAGCTTGGCCAGGACCCGAATGCACCGATGACCATTCATCATTCGTCAGAGACGCATCGGCTAAAATGCACCGCGCTACACTTGAGTCCACCGGAAATCGTCCCATCGTTACTTTTCTATGGGGCCGAAGTGAACTACAAGGATTCTGACGGGATGACGCCTCTAGACAGACTTTGTTGCAACGTCTTACCGACGACAAGAATTGAGATCTACCTCTACGGAAACCATACAAGAAATGTATCGGATTCCTACCAGGTGGCTTGCATGTTGGCCGACGCTGGCGGGCAACGGGTACGCAGGATAATGGATGAATCCTGGAATAGGCTCATGAAACTGTTCTTAGATAAAGGTTACGACGTAGAAACACTACAGCCGCTCGCTTTTAAGAACGACTCTAAAGGTTGGCTACCATGGCTGTAGGCCTAGCTCTCTTAGAGCCTTCGATAACCACTTGTGCATTATTATCGCTTTATGTATATACAAGCCGGAGCATAACGATTTCGGGTATGAAATATTATTTGAATTATATACCACTGGGGACGATTGGGTTCTGTCAAGCTTACCTAGTAGGTAGTATAGGTAGATAGAATACACTTATATAAGTCTAGGAAGGTAACCCGATGGGGAAGGGGTGTTCCAATCAAAGGTCTACTAAACTATTAGGTATCTAATAGCTTGTTACTGCAATATGGTGCTAAAGCCTAGAGACTTTAGTCGGTTAAAGGGTCGATCATCGCTCGTCTACTAGGAACCCCTATTTACCCCTAAGCGAAGAAAATTTAATGTGATTATTATCACATAGTACTAAGCTTTCCTCACGTACTTCTCCGCATACGTAATATCTCTACGACAAATTGTTGACAGGTCACTTTGTCTCCAAGGTCTAGGCTGTCGGGTTCCAAAGCTGCCTGCCGCCGGCAGCCAGGGTCTCGGTTCACACATTCACAGGCCAATACTGCCATTCTCGTATCACGTCAGCTGGGAACCGCTAAAGAATATGCTGTAAGGTTGATAACAGGGCGCCAATCACACCTGCTTAGGGGCGATTTCCAGCACGGACTCACTAGGGGCGGAAGCATGTTGGTACTCTACCACCAATAATATGCATGATACCCTGTGCAATACTACCCTACGTCCCGAAAATGGATGCCGCCACGGCAGCATTGGATTCAACTGAAACTAAGGTAGCTAAATAGCCTCGATAGCCATAGAATCATCCCTCATTCATCTAGCGCTTCCAGAACTTTCATGTGTTCATAAGCCGGAGGATCGTGGCCCACATAGCACCGGGAGCCAAAACGGATTGACGCTGCGCGCCGAATGGAACCACATAAAAATATGGCTAATTACACGGCCGAAAATGAGGAATCGGCCAAGGCACCCGGCGCGGTGCACGACGTCGAGATGGGAACTAAGGAATCGCCATCGGGGGCGACGAGTGAAGTGGGTGAGACCGAGGACCAATTCCAAGCTCCACGATCATCTTTCTGGGCGACGTTCTCCGATCATGGAGTCGAACTACGCGGCGCAGAGCCGGTGCCGGTTGAGAAGAGGACTGATACCCGATATGTCAATGTGTTAACCGTCTTCGCGACCTCTATGACGAGCTTGTTGCCGTAAGCGTGCCATGGCAATGACTTTTAAACTAAGATATCTAACCACTTATAGAATCGGAATTGGCTCCGCAACAACACTCGGCTTCGGTATATCGCTAAGAGACGCGGCGTTGATGATCGTCTTCCTACAGTTCCTGTTCGCCGCGCCGGCCGCGTACATCATCACGATCGCGCCGTTAACAGGGATGCGACAAATGATCCAATCGCGTTATTGTTTCGGGTAAGCACACATAAACCTACAACCTCTACCAATCTAGTACCTAGCTGCCTACTTGGGCATTATCTCGAGACTCGCCGACTAACCAACAAACCAGTAAATACTGCAACGTCCTAACCTCCATAATCGTAACCCTAACCGTCGGCGGCTTCGCCGTAACCGGCAGCATAAACGGCGCCCAATGCCTCGCCGCCGTGCGTCCGGGAACCCTCCCCGTCGAGGGCGCAATCGCCATCATCATGGTCCTCTCCCTCGCCATCGGCTTCGCGGGGTACCGCGGTCTGCACCTGTTCACGCGATGGGCGTGGATCCCAACGCTAATCGCCATCATCATCCTCGTCGGCGCCGCGGGCGACCAGCTGCGGCACCAGACGCCCCTGCCGCGCCCCCCCAGCGCGCAGGAGTACCTCGGCATCGTCGCCTTCGCCGCGGGCAACATGGTCACCTGGAGCAACGTCGCCGGCGACTACGCGTGCTACATGCCGCCGTCGGCGCCGCGCCCGCGGCTCGCGCTGTACTGCCTCTTCGGCGTCGCGCTGCCCTTCTCGCTGCTCATGGTCCTGGGCGCCGCGATCGGCGGCGCCGTCTTCGCGACCCCGGCTTGGGCGGCTGCGTACGAGGGCGGCGGGATCGGGGCCGTGATCGGGACGATCCTGGTCGCGCGGTTGGGCGATTTTGGAAGGTTTGTCTTGGTCGTGCTGGGTCTTTCCGTGCTGGGTACTTGTGGAAGGGATGTTTATAGTGTGTCTTTTAATCTTACGGCAGTGCTTCCGGTGCTGCGTAGGGTGCCGCGGATCGTGCTGTCGGTCGTGGCGACGGCGGTTATTGTTGCGGTTGCGATACCTGCTTCGCGATCGTTCGTCACGTCTGTGGTGGCGTTCCTTAGTATCATTGGGTACTATGCCGGCGCATCGGTCACCTGCTTCTTGACTGAGTATTTGTGGTTCCGGAAAGGTGACCCTAGTAGCCTTGACCCGAAGATTTGGAATGATGGTCGAGCTTTGCCAACGGGGTTGAGTGCCTTGGCGTCTGTTCTGATTGCTTGGGCATTTATTATTCCTTCGATGCAGGCAGATTGGTACACTGGACCCATCGCGGAGAAGACTGGCGATTTGGGATTTGAATTCGCAGTTGTTGTTGCGTTCTTGGCCTATGTTCCCGTACGGTCGTTGGAGATCAAGATCAGGGGTCGTCTTTGAGAATGCGATTCGGGAAAGGAATGTGGGTTATAATAGTTGCCGAGGTAACATCACGATGTTACATCTACTAAGATATAATGGTCAAAAAGCCTCGGAATATGTACCTATCTACACTATGTCTTCTATGATTTGACCAAGCTGTTATACCCAGGCCACTTGTAGATCTCGGATAAATAGACACCTGTTCCCTGTTAGACATGAAGTTATGTGTATGAGCGTATTGAACTGACCTGCGACGCGCCATCGTTTCCCAATTATCTGAAGCAGTGTTACGATATCTCGCAACCATATTCTTGCGCTTGAATCCTCTTGTTCGCGCATGAACCACTCGCACTCGCTTGCTACAGTATATAGGCAATGACACATGAGAGGGTTATACCTGCTGAGTCCATCTCCGCTGTCCTCGTCAGCCGAACTCAGAATCCGGCGAGAAAGTTGCCAGACACTCTCTGCAACCTCTAAAATGCCACCCATCGAATTTCGCTGCATGTCCGCTTCTTCGGAAGATCTGCCGTGGTCGGTCGAGTATCTCTCATTGCAGGCGTATATCTCATAAAGGATCAGACGGGCAGAGAAACATATGGCTATCGCAACTAGTATAGATCCCCCGGGCGAGGATGATTCTCTATGTATCTCACTAAGATGAGAGGATAGCGACGTCAAAATGTGATGGAGTTGTTTTGCTTCCGATAGCCGAAAGCCAAGGACTACGTCGCTATCATGAAGATGATCGCGATGATGCAAGACACGGCCGAGAATGTGCGCTGCTTGACATACATTTGCGAATGATCCTAAACTAGTATTATTAGAGAATGATGCTGCGAATAGAGGTTCGTTGAAGCCGATTCCGCCTTCGTTCCAAGATTCTTCCGGACATGGCAGCAATTCCCCAGGGCTGGGTTCGGGGGTTGATAAAGGCATCCCGTTAGTACCTTGATTCATGATTCTACTTGGGGGTAAGTAAATTGTTGATATACTGGTGGTGGAAAGTATGGCGTAGGTACCTATCGAGACAGAACACTGCCCACCACGCACGCCGCTCTTCCTCTCGCCCCGTCCACCCCACCGCGTCTTTGAATAGCTGGTTGGCGTTCTTGCGGTCATGGAATCCCATCATGATACAGAGTCTTGATGCATAACCAACGCGTAAGTACGCTGCTGGGTAGATAGCATGGCTAATCTCATAAACAGCAATTAAGATGATAGATTGGAGGAGTTGAAGACAGGGGAGACATGAGTTCTCGACTTTTAACAAGGTCTCCAGGGTTCTTGCGTAAGTCGTACTATCTCTCGGAGATATATCAGACGACGGAGGCTCCGATACCAACTTCATACAGAGAAAAAGGAGTTGAGAAGGGGAGTATGGAGCTGGCCCATACTCGCTTATGTGTCGTCGAGCGATTTTCATGCTCAAGATGGGTAGCCAGTGGTGAAGTGTGGAGAAATACCTGTTGTAGACTGCGAGTGCTTCTGGGGAAAGGCTATACGATGGAGCTGCAGAAGGCATTGCTTGATTGAGCTCTGATGATAAAGGCTTCAAGCAAACCTCGGAATCTAGGAAGAACATTGCCGGAAAGTCATCGATACTCCTATTCCTCAACAGGGGTTCTTGTTCATGGTTCAAATGTAAGTTTGCTGAGCCATTATTCGTCACTCGCAAGCCGATTTCACTATTTGGGCTTTGGGAGCTAGTAGTTGATTCCCCAGTTTTATTCGTGGGCGCATTCCGAGCTCGTGGTGGGTACTCGCACCGCTTCTCGAGACGAAGACACTACGAAATGCGTCAGTTTTCGCACATCCTTAGCCCTGAATGATGCTTACTAGGGAGCAAGACGGTAACTCTTTCGGGCATTTTCGCTTGAGTCTCCTATGAACTATAAGTCAGCTGCCCCTAGAATAGAACTAAAGAGGTACCTCACCGACATGCAACGCAGGCGAATCGAGCTCTTCGATCCATCCTTTGGGATAAATGCTACTATTACCTTGTAGATTGATCCAAGTTCAAAGTGACCCTTCCATAGGACGTACGAAGAGCGGACTTGCGGACAGTTGTTTATTGTAATGGGTGTCTCAGCAGTTCTGTGTTATGTTACTTTCTTATTACTGATTTGATGACTCATACTAGGGCCTTTTAATATCGGTCATTAGATTGGACATTATTAATTCTGCTGAGACTGTTGTGCGACTACTTCTAGCTGAAAGCTTCTTAGAACGGATGCGTTTGCTTTTCCCAATTTCCTTAATACGTGAAGGAAACAGCGCGGAAAGGCAAGATGATTGTGTTTACGTAGGTATTTAATAAGGACTTGAAAATGCCGCTTGATCGAGTAAAGTCCGCTCTAACCTCCTATCTCCGCTCATGCCGCTGCCCCCACTTAATGACCGCATCAGCATGAGATGAACCCCTAGAGGGGTGTGAGATGGCCATTTTGATAGAAATTCAACCTCACCCGAGATACTCGGAATTTGGAAACTTCAGGCTTAGAATATTAATGATATGATTCATCTCTACGACCTTATAGAAACCCCTAACCACTGTTCATGATCAAATTTAGGGGAGTACATTCTACTCCGCGGAATATCATTCAATACTTCGCTCTTTTTCTCTTGATGACGAGTCGCCAGGAGACATTTGCCTTCTGTATTTTTCGGTACGTGGAGGTTGGCGTCTTTCCATTCATATTACAATTTGTGGCTGTGGTCGATAAGTATTATCTTACTAGACATAAAAATCAATAGGTACAGGTACCGTTGTAATCTAGTAGGGGATAAGCGAGCCATTGTGAAGCACGGTCTCGGATACTTAGTAGGCATACATATACCAAATATTGAATTGATAGCTGTTGCATTGGGCGCTGTAACCCTGGGGTCGTCAATTCAAATTCATCGTCGGGTCAAGTTCCGAATGACGTCGAGGAGAGGCACGCTACCAGAACCACGACGTTGGGTAAGATACAGACCCAAACCCCCTACAAGGACCGGGCTGCATAGCATGGCAATAAGCCCGCGCAGAAGGACTTTGCCTTGGTGATTGCTCTTTGCTACCACCTCGGAATATCTTTCATTTCCGAAACTGACTCGAGAGTACTTAGTCTGCCAACCAAGGCTAGGCAGATGGACAGACATAAACTCTTCCAAGAACTTGCGAAGGCGATACGTAGGACTTAAGACGGAGGCGCGCATTTCAACATAGTTCTGCAAAGCGAGATCGTTGATGGCGTGAGCGTCGGCAACACGCAGGGCTGAGTATTCTGCAAGGGCCATTCCTCTTTGGTACTCTGCATCATCAGATCCAGGGTCGTCTGGATTATTGTTTTCGGCAGCCGCATGCTTGTCCAGGATAGAGAAGAGTATACGGACATCCTCGAGCCCAGCATTCATACCTTGCCCGTAGAATGGAACCATAGCATGCGCCGCATCCCCTAAAATGACGACAGAGCTAGAGTAATGGTAAGGTTGACACTTGATACTAATCAGGGGAAGATGTGGATTTTCCTCGAATGAGGAGATGAGTTCGCTCGGTTCAATCAGTGAGGTGACACCGGGGAAGTGTTGATCGAAGAAGGTAGGTAACTTTGAAGGGTCTGCTTCCAAGTTGGCAAACTCAGCCCCCGGCAAGAAGAGCGTGCAGGTAAAAGAACCATCCTATTTTCCGTCAGCACTGCTACTGGTCGGCAAGCCATTTTGACGTATCACGTACTTCGCTTGGTATGGCGATGAACATGAACTGTTTGCCCGGCCAAATGTGAAGGTGATTGGGAGATATTCGAAATTTGCTTTTTTGGTCATGTAACTCATTCCCCTCTTTTGGCTTGATTTGAAACTCGCACCACAGAGTATCGACGTACTCCTGTTGGTAATTCATTCTCGTGAATTTCATCAAATGATATCTGACAGCGGAATGAGCCCCATCGGCACCCATCATAAAATCGAATGAGATTTCGATCTCCTCTGGTCGACCTGAGGGTGAGTTTTGGTTGCGGACCTCAAACCAGGCCTTTCGCCGTTTGAAATCCGCCCCTGTGAGCTTATAATTAAAGAAGAATTTCACATTGGGCATTGCGCCGAGGATATCTAGCAGCCGCGTGTTGAGGCCGGCTCTATCGACGGCGAATATGGTCTACATGATGAAGTTAATAAGTGATCACTGGGTGAGCCGAGAGAGAGCAGAAAGAAGGGTGGCGTTACCCTTCCATGGATGTCATAATCTTGAGGTTCTTCATACAGCTCTCCGGATGGGCGCTTCCCATGAATCATTCTCCCCCGCATAGGGATGGTAGCTGAGACTACATGATCAAGAAGGCCCTGTTGGTCGGCATGCCGCATCGCATTAATGCCTCTTTCGGAAAGTGCAAGATTGATGGACTTGGTGAAGTTCAGTGGCGTCGTTGAAGGATCCCGTAGATCTGCATTTTTATTAGCATTTAATTCATGTGCAATGTTTCACCGACCAATCTGACCGGCTTAGAATATAATAACGCTGGGTGCTACGTGTTTGCCTCGGGGTTCATAACATACCACCTCGAAGCTCGTATATTTCCACATCGTGACCTCTCTTAGCCGCATACAACGCAGCCAACGACCCAACAGGGCCTGCGCCGACTACTACATATTTCTGACCGGTCATCTCTAAACACCCATTAGGGAGAGTTGTAATTAGAAGAGAGACTGGAATTTCAACGACGATTTACTTTTATTTATGTGTAACCGAAGATCTTTTCATGTGAACAATGATGTTGAAATTTGTAAGTCATCATATGTTTTCCGGGTAGAAGCGGACCTTACCTCTGATGCTTATTTGCATACATGTAGGTACCTAGGTATGGGTACCTGTTTATGTAGGTAGGTGCCTATTCAATACTAGAACGGGGCGGGAAGGAACGGGCAAGGCCAGGACCCTGTCAATTGGTCCACTTAAAAGTTCGCAAGTTTATGTGGGGCCGTGCAAGTGGGATGAAAGGGTTTGCGCCTTGCGCCTTTCTTTTGACCTACAAGGCGAACGACTTCGAAGAATGGTTTAACTTGGTCCAACAAATCTACAGAAGTTTGACAAAATCACGTTACCCCTACTCCATGCTTATATAGAGCAACTCTTCCTGCTCTATCTTCCTTGATAGCGCAGCCGACATCCCGACATTCTTTCCATTGGTGGTCCAACAAAACCCAGCGAACCCCTCCGTCAATCTCCCTCGTCTCCATCATGGCTGCCGAACCGCCAACCAAGAAGAAGTGTCTTGGGAAAGACTGTGAGAACGATGCCTCCGCCCTTCAATGCCCCACGTGTCTCAAAATAGGCATCAAGGATAGCAACTTTTGTTCGCAAGATTGCTTTAAGAAGAACTGGGTTCGTATGCTTCAGCCATGGCTTCACCCTTAGTGTTGTAGACTGGTTTTACTGACTTGTGTCTTTGCTTGCGCTCTAGAATGATCACAAGATATTGCATAAGGTCGCACAAGGCAAGACCACGAACGGTATTCTTGACAGTATCCGAACTCCAAAAGTCGTCTCTAAACCTGATCCAGCAACCGGCGTTTTCAACCCATTTCCCACCTTCGCATACACAGGCTCCGTACGCCCCGTCTACCCCCTATCCGACAGGCGCCCAGTTCCGAAATCGATACCGCATCCCGACTACGCTGAGACTGGTTACCCTAAGAGCGAACGGTTCATCAACAGGAATAAGATCGACATACTCGATGCTAAGGGTCAGGAGGCTATGCGGAAAGTGTGCCGGTTAGGCCGAGAAGTTTTAGATATAGTGGCAGCGGAAGTCAGACCCGGCGTTACTACTGATTACCTGGACGAAATCTGCCATAAGGCTTCCATAGAACGAGAGGTGAGCTGATCATCGTCCCTGTCAGCCCAGGAAATCCGCAAGGGAACTAACCGTCATAGTGTTACCCCTCGCCCTTAAACTACAACAATTTCCCTAAGTCATTCTGCACCTCGGTCAACGAGATCATCTGTCACGGTATTCCAGACCAGAGAGTACTGTTAGATGGCGATATTATCAACCTAGACGTCTCGGTTTACCACGGAGGTTATCACGCGGATCTAAATGAGACGTATTACGTGGGCGACAAGGCTAAGGCGGACCCCGACTCCGTTAGAGTGGTCGAAGCCGCTAGGGAATGTCTTAACGAAGCGGCTAAGCTCATCAAGCCAGGAACCTTAATACGAGAGTTTGGTAACGTCATCGAGAAGCATGCTAAATCCAAGAACTGCAGCGTCATTAGGACGTACTGTGGCCACGGAGTCAACAGCCTATTCCACTGCCCGCCTAACGTGCCGCACTACGCAAAGAATAAGGCTGTAGGAGAGTGCAAGCCGGGCATGACCTTTACCATCGAACCTATGATCGCGTTGGGGAAATACCGGGATGTTACCTGGCCTGATAATTGGACGAGTGCCACGATTGACGGTAAACGGACTGCTCAATTTGGTGAGTTAACCCTAACATATTTCCTCTTCCCTTGTGTAAAGCATGCATAAGACGCGTGCTAACCGAATACCAATACAGAGCATACCTATCTTGTAACCGAAACCGGAGTGGAGGTATTGACAGCACGGACGGAGACCTCACCCGGAGGACCTGTACCAATGCCAGCCGTGGAGAACGGGACGAACGGTAGCTGAGAGGGTAACCTAGATAGCCTTATACGAGACTTTCGATTCTACACACAAGCGATGCGTACTGCTGGATCAGGTTTAAGCGTAATATATCCGTAGTAGAGAAGAGATAAGGCCGGAAGATAAGCTTTACATGATGAAGCACTCTGGGCTTTATTCATTGACTATGATATTCGGTGAACATAAGTATGGTGGAGTATTAGCATTAGTAGGTGATGTGTTCTGTATTTGATGACTTCCCAACTTCCCCCCTTTTTACATATCAATCAACTCAACTGGTCCCAACCACTTTACGGATTAGCTGCTTAGCTGTTTTTGGTTTACCGCATTAGGGAAGTTAGGGAAATAAACGGTCTTCTGGGATGTCCCTGCCCCTCTATTTTCTAGCCTCTAATGCTCTCATGTGGGGGGACCGTTCAATGAAAAGAACCTTAAAGAATGTACCCTGCATGTAAAAAAGCGCCCACAAGTACATACCTATCGTAGTGGACCTTAGCCGAAAGCTTCACCACTTGGGCAAGAAGCTCTGCTTGGAGGTCCGATTTCCTCCTTCGCAAAAGAAGGCAAGCTTTTTTTCTCCTTCGCGCGAGCCGCTTTCATCATTCACCCACACAAAATTACCACCGCCCAAATTTCCCAAAACAACCGACAAACTGACGAATAGGTTCTTGTTGCCTCCCCCAGCTTTAATTAATCGCGGGGATTCTCAACTTCCGTCTACCTGTCTCTATAATCCCGACGACACGTATCTACTACTTGCGTCCCCGTGCGTCGTGCGTTATCCCTGCGTCGCTCGCTGTAAATTCTACATACTACAGTTTTACGTACTTCGTAGCGCAGCGCAAGACGTCGGCTTCCACCACCTACGCCAGCCTAGGCACGCTAGACAATCCTGCAGCCTTATCTCCGCATTCTTCTAATTTCAACCATCCCGTTCCGTCCTTTCGATCAAACTTCCTCTGCTCGCGCTCGACGTCGACCGGTCAATCATTGCCACAAAGTTTGCGTGCAGCTGGTACCCGATCAAAACAAGTAGCCAGGGATTATCTTGCTATCCCAACGGATTGTCTCGTGTCATCATATATTCTCAATAGCTAGTCCTCCGACAACACAGCCGTCAAGATGTCGGGCGAGGCGTGGTTATACCTCTTCGCCGTGCTCATAAATGCCGTCAACCTCTTCCTCCAGGTATTCTTTACGATTATGTATAGTGATTTAGAATGGTATGTGCAACAGACTCGAGTCGAAAAGATGCTACGGGTTTGCTTGTCGAAGCTATGCTCCGTAGAAGGCACCAATAATCTACGTCATTGTTTATGCTATTTGCTCTAGAGAAATCATTCAACTAACAGCTGTTCGATTTAGTGATTATATCAACCCTATCGATCTTTGCAACCGTCTCAACACCTATATCATCCCCGAAGCTGCCGTGCATGGATTCTTGACCTTCTTGTTTCTGATTAACGGATACTGGATGGCACTAATTTTGAACTTGCCACTACTTGCCTGGAACATCAAGAAGTACGTTGCGCCGGAACCGCTTCAGATAGTGCATACGCACATTCCGTGGGGATAAGAGATTAACATAGCATACAGGATTGTCGACAACACTCACTTACTAGACGCAACTGAGATCTTCAGGAAACTCAATGTTCACAAGAAGGTATGCGCATTTGATGGGTATCTAAATCACATAATCTAACTCATTGTACAGGAATCATTCATCAAGCTTGGCTTCCATCTGGTCATGTTCTTTTTCTACCTATACAGCATGATCGTCGCCTTGATCAAGGACGAGACGAAGTAAGCGATTGCATGTTGAGAAGAGCATGATAATACACATGACCGATGTGGGACGGCTCTGACGGAAATGTACCTCACGAGCCACGATTACTCAGTCTCACCGGGTGCCTAGTGGGGATAGTGTTCAGTCTAGGCAACTTTGGGGACGAGTGTTAATGCTTGTGGATTGGCTTGGACATGGATTGATGAACGAGTTGACGGGATTTGGAGGGAGCAAGTCCGGATGAAGGACGGGATGTGTCTCCATCGAAGTTGCGCAAATCTGTTGAGATGGAAAATGGGAATGACGAAAAGGAGAGCTTAGGAACAGCTCAGGCACAAGGAATTCATGATATGTGCGCTTTCGTCAAACTACCAATTTCCATAGATAATGAAATTATAAATAATACCCTGATTATTCATGAATGAATTAGAGCAAAGTTTGAATATGCAAAAGTTTGAGCTTCGATGAGTGATATTATGAGCCGTTTACATAATACATACAATTAAATTATGTAATCAAGAAAACTGACTTCATTAGGTAAGCATATTCCAAAATTGAATGTAAAAAGGAAGAGCAATACCTATGCATATAGTAATTCAATCTTTGCACCAATCAAATATGAAGCGTTCTAATAAAAGGCTGTTCATTGCATTAAGCAGTACATATATAATAAAGAGGTATTTAAGAAACGTCCATATGTACTACGTAGCAATAAGTACTAGGCGAACAGTGGTATGCTTTAAGTTCAGACTTGGATTTAGTGCACCGTACCTACCTACGCTAGTACCGATGTGATTGGCCCGCTGCTGTTAAGGTTAAACAACCCAAAATTTCTACAAGTCCCAAACGCGTCAACCGTCAACCATCATTTCTAGGCGCACATCAATCACCATACATCCAAAATGGAGGGGTTTGGGGAGTATCCGCCGAATATGGCGCCTCAAGATGCGCTCATAGTACGCGAACAAGCTGAACCTAATCATGCCGTTGTACCTTACACCGGTGAGGATCTCGCGCGACCTAGACTCGGACCTCTGAACCCCTACAAGGACGAGACGAATGCGCTAAAACGCAAGAATGTCCTCACTGGCCATGCCGAGGAGACTTTTCTGAGCGAGCACACGTTTCGAAGCAAACATCGCGCCATCGAACGTAAGGGTGGTCCCGAGAGGGAATATCAGTCCGGTGCTACGGTCAAGGAAGAAGCAGCCAAGCTAAGGGCGTTGCGACAAAAAAAGGGTGATGCCACGATTGCCGACGGTGATGGGGCATATGTTGGACCTTGGGCAAAATACAAAAAGGATGAATACGAAGAAGTTGGAGAGGATGAAGAACTGGCAAGTGACGAAGAGGTCGAATACGTGTACGAGGACGACGACGACGTGGTAGCAAGCGGTACTGTCGTCTCCGCACCGGCAGAAGCTATCGCCAGGAGGAAACAAGTAGAGGAACTAGGGGACGAGCAGACGGTCTTCCACGGCGAACAGGAATACGATTACCAGGGAAGGACATACATGCATGTGCCGCAAGATCTCGATATCGACCTAGGCAAGGAATCCGGCAGCATCACAAATTACATCCCCAAGAAGCTGGTACACACATGGAAGAACCACGACAACAAGGCCGTCACCGCTCTTCGATTCTTCCCGAACTCGGGACATCTATTGCTATCATCTGGCGCGGATACGACGGTCAAAATCTGGGACGTCTATCACCAGAAGGAATTACTGCGAAGCTATTTGGGCCATTCCAAGGCCGTATCGGATATATGTTTCAACAACGATGGAACACAATTCTTATCTGCGTCGTATGATCGCCAGATGAAGCTATGGGATACGGAGACAGGTACTTGCATCAACAAGTTCACTACAGGCAAGACGCCACACGTCATCAAATTTAACCCATCACCCGAACACTCCCACGAGTTCCTTGCCGGTATGGCGGATAAGAAGATCGTCCAATTCGACACGCGAACAAGGGAGCTCGTCCAAGAATACGATCACCACCTTAACGCCATCAACACCATCACCTTCGTAGACGATAACCGACGGTTCATGACTACTTCCGATGACAAGTCCCTACGCGCCTGGGACTACAATATCCCAGTACCTATCAAGTACATCGCGGAGCCGTACATGTACCCGATGACGCGGGCGTGCGCGCATCCCTCCGGCAAGTACGTCGCGTACCAGTCATCCGACAACCAGATCGTTGTGTACGGCGCCAACGACAAGTTCCGCCAGAACCGCAAGAAGAGCTACCGCGGACATAACAATGCCGGCACTGCTATTGATGTCGCGTGTAGTCCCGACGGCCAGTTCCTCGCCTCCGGTGATAGCGGCGGTTTCGTCTGCTTCTGGGATTGGAAGACCTGCAAAATGTACCATAAATTGCAGGCCGGCGACCAGGCTATTACGTGCGTGCAATGGCACCCTCAGGAGACGAGCAAGGTCGTTGCTGCGGGTATGGATGGGATAATAAGGTACTGGGATTGAGTTGGGTCAACTTGGCCAAGAGAAGGTTGGCGTGATAGATTCGGCATCATGGCACGGCGTTTTCGGCGGATTCGAGTAAAAGCATAGTCGATACCAGAAAATGGCTTCTAATGATATTTCATTCCCTAGACGTCTGACCTCTAACGTCTCCGTTGGCGGTTTCAAACCCTGGATCATTATCTTGCTTCAGTTCCCCGTGTCGTTTCTCCCTTCTCAATCCATTATTCTTTTATTACGTTGCACTAAAGAAATACTTCGATCCAGACTCGCTCCGTAGCCCTGTCACGACGAGTACGCATTTTACACAGGAAATCTAAGGATGGTCTTCAAATTGGATTCAGATCGCTGTTACTATCGTCAGACCGTCATTCAGGGATGTACAATCAGTCTAGAGTGACTTGGACTTGGCAACTCTCGGCTTTCACCATTCAGGGGTATAAGACAACGTCTACACAAGCTTCATACTAACATTACACATGCAAACTTCGTGATTCATGCTCCCACCACGAAACCGATGCCTCGACGCAGGTTCTGTTCACGGCTCAGTTTCACTGTGACGGCTCAACTCGTACAAATCTCTGCCACGATGACGAAGGACTCTGTGTGGAACCCCAGATCACCATTCTGAGTCCTGATCGAGTCCGTAACTTCTGTGATATAGCGTGGATAATTGGGGCCGCAATGAAGAGTTGAGAGCAACTCACTTCTCTCTCGAAGCCATTTAACGACGTAATATCTCCTTTCGAAGTTCAGGAAATCTCCTCCCTTTTCACGCTACCTACAACATCGCCCTTTACCTACCAAGTCTTGATCACAACTACATTAAGCACCTGAGCTTGCAAATCTACTACTTAGTATCTAACTTGGAGAGAGAGAAAAAAGCAACTCTTACTCTTACTTCGCCTATCAGCCAGGACACGAGTATAATTATATCGCAATGTCGACCACAGTCATCATGCCGCCCGTCAGCCGCGTCATCTACACGGTGCCCCCTCCGGCCCCTCCGCCGCTCTTCATCGACGCCCGCGACGCGCCGGGGCCGCCGAACCGCCCGCTCCCGAGGCCGCCGACGCGGCCCAGGCCCAGGCCCCAACCGCCCGTGCCCCGGCCGGAGACGGGTGCGTCGGTCGTCCTGCAGCCCGCGACTCTGTGGAAGCCGGCTACGTTTCTGCGCCCGGTTGCGTCGGCGTCGGCGTCGGCGGGGAACGTGGTGAGTGTGCTGGATGGGCAGCTGCTCGTGCCGGTGGTCAATGTACCGCTGAATTCGGCGTCGGCGCCGGATGCGCTGCTTTTGAGGAGGGTTACGTAGGGGTTCGGCGTGGGGAAGGTTGGAAGGAGGGAGGTTTTGGTTTGGGAGGATAGGGGGTTTGTCGTGATGAGTTTCTGTGTCGAGTAAATCGAACCAAGTGGAAACCAATCTTGGGTCTTCGGCAGCGTCTATATCTAGGGACGATGTCTTAATAGCATATTTTCTTTTGAAATGGTCAGGCTTTGAGTTACATCCTATTTCGCCCCCAATGACAACGCCACAATCTCTCCTATTGGCGGCTGGCCGAGCTGCTGATTTCTACCTAATTTCCTCAACCCCGCAACAGATGTCGATAAAGCCTAATCTTGACTCTACCACATCATCACTCGCGAGGCTATGGGCGAACTGGCCCCTTGCTAAAGCACCTACGATCATCATGACTGCCGCGAAGTTTCAAGAAAAGCTAAGACGCAAGTTGGGAAGTTTAAGAGGCAAGTTGGGAAAGTTGAAACCCAAGGCAAAGGGTTCGAAGACACAAGGAGGCTCCCAACATAACCCGGCCGCCACATCTGTCACATCCTCACAAGGTAGGTGGGTATGCAACAGCGGCTAGCAACCTTTTCTGATTAGTACGATGTAGCAAATGTTGATCCCCCTCCCGAGATGGTTACCTCGCCTACTACGGATACCGTACAAAGCGTGCCCGATGCTTCCGCTCCGCTCCTAGCGACGGAACCTCCTGTCTCATCCGGTACGGCACTATGTGAACCTTCACGAAATGCTACCACCAATATCACAACGGAGATATCTCCAAAGGAAATAGGTGACGTAGCAGCAAATATTGAAGAGTCCAGACTTCATTCTATCTTTGACAGTGATCATGATGGCCAGCCCCGTAAGCCTGCGGAAGTCGAGTATGTCCTTTTACCTGCTGCCTCACCTGATTCTCTTCCGCAAGCTGATAAACCATTTTACTAGCATCGTAACAGTCCACGGTCTTAACTTCATGGGCAAAAAAAACCACGCTCAAGAAACGTGGACGAAGGGTGATAAGCTATGGCTCAAAGACTTCCTCCCAGCAGAACTTAAACAAGCCCCTCGTATAATGCTCTTCGCATATAATGCCAGCCCCGTTATAAATGCAGCAGGCATCAATCTTGACGAACACGCACAGATCCTATTACAATGGCTCGAAATAAGGCGAAAGGTTAGCTACTCCGCTCTTCCATTAAAACGAACATCTTGTCTTAACATGGAATTTATAGAATGCTCCGCAGAGGCCCCTTGTGTTTATCTGCCATAGCCTCGGTGGCTTGGTTGTCAAGCAAGTCCGTGCTACTTTGATCTTTAGGGTTTCTATAATTAACAATAGCCAGGCACTCGTTCAGGCCAAGTTAGATGATTCATACAGCTCAATTTTCGAAGCGACCTCCCTTCTGATCTTCTTTGCCACACCACATCAAGGAGGAAATGGTGTCGAAATAGGAGACATTGTCGCGAACATAGTCCGCATATCATTAGGAAATATTAAGAACGACCTCCTAACGGCGTTGAAACATAACTCACCTGAGGCGATAAAACGATTCGAGCAAGCTCGCCACCTTCCTGACAAATGTAACGTGATCAATTTCTACGAAGGAGAACAGTATGGTAAACTCGGCATTGTAGGTCGACTAGATAGTTCGATACACAGAAGCTCGCTGACTCTAAACAGATTGTCGATAAGAGATCTGCAACTCTAAATCTCCCAGGATCGCGTGAGAAGCAGGTGGCTTTACATGCCAACCACAGCACCATTTGCAAGTTTGATCGCATCTCAGCTTGCGAATTAGTAATACAAACCATCGCCACGGGAATCGAGCGTGCTTTGGGGGCTTCCCAGAATAGTAGGTAGTCTTAACGTAAATATATTATTCAGCCGTCACTAAACAGTTAATTCAATTATGTGTATTAGGTGAACCCAACGATAATTATACCCCATTTAGCGAAGAGGATAATAAATGCTTGATGTACCTAAGAGTAACCGACCCCCGCGACGACAAAACTCGCATCGAGCGAGACAAAGGGGGTTTATTTGCTGATTCATATGTCTGGGTGCTTGAAAATGATGAATTCAGGCAATGGGATGAAGAGCCCGAAGAGCGACTGCTCTGGATTAAGGGTGATCCTGGCAAGGGCAAAACAATGTTGCTCTGTGGTCTCATTGACCGGCTAAGCTCTGACGAGTGGAGGGCCCAAAGGGCGAGTGCACTACCAACCTATTTCTTTTTCCAGGCCACCGAGGGACGCATCAACAACGCCAATGCTGCCCTACGTAGCTTGATCTACCTGCTCGTGAAGAACCAGCCGCCTCTTATCTCGCATGTACGGTCACGGTACGATGGGGTGGGGATGCAGCTTTTCACGGATACAAATGCGTGGGATGCCTTATCAAAGATCTTGGGCAGGATCCTTGAGGACCCGTCCCTGAAAAGCACCTCCATAGTCATCGATGCGCTCGATGAGTGTACGGAAGACCGAGATCTGCTTATTGACCTTATCATCCAGAAGTCGGAGTCATGCTCTCGCGTTAAGTGGATTGTCTCTAGTCGCAACTGGCCGGACATCAGCAAGCATCTCGACTTAGCTACGCAGAAAGTAAGGCTATGTCTTGAGTTGAATCCCGAGTCGATTTCTACGGCTGTCAATGCATACATACCGTTCAAGGTCGATAAACTGAAAAAGCGGCAAAGATACAATGATGCCACACGGAATGCTGTCTTGCAGCACCTATTGTCAAATGCGGACGACACCTTCCTTTGGGTGGCCTTAGTCTGTAAAAACCTCGAGAATGTTCCCCAATGGAATGTCCTCTCTAGGTTAAAATCGTTCCCTCCTGGCCTTGTTCCACTCTACGGGCGGATGTTGAATCAAATTGACGATTTGGACTACGCAGATCTTTGCAAAGAGATCTTGTCTGTTGTTTTAACTGTGAAAAGACCAATTACACTGGATGAACTAACGACCTTTGTCGAAATACCCGACACTTTTCACGACGACGATCTGGTAGAAATCATCGAGCTTTGTGGCTCTTTTCTTTCGCTCCGCGATCGTACTATCCTCTTCATCCACCAATCCGCAAAGGACTTTTTGTTGGGAAAAGCAGCTGAGGACATCTTTTCATATAGGAAAGAAGAAATCCATTATACGATATTTGTACGATCATTGAAAGCCATGGAACAGACACTACGACCCGACATCTACTGTTTAGGTGCTCCTGGAATTCACATTTATGAAGTTAAACAGCCTGAACATGACCCTCTAATAGCACTACGCTATTCTTGTATCTATTGGATCGATCATCTCTGCAATTCCAAGTCTGACATAAATACTAAATACAAGCATGTTCTACAAGATGGGGGCTTGATCGATACTTTTTTAAGAAAGAAGTATCTATGTTGGCTCGAGGCTCTTAGCCTTTGCAAAAAAGGTTTGTACGAATGGACAAATCCAATGGACACACTTCTGGACCTTTTCGAACAGGTATGGCGGAACCATTTTAGTTACATAATATTCATAGGTACTTAAGTCACTAACTAGGCACAGGCAGATACCTCCGACGTGGCATATCTTGTTCAAGAAGCTACTCAATTTTTGGACGAAAGCTATTCGGTAATTGCGGAGTACCCTCTCCAGCTATATAGTTCGGCCCTTGTGTTTTGCTCAAGCCGGCGTCTAATATGGAATTTTTATAAAGAGGAGATACCAGACTGGATTATACTTAAGCCCAATATAGAAGAAGGCTGTATATCGGCGCTCGAGGGCCACAGCGATTGCGTTCGTTCGGTGGCGTTCTCGTTCGATGGTAAGGTCGTAGCGTCAGGATCAGAAGACTGTACAGTGCGGCTCTGGTCGGCCGAGACAGGAGCATTACAACTAACGCTCGAAGACCACAGCGATTGCGTTCGTTCGGTGGTGTTCTCTCCCGATGGCAAGGTCGTAGCGTCGGGGTCAGAAGACTGTACAGTGCGGCTTTGGTCGGCCGAGACAGGAGCATTACAACTAACGCTCGAAGGCCACAGCGATTGCGTTCGTTCGGTGGTGTTCTCGCCCGATGGCAAGGTTGTGGCGTCAAGGTTAGAAGACTGTACAGTGTGGCTCTGGTCGGCTGAGACAGGAGCATTACAACTAACGCTCGAAGGCCATAGTGACAGGTATGCTTCTTCGGTGGCGTTCTCACCCTATGGCAAGGTTGTGGCACCGGCATCCATCACTCTTACAACACGGCGCTGGCCAACCGAGACAGATATATGCTTACAAATCTTCAATTTCGACTCGCTAGTTTCTGAAGTATCCTGTAGCCAGGACGGCCACTTCATTCATACAAATGCCGGTCACCTCTCCATCGATAGTTCACAAATGGGAGAGACAGCGTCTAGCCAATTGTCAACTAAGTACGATCGGAATCATTGCTTTACTCACGGGTTTGATATCAATAACGGCTGGGTAACTTGGAACGGAAACAAGTTCTTTTGTATTATGCCAGATGTGATGGCTTACTCTATACTTGGCTCCACTGCGGCATTTGGATGTCAGTTAGGAGAACTTATTATTTTACGGTTTGATGCAGAAATGCTACAGAAGTTACTAGGGTTCTAGGTTTCAAGTATTGATATGGATTGAGGGGGGATACTGAGGGGTTAGGAGTGAAGCGGTAAAGGATAGAAAAGGGAGGATTTTGATGAAGTTGTAGGATACCATCGCATGTGGCGGAAAGATTGATACCCAGGGGATCATATAAGGTCTTTCGTTGATAGGTACCTTACCTACCGTGACTTGGCAATAACATATGTATCGAGCTATGCTTCGTCACTCTTCTTCTTTTAGGAGGGCAAAGCTAGATGTCATACCAGTACGTGCTACCTAGGTATCTTAGAAATGAGTTCGATTTCTATTGGGTTGTTCGCCATATAGCGTACCATCCGGGGGGGGCCAAGGTTGTAATTGGTTACCGATATTAATAAAAGCATCTCGTTTGCCGTGGAGCGGTTGGGGAGTTAGTCTTTTTTCCAACTAAATATCGACAATAATTATTGTAAAATTCTCGGATTATATTACATTAACACACCTTCACGTGCTGTTTGACTAGTCGGGTTGGCAGCTTGCCTTGCGCATGGCCTACAAAGTGAGGCTAGGCGTAATCTTCACCACCTGACAGTAGTTTCATATGTCGTTTAGCGCCTATCCGGTCCTTTCTTACGCAGAAGATCACCAATCTTAGCAGGGCCATGATTTAACAGAACAACGTAATTGGCTAGTGAGCCACAACCCCTGCCCCCTAACGGCGATAACATGGCAAGGGGCTGCCTAAAACGAACCTCAACTCTTCAAATCCTCGTCAGGTCGCTCGTCCACTTCCCCTCTTCCCGCCTCCTTCTTTCCTTTCTTCCGCTCTGCCAACGAATGATTGAATGATATCTCTGCGAGAACCCCAATATCGCATCCATGGCCGACACTCGATCGCTGCGAATTACCACCGCCGCGACTTTTCTTCCCGCGTTTCCATTATTGCTTGCGCATGGCGTCGTATCGAACAGTCCCGCTCCTGCCGTAGGGTTGGTGCCGCTTGCTGTCTCAGCAAGCACGAGTATCTTCCTACTTTCGCGGTCCGCAAGGAAGCAGCAGTCGGCGGAACTAGAGCGGGGTAATGTTAACGAAGAGGGGCAGGTGCGGGAACCACAGCTGGAGCAGGAGCCGGGACTCGAACAGGAATTTGCGCAGCAACCTCAGGAGCGACCCGAGGCGCCGGCGCCGGCTCCGAACCGAAGCCACCCTATCCTTGTATTCGCCGTCGACACGATACTTGCCGCGGCGCTGATGGTGGTTTTGGTATTTACATGGATTGATTCGAGCAGTGGCAGCACCAATAGCGCCGAGTCAGCTATGCTGGCTGCGTATGGTACAATCCCACTGCTGATAAATTTGTAGGTTGCCAATGGTCTTTTTCCCGCGGATTACCAACCGAGAAGGAAAAAAGAAATTAAGCGGATGAAAGAGGAGGAAACACGAGATTAAAACGCGATTCAAAATCAGAAAGATCATTTGCTAAACGTGGATGTTTTCTATTTAGCTTTATCCATCTCTTCCTAGCGGTACGCGAATTCTCCCGCGGCCTCGCGATCCCGGGGCTGACGCAGTACCTCGCGTGGCAGGTCGTCGAACCCGACTGTCCGGACTGCGGGCGCAGACTCCGTCCCGACGCACCGCCTAGCTTACCATGGGTCGAGGAGACCACGCTCCCCCGGCCAAACTTTAAGAACGTCAAGCTAAAGCTACCGTCGATGCCGAAGGTTAAGGCGCCGGAATGGAAGACTCCGGCATGGTTCCGGAATCGAAGCGCACGCGGTTATACGAACCTTTTCGGTGCTACTAATGACGAGGAGCCTGTGACAACTCCATATAGGGATGACCCGGAAGAGGGCGGCCCATCTATTCGACCCGATGAATCCGAGACCGTGGAGCCCGAGGTGGTGGATGTCGTAAGCAAGAAGTCTAGGAAGTTAGGGAGAGATTCTAGCTCATCCCCATGAATTCGTCGAGATGGATGAGGGCCATTTTATCCGTTGAACTATCCGGATGGTTTGTTTCTAGCGAAAGTACGGCGATACCCTTCTGTTTTTGGCGAGATATTTGAAGCGACTATGGGGTGTTTGAGGGACTTTAGTAGGGGAGGAGGGATGATATTATGAAGACAGCGTGATACCCTTATGATTAAAGTTGTTTCTAGGTGCTTACCTACCCGTAGGTACCTGCCTAGGTATATTTAGAAGATTGCGAATTTTTGCGGGGGAGCCGAATGTTTTGGAGGTCTCACAATGAGAAAGCTTTGTTGATAAGGTAGATTCTAAAGCAATCCATTCAAACAAGAGGCTTGTCTATTACTCGTACCATATTCGCCAATACTACTAGTAGTTTCTGAAGTTCGTTACCATTAATGTAGCGGTTTGTGTTGCACAACATTATGATACATCCTAGGCAAGTACCTATGTACTATAGGTAAGCGGTATAAATCAACCTATGACGGCGCCCGCATGAAATTCTCAACTCTACTTCACCAATTCCAGTAATCAACAAACGCAACTCGCCAATGGACTACCTGATGAATTCCAATGCCATGACTAGCCTAGGCGCTGACAGGTCCCTCTTGTGTATTTCGATAGGTATTGAGACAGGTTTAGGGTGAAAAGGAACTCTCCTCCTGCACCTAGGTAGGTCGTCTGCCAAGCAATAGATCTAAAGTTGCGGTATTACTTGATTTAGAAATGACCTTTCCACTGACGTCGAGATCAGTTCCTACAGCATTCTATCAGTTTCGCTTTGGCATAACAGAATTGAAGCAATATGAATTTACATGGATTGTTAACCCTGGAAAGAAACCAAGGATACGGCATCTCCAATATTTATCACGCTCTTTGGTCTCACAATTGCAACAGACCGGCCTTACCTAGAGCTGCTAGGTACCCGAGTAGGCAGCCAAGACATCTCCGCAATCTCCACAGCAGTTCATAATTCAAGCTGTTAAGCGGCGTGGGCCGACGTTTAGGGTGTTCATATCATTCGTGGAATCTTTCGTGATGGGATCGGTATGCTTGCGTTATTCTGTCTTGCCTTGCCTCGCCGTTCTCATGGCGCAAAGGAGGACCTAATAAGTCTAGTCAGGCACGGAGGAGCTGCTATTCTCTCTTTACTAGGCAAGTCGCCCGGTGCAATATTCGCCGAGGTAGCAATATACTACGCAAGCCAAGTTACATAGCTCCAAGCTTGCAGCTTGCAGTTTATCCAAGAGCTCCAACAGTCCACACGTCAAGAATTGGAGAATGGCTTCTCCACAGACGCCCATTATATAAATAAATATGAACTCGGCCGACTTCAAAAACTGGTCTCGATGGATCCAAGGCTTCAAAGAGGCGCAGAAGACCCCCATCGCGATCTTTACCTCCGAACCTCGCGAGGATGTCGGTGCGACAAGGGCTAAGACTGCTCGCCCTTTTAGGCTTGTCCAATGCTGCATCGGCCCAGAACTATCCTAACAGCAGCAGCTCAGCAAGCGATACTGTTGCTGTAAGCTGGATCGGTGATACGCCGAAGATCAACTCCGGAACGACTTTTGGGCTCCCTTGGCCTCGGGGAAAATACCAAGCCAACTCGACTACCTTCGCCGCTCATGAGGGGGATAGTAACGACCAGGTACCGCTCCAGTCGTGGGTTCTGGCATCCTGGCCAGACGGTTCGATAAAATGGTCCGCGCACGCTGTAGGTGCCTCCGAGACGGTGTATGACGAGTACAAAGTCACGGCATCAACCACTGGTGGAAGCAATGCAAAGAGGTCATCAAACTCATCTTCTTCCGGGTTGACTGTCAGCGAGTCTGATTCTCAAGCTACCGTCGACACGGGAAAAATCTCCGCGACATTCCCCAGGTCTGGAAGTATTCTCGTGGGTGAAATCAAGACATCAAGCGGTAAGGTTGTCGGCCAAAATGGGCGATTGATACTACGATCTCAATCCGGTGTCGAGGATGATGATGATGATGGAAACTCAACGTCCATTAACAAATTCCAATTCGAAAGTAATGTCGATAATTCCACTATTGAGTACGACGACAGCTCCATAAGAGCGCTGGTGACAGTCCGCGGTACACATAAAGTTACCTCAGGCGCACATGATGACTTGCTACCATTCATTCTCCGCTTTTACCTATACGCAAACTCGGACATCATCCGAGTCGTCCACACCCTCATATTCGATAACAAGGTCGACCAGGACTTCATCTCAGGTATCGGAATTCGTTTCGATGTTCCACTAAGTGGCGAAGAATTATACAACCGTCACATCAGGTTGGCCGGCCCAGACGGGGGTCTCCTCCGTGAAGCTGTGCAGGGCATCACAGGACTTCGGAGAGACCCTGGGGAAGAAGTCCGGACTGCTCAGTACAATGGTACAGAGACACCAGATGTTTCGACTTGGGATACTACAGTCTCTTCCAGGTTAAAGTGGATTCCTCCGTGGAGTGACTACAGCCTGACACAATTGTCACCCGATGGGTTCACGTTGAAAAAGCGGACGAAGTCGGGTCAGGGTTGGGTCAAGGTTCCCGGAGGCACTCAGTCTGGCGGCCTAGCTTACCTCGGAGGTGCTACACAGGGTGGTCTCGCCGTTGCCCTTCGCGATTTCTGGAAGCGATATCCAACTGGTATTGATATCTCGAATGCTGCTTCGGACGTGGGTCAGATAACACTCTGGCTATACAGTCCCTCCGCTGGACCGATGGATCTTCGACCCTTCCATGATAAATTAGGGGAGGACACGTATGCGGAACAGTCAGACGCCCTCGAGATCACCTACGAGGACTACGAGGAAGGCTGGGACACGCCGTATGGAATCGCGCGAACGAACGAATTATTTCTGTTTCCGTTCGATAATACGCCTCCCGCGGACACCTTAGCTTCTCTGATCGACTACGCAAACGAACCACCACAGCTCGCCGCGGAACCACAATACATACAAGACACAAAAGCCATCGGGTCTTACTGGGCGACAATCCCCGACAACTCATCGGCTGCGGCACAGACAATTGAATCGCATTTCGACTTCTTGATAAAATACTACCAAGATCAAATCTCTCAACGGCGGTGGTACGGCTTCTGGGACCACGGTGACATCATGCATACCTACGATACCGATAGACACACCTGGCGCTATGATGTCGGAGGGTACGCCTGGGATAATTCGGAACTCTCGCCGAATCTTTTCTTCTGGAACTACTTCCTGAGAACCGGCAGAGCAGATGTGTACCGCTTCGCAGAAGCCCACGCAAGGCACACAGGCGAGGTAGACGTTTACCACATTGGACCATACAAGGGCTTCGGCACACGACATGGTGTCGATCATTGGAGTGATAGTTCTAAACAGATCCGTGTCTCGACTCCTATCTACCGCCAGGTATTTTACTATCTATCTGGCGGAGATGAGCGAGTCGGTGAACTCCTCCACGAACTCATGGATGCCGATAAAACCTTCCTCATCGTAGATCCGCGCCGTAAGGTCCGCGACCCTAATATCACTTATGTTATCGAGCCGACTGCTATAGACCTGGATCTCGGCCTCGACTGGTCGGGACTCGCTTCGACCTGGTTTATCGAGTTGGAGAGGCGCGGCTCACGATGGGAAGAAGCCCGATCGAAGCTCAACGCGAGCATGCACGGCATCGCCGCCCTGAAGAACGGCTTCGTGACAGGGCTCGGCCTCTACAACATCTACACGGGCGACATCGCGCCTCCACTAAACGACCCCCAGAACCTCGGCGTCGTGGCCGTCACCCACCTCCCGGCGAGCTTCGGGCTCCCGGAGATCATCTCGCAGATCGCGGACTACCTCGGCGACGACTTTCCCAAGTCCTTCGAGAGCGTCTGGCTGGACTACTGCTACTACTACGGGGCCAGCGCGGCGGAGCAGACGGCGCGGTACGGCGTCAGCTTCGGCAACCTGAACTTGAAGCAGGGGCACTCGCGGCTGACGGCGTACGCGGCCAAGAAGCTCGGCAACTCGACGCTGGCGGCGCGCGCGTGGAACGAGTTCCTGAACACGGACGGCCTTTCGCCGGATGAACCGTGGGCCACCGAAGCGATCAACGGAAGCCTGGTCCTGTCCCCGGTCGACGAGGCGGCGTGGCTCGCGACGAACGATGCCGCGCTTTACGGATTGGCTGGGATTGAGAACTTGGCCCAGATTGCGTATGCCTTATAAATGTAGGTACCTAATCTAATAGCGTAATGTGTCAACACGTTAATTGAATATTATTATAATTTTGCGGCGCTAGCAACCTATCTAATTTGCCTTGCCTCGTATAATTTGTACCAGCAGTGCTTTGAACCGAGCTTTTGCGGGTGCTTAGGTGTATTTTGCCTCCTAGTCTCTGGCTGTAGACAACTACCAGTTAGAGATAATGCTGCTACAATAGTGTGATCTATCCAAACTAATAGATCCACGCATTTTCGCTGGTAGCGGAACTCTCACTCCTACAATTACGTTATATCAATATCTAGCCTATCCAGGTCGAAATAATACGACTACGAAATTTTCTCCGCATACTGGAGTAGAACTACCTAGTATCTTCCTAGGTACGGGAACGTAAAAAGGACTAAGGGGAACTATTATGACTTTTCCCTTTTGGCTCATCCCAATTTAATGTCTAGGTAAGTAATTCGCATTCATAGTTGGCTCTCTCCTAACTAAGCTCTAAGCCTCTGTCATTACTTCTTATTATCCTTAGTTTAGCCAAATAGCAAGATATATGGCTAACGTTGGTATACATAGGTAGCCGAGAAGCCTGAGGAATTCCCGTGTTGGGTTCACCAGTGATTCTTTAGAAAATAATCGCTAGCTAGTTTCGCGCGAGATTATCCTTGATCCTTCCACATAAAACCGCTTATATAACTCTCTCACTATTTCCAAATCCTTCGTTTCAGCGTACATTGCGTATGAGTTGAACAGTGCAATATCTGTTGCGGACGTTACACTTCCATTGTCGAGTAAGACTTGGAGAAAGTCGAAGAACCGAGATTGACGATCTTCCTCAGCGTAGGTTTCGATCATCTCTAAAAGACACGTCAACGCCGATCCTCTCTCACGAAAGTTCGCGTTAACATCAACGCCAATATCTACGAGACGCTGTAAATAGTTTATGGGAAGATAATGATGAGATCTCCAAATGAGGTATTGTATCAAGACTAAGGAAATTAACAGTTAGCAACTTATACTCCTTATACAAATATGGGAACCGCGCAGGCGGCCATGGATGTGGTACCTAATAATGGGAGGCAATCTTGGAAAGACAACGATAAGAGAAATTAACGGAGGGATGTTACTTACCTGTACGGCCTTTGTCGTAGTCCGGCTCCCATGAGGCGTCGGCAGCTCCACAATCCAGAAAGATTTTGACCATTGGAAACCACCAGGTACTTGCAGCTAGCCAAAGCGATTCAGGATCCCTGAAAAGCCACCCATCGTGGTCAATCTCTAGTAGGTAGGACAAAGGAGTACAACAAGGGCAGTCTGCATGACCTTCAGCTAAGTACTCCCTTGGATTATGGGGTTGCCTGTCTAGTGGTAATCCCTTAACGGATTTCGTATCGTCAAACCAGCATTTATGGTGGTCGCGATGACTCTGCAACTTTCCCGTAAATATAGATCGTCCTTTGTGCCATCTTAGCATATTACGAAGATCGCATCTTTCATGCGAGATTTGAGCCCCTTGTTCCATGAGGTAACGACAGATATCTTCTTTCCACCTGCAGAAGGCTGCTTGAAAGGGCGATATATATACGATATCCGTATATATATGGAATGGCACAGGAGTGCGAATATTTGGGTCAGCGCCATAGGCAAGTAAAAGTTTGACTACCTCGAGTTGTTTCGGACTGCGTTCGGGATAAAAACAAACTTGCGTCAAGGCAAACTCTTCAAAACTATTTGTCTGATTAGGATTCGCGCCATGCTTGAGGAGGTAATCGATAGTATCCTGAGGAGATTCGGCCTTTTCCAGGTTCTTACCGGAAACCGCAGCGAGCAGCGGAAATAAGCCTCCGACAATTTCCTGGTTGACTTGGTAACCGTTGGCAAGTAGATACTGCACCAGCTCCAGAGAATGACCCGCGCATGCTCGTATGAGTGCGGAATCCTGGGCGCCGGCACCTAGCTGTACTAATCTCTTGATAAGTGTTGATAGGTTTGTGGGAATTTTGCCATAAGGGAAAGCTCCAGGGGTAGGACGAGTTGCTAACAGCCCTATATTGTACTTGAATTCCTGATGTCTAAACAAGTGATCCTGGTGTAATTTTCCATGGGAAAGGAAATATTCATGCCATACCCTCTCTTCTCTGTTTATGGCCATTCCTAACCCAAAAAGACAGTATTCTAAAGTAGAGAAACGTTCTGGTGGAGTAGGGCCGATGTTAGCTCCAGCATCGACCAGATATGCAACTTCGCTAAACCATGCATGAGCAGCAGCCTGGGTGATAGGAGTTAACTCTCCAAAACGTTGGTTGGTGTTTGTAAGCCTCGCCTCGAGATTGGCGCCATGCTGGACGAGAAAATCCATTGTCTGCACGCTCGACTTAGTCCCCAGTGCCCACATAAGAGGAGTTGCGCCGTCCTAGGTTAGAGAGCTTAGTAATGATAATTTACCAAAACTGGTATTCCAAGAACTCTTCAACAGTTCTTGGAATACATTTAAACATAATATATGGGTCTGAATATTACTTACAGTGTCTCGGACATCGACTGGAGTGTGATAGTCTTCTAAAAGGAGGCGCATAGTGGAAATGTGACCAGCACGAGCTGCCCAGTGCAATGCATTTGACTGTACGGTGAGCAGTTCAATATGTGGCGATGCTCCAAGAGTGAGAAGTAAGTTCGTCATTGCTTCATCGTCAGAGCACAATGCCGCATGTAGTGGGGTCCAGTAACCAGATTGTCCGAACCCCAAGCCGTTGGTACGGCAGGAACACAACTCACGCGAAGGGAGGTCTAGATATGAACCAGAATTGACGAGCAACTTGACTATCTCATCCGAACCAGATTTGACAGCAGCGTGAAGGGGAAACCAGTATGACTCGGTACCGGAAATGTATTGTTGTACTGTTGGATGACACTCTGGGTCGTAAACCGCAACCCTGTCACGCGCGAGGATCTGGTCTGGGTTGCTTTGTCTCTTCCACAAGTTGTGGCCGTACACATTGTTAAGCACGTTCAGTGGGTGGTCCGATGTATCTTGGAAGTCGTTGAGGTCTTGTGAAGAAGGCATGAATGCAGGTAGATTCGGACTTGATCCAGCTACGAGCAGCTTCTTTACCACGCCCAGTGAACCAACTTCACACGCCCAAGTGAGGAGATGAGGGAATTCCTTTGCGGCCAACGCGTATAGTCTTGGATTGGAGATATAGTGGAGTTTTCGACTTGCTGCAGAAAGAGAATTCAAGTCGGCTACATCGTCTAGGAATCCTGCTATCTTGACGAGAAGCTCGTTTGGCAAGCTTTGAAGGGGCGTCATCTTGGAAATATTTCTGACACAACGTCAGAAATACGGGTGTTAATAGAGGAAAATCCTGAAGCTGCAATCGAATGGATTAAGGTAGTTTGATAACGATGTTTGCCAGATCGGCTGAATTTAGGAGTGTGTAGGTGATTTTCCTGTGGGTTGAAAGTTGAAGAATGCACTTTGAAATGTTCTTGCTTTTGGCAAATACTATTAATCGTTATGGTCTAGGTAAGCTAGCTTTAAATAGTAGAGAGCAACGATTTCAACAAAAATTCTGGCGGGAACGAGTCAAGGAAGGAAGCGGGATAATGGTTGAGAAAGAGCAAACACCAGGTAAGAGTCTAGTAAATACTAGACTTGCTAGGCCTATATTACCTTGCCTATTTTACAGAGGTATGGCCAAAGCTCTCGTCTGTAAGCAAACAACTAACAAAACTAGTAAAACGAGGTCGATATAAGGTAGGTAGGCAGGTTAGTTTTACGAGTCCATGATAAATTTTAAACACTTTAAGTTGATAAATTCTATGACCACCTGCAAACAATTCACTGATGGTTCTTTTCCCATCAAGTGCAAACAATGTTCGTTGTTATTCATTAATCCGATATCAAAACATCCGTTCTGGCAGTTTTTCCTTGTGAAGTTGACATATATGAGTGTTCCCGACGAAGATGCTGGTCAAAAGTTTGGACCATTTGCTGATATATGGATGGACCAAATCCCTGAGCCACAGCCTACTGCGCCACCGCCATAGTTCCCGATTGCATGTACCACTATGGACATCCTACTAAGTGAAGCTACAGGGCTAATAGCGCAAACTCGAATAGGCTTATAAAATAGCATACCCATCGGCCTGTCACTAAAACTTACACAATACAAAAACCTAACACGTGCCAAAATGTCTTCACAACTGCAAAAGAGCAAGCTATGCTTCATCGGCGGCGGCAACATGGCCGGTGCCATCATTGGCGGCCTCGTTACCAAGGGCATTAACAAGCAGAATATCTACGTCTCCGAGCCGTGGGACGTGAACCGGGAAAAGATAGCGGCCACCGGGGTGCGCACCTCCGCATCCAACGTCGAGGCCTCGCAAGACGCCGACCTCCTCATCCTCGCCGTGAAGCCGCAGGTGACGAAAGGCGTGTGCCAGGAACTCGCTGGCGCCTGGGCCGGGCGCGCGTCTTTGCCCTTAATTGTCTCAATCGCCGCGGGCATCACGCTGGAGAGCCTGAAGGAGTGGTTCAAGCTAGCGGATGGGCGCTCCCCCCACATAATCCGCGTTATGCCGAACACCCCCGCCCTGCTCGGCGAAGGCGCATCAGGCCTCTTCGCGAGCGACGACGTGTCCCAAGAAGAGAAGGACCTCGCCGCATCGCTCCTAGCCAGCGTGAGTAAAGTGGCCGAGTGGGTAGACCGAGAAGAACTGATTGACGTCGTTACCGGGCTATCGGGTAAGACGCATCCCCCCCGTTCGTTAAGGTCAATTGAAACCTGCTTAGATATCGTCTTATTCTAGGATCCGGGCCGGCGTACTTCTTCGCCGTGGTAGAGCACTTGATTGAAAGCGGAATAAGTCTAGGACTTACGCGAGAGCAAGCTACTCGCCTGGCAAAGCAGACCTGCTACGGAGCGGGTAAGATGCTCGTCGAATCATCCGACGAGCCGGCGCAGCTGCGAAAGAATGTGACCAGCCCCAAGGGAACTACGGAAGCCGCGCTGAAAAGCTTCGAGGCTTCTGGACTTAAGGAAGCCGTGGATAAGGCCGTGAAGGCTGCGGCTGACCGTGGCAAGGAATTAGGAGAGACACTTGCTAAGTCGTAGTTCGATGTCTAGGTCTAAGTAACGGGATGGCTCACGATCAAATATCGTACCCCAGGAGTATTAGAATCATGTTTTAACCGAGTTCAAAAGTATTTTTCGGCGATCGAGATAAATAAAAAAGCTCAGTCATCCATTACTTGCATGTTCGTTACCTTAGAAAGATCTAGTGATAACGATGGAGTGAACTTGACGACGTTTTGATTGTAAGATAGGACGGAGTCACGAATGGTTTAACCCAGATTATTTACATCAGAATGGTTTAACCCAGATTATTTACATCAATGTGGATCCATACCTATAGGTTATCGTCAAAAAATTATTATCATCGCAGCAATGTCTCTAGGAAAACAAGGGTAATTTAATGAGACCCTAGATTGGATATTTCGTTTCAATTACCGATTTCGCTGTTTGTAAGGAGTTGTTGGTTATCAAGCAAACCGCCCTACTGAAGCTGGGCCGCATCTAACCGCCCATCAAACGCCGCTTCTTATCGCCGTCGCATTGATCGAACCAGCCCCTACAATCGCAAACTAATTGAAGCACTAAGAAACATCGATTTCGAATTCATTCGTGACGAACCTATCTTTCGTCTTATTCTACCTACTGAGGGGTTGCCAAGAGCTTTTCAATATCCGGTGTAATATCTACAAGTGGGAATTCCGTCCTATTTCCGGCCGAGGTGCCGGGAACGATCGGATCGCTGAACCATTCGATCACCGCGAAAACGGTTCCGGATACTTCGACGGTTGCAGTGTTGAAGGATTCGGGGTCCAGGGAAGGATCGTTCGGTATAAGGCCCAGATATTCGGCGGCTTCCCACTTGCCGTCCGCTGATCTCAGCACCGAGACACCCCTGTAATGCTCCGAAACGAGTAGCACTTTCCCTTCGTATTTCGGCGGTAGGTATATAGCGTCGAGCGACTCGATCGAACTATTAGACGGGGTCCTGGGAACGAGCACAGGCGTGCCTTTGTCTGCTGTCAGGTCGAAACGGTAAATTTCGCCGCTGCCGGTTTCATTCTTCGCGTCGCTGACCAGGAGAATATCTCCGATCGCCGCGAGACCGGTGAGCCCAGCGTAGGTATGGTCAATAGTCTCAGGCAAATACCATGGTTCGATGCTACTACCATCCGGCTCGACCCGTAATATCGTGCCCGGATAACTTCCTAGCACGTAAACGTGGCCGCGGGAATCATGCTCGACGTCTTGCTGACCGCCATATAACCCCTGGCTCACCTCGGTGATGTTAAGGGCCCATACGAGCTCTTTCCTGACGGGATCGTATCGCACGATGTAGTCGTCACCTGAAATCTTGTGGTCAGGGGTTTCATGTGGAACAGCGGAGTCGGCAAGGATCGATATCAAGTTCGTGTACGGATCCCATGCGACACCCCCGACGTGGAATGACCTAGTGCGTGTTACGCCTGGGAATTCTATCGTCAAGACCGTCTCGGCCTTGTACGGGTCGTACACGATTACCGATGCGTTGAAAAGCGCGCTTATTATGTACTTCTTTAGCTGCAAGCCACATCACACGTCAAATGTGAGACAACGACGCACCCGAAGTACAAGAGACATTGATTCAGATCGAAGTCGGCGTTCTCGGGGTAGAGCTGGTACGAGTCGACGATAATTGTCCCGCTGTCAAACGGCGCGCATTCACTCCGGCGCGAGATGTGATGGCCTCTCGCGTTCGCGACGTCCGACAGCAATGCTGCCCAAAGCCATGCGAATTGCAAAAGCATGATTGCGATCCGCAAGAAAGGGGCGACACCTAGTGTGATAGAACCCGAAAATGGGGCCTGTCGATGCCCTCCATTATTGTATGTATACCCCAACGTCGTATGTGACGACCCGGTTACTTCGCGTTGTGTTACAATGCGGTGGTTCTCCCCTCTCTGCCGCGTATCCTACTCGGTAGTTTAAAAAATGCCAATTCTAGGCGTGTTTAAATGAGCAACGAATCGAAGGTTTCACCCGGACGGATGCTTCTAGATAGCAGACACCCCGCATCACGAAATTGAGCTCGTGGAGGGTATATAGGGTGACTTGGTTGGTGACGTCGAATAATTAGCCCAGTTCCACGAATACCACTCACGCTCGAAACACAAGATTTGGTAGATAGATTAATCAGCCCTATGGCTAAAGGCTCATGAAATCGGGTATTGAATTGTAATCAAGGTGACCGATCACCCGGAACTAGTCTCGCACTCTCCACATTGCCAACCTGCTTGGCGCAGGCAGATTGGATGATCTTATCTGTGTACTCTTACGCAAGTGTACCCTCGACGATGCTCTTACTGTCGACGACAAATCCATATCCATTCTGTAGTTATTATGAGTAAGATATATAAAACATCAAGATGGGAAAATGAAAGCCGATTATGTAAGTGGGAATAGGCAATAGACAGTATCGTCAATCCGTAGCCATATTCCCCTCCAAGCCATGTAGATATCCTCAAGTAGGTAGTAAGTACATAGATATTGGCAATGGGTGACTTACCGATGTATTGTAAACCGTGACGTCCTGCCCTCCCGGAGTCGTCGTAGCACAGCAGTCTTCGACCATGATGCAGTCCCATCCGCGATAATACGCATCGGCCAAAGTTCCCAACACGCATTGATCCGTATTAACGCCGGCGAACAAGAGCGTGCGATACCCGCCAGCGGCGAGCTCCTTCGCGAGCGGCGTCTCCCCGTGCCAGAAGCCCGAGATGCGATTCTTACTGCAAAACACGTCCAAGTCCGCGCGGCTGGCATCCTGCAGGGGATCGTAGAGCTTCGCATTCCAAGAACCCTCCATCAGCAGACGGCCTCTCCCGTCGCCCATGTCGGAACCGAACCCGTTCCTGGCATATTTATCGTCTTTGGGTGGAGTAATGAGGCTGCTAGCGAAGCTGCGCTCAGTGGCTGCGGGCATGGCGCTCAGGTCGCCATCGTTCAGCCCCCAATTGAGCCAGATGATCTAGACTCGATGCTAGTGTCAGTGCTGCTTTTCTCTCTCCAAATCCATGATTTATCAGCGCCTTTATGTGATTATGAATGAGAATTGTACGACTGTCATGTGAAAACACATGTTCGGCTACCGACGCCTTCTGCTGTACCTTGACGTCAACCTCTCGACATTTCTTGATGACCTCGAGGGTGTGATCTGCTGCAGCTAAGCCGGTAGGGTGGTCATTACACCTCGGATGCAGAAAGAAATTCTGCATATCAACTACGACTAGAGCGCTCAAGGCTGGCGCCAATGCGATTGATGCATTCGGAGGTCCCTGCGTTGTACGAATAGTGAAGCCGGGCGAGGAAACCCCGCGGGTGAGATCGTACGTCTTGGTGTCACGGTTGTATGTCCATTCGTCGCCCTTAGGCCCAAATGTCAGAGTCGGTTGCATTATGAGTGGACGAGTGTCGAATAATTGGCAACACAGATGGATCACTTGCCAAGCTAATAAACCAAAGTGAGGTAAGGAGGGCGGACGATCGTAAAAATCGCCATAATATGCGAGGGGTAGAGAAATAAGAGCCACTAAGAGTTGGAGTATGTTCATCACGGTCGCCGGCCTCGCGATTCGGGGCAGTGATACCGACCCGACCAACTACAACCTGCTTACAATCGGGTAGCTGCAGGACACCGATAAGGTGGAGAGAGGAGCTCAGCTTCTACGCCGCATGTGGTAGCTGTGCCACCACTCCTTCCCATAGATAGCTGTCACGATGGAGTTAGTTAGCAGTTAGCTTGCTAATTGCCCAACCATATGCCTCCCTGCATACTTCGTGTATTCAGCTGTCGCAGCCATGACGACATTGTTTAAAAGCAATATTGCATCTGTACTTACTAGTTGACGCATAACCGTCTGTTTGGATCTTGGACATATAAAGAGCTTCGGTATCCTCTTCAAGTGCTATATTGATGAATTTTAATATTGTTAAATAATAGTCAACAACACTAGAGCCCTCACAACTTGAGCCTATCAGAAGATTGAATTCAACATTAACCTACGACTTCTTCAAAGTCCACGATGGTTGAGGCAAATATTACTGGCAAAGTGCTGTCGCCATCGCGAATGGCGCACATCGTACTTAGAACCCCGAGGTACAAGTCTATGGTCGAGTTTTATAAGAGCTTACTAGGCGCTCATGTTGTGGCCGAGACGGCAGTCATGGCCTTTTTAACTTACGACGAGGAACACCATCGTATCGCAATATGCGCGATACCGGGATGTGGTGACAAGGTGCGCAGCAGCGCGGGTTTAGATCACATTGCCTTCACTTTCGACTCGTTGAACGACTTCGCAACAGCCTATCTCCAGCGGAAAGCGCGTGGCATCTTACCCGTATGGTCCGTAAACCACGGACCGACGACTTCCATGTTGGACTTCCCCTGAAACCCCATAATAATAGACAGCTTGACTAACGTCTTAGTAGGTATTATCAAGATCCCGACGGAAACGTGATAGAGACGCAAGTAGACAATTTCGATACGGTTGAGGAAGCCACCGAGTACATGATGGGCCCTGAACTGGCCGAGAACCCCTTCGGAGTTGACTTCGACCCCGAAGACCTAGTCAGGCGTTTGAAGAGCGGTGAGCCAGAGGTTGATATCAAGAAACGTCCTAATATCGGTCCTCGAAGTATAGATGATGTTCCTCTTCTCCATCTGCCTCCACCCGTCGTGAAAGACAGTTATGAACCTATCGAGGGCCTATCTAACGCCACGCCTGCGATGCAAAAGTTCCAAGCCGGTTCAGTGGCGGTGTAGGAGACGATGTACGACTAAAGTAGGACTAGCATCTCAGTCTCCGCAATGAGGGATATGTATTATAGTCACCTGAATTCATCCTTGGCGGTGTGTCAGGCCAGTCACTGTAGGATCAAAAGAAAAGCGGCTCTCGGAAATTTTTTAAAATGAACAATATGGTTCGACCCGGTCCGAAATCATGAAAAGTGACGATATTATCGGGTAGTATTTCTCGGAAAGGAGTCATCGTCTCGGACAGTCCCGTTCTAGTGGGACGTATAATGATGAACATTGTTACTAATGAGAAAATGCGGTATTTGGAATGGTTCACTCTATAGATGCCAATCGGGTCTATCCAATACACACCCCAGCGACGCGCGAGGGTCACACTTGAAGTGAGATACGAAGATGCATGATCGCAACGAAAGAGCCGATCCCAGGAGGCGGTAATAGAAGAACTGCATGAAGCGGCGACCGACTCGGATCCGATGACAACGAGCGGATCGGCAAGTTGATGACGGTACGCATCGTTGACATCCTTCGCTATGAGATCGTGACACGTCCCAAAGACGTCAATATCAAGAATGACATAGTATCGAATGTTATGATCTGCATGTTCGTATGTTCAAAGATCCTGTATTATGATGGAGGCTGATGAGATCAGACGAAACGGATGCCGACAAGTCATTTGATATTCGATGATCAACGCATGATGTTCGTCAAGGACTCATACCAGCATTGACGCGATCTTGGGGAAAATCGAGTCGACTTGCTGCCACTACGAAGATCGACAACTAAGCTGAGGTCGACCTTGTGAAGATCGTGACGAGGATCAATATTTCCTTCGCACGTCCGAGCAATCAATCTGTGATTCAGTCGATAACCCATATCGCTTTGAAGTACCCAGCAGCTCCTTGCGAAGAGACAAGCCTTAATTTTTAGCTCCTAGAGCATTGCCTTGACACGTCTTCGGATACGCGCCTAGATAGGTACATATTCTACAGGTCGCTTCCGCTTCATCACTTAAAATTGGAGTTATTCGATGGTTTTAAAGCTCTACCTAGGTATTTGAATATGCGAATACGGAAGCGCAGTTATTGAGTGCACAAACGACCGAGGCTACTACTTGGAAAATTAGGGGCCTTCCTAAGAAATCTAGTTCTAACCGCCGATTCGTATAACGGTCAATATTTGCGATCTATTCTGCCAGTTAGTACCTAGTATCGCGCCAATAATAGTCGTATCCAAATGACAACCTACCTATAGTAGATACCATAGAATAATGTGGAAGATTTGAAGTCGGATCAAACTACGACAGTCTCGAAGTTGTCTCAAAAGCCCTGGTGAAGCTGTTTGATCGCTCTCTCTAGCAGGGATGTTCATTAAAACTCAGGGGTCTAGAAGCTGTCGGAGAAGGCCGTTTCAGGAAGATGGTGGGCCACCAGAACGCCAAGCCGTCGCCAAAATCAGCTCAATTTCCAGAAGGGATAGGCGGCCTAGTAGTAGTACCTATAATTCGCATTTTCTAGCTACAAAATGGGCGCTCTTGGTTTACCTAAGCCCGATTCTTAGCGATACCCTTCTCCGAGGTTTAAGATCATGCCAGCGCTTCAACTCAACAAGAGAAGTTGTTTGAACGACAACTAGTAACTCTCGACATATTAGTAGATTTTCTAGGAGTTTAGGTACCGTTCATAAGATATAGTATGAGGCTCAAAATCGCAGTGAGGACACGGTCCTATCATCTATGAGATGAACCGTACTATTGGGTAAGCGACATAAATACACCGAACCCAGCTGTTGCTGATCTTTAAGCCTCAACCGCGCCTTACCTGAAAGATCTTCAGAGCCGCGCATGGATCGTACCAGCGGGATACTACCAATACTATGTAACCGAAAGACCCTCGTGTCGCGACTAGATCTTTACTAATCCCTGTTAGTGTAAGATGCCCCTTATTAACAGGGACGACCAAGAGCCCAGTGCTTCAAGAGCCTCCCTGGGGCCATATCTGATTCCGCCAGCTGTTCCGCTAACCGCTCATGGAGCTTTATCGACCATATGCAACCAGCTGGAGTCGCGAGTCTTTAGGGCTGTTGAAGCACTTGGAAGTTTCGAGCCTAGAGCGCCAGGTATACCTGGCTACTTACTCGTGCTGCAAGACATCTCTTCGGGCTTCAGATCCTAGCTACACATCGGTACAATACTCCAACATGGGACGAACGAGGACGAATGCCTGCCGGAGTAGGGTTGCTGTTGGTGCCATGAGTGATTCATATCCCTGCCACCATGCTAGCTCACCATCTGATCTCAATGCTAAGATGAAGGACGATCTGCAGAAGGGGCTCGCCAAAGCCTGCCCGGACTAAGTACCCTAGTTAATCGTGCCATCGCCGACTTTGGGGTCGTTCATGTGTGCCATCTATATAATGGCTATGCTCCAGCTTCGTACCGTGAACTCTACTACTTCCTTCTCCATCAAGCTTCAGTTCATTCTTTGACAGTCGATTCGTTTCAGTTCTGCGAACTTTTTGTTCTCGACCTTCTTTTCTCTGCCTAATTACATTCATTACGAACCGCCAGGCCGGTCTTTACTCAATTCTATTCATCCAATTACCTAGTTAGGATCCGTCCTCTTTACATACCTTCTTTCAAAGAACTTGAACTCGTTGCTTGAACCAAGTTTGTTCTTCTTCGTCACCATGTACACCAAGGCTACTCTCATCTCCGCTCTTCTCGCGGTTGCCGAGGCTCGTTTCGGCCAGGAGCAAGTCCCTGTTGCCGGCGTCCAGGCTCTAAGCAACTTCGGTAGCCCCGGTGAAGCCGCAACTCTCGCAGGCTCTGTTCCCGGCGTGTTGCTCGCCGCCGCTAACCCGTGCGACAAGCTCACGTTGGCCGACAAGATCGTGTCGAGTCTCGGTACCGACCCCTCGGTCATTGTCGCGGCGCAGAAACTCGTCGCCGCCGAGCAGAACTTTAACCCCTTCGTTGTCAGCGTCCCTAACATCTGCGGCGACGCCACTCTTCCCGCTACCACGGAGCTCCGTGGCATTGTTCCTCTAGTCGATCCCGCCGTTACCGGCTCCGATACCGAGAACGCCAACTCGGCGACATCCTTGCAGACCCCCTTCGACGCCACTGGCCTAAGTGTAGGCGATGTTATGAAGGCCCAGGGATTCTCGAACTTCACCATTGCTGGCGCTACCGCCAACGCCGGTGCCAGCAGTTCCGCAACCACCGCCGCCGCCGCAGCCACTACTTCCGCCGTTGCGACTAAGTGTGGCGGTAGCAAGGCGACAAGCGCCGCCGCTGCCAGTCCCACTACCGCTGCCGCCGCTGCTACTTCCTCTGCTGCTTCTACTACCAACAACAACTCCGGCAGTGCTACAAACAGCAACTCGACGACCCAAGCCGGCGCCGGTGCCGTCAGCGATCCCGTAACCGGTACCTTCCCCGGTTTCCAGGCCTCTTCTCTCGGTCTCGACTTCGGAACCTGCACGCCCACCGTCAAGTTCGAGGAGTCGCTCAACGGCCGCAAGGCAGGCGAGTTCACCTTCCAGGCCCAGGACCCCGTCGTCAACAAGGGCCAGCAGGAGGCCTTGAACCCCAACATCATCTTCAACCGCATCTGCGACCAGCTCGTAAATGTGTGTAACGCCGCTGCGGACGCGGTGACTGCTTGCCGATCTGCTCAGACTAGCCTTGGATCCGGTGCTAAGGACGCGTCGACGGCTAATGCGTGGAACACCGCTCTTGGCTTCGACGGTGTCAACATCAACCCTGATAACGCTCCCCAGGCTGGTCTCGTTGGCCACACTTAAGTGGGCTCGTGTAGAGCTTGTTGGACATGATGAGATAGTCGCTTGTGATCATGCGCAGCAGAGGGTAGTTAGGAAATATAACGTGTCATGACGAATTAAGAACTTATATTGTATTATTCATTTAAAATAAACTTCGTGTACAACAATCGTAGTGCCATTCAGTCCTTCTTTGTACATTCATTGTCCTATAACTACCTACCTGAGAGTACCTAGGTAGGTAGCCACGTGAAGACGAGAAGTTATCTTCCGTTCAGCTTTTCAAGCTACCTACCTAGCATAGGTAAACCCTTGGTTGGCTTATCCGATATCACAATTGATCCATTCATCTCTTTTCGGGGTATTCTTCATATAGTCGTATTCATCATAACTCCCTGGTTCTTTAAACATGAGTCCGTAATATGAAAGCTCCTGTTTTCAAGGAGTATAGGAGTTCTCATGACATATTCAGCTTGTGTAATCAGGAAGTTTAAACCCCTTTTCCTTCAGCAGCCAAACAAAGTTAGATACACATCAGAAATAAAAGTTATCATTCGTATCAATTATTCCTAAGAAAAGAATGCATAAAATAAACAATAACGGCGTCCTTTCCCCTGACAAGAGACTCCTTTTTACGAACTGCCCTTGAATGGCCCTCCTAAGCTTTTTCACACCCATATGATATCGAGGACAAATTTGTTGGTAAACGGCTCCGAACCTAGGTAGTATACCTAGAAAACAGTAACACGCATTATGGGCGTGAGTCTACTACATACCAGGTAGATACCTATTCGGTTTCTAATCTGAAATTCAACTTTAGGTACAGAATTGAAAAGGGGTTCACAACCTAGCCACCACATACCATTAGGGCTGCATACTTAGCATGTTTTGCCCTTGATCGGATCATCTCGGTGTAATAATCAGTTCCTGCATGAATTGTACCGTTTCATCAGATCTCAGATATTACCAGATGCTATCCGAGCTGCATGTTAGACATACTTAGTGCCGCAACCACAAGGAGACCTGAGGAGTAGAGTAGCCAAGATCCCTTGCCGGATTACTCTTGTGTAACTGTTATATTATCCCGTATATTCTAATGGAGTGTAGCATTCTTATATACTACTCATACCAACATGTAACGACAATACACCCCATGCCGTTTACTTACAATCCAATCCGCATCCCTTACAACATTATGAAGTAATGGAAAAGAAATCCCTCGATCAATCTTAGGTATCAGGTTACTGTTGGACACCAAGTATTGGTGAAGCAAGTGAGGGCTTATTCAGATTGTACACACCATCTCCGATGTTGTTGGTTCAAGGTTGTAGTGAGTCGCTATAATATTATGTAAAGGTGAGAATAAGCTTCTATAACAAGACGAAGCCTTATTATGAAGTATCAAATACATTTACCAACCTAGTAGCCATTAAAATCGTGTTTAAGTGTTTATTATTTTCATCATTTATCTCATCCCCCTTAATTAATTCTATCACATACACCTAGTGTTATATTGAAGTTTATAGTCGTCAGTTTGAAAAGCTCCTCTTAATAATAGAGATATCTTAGTTTAAACTATGTCACATTTTCTCAACAGGCTTCTTGTTGGATTATTTCTTTTGATAATTGCAGTGAATGCTGATTATGTAATTTTCGATCACCGCTTCATTACTACATCGTTTCACTAAGTAAATATATGCTAATGCTCGGGTAACTCTCGGGTGAGATCGGCTTGCAAGTAGCCTCTGGCAACCATCATGCAAGTCACAATGGAACTGAGCTTACCTACCAATTGACCATCTACTTCAGCTAGGGAGAATTTGATGTTGGCGCAGAGTGGACAAGAACCAAGCCCCCTAGCCGATATTATACCCGATTGTACTCGCCCCTCCCAGTAAGCCTGTTTACGGCACAAATACACTTCCCGGTACATCCGGCTGGGCTCCTATAGGTCTTCGTATGACGCTATATTTCGGGCCGCATGGTGTTAGGTCGGTCCGAGTCTAGCTGGGTGGCTATATTGCAGAGGTATAACATCCAAGGCAGTTTTAGGGCGCTTTCCGCGCTCAAGGTGTTAATAGCTAACAGGCCTTGACGAAGATCCGGGTCTTATTACCTAATACTGGTTAGTCCCCATGTGTTTCAATACAGAAGAATAATATAAAAGGCCAATCATTTCATCCGTAATAGTATACAAGGCTGTGTCAAGGTGATGGCAATGCAGTACATTAGCTCCGTGCCATTCCTGAGATTATCTGGTATAACTTTTAGCTAGAATGTTCAATATAATAGTCACATGGGCTATTGATGTTGATCTACTGCGTTAGGGCTGTTGCTGGGATCTTCTAGCTTATCTTATATTATAATAACGCTAACCGGATGTCCTAAATGCATCTCCATAATACGCGATAATGATGTCCAGCTGACTGCTTCAACCCCCTGGCCGACTTGTTCCTTGGAACTTCTTCATGGTGGTCTCGATTACGTTGACGGCAATGAAGTCCGTGGGACACTCGCCTACCTACTTAGTTGAGATGTTGTTGGTGTGTCCCGAAGATGTCACGGAAGTTTGGAGTAGAAAATATGCTTGATGCTCGAGTGACGCGTACGAAGGTAGTGTCGAGCGACGCGACGCGGTCGACGCGGTTCTTCCTCTGAATCGTTCAATTGTCTAGGATTGGGTAGACTGCTTCTGGTGCTCCGTCTGCCCTACACCTACGCAAACGGATTTGAAACGGTTTACATGGTATAGGGAAAGTAGTGGGAAGTTATCCACGAAGACCCTCGTCCTCAAGGTACTCCACCTTCCCGCTGCTTGTGTAGGGCTCTCCAAAAGGATCCTATATCTCCGCCAGGTAACAATATTCGGCTGTTGCCTTCCTATCTGCATCGCAGGCTAGGAAACGTGAAAATATTCTGCGAACTATCAACGGCGTCGCTCATTATCATCTAATTCCAGTTCTCTTGCATGCCACGTGTCTGGTAACATTCTCGCTTTTGGTATTGTGGCGCTCGATGTGCATCGCAGCAAGCCCAGTTCTTAGCACTGACGTCTTCCCGACTACCTACCTTGGTAAGTATTGGTTATCGTACATGCCACCGATCTGCAAGCGGGCTGTGCCGCCATGTGGTGCTGAGTCTGATCCGCTTAAGAGGGTAAAAAAACAGTTCTCCGGTGAGGATTTCCACTCTTCGCAACTGAGCAGTCTGTGTTAGTGCATCTGTTTTAGAAGTGCATTACTAGTACGGATGCACTGCAAGTCAAACGTTCCAACTACGAGAAACCTAGAGGATGAGCTAGAGCATGTGCTAGGGATGAGAGGCCGATAGACGAGCTCCATACATCGCCATCGCTTGGTTCTTCTGCATCTGTCCGACGCTGCATCCCCAAGAGGTATCCGTTGATTAGGTATTTATGTTTCAATCAAATTTCTTGGCATTTCTTATCAGCGTAGGTTAAGGGGGAGGCATTCCAACGGCTTGTCACGCCACATGCGCACAGTTTCCCACGTTGCCTCCTCTTATTTTGCGGGGAAATCGAAGCGGTCAGCGACATGAGGGGCAGTCTGGGCAGGGAGACAGGCATGCGGCATGCCTCTGCTATATATTTTATGGGACCCGTAGCCTGTAGACATGCTGGGTAATATGTATAATATGATATTTTAGGAATCGCTAGGTTACCCCGTTACCTCGTGGTATTTCAGCATACCCGCATGCCCCCTATAGCTGTGGATATCGATGGGCAACATCTTGCACGCGAATGTCATGGTTTTTTCGATAATCGAGCCGATGGACTCCAGGGCTTCGGCTGATCGTCGACAGCTCTCGGCCGGGACGGCCCGAGGATTCGGGACCAGAATGGTTCGCGACCGTGCCGTCAGCATGCATCCGTTTAAGTGATGTACAAAATAATTATTGACATCTGCGAGGCTTAGTCACGATTGGCACTAAGTAGTACCAAAGATAGGTCTCTAGTAGCTTTATGTTATGCGGGCGAACCTGATTTATGTATACATACTCGATACTACGTACATTACATACACCACCACATACACTACATACACTAATAATCTATCAACCCAATCGGTCCAACGCGAGCTTTTCCTCCAAACATCGATGATCTCCTGCAACTAAATCTTTATTGGATCTTTCCTGCCACGGTGTCGGGCACGTCTTCCACCACCGTCGTCTCGTAACCCCTAAGTTCGAAATACTTCTTGAACTCGGGATCCTCAGTTAGCTGCGCGACCAATGACCTCTCGAACGGTATCATGAACTCCCATCCTTCGTCGGGATTGGAGGTTACCCTAGGCGGGTAGATGATGACTAGTCCCTCGTCTATCTTATTCGCGAAGAGATGTCTGAATGCTTTGGGTCGCGCGAACCCAAAGTCGGCTTCCGTAACCTTGGTATCACGCCAGTCCGTCATGATAATCGTCAAAGATGGGAATGAATCGATACGGATGAACAGAGACGTCTTGTCACGGATGGGTGCTACTGATTCCATTGCCTTACGTAATGCGTCTTCTGTCATGCTATTGGTCAGGCTGCGGATATAGGACGCAAGCTTTGATAAGGGCGCCTCTGAAATCACCTCCGCATTGGTTATCCTGGTTGGAGCGGTCGCCGATAAGGCAGCAAAGAAAACGTTCCTCTGGATCCTTTCAGGCTCAAGTGGGGTGAGCCGCTTCCTCATGTTGATAGCTTCACCCCATAAGCTCGACTCGTTGGGATCTACATTGTAGATAGTAGCACGATGCTTAGAGAGGTATCTCCATAGGAAAGCAGAAACAGCATCGTAGGTCGAGATCCAGGAGCCGTCCGTGGGGCTGGCGAGCTTCTTGAGTTCTGCGGCCTTGCTCTTCGGTAGGTGGAGGAGCATGGCTGCCGATGGTGGGTGGGGGTAACGGCTAGGTGCAGGAGGGCCGTCGATTTTGGATTCTTCGGGCACCTCCTTTGCGATGAAGCGTGTATGACGTACCGCTTGCATATCCCAACCGGGAGCCGGAGTCTTGTTGACAATAGCAGCGCAGTTGTCAGCGAGCTGATGGGCAACGCTGGCCCAACCCATCACGTCGTTGGCGTAGTGGTGAGAGTGCATATTGAGAATTAACCCTCCCGGGATGAAGTTAGCTTGGAATGCCGAGACGAATGGGCTAGCATCCGGGTGACACTCGGGCCTTTCACCGTAAACGAGGCCGTTCCAGCTCAAAGTCGGGATCTTATCCCCGATCTTCGATGAGGCGAAGTGGGCATCTTCGAGCTCGGAGAAGGAAGGGAAGTTATCCTCCGGCGAGTCGAGGTGCTGAATGATAAATCCGACTGTGCTGTCCTTCTTCTTGACGAACGAATGGTCGCCGTGCTCGTTCTTCTCGATAGTGCCGACGAGGTGTCTGGCCTGGGCGAGGGTTCGTTCGAGACCCTCCTTGATCACTTCAGCGATCCTGGCCTTGTCGGCGCCTTCGTCTAACTTGAAAAAGAGCGCATAGTTGTTATATACGCAAGCAGCTAAGTAATCAAGGGTAGAAAGTCTGATGCTTTCCTCCTCAGGGTCGTTCTCCCAACCCCAAGGGTGAAGCTGATATTCTTGTTTCGTCGGCATGGTTGATAATCTATCTGCTCGATAACAGGTTCACAATAAACTTGGCAATAAGGGCAACTTTGGAGAAAATGGCATTACATTGAAGCTGTGCGACTCGACTTCGGTTTTAAATAATTTCCAAGACTCACTGTCGGACAGGTTACTTGGCCTCGACACTATGAACGACTAACAACGAAGCACACCTAGCCGGGTATTACAGAGTACCTAGTTGGAGGACTAATGCGACGGTGGGGTGCGAAATGTATAGGGGTTCGTTTCCTAGCCAATGCAGGGGGAATCAACAAGTCCAACACTCTTTGCTATACGGAAGGCCTGGGAAGGCCTGGCCTCGATGTCGATACCTATCTCATGGATGTAAGGATATCGAAGTTAAAGCTACACTAGCTGGGTATGTACTGCGTGGAGTGTGCTAGCCATCTTCCATTCGTCCCCTGCAATAATGTAATCGTACGGTCCGTGCGGATTCGTAGGTGGCAACGCTTCCCGAGTTCATTTTATATTACCAGCGACATAAAATGACGACGTATGTTCGATCTCTAATAAAAGTGATAGGTCGGTAAGGTGCTGTTAGCCGAATGAAGCAACCTACCTACCCGAGTCTCACCCGTTTATACGCGTGTACGAAATACATCGTAAGCCCCATTGTCGCCTCATGGGTAAGCGGCCCAGGAGTAAGGTTACGAAGGTTACACCCAAGAAAGGGAGGCATGGTTAGCGTGATAATTTCTTTGCGTCTTCCCCTTTTCGTATGGATCTACACATACCCCCCTGCTATCCCGCCTTTCTCGTTTCAAATCGTCAATGCATGGAACGTTGGAAGGTTGGAACCAAAACAGAACTGAAAGAATCACATTTCTTAGTCATTCTTCCATCCTCTTGCGGTTGAAGATGATCTTTATACCGACTGAACTCCACGATGTTCATCCCCCCCCTTTGGGACTCATCGCGCGTCGTCCATCGCATTCTCGATGACACGTTCAATTGCGCGAAGTGTCCCAGCTAAGCCCTCATCCGATTTTGCGCCTGGGACATCATGGCCTAGATCGTGCAGAAACACCTCCCTGACTTGATCATCGCAAAGTCGAGATAAAGATTCGTGGACTTTAATCTCATCGGGTCCAGCAGTCCGGGACCAGATATGGGCGGTTGGAATCTTCAGCAAAACCCCATCCGTGTCTGGATCGGCGTGCTTGATTACGCCAGATCGGACTAGGTCAGGGTCGAACGGTGGAGCTGCGCTGAAAAGCACAGCGCATTTGAACCCACCGAAAGAACCATGTCTTGCGTCCTCGACCAGCATCATGGCCGCCACCGTTCCGCCCTCGGAGAACCCCATAATCCCGTCGAATGGGCCTCGGCTCTCCACGAACTCTATCATGTTGTCGCAAAGATCTTGGTCTTGTTCTACGTTATGCGCAACATACCCGAAAAATTCGTCAGCGAGAGCCTCAGCACCTGCGTGGTGTTAGCGTTGTGACTGGAGGGTGACATTCGGTAAGAGATGCTGGTTATTGTCTCATACCGACTTGGGGCGGCGTGGCAACTGTGCCGTTCGCGAAGACGAATTCGTGGTCTCGTCCAAGAGCCTCCCGGATCCTTGCTGTGCCTAGAAGTTAATCTCGGTCTGACAGAACAACAACCACTCGAAAGGCGGATGGGGAACCGAACCGGTCTGCATCTCAAAAATCTTCCAACTGCCGTCAGCACATGCTCCTGAAGAACGCCACAGGGGCATGTACCTGTGCGCTCGTTCCCCTTCCATGTAAACAAAGCCACCTCATCTTTGGAGATTTTGAATATCTCTATCACAGATTGGCCGTTCGTTGTGATGCAATTTAATGTAAAACCCGAGATGCGAGATGCGGCAGGGTTTTGGCGGTGATATGCAACGATCGTAAAGTTTTAATTCGCCGCTCCTCCTATAGAAATGTTCTCCGGCAATGTTTAATACTATCCGAGCGTTTCAAGAACAACTTCTAAGTGTGAAAGATGCAAGGCAGCCCGGTCGACTCTACTGCTTTAAAGATATTCTTCGATGCCGATCATACGGCTCGAAGAAACTTTCCTATATAGGCCGTACCGCAACACGGCAATGCACAGCAGCCGGAGATATTACCTATCAGGATTCCGGAATGCATAGGTAGTTGAAATGCATGCAGCTAGATCCTTGTTTTGTTGTGAAGGCGAACCTCCAATAGGAGGAAAATGCACACCACAAGAGTTTTGTCGGGTCAGAATCTAAGCTAAGGATGTAGGATTCATCTTAGCCTATTCGGCTGGCAACGGCCTCTTGATACTCGACATATACTACTTATATCAAGCTAAGCTCTTAGCTAAATGACATCAAGAAGAGTATGAACGATGCCCATTTGGTCTTTCATCTCTCGTAGGGGTCTTTGATTGTTTGCTTTAAGCTCGGCGGCATTGAGATGACACGAAGCATTGGCTGCATGCAATACGACGGTGCTGAAGGCAAAAGCTTTTTTTCTATCCCAGCATATGCTACGCTGTACCAGGGCTTCTACAGGCCTCTCTTCAGACATATCAATCAGCCCCATGAGCTACCCCGAACACTGTGCTAGGTTTGGAGATGGGCGATGGCGAAAGCAAAATAGGCCAAGGAAGATGATGTGAAGAAGCTTGAGCCAGTATGCGCTCCTCAGGGGATTTTAGTCTGCGAGAGGCTTTCCCGGGGCGTTTCCGGCCCCTTGCAAGTAGCCGGGATCTCGAAGTGTATCTGATATGTTACGACGGGGTAACCGAACGATCAATACTTGTGCTCTTCTTACTCGATCTCGATTATTCTCTTGCTGCATCTCATGTAATACTAAATCCCAAGAAAATCCGCGGCCAAGACGAAGGGAAAAATCATCACCTTCTTGTGCGGAGCGGTAACAATGGCAGACCTCCCTTCCCTTCCTCACGACCTACAGGAGGCTGCCCTTAACGGGCCTGCTCTTGCTCCTCCTGCAGGCGTCACTCCGAACTTCGATAACCCTCCTAATAGTAATGGGCTGGCATATGGTGTTATCGCCGCGTGTGTTTCTGTTGCAACTATTTGTCTCCTCATCCGTGGCTATGCGAGACTGTTCCTCTTCAGACAACTGAAGCCCGAAGACTGTATGGAATCCAATCTTACAAGCCGTCATGCTGACCACGTTGAAGCTGATTGATTCGTTTAGATATGATCGTTTTTGCTTACGTTAGTTATGTGACTCCTGGCATCCTCCGATGATACTGACCCCATTAGGGAACTTTTATCTGTTGGACGGTTTTCTCACTACTGCTGTCTAAAACCCCTGGCTTCTTCGTCCATCAGTGGAACCTTCACCTAAGGGCTATGATTGACACCGTCTTTGTGAGTGTCGATGTTGATACGGCTGAGCGACGCGGCTAACCTGCGGTAGTATATTCACTACGCTGGCGTTTTTTACTCAATCACCCTTCCGCTTCTAAAAATAGCTATCCTGACGGAATGGACTCGTATGCTTGTCCCCAGGGGCACTCGCAACGTCTTCTGGTGGTTTTGCAACGGTGTTATAGCTTCGCAAGTCATGGCTATGATTGCTATCGTATTTGCCCTCTGCTTCGTCTGCATCCCATATCAAAAGATATGGGATCTTACACTCCCGGGTCATTGCATCAATAAGCTTCACATCGATATCGGGGCCGCTACTGTCCATCTCACCACGGACCTTGTCATATTGTGTCTGCCGCAAAAGGTCATCTGGGGTTTACAGTTATCGCTTAGAAAGAAACTAGGTGTTTCTATATTCTTCTCTCTTGGTATCTTGTAAGTCAATATCGTGACCGAGCCCCATATTGTTTGAAGGTTTTACTAATACGCAAACCTACAGGGCATGTATCTCTGCTGCTTTCAGGTTAGGTGTAACAGTGACTTATGCAACCGATCCGGACACCACGTACACCTTCGGCCCCGTGATCTTCTGGGCTTTTGCCGAAATGACCTGTGGATTTATAATCGCATGTTTACCGTCTACTCCGAAGATTCTCAAGGACCACGGCATCCTCCACAAGATGAAGAGGATGGCGAAGTCCTTCGTGGGTATGAAGAACAGCACCCTGAGGAGCACGAAGCCTACTACAGGCACGGGGACCAATCCAAACAGCACATACCGGAAGATCGACGAATACGGTGTGCAGATGAAAGACCTCAAGAATTCGGAATCTACGGAGCAACTTCGAGACGACTCGATCAAATTCGATCAGGGCATCGTTCGCACTACTCGTGTCACCATCAAGCAGGAATATGTGGGCGATGTTGGGAAGAACGCAGTGGATCACAACGCCGCCTGGCGCAACTAAGACTAGGTACATTGATACCGGTAGGGGAACAGGAGTTGCGGCCTCGCTCAAGGAGGTTCATGGGTTGACAGACGCCTGTTATCGAACACCTTGTATATAGATGCTGGGTAGTCTGATGTTACAAAAACGGTTCGGCACAAAGAAATGTCGGGAAACCTTGGAGTCTAGTTGAGAAAAGGACGACTTCTTGTGTAGTATATATTCAAATGGCTTCATATCGAGTATATGTACTTGTCCTAGATGGACACTCGCCACCCACCATGTTCCCTTCATCATGCAGCAGCAGACTTCTTTCCCAAGGTGGTTGAATTTGGTGAATATCGTGGAACTTGGAAGCGTGGTTCTCGGATTTGGATACCCATCTTAAATATCCTCTAGATGCCTTTGCGCCATGATATCTTGTATCATTCAGTTATTCCAAGCTAGAATGACGTCTCCAAAATCCCGAATTCTCCGAGACATCTTCAAACTTTGGTAAGACATGGAATTTGTCCTCAGAACCAAGCATCCCAAGGGTCGAGTCGTGACAATCTGCAACTAAACCAAGATAATAATGATAATACAAGCCCTTGTCCATGCATGTTGACTTAGTCATTTTTGACAATTTCACTGCCTACTTTCGTTGGATGGGTCACATGTGATGTGATTTTAGTCAGGAGACTAATACGAAGTACGACTAGCGTTCTCGAGTCCCGAAAAATCGTTAAGTTAGCGAACAAAGGAAAACTCCTTAGCTTCTCATAACAGTCGGGACGGCCCTTGGTACCTAGTAGGCGCGGGGGTTGAGCGGTTAGACGTTCGAGATCTTTACTTAGCTGAGCCTAGGGATCCTTGCATTTATAAGCTTAATGGCGCTTACGAACCATACAGTATATGACGGGGAAAGAGAATAGAAGATACCTAGGTAAATAGGCTAGGTACCTGCTGGGAAACTGGTGGGTATAGCAGGTATGTACGAACTGGTCCATGCGTGTGACATTCATAATTATCATTTGTGTAATAATATGGTAGCGATGAGACATAAATCTTCCGTAACCCATCCACAGCAGATATACGGCTCCTTGACTATAATAAAGATGACCATCACGTGATACCCAGGGGACCCAAGGCAATGTCTCCAGAGAAACTGCATTGTCACCGCAGCATCTATATTCATTCTACATAATATAGAACCAGGTAGTGCCAATAATGGTTCTGAGAAGTGCGTAAGCCCTTCGTTTTTATGTATGTGTATCCATAATTAATATGGGCGCAGTAGGGCGATATGTATTATATGATGAAACATCACTCGCTCTCTACACAGGATGACATCCTATTGCATATAATATTGTCGAATTCAGACGAACATCACAAGGATATTCTTTCTCAGGATGCTACGCTTCCTACAATCTTGTCTACCGTTTGCCATAAAGGGGTAAGGTCAATGCTTTGGAAATTATGGATTTTAGAGTCACCAGGGGCGTATTTGTAAAAGAGCCCAGAGAAAAGCTAGGACTAGCTTGCGGAGTAGCGTTTTCGCTGGATAGCGTTGCGATTGGCTCTGCCTATAAAAGTCCCGCCGTATTTGCTAGCTCGGGATCCCAAGTTCAACGGTTTTCGTTAGCGTTGCTACACAAATGTTACAATAATACAGCGACGAGGAAAACTCTTAAGTTTCTGTCTCCCTTGGATACTACGTGATACACTGGATAGCTTAAAAACTGGCGTACCAAACAAATGAGACTCGGTAATTAGGGCAATACAGAAGCTCGGCTCGATGCCACCTCGTCCGGGACTTGAGGCTTGGGGTGTGCTCTTTATCGGGCCGCTTCGAGTTAGGTAAGCATGGTAATTTTATAGATGGTTGCTAACGTCTCTTTATATGGAAGTGTTCCAGGCATAAAATATTCAAGTTATAATATGCGAGGCCCCTTATTTTAGCTTATCGGCATTTCCGGCTTTGAACTTATTTCCCTTTACCCCTTGTAGGAGTCGAGTAAACTTTGTGTTCATGAATGAAGGTAAGGGCTTCTCCCAACTATGGTCCCCTTGCCTCTTATCGAGAAAATATCAGCGGCTTCGGTGATAAATCTTCGATTGCTATATTCGACTATATCTTACCCCACGTTCCCAAAGGGCCGTAAGATGTGGGAGGTTGCGACGACTTTGGCGAGGTTACATTCAGTCTTGCATGACTATGTATTTCTCGTCGGATGACCAGGCCGTCTGTTTAGATAACTTCGTTCTCGTCTTAGACCACTACAGCGGACATGGTTACCTGGTAACTGGGTGGGCCGCTCCCAGGAGAATCACCAAGAACTAAGATTCTCGGGTCCGTAGCGTAACTCGAATACGTGCGTATTAATCGCCACTCTGCGATGTACGCATCTTTTACGGATCTGAGACGGTGAACTAAGTCTTGTCTCTCGCAGTTTTATATCCCCCAAAACTATAACGTATCGCGCAATGACCCATAATAGCTCCAGCTCGGATACCACTGTATCAATCGTGCATCATGGGTATTTCTAACGTGCTATGGATCTTCTAGTTATGCGAATCTTTAAGTCCACGTCGACGTGCATACACGTGCTGTCTTAAGATCAGACTACACTGAGCACACCCCACGGACTCTTAACATGTTTTTAGTTCGAATAGACTCGCGCGAAGTCGCTAAATGGCCGGGGGTTACTCCGCGATGAGAACCGTCCCAACTACCCCCTTGCTTTTCCTTACCTAGCCTATCGGTCGAGGAAAATGCAACCCCTCACGAGCCTCTCTTTTTTCCTAAGAGGTATTCTATGTACTTTCGTACCTGCAGCAGTGCCACTCCCATGCATAGTATGCATGTATGTAGCGTAATATATCTTTCTTACTGCGGCTACCATGTGCCGGGCCACGCCGAGCTGACCTAGACTTCATACGTGCATCTAGTCTTACCAACGGGGCGGTGAGAACGGGCCACAGGAGAGTCTTCGGGCAACTTAGTGTCAGTTTCATACACGTGTAGGACTTCCTATCGGCATATGAGTAGTAACGGGCTTTGAATACCGCCTAGATCAGCTGTTTCCGTCACTTAGGGTCGGTCCCCTGTACCCGGTTTCTTGTCCTAATTTGCTAACGTATCCTAGCTAGCCGCTGATCTTGGGTGGACGGTCGTTACGGTCCATTGAGTGTATCGTAGGCCCTCTTCTCTGGGAACATACCGTTAGGCAAGCCCCGATTTAGGAAATACCTCGACCATTCTGTGGCCAACTTGGATGTCGAGAGAATCTGACTATCCAGCCCTGGGGGGCATGCGTCATTAGGGTATCTCGACTTGCTTGATACTCTAGAGCAGTGGGCCTTGTCGGATTCTCTAGTCCCGATGAGAAGGAAGGCCGGCATTAAGAATGGCTGTCCTCCCAGGGCTAGTTCGACCCGGGAGGATGGATTCGTGTGGGATTCAAGTCCATATACATATACAGACGACTTCCCTGGTGTTGAGTGCCTGCTCTTCAGTGAAGGCCATTAGGAACCGTTCGACTTTTCTTCCCCTTTCCTTGTATGATTACTCGAATGCCGCGGTGTTAAAGCAAGAAACCATTTAATGATTTACCGAGAGATGACGACAGTTATGAATGACGACATAGCCATCGTGGGGTTTGCGTTCAAGCTTCCCCAGGATGTTAATGATGTTTCTAGTTTTTGGGAGGTCCTTGAGAATAGGAGGAATCTAATGACCGAGTGGCCCGAGTCGCGTATCAACAATGGCTCTTTCGAATCCAGCAAAGAGGGCAACGTATGTAACTCCTTGCCTCTCATATGACGAACACCATCTTATATATGTGCTACAGGTTCGTTGCCGGGGAGGACATTTTATAACGGAGGACCCAGGAGCTTTCGACGCACCGTTTTTCTCCGTCACAGCGAAAGAGGCGGCTTCCATGGACCCGATGCAGCGATGGACCCTTGAAGCATCTTATCATGCTTTTGAAAATGGTAAGCAAGTCTTGCATAGGCTGAAACTTTTATTACGCGTCCTTGTACTGACAAAGTACGGAAAGCCGGAATCCCGGCAGAACAGCTCAGGGGCACTCGGTGCGGAGTGTTCTCCGCATCGATGACGGACGACTACAAGCGGATGATTGCTCAAGACCCTGACAACGTACCCCGAATGGCGGTAACCGGCACATTCGCCTCCATCTTACCTAATCGAGTCAGTTGGTACTTTGATCTACACGGGCCAAGTATTCACGTCGATTCGGCATGCTCCAGTAGCTTGTTGGCGCTCGATCTTGCCTGCCAGGCTTTGAGGACCGGCGAAGCCTCTTCTGTAAGCGAGCAAATCCTCTGATCACGAGCTTCTCTTCGACTAATTATTACATCAGGCCGTTGTTACCGGGTCTAACTTAATTCTCGGCCCCACTATATATCAGATGCTATCATCACTTAACTTTTTATCGGCAGACAGCAAATGTTATAGTTTTGACCATCGCGCGAATGGCTACGCCCGTGGAGAGGGTGTTATCGCCCTTGTCATCAAGCCTCTGTGGGATGCCGTACGGGATGGTGACATGATCCGCGCTGTGATCAGGTCCACCAGCTCAAACCAAGATGGCCATACACCTGGACTGACACAGCCTAGTCCTCAGGCGCAAGAAGACCTGATACGGCAAGTATACAAGAAGGCGAACTTGCCTCTCAATGTGACCCGTTATTTTGAAGCCCACGGTAAGTACCCTCTACGTATACTAGACCTGTTGTGTTGGAGTCCATGCTAATACTCGCGCGTAGGAACGGGAACACCAGTTGGTGACCCTATAGAGATGAAAGCAATAGGGAGAGTCTTCAGAACAAGTCGTACAACCGAAGATCCACTTTACGTGTATGTCAATAATTGATATATCTTAATCGTGGCTAATTCTAACCATTCTTTCTAGGGGCTCCGTAAAAGCGAACATTGGCCATCTTGAAGGAAGCAGCGGCTTAGCTGGTGTCCTCAAGTCAGTCTGTAAGCTGATAGACCCTCATTCCCCTGACTTCCCTTGCATGTTGATGACAACTTGCTCACATGCTGTAGTGATGCTCGAGAAGGGAATCATTCCAGCCAACGCCAACTTCGAGAAAATCAACCCAAAGATTGATGTCGACTTCTATCACACCAAAGTATGCGATTACGCTTAACCATATCATTAGGAAGCTAAGGCGACTAACGTGAAAATAGGTCCCGAGCGAAAATGTGTCTTGGCCATGCGACGACTTGCGCCGAATATCAGTGAACTCCTTTGGATTCGGAGGAACGAATGTTCATGTCATCCTAGACGACGCATTCAATTACCTGCGAGAGCGACGCCTGATCGGAAACCACTGCACAAGTGTCACTCCCCCTAGATTAACGATCGGAAATCCTACAACCAATGGGATAACCAACGGAGCAACGAACGGAGCCCCCAAGACAAACGGACACGCCCATACTAACGGGAACGGACATGTGAACGGGAATGGCCACATCGCCAACGGAAAGACTAACGGCTTTAGTAACGGAACTAATGGACACCATGCTGATTCTAGATCGAGACTACTCATTCTATCAGCGGCGGACGAAAAGGCACTCAAGCGAATGATTGAACAATACCAGGGTTTCTACAAAGTGCAGGTCTCTCACAGCTCAACTATGCTGGATGATCTAGCCTTCACGTTATCTACCCGCCGAAGTCATATGCTATGGAGGACATTCGCCGTGGTCAATGGCGTGCCTTATGACCAAGACGAGAACCTCAGTGTTGCAAAGCCAATTCGAAGTTCAAGCGAATCCGGCATAGCATTCGTCTTCACTGGCCAGGGAGCACAATATGCTAATATGGGAGCTGGTCTCCTTCAATATCCATTATTCAAGTCAACGTTACAGCAAATCGATGAGATATACTTCAGCTTAGGGAGCACCTGGTCTATATTTGGTAAGGGATGCAAGACTCAGGAAAGTACCCTAGCTAACAATTATACAGATGAGCTTCACAATAAAGAAAACATCGATCGCCCCGAATACAGTCAACCCTTATCTACAGCCATTCAAATAGCCTTGATAGAATTATTAAAGAGTTTTGGTGTCGTCCCGAAAGCTGTGGTGGGTCACTCTTCGGGCGAAATTGCAGCGGCGTAAGCAGTTCCAACCCTACCAAAGCTGTTACGTTTCATACTGACTTACTCCTGAAAGCTACGCTATCGGCGCGATTTCGTTACTAGGAGCCTCCAAAGTGTCATACTTCCGAGGACAGCTAGCTGGACAGCTCAGAGCCACGAGCGAAACCCCTGAGGCCATGATGTCTGTAAACCTTGCCGAGGACGAAGTCCAGGGGTACCTTAAAGACATCAGCTATGAAGTTTCGGCCCAGATCAATGTTGCTTGTGTTAACAGTCCATTGAATTGCACACTTTCCGGAAAAGAAAGCGCCATTGATGCTGCTAAGGAAAAACTCGATAAGGACGGAATCTTCGCTCAAAAGCTCAAGACGGGTGTCGCATACCATTCACCATCCATGGCTAAGATCGCTGATGAATATATGCGCCAGATAGGATCCTTGGATAACGGCAACACCAAAGCTACTAGGTCATCAATCCCAATGGTATCGTCGATTACAGGTCAGCTTGTTCGGCCAGCCACATTGGCAACTCCTCAATACTGGGTGGAGAACATGGTTTCTCCCGTCCGATTCGCTGACGCCGTACACGTCCTCACGCAGAAGACTTCATCCTTGAAGGTCGGTATAGGAAGTATCACTGATCTTATTGAGGTTGGCTCCCACCCTGCTTTACGCAGGCCGGTCCAAGACACCTTGGCGAAAGCAGGAAATAAGAAGCAGCAGATCCGGTATAGCTACGTGCTTCATAGATCTTATCCTGCGGCTCAAACTGCCTTGGAGCTTCTTGGCCAGTTATTCAGCCACGGGCATGCAGTTTCTGTCTCTGCAGCAAACCAGTATGCATCTAGCCAAGAACCTCATCGCTTCCTAGTCGACCTCCCCAAGTATCCCTTTGATCATTCTAAGACGTACTGGGCCGAATCTCGCCTCAGCCGAGACTTCCGGCTTCGTGAGGGCGTCAAGGGTGAGACTTTGGGAGCACGGTTCTTCGATTGGAATCCCTTGGAACCGAGATGGAGAAATTTCCTAAGCGTCGAGACTACGCCGTGGATTGGCGACCACGTCATCAGCGGCACCGTCATCTATCCCGCAGCTGGTATGCTGGTGATGGCGATGGAAGCAGTACAGCAGCTGCAGCCGGACAACCGCGTCATCTCGGGTTACTATGTCAAAGAGGCCCATTTTATGAACCCAATCTTGGTTAAGGAGGCCTGGGAAGACAGGACCGAAACCATGCTTCACTTACGCCCTGTTAAAAGACCATATGAGAAAGAGTCAACCTGGTCGGATGTCACAATCTACGCGTTTTACGACAACCGATGGACTGAGTGTTTCAAAGCCAACATTCAAGTCGAATACGAAGACTCCACGCTAACTGACCTTCAAGAAGAACGTCGGCAAGCCCACACTCGGGTCACTGATCAATACATCAAAGCGCGAGAGCTATGCACAAGGCCAGTCGACTCTCAGGTATTTTATGAGGATGCCACCGACCACGGCCTGGGATACGGCGAGGCCTTCCAAGTAATTGAGGATATCCAGTGGGACGGCAAATCTAATACCATTGCTCGCGTTGACATGACCAAGTGGAAGACAACTAGTCTTGTCCACCCCGTGGTTCTGGACTCGGCATTCCACGTGCTACGCGTCAGCACGACACTAGGACTCACCTTATCCAATGCTACAAATGTTCCCGTACGGTTGGTTGACGGCTGGTTCGCTCCATCTGGATGGCAACAACCTCAGACATCTGCCGTCCATTATCTCGCTACTTCGGAGATTAAGGGTGGTCGAGAGAGCGAGGAGGGTACCATCTACGCAGTGGCCGATGATGGTTCAGTCTTGTGCACGATGCGGAGACTGCTGACTGCAGCAGTGTCGAGGAAATCCGACGGAGAGCAAGCTGCCAAGAAGTTGCTGTATAGCATTGACTGGAAACCACAATTAAGCCTGATGGAACCATACCAGCTCGAGACTGCAGTCGACGCCAATACTTTCGTTAGAGACGAGGCCGCCATGATTACGAAACATGAGAAGCTGACGTACATCCTGGATAAAGTTGTTGCCAAGACCCTGAAACAGCTGTCCGGCGAAAACCGTGAGAAGGTTGTCGAGACTCAACGAAGACACATGGAATGGCTAGAAGAGCATGTCGGGCTACTAACCGCCGAAAGGGCAGCCGATGATGTTAGCGAAGAACAGCTCGAAACCCTCTTGCAGGAAATTGAAGCTATCCACCCCCCTTGGAAGCTACACACGACAGTTGTCCGTCGCCTAACAGATATCCTCACTGGCGCGATAGACCCGCTCGAGGTTATCTTCGATGCCAACCTGGCCGACGTATTCTACGCGGACATGTTCGAGCACGTATGTGACGATAGGCTTTTGAAGTTCTTGGATCTCGCTACCCACGAGAACCCCGACCTCCGTATCCTCGAAGTGGGAGCTGGAACCGGTGGCTTCACATCTCGTGTTGTCAGTTGCCTGAATGAGCTTGAAAAGAAGAGCGGTGCACTCAAGTTCTCAGAGTACACGTACACCGACGTCTCTCCCGCCTTCTTCGAGAAGGCAACTGCTAGATGGCAAGACTACAAGGAAAGGATGACTTTCAAGACTTTCGACATGAAGCGCAGCGCCGAAAGTCAAGGGTTTGAGCCGGGTTCTTACGACCTTGTTGTCGCCGGAAGTGTTCTTCACGCTACGGAAGATCTGCTGGCAACGATGAAGAATGTTCGCACGACTCTCAAACCGACCGGCCATCTCCTACTTCTCGAGGTTGTTGCGCCGAAAGACGTAATGACGAACTTCACATTTGGGCTGGTACCTGGATGGTGGGGTCGCCGAGAAGAATGGCGAGGTCTGTCCCCTGCCATTCCAGAGAAACAGTGGGAGGACGTCCTGAAGTGGACAGGTTTCAGCGGTAACGATCTAGTTCTTAGGGACTACCCGAGCGAAACCTGTCACATCTTCAGCATCATCGTATCTAAAGCTGCAGAAGAAGTGCAAGAGATATCTTCTAAGAAACCGGGACTTGTTCTAGTCGCCGATACCCAGTCAAGCGACCAGACTGATCTAGCCAATTTGATTCATAACAAGATTCTCCAATCAAAGGGCGAACAGGCTCGGATCATTCCCCTTGATCAGATTGCGACAGCAAACCTGACCAAAGATGATACCGTGGTTAGCATTGCAGAGATAAGCAATCCTTTCCTTGCCACACTCTCCGAAGAAAAGTTCAAGCTGCTGCAGGAATTCCTCAAGAAAACACAAAACCTGCTATGGGTCACGCAGACAAGCTTGAAGGATGAGCGATACTCGGAATACGGCATTATGGAGGGATTCTTGAGGTCCATCCGCCATGAGGAAAGCGACAAACACATCGTCACACTTGCCATCGAGTCCCAAGAAGAGACTATTGTCGAGTATGCGCAGTACGTCGCCAAGGCATACAAGGCCGCTTTCGAATCGCAGACCAAGGAACTAGAATACATCGTCCGCAATGGCCAACTCACCACGGGCAGAGTCGCAGAAGATGTGTCCGGAAACGATACGCTGCGATCCCTCCTCCACCCACAGCTGCAAGACAAACCTATCTCAGAGGGGCCGGCGCTAAAACTCGCCGTCGGCGAATTGGGAACTCTGGACTCGCTGCGTCTCGTGGAGGACGTCGCAAAGCAAACCGAGCTTCTACCCCATGAAATCGAGATCGAAGCCAAGTCCTGGGGTCTAAACTTCCGCGACGTGCTGTGCGCTTTGGGCCGCTTAGAGGATAAAGAGCTGGGAGTCGACTGTGCCGGTGTTGTCACTCGAGTTGGGCCAGACAGCAACGTCCAGCCAGGAGATCGTGTTTGCATGATCTCGATAGACTGTATGCGGACGCACCCGTGTGCACTTGACCATGCTGTCCTCAAGATCCCCGACGGTCTGTCCTTCGAAGCAGCTGCATCTATCCTAGTTCCTGGCATGACAGCATACTATTCCATGATCGACATCGCCCGAGTCCGAAAAGGCGAAAAGGTCCTCGTCCACTCAGCTGCTGGTAGCACAGGTCAGATGGCTATCCGAATGGCTCAAATGAAGGGAGCTGAGGTCTTCGCCACTGTCGGCTCTCCCGAAAAGAGGCAATTCTTGAAAGATACTTTTGGTATCCCCGACGATCACATCTTCAACAGTCGCAACACCTCATTCGCCCAGGGAGTCTTGCGTGTGACGGACGGATACGGCGTTGACGTTGTCTTGAACTCGCTTTCTGGAGATAGTCTGCGGGCCACTTGGGAGTGCATGGCTCCGTTCGGCCGGTTCGTAGAAATCGGTGTCGTAGACATTAAGGCTAACTCGTCCTTGCCCATGGCCGGTTTCGCGAGGAACGTGAGCTATTCAGCTGTCGATTTGCGATACGTCATCCTCAGAAACCCCGGCCTGACGTCTGAGCTCTTGAAGGCCACCATTGGTTTACTAAATGAGGGAACTATCCAATACCCTGGTCCCTTACACATTTACCCCGTATCGCAAGCCGAGCAAGCGTTCCGATACCTCCAAGGAGGAAAAAATATCGGGCGAATCATTCTGAATGTCGACCCCGCCGATGTGGTCCCGGTAAGTTCCACGCACGATATGGCAATTTTAGAGACAAAGCTAACATGTAGTCTAGCAACTTCTCCTAGGACAGCGATCATGGAAATTTGAGGAAAACGCATCGTACGTGATCGCAGGTGGATCTGGCGGTCTCGGTCGCGCTATCATGAAATGGATGGCCGACAGAGGAGCGAAACACTTAATTGCGCCGTCGAGATCCGGAAGCTCGAAACCGGTGGTCGCCGAGGTCATCGCAGAATTAACGCAACGCGGCGTCAACATTGTTGCGCCTCAGTGCGACGTATCGTCGGCCGAGTCTCTAGCTCAAGTACTCGAAGAGTGTTCTAAAACGATGCCGCCCGTCAAGGGATGTATCAACGCTACCATGGTCCTCCAAGATGCCGTATTCGACAACATGACCTATGCGCAATGGGAACTGACGATGAAATCAAAGGTCCCGTCGTCTTTGAACTTACATAAGCTCTTGCCAAAGGAACTCGACTTCTTCATCCTCCTATCTTCCCTAAACGGCGTCTGTGGAGCTTTGGCACAATCCAACTATGCAGGTGGCTGTTCCTTCCAAGACGCGCTCGCACGTTACCGTGTTGCGCACGGGCAAAAGGGAGTATCGATCGATATCGGATGGATGCGAAACATCGGTATCGTAGCAGAGACGCAGCAATACCAGCGCCAACGAAAGAGCTGGGATGATATGCAGAAGATCGACGACACGGAGCTGATGGCCTTATTGAGCGTGTTGTGCGATCCCTCAGAGCCACTACCCTCGCAAACAGGTAGCCAAGTACTACTCGGTCTACGCACACCGGCCGATTTCTTGGTAAAGGGCCAGACGCCTCCTGCCCTGCTCACAAGACCCTTATTCGCCGCCTTCTCCCACATAGTCGGAGAGGCCAAGGCGACATCGAAGGACGCGAGTGTTGATGTAGCGGCCGCGTTCAAAGCTGCGACGGATACCAGCGAACGAATCCAGATTGTCATTAAAGCGTTGACTCAGAAACTAGCGCGCTCGATGGCTATCTCGCCAGATGACGTGGAATTAAACAAGCCGCTCTCCAGTTACGGTGTTGACTCATTGATGGCGGTGGAGCTGCGGAATTGGATTGGCAGGGATTTCCAGGCCGGTGTAGCCGTCTTTGATATTATGGGAAATGTTCCTGTTTCGGCTATTGGCGACTTGGTCGTGGCCAAGAGCACTGTTGGGAAGACTCAGTAGAGTATGGCCAAGGGGAGATAGCGCGGAGTACGATCGAGGAAAGGGTGTTTGGGTTCACGGAGTTATGGTTCTCGGTATCTAGGTTATTTCTTAGTTTTAACGAATGTAATGACACGTCGCTCATTATCATGCTCTTCCGCACCCCTCGTTGAATAATCGTTGCGACATGAGTTCCAGCCTATGTTAACACGATGAGCCTCTGAGTTTCTTAGCTTCTTTCTACCAAGAACCGCATACCGCCTACCTATTCAGTTCTTTATTACCTAGTCGTGTCATGATTTATTTGGGTTGTTAACGCAGCCATGATCTTTTGGTGTAGACAGTGGCGTTTCCCTATCAAATTCAATAGGTGTAATCAAGTATTAAGTTTAGATTGTCGCATGCAGAATTTTACTTTTTCTCAACGTTTACCTACCTACGTAAACACTAGTACGTCGACAGTACGTACCTACAAGTCTCTCATGTTGCCTCATTAGGAAACTTATCCTCTCAACATCCCCGCTGATTGGTCTCATTTCTGGGTTTGTGACACCTCTAATCCCAGATGTCATACGCGAACATGTACCTGGTACATATGGAGTAATGTATGGCTTTGCATCTCCAGTATGTTGTCAATACTGCTGTAGATAATCGTATACGCACTTTATAGATATCAAACGCGAAGATCATACACGGTGCAATTATTATATCGTGTCAATGAATGAGTTGAGTAGGCTGTAAAAAGGGGGGATCGATCGGAGCATCGGGATTTCGGAGTTAACTTCGGATACACGACCCCTTGGAGGGGCATCACATTTTCCTGTAAGCTGCAGTTACATCGTGGATTGTGCATGGGTGTTTGCACTTTTGCGCAGTCATTGATAAATATTAAAAAGAGAGCCTTGGCTGTAAAGAAACAGTGGTGTTACTTACCTAGGTATTCATTCGCAAAGTACTCAAAGCACCTAGGCACGCAGTAGAGGGTATCCAACAACCTAGAGACATCGTAACGTAGGCATTGAGTAACTACTCTCTTCTCTTCCGAAGCTGGGAGGAGATGGCAAGATGATACTCGTTTCCGTTCGCGGAGAGTAAGCTGTTGGAAGTTTACCACTATTACCAGACCCACACACACAGAGCTTTTACACGAGTTATACATTAACCTCTTGCCAATAATGCGATCTCTTATCAGATGTTCAGATATGGATTGGGGTAGGCACTGAGGTAAACAATCATTTAAGTACCGTGCCATATGAGATTTCTCAATTTAAACTGACCTGTCCAGAAACATCACAAACATCATGGCCACCCAGGGAGAAATCGAGAAATCCTCAGCTGGTACCGAGGCCGTAGAGCCGGTCTTGAATTCTTCTAAAAATGAGGAAGTAGATCCATACTTGGTGAGTTGTCTTTAAATACCTCTAAAGCCTTACAATGTTACAAGATCAGGACACCACAGCATCAAAGACCCCAGCGTTGGTTACAAGACGTGATTCTAATTATTGCACTCCTTGAAAGGTAACTTGGAACGGCGAAAATGACCCAGAACATCCGTATAATTGGTCGCTAGTCCGAAAATGGTCAATCACCATCCTCCTTTCTAACGGAGGACTGGTAACGCTGATGTCGGGTGTAATGCTGGCTCCAGCGCTTCCGAGCATATCAGCAGATTTACAGACCGGCGAAGAAGAAACGCAAATATTTCTGTCGATTTACGTTCTGGCATTTGCTTTCGGCCCTATGGTCCTTTCGCCCCTCGCCGAGGTTTTCGGTCGTCGGCCGGTGTGGATTCTGTCAAGCTGCTTCTATATCCTCTGGAATACGGTTGCGGGTTTTAGTCGTACGCCCGGCCTCATGATTGCGAGCCGTGTTCTGTCAGGCATCGGAGCTAGCGCAGAGTTTTCTATTTCCAATCCAGTTCTATCGGATTGTTGGATACCCTCGCAGCGTGGAGTTTCGTTCGCCATTTCTACTTTTATACCTCTCCTAGGTCCGGCAATTGGGCCGATCATCGGCGGCGCCGTCTCCCAGTCAATCGGGTGGCGATGGACCTTCTGGATTCTATCCATATATGACGGCTTCCTTGTGGCCATAGCACTTTTTGTATTTAAGGAAACATATGGGGTCCTTATCCTCAATGAGAAAGCTAGCAAGCTACGGAAGAGCACAGGAAACCCTTACTATACTCAATGGCACGGCGCATCAGAGAAATTGAGCGACAGGCTTTCTCGCTCCTTAACCCGGCCCATACGCCTTTTGATAACTCAGCCTATTCTACAAGTCGTTGCGATATTCCTAGCGTACAACTTTGGTATGCTGTATCTCGTCCTATCAACCTTTGCTACCCTCTGGATTGATCGATACGGGCAAACCCAAACCCAAAGTGGCTTGAACTATATCGCACTTGTTATCGGATATACTATCGCCTCGCAAGTTGGTAGTAGAATAATGGATCGATTGTGGGCATATCTGAAGGCCAAAGCCGGCAACGACACCGCCCCTGAGTACCGCGTTCCGCTGATGATACCCGGCGCTATCCTGATTCCGCTTGGTCTATTAATCTACGGCTGGACAGCAGAGAAACACGTCCACTGGGTTGTTCCCGACATTGGAATTGCCATTCTAGGTTGCGGTATCATTAATAACACGCAGTCCCTTCAGGCGTACGTGATGGATGCGTATCGTGACTATGTGGCCTCGGCGTCTGCCGCTTCGCAGTTCCTGCGTAGTATTGCTGGTTTTGCATTTCCTATATTTGCGCCAGCGATGTACCAGAGCCTGGGATATGGTTGGGGAAACAGCGTGCTTGCCCTTACGTTCGTTGTGATCGGGTGGCCTGCCCCTTTTCTTCTGTGGAGATACGGGGCTACATTGAGGGCAATGGGAAGCAAAAAGGGACTATAGTCTTCCGTACTGGCGTGACTAAGGAACGTGGGACGTAAGATCGTAGCTAGATAGATAGGTCTAAGTAGAGTTATACGGCCCTACCCAGAGTGAATAGACTGTAAATGTGTATCATATCAGAAAAGGGGTCACCTGATTAACACATTTTCCAGGGCATGCTGACTTAATACTCAAACAGTAAGAAATAATTTTCTCTTTCCAAAACAATTAGGTAATGCACCTACTTTAACGTTCAAGCAAATAAAATATAGCGCCACATCCCATGATTCCTCGAACTCTGTCACAGCCATTGAATTTAGTCAAAGTCACCAGATCCTCTACAACTATGAATCATCTACAGTGTGATTAATACACGGTACGCACTTGCACTTCTGTAACAGCTGTAAGGGAAGGACGGTTTACCCTCGTCACCTGCCCAGGTACTCAACAGGCAACACTATCTTACCAAAAGTACCATGAACATTTGCGAGCACATTAAGCTTTCTATCCTCTTCCTCCTGATTTTTAGCTGCCGCCTGCAACTATAAACCTAGCGCGTCTTTTCAATATTTTCGTCTGTTCGCGCCAGGCTTGAAGAAATATTGTAAATTCTTCCATTCTCCTATCGAACACAAATCGCATCTGTTCATCTCAATTCCATATAACTGTCTGGTTTCTCGTCCACCATCTTTTACCCAAACTTCTACTTATTGACAAAAGCTACTCTTTTGTTTTTCTCAACATCCAACTGTCTTGCGACCAAACATTACGCTATTGAATCTACTTGTTGACAACAAGTACCCAGGTATGTATGTGTTTACGTACTTCACACCCGTTTTCTTGTGTGCCTTCCTTGGTCACCGCGACGCACCATGTGGAAGCAACATCATTCCAAATCCAATTTACTTTCCCAATCACCCTGTTGCCAAGCTAACCTACCACTATGTAGCTTAGTTTGCGATTGTCACGAGCCTCTTCGGAAGGAAACGACAACCAACCTATTTGGGTGTCCCGCTAAGAATCCCAAATTCACACCTTCCAGAACGTGTCGTTGGACAATTAGTCATCTAGCGCAACACAATGGCATTGATACCATACGCACCGCCTCCCACATTTCGGCCACTGCCGTTCTGTCGGCGATGCAGGTTCCTGTCTATTCCATTTGAAATACGTTTGATCATCTACGAATTTGTATTTCGGGGAGAGCTGTATGATCTTTTTCCTGATCATATCGCACATCCTGAGAAATACAATCTCTCCCATTTCATGGATGAACCCCCCAAGGACTGGACTACGCCGCTACAACTGCTCCTAGTGTGCAAGCAAATTCACAATGAAGTGGCGGCATGTTTTTACAAGAATATCTCGCTTGAGTATGATCTTGATCGATGGATCTCAGCTTTGAACATGATCGGTCCCCGATACGGTGCTTTGATCAAGCAGGTTGAGATTGTGCACGAATGCTGCGAACGCCATCGCCGTATAGGTGATGATGGTGCAGTGTGGAATTGCCTAGATTCGTCCAGCGAACACAAGAAATACAGTCGTCTTTTCGAGTGCTTAGCATCTAACAACGTCTGTCCTGGATACCTTAAAATAAGAAGTTATACGTTCATTGCCGAGGACAATGATAACACCGCTGCAATAAATAACGGACTGGACCCTGAGCAGAACGAGCACTCTCACCACGAGCCCTACCACGATCAAAAATTCATCAATCAATTGTCCTCCCTCTGCAAGAATATTCGGCGTATCGAATTTGACGGCCTCTTCAACCCTCTCTGGGCTCTTGCACTCAGCAAAAATTTCAACTTTCTCATCAAGTTAGAGCACCCCTTCGAGAACATTGACGCAGTCGAACCTTCAAGTGCCTGGACTTTAATCAACCCGAAATCAGTCGATCTGTCAGCCGAGTTCAGGGGCTACGAACCGTTGGCATCAAATAGTCAGGTTTATATCAAGCTACCGGATCACCTGAACTACGCCAGAAAACGCGGGAGGCTGATCATGGGAAGGCAATACGCGGAACTCGAAAGCAGCGTTACTGAATACAGGCCAGGCCACCCCAAGTCATCTGAGGATCAGGAACCCGGACCTGATTATTATCTGCCGGATGCCGCTATACGGGTTGCATGATGGAAGTTGTGCTAAGACAGGGGAAATGCTTCAGGTATAATATCCTGTGGAGTTATTACAATTTGTTTGAGACACGACACTGCCATTTTGAAGTCGTGCGATGCCTCCTGAGATATCTGCCATGCGGCATAAGAAATGAGAATTCCCATAGTTAGCGTAGGGAAATCAATGCTCCTAATTTCCGAATTGATTATTTAATCCTTTCTCTTGTGGTGATTTGCATTTTCTATTAGACACTTTTTATCAGGCCGTTATTGCCAGACCTGTTCTAATAAACCCGTATTTTATAAGCAGCCTCCTTAGATCTCAAGTCTAGTACGAGTCTACCTTGACCGACCTAGCAGTGGATAAATACACGTGGTTCGGATCTCACTCTGATTCATATTACCTCTTATCCATCAAATTGTCAAGCTAGCAGGCGGATACGACGATGCTGATGGCCTACCTATGTAAGCATCAGCTATATATGAAATGTTCCTATTATGTATAAATTAGCGAGCTAGGGAGGAGGACTACACAGCTCTTCAACTCTCTACATGATTCAAAGAAAAAGGAGACCCTTCATGCCTTTTTAGAGCTCCTTGAATCCTGAATGAATATCAAATACAAAACTGTTCATCTTAGCAACCCCAGTCCATATTCTTCGGTCCTCACATAGGTCTAGGGGCCTATCATAATCCATCGGAACCTGGATGGCAGAACATATGGGACCATCCGAGGGCATGATTATTGCGCTCTCTATATTAAAACCGGTTATACGGGTGATACGACTCCACGAAATTCGAGTTGTAGATAGATAGATATGACTCCACAGAGTACGAAGACGGCAATGTCAGGTATGTATACCTAGGTAGTTACCGCCTTTGTAGGTAGTGGGCATGTAAGAATGAATCTTCTAGTGAATACTATCGTATGCATGTATGATATAAACTAGATATACTTTTCCCAGCAGAATCCAACTGTAATATTTTGGTGAATGTGGTAATGTGGTATGAGAGCCTGATAGAAGCCTCTTCTTTGTAATATCAACTATGTCAAACTCCAAATATAGAATGAAGCCTGACAATAGATTTTCGAGGAAACGAAGATGTTAATAATTGCGGCGTTATATTTAGTATCATTAAGACTACCTAGGTGCCTTCTGATAAAACATACGCCAACACAGCATGCTTAAGCGTCCATAAAGCCATCTTCCCCATAGTTCCTTGCTGATAACCCCAATTCCTCCCTCGTATCAGAAGAGAATCAAATCCATGACTGTCAAGTTCGTGAAAAAGAAAAAAATCATGACTACTGCTTAGGCTCCTTCTCGCATAGCCATGCCCCACCGGCATAAAATTCTTGCTTCGTAGGTTGGGACGCGTACTGGATTCCGGGCATAGAAAGATACTGAGTCTGGGGCTGCGAAGTTGTTGAAGGAATCGAGGCAGTCTTCTCCTGATACTGTACTGAGTTTGCTACCGTCCCGTCGGGCGTAGAGACAGACTGCTCCTTGTAGCTCACGGAGCGCATCTCTGCCATTGGCGCGGACGAAGACTCCTACTGCTTGCCACTACCGCCGCTGCTGCCGCTGCTGCTGCCTCCATAGCCCGAAGAGGACTGGCTACCCGAGGACGGGGTGTAGGTTGCGCCACCCTGACCGTCGTTATAGTAGGTGCTGCCGTTGGGGTTGGAGTAGTAGTACGAGCCGTCGCTATATCCATATTAAGAACATACCATCACATACCACTCATGCTACGACTTACCTGTTGGAGTAATGGTAGGAGTTCGAGTTGGAGGCGCTGCTACCATAGTCGCGGGCACAGTAGTGGTTGCCCTAGGTATTGTTAGAACAGGATTTCACACGAAGGCCAAAATGCCGTGAGGCAATCAGGTCGACGTTGGAAGGATGTGGCGTATGTCGATATACTCACCTGGCTGTTAGTGCCGTGGCTCTTGTACGAGTATCCGCGATCACTCATCTTGACGAAGAGCACTGTGAAGTGAGATTGTGTATAGTTGTAGTAGAGGAGTAGGTGTCAAAGCTGAGAGGTTCAGGAAACCTTGAGAGTCCTACGAAGAACGATTGTTTGAAGACGAAGTTCAAGTAGGTTGAAAAGAGAGAAAGGGGAGATAGCTTCGTTGAGGAGGGGGGAAGTTGGGTTTAAATCCTTAGTACAGATGGCTTTATTGATTGAGAGGGGAAAGATGTGACTTCACTTTGGCAAGGTATTCCTTGTCCGCGCTTGCCTTGGAATAGAACGTAAAACCTACCATCAAGGTAGAGCGGTAGAGTTGCGCACGGCCTTCTACTTAGCGGTCTTGGAAGGCACTCTGGAACTCCGAAGAGATATGGGCAGTTGCAGGCCGGCAAGTGACATTTTCCGTAAGCATGGATGATAGATCTTGCATAGGAATTGTATGAAGTGGATGTCTCCATCCAATAAGTAAAGCTTCATCCGGAAATCTGCCTACCTTGCTGACGTGGTTGGGAAGGTGCATATGATTGATCATAATTACATGCGGGCAGCCGGTGGAAACAACATGCCACAATCAGTGAATGGCAGGATATGATACAGGGGAAGGACATCGGCGTGGTATAACTCAAACCTGGACAGAGTTCATATTTTATGCATGTTGGGATGAATTGAGATATGCATATGTATGTGAGGTAGAAATTTATGTTGGCATCAATTCTTGTCCTAATATCGATGGGGGCCCAACGTGAATATAGCCGTCTATCTATTCTATCATGTAAACACACTCTCATAAAGGATACGTGCTAACCAGATTGGATTGAGTTGAGCTGCTCTTGGGTCCGTCTATTTGGTATCTGTCTATGAGATTGTCAACTAGAACGCTGACGTGGAACTCTATGTGATAGCAATTGGAATTAGAACTTTGCGGATATCAGTCATTCGGCTTTGCCCTCAGCAGCACCCTCTCGCTCGTCTACTTCGTGCTCTGAGAGAAACTTCTCCGCTTCCAAAGCAGCCTGGCAGCCGGAACCTATCATTCATCTACATTAGCATCAAGGCGGTAGTAATTGGCAGATTGAGTAACATAACATACCTGCGCTGGTAATAGCTTGCCTATATCTCTTGTCTTGTACGTCACCAGCAGCGAATACGCCCTCAATACTCGTTAGCGGCGAGCCGGGCTTGGTGATAATGTATCCCTCTGAATCGGTTTCTAATTGATCCTTAACTAAGCTCGTGGCCGGGTCGTGGCCGACGGCATAGAAAAGGCCATTCGCCTCGATGAGCTGTCGCTTTCCGCTAACTGTGTCTTCAATGACCAAGTGAGTCATTACCTTGTCGTCACCCCTAACCTCGATACCTCGGGTGTTGAACTTGACGGTAACCTTAGGGTGCTTCAATAGCCGCTGAGCCATAATGCTGCTAGCGCGTAGCTGATCTTTTCGCACCAAAACCGTGACGTGGCTACCGTATTTCGTCAAGAAAGTAGCCTCTTCAGCAGCGCTGTCTCCGCCACCGATGACTACCAAGGGCTTATTCCGGAATATCGGGACTGCACCATCGCAGACTGCGCATGCGCTGATACCGTTCTGCCAGTACTTTTCCTCTCCGGCCAGATTTAATCGCCTCGCAGAAGCTCCCGTAGCAATGATAACGGTGTCTGCGGTATGCACGTCGCCGAGGGCCCATTCGGTCTCATACTTGAATGGTCTGGAGGAGAGGTCGAGCTTCGCAACGGTCTCGGTGATGATCGTAGTTCCAAATCGCTCCGACTGCGCTCGCATAGCGTCCTACAGCGCACATTCATAGTTAGCATATTCGGTGTGAGAGTGTGCTTAGCATTAAGCAGGGAACTCACCATCAGCTCACCACCCATAATACCCTTGGGGAAGCCGGGGAAGTTCTCGATCTCGGTGGTAGTTGTTAGCTGACCACCTGCAGCGATACCATTTGCCATGAATCCCTCATAGAGAACTGGCTTCAGCTCAGCACGGGCGAGGTAGATGGCAGCCGTATGGGCGGCAGGCCCAGACCCGATAATGACAACCTTGCTATGCATTTTCCTAGTCGCTAACTTTGGAATCTGACTTGACTGTTGCGTGTAATTTTGAAGGCCAGCGGAGGCAAAGGCTGCTGCTGAAATTCCGGATGCGCCTGCGCAAAGTCTTCTTGTTACTGTCCGGGAAAACACTTTGATGGTATTTTCCACGCCGATTGCGTAGTCGGGTGGGTATATAAGTATAAATCGGTCTTGAGAGAAAAAAAGGGCGACTTGGCGGTTCAAATACGCGGTAGTCTCGGAGGTGTTTCGGAAGAGGCAGGTCTAAACGTTCGAGGCTATCGTTAATGCTGGGATCTAGTACTATTGTGGGTTCATGATAATGACATAAGGTCTCTCAGGAAACACTGTCGAGTCACGAAGTAACCAGTCTAGGCTTTAGTAAGACAAAATGAGATCTTGGGGGAACTATTTCAAATGCGGCTCTACATGTAGTTCCGAAAATAGTTCAAATTTGGAATAAATGTTTCTTGTTTAGACTTGGGAGACGAAATGACTTTTTGGTTCGTCAGCTTACTTGACTTTAGTTGGCCGCCCTGGTTGGGTGCTTCCAGAACGCGAAAAAAAAGGGAACCCCGCATTATTCAGCAACACGCAGTCTGTCCGAATCGGAGCTGACTCGAGACACCCCACCATCGGTCGATCGCGTGCAAAGAGCTAGCCAGGTCCACACGAACCGCATTGGAGGACCTGAAGGCTAGTAGGGCGCATGGTTTCCTAATTAGTATGCTTATTTAATATTAATTAGTGACGTCTTCACGTGGATGTTGATCCTTTGGTCGTATTGATTAAGCCTCGTCATTTCGCGACGACTTTCATAACCTCAGCCAACGGCGGAAGCATGCGACGGGAGTAGAGCAAGAGTGAAGAGTTCCGTCCAATCTGAGATGAGCCTGAATCACTACCTATGTTTCAGAAGAATCGAGTACCACATCCAAAAAGTCGATGTTTCCGAGCATTCAGTCCCAGCTCAGGAAACACGACCTAATATGTTCCCTGACGGCGCAGTGAGTGTATCAACGTTGTACGCAGCGTAGGCATCAATGAGTGTGTATAGCTTTCGTTTTCGTCGATGAAAGTTGTGAAATTATCCAAGCACCTAGTCTCCCGATCTGAGATCTGAATACACATGCGCAAGTATGGCCCAGACAGTCAGTTTTGACATCGCACCCGAAAAAGAAGCCGGCAAGCTCCAGTTCCTTCGCCGACAGTTGTTCGGAGCCGCGCCGGCGGTTTTGCGACTTGATGTCAACCTTAAGGGCAAGACTGCTGTCGTTACAGGGGCCAACGGTGGCATTGGCCTCGAATGCTCACGACAGCTCCTTAAACTTGGTGTCAGCAAGCTCATTCTCGCAGTTCGTGACGAGGCCAGAGGCGAAGCCGCCCGCGAGGCCCTGATAAACGTGAGAGGACTTGAAATCAACCAAACCATCGAGGTCTGGAAGTTAGATTACACATCGTACAGCTCTATTGATACCTTTGTGCAAAGAGTGAACGCTCTTCAACCTCGGCTTGACATCGCTATCCTTAACACCGGCGCCAACCGCGGTCACTTCAACATCTGCCCGGCGACAGGCCACGAGGAAGACTTGCAGACGAATTACCTGTCAACCGTCCTGCTAACCCTTCTCCTTCTCCGAGTTTTCAAAAAAGCTAAATCCACCACTAGTCTGCCTGAATTTGTCCCAGGACGCATCGTCCTCGTATCATGCGATAACGCCGCGTGGGCAAAATTCCGCGAGAAGATTCAGGAGTCGTTGCTGAATGCCTTTGACAACGAGACCCTGTGGGAAAGAATAGATAGATACGCCACTACTAAGCTCATGGGCCAGCTATTCATATCCGAATTAGTTAAACACGTATCGCCATCACTGGCCGTTGTCAATTGCGCCAACCCAGGTCTGTGCTATGGCACAGCTCTCGGGAGGGAACTAGGTTTATTTAACAGTATGTTTGTTAACATCTTCGGCCGGGTACCAGTCACAGGAGCTCGTTCGCTCGTACATGCCGCGGTCAGACAGGACGAAAGATCGCATGGACAGTATGTTGAGGATGGTGAATTAAGACCGTAAGTGGACCCTCTTCATTATCTCCCTATCCTTCGTCCATAGTATTGTCTTGTCGGCGCCAGCAAGTGTATGTTGGTATTCCCCCATCCATAGGGACTATTGAAGATGACGAAACTAATGTGAGTAAATAACGCTATTAGAATGGCGCCATTTGTATATTTTAAAGAAGCAAAAGAGGTTACTCAACGGCTTTGGGAGGAGACTATGGAGGAGCTCTCTTTTGCAGGGGCTCAAGACATTTTCCAGGGCCTAGTTCAGGCTTAGGGTTACCAGATAGCTCTCGTATCGCAAGTTCTGTATGTTAATAACATCTCTAAGAATTGTCCCAACATGATTAGAAAAAGCACGTGGAACTTGAATTGTCTAGACGGAAATACCTAGATAGGGAAATCTCCGTCTCTTTAGCTCTATTCAGTAGGTAACGTCTTCGTTCCTCAGACACTTGAGTATATTTCTCAACTCTAAACTGGATGCAATTAGTGTAACCAAGATCATTGTATTGGGTTTTTGAAGAGCTATCCTTTTTATAGGTATGAATTTGATCTCAGTTATTCCAGTGAGAAGATGCGTGTCTTGAGTAAGGTTAGAGATGAAATACATTCAATTACACGTATATTTATATGTAAAAGAATGTACCCAGACCAACGGGGCTCTTTTATCGATAACGTCTCCACGTGACGTTTTCAATTTTAGCTTCAGGAACTCGTCGACAGTTGATACTACCTAGGTAGCTATTTATCGCCTTCGCATGGCAAATGGCACATGGCGATCATATAAGTTGATCTTTCAATGAGACAATCAATTGATGAATCAGTCGACATTACGTATCGGCAAGTTTTGTCGTTGATAGCTCCCTGGCATGTATTCGGAAGGTTCCTAATTAGAGTTGGTTGAAGGCAGTCCGTAATCGCTTTATTCTCTTAGTAGTCCCGCTTTTTCGTCCGATGGCGAAATATTTCACTTCCTTCCTGCTTCGGGGGTTCGGGAAGGCTTTTATGAATTCTTCAAGGTCAACATACTACTTAGTAGTTTCTGAAGCCCTTGGCAACGCAATCTATTAAAGATGGCGCCGCAGCAGGAGATTCCAGTTGCAGCTAACGTGCTCGGTGTAAGTGTTCCTCTCAATGCAAATAGACGTTGGTAACTCATCCTAGGTGTAACTATTAGACAATCGGTACTATCCTTTGGTGCATACAGACGATCCCTCAAATAGTAAGAATACCCCGAAAGTCTCATTTGTAAGACCATATACTAACCTAGGTGTCACAGTGGACCAATTGGAGGACGAAGAAGACCGATGGTCTACCTGGCTCTATGATGTACCTCTGGGCTCTGTGCGGAGTGCCGTTCGGGGCCTATAACGTCGCACAGAGATTCAATTACCCATTGCAGGTACAGCCGCAAGCCTTTATGGCCTTATGCCTTGTGAATTGGTGTCAGATTTTGCTATACAGTAGCAAGTTCGCGCTTTGGAAGGTCATCCTCATAGGCCTAGCCAACGCCGCAGCCTTTGCTGGGGTCGAAGCGGCATTGGTCGTCACACTTCAGGTACCAAAGATGCAATTCCAAGTTTCGATTGTCTGTGATACGTGCTAAGTTGATATAGCCATTATATGATGCGGGAAATGAGACCGGAGTCTTGGTAGTCGGTATCATCGCCAATATTCTCCTAGCAGTCGGTTTGTTACCGCCGTACGGAGAAATTTGGAAGCGCAGAGGAAGAGTCATTGGGATCAACTTCATTTTTCTCTCGATGGACTGGTTCGGAGCCTTCTTCTCTCTCATGTCACTTGGTATGTACCCGCTCTCCAAGGATCCGGGACCCTTATATCTTACTAAACTCCATTAGCCGCTCAGAACAGCTTTGACGTCTTAGGTGGCGTATTATATATCGTATGGTAAGCAGCGCATCCACCAGTTAATAGAAGCCCACGGTGTATATCCCCGCAGTTATGCTAATTCGTGGAATAGCATAACCCTAGAAACTGGTATATTTCTTTCGCATATCATCTGGTTATTCCGCACCCGTAAACTGAGGAAGGAGGCGGCATTGAATGGGAAGACATTCGACGATGTTTTGGCTGAACACGAGGAGCAGGGAGTACCCTTCAAATTTTCTGAACGTAAATTCTCCAAAAAGAGTAAAGAGAAGCAAAATGATGTAGAGATGGGCGTTGCTGGGGACGATAGAGAATTAAGAAGTGAGGCGCAACGAAATTCAGGCGAGGAGAACGCCCATAATACCGCCCTAACATCAGGAACCGATACGAAGGAAGAAAAACCGTAGTTCTACGTATTCTGTTGATAGATAGAGCTAAATCAAAACTGTAGTGGTGAGATATCTTATGGTCTAAACGCAAACCAAATCATTCGTGTCTCGTTACTGCCATCCTCCATTATCGACCGTCCCATGAACCTGTAATCACAAATACGAGTCATCACCTAAAGCCACCCTTGATCAGCCTACTCCACGGTCGGTCCCTTACCGGAGGCCTTCAAATCAGCACCTTTACCACCATACTCAGCAGGCAACTTCTCGCCAAGACCAGGAACTTTGCTTTCACTGAATTCCTTGGCCAAAGCCCCGCCGTTGGACATGGGGTGGAATTTCTTGATCGTCTTAGGAGCGACGAACAGCTTCATGACGCCGTACATGAAGCCCATGATGACGGGTACGTTGACGAAGAACTTCTCCTTAAGCAGCTCCGGGTACCCGGTGGCGAAAACGCGGATCGTCTCGGTGCTAGCTGCTTTGACCTGAGGTGACTGTCGTAGGAAGCTGATAGACTTGTAGTCGTGTACCTGGTAGATCTTATAAGGGTCATAGTCAGCCGTGATGGGCTTCGTCGCTGTGGGCAGCGAAAGCTCCTGCACGGCAAGCTCCATGAGCGCGACGCGCCAGTTGATAAATCTGAATTATGAGTTAGATAAATTTTTGGTCTGAATAAAGTATTGTGTTGAGGATGAAAAATGATATGGAATTAGGCGAATGTAACTTACTCTTCAAGGTTACCAAAAGTCTCCTCCATAGACTTAACACCGCCATAGATGTTCCAGGTGAAGACTTCCTGGGCCTCGGGATTATCCTCGGCAGCCTTCTCATCACCAGCCGAATACTTGGTAACGTATCCCAGGCCCTCGAACTTCGTCTTAGAGTAACTCTTCTTGATGAGCTCTAAGGGCTGTAGCTTAGCGCGCCATTCTAGCGTCTTAGTAAGTTGCTCCTTGGCCTTGACGAGATCGCCGTCGTTGGCATTTAGGTATTTCTGCAGCACGATCTGGCTGGGAACATGAGTAGCAGGGTCGGCTAAAGTGACACCCCAGACTTCGGGATGAGACTGGGCTTGCACAGTCTTCCAGAGCTCCTGAATTGGCGTCGTGGCCTCGTCGGTTTTAGGTGCCTCCGGTTTGGGGGCCTCGGCTTTGGGAGCTTCGGCATTAGTTGCTTGAGCTTCGGCCATGATTTCAAGATTTTCCGTATGTGTTTTGAATGTTGATAGATATGAATTTTCCCTCGTATGTTTCGAGATTGAAATATTCCGAGGACTCGGCGATGGGATGAAAGAGATTATGAAGGAAGGCAGAAAGGTAAGAAGAGCTTCCGCACGGACATCCCATACAGGTAGTTGTTCGAAGCTTCCCCGATCGGGACAAGATGAGCAATCTGATAAAGCAGGGGGGCGGGTAGCTGCAACCTTAGTGACATAGGGAAACCACCGGCATTTAACCGATGCGCCTCTACTCCCGGTTGCTTTTCTACAAACGCTTAATCAGCTTCAACATCAACCAACCACATCCTTCTTTCCAAGAAAATGAGAATCTCAACGCATTCTATGGGCTCCTGAAAAAGGCAGCATACGAGATATTCAATTCACCAATAAACCATTTCGAATTGTCCTTGCATGGGGGAAATGATGGCGCAGCTGCTATAGAGAACCTGTCGAAATGCATCCCGTGTGAAATTCTACTCGACTAAGAGCCCTGGAGACAAGATGATTCAAGGAATCTTTTATGCCAGATTCCTCCCGCAGGAAGGTAGGATATTCATTTATCGTTTAACTAATAGATTTGTTTCCATCCATGCCATTAGCGATAAAAAATCTCCGTTTACCAAGAATAAATGAGTGATCAATTCACTTGTGCCCCTCATATTTCATCTCATCTCATCTCACCCTAACTCATCTCAACCCACTTATCTCACATAACCCTTAACTCACCCAAACTTAGGAACCAAGATCGTAGCCCAATCACCACCAGGATGCATCGTAGCCACCACATATACGCCGCATCTCAAGCCGCCCCTGGTCGACTTCGACATAATCCAGGAGTACATCATCCCGCGCAAAGCCTTCTTCAACCGGTTCATGACGGTCAACTCCCCGGACAACAAGTACAGCATCCTGGGCTTCCCGGTCTCTATCCCGGACGAGCGGTACCACCGCAACGAGTTCATCTTCAACTTCGGGCTCGTCGTCGAGTCCGACTGCGACCAGATCCCGTATGAGCGGCTCGTCCGGCGCCTCGCCGTCACCTTCGCGGAGATGGAGCGCCAGCACGGGTACCTCAGCTCGAGCACCTCCTCTAACCCCTCCAACCCCTCCGAGGACTCAGGCCGGCGACCCATAGAATCGCTTTTGGAAATCGTCAAAGAAGACCTAAACAACTACGGCGAATGCATGATCCCCGTCGACGACGCCAACACTCTAAACATGAAACTCTTCCCGTACCACGCGCCTCCGCCAGCGGTCCGCGGGTGGCACGTACCCGTGCCCAAGATGAAGCTCGCCGACATCGTGGACGCGACGTGGGACCTGACGCTCCAAAAAATCATCCCGCACGTCGACGGCGTGAACGACGTGCGCCGCATCGCCTGGCTCGCCGACGTCTCGCTGCCGCTGACCCAGATCGCGCTGCAGCACCTGCTGTACTACGACACCGTCCTGCTGCTCGACATGTTCTTCTTCGGCAGCTGCTACGCCCCGCGGCCCGGCGTACACGACTTCATCGCGAACCGGGACGGCTTGGTCGACGAGTGCGCGGGCTACGTGTGTATCAGCAATCCGATGGCTGCTGCGGCTAGGGGTAGTAGCAGCAGTGCAGCCGATTCTGTAGCGGCGGCCGGCGCGCCTGGCGACGGCGGGAAAGACGTGGTGGCGGACACGGCTAGTCTTTCCGGAGGCCAGCAGGGGGTGTCGAATTACCAGCTCGTCAAGCTGATGACGACGTTCTGCGTCGGCCGCAGCGTGATGGAGTGGATCAAGCTGCACCAGGACTCGGGGTTCGACGTGCTGCGCCACGTGGACATCCGGCGGCTGGTGCAGTTCGGGGTCATCAAGGGCCTCCTGTACCGCGTGCACAAGTACGTGGTGTCGAAGCAGGTGCTAGAGTCGCTGGCGACGGGGCGGCGGGTCGTTCCGGGCGGCGCCGAGGACGGCGAGGAGGAAGACGCGTTGCTGAAGTACGCGGACGGGAGCCATTGCTTCGACCAGATTATCACGGAGCAGAATATGACGGATGGCGAGATCATGAAGAAGTTGAAGAGTCTGGGGTCCGGAGATATGACTGTGTTCTATCGATAGGGAGGTTGGCTGGCTGGTGGAGTTGGTCGAAAAACGAAATCTATGACGGGACCGACGTCATTTCCACGGGGAAACAGCTGAAGGAAAGTCGCCCACGAAATGTGGCTTTGTAAAGAATTGTTATGATGGAACCTCGGCGCGGAATCCCTTATTGAGCATTCGCGGACACGATGACATGGCTATCTACTCAAGGAGGCGTTCTAAAGAGTAATCCGACCGGTCGACAATGGTATAGCTAGGATTGCTACATATAATCTGGGCTATGCAAGGCTTGAACGGATGGATTGGTATGAATTCGTGAGGTAGGAAGCGTAGCAAGACGACTACTAGCAGGTGTGCATGGGGTCGAAATGGTTTCATACTCCCAACATACCTACCTGCCTACTCGTATTCTGCGTGGACGAATATGAAAGGGTGTGATGAAGAGAATTAGCGAGGCGAGAATCATGAAATGAGTGAACAACGCATGTTCGAGACGGAAATGACGAAGATCTAAACGCCAAATGGTGGATAATAACAACAGCCATATAGATATAGACGACGGCATGCCACTATAGCTCAGGGCTTTTCATACATCGCCACGCAAGGTATAGCCCTGAAAACTTCGTCAAAGCAGAAGATGACACGGGATATGTATATTGTACAATTAAGTTACAACTAGTCTGAACGGTCCTTGATCATGCTAGCTTCCACCGTGTTGATTCCCACCGGAGAACGACCTTTCACCTTGCTGATTTTCACCGGAGGACGAGCTTTCACCTTGTTGGTTTCCACCGGAGGACGTTGCTTGCTGATTTCATTGTACCCGGGTTTAAACGAAGCCTTTTTCCTCACATGAGCCGAGATATCAGACAATTCGTGGACTGGTAAGTCTAAATTCGCCGCCTTACCGTCTGTGGAGTCGAATAATCCCAACTCCATCGCAGCATTCCTGATGGCTTCGTCGATCGCATCTGTCTTGCTCTTGGCGGATTGAGGTCCGAGGTGACGGATATGCCTCATAGATTGCCGCAAGATCGTCTGCGCACGGTTTTCCTGTACATCTCCTAAGATACTACCTTTCTCATTTTCCAAAATCCATTCCTTATCCACTTTGGGCGAATATAGATCGTACAACTTTTCCTCTTTCGAATACAAAAGCGTTACACGATCTACCAACCTCTTCACTGTTTCGGGGTCATCCCGTAGACCTTCGCTCTCGGCTGCCTGCTTCAACGCAGCCTGCAACTGCCGAACCTTGCCCGTGCCCGGTTGGCCGGGGTACGTCATACCGCGCTTGCTCCATTCCTCGTCCGTAACCATTTCGACGACCCGGACGAAGTGTTTCCCTCGTCGCAGGATCAGGAGTTTTTTATCTATGAGGTAATTTTGAGTCTCCTGAGGAAACCAATTCTTGATCGGCGTGAATGACAAGTCACCGCTTCTCATTGCTCGATCAAGAGGGTCGTTGGGCGATCCGGGGCGGCCGCCGACGTAAGCTCCCTGATGTTTTGTTAGGCGGTGAGCGTCGGTGATGCTATCGGCCAGGCCCGCAGCGAAGAGAATACGGGATATCGATTTGCCCATAATCAAAGACTCGGGAAGCTGAATATCGCATTGGAATGCCGCAGCCGTACTTGCATTCGCCGGGCCTTCGCTAGGGTACTTGGTTACTTCGGTATCTCCCTTTGAAAATAAGCCCTTATGTCGGTTCTGGGTATTCACGGCTTCCTGGAATGAGTGTACTAGAGCGACCACCTCGAAAGCGAGTGCGTGCTGGGCGACACGCTTAGGCGGGTCCTCTTTATGCTTCTCCACGATCTTAGCGATCTCTTCCAGGGGAAGGAATGTAAAGAGCTTAAGCAACCTCTCAACATCATCATCCGGCCGACGCATCCAATAACCGTACATATCAAAGGGGGTCGTCATGAATGGGTCCAGCCAGACGGCATTGCCAGCGGACTTCCCGAACTTGTTGCCTGAAGAGTCGGTTAAAAGAGGAGTAGTGAATCCGAAGGGGGTATGAAACAAGTCTTTTGGAAACTTCCAGGACGGATTGGGTTCGTTGTCTCGTATGTATTTGACAGCTTCAACACCAGAGACGATATTCCCGTATTGGTCGGAGCCACCAATCTGCATTCGAACGCCATTTCTTTTAAACATCATCCAGAAATCCCAGGCCTGCAGTAAGGGGTATATGAGCTCGTCGACCGTCATGCCGTCCCCCTTTTCCATCTTGTTCTTGACGGTGTCGCGCGAGAGCAACGTACTTAATCGCACTCCGCTGAAAAGTCTGCCGATAATCTCCGTGAAGGACAAGCTGCTGTACCATATCGAGTTATTGTGGAGAGCACGACTCCAAACTCTTTTTTCTTTTTGGTAGCCGTAACGTGGGGCAAGCGCCTCGAGGTTGACCCATAAACGCTTCAATTGGTAGTGTACCTTGGTGATGTTCCTGCTTATATCAGCTCCAGTCATAGGCTCTCGACTTTTTAATCGATCGGTAGGGTCTCCGATCTTAGCTGTGGCGCCTCCTACTAGGCTGATCGCTCTGTAGCCGTTTATGTACATCCAGAAAAGAGCCATCAGAGGTAGTAAATGGCCGACGTGGAGAGATGGCGCGGTGGGATCGATTCCGACATAAGCGCCTATTCTTTTGTCTCTCATAAGTTCTTTAAGCTGACCCTCATTTCCGGCAATATCTTTAACATAACCACGCTCTTTGAGGGTATCCCAAAGGTGTGGTATCTTCCCCTCTTTAATCGACTGGGCGCGCTCGGCCCATTGTGCTTCGGCCTCGGCCTGTTTTTGTAAGAAACTTGTAGATATGTGTCTAGCCTGATGTCGTCTTGCGGCGAAGGATTGTAGAAGGCATCTGCGGCAGAGAGTCGACGAGGTGCCGTACATGCTTGGGAAGGGTATCCCGCGCAACATCTTCGCATGCGACACCACGGCCAAAGTGGGATTTCTTGTGAAGAAGTAGGGATTGGAAGTGTAGAATGGGTATAATATACCCCTCCCAATCTCAAGTCTGGGACATGCCTAGGTACCTTGGTAGGTTATCCTATGTATGTGAAAGGTGTCGAAGGTAGACATTGAAGAATCTGTAACTGAAAATTCAAAAATTCACAAACCCAAGTTTTTAGTGGGGCTCCTAGGCCAGGTCCAGATCAACACGGACATTGAACTGATGCAGCTTATCTGTATATGACCGATGCCGATAAGGTGCCGGTACCTTGTACGTACCTACGTAACTTCTATCAATTGATCAACGGATCCAGTGTTCCAAATCTTTACCTATTACATAATCGAAAGCCCACATATTTCCCGGCCGAACACGACCAATCACAGGCGACTTATTTCTTCGGTCCTCGGCAATGAGAGTTTAACCTTTGATTCAAATGCATCATCGTCGCTTTTCTCAATTCACGACTTTAGGTACATACTTGACACCCCTCTCCTTGACCAGAACGTCGAATCGAGGATATACAGAGCGAGAGAGCCGTTAAAAAGTCGCAATCCTCGACGAGTCACCTCTCCCCCTCTCAATGGCTTCCATCATCCGCCCGACGCTGCTACGGCAGACAGCCCTAGCCGCTTCGACCCGGCGAGCCGCAACCGCCACCTTCTCCAGCAAGCTGATCCGGCCTACGATTGCGAACGATGTCGCGCGCGTTGCCGCCTTCCACGCTTCCAGCCGAAGAAGCCTATTGCCCCCAGGACCTCGTATGTTACGCATCGTCGCATCACAATATGGGTTCATGTCAATTTGCTAACAGAATGCGCTCGCAGAGGTGATCAAGGGAACTGGTATGCGCTTCTTTACTTCTCGTCGAATGGGGTCATCGGGGTAGTTGGGTTTAATCGAATCTCGCCCGCCATACAACAGAAGGAAACATGGGAATAGGAGGGATGGATCGGAACAGAAGATATGAAAATACTGACACACCCCGTAGTCAACGACCCTGCGCCCATCCCCGAAACGAGTCCCACCCACGGCTCCTACCACTGGACTTTCGAGCGCCTTGTCGCGGCCGGCATCATCCCCCTCACCGTGGCGCCCTTCGCCGGTTCCTCTCTGAACCCCGGTCTAGACGCGATTCTATGCTCGCTGTTGCTAGTGCACTGCCATCTCGGTTTCCAGTCCGTCCTGATCGACTATATCCCCATATCCAGGTATCCGAAGTCCCGCAAGGCCTCTATGTGGCTCCTCAACGCCGCCACTGCTTTAGTCGGCATCGGTCTGTACGAGTTTGAGACCAATGACGTTGGGTTGACCGAGGCAGTGAAGAGAGTCTGGAAGGCTTAGATCGGAAGAACGGAAGGGAATCGGCATTGGTCTAATTGAATCGATATGGTGATAAGTACGACATGGGGAACGATAGCAATTAAAGGGAGAATGGCAGCAGGAGACGAGGGAAAGGATGTGATTATGTATGAAGCTACATAACATGGTACCATGAATCCGTTTGTGTTGTTGCATGAAGCTTGTTGCTCGAAAGGGTTCGGACTAGGTCTCAGAAGCAAGGACTACTAGGAGCTCATCCGTATATGTACGACCAATTCATATATATGTAAACTTTTATCAACCTGTCGTATACGTCTGATGATTATGGTACGAGATCTGGGATAATAACCGTGCTCTCATGGACCAAGCTTCACCATCCTGGCTTCTTAGATGGATCTCATGCCCCTCCCTAGTTCATACTGGCCCCCCTGAAACTACATCAAGTCATAAACATAGATATCTACATTTACAATACATTCAGTACTAGAGAGTACGAGCACTTAATTCTATCACATCAATCAAGCAAAATCGAACATCATAAGTCTCATCATAATTCGCCTACAGCATAATAACAACGAATTTCAATAGACACGTCCCTTCCCTTCCAAACCCCCATCTGACGTACTCTCCACAGCCATCCTCATACGTACCTACCTAGCTAATGCTCATCAGCACTCCCATCCCTCTTCGCAAACCTCGCGCCAAGCCCCCCTATATCCCGTCTGAAGAACTTCCCAAAATTCTTCAAATTCTCATTAATACTCGCCGCATTATTCCCCGCCCCACCGCTGCCGCTCCCACTGCCACCCGCGCCGCCCTCCTCGTGCGAAGCCGGCGTCCCAATCCTCTCAACCCCGTCGCGAGCCGCATTTAACAGCTTCTCGCCAAGGCTCGCGGCGTCGAACCTCTGGGCCGCCGTCGACAGCGCCGCGGCGGGGCGGTCGATGCTCATGAGGTTCAAGTTGCCCGACCCGACGCCGACGCCGACGCCGCCGAGCCCGGGCGCCGTCATGAGCGGCGTGAGCAGCGGGCTCTGCGCGGCGAGCTTGGAGCCCGCGCTGGGCCCGTCGCGGTGGATGCCGAAGAGCTCTATGAGGTGGCCCTGGTCCTGCTTGCGGATGCCCTTGAGCTCGAGCACCTTGCGGAAGTTGGTGTCGGAGCGGTCGGCGATGTGGATCAGGTACGCTTGGACGAGGCCCTCGGGCGGGCTCGGCCGCACTTGTAAGGTTTTCAGCAGGGGATCGATGCGTGTCATTGTTGCGTTGACGCGCTTGACGAAGCCTGCCGGGGGAACGTATGGTTGTGGCGGTTGCGTGGTAGATGGATTATGGTGCGAGAGTAAGTTTTCGAGGGCTTTTGTTAGAACGTATTTGTCTAGTAGCATTTGTTCGGCGCCGACTTCAGAAATGGGTCTACATTGGACGATGGTATTGATGTATATATTTGCTAGATGCTCCACTAGCTTGTCGGCAAAAGCACGGGCGTATTGCTGCTTGACCACGAGTGCAAGAACTTCCTCTGCCTTTGAGTTGATGTGAGTGACTAGCTCACCGACGTAAGAGCTCTGATCGCCCACGCTCTCCATCTTGCTCCAATTCGTGTTCTTCATCTCGCGCCAAGCACCTTCGCAATCTGCCTCGACTTTGTTAACCAAGGCTATAACTGCGGCGCTAGCTACACCCAAGAACGCATCGGCTTGTGACGATAGGTCGACTTTCGACACGAGCTCGTTGTCGATGCGTTTCCTGATATTCTCTTCCAGCTGTCCCGTATTGGCATGCCAGAAATCCGCGGTATTTAAGACCAGAATGATATCATTGAGCGACGCCCCTGTCTGTGCAGGTCTCTGCAGGATCGCCAGTAGCACCTGTTGTGCGTACTCATCAAGGTACTTAGCTAATATCTTCGCCAAGTCCAATAATCGTTCGCTTGTCGAAAGCTTAGCGCACTGAGATAAGGTGAGTTTGTAGAAGTGGAAGAGCTCGATTGCAGAGCTGATGACGGCTTGCGTAGAAAATTCTTCGTCGGGAGGTAGCAATGGTTGGGTTTTGTATTTCGGCATCATAGCTGCCAGTGCCTTATCTTGAGACTCTACCCATAGGCTTAGGTATGGTTCAAACGCGACAGATATCGACCCATTGAAGCTTTGTGTCCTCTCATCCGCCGAACTAAGTGTATCAATACTCGCCCTCGGCTCGTTAGAAAACCTTCGCTCGAGAGTCTGTTCAAAGTCCATAGTCTCTTGAAGACAACCCAGCAATAGATTAACGTCGATCTTAGCGCCGCCCATACTCCTCATGCTCTTCTCCAATATGCCCTTGTAGTCGTCTCTCGTACCGTCGCAAAAGGCCATGGCGAGCGTCTCGCCAACCCTCCAATGCGGCGGGAAGATGCCGGCGTGTTCTTCCTCGTGACCCTTCACCATCCTCTTGAACCAAGCATATCGTCTCCCGATATTGTCCAAACTGCCAGCCTCGTCGTTGCCCCTGAAAACCTGGCGGTATTCCCTCAGTTCGGTGTTTACGTACCACGCTACCAATCTCGCCCGCGCATTCTCCCCGAGCGCATCCATGACTCCACAAGCCTCGACCAGCGTTGCCTTCCTAGAGCTAACTTCCCCTTTGGCGAATGCTATTTCGAAATCCTCGCATACTTGTTCTAGCAATTCCCTCTGCAGCTCGCCTACACCTCGGCTGAGCGTGGCGATTTGGTCAATGCTTCTGTAGCTGTTGAAGTGGCGCATAAGCTGTAGCACCGCCTGTAGCAAACTCGCACATTCCCTGTACTGTCTCGTCTTAGCTAGGCCCCTAAGTTGCTCATACGCCGTGGTCAACATCTGCAGGCGCTTCAGGGCCGTCATAGAGAGCGTCAGATTCCGCTTCGTGCCATCTAGTCGCTTAATGTCGGCAGTCATAGACGTGATATTCTGCTCGGTCTGGATAGCGCGCGAGCGCACAGTCTCGATCTTCTTAAAGAGACCTGCTAGCTCGGCCTGGGCGGATTGCATGCGTTCGAGGGAAGAGTCGGGCCCGTAGGCCTGAGCCGTCTGGAGGCTCGAGATCTCGGCGGAGAGGTCATTGTGCTGGGATTGTAGGGTCGAAGATACGCGACTTATGGAGGATACGGTTGAGGGATGAGCGAAGAGAAGATTAAGATGCTGGATTGGGTCATAGTAGGCTAGTCTGGTGTTAGCTAATCAGGGAGCTCGATTCCCGTATGCTCCATATTGCAGTATTGAAGTGACCGCTCCGTTTAAGGAGTGGAAAATAGGAAGAACTGACCATCATCTAAGGACGGCGGCTCAGATGCGAGGCCGTTCATCTTAAGCAGCACGAAGCAATGTTATACCGTAGCATCGGGTCGTTCAGAGGTTCCAGGCTTAGCTGTCATCATTTAATTGGGAGAATTGGGAGCTAAGAATCTAAGACAGAATGATGAAGCTCGAGCGTCGCATACGTACCTAGGTACCTTAGGTAAGACGAGATCAATTGATTCAAGGTGAACAACGTCAGTCACGTGCTTCGTTTTTTCCATCGATAACAGGTGTGACTGGTGTGCTTCCCTCACCTTAGTCACCTTTCTCCACCCTGCAGCTACGGGATGGTCCGGGCCAATCAAAAACACCATCACTTTAACTTCATTTATGAGTTCGGTGAGACAACCAATGATATTCTTCACCACATATATCATTGGTCGTACCACTTCATAATGTATACCCAGGTACTTCTCATGAATATTGAGGACCTTGATGGTCTGCCTGAATTATTGATTGATTCTCTCATTTGAATTGTTCAATCCCAAATCTTCAACTCCTCGGAACAGCGCCTTTAGCCCCTTTAATTATCACAATGCAAATGCAACCCTTTAATTGATCCTGTCTACCATACACCTTTGCCTGATAATTCTAAAAGTAATAAAATGATGTTTTTGGTATTTCGGGTATCGGCCCTGCCCTCGAGGCTTTCGTGTTCTTCCGAATGATATATGATGACCCTCAGTTGGAAACGAACGGAAGAAAAAAATCAAAATGTCTATTTCAACAATGGTAACTCCAATCCTTGACTGATATGCTGTAATATGGATGCCACGCAATGCAAGTAACAGTGATATGAAGACCAATCGTAAATGCAAGAGTCCCCCTTCAATGAAAACGTAACGCCAATAAAATCGCAAACATAACCAGTACAACTCCATTCGTAGATAAACATGTTGGTACGATACGATCACGAACTATGCAATGCTCGGAATCCGGCGGCGATCAAACTTCGAGACTTCTCTCGCGAATCGGCTGGCCCGCTCCAGTAGAATAAGCCCTGAGAAACACAGATTAGAGAAATCCAGAAGAGTAATAAGGTAGGTGTTGATATCGCGAAAAGGGGCAAGTTAGAAGTTTAAAGGGCAGGTACTTACACCGAGTCCTTTCTGCCTGCAATACGCCGCCTTCATCTTTACCGTTTCCGGATTATCGTACGTTACGAATCCCCCGTCGCCCCCGACGCAGCTCGCGGCCCCTATCCGCTTGTCCACCGTCTCCTTGGCGTTTCTCCTCGGCAACGAATTGTATTCGAACGCGCCGTCCTCGCCTCCAGCGCCTTTATGCCTATGCCCCGGGCCAGTTACCCCAAGGAAACTCCGTCCGTAAAGTGGGATACCCAATAAGATCTTCCTGGACGGGCAACCGTGGCCCACGAGATACGTTACGCCAGACGAACCGGACGCCTCGTCCTTGTTCAGCGGATACAGCTGCGCCTGGTGCCCGCTCCTGGGAGTCCACGGCCCGCAAAAGTCGTACGCCACGAGGTTGATGAAGTCGAGGTAGGCGGCGGCCTGAGCGATGTCGATGTTCTGCAGGGTCACGCGAGTGGCCGGAAGACCCGCCGTGACGAAAAATTGCTCCTCCGGCAGGTGGATTCGCACGGCGGCTAGAAGCGCGACGAAGTTGGCGCCTTGCTGGGGGTCCATTGGATATTGCCAGTTGACTAGTAGTCCGCGCAATTTTTAGTCAGTTTTTCCTCCTGTAAAATTTGAACGCACGATGTGGGGAGAGAGAGGGAGGAGACGCAAGAGGAAAAAAAAAAAACTCGGGAAAAAAGGGGAAATTTCGTACTGTCGATGCCGTCCAAGCCAGACGCCTCCACTAAACCGCGCGCTGATCGCGCAAAGTTATCTCGCAGCAGCGTGTCCGAGGCGACTATGGGGAAATTCTCGTTCGATGGCCCGCCGCCAATCGACAGGGTCACCTGCAGATGCGGGTGCTTCTGCTTGAGATGCATGAGCGATCCAAGGCCTCCCTGAACGCCGTCGCAAGGGGCTTGCGTATCTGCCCACTCGTCGCTTAGCTGCGCTTCGAATATTAGCATTCCGGATCCCGCAGGATGATGAAACCGCGGAACATGCAGCTCGAGGCAAACACAAGTCGACTCACAAACACGGATCCGTCCGCTGCCACGTTGGCGAAGGCGTAAAACACGTGGTTGACGCAGCTGTAGTTCATCATCCCAGGAGTAGCGCCGCCGTAGATTTTGAAATTTGGGAAGTATACGGCGTTCGTGAACATCACGTTAGACATGCTAGCGGTCTTCCGCCTTCGGGACGACGATGAGCTCATGTTAAAGCGATCTGTTCTTCGTTCACGGATAGTAGATGAAAATAACGAGACAGTTAACTCAGGTTAAGGCGCGGTCTGAGGTCGATTTATGTCAAGGAACAACAACAGGGATACCAGTAATTAAAGGGATATATAGGTTCCAGACGGTACATGTTGAAGGTGCCTCTGTGATATAGCTGAATAGCCCTCGGCGAACTAGGAAATATTAAGAGACTTGCATTTGTTGTCTTAGAGCCACTATTAAAGCCCAAAGCGACCAACCTTGTGTGCGATATTGTTATGATATATCAGAAGTCTGACGGGCTCCCGAGCGCGGGAGCGGTGGAGAAAGGCGCAACATCACCAAAAATTTTGCCTCAAGGGGACCGTCCAGGTAGATATGTATTTGGATATCCTCACGGAGATCGTTCCTTGGGCTATTCATGCATGACATAATTGCGACGGGGATTATTACAGATGCGAGGTCGCTCTTTGGCTGTACGGTCAGCTCAGGCATAGGAAGATGAGCCAGTAGCAGATATTCGCCAGCCTAGCAAGGCCCGAATAGAAAGGACGGGGCCGGATTGGGAGTTCGAATTTTCATCAGCTCATGATGCCTTGAAGGAGACAGGCTGGAGCTACTAAGAAGGTACATAATATTAGGCATGCAGGTAGGTAGGGGGGAAAAGATATGGGCCGGCGTGTCGCGGGTTGGCGCGTGGGGAAGGGGTTAGCCCGTCTGCTAAACTAGCAACGGCCCATGGCATAGTAATAAGGGCCCCTCGGGTTTGATTACCTGCCTCGAAAGGGAGGAATAGGCCGGTTTTCTTTGGGTTGATGATGCCAATGGCCATTTGATAGGAGAGAGTGGAGCTTGACAATGTCGTTGTCAACGGAGAGAAGACGGGAGTCCGATGGCACTATCTATCATGTATATTTAATATGTGCTCGAGAAGAATACGTAGCTCGTCATACGTTCAACAGACGTCTCTCTGCATATCCTGTACATACAGCGCAAACAGGTAACAGACGCGGTGGCTTCTCCTTGGCGGGAGTTGGTCGATCATGACCTCTCCAGGTATGCAGAGGAGTCGGTTACTGGTAGAAAAGCGCCACGACTTCAAATTTGGCCATGAGCTGGCCAATATTCTGCGAGCCGAATTCCGTTTGTGAAAAAAAACTTTTCTGTTGGATTCGAATCGTCCGTTTGGAATTCTCCGCCCAATCAGTTTAGGTCTCTCTCAGTCGGGGGCAGGATCACTTGTGGAGCGCGGGATGGATACAAAAAGTTTCTACGACGTAGTATGTAACGTTTAGGCGAGCCTGATGAGGATCATTGAAGTACCGAGGCAAGATTCTCTCGATATGTATACGTGGTACGGAGAAGTGAAATGCTATAGGAAGCTTGGTAAACGACCCCGTTACCAAGAACGTACGAGGATGCAGTTAATGAAGCGGGTGCGCAGTATACTAAGCCCATTATGCATCGCCTTTGACAGAGGCCTCAGCGTCTATCTTCTGTGAAATGGGAACTGATAAACATGGACGGACCGGGATGCCGGAGAAATCTCGCCCTACCTTGTCCCGAGCGACAGACTATCATATCGTGCCTAAGTGGCGTGGATACCATATGGCGGGCTCGAATTTCGACATCCTGAAGTTAGAAATAGGATGTTCGAAACTTTTCGATTCTTATTCGTGGAGATGATGCCGAAGAAGTCTACGTACTTCAAACGTCATCAACGGACCCTTAGGCCCATTGCTAGGGGAGGAAAGAGATCTAAACAATTTAGTTAAATTTACTCTAACAAGTTAGCCCCCTAAGACTCGGAGATGGGTACTGGGATGCCATGTGTCGAGGTTTGGTTCAGCCTCCTTGTCTCCTTGTAGGGATCTTACCCTGCCATGCTCGACGAGGGTACAGGCTGGCAGGTGGCATGAATGTTTAACAAGCAAATGCTAGTAATCCGCAACGTACATCCATATTAGACGTCGTCCCGAAGTGATCATAGCACGTATGTTGGGCGTTGGTATGAATTTTTGCCACAGAGGCGGCATCGGGAATGCTAGGATCTAAGAGGATGTGATGGGGACTTTTCAGATGCGACGGTGAGACAATAGCTCCGACTTGCCTATTCAGGGTGATTTCCAATATCTTAGTCTTTATGCCGACCTCGTCTTGGGATGTGCATATTCGCCATGCCCAGCACGTCGAAAGCTTCGAGAAGCCGGCCCCGCCCGTTCTAGGGTAGTTAGGACGGTTAAGGGTATTAAGAAAGTTGGCTAGGTCAAGGAATAACCTTGGATAGATCGTCCCCTGTCTCGGTCCGCCATATTATGACTATCCTTATTGGCGACGTTTATGCAGTAGGAGGACGTGCTTAGGCGAGCTAAAACAAGCAGACTAGCTATATATGATCGAAATGACGCATCCGGGGTGCATTGCAACCAGGTCGGGAGGACCGAGACGAGGAAATCTGAACTCTTAAAAGCAGTTCTCCCGACCGGTATGATAACGCGGACCGCAGGGCGTCTAAGCTTGCAGATGCCAGAAGCAAAGTTCCAAGATATGAAACGTTCTGTTATGTAGATTATTATCTGTTTAACGTTAGAGGGCCAATATTACGTACATACATCCCGCTCCTCTTCTCCTCACGCTGTGGGGAATTTCATCTGGATTGCGAGAGCCGTCAAATAAAAAGTTGGAGTCGTGAACATCATTTCCATAGGAAGCCCAGCTGGTTGTAAGCCTTACTTTTCACTGGAAAGGGAAATGAGAGACTGGTGATCGGAAAATCATCATAGATGTGGCGCTTTCAACTGTCATCCTTATGGGTATCTCTGGTAGTTGTAGGAATATACTATAGTCACTTGGGCAATAATGTGGTCAGCGCCATCCTGACCGTCGTAGGGCCGTCACGACGCTTCGGCGAACGAGATCCGAACCCACTTGGCATTCCTTAGCTCTATTTCCAGGACACTGGGACGTCTCAGTGCCACGCTAAACCAGAAACTGCCCTGTTCCAGATGATTTAAATGTGACAGGTCAGATAGATGTGTGATCAGGCTACTAGTGGCAGCTCCATGGGTCTCACCGAGGAGCAAAAAGGGCTGTCGGTTCGATGTATACCCAACTGGGTACCCTGTCTAGACTCTACGCTCTGGACAAACATGGGGTCCACTTGGACTCCAGTGATATTCGTATGCCGAGTGAGACAGGCATAACCTTGATAGCTAGGTACAGAATGTCCGAGAGGCCCGTTGTTAATGTCCTTTGTGAATCCAGGTCGTTAACATCGAGGGAAATCTTATAGACAAAAAAAGTACCTTGTCAGTATACTCCCTTGCATAGTACCGTAGCATCGTAGTATAACGAACAAAATAACAGGTAGGTAAGTTGTGTTAGGCTATTCACCTTGTTTATAATATTTCCTAGTAGAGGCTTGCTAGATGGATCTTGAGGATGATTTTTATTGTCCTTCCCTCTCTCGGACTAGACTTGGGACATGGCCCTCGGACGGCTAGACGTGGCTGCTGCGTGGCGTCAGTAGCGCAGGCTATACTCCTATTCATCAATAACGTCTTGGCATACTGAAAGGGGACTTTGCGAGCAGCCATCGAATCCGATCCCCTCCTCCTTTCCAATATTTGCCTATAGCTACAAAGGGAAATCGCTGCCGGTTTTTATCGAGAAACAGGAAATGCCATGGAATCCTCGAGAACCCCCTTGGCCCGGGAAGTGCCACGGATGACGATCATCAGACAGCCCAATGGAAAAGAGGCACGCTAACGCAAGCAATAGCATCATCACCATTCGGGCCTAGCCGTGTTTTTTTGAGCCTCCACTCGAAATGCAAGATCACCATTGGTTGGACGTGACAAGAGTCGACTGTGGGTTGGATGCTACCGTGAAGTATGGCATGTTAGTGGTAGCGTCCCATCGCGGCCCCCGCCTGCGCATCTCATCACAGATATATAATTTACTTCTGTGTCGTATGAGCAAATATAGTAGGTACGGAGTAAATCTGAAGAGTTCAAAGGCTTTTTGTTCGCCGCTTTCCCGCCAGTAACAACGATTATTCTGCCGAACTTCCGCATCTAGGCTGGTTGTACGGAGTATTACTAGTACATCTTGTCTCGAATCATGCTACATGGGCAGGTCCAGCAGAGCTTATTGCAAGCTCCTACGCATATGACAGGAAGGAAACCGAACATAGCAGGACAGAAAGAGGGAAGCTAGGAAAGAAAATAAAGTTTTGCATAAGAGATGCTGCCGAGATCTTCGCTTACGCCGATACGAATGCGCCGCATGCACCCCTGAATAGTTTTTGCCGAGAAGTAACCAGCACACACCCCGCTACAACGCTGCAACTTTCTAGATCTGTCAGGTGTGGTGTGAAAGTACATATGTCCGTATAGACGACACGTTGTACGCAGGATCTGGTTGTGATTGATGCCGATCCGCGTGTTAGCGCGCGACAAACCCTTGGGTTCAACCACAGCGCGTCTAATGAGGCTACAGTGAGGCGACATCGAGTTATAGCGATCGTCGGATCTATCCATTAAGCGAACGAGGTGGTAGCTGCCGAGGGGTACCGAAATGCCACGACCGAAGGAGGGCCGCTGTTGCCTGCCGCCGAATAGACGGGTCCCGGGTACGAGCAGGAAGTTCGGAATCCGGATTCCGGGAGCGGTGGTAGTGCCATCGCCGGAAGCTATGGTTACCATGGTGCGGTCATCAATGGCAACAAATTTGTCAAAACCTTACGATGAAGGCGGTAGATCGAACGTCTCGACATTGGTCACTGTGTACCTTCATCATCTACAGTCGGATTACGAATCTTAAAAAGACAAAATGGACTTTTGTATTATGAGAGTATTAGATTGCATGACGAAAATGAGTATTAATCGATCCACCCAAACCACGGAAGTAAAACAAGGAGCGCATGAAAACTTGCTGCCCAGCAACCTGCCGCGTCATGTTCTCAAGTGCCGGATAGGTAGTTTTAGACACGGAATTCGTCCAAGCTCAGTTGGCTGAGCTGAGATCCCGTACTTGACTTGGACTTTGGTTGGATATCACACTCTGGCATGTTGCGAATCCCTTCTCATATCTAGCACCCAAAAAGGATTCGGTAAGAGTATCGGTAGACTATAGTAGTTTGGAGCTATAATAAGTAAAATAATTACAAGCCCCTTAGTCTAGAGCGAATACACAGCACGGTACTTTCCGCTAGGCGTGAAGGGAACATTTCATACTAACCATCTACAATTTTTACGAAAAAAAAGTACAAAAGATATATCAACGTAAATTCGTGGATATCATTAATATTGATACATATTATAGATCGAAGCAAGCCTGTCGGATATATTATCAGCCCCTACACACAGAGAAAAGAAGAAGAAAATTATCTAACTTCGATATGTGGTTATAAGAATACACCTTTTGAGAGTAGGTAGTTAAAAAAGAAGGGCGTAAGATAGCTACACTACGGACTTTGAATCTTGATATCAAACTAGAAATTAGAGATAACTAATATGAATAAGATAGGTAATTAAAGAATGGCAGAACGAATATGTATATACCACGATAATACACCAAACAAGAAATGCTCATTCCAGGTCATCAGAAGCTCCCATCCGTATAAGAGCAACCAATAACATTAACTTCCCTGTGAACTACTAGATCTTTCATGAATAATACCAACCTCATGGATACCAGCCAGCTACAAGATAAACCCAACTTAAAAATGCGCGCTTGTTGTATATAAGCCGCCAAGTAAGGTGCGGCGACAATAGTCGGTTACGTAGACCAAGAAAATCCTCAACTCAAATTTTGTCAGTGATGTCGCTAAGTACATCGCCGCTCCAATAGTGAGTAAGTCCAAGTCAAGAGCACAACCTAACACCCATCACACGTCCAAAGCATTAAATGGCAAGGGGTACTACCGAGCAATCATTCACGCGTCATGAACGTAACCTTACCCTGACCGTATCGTGAATACTGGGATCTCCAACTACGATATCAAAACCACAGCATATCACAATTAACAAAACCAGATCCAAAACCAAAGGTCAGCGATGAACAGCGCGTTTCATTATCGCACTAGCTATTATAGAAGGGTTGAATTTGCAAAAGGCAAGTCCCAACGTGAGTCGAGACGCAAAGCAGAAGCATTGCCATCCTTCCGTTCGTCCCGCAGTCGCAAGGAAAAACAATCCCGTTCATTGCCTGCTCGGAAGGACATTCGATGTGTTCGTTCGTTCATTCAGTCGTGGAATCAGTATTGTCCGGCCAAGTCTGCAGGAAGCATTCTGCCCTCTCCCTAGCGAAGAAGGATTCAACCATGCTATGTTTCCACCCTAACCCCCGTAACGTAAGAAGAAAACCTATCGTTTACAGTGATCGCGCGAAGAATCGAGCGGTGGAGGGAGACAGGAATAATCGTCTCCACTTTAAGGGTTCAAGAGGTGCTCGACGGCGCCTTGAACGTCCCCACCACTTCGTCGTAGGGCGGCAACATTCCGATCAAAATCGTAGAAACCCATCTCGTTGAGTTGCCGGAGCTGTTCTGCATAGCGCTCCTCCGGGGGTCGGGTGTCGGCCGGGGCAGGGGAACCGGAAGGCGATCCCATTCCCAACATCTGAATCATCTGCTGCAACATCTCGGGCTGCACAGGAGGCATCTGGCTGAAGGGGTTGGTTCCAGCTCCGGCTCCGGCTCCGGCTCCGGCTCCAGCCTCTGGTGCTGCACCTCCAGCAGGGGGCGAAAATACACCCGCGGAACCGAACAAGCCAGCAAAAGGGTTAGGAGGAAGACTCGACGCGTTCTGGGCGCCAGCTGCTTGGCCCTGACTCTGACCCTGACCAGCATTCGTGGTACTACTTCCAGTTTGCGCGCCGCTTGTTGCTTGGGTCGCATCAGTACCAGTCGTTCCTTGGCGTTCTGTAGGGGGCGCTGCGAATGGGTTGAAAAGAGTGCTGAACGGATTAGCACCAGCGGCGGCGCCAGTACCGGCGCCAGCACCGCCAGGAGCCTGGATACCACCCCAAAGCGCCGGATCGAACAAGTTGGTCTGGCCACTAGCAGTCTGGTTACTGCCCCCGTTAGCGTTGTTGCCGGCGCCACTGTTTCCCGAAGTACCATTGTTCGAAGACGGATTAGGGGTGTTGTCGGTGACGCCAGGCATAGGGAAGGCGTTCTGGGCAGCCTGGCGACCGCCTAAAGCTCGCTGCAAGCGTGCAGCGCCTCGTAAAGCCTCGGGGCTTGTCATCATGTGACGGAAGAGTGGCGATCGCACAATCTCGCGAGCGTTCGGGTTGTTGCGCAACATGGGGTTCGATTGGATCATCATTTCGATAAAAGCGTCGTTGTTCATCATTTCGTTCATCTGTTGCGCAACGTGGGGGTTGCTCAGCATGTTGGCTAACTGGTCCTCGTCCATCATGGAACCGACCATCTATGAAAGGTCAATTAGCTTCGAGTAGATCAAAGGCATTGGGTGCTAGTATTAACTTACACCACCATCGGGACCGAACATATCTGCCGACGGTAGGCCGGTCAAGCCAGCATATCTTGCGCCGGTCAAACCTGCTAGAGGGTTGTTCGCCGTACCGGCGGCCATGTTGGTAGGGATCTGAGGTGCGGCGGGGGTAGACGGGGCGTTGGCTGGGGCGGGAGTAGGGTTGCTGGCGGCGCTCTTGACTAAGTGGACAGTATTGCCATTCTTGATCTTGTAGGTACTCAAGGGCTCGTCGTTCTTCATGACGCGGCCGGAATAGATTAAGCGCTGTCGTTCAATGGGAATGTTCTCGAACTCTTCGCCGGCAAGCTTTGTCTTCAGGTCGGACACGGTAGCCGTCTCGGCCATGGTAATGGTATGCTGAGAGTCGCCTGAAGTCTTCACCTTGAAGGTGACTTGAGGGTCAGAGCTACCCTCGGCTGAATCGGCCATTTTCGGGACCGTCGTTCGATTGACCTTATTGGGAGTATTCGGCGACGACAACTTTGTGATTATTAGTATGTGTCAAGTGAGGAAGCGTCGATAAATTGAAGAGGAATGATTCGCGTAAGGATGTAAAAATGTAAAAGGGAGATTGGGGTAAAAAGAAGGAAAGCCTAACTACTAGTTGATGGAGGCGACGAGATGCCCAGATAGTTTGGTTTCGGGTGAAATGAGATTGGTGATTGGAGGATTGGTGATATGAAATGTTGGCTGGTGATAATTGTTCAAAGGTCAACTGGTAGTAGAAGGTAGGTAAATGTACCCTGCCAAAGAAACATACGTGGGGCAACCGGCTGAGTCCGATTATCGAAAGTACTATTTCTGTACTTAAAATCTACTTACCTTGGCGGTGTTTTATGATAGTATGTTAGCTATCGTGCAGCTGTTTTCCCCGCACTCTTCGTATCGGCGACTTTTATAAAATCGGCGCGGGAGAAAAGAAGGTTAACAGGAAGTGGTGGTGGCGTTAAGGAATTAAATAAAATTAATGTATAAAAATGAGTCAAGTGCAAAACTTGCGCCGAAAATCACACTAGGTAGTGATTAAGAATCGTGCAGGAACACAAATGTGCAGAGGTTTACAAGATTAGGTACCGTTGATGTACTATTGTTAAGGCGATCAGTAGACCGTCAGCCTTGCGGGTAGCCCCTCGATGGATTTGAAAGCCCTTGTGACACACAGGTGACACCACCTACGCTACCAGGTATAGTGACACTACTCTAGCGCTTCTAACGTCGTTGCTTCTTTCGCCATCCATAACCTTCTCTGCCTTGACTCCTGTCACTAGGGATTTGTCGCCAGGGAAACTTCGATCACATTATTAGCTATTGGCTTACTAATCGCTATATTTAGCTAAATAGAGCTGCTCGTACGGATGTTATTAGGTAATCACCATTTTAGGTACTCCCACTCTGGCTCAGTGCAACAGCAATATGTATGATCACTCAACAAATTCTTCAAACATATAGCCTAGGCTATTTTCTTTCAGCTAACATAGTCTAGAGATGATCTTCGTTTGGCGAACATGACCAATCTTAAGCGCTCAAAATTGGTTGACAGAAGACTCGGTCCATCCGAAGCACTATAAAAAAACAGAAGCCAAACAAAGGACAAACTGATATGACTGGAATCGAGACTCACGTCGCTGCATTGCACAGCTGCAAGAATGGAACTGGTTAAGCTCACGAGGTTGAGTTCGTACTCACAGCTTCGAAGGTTATTACTTAGATATGAGAGCCGTTCTAGGTAAATTTGGTGAGCGAAGACGCGATATTGATCTGTATCACTTTACCGAGGTCCATATTGATGGCGATGTCACTGCTGCGCTGACATAAAAATGTGAGTCGTCACATTAAATTACAGGGAATATGAACATATCGCGATTTATCATATTGTGAGCTGAGCAATCCTCTCAACTCACATCGGATCCGATGATATTCCACGCGCATTCGTGTTTCCAATCTTGAATTCGCCGCTGCCAAATCAAGCTCCATCACAGCCTGGATCTCACCATCCATACTTTCCAAGAACCTCTGTTGATCTCGCTGCGGCTTCCATCCGAGTTGGCCCGCATTTACGGAGACAAGATCTCCGCTAAGTCACTGATTAGATTCCCGCGTCTGTGTCGAAGGAAGGGGATACTTACCTCGAGGTCCCGATAGCCCGTATGAATTCCCGCGGAAGCCCTAGCTCATCCGCGGCCTCGTCATATCTAGGCAAAACTTGTACCCTGGCTTCGTAACAGAGCCCCCGCGCGTATAGGGCGCCGGCGAGACGTTGCATGACTTCCCATCAATGTGCTCTATGGGCTGTTGTGAAGTGGTGACCCTTTTCGCCGCGCGGGATAGGTTCTTTCTGCAAGATCTTCTCCACAAGCAAGGTGTAGAGTGCTGTTAAGTCGGATATGTGGATTGCGGGTGGACTCTATAAACATGTCAATACATTTCTCTAAAGTCATAAATGCCCCTTTACGAAAGTAGCGGAAACGATAACACATGCCGTCCTTGTCAAAGCTGTAGACAGTCTTACGACCGGCCAACCTATGCATATAGTAACAATTCCTTATGGGACAATTCTGTCCATATTATCGACTCTGTCAAAGCTGTCATGGAAGAGAGAGCGCCGGGAGACGAGAATGAACCGAGCGGGGTTATCTCATCGTTGAGAAAGTTGATGAAACCTCTGGAAAACCCTACCACTGTTCATTCTTTTCCGGAGACCAGGCTAGTGGGGTATTGGACTGGTCCCTAGATGCCACCTTTAGAAGCCGTCGTATTTGTGCTTCGGTGGGCCAAGGGTCTGTTACTTGCCACGAGTGAAGATAATGGACTTTTCTAACACGAATATTAGATTACCAAGATTATATCGGACGTTCATTTTAACTGCTTCGGATCTCTGCCAAAATTTGGGATACCATCGCCTTCCCTCCAAAAAAGACAACGGATCAGTAGGTACCTAGGAGCTTCTCGGGAACGTTTATTTTGGACGATTTAAAAATTTGAAAGAGCTTTCGCTTCGACATGGTTGGATATCAAGCATTACCGATGCTAAAATCACGTTACCGATTAATCTGAACGAGTTATGGACCACTAAAGTCGCCCGAATCCAAGGAAGGTTTACGACGAGCCCCATAGCCCGGCAGGCCTATCTCAACCGGACGATGAACGGGGTCGAATAGCAGAGGACCTGGCCGCCGGGTTGCGGGCACTCATCAGCATGTGCCATGCTGAGATTTCGGTAGGTCTTTGGCACATATATTCACCCTGACCTTCACTAATCCACAACTGTAGGATATCACCAATCAACCAAGCGGCAGTGAGGCGGATCTGATGCGAGTCGTTTACCTACAATGTGATATCGTCTGCCAATCTTTATTACTCGCCCTAATTATTCGTGCAATTCCACGAGACGGGGCTCCCTTAGTAGTATCTCAAACCAATGCGTCGATGTTGCCCGCGAAACATTGGGCGTACATCATGAATCTATGATAGCCGTTAGCAGCTGCAAAACCAATCCATTCATGATTACGAAGTATATCAACTGGTGAGTTGGTCAATTCTATTTCGCATTCCGAACGAGATAGTTTGTAGTCACGAACTGCTATCCTTTCTAGCTACCGATTAATCGTTCAGCTGGGCAGGGCGGTTTTGCGCACTCCTTTCGTGCCGTTCAGCATTATGTTTACTCGCGCGGTTCAGCTCTCGGACTTCGCCGATTTAGCCCGCTTAGATCGCTTTGCGACATCATTGAAGCCTGAAACGCCACCAGACTCAATCACACATCCGTATCGATTGTATGAACTTCTGTGCAAAGCTGCTCGGCTCTATATTGAATCGAACGCATCGTCATCCATAGACATGAGCCTAGTCAACACTCCATCGGATTCCCTAGGCGAAATTGACTTCACATCCTTTGGGATGGAGGCCACTATTCCTCAAATATTTGGGCCAGGTGATTGGTGTTGAGGTAATCAGCAAATGATGACTTTGTTGGATGAGGATGTGATGTTTTGATAGAGATTGGATATCTGGTTAAAGAATTATGCAAGCCACATTATTTATGATCCGTTAGATACTGGGTACCTAATTGCATAAGTCAAGCCAGTAAAGCACCTGGGCATTATTAAGCGCCTATCCAAGAAAGGAAAGATACCTCGGCATGAGTTTACCAGGTTCCCCATGGGGCAGTTCACCAACCACCTTTCATACAAACCACAAACAAGTCCTCTTTCTTTATCACCGATATACTTATTATTTATTCCTTGGAACTTCCTAATCTTATAGCCCCATTGACTAATTCATATAGTACAATTGGCCTCGGCTGCAGTGTAAATTTCCGAGTTTCTTCAGTGAAACCCTTAAAATCGAGTTGTATTCAAAGTAACCATGCGGGGCATTCAAGTCAGCGAATATGTCAAGGTAAGAAGATGCCAACTCCAAAAGTCATAAGAAGAGAATATGACAAATTCAAAATTCAAGTCACGAATTTTGTGAATTAATACAATTCTCAGGGGCCGCAAGAGCTCAAGGTGACGGAGATCCCAGACCCGACTCCTAAGCCGGATCAATATCTCATCGAAGTCCACGCCGCGGCAACCAACTTCTTTGATATCCTGCAGGTACAGGGCAAATACCAAAACCAACCTCGTACGTCCTACCCTCATCTCATAATACTTACCCACCTCTTTCACATGAGCACCTGCATACTAACACACACCCCAGCATTCCCCTGGGTCGGCGGCGCCGAATTCTCCGGCATCGTCCTCGCAACCCCCAAATCCGCCACCTCTCCCAAATTCCCCGTCGGATCCCGCGTCTTCGGCGCCAGCCAAGGCGCGTACGCAACACGCGTATGCGCCGCCGAGCCAGAGCTCCTCGCCGTGCCATCCGGATGGTCCTTCGTCGACGCAGCAGGCCTCTTCGTCACGGCGCCGACGAGCTACGGCGCGCTGGTTCTGCGCGCGGGCGTGAAAGCCGGGGACTGGGTTCTCGTGCACGCGGCGGCGGGCGGCGTGGGGCTAGCCGCCGTGCAAGTCGCCAAAGCGTTCGGGGCGACGGTGATCGCGACCGCGGGATCCGCGCGGAAGCTCGAGGTCGCGAAGCAGTTCGGCGCGGACCACGTCCTGGATTACAGGGACGCCGGGTGGGCCGATAAGGTGAAGAAGCTGACGCCGAAGGGACGGGGCGTGAATATCGTGTATGATCCCGTGGGCATGGTGGATAAGAGCACGAAGTGCATCGCGTGGAACGGGCGTATCTTGGTTGTGGGGTTCGCGGCGGGCGCGATTGAGAAGGTGGCTATGAATAAGGTGCTGTTGAAGAATATAAGCCTCGTTGGCATCCATTGGGGCGCGTACGCGCGGAATGAGAGGCAGACGATTCCGGTGGTGTGGGAGGGCATTGGGAAGTTGATTGAGCAGGGCAAGTTTAAGGGTACGGTGTTTACTGATAAGGAGTTCGTCGGGCTGGAGAGTATTCCGGATGCGCTTTTGGCGCTTGGAGGGAGGGAGAGTTGGGGCAAGGTGGTGGTTAAAATTCCGCAGTCGGGAGAGAGTAAGTTGTGATGTTAGTGTTGGATTATTTCTCATCCTTTTTGGTCTTGGATGGTTAAAAATGAGCGCCTTGATAGTTGGCGCCGGTGTATTAAATTGGAAGTATCTTGGTACAGATTTCATTTCAATATAAAATACATGAATTTCATACCGATTCCGAGACTTAAATCATTCCCTTGACATTCATTCATTATCATATTAATGACTTCAATTTATTCCTCGTTTAGCCATATCTCAGCCGACAGTCTCTTTCAAGAACGCATGATCTTCATAACCCATATATCTTGTCTGAATCTGCATACTCTCCAACACCCTGTGCTTCATCTCCGGCACCGTCTTAACGATATCCGTGCCCAGAAACGCTCCATGAGTACTGCTGAAATCGTACTTCTTCAGTATACCCCACATTCTCTCCAGTTCGCTCGGACGTAGCGGGATCATGTTCGGAATGCTCCACATAAACGAGTAGCTATTCATACCCTCAGGTCGGGCCCGCGCAGCACCCACGGCATCGGTGTCCCAGCTACCTAGTCCCGAAGGCGTCGTTACCAGTGTGTCGGCGATTAAAAGATGCTCATCATACAGCGCCACAAACGAGCCCGGGAAATGGCCCCCAAGCTTAAGGACCTTGACCCCGGAGGGTTCACCATCGATTTGTAGATCGAGTTCCGTCTCCTCCACGAAGACCTGCTGCCCCGAGCTCTGCGTCGTCCACACCTTGTCCTCCTTCGCCAGATACACGGGGCAGTCGAAGGCGCGCGCCCACTCGACGTGCGTGGTGTAATAGTGGGGGTGAGAAATAACGATAGCCTTCAAGCCGCCCAGCTCCCCGATCTTGGCTATCGTCTCGCTATCGAGGAGCGTGATGCAGTCCCAGAGCACGTTGCCCCTGGGGGTCTTGATGAGGATGGCGCGCTGCCCGATGCCCACTTTGGGCTCCGTGACGATGGATATGAATCTGCTGTCGCCTTTGAACGGCGTCCACGTGTTTTTGCCATGCGAACGGATCTCGTCGAGCGTGGTGAAGGCCTGTCCCGTTTGTGGTGTGAATTGCCGCGGGTCGTCGCAGATGAAGCATGTCTTGGTTTCCTGCCTGTCCGAGGTGGGAAATTGAGTCCCGCACGCCGTGCAGACAAGCCATGATCCCGTTATGTTCGGGTCATACGCCTCGTCGGAGGCCATAGTTGATGTAAGCCGTATAAGCCCAGGATGATTGGGGCTTTAGATGAGTCCTTTGAGGCTCATTTTATAGTACACAAGTTACCTTATATACGTGTAACTTAAACTCCGAATTGGGTACCGTATTTCACTTTCCAGCTGAATGAAGGTTGTGTTCTCCAGCACCGAACTTGGAGAAACAGATTAAGGAGAATGTGCTAAGACATTCTTCAACTCTTCCTACCTACATTTTTTATTAAATAGCCATGTATGTTCTAGATATCGTCATTTATATAAATAGGAACAGTGGTAGCTTCGCGGGGTGCATAAATGGGGGAGCAATTGAAAAAGTGGGGGATGGTTGAAGTCGGAACGTTTGGAGTTATTGGACCATCCACAGTAATTACAGTGTAAGGCAAACGGTGAACAAACGACAGGACATCAGGTGATTTGGGGAGGTATGAGGCTATTAGTAACTCTTAGACGGAACGTGATGCGCTTAGATACGACTAGTCACTTATCTAGGAAATAGCTTCACTCCGAGTGTGGAAGTTGTAGCCGGTTATCAACGGTGAAAGAAGGTGAGCTACAGAACAAGCTACAGAATTAATGCGGGGATAGAGGCTTCGGCTCTCCATCCAAAGCCGTACACGACATAATAGAGATGACCTTATCTTTTGTACCGAGACCCTGCATTCCAGATAAATACCTTGGTCTGCTTGTCTTACTAACTTGTCCCTCCTTTGACCTTTCATGTTGTCAGCCCTCCATGCAACTCTGCGTCATTTCGACGTTACATTAGAATTGTGAGAATGGTCTTCTTTCTTGATTACATCCAACATAAAAAGGACTGGTAAGTCAATTCATCTTACTATTCCACCAAGTTCAACAACTAAAGTGACACAGCAAGTTCAAGCAAGATGAACGTGCAGAGAGGCTTCGTGCCTTGACCCAATACCGTAGTCCCTTCACCACGCAAGAGCGGGAGATAATTGACAAGCCCATCGAGGAACTTGTCGAGGGTGTACAAAATGGCACAATTGAGCCCATAGACCTCCTGAATACTTACGGCAAGGTTGCCGTCAAGGCACATGACAAGACAAATTGTCTTACCGAGGTCATGATATCCGAGGCTGAAGGTTGGATCAAGGATGGCTCTATTAACCTCAAGGGTCCTTTAGCCGGTATTCCGGTAAGCTTGAAGGATACCATCAACGTCGGCGGTTTCGACTCTACTGTTGGCTACAGTAGTTACGTTGGCAACAAGCCGACTCATGATGGGGGCCACGTTCGACTCCTGAAGGACGCTGGTGCCGTTCCCTATGTCAAAACCAACATGCCCATAACACTCCTCAGTTTTGAGTCTACAAATGATGTCTGGGGTCGGTGCACCAACCCACACAACAACAAATACTCACCGGGAGGTTCGACCGGTGGTGAAGCAGCACTATTGGCATTGGGTGGAAGAATTGGAATTGGAAGTGATGTAGCTGGTAGTGTCCGAGCCCCGGCACATTTCTCCGGCATCTACAGTCTGCGATGCTCCACTGGACGATGGCCAAAAGCGGGATTTGCGACTAGTATGCCCGGTCAAGAAGGAGTACCAAGTGTGTACAGTCCCATGACTAGGACCTTGAACGACCTCACGTATTTCACACGCTCCCTTGTCGGCATGAAGCCCTGGGAGTATGACCACACTGTTCATCCTCTTCCATGGAGACCCGAAGTGGAAGAGGAGTACGCAGCGAAGAGCAAGTTCCGTGTGGGTGTGATGAGAACAGACGGTGTGGTCGATCCAGCCCCTGCATGCGTACGAGCTCTAGAAATGACCGAGGCTGCCTTGAAAGAGGCCGGTCACGAAATTGTCGAAATCGATCCGCCATCACCGTACGAAGCACTTAAGCTAGGTGCGCTCTTGTTGAACGCCGACGGTTGCCAGATGTTCAAGTCCTTTTTCCGATGGGGAGAATGGAACGATCCTGGGGCTGATCAGATGGATTTCTATATGAGACTTCCGCGGCCCCTGAAGTACATCCACTACTTATGGGTTAAGTACGTCCGAAAAGATGATGTATGGGCTGGCCTCCTCAAGGATTTCCACGCGAAGAGTGCCTTTGAGCAGTGGAAGCTGGTTTCTCAGCGGGAGGCCTATAGGGGTAAGTGGTTCGACTGGTGGAATGACGCCGATGTCGACTTCTTAATCACACCCCCCAATGCGACGCCGGCCGTTCCCCATGATGGTATGAAGGAAGCTGTCAGCAGCTGCGGCTACACATTCCTTTTCAACATCGTAAGTAAACCCACATGTCATAATTGCGTGAGAAGTACTAAATGAGTTAGATTGATTATACTTGTGGTATTATCCCAGTAACGCACGTCGACAAGGAGCTCGATAAGCTGCCATCTACCTTCAACATAAAGAAGCTAAACGGAGTTGCTCAAGGCGCATACAAGCTCTATGATGCAGAGGCCATGCATGGACTACCAGTTGCGGTCCAGATCGTCGGAAGGAGATTAGAAGAAGAGAAGGTGCTTGCGATCATGAAGAGGGTCGAAGATGCTCTCGGAGATGACAAGTATGAATTGCTTGACATTGATTAATCTTTCTAGACTACTAGACCGAGTCGATTAGATTGAATATCATGTGAGATACCCAGTCTATAGCGGGTTAGAAGATGTCAATGGTTAAAAAAGGCAACTGTAAATGGATTAATTCAATCATCGCTCTGTGCACTGCCGTAAAAGGGGCGAAGGGCGGAAGCGGAGCCTCCGATCTCGGGCGACTGTTCGGCGGTCCCAATATCGGCCGATACGGAGCGGCTCTGTAAGTCGGTACAGCAAACTCAACAATATTTATTTTACTTTTTAAAAAGGAAAGATAAACTCACTTTCTTTCATAATATTATGGTGTCTGGAGTCATCTGACTTAATTTAATTGAAATTGAAAACACTATCTTCAAAATAATGGCTGAGAAGAAAGATCACTGGTCCTCCGAGGTAAGTGAAGGGAGCCACCTCCTACATCTCTGAACATAGAAAGCGAATATCTTGAAAATAAATAAGTTATTCTCTCTAACATGATTGCATCGTTCAAGGCGTACCAGAATTCGGCCTCATTCGTGCCCAAACTCGCAACTAAAATTGTGCAATGGCTTGACCCTCAAAAAGACGACGTGATCTTGGATATCGGCTGCGGTGGTGAGCCTCTTCTACCCCCATTCCGAAGTATTCCATGCATCAGCGTACTTACATCTTCTTAGACGGCGTGGTCAACATTCAAATGCAAGAGATCCTAGCTCAGGGCAGCGGCAGCATCCACGGCACTGACTCCTCGCCGGCCATGATCGAGGCAGCCAAGAAGCAAGCTAGCAAAGCCGGAGCCTCAAAATGTACCTTTGAAGGTAAGATCTCTACCTTATGCTCATGACAACTTACCTATACATCCAGCCCTCACTCCACGGCCCTCACTCTCGCGCTCTTACCTATTTCCCACCTCATCCAACCCCAACCCCAATCCCAACCCCTTCACACCTCACATCCTCCACCACCAAACTAACCAAAATCCCCTCTTAGTCGCCGACGCCCTCCAACTCCCGCAATTCCCACACCTCCAAGACGGCCACTTCACAAAGCTCTTCTCAAACGCAGCCCTGCACTGGGTCCTCGGATCCACCAAAACCACACCATCCCCATCCTCCTCACAAACCGCCTTCTTCGCCTCCGCGCGCAACGCGCTCGCGCCCGGCGGAACTTTCGCCTTCGAGATGGGCGGTCTGGGCAACGTATCCGAGATGCGCGCCGCGCTACTCTCCGCCGTCTCGCGACACGCGGCGGGCGGACTAGACGCCGCAGTGGCGGCGGACCCGTGGTTCTTCCCGGACGAGGCGTGGGTGACGCGGGTGCTGGAGCAGGACGTAGGGGGCTGGAAGGTCGAGCGCGCCGAGCGCGAGTACCGGCCCACGACTGCTGATGCGGGAGGCGTCGAGGGCTGGGTGCGGCTTTTCGGGGCGCCGTTCTTCGAGGCGGTAGAGGAGGGGGAGAAGAGGGAGAGGTGCATCAAGGAAGCTGTGGATGTACTGGAGGTCGTGTGTCGGAATCCGAGTGGGGGGTTCCACTTGGGGTATGTGAGATTGAGGGTTTTGGCGAGGAAAGTGTGAATGGATGGAATACTTTTCTGAAGTGATATAGGCAGGATGTTTGACCAATGGATTTGTAGTGCCTTGGTACCAGTAGTATTTAAAAACTAGCACACTGAAGTCAGCAGGGGATCATGACGATTGCAAGTATTAATTCTATCGGTCTAATGGAGATCTAATTATGATTAACACTAGACAGCAATTTGGCTTAGTAGCTAGAACAGGTAAGAGCCCTATGGTAACATGATTAATATAATATGGCCCTACATCGCCGGTCACTGTTCTTGTTTTAAGACCAGCTAAGTGTCCATTCTTCACTCCAAGCACCTTTCGCCGTGAACGAATCGAGACCCGTAATAGTCAGGACATTGCCCGAGGTCTCCAGGTTCCATGCACTACTATGCACTTCCTGACCGTTCAGTTGCACTTTCGAAATAGGGCCTTGAGTTCCCAAAACCGTCACATTGGCTAGAGGATTCGGGTCCGGGTAATTGCCACTTGGGCTGGCGCTTAACGTCGAATTTTTGACGACGAACTAGAAAATAGTTAATAAAAAATACTATAGATGTAGACAGTGGAACCAGAGCACTCACCTCAATCCATGATGTGGCATTCGGTACAAGGCTCTCGCCGTCATCCAGGTAAAGACCACCAGCAGATTGGCCAGTGCTATCTAAGGCGACAATGAGGCCCCAGGGACTCTCTCTGACCGCCGTGGTAGTCAAACCAGGCTGTTGCGTTGGTATCACTTTGCCGCCCCGTACATAGACTGGGATGTGACCAAGAGGTGCGTCGATGGTAACGTTCTGTCCAGCCGTGACCCCGGTAATCGCTGTTTTGTTATACCAGTCGTACCAGATCGTGCCGGATCCCACACCGGGGAAGACTCCATCGACAGTCGTAGCGCCTTGAACCAAGCAAGGGGTGACTAAGATCGAGTCGCCTAGAAGAAATTGCCTATCAGCGTTAGCCAACCACGGCTCACCGGGGAATTCCCAGGCTAAAGCACGCATGGTCGTTGAGCCAGTTGAATGGCTGAGATAGAAAGTCGTGTAGATGTAAGGGAGCAGTGTATATCGGATCTTCATCGCGGCCTTTGAGGCGTCCGCTACGGCAGACCAGATGTAAGGTTCCTGGCTAGCTGCTCCTAGGGTATTGTGGTTTCGGTAAAACGGGAAGAATGCCGATAGCTGCATCCAGCGAGAGCAGAGTTCCATATCGGAATTGTCAGCAAATCCGCAAGTATCGACGCCAAACATGGGGATACCGAAAAGGGAGAACGACAGAGCTTGCGGGATAGAGAAGAACATGTACGCCCAGAGGGAATAGTTGTCACCACTGTTGCTTAAGTTAATTCATGTTCTCAGTCGGTGGGGTCAATCAACTTACCCCCAGTGACCAGCCCATTTCCCGGAACCTGCGAACTGCGATCTTCCTATGATGAACGGCCGCTTCGTGGGAAAGACTCCTAAAAGAGCGTGGTACGTGGCGTTTAGAATTTGATGTCCAAATAAGTTATGGACATCGTATTCCAGAATACCGCCATGGTGAGTCGCATTAGGACTAACAGCATGGACGGCAAGATCGCCATTGTAGTTGTTGACAGCATACGGTGGCCAGTTGATGTTACGAACACCTGGAGTTGGTGTGCTTCGAAGGTACGAAACCGTGGTCGAAGATGGTGTCGCCGTAGCCGCCATGGAACTTAGCACCGCAGATGCGGATGCAGCTTCAGTAGCATTGGTTAACTCAAACCCTTCCGGGTACTGAGCCACCTCGTTTCCAGGTTCCCCTGGGAGTACGATTGGAGGATGGGCGGGATTGAGTTCCAGTGCGTTACTACCGCAGCTGCCCACGCAGAAGGATGATACTTCTGACATATCAATCCATATACCATCAAAATCGATCTTGTAGTGATATCCTTGAATCTCACGCGCCCACCATTGGTTAGCTCCGGTGTCATTGAATAGAGCACCGATCCAATCAGGGAAAACTTGATATGTTAGTGCGAGCCTGAAAAAGCAGGAAGATGACATACCGGTGTAGCCAGGCCAAACGGCTCCGACATAGATGGATCCATTTGGATTCAGTAAGAAGGCATCTTGTTCAATACCGCGATCGAATGGTGGATATGCGTCGCTGACATTCGTGGGGTCTGGCGCGTATATAGCAGAGTCGATTATAGGCACGTAATGCATATTTTGCTCATGAATGCGCTGTAGGAATTTGGCTCCTTCGGCGTAACCAAAACGGTTCTCATCATTCTCAAAGTCTCGGTATGCATTCATGTAATCAATATCGGCTATTGAAGTGTCAATAAACAGTGGATCTGCTTGCTAAGAGAAATAGTATAGAAATGGCTTACTCCAGATCGTTTCGAGAGGAATCTCAAATTTGGCAAAGTTGTCAACGACGCTCTCAACTTCAGACCAGTTATTATAGCCCCATCGACATTGATGGTAGCCAAAGGTCCAATACTGTTGCATTGCAGGGAGTCCAATAGCACTCTTTTGGTATGACTTGGTCACGCTGTCTTGGGTGGGTCCTTCATAGAAGTAGAGATCGATATTGCCGCCAAGCGCTCTCCAAGTGATGTTAGATTCTCGGAGCAAAACCTCTTGGGTATGAGCGTTACGCTGGAAGACGCCATGAGTATATGACTTATACTCAGCTGACTTATCCGTAGCGTCTGAGGCGTACTTCAGCTCTTGAGTATCCTTGTCCACTTCGAAGTAACGAGTATCGAGGTATATGGGATGGTTTCCATAGATATTGGCATCTATGATATCCCCTACGTCTGCTGCGAAGAAGGTTCCTAATACCATTTAGTAAGGACTATCATCTATGCGACTAGAACACCATACTCGTGATATTATTCCCGAGTCTGAAGCCGTGAATAACCTCGCCAAGACCATAGAGGTTGTAGTTCTCAGGCAACGATGAACCAAACTCAATGAATTGATTCTCGAAGACTAGCTCAGACCCTGTCGTATTGAACAAGACATCACCATTGCTCTTTCTAGAGACTTGGAATGAGAAGGTAGGTTCATTGACCCAGGTGAAGAGAAGGTCACTATTCGAAATGTAACTATCAGGATTTCCTTCGACCTGGGGTTTCGGGATTAACTCTTCGGGGAGGATGAACCAGGTGTAGTTCTCAGAGCCGATATAACGAGGCGTAATTTCGACGTGCAGTCGGTCTTCCGCCTGAAATTCGACAAGTAGGCTCAACGCCTGGATATCGGTGCCATAGACATCGCAAGCTTTGCCGGCTAGGTCGAGATCCGCAAGGAAGCCATTGGTAGTGTTCTTCACATTCGAAACTTTGTAGCCTGGGCAAACAGATTGGGGGTTGATAGCTTTGGAGTCAAGGATATTGGGAATGATATTCTGACCAATATCTGCATCCGGTGGAACAGTGTACGCTTCTTTAATAGCAGTTCCGGTGTAGGTTGGTGTCTCCTCTCCTGGAGCAAGGGAGAATAGGGCGAGTAAAGTTGCTAGAAGCAACAGAGTGTGCCGAATCATTGTGGCTCGACTTAACTGACCGGAACACCAAGATGAAGTGACAACGAAGGAAGAGACGAGGCTTGAAATAAGTAGGAGACGAGAGGCTGTGCCCAGTTTTCCATACCAGATTTCGAGCTTAACAAAATACGAAGTGAGAAAAGAAACAAAGGTTGGATGATGTAAATCGGCGGATTGTTCGGCGTTGATATATAAGCTACTATCCTGAACCGGCAGGCGCCGCTGGCTTATAGAGCTGAATATGCCCATCGTTCCTGAACTTGATGGTATTAAGCTTCTTAGATTGGTGGAACTATCCAGGTACTTGGTAGAGCCTTACAGGTACCTCGGTAGATCTCGAACTCTACTACATCTAGTCGGTACCTTCGAGTTAAGATGATGGAAAGCGGTCCGAGAATTATTTAGGTAGGAACTATGGTCAATCAATAATTAAGAGACATTTATAGAGAGTTGTGTTAAAAATAAAGAGTTATAATTGGATGGCGACAACTCGAAACACTCTTTCTAAACTACGAGGACGAGACAACTAGTCTTCGGCGTTGTAGTTACTCAAGTCTTTCCCTCGAAAGAACTACCATTGAGGTGGAGATAATACGGGACGACTAAAGAGAAAAGCAACAACCCGCTCCAGTCCCCGCACTCTAATGCAATGTAGATCCTCCCTTATATGATATTGGCGTGTTGCTTGACAAGTTTGTATTCTGCGGAGAGGGCGGAGAGAGGCGGAGTTCCCGACATTGCTTCGTTGAAGGTCCGACTCCTCACAGCTTCTAATTGCATACCCCGCACTTTATGTAGTATCATGTACTAAGAAGGTATATTCAACTAAGCCACTGTGCTTACAAAGCTTTGTTCGCCCCACTCAAGCTTTAGTTTAGTTAGCTAAGCCGTAAGCTGTCGCATTTCTGATCCTTTCCATTCATTATGTAAACATCTACAACATCCAAACCCGACGCCTTCGATTCAACACTCCCCCATTCACACTCTTCCAACATACAACACAAACCAGAAAATATCCGCAATCGATAACAAACCGCACAATAAATCACAAACCAACATCCGCCCACAATGGCGACCGCAACCGCGCCGCCGCCCTCCGAACTAGCGAAGCAGATCCTCGAGCACAAGGCGCCCAGCTACAGCTTCAGCTTCACGCCGTTCCTACGATCTACATACGGGCACGGGTTCCCGCCGAACCGACCGGTATGCAAAGCCTTCGTGGCGGGCCACTGCCCGCTGGGCGCGTCGTGCGCGGACCGGCACGTGACGCCGAACGCGGCGAGCAGCACGAACGCGAGCTACAACTCGCTCGTGTGCAAGCACTGGCTGCGCGCGCTCTGCAAGAAGGGCGAGTCCTGCGAGTTCCTGCACGAGTACAACCTGCGCAAGATGCCCGAGTGCAACTTCTTCGTCCGCAACGGCTACTGCTCCAACGGCGACGAGTGCTTGTACTTGCACATCGACCCCCAGTCCAAGCTGCCCCCTTGCCCGCACTACGACCGCGGATTCTGCCCCCTCGGCCCCAATTGCAGTAAGAAGCATGTGAGAAGGAAGCTGTGCGTGTACTATCTTGCTGGCTTCTGCCCTGAGGGCCCGAATTGCAAGGAGGGCGCCCACCCGAGATGGGATAAGAATCTGGAGAAGCCGATTGCGAAGGCGGATGTTATTCCCGAGGAGCCGGTGAGAAGAGACGACATGTTTATGGATGATGACCAAGGAGACTTTGGAGGAAGAAGAGATCAGGGTGGCCGAGGTCGCGGCGATAGGTTTGGTGGTGGGAGAGGCGGCCGGTGGAGAGGAAGAGGTGACCGGAAATTTGGACGTGGAAGGGGTGGTCACCATTGAGATGCACACAACATGCTCAAAACTACCCACAAATGAACACACAAATACCTCGTTGCAACAAATCTTCGGGATAAGCCTTCAACTTGAGAAGGCTAAGAGGAATCAAGCATGTGTAGGCCATCTCTACGTCTACGCACACCCTTGCTCACAACGATACGTCTGGAAAAAGCACCAAATTTTAATACGAGCTTAGCAAATGCAATGCTCAATCGCCGAGATTTCCAAACTCCGCATATCATTCACTTGCATCAGGAGGGTGAAGGGCAAAACTCTTGTCTAGGAAGAGATGACGAGAGCTGCCGGTGCTATTAGATTCTCGATCTAGAGAGTTTGATTTCTTGAGAGAATTGGAAGTCTAGGAAGGCACAGGATATCAGTACTGCTAGATACCCCCATAATCAAGAACCAATAGATTCAACCAAGCATATCATTTATCGTAGATTTTCATCATAAATGTGCAAATATTCTATTCATGTGGCCTTACTATCCTGCACCCATCCTTGAGGGTAGCGAGATGTCGAATTTTCATACAAATTTGTTCAGGTAGGGAAAGGAATCGGTTCAAGTCATCAAATCATATATACAGGTCTCGTAACCCATTAGTCAACCCAGATCAGACCATCATAATAACGCCGTCCATCCCCGGAGGTGGATCATAACCTCATCCCTAATCCTTGAGAGACAAGCCAGTTCAGTTCAACCCAGTTTCCAGACATTGTGTCCGTCGTCATCCCTAGCTACAGCGATAAATTCGCTTGCGCTAGCCTCGCCATTTTCGCTGCTGCCACTTCCACTCTTCTCACTTTTGCTGTCACTTCCGCTAGCATCACTCTTGAGAATTTCGCCAGCCTCCCACGAGCTCAGTTCGTCGACCTTCCTTATCCCCATCATCCACGCAACCAAGCCTCTCGGAGCCCATCGCCCCACAAAGCCATATAGACCTGCACCCAAACCAACACGTACCACGTCGCTGAGTTCAGATCCGTCGATCACATCAAATACGGCATTGTGTAGCTCCCTCAGAGAACTACCGCGTAGCCCTCTGATACGACCTGCCGAGATGGCTGAAGCGGACTGGGTCACATAGTTACGGCCATAGGCATGTCTTGCGCTCTCGGGCCATTGCAACGGCTCCGCAGGCGGGAGTAGGCCAGGCACACCCGCAGCTCCGTTAGTACGGACTGGTGTGAAGCCCTGGAAGTCGAAGGTACCAAGCTGGACGTGTGTCACGGGAATGGCAAGAGGGCGTAGTTCGGCCGTTAACACTTCTGTGAAAGCGGACAAAGCAGAGCACACCGTAGCCTCGGGAGCATGGAACGGTGGATTGATCGAGGAGATGATAGATGGTGTGAAGACGAGCACTTTAGGCGTCGCGGACTTCTCGCCGGTAGGTGTTATTCTGCTAGTGAGCAGTGGTAGGAAGGACTGAATGGTAAGTATGGGATGTAGGAGATGGGTGTTGAATAGATCGGCAAAGCTCGAGGGAGGGATCGTGGCGATAGGCGAGGTCTGGTAGTTGAGTGAGGGGATCAGAATAACCGCTTTCAGAACTAGGAAGTTCGGTCTCGCTCGTGGGACTGCGGCATGTGAGGCTTGTAGATAGGCTGCAAATTTCTCGATAGACTGGCCAGCATTTGGAGGCTAGACAGAGCGTGTCAGTTAAAAGAAATCCATCAACGATTCAAGTTGGGGTACCCACATCAGTTATATCGATGCCCAACGGTCTAATGTCCGGTCGCGAGAGGTTCTGCACAGCTACTTCGTCTTCGGCCGTATTGCAGACAATGTACACAATAAATCCTCGTCTCTCCAAATCCAACGACAACGACTTGGTTAGTGGTAGGGTTGGTGATCCGGCAATAACCACAACCTCTAGTCTTCCACCATTTCGAGCTCTCTTTGCTCGGCGGTGCTTGTGCATTCCTTTGGTGATTCGGACCGTTTTATATGTCGCATATCCAGCAGCTACCACTAATACAGTAGTAAGGAGTTTGTGGCGGGAAATCCAATCCTGGAATCGCTCGTACGCAGTGACCGGCACAACCTCGACCGGAGGTGGGCGGCTCGGAAGTGATGGTCGCGCATAATCGGGCACCCAGGAAGCTGTCGATAGCGTATCCCTTATTTCGTCCGCAACTTTGTCTACAGTCTTGTCGATATATTCAGCAACATCCCCAGAGTATCGTCGGATCTGGTTGGGGATGGACGAGAGCTGTCACATGTCGTTTGTTAATCTTCGTTATTTTTTGGTGGATATACGCCACTTCGTGTCGGATCATTGAATAGGGACACTCACCAAGTCCAGGAACTGTTGGTCGTCGGCAGACATGACCGAATATCAGCTATTTAGATGCTTTCTCAAAGTTTGGATTCAGATATGTTAGCCGACTAGTTGGGTGGTTGGTGAAGTATGGTAGGTACGGACGGTAGACCGGCAAGACGTGGGCTGGTGGAAAATCGGTGAAGTGGGATGGTAAAGTAAAAGGTTCAAAGATAACCTTATCCTAATGGGGCTATTATCGATTACCTATCGATTCCGGATCTCCTAGCGATCCAGAGTTCTTACTAATAAGCGAAAATATGCGGGATGATGCAATCCCCACATGCAAATTGAGGTTACATTCGGGCAATTACCAAAGCAGTGCTATACACTTGATCACAGCTGCAGACAGTTGGTGCCTTACCCTTTTCAACGTCAAAAGTATCTGAGCATTAGACCTCAACATAACAAATCTAAGGAACACTCCTACGAAAATATTTAACTACCTAGAGCACGAGAGCCCATAGCAGCCATTTAACATCACGGGCAATTTGGATCACAGAGTAGAAGTCATGCAGAATGCTTGAAGTGTATCTACCATTGAAGGAATAAGTTATCCTATAGATCACTTAAAGTAGGTCTATTGCACCTTCCCAGTATCCATATCACTCCCTTTCTCCCTAGAGTTGTCCCAATTCACTAACTTTCCTGACTCCATCACCAATGAGCTTGACTACCGGGGCCACCGGGGTAGCTGTAGTATGGCGAATTGTATTGAGGTTGGCTATACGAACGTCGATGAGTTGCCGCTGTTGTTACCGCTCTCATGATTTCTTCCTTGTATCTACGCTTTATTGCTCTGCGAAGTCTCTTATGCAACTTATCTAGTTCAGCAAGCGATTGTCGGGCCGGCTTACTAATCTCTGACTTGTCCGCTTCCTTTGATGATATAGTCGACGATTCGTTATATGTGCCAGAGTTAACGTGCTCCATGAGCTCGTTGCGTGATCCGAACTGTTTTTTGCATTTCTCGCAGTGCGTGTCTGACTTGCCGGTTGCCGAGGAAGATGGTATGGCAGGTGACGGGGGTGTAGATCCAGCAGGCTCGGTGCGAGGTCTGATAGGCATCGAGAGTTCGTTGTAAGACGAGGGCATCGTGACGTTTAGACTAGTTCCAGCGGAGTGTCTATTACTGACTGAGCACTTCAGCACTATGTGCAACGGCGATTAGCTTATGATCTAAGCCGTTTTGCAGTATGCTTGAGGACGGGCTTGTTGCGAAAGCTGGTGGTTTTGTTGGCGTGCTGTCGCAGTATCTGGTGCAAAAGCTAGCTTGTCGTGCGATATGCGGCGGGAGGTCTGTTATTGACTGGTGTAGAAGAGCTTCAGTATGTTGAAGAATCTACCATTTGGCTGGCGTGCTTTTAGCATATGGATAAAAAAGACCTTTTGGTGTGCTTAGAAGTAGCTGGTAAGTGACTCACAGTTGTAGGAGAAGTTATCTATCCACAGTTCTGGGAGAAAAAGAAAAGAACGCAAGAAGTTGGTGAAGAGTAGGATGGGTATATATAGCATTTGTCTTGATCGGATCCAATACAGTATGGAAAATTCTACCGAGCTTATGCCCCGACTCTTTTTTCCTTCATGGTCACATTATCACAGTGCGTCCAGTGTTAGACTCCAAGAGGAAGGTGCGCTACAGTGAAGAGAGTCTGTCATTGTTAAGCTCGGATGGACTAAGGAGAAAGTGAGCAGTGTAGAAAATAACGCTTGGACCCTATACTGACAATATCGTCGTAGGACCTTGGAAGTTGCAGCCGGTGATTTTGCTCCCCTATCACTCTATTGGTTGCCGAATCCCTTATAGATCCTCCGTCGCTGCCTCCTACATGGTTTCACGGGACCTTTATACAATAAACTTAAAGAAATTTTTAATATGTTTACGTCATAGCCCAACTCATTTCTTCCATATTGGAAAGCTCCTCAAAATCAATGAAGCCTATTCAAGTTGTGACAGTAATTAACTGGGTCTATTTAATACCTATCGGAGGGGTCCCCTTTTTTGGACACTGTTGTTCCATCATAATCAAAGTATACATAGTTACAAAAACGAGGTATTCTGTCTCCAATATTGTGCCAGTATTTTTAATAAAAATAATGCTAGATGCCTAAGATAGTAGCTCTCTACCTATAGATTTATATTAATTATCATTGTCGATTGCGGCCATAACAACTACGTTGATAGAATGGCTATACTAGACCGTTGTTTTGGTTTTATTTTGGTGGCTAACACTGGTGGGCCTGTTAAAACGACGGTATAATTACCTAATTAGCTTCTCTTACTTGACTGAAGTTATGAAAGCCTCACCTTCCTTTTATATATACAGTTGTGTCAACACTAAGGTTGATCCTGATTATCCTTTCGATTTCCTGACATTGGTTTAAAGGGTTGACATAGTGACCAATCCTTAGTAAGCTAATAAGGTCGAATAAACAAAGAATTCCAATATTTCTTTCTTGCAACCAGTGGCCAAGTGGTCAACGCCTTAGGTAGGATTCAAGTGAACCTACTAAGGTAGCTGGTTCGATTCCTAGTAGGAGTAAAAGAAGAAAATCCAGAGAATAAAAAATCTCACAAACCTTCAAAGAGAAGGAGCTCCCCTAGGGAGGCAGTTGGCAACTGCCTCCATAAGGGGGGCCTGCACTTTTATATAATTTTCCCAGGTCCTGACATAGTGCCAACAGTGTAACCCTTCCTAGCCATAATATTTACCTTGACATAGTCTCAACCCTGGTCAAAGTGTTCAGCATTGACAGAGCAACTAATTCAACACTGCGGCTATTCTTTATTATGATATCCTATTGAAATATTGATAATTTTATAAGACTGAAACTGATCTTTTCGGAGAATCATCTGTCGGCACTTGGCAAGTCTGTCTTCATTATGGTATAAGAGTGTCCAAAAATGGGGACCCCTCCCTTAGGTAGTAAAGCTACAGGCACTGGACATAGGATTTAGCGCCTTTAATGTTGTCGTGTTTCGGAGAAGTATTACGGCAACTGGATCATTCGATACGCTTCTAAATTGACCAACTAGCATTGACAACCTTGTCTCTTGGTGAATCGTGTCTATAAGTAACGTATCAACTTAATGACTAGGTAGTCGCCACGTGGCTTAATAGTTTGATCAAACTTGTTGGAATTTGTTCCTTCTGAAAATGCGGGTGGTTGTGTAATGCCAAATACCTACGTTGATGCTTCACAAGACTGCCAATCTTAGTTGTTAACGTGTAAAGATGGACTATAAAAAACACTCAAATCGTCCAAAACTACCAAGACGGTTATCACCAACACCCCTTCACCAGCAACTTCCTAGGTTCCTACCCAGTCGTTATTGCAACCGGAATCAAGTTATGGCAATCAAGAAGTTGGAAAATGAAATTTCATTACTAAATCATCTGCAATAAATGACAGCCGAGATATCTGACTTATATGGGTAACAGATCGCACGGATCCAGTCACCCTTAGAAATTCTCTTGGTGACAAAACACTACCCTTTTTTCTTTGATCCCCTTATCTATGATATTCTTCTTGGATATTCTCCACACGGCTCTGTTATCTCCCCGCTAATGTATAACCGTGGCTCGACGGGGTCAACAGAGTCTGTACCGCTCAGAATACTTATCTAAGGGCGTGCTACTCGCTTATGTGCGGCCTTATACTCAAGCCCTAATACACGTAGGAGCTTGCCGGGCTGCCTGGTTTCTTCATAGTTGGCCATCCGCTTCTGCCTCACCATGCTCTGGATAGCTTGTATATCCGCGACAGGGAGCTCGTCAACTTCAAGCATCGGGACTCCTAGAGCAAATAATAAGGCAAGAGCCTCCATAGTCTCGCGATGGTGAGGGCCAAGAGATTGTCTCAATCCGTCATACGCCTTGCGAACAAGGTCTTCCATTTCGAAAATATCATTTTTCGCCCAATTTTTCATGATGGTGCCATTCCACCACCCGTATTCGATGCTTGTCTTCACAATCTCTCGTTGCGTTATCAGTATCCTGGGGTCATCGTTTTCGAGGTTCTCTTTTTGGTGGAATTTGAGAACTTCTAACTTTTGTATGGAGGAATGCAATGCTTCCTCGTCGTCCTCTGCTGCAGCTCTGTTTCGCTGAGTAATAATATTATCGAAGTCGAATTCATCATCGACCTTGTAGTCATCAGGAAGACTGCGTCTAGCGTCATGTTCCCCTTTATCATCCTTAACGTTTTCAGGCATCGGGATGGCCGCTTCGGGCAAACTGAGTGGTGACATTCTCGGGGAGTCGAGACGTTCTTTTTCTGCTCCAGAAATACAATTAGCAAGTATCACAATGTGGACTTAACATACTAGAAATATGGCATTGTTGGGCGTGAAACTCTAAACTCCTGCTGCCTATGGGTGCATTATAGGTACATATAAGAGAAGCCCTTTGTATACTCCGTCCCAGGGCCAACCACAAACAACCTCCCTATGGCAAAACTCCAATCAAAGTACACCTCTAGCAACTTGTCCAACAACAAACCAGACCCCTCAAAGCAAGAACGACCAGGATGAAGATAATGCATAGCTCGGTGGATATTTCCAACATACCTTTGCCTTTCACCGTTCCACAGTCGGGACCGGATGTCTTGGTATCCACAATATCCTCTTTCTTAGAATCACAGTTAGATTCTTCAGCCGTCGCTAATTTCTCCTTCTTTATGCAATGAGGGCAATTATCAACGACTGTGTTGGCTATTACAGCATCGCTCTTCGGAGAACTGGGGGCCTCGCTACCATCATCAGGACCTTCATCCTTAGAGTTGCAAGAGTTATCAGGAACCGTGCTGGTTTCCGTTTGGCCGCTCTTTTCTGGACTGCAAGTAGGATTGTCGGTGGGCTCGCTTGACGAACTACCGGCCTTCACAGGATCACTTTTTCCCGAGCCATGACACGGGCTCTCTTCATCACCACTCGACTCTTGTTTCTCATGACAACAAGAATGTTTGATGGTTGTCTTGCTACCACTCTCAGAGTCGCTGTTCTCCGGGCCACCTGTTGAATCATTCGTGGGGTTAGTCGAAGATATGCTAGGATTTCCGGAACTGCTCTTCTTGGGGCAGTCCGTGGCTTCGGGAGGGTCTAATGTTATAACCGGTATTTGATCTAGAGGAATAAGCTCTTGCCTTGGGTCATAAAATCCTCGGGACGAGATGGCCGCGCTCAGCTCCTCCCCTAATCCTAGATCCGCGAGTTTTTGTATCGGTGTCTCAGTGTTTGGTCTACAACCCTTGAGTAAACAGCCGGCTTGCCGCGCGAAATCCTTAACGGTTGGCTGCGAAATATGTCAGATTTTAGTAAACGACTTACAAAAAGTGGCCGATCAAGAGAAAAATGAGAAGAGTGGAAGAGAGAAGCACTAAGCTTACCTTTTCGAAAGTCAGAGCAGGGGTTGAAGACATCCAAATATTGTGGCACATTGCCCTCGTGGTATAGGAGGTTCCTACACTATTTTGCCCTCCTATTGCTTCACATCGTCCGTAGCGGGCCATTGCCAAATTTTGGAAATTGACGTCGATGTCTTCGATCTTGGCTTGAAGGCCGGGTAGTTTTGCCTGGTTCAATTCAATCTTGAATGTCTCCGAGAACTCGTGGAGATATGGCGATATCACTAGGCGAGTGGATATGTTAACGACAGGATTGGGGGCCATCAGAGCTTCTGGGATATCAAAGAAGAACAGTCCAGTAGGGTCGATGCGGTTGACCTGGCTGCTGATGAGGGTCAATAACTCCTTTACTACCCAAATTCCCATTCCATGGGCGATGAAGATGGCGGCCCTGGATGAGCGACCGTGATCTCCATTCGAGGTAGAACAGAATAGGGGCGATGTAGGGTCTTGAGTAGCTGCTATACTGTTGGATAGCTCAAGCGTAGACTCATGAAGTGCAGATCTCCCATTGTGAAGGATATGAGCGCTGTCGAAGGAGAATGTACGGACGTTCACGCAATTTCTGATTGGCTTAATCTCGTTGGCGACCCAGGACTTGAGGATCCGTCGACATTCTGGCGATCGCGATTTCGATCCCGAGCAAGATTTGAAGCCATGAACGAGGATAATCCTAGTAATGCTGGGTTAGCCATATCCAATTTACCCGTAAATGGTTGAGAGCAAGTATGGATATTGGTATTTGAAAACTAACTCGTGAGTTACTAGGTCGGGCTTCTCAGATCTAAAAAGATCTCGTAACGGCTGTAGGTGTAATTAGTTAGGATAGGCGTTGGGGAACATGCTCGATATGAGGAACGTACAGCTGATGGCATAGTGGTCGATGTTGTTATTCGATATGTGGGTGACAAGTAATGTTAGAGTATTTGATGGATGTAAAGAGCGTATAAGGTGATGAGTGTTGAAAAGAAGTTGAGGGGAAATTGAAAGTCGTCTCTACGTTTAGCGATAGGTTTAAATATTATGAAAGACATCTTCCAGTGCCTTGTTGCCATAACCCGATTCACTGGCCAAACTCTTCTCACCATTTTCACGCGGAAGCCAAGATCGTGTAATGTGATTACTGGTTTTTCATGCAATTGAGTTAGATTGGACAAGGTACACGTCCACATCCACCGCAAACGTAAGAATACCATCTCTAGGCGTAACTGTTGTTGCGTAGGTAAAGGCATCTTATTTCTATGTAGTGTCGTGCAGATGAGATGGATTTTGCTTCGTGGCCACCCTCTGACTTGGTCCTAGCTTAGGCTCAGGACTTGTTAACAATCCGTGACCAATAGATGTAGGAAAGCAAACAGCGATTACAGTTGAGGAGTCCAAATCTACTAGGAATCTCATGACTAAACCACCTATTGGAGTGAGAGTGATGTACTTTCTTGGCTTTGGTTCCAGTGTCATCTCATATCTCAATCCGGAAAATGCCCGAGACTCATTGCTGGCCTTCTATGTTTCCCGCCTACCAAGGAACATAAGCAAAGTAAAACACGGGCCTGGAAATAGTTGTGGCGTGCGTAATACTGGGGGGTCATCCATTAGGGATGACATTATGCTTGCTACATAAGAAATATATTCATATAACTTCGTCACAGTTTTCAAGAAAGATTTGATATCTTGGAATTGTCAAAGTTGGCTATCTAGGCGGTTCATACGAATCAATGTTATCAAATACCTTATCATAGAGAATCGATACCCGTGCGTGATTAGTTGATGTGTGATGTCCGTATGCTTTTACTTGTAGGCATTTAAGCCGTTTTGGTGGTCCAACATGGAATTGACACATCTGAGCCCCTTTCACTCTTTAGTAACGCGAACGATTCAATTGAGCGCATTTATTGGTGATAAGTAACTCGGTATAGATTAGTAGTGACATGGTATGATTTAGGGTTTTCTTGAAGCGGCAATACTAAAACTAGTCCGTCCCTAAACATTGGCTCGTCACTATCGCCTGCCCTCACTCTAAAGTGGAGAGCTCTGGTTCCTTTTCCGCGCCGTGGAATACCCACCGTCGCTATCCGACTTCGGTGATAGCTCTTGGCCGAACTATGTGGACCTCTATATATAGGCATGTCTGTAATTGATGGGTACGGTATCTTACCTGTATAAGGAGTCGATGAACTATAAAAACCAACGATCCCCTCGACATAATTTGGATATTACATCCCAACTCCTCGCCCATTGCTCGGTAGACATTTAAACAATCCCCCTATTGTCAGAATTACCCTCAAACTCCTAACAAAATGGCCGAACTTGATCTCCGCATCCCTGAACCCTTCGCGAGTATTCCGCGGGAATCTCTTATGTTCGGACCATCCCCTATTCAGCACTTGCCGCGGATATCCGCAGCTCTAGGCGGAAAAGTCCAAGTCTACGCTAAGCGCGAGGACTGCAACTCAGGACTTGCCTTCGGCGGGAATAAAGTGCGAAAGCTAGAGTGAGTAGTATTTCGACGATACCTAGGGAAAATGTGAATTCGAAAACTGACACTTAGTTAGATATCTCGCCGCGGAGGCCAAGGCCAAGGGTGCCGACACTCTGGTATCCATCGGCGGCGTGCAATCGAACCGTACGTAATAAAGATTAGCCCCTATCCCCCTTTTCCCCTTTCCCGCGGAAAACTCCCCCCTACCCCCTGTCCTCACCCCTGGATCCCCCACATTAAACCACGAACGCCTCCCCACCCACATCCTAACCTAACCTCGCAAACATCTAGACACCCGCGCCGTCGCCGCCGTCGCCGCGGCCCTCGGGCTAAAATGCGCGCTGGTGCAAGAGCGCTGGGTCTCCATCTCCACCTCATCGAGCTCTTCGGAGGAGCAGCACTACAGCAGCGTAGGCAACATCCAGCTATCGCGGCTGATGGGCGCGGACTCGCGGCTCGAGCCCGCGACGACCTTCGGCATCGAGCACAAGCCGACGCTGGCGAACCTCGAGGCCGAGCTTAAGGCCAAGGGGCAGAAGCCGTATTACATCCCCGCGGGCGCATCGGACCATCCGCTAGGCGGCCTGGGGTTCGCGCGCTGGGCGCTCGAGGTCGAGGCGCAGGAGCGCGCGACCGGAATCTTCTACGACACCATTATCGTGTGTGCGGTGACGGGGTCCACGTTCGCGGGCATCGTGGCCGGGTTCAAGCTCGCGCAGCTGAAGCTGGGATCGAAGAAGCGGCGCGTGATCGGCATCGACGCCTCCGCGACCGTGAAGCAGACCTTCGACCAGGTGCTCCGGATCGCCAAGTTCACGGCTGCGAAGATCGGGCTGCAGGAGAGCGACATCACGGAGGCGGACATCGAGCTCGATGATCGGTACCATGCCGGCGTGTACGGGAAAGCGGATGCGCAGACACTGGACGCGATAAAGTTCGGCGCGCAGACGGAGGCTTTCATCACGGATCCCGTGTACGAGGGCAAGAGTCTGGCGGGGATGATGGATCTTATTCGAAAGGGCGAGATACCCGAAGGAAGCAACGTGCTGTACGCCCATCTAGGAGGGCAGCTAGCGCTGAATGCTTATCCCGAAATTGGCACCAGATAAAGATTTTGTTTCCTTCTAATTTATCAATTCATTAATTCATCATGCCTGCTTCATCTTTTAAACGTACACTGCGAGTCGTGGTGCATCTATATTTCCCGCATGATCTTCATTCGTAACCAGAGCCAATTCGGCGCACATATACGGCATGATCCCATCATCATCCATTTTAGACATGGAAAACTCGTTTCATGGTGATCTAAGTGGTTGCCATATTATGATCCTTCATATGCCTTTCCAATGCTGTCCCATTAATGTAGGCCTTGAGAAGACTCCCTAGATCCTCCCCTCATGGTCCTGTCTTCTCAGTTCGTCTTGGAATACATTTCTAGATGGTCGGGATCGATCTCGTTGGTCTCGAGAATCAGGTCCATAGAAATCCATGCGTCGGTCCTCGGTTGGCGTACCTGCTAAGCTACCCAGGGCATCACTGTCTCGTCGAGGCAGCTCCGGCACATCGCGGTAAACCTCGCCACCATTAGCCTCAACCTCCCGCTCCATTAATTGGATGCGCTCGTTAGCCTTGGCCTTGTCCTTGCCGAATCCCATTCGAGAGCGCGAACTTTTGCCGATACCATATCCGTTCCTGCCGCGCGACATGATGTTTCCGATACCGATTTGCCGAGACTTCCTGTTCCAGATGCAGGTTCCGATAACGCAGAGCGCAATGAGACCGAACACAGTTGGCAGAGCAATGATTAAAGCAGTCTTGTCTATGGATTTGCCGGTGTCAGGCTGATACACGGGATAGTTGGTGACCAGAACCGTAGGGCCCTTGATAATAGTGCTAGCTCCCACGGTAGCGTTCGTCGTGGCAAGCTGCAAAGTAATATTCTTGGCAGACTGATGTTTCATCAAGCTTGTCTCGATCGTGTAGCTCCAGAAGCCCCAAGAAGCTAACCATTTAGGTGACTCGAAAGCTTGGTCGGTGACTTCTCCGGTTGTCTCGTTGAGATAATTCCCCTGAACTAAGATGGTGGTGTTTGGAGCTGTGAAGTACGTGGGATCCCAAGTAACTGTGGAATAGTAAGTAAAATTGTCGTACAAATATGTGATGAATGGGGTGATGCAGCGACGTACAATAGTAGGTGGTGCCTGGGTACAATGGTGCCCCATCGGTTGGTTGACACCATGGAGCGTTGTCGCCATCCTTGTTATGGCAAATTGGGAATGAGCCAGCGTCGCCGCCGCCAGTGGCGGTAGCCATGGGAGCAGTGCCCGTGCTCGTGGAAACTTTTCCGTAGTTTGTTTCAGTGAAGACAGTAGCAGTCAGATCGTGAGGGGCGCCTGATATAATGGTAGTAGTTCCACTAATCGTGCTGAGAACAGGTGTGACAGTGCTTGGCTTGCCATCTGCGTCAACAGTAACCCACGGCTCAAGGGCGCTGTCTGTCTGTCTAGGATGAACATTCGGAACGGCAGATGCTAGGGAGAACAGCAACGCCGTTGCAATGGGTGATGTATATTTATGCATGATTGATTTTGTAAGTTCCCTCAATGTCGTGGAGATATTGGGCGCGGAAGACTCGGAATGTATCGAAAAGGGCCTCACGATCTAATCGCGTACGGGGTTCACCTCAACTACCTGGAGACGCGATTAGTACAACAACACTGCAGGGAACACCTAAGCTTCGTAAATATAAGTCGGCACTTACAGTAACCCTAAAATGCCTAAAGGAAGGAACAACTCAGAGAGGCACAAATGGATAGGTGAAGTGATCTCCTATACGAAAATAAAAATAAAATTAAAAGATGGGAAGATTTCAGGAAACAGGAACGAAAGTTAACTCGAAGGAATGGGTACAAAGTATTGCCCAGGTAAACCTTAGCATTCCCTATTAGGAAATAGTACAACAATTGACGTGCAGGTCTAGGGAGCTGTCAGGGAAGTTAAGGTGCACCTTCGGCTGATCGTGTCCACCGAATCTAACCTTAGAAGCTAATCTAAGCCAAGCCCAGTTCGCTAAGTGCTTGTCCCTGAATTAAACCCCGCAAAGTACTAGACACCCAATCCACAGGCGGTGTGGTACCTAGTGGTACCTGCGGTTAGCGAAGATTGAAAATGGAGCATCATGTAGGAACGCGATCCAGCTGTAACCTTCACCTTATCTAATCCTGCACCTGCCCATCCGTATCTTCCGAGTTAATGGTATTCTGAATTCTCGACTTTTCGTACTTTCACCTTTTCTAATGAGAGAGGTTGTCATTGAGTTTCTTGCTCTGCAACGAAATAAAATCCACACCGTGCCATGTGGTAATATAAGCTTCGTTCGCACTGGTTCGGTCCTCAATCCCCACCATTCCACCACCCCTCCCCCCCCCCCCCCCCTTTCTGGTGTGTACTCGCCGTTGGTAATCGAAAGCCCTAGGTAAATATAGAATCCTTAACACCATCCCTGGTGAGCCCTTTCTAAACTAGGAGATTAGTGTGTATTTCTAGCTGATGGTTACCTGCAAATCAAATATATGCCGTCCAAGAAACGAGACAAGACTTATGGTCGCTTGAATATCAACTTTGTGCTCCAAGTCCACAACTGCATAGCTAGTGTCCTGCTTAGAATCTTTAGAATCCAACAATTGCCGTATGCGCTTGGCTTTGTGTTGTTGAAATAGACCAATAATCTCATGCGTCAACTCCACCTCGTCTCGATCGGCAGCGTTGTCGTATTCTAGTATGTCCTTCAAAGGCCAAACCTTACACCAAGGCTTCTCGATTCCAGTCTCTTCATCACTATCCGAACCCCAGACCAACATGAAGCGATTCACCCCCTTTTCATGAAAAGACATCACACCCAACGCTGGATCAGGTCGATTGCTGAGCGATGTAGACCTTCTAGGAAGAATGAAGGAACCTAGTTGGTCCGGATAAGCAAGGTCTCGCACAAAATATCGATGGAGTGGTTGCCGGATTTCGTTCAAACGAAGCGGTAACGTCCGAGCATTCAGCATCTTATAGTCATGTTCTCGGCTAGTTTCGATGAGCGTTATTCTCTTGGTCTGGGCCTTACTTATGTCGAAGGAGACTACATGTAGAGTGAGAAATATACTTTGCGCTTGGATTTCAATGGGCTTACCGTCTTTAAAGCCAATATTTGTTAGCGTCTCTGGTATAGCTCTGCCGCCATGGTCGGGGCCGAGAAGATAAAGCGCGGTTGGCCACATTCTCCAGTACCTAGATTCGTCCTCTTGATATGCTTGCTGAAGTAGGAACGCAGGCCTAGAGAGATAATCGGAGTCAACCACGCAATCTAGAATGCCAAGTATAGACGGCTTGCTTCCGAGCGAGTTTCTGATCACACAGGGGCAGAGTGTTAATTCTACACTTAAGCCACCATCGGAAAAGTAAATCTGAGACTTTTCAACGTGACTGTCTTGTTCAATATTAGAAAGGAATAAGTCAGGGTCGCTAGAAAACAGTCTGGCGATGTCAGAGGTCAGATGATGTTGGCGATAGGCGAGGATCGATTGGTCATTCGATTCCTTAACTATCTCTTCTTGGAGTCTTCTGAAAGCTTTAGGCCCTTCTCCATAAAGAAGCGGCATATTGACGCCAAATAATCCCATTAAGGAATAAGCTCTATCTTCTTCGCGCTGAGTCTGACGCCCAGCTGCCCACGACATACGCCGAGAGATCGTGTATGTCTCGAGCATAGACTCAAGAGATGAGTCGAACACCATCGATACACCCGTTCGTAAACCTGGAGGCTCCGACGAGGACGTTTTAGGCGGATTCCTGGCCAATATTGGTCGATCTATGCGGGTGATCGCTACCAGTTCTTCGATCAGGGATAGGCGATCGCCAAGATATTGCCAGTCTCCGTCATAGAATCGAACGTCTTTCGGCGCGATTAATTCCTGCAATGTCCACCCACGAGCGAACCACTTGCACTTGGAAATTCCGCGTCCTTTGACCGCATCTGCGAGAAATGCATAACAGACATCTGCGCCAGCGTACCAATTGAACATAGAGTTGATAGATTCGGACAGCTCGGCACTGCTGGTTTTGTCAATGCAACATGTATCGATCCAGATATACCGGTGTCCGTCTTTTGACGCGCGAGAACAGCTGCCGCGTACCTTCGCCGCGCCCTTTTTTACATACCAACGGCTTGGATCGTTCTGCACATCTTCAAAGAGGATCTCCTCATCGCCCCACGTATGAGATAGAATGGCATAGTTCGGTCTGCGGTCTAAGAAAGACTCTAACTCTAAGGTAGTAGTGTTCAAGAGCCTCATTTCGTCATTGAAATTGAGATACGATAGATAAAATAAGAGAACGTCGTAGCTAACAGCAGTCTCTTAATTGAATGCTGCTCATTGATATGGTGGGGGGGCCATAAAAGTGCCTCGCTATGATTGGCTAAGTTTATCACGTAAGACATTTAGTGGGACTTCTTGTAAAATAGGGGGTTGTGGTAGTTCTACGACATAGCTCCAGCTGAGAGGCATAACATATATTGGATCAGGAATAACGATTTTGCAGAAAAAGATATGATTTAAAAGAGTGTCCATTTTCCAAACCCGACTTAACTCAGGCCAATCCTAAATTCCTCGTGAAGTACCGCGAACCAGGTACTTAAGGCTCAGATATGAATACAGAAATTTCCATCAAGCTCATATCGTCCAGTATCGTTTCCCCCCTTTCCCACCTTACCCCTTTCCCCTTGTCCCCGATGCGCGACTTGGTAGACTCGCAAGAGCCATCCCAAACCACCGCGTTACATAAGAGAGTTTTCTAGATTTTAGGATACATGATCCATACCTGCCCACCTGGAAGCAATCCATCTAGTAGTTTAGTAGGCTTGGTGACCACCACCCTTCTCCTCTTCTCTCTTGTAAGCTTGGTGGCCACCTCCCTTCTCTTCCTCTCTTTTACCGGCCTGGTGTCCTCCTGCAGCGTGTTCCTCTCGCCTGTAAGCCTGGTGGCCGCCACCCTTCTCTTGCTCGCGCTTATAGGCTTGGTGACCTCCACCCTTCTCCTCTTCCCTTTTATAAGCTTGATGGCCGCCTCCCTTCTCTTCTTCCCTCTTGTAGGCTTGGTGACCACCACCCTTCTGGTCCTCTCGCTTATAGGCTTGGTGGCCACCTCCTTTCTCTTCTTCTCTCTTATAGGCCTGGTGACCGCCACCTTTCTCTTCCTCCCTCTTGTATGCTTGGTCTATAATAAAAGTCAGTAATCTTTGGTCTCGGAAAAGATTTCTGGAGTTTACGTACGACCGCCTCCCTTCTCTTCTTCTCTCTTGTAAGCCTGGTGGCCTCCCCCCTTCTCCTCCTCTCTTTTATACGCCTGGTGACCACCACCCTTCTCTTCTTCCCTCTTGTAGGCTTGGTGGCCGCCGCCTTTCTCTTGCTCTCTCTTATAAGCTTGGTCTGTAATAAAAGTTAGTGATCATTAGCTTAAAAAAAGGTTCCAGGAGTTTACGTACGGCCGCCTCCCTTCTCTTCCTCCCGTTTATAGGCTTGGTGGCCGCCGCCCTTCTCTTCTTCTCTCTTACCAGCCTGGTGGCCTCCTATGGCGTGCTCCTCTCTCTTATAGGCTTGGTCTAAAGCAACAAGTGTTAGTAACTTATGGTCCGAGAAAAGGCTTTAGGAATTGACATACGACCGCCTCCCTTCTCGATGTCTCGTGGGTAGGCTGGGGCGGTTTCCCGTGCATATGCTTAGTGAATCGTTAGTATGTTTTGTATTTATACTCTTGAGATTAGAATGTCTTACGTGGTGCCGCAAGTGCCAAAGCTGGCAGAAGGGCGATGAGGACTGAGGCACGCATTTTGAATGTGGTGCTTGATAGTTCAGTTTTTGGATTGGAAGATATAGAAGAGGTGGAAGATATAGAAGATTGATTGATGTCTGAAGATGTTGTTGTGTGATGATGATGAGTAGGTCTCCAATGTCGAGAAGATGCCTCAGTTTTATATCAGATTCTGAACCCGTTCGCGATATCTCCGAAGGCTTCATTGTTTCCATTACTCAATGAGATGTTGTGTAACAACCCAACCCCGTCTAAAACCCCTAGTGCACTATGTTTGGATAGGATCACTCGGGTTCGATCCTACAGACGCTGGCGTTCTCAAAGTTGTTACCGCAATACCTTTGATCAAGCTAAACACTGTGTAGCTTACACGTCACCTACGACGACAACGATGATATGCAAAGACTTTCCGAATAAACAAGCGGTCTACCTACATTGATCATGAAGTTTATGACCGGTAAGCATCACAGTTCCTTTACCCCATACGTATTACCTAGCTAGGTAGGTAGGTATGTCTCAGGTTCCGAGCGCACACTCTGCAGGGTCCAATGGCTACGATGCAAGTAAGACCACGTACCATGGTGCAATCATGGCTCATATTTAGAAACTCACCTAGTAGGTAAGACCCGCATATTATTACGCTAATATTTGCCTCTCTCTTCCTGGGAGATCCGCGTGCAGTGCCGATCGTGAGGGACTTGTTGGTTAGATCAAAGAGGCTCAGCTGTGAGATCGGCTACTGCCATGCTGATCGTGCTTCTACGTAGGTAAGCACTATACTCCAAGGCGATATCTTGCAGTTTCATTATGATATTGCGTAATATCACGAGAAACTCTTTCTTTGAGAATTACTAAATAGGGTAATCTTAATGTACCTCCTAAAGGAGCTATGAGAGGTGCTAGAGACCGAACGTACGATGAATTCGCGGTCGGTTATGTTTGATATGTCATAGTGCTAACTTGCGTGCCCTCACAATGTTATCCTAAGAGTTCGGGAATTGTGTCAAAATTCAATTATTGTGATGTTTTTTTCATTTTACGAGTAGGATAATTCTACATCGTAATCTTGCTAACTCCTGATTCCATATCTACTAGATCACTGCCGTAACTCCTATACATCATTACCACCCGCGTCGTAATCAAAAGGGTCAGCTAAAGTAAAACTGTCAGTTCTTATAATATTCCAGGAAACCGTAAAATCGATAGCAACTTACGTAGTTCGGGGTGAAAGTCTGGATGTTTGATTAGGTTGTCATCGTAGCCATCAAAACTATTTGCCCAAGCCCATTGCTTGATTGAGTCCCAATTTGCGCACTCATGGGTAACTTGGAAATTTGGCCAAGGGCGGCGGAAGTTTGGAATCCACTCGAAGGTGTTAATTGATAAATCAGCATTACACATCACATACTGTCGTAAATTCTCCAGACAGTGATCTATATCATGATTAGCTGTTAGTGCCGATTTAAATTTCCGTGAAAACTCACCGATGTGCTGGCCGAAGTTCTTCTCTTTGATATTGTAGTGCTCCGGATGAAGATACTTGCGTACCCATCTCTATAGATGTAGAACAAAATCAGTAAGTTTTCATTTTGATTTCTATATTAAGGGGCTCAGGGAAACTTACAAGGCAATGAAGCTGGTGAAAAACATCCAACGCTGCCATGTAGCCAGAGCCGTCAAGTAGAGGGACTGAAGTGTGGTTTATACTCTCCAGAGTATCTTTATCAACCTTGATGGCTGCTGGCTCAAGCAATTCATCCCAGGCTCTCTCAAACTCTGGCCTGGGTAGCCCCTTATAGGGGTTAGAGTTTTCAAGTTGGTTATCAAGCATCTTTGTCTCCCATTTTAAGGCTTTCCATGCTGGCGCTTGGAAATTGTTAGCAATGAGTCTTTGAAGAGGAATGGTATAGTTACTGTATGCTTGAGAACTAGGATCGCTGTATTTGGCCTTAGCCGCACATGTATCAGGCGCGGGCTTAGTTTGATCCCAAATAGCAAAGAAAATTCCTGTATAGACGCAGGCGAGGAAGAGATGTATAATCCATGGGCCACAATGATCCCCTAGTGATCTTCTCTTTGGAGGTTGGATGTACGATTCTATGTCTTCACTGTTTCTCCCTGAGGACATGTCTTTGTCCGCCCCAAGTAAACCCTGAGAGTCGGAGAAGTGACCCATTGTCGGAGAAGAAGACATATTGATCATGCTTAGTGGAATCAGTCGGCTAGGAACCTAGGGAAAGAGGCCTGGAGAGAATCATGAATGTATGAAAAGTTGGAAGCGAAAGAATAACGCAGAGTCTTAGTTCTCACAAGACAGGCCTCAAACAACCTTCGAAGAAATTCACTAGAAAGAAAAATTACTTAGGTAATTCGAAAGTCTCGGAAGAGCCGATACCTAGGTATTCCTATAGGAATCCGACTACATCATTCGTGTTGTAAGTGAGAAGCGGGCATACGGAATGCTTTTCGGTGTATCCTTTCGAAGATCGTAAGCTGATAGAACAATTCCCAGCCATGTTAATGGGGTTACGCCAGGAACACGCATATGGTTGTTGCTAGCCAATCGTGATTTTAATTCGCATTATTCTGCCTATTCCTCATTGCCTTATTGGTATGCAGTGGATCTTCCGTAATGTGGAGAGAGCGTAATATTGGGGACTTTGGCTTACCATAATCCTTCCGGTGGAGATCTGAGATCGTCCACCCTCCGCTCGCCTCCCACATGCATGAAAACAAACACAGGAACATGCAATAGTTGACGTCGTGGATGAGGAAATGGTCCGATTGAATATGCGATCTGTAGGATTCGGGATTGAAGCATTTTCTTGACAAGAACGATATGCAACTATCCGTCCTCGTCATAAGAGATATCTCCAAGGCCTTTAGATCAATGTCCTTTTCTTTTCTCCCAGATATTTCTATTTGTCTCAGTTAACTTGTGGACATACTTCGACTATCTTTTTCTGTGCTTTCAGGTTCGACAACTCGAGCATACCTTTTCAATACACCATGAAGTTTCCCACAATGCATTCTACCTTTGGCTTATTCAAAACTCCTACGCAGGGATACACTCCCGTTGCCAACCCGTATCATGACAAGGAGCCGCGAGGCAGCGGTGATGAAGAAATGCTTCACGGTCCTATTGGGCAGAAAACGCCCAAAAGGTCATTGTGGAAGGTGGTCGCTCTCTGCTTGTCATGCGCGGCAGCAACTGCAGTCTTCAGTGCGGTTGCGACCAGAAAGGTCTATATCAAGGCTCAGGAACCCTTGATCAAAACTCCCATACCCGATTGTAAGTAGCGAACATCCACATCTAAAAAGTGTAATGCCTGACAATATTGGAAGTCCCTAAGGAGGTTAGATATTTCGAATGGGACTCGACATACGTTGAAGAACCTAACGATGAGAATAACAAAGCCTGGGATGATCTCCTACCGGTAAGCTGAAGATAGCCGCTACGAATTACTGCAGCTAATATAGATATAGGGCGGTCGTGGATTCGTATTCGTCAAGGATAGCGCTTCATATGACCTTGAACCGGGACTCCAGAGCAAGTGGGGTGAAATCTACTCGGTCGCAATGTTCCACCAGATGCACTGCCTAGGTGTCATTCGCCAGAATTACTGGCGGTTGGTCAGGGGAGTCTTAGATCGGGACGAGAGTCTTTACCATGAAGCCGAAGTGATGATAGATACCGCTCACACGGGCCACTGCTTCGATTACTTCAGACAGAGTATTGAATGTTCAGCTGATATGTCGCTCGAATGGCCTCGAACCGAGGATGATGGAAGGCGCTTCCAGGTTGATGGTAGAGGTGTACCTCATGTCTGCACGAGCAAGGTGAGTCCGAATTCCCCCCTGAGCTAGTCATGTGTGTTAGGGACTAACCAGAAAATCAGTCCGCTTTGAAGGAATACATGGACGTGTATCACTTTAACGGATCGCGTATACATGATATCGCTGCTTGATGGTGTTGAAATTATGGGCTTTTCCTTATAGATCTGTCTTACAATTAGCTAGCGAGTAAGAATGGAAACTCAAGACATTCTCTATCATAAACTTGAGTTCCTGATATGACGATAGGTTGTTTTTCATAGGATCGTAGCTAAAACTTCTCAAAATTGTCATCAAAACATGGGCTTTTCAATTTCTTAGTCTTCTCAATGACTGTCAAAATCAGTTCAGACTGCCAGGTAGAAAACTTCAGGGGCTTTTGCCTTACCCCCTGTGAATGGCCTAGGATGATACTTTCTACCGAGACCACTATGAGCACCACGACCTATCCATGGCCCGTTCTGGTATGCAAATATGCGATACAATATTCTCGTAATGCTGATAGATGAGGCGGCGAGTGGTCATAATGTCATAATGCGATTTTTGCTTGCTCTGATGCGAGAAGGCAGCTTCTTTCTTGGATCGCGGCATTGGCAGACGCTATTCGGAGCTAACGGGTCTAAAGGCGAGATTGCAATCCGAGGAAAGCTTCCGGAAGAGTTCCTGTAGAACTTTCGTTGTCAAGTGGACCGGGATTAATCCTTCTACCGTTCGTGGGGAACCTTGTCGGCTGGTCGGCCACCCCAATATAGTCGGGACCGATTTTCTTAGCTATTTAGTACATAGATTAGCGCGTCTACCGATCCAATTGTAGTGGTCTATTTCTGCTAGTGCAAGATCCTTCGATAGCGAATCCGAAGTATATTGCGGCGCAGAGGTGTTCCTAAGTGTTTTCAATCATCAAATTGAGTAAGACAAATAGGCAGACAAGCGTACTATGTACATATCCGGAATATCATGCATAAATGTCTTGGAATCCTCAAGTTTAATATGGGGTACAGTGATGTGATTTGTCGATCTAGCTTACGATCCGCAGTATGCAGTAAAGAAGCTTATATTGGACCCATGGTACCCGGCAACGCGTGAAGGCGAGGATGTGTCAGGGACGGCGCAGCATATGGGGACCCGAAGATCCGAAGATCCTTGCCGTATTCCCGCCCGTCCGTCACCTAACGCGAAGAGCCGCGTGCTAAGTTCTAGTGTAGTAGAAGTCCTAGCGCTATTTGGTTTGATCTAATAAAGAAACCATTACACTATAATTAGTAATCATACAAGTATCCATATGTGAGACTTCGGAAAGCAATCAGGATCAAATAGCCTATACACTAAACTGTTGATCATCGAGGCACCATGCTGCGATTGATCGAATTTGCGAAGGCGTTCGCCTGGAGCCAGTGTTCGCCATAGACAGGTAGCGGTTACTAATTAGTGCTGACGTTTGCTACGCCACACAGGCCTAGTCAACTGCCGAGCCGTCAATCAACTGCCGAGCCGTCAAATAGACCCTGCAGAACCCGCAGGGCCCCACAAGTTCGAGCCTCTTTCGACGACACTTTTGCGCCTCTTTCTTACTGCCTGTGTAACCATAGACGCCATGATGGGTCCTTCCAGTGGCTGTTAATCGCGGCCTACCATTCGCGAATCGCGACGGTGAAACAGCCCTTGTCAATGCTTATTTATGTGCATATTTCGCACAATACTACCAGACTACCAGATTTCCGAGGACTGGATATACCCACGGCGATCTATGTCTCATAGGATTTCGATGATCTGTGGTTCATGTTTCGACCCGACTCCTTCTGCATACAGGGTCTCAATGTTGCTTTTTACCTTGTTGATGACGCTCTTAGAGAATTCGGAAGGTCCGTATCTTGTCGGCGCCATTTGCCACGATCTTCCGTAGGTAGATGAGGTGTAACTGTTGATTTTACTCCACAAAAATCCCATCAGACGAACTCGGGCATTTTCATCCGCTTTGCTAAATATATTTCTCGATTCGTGTGAACACTACACCGAATATCCACGGTGTTAATGCAGTCATGCTGCAAATAGATTTATAACCGCATATCATAGCCTTGGTTGTGATGGTGGAATCAAAGAAAGGCCGGGCATCTCGATGTGGCAGCCATTAGGGAGGGCTGGGAGCGTTTGGCCCATTGAAGGAATCGATGATCTCGAGGCTTGCGTGACAAGGTAATAATGCCCGAACGCATCCTCAACGCTCAATGTTTCTTTAGCCGCCCTCCCCCGAAGCTTGTTCTCCTCCATTAAACAGACTCTACACTACTGATTCTTCTGTTCTAATTTACTTGATCTTCCCCAAAAATGTCAAGCGTGAAGACAGCACCGAAGATGGGCGACAAAGAGAAGGAGCAGTTCGACAGACTGTTGAACGATGACAGCAGCTCTGACGTCGTCGAGGGCGTTGTTTACTCCAAGCCTAGCTGGAGGCGAAACAGAGGCGTCTTCCTCACTTATGCTTCTTTTGCCTTCCTAGCTACTGTTTCTGTTGTCCTAGTGGGAATAACCTCTGGGAATATAATTACTTCGAATAAGCTTCTCGCACAGGCTCGAGACGAGATCGTCAGTCTTCGCGCTCTGACGGCGATCCATCCCCAACCAGCCCAGGCTGACTCTGCCAAGTTAACTGGTGAGGAGTTCGGCCACTGTGGGACCACTATTGCGGAGGCGAGGCGTCTCGGATGCGTATTCGACTCGAGTATGTTGTCCTAAGTCATTTCTCGAGAATGTCTCGTTTGAAAGATGTGCTGACTTGCTGGTAAAGTGTCATGGGCATGGCAACGACCGGAGTGCTACCACGCCGAGCTAGTAGACGACTTCCTCACCCGAATGGACTGGAAGCTCTACCCCACCAACGACACAGCGAACTCCCAGCCGGTGTCGCGCGCAGCCTGGGAGCGAGGTGACTACGTCACTCTCCACGCCGACAAAGCGTGGCATTTCTTCCACTGCATGTACTCATGGCGCAAGTTCCATGAGGCATTCGAGAAGAGGATGCCCATGGATAACGACATAGCGATGTTTGGGCACACGATGCATTGCGATGGCGTGTTCCTACATAATCTCGACCCTGAATTGATTGGTACTTGGGAGTGCGACTCCTGGCCCGGTGGGTGTCAAACAATTGAGGTCACCGCGGGATTCAACAAGTGCGGGTGGTACTAAATCCACATTGATGAAGTGTGGATGGGCTTGGTTGGGCTTACCTTAGAGATTGGGACATTGTGATAGAGTATGTTTAGTTTATCGATCTACAATGTTGGTACGTAGTTGGATGAATTCAGCTGTAAGCGGTGGGGTTATGAAGCCTGTTACCCCTATTTAGGTAGCTAGTCTAAGCCGGATAACCGAAAAGGGGTAACCCGAATGCAATTATTTATACCTCCCTCTCTCAGCTCTCTAGACTACCTAAGTTACCGCCGCAATAGTGGATGCCAAGGGAACTTTTATCGCAAAGATTTTCCATAATGAGAAAAAGTATTTACTCATTCAGATTAGCTATTTTTCTGAGACGTGCGTTGGTCCCTTTGTGCATTCATATGAACTTAAGAGGTATTTTGGACCCGATTTATGCATCTCCTCGTAAATGTGGACATGTACGTAAGATGTGATGATTACTAAAGATCAACACTGCAATTTAAATCCTGCCCTTACTCTTCGCATGTCTTACTTTTCCATTAACACAAAAGCAATGGAAAAATAAAGTCATTCGTAATTGATGATACTAGAATGAATTGTACAGCGCAAGAAGATGCCCTCTTCGGTCCGGCCGTGGGCATCGCTTGTCGCGGTGGCTTCGACTTCACCCTCCTATTTGAACAGTCTATTCTGACTATCCCTTTGGCTGGAATATGCTCGTTCGCATTTTTAGCCCGACTCGGATACCTGTCGAAGAAGGAGCCTGTCGCTTCCGGAGGCTTAATTCGACTAGCAAAATTGATCGTTGCTGCTATTTTGCTCGGGGTCCAGGCTTTATTGGCCGCACTCTGGCATTCCGATGGCGATTTGAAAACGGGCGTTTCTATTGCTGCGGCCTCCATCAATTTGGTTGTCGCGTTCTTGGTGTTAACACTTTCATGGCTTGAAGATTCGCGCTCTGTACGACCATCAAGCGTGCTGAGCGCCTACCTTTTCTTCTCGGTATTACTGGATCTTCCGCAGGCCAGAACGTTATGGCTGAAAGGATCGAACACTGAAATAGCAAGTTTGTTCTCTACGAGCCTGGCAACTAAAGTAGTGCTCTTGGTACTTGAAGCGCAAACCAAGAAAAATCGCTTGAAATGGACCTTGAAAGATTTACCGCCTGAGTCGACAAGCGGCATCATCAATCGCAGTTTTCTTTGGTGGGTGAATTCGGTCTTTCGCAGCGGCTTCAGCGCTGTACTTGCGGTCGAAGATCTTTACGACATTGACGAGCCACTCACCTCAAAAGTTCTATTTGAAGCGATCAGCAAATCATGGGCTTCTCGAAAAATTCCGGAGCGACGCCTTGAATACCCTTTAGCCGTCATCCGCGCATTCTGGATTCCTCTCATGCTCACAGCCATACCGCGTCTTTTTCTCATCGCCTTCACTTTCTCCCAGCCTTTTCTCATCTCGCGCATGCTGGAACTACTGAGTGGGCCTGATAGCGAAACTTCGCGCCAGCAAGGCTACGGCCTCATCGGGGCCGTAGCGCTTGTATACTTCGGCCTTGCGTTTCTCACACTACATTACAACCACAATCTGAACCGCTTCTTAACAATGTTCCGCGGCGCAACAGACGCGCTGATATACGAGCGAGTATTGCATATTCAGTCTAGGATACACGATGAGACAGCAGCAGTGACACTCATGAGCACGGACGTAGACCTCGTGGTCTTTTCACTTGAGAGCTTGAATGAGGTTTGGGCACGAGTGATCGAAGTAGCAGTCGGAGTCACACTCCTTGCGCTCCAACTAGGATGGGTCTGCGTTGTACCTATTATCGTTGTGATGATTTCAAGTTTTGGGGCAAAACATATCTCTAAACATATAGGAGGACGACAGAAGGTGTGGGTGGACGCGGTACAGAAGAGAATCTTTATAACCGCTGGCGTTCTATCCGAGATCAAGGCAGTCAAAATGATGGGTCTAAGCGACGTACTGACAAAGAAACTTCAAGAACACCGAGTCGATGAAACGCACCGAATGGCTGGGTTTCGATGGAGCGTGGTATACAAGAACGTGGTGCAAAATTTCCCAGACGCGATAGCACCGGCATTGACCTTCGCTGCATACACCGTTCAAGCTGTTGTCCAGGGGTCGGATTCGATAAGCACAACTAAGGCTTTCACAAGTCTGGCTATCATTACTCTTCTCACTGACCCGGTTGCGAAGCTTCTCAGTGCAATCCCCAATATGTCAGCAAGCTTGGGATCTTATGATCGGATTCAAAAATTCCTTACTGCTCCCCCGCGAGAGGATTATCGACTAATCCACGAACCCAAAGACGACAAATCCACATACAGCGATCAACCTCTGATTTCACACGATGATGATATCGCGCTAAGAGTGGAGAATGTTACCTTACGCCCGACTCCAGATTCTGATGTCATCCTTGAAAGCATCAGTTTTGGGATAAAGAAGGGTTCGTTCACAATGATTCTTGGTCCTGTCGGTGTTGGTAAAAGCACACTTCTCGCATCGCTCCTCGGTGAAGCCCCGCCTGAGCATGGATCCATTACCATTAGCACTTCACGGGTGGCCTTCTGCTCTCAAACCCCTTGGCTACCAAACTCTACTATCAGAGATGCCATATCCATGCCTAGCGAAAACGTTCTCTTCGATGATACGTGGTATCAAACAGTCTTACGCGCATGTGCACTTGACGAGGATCTCAAATTACTACCCGCAGCCGACCAGACGGAAATCGGCAGCGGTGGCACAGTGTTGAGCGGAGGACAGAAAGCCCGTGTCGCACTAGCCAGAGCGATATACAGTAGATGTCGAATAGTTATTTTGGATGGGGTGGCGAGCGCCCTCGACGCTAAAACCAAGTCGGAGGTCGGCAAGAGGCTCTTAGGAAAAGACGGTTTACTAAGAAAACTAGGGGCGACAGTCGTGCTGGCTGGTTCAAGTACGTGTCTCTCCACTATAAGACGGTGAAGATACTGATTCCTAATAGCCGAATACCTCAACTATATCGATCAAGTATTGATCCTTGGTCAGAGTGGTCTCCGATTCGATGGAACATATGATTGCGCCTTAGCGGAAGGTCTCATAGAATCAGGACAGGAGCGAAAGCAAGACAACTTAGATGAACCCGAGGCTTCGACTGAATCGGACATAGAAGAGAAGGCAGAAGAGGTCTCTAGGGTTGACGAGTTGAACGACTTGAAACGATCCACGGGCGACTTCACGATCTACAAATATTACTTCGCCTCAATTGGGAAGTGGAAGCTCTTTGTCTTCGTATTTTTCGTGATATTGAATGTGTTTTGCTCCACCTTTAGTCGTAAGTACTATTGCTGGCCTCACATTACATCGTGTATACTAACAGACTAGAAATTTGGCTCAAATGGTGGTCTGATGCTGGAGGTGGTCAGCTGGGACTGTATATCAGCGTCTACCTAGTTCTCGCCATCCTCACTTCAATTGGTAATGGCGGTTATGTTTGGTACGTAATTGTAACTCTCGAATACTTATTAAGCTAACAGGTATATTTATAGGGCCATACTAATCCTAATATCCCCTTCCACTGCTCGAAAGCTGCATTATACACTTCTGAAGACGGTTATGCGGTAAGACGCTCTCTACCGACTAGGTATTGAATGAGAACTAACGAATTAGGGCCCCGCAATCATTTTTCTCCTCCACGGATAGCGGTACAATACTCAATCGATTTAGCCAGGATATGACCCTCATCGAAAGCCAGCTTGCAATCGGCATGCTCATCACGGTCTCTAGTATGATCCATCATCCCCATTCCATGCTTGTTCGATATCCCTTCTAACTGTATAATGTAGATTTCTTCTCCGTTTTAGCTAGCGTAGCTCTTGTTGCTACGGGCTCTTCTTACATGGCAGCCACCATCCCCCTCCTCTTCGTCGCTATCGGAATCATTCAACACTTCTATCTTCGTACCTCCCGTCAGCTACGGCTCCTAGATCTTGAGGCTAAGAGTCCCTTGTACAGTAATTTCCTCGAAACGCTAACAGGGCTGGAGACAATTCGCGCTTTTGGTTGGGAGAAAGCGCAGCAGAAGACCAACAACAGACTTCTGGATCTGTCGCAGAGGCCGTATTACCTATTATATTGTATCCAACAGTGGTTAAACCTAGTGTTAGATCTCATTGTTGCAGCCGAGGCAGTATTAGTGGTAGGCTTAGCACTAGGTTTAAGGAGCAGCACCAGCCCGGGTTTGCTAGGTGTATCCATGAACAACGTATTGAGTAGGTAAAGTCATTTCCACATCATCGTAGGATAACTACTAACTCTCTCAGGTTTCAATTCCCATCTCGCCTCCCTCGTTACAGGCTGGACACAGCTCGAAACATCGTTAGGTTCTATCGCACGTGTTCGGAATTTCGAGATGGAGGTTCTACCTGAAGGGAAGGAAGGCGAAGATCAAGAGCCGCCATCGAACTGGCCTGAAAGGGGGGCGATTGAGTTGAGAAATGTGACCGCGTCTCATAAGTAAGCTATCCCCCTTTTTTGTGCAAAGCAATAAAGAAAACGAAAAAAGATAATCGTATGTCAATTTTCTTGTTACTAACTTCTTGCAGTCCTATCTCAACCGCTCTTCGCGACGTTAGCCTATCAATCAAGCCAGGCCAAAAAGTTAGCATATGTGGCCGAACCGGCAGGCAAGTTTACCCCTATTTCTGATTAGTCATTGATTAGTCATCACCGACACCAAGCTAACATCATCCGCAGCGGCAAGTCATCTCTAGTCGGCACCCTCCTCCGTCTTCTCGAGCTCGATTCCGGAACAATCACGATAGACGGCTTTGACCTAGCCACCATTCCACGCGAAACCATCCGTGCCCGCCTCGTAACTATTCCTCAAGACCCGCTTATCCTCGTCGGCACAATACGCTTCAACATAAATCCCCTGTCCACGCATTCCGACGCCAATATAATCAACGCCCTCGAGCGCGTGGGCTTATGGTCGATATTGCAAGCGCGCGGTGGACTCGACGCCGAAATCACGAATTCCTCGCTTTCCAGAGGCCAGCAGCAGCTTTTCGCCCTGGGGCGCGCGCTGCTTCGGGAGGGCAAGGTGCTGCTGCTAGATGAGCCGACGAGCCACGTCGACCCGGCGACGGACGCGGCGATCCAGAAGATCCTCGGAGAAGAGTTTTTCGACTGCACGGTGCTTATGGTGAGTCATCGGCTCGACGGCGTCATGGGGATGGACGCGGTTGTTGTCATGGACGAGGGGAGGGTCGTCGAGATGGGGAATCCAATTGAGTTGGCGAAGGCGGGAGGCAGGTTCGCTGCTCTACTCGCTGCGAACGATTTCGGTGGCCGATAGATTTTGCGTAGCTGTCGTCTATGTAAAAGTATAAGCGGTGATCTTTGTAGGCAGCGATAGAGATTAAGCGGTGATCTTTGTAGGCAGCGATAGAGATATATAGACATACGCATATCCATATAAACCTTGATTATTCTTGACGTGTGATTATCAGGCCATTCCGGGGGTTTTGCACCTTTAATTTATTTTATCATGATTAAATATTTTCAAGAATATTTGCACTATTACTTAGACATTTATGCTCGTGCTCGGCGCTTTATATCCAATATCTTGCCCCCACTCCGAGGAAATAACTTGGTGAGTGTTTTAAGATCTAATGTCATGGAGGACTAATTGCTTGATATCTGGTAGGACACTAATGAGACAGACGTATGTGAAACTTTATAACCTCCTAATAGCCAGTCTTAGAAAACGATGGAGAAAGGGTTCTTCCCGCATGTACACCATGTTCATCAGGCGAGATGTCTCGTGTGGAAGATTCAATTCCCCTTTTAATGTTTATTTAATGAGTTAAGGTGAAAAAGAATTGCAAAAAGTCGAAGTAGGACTACTGATTATTCAGCCATTAGTACGTGGACTCTTCGTAGCATTTGAACATCAGCCTTTGTGTCTGGGCTACTACTTCTGCGAGCACCTGGACTCGAACCCACCCTTCGTGTGAAGAGGAGGCGCAGCTACACCATCAAGGCAATCTTATAGGATGGGAGCCGCGATGACAAACTGATTTTTAAAACGTCTTATATGTTTTATCCAGCTAATGATGAGTCATGTGCACACGGTGTGGGACACCCGGGCTTGAACCGGGGTGGCCCCACCACTGGCCGCCTTGGCATTATCGTGAGCCGCACCCGCGCCGAAGTACTTGGTCCTGCGCAGTTTTTTCCCCAGCTATCCAAACTTTTTCAGATTCTGCACCACTCTCAACCTCAGTCTCCCTAGGGTCGCTTTTCAATCCAATCAAATCTATCTCGCACATTCATCAATTTCGAATATCTTCCATCCAGTACAACATTGGGAAAGCCACACACACTCGCCATCATTAATTTTGACGATCGATACTGGTTTTAATTATTCGGGCCGCGAGGGCGACTGCCCGTATCCGCCCTCTTTTTAAACGGTAGGTGTATTTACCTCTCCTCCACCATCGAAATGTCATCATGGTACATTGCTTATTTGATTTCGATAGAATTTTGCACTACGTTCAGCTAAATTCGATCGCGGCTATTGCCATCCCCATCTTTTCTTGCCGTGTCCATTATATTCACTTGCGGCATGGCGACCGTTCCGAACGGAGCCGAGGGTTTGACCCTCGCTCTTGACGGGTTCGTATTCGAAAACGAGAGAATAGAAGTTGGTATCAGTACTGCGCTCATGACACCGCTTCAAGGCGTGGCCACCGGTGATGCCACCATTTACCATAACATGCTAAACCTAATGGTTTCAGCACTACTATTCAAAGAACAATGGAGTGACAACTCCCACATGTCCAAGATGCGTTTCATTAACGCAGTCACCCACTACTGGGGATTAACCCACGTGAACTATACATACCCCATCATTAAGATGCTCACCTGCGCTAGAGAGCGTTTTAAGTCTGAGAACATGACATTGGGTTTTCCAATCACATCATTGGCCTAGGAGGTCGATCGATTCATCATGTGGGAAACTGGTTTAAGCAGAAGATTCAAGCACCGCAAGGACCCCCATTATGTCGTCGCAATCATTCGCGATATCCTCCAGTCAAGGAAGATACCGGTGTCTTTCCAGGGTACGCACGATTTGGTTGTACCCGATCCGGCTCCCAACACCGTCATCTGCGAGAACTTGGTAGGAATTATTCAGGATAATGTTGTGTCGCGAGGTGTCTTCGAAAACAAAGATCACGCGCCGCAAATCATTAGCATCATTAACAAGATGCTAAGCCCTGCTTCTCAGCTACGCGTGCATAGAATGATCGAACAGGCTCAGGCTCCAGGCCAAGCTTCTCCCATCATTACTACCATTCTCAAGGAACTGATTCAGAAGCTTGTTAATGCGGTTTATGCCGCTTATCGCTCTGAACAAGTAGTGATGGCGGCTGCTGCTGCAGTCGATAATTGGGAGCCCATCCTTCAGCCTGTCACTCCTAATGCTATTGAGGAAGACAATGGCGGCGTAGAACAGGGTACCGCGGTAGTAGATGGCTATGACATGGTCGTTCTATCTTTGAAGCGAGAGCACGATGATGGCGAGAGTTCGGACGCGAAACGTATTTGCGTGAATACGGACGGGGATGATGACGTTCCTAAGACCATTCCTCGACATTGTGTTTTCATGTAGATTACAACGACTCTACATGCACAGGGAAAGCCTCCTTTTGATCCTGCTTGAGGCGCGAGATGCGGGATGAATCCACTATACCGAAAAGCTCAACGTATCAAAAGCCAGTGTACAAGCTTCTTTACGACAAATACTGATCCATAATGCGGACCAACTTTGGATCAACAACCTCAGAAGCTTTGGTGGATTCATTCAAAGTCCTCTTGAAACAGCCAGATCGTTTTCTTTTCTTTTTTTATTTCTCTTCCTCTTCAGGTCGAAGGACTATGTGTTCACACTGTACTATTTCGAAGACAACCAAGACTCTGAGAATGCTGTGTTGCAACGACCTGCTGGACTGCTTCACTCGTTTCTTCATCTTCAGATAGTATACGAACAAAGGACCTCTAATATAATGCTGAATCAATCCTACATTTACAAATATGAGAACCGAAAGTGTCATAAGCAGTAAACCGTTCATAAACCCCTCGTTAATCATAAGAGATTAGCCATAATTGAAGCGCGGTGCCACGTTATTCCCATCCTATCGTATTGTACTACCTACCTATTCTAGCCTATACCACTGACCTCCAATGATGAACCCCCCTTTCCCTGATACCGTTTACCCCCAGCTACTGCCCCTGAAGAACCGCGTATGCCACACAAAAATCCCTTAGAAAGTGAAATCCACAAACATCGGTTTTATCTCGGAGCCCTATTCCATTTGCCTATCGTTCTTTGCGGGACCACTTCGAAAACCCAGGCGTTATCCTCCTTCTCGGAGTGTAAGGCATGTAGCAGTTGCATTATGACACTTGCCGCATTTACGACACATAAGCCTTTCAAGCTCGGCCACGGTATGCCTGTGATGAGAGTGGCTCGTCCACTTCCCGCAGACTTTGCATTGGACTAACTTGTCCAGAGCAGCGTCTCGTCTAGGGGTATCGGCACTGGCGTCCGAATTACCAGAAACGTCGGCCTCGTATCCTTTATCTTTTTTTGAAGTCATGGTGGTTTTGGTTGTTATCGTTGTTGAGAATTTCGTCTAAGGGGAGCTTATTCTAGGACGCTTGAGATGGATTGTTTGGAACGGTAGGAGGCATTCGAAGACTGGAATAGTCTCTCTTTGGGAAAATATTTGAGTGGCTTCTCTGTCTCTACATGTTGGCGTGTACTCAGTTGTAGCAATGAAAGACAGCATACGTACCTAGGTAGGTAGGTACTCTAGAGACCATCACAATAATGGTAACGGAGGATTAGGCTGGGACTTGGAGTCAAGGTCGTCGGTGGTAAGGATAAAAATCACTTATTTGTCAGTAATTATCATAAACCGAATAAAGACGGTATTCACTTACCTACCTATTATTCACTATAATGTGTAGGTATAATCTCCACTGTAGTAGATGCTATGTTGATTCCAGCGTAACGTAGCTACAGTCATAATGAGCTGGGCACCACAATATCCATATTTGTAATGTCTGCCACAAAATTGAATGTCTCTTGAGAGGAAATAATTCCACACCTATTACCAATATTCTTCGTGGTATGTTGTGATGATGACAATGTATCTTGTACAAGGGTCCTCGTAGATAATGTACTATATCGTGGAAAAAGTAGGGGCACAACTTAAGGAGGAATCTGCTGTTATTTGTCCTCGTGAAGGTTATGTACCTAATTAGATGTTTTCTTAGCCTAGCAGGTAAATAGGGGTACCTACAGAGAAGCCAAACCGGAGTGCTTTACCCCCTATAAGGCTGGTATCTGGTGAATCATCCTAGGCAACCAAAGTAGCAAATCAGCATGATATGTACCTACGATGTCCCCTAAAGCAAATTCTCATGTCAACCATTCCGCCGTTTGATAGGCACCTTCCATGTGAAACTTAACCTTGTCACCTAGGTAATAGCCCAAGGAGCGGTTGACTAGGTACCTATGCAAGTCGGCAAATCACGCACCTCGATCTTTATCGCACCTGTACGTCTACAATCACTTCTGCAGCAAGCATATTCTCACACAACCACCTTCCATTCTTTGTTTTCTTAGCAGAGCTCACTCGTCCGTCTACTTATCAAACTTTCCCGTATGTCTGTGTGGCATGAAATCCACCCCTACCCTCAATTCATCATTAACGCAAGATCGTACAGAGTAAACATCAATCTTGTCCTCGACCGAAACCATGACGTCGCCATCCGCGCAAACCGCACAGGACTCTACATCCCAGGACGCTGGACAATCATCGGGATTAACCGCGTCTTCCGGTACGTTTACCCACCCAATTAACCTTCATCTCATTTCGCCTCACTAACGCCCGTACAGCATCCGAACAGCGAACCGCCACTGCACAAACTCACTCAGCGGCTACGGATACACAAACCACGGCTCCTAAGCCACAGTCACGCAATATCCCCTATCTTCCTGCCGAGGTTATGGACACTATCCTCAACAGCATCGACGACCCCGTCGACAAGGAAAACTTCACCAAGGCATATCGTCCCGGCGGTAACTAGGCATAGGCCGACCTCTTCAAGCACCGATCCTTCTCGATAACGGCAGCACAAGGACAAAGACGGGAAAGGTTTCAATGAAGGTTTGAGGGAAGCTGGATTTTTTCGAACGATGCGTTGGATCGTTCTCTCTTCGTGCCGGACGCGCTAGTTTGGGATGGATTTTCGATTCTGGGGATAGGAATGGCGGTCCACATGATCGTCGCTAATTGCTAAATACACACTGATCTGCGGAGACAGCAGCCCTTGAGGTTGCTCGACCCAGACACATCACCAATAAATCCCCCCTCTATTCCCCAAATGCCAAGTTTAAGTGAACCAGAATATCTCCTAAATAAGCCACCTTTCTATAGATTTTCCGCCCAAATTTCCCGGGTTCTATATCGCTTCAAATGAGTACATATCTGCGTAAGTAGGCAAACTGCCCCAGCCTTATCACTACCTCAGCCTTATCGGGTCCACAAGCCAACACCTAGCTAAGAAGCACTATATTCCTTACTCCCTCCAGACCATAACCCCCTTAGCATAGAGACCAGCCACGACACCGACCCCCCTCTTAGAATCGAAGGCTGCCGTACAGCTACTCGGGTAATCAGCGCCGATGTAGAGGTCCTCGAGACCCTTCTCCTCAGTCCACCTAGAAACCCAGGAGAAAGCTCGCGTGGTCTTACATTCCTCCCGCACCGCCTCGTCGGCGGAAGCGAGGTCGGGCGAATTGCACTTGTGCCGAGTAGAAGCATATTTATCTAGCGAAGGAGGGTGGGGGTGGCCAGCCACGTATAGGGCTCCGTCCTGAGAGACCTGCACGTTGTCGATGAAATAGGGTATCCTGACTAACGACTTGAAGGTAAGCGTCGGAGCAGATGCCGTCTCCGCCTTTTTGAATTCGTAGAAATACACTGCTGGCTTGGTAGTCGAAGCTACGGCGAGAGTAGTCGCGTTCAGAAACTCGATGCCGTTTGCGAAGGGCACGTGGGCGACGACGGTGGCCTTGACGTCGCCCGCGGGATCTTCCAGGAGAGCGGATATGTCGACGTGAACGACGGTGCCAAGCGGAAGTCCGAGATACGTCTCCAGCACAGCCAAGGTGGGATACTCCTCGGCGAGGAAGTAGTGGTCGTTCGTGACGAGCAATTCGCGGCCGCTGATTAGCGCGATAGCGTTAGGGCCGTGGAGAAGTGGGTGCCGGATGGTTCGGAAGTGCTTAGCGGTAAAGGCTGCCAGGTCCAGGGTGAACAGCTCCACACTCGGCCCATCCTTGCGGTGGTTGGCGACGAATAGCGTGGACGTCTCCTCGTCGAAGGCGATGCCCAACGTGTGGAAGTCCGCGCCGGGCTCGTAGCCCTGGATCTCGAAACGCTTCAGCGACGCTGACTCCGGCGCGTTGGCGTCGGTGTAGTCGTAGGCGAATATATCGGCGCTGGGCACGGGTCCTGGGAGGAAGATGCCCTGTCTCCGGTGAGAATGTGTGCGTAAGACGCGCGATCATTGGGATGCATCGGATATCATCCAGAAGTATAATTGGACGACGAAAGTTGAAATCGAGCTTACCATCACCGTGTTATACGACTCTCGTCCAGGGTCGCACGAGAAAATTGCCAGACCCCTAGATTCGATAAGCAGCGCATCTTCGCAGCTACGAACCGTGTCTTTAAACTTGATCTCGGATTTGAGATTATTGATATGCGTGAGCTTTCCAGGCGCATTGTTGGAGATGGTCGACAATCTCATGTAGCTGTCATACAGAAATGGCACCAGAGCGGCCAGCGCTATTACGAACTACGCTAAATTAGCTACTACCCGGGACTTAATAGACACTACAGTCTTTTTAACTTACGATAGCACTTTTAAACGCCATTTTGAACCTGCGTCTCGGAAATTACCATAAAAATCGGTGAAGAGAAGAAATCCAGAAGTTGAGTCCGGAGCTCCTGGAAGCATCGCATTAGGTATCCGGGCAGGAAGGATCGGCGTTTTACTAAGCAAGGCCAAGGTTAACTACCGTATCAGCACTAGGACGTAACGAGAGAAGCCACAGTTGGGGCGTCAGCACGTAAGCGAAAGCGAATATATGGAGGTAACCCACTGTTAGCCAAGATTGGTAGAGATGGCCAAGCCTATATTTAGTCACTATACAGGCTCAATTTTATTGGCGAGGGTCGGTATGCAACAAGCTGAGAACGGAGTTCAATAACCTTTTATGTACGCCTCAAAGTCACGCAAAACCAAAGACATCTCAGATCACGGAGTTAATTAAGGGTGGGGTGTGTTCTCAAAGCAAAAATGCAATTGAAGAGCGGGCAGCTTATTACTCGTGCTTGACTAAGTTACAGGTTGGAAACGTCAGACCTAGATTCAGGGGCTACATGATTATTCTCATAATAAGGGTCATGATTCAACTCTTAATAAATCCCCGACGGAAGAAATCAAGAAAGGGGCGAGTGGCTATTGACTAATGGATCCCTTACATAAGCAGATGTGTATCCCTTGCAGCGCCTACCTGCGTAATTTACACCTGTTATGGCCGGCCAGGAGTATTGATTAGGTAATACATGGGATAGCTGTACGATATAATGCAATTTTGATAGCACGTATTTCGTTCATCCTAACGCTATTCCAATCGGGATACAATTAGTATATGTATTCAACGCAATTAGATGTTTTCAATTCATGAAATTCGACTAAGCTGCGGCGAGTACAGAGGGTGTCACGTCCACCATAGACATCCAATAGATTGAAGCGTCACATATTAATGTGCCCTTTCTACGACTTGGCACCTTGAGATCGTTTGCTTCCTGCACATTCACCAGCGGGCTGTCTAATATTGGACTGCTAAACATAGAAAATCGCATTATCACACCGCTGAGAAGAGAAACTCAAGTGGCACAAGCAACCTGATCTCCCCTGAGCTGCGGCAGGGCCCCGGGAGCCTCGGTTTTGGTCACCCAGGCTGGAGTTACCATTGGGAACAAAGGCGCAGAGACATAGGGTTTCCTTATTCAGGTTTATACACCATAGATACATCATTACCAATCATTAAGAAAATGAAATAATTGAAAGCAAAGACTTCTCCGGTGAAGCTTCGACGTTAACAATGTTGAGCCACAGCAAGCCACAACGAGCCAAAATGAGCCACCAGGATAACTCTCCATTATCAATACCTACATAGGTAATTTATATTTCATCACCAAACCTCAAGATCAATGAGACAGTTCAGAGATAGCGCCTTCAATGTCCTCCGCTGCTATCTCCATTTCCATATGAGAACCCGAGAAGGATATCTTCCAGTCCTTATCATCCCTAGGCCGCAACTCAACATCGAAATCCCAATCAGGCACAGGAAGCGAATTCGCCATCGACGAATTGGCCGTCGAAGGCGCAGTCCACCTGCCGCTCACGGGACGAAGATCAAACCGCAAAACGAGGAGAGCTGAAAACATGAGAATCTCGGTGGATGCGAATTGTCGCCCGGGGCATAAAGTCGATCCTCCCCCGAACCCGCGGAACGCAACCGGATTGACGCGTTTCGCGCCCGGCACGAAGCGCTTGTGGTCGAATTCGTCCACCGTGTCCCCCCAAACGTGACGGTTGGTGTGCTGTACCGCTGACGGCATCATGACGGTGCTCCCTTTCTTAAGAAGGTATTTGTTGTCCAGTCGATGGTCCTGCAGGACCTTACGGGTGGAAGTCCCGGTAGAATGTATGCGCATCGTCTCCTTGAATGTTGAAAGCAAGATGGGGCAGGAAGATTTAATATAGGTCAAGTCAATAGTACATGAACCATCGGCCTCGCTCTGGACTCCTCTGGAGAGCTCGTTCCTGATGTCTTCGAGGACTACCGGGTCGGAGAAGATGTGGTACACTGTCCAGAATGTCCCAGGAAGGGTGTTTGAGAGGAGGCCATGAGTACCTCCTACTTCCAGTCTTGCCGTGTCCTTCAAGGATATCTGGAAGTCTTCATTAATCTTGACGCGGGCTTTTATCATTTCGGAGCCCTGGTGATGTGAACCTGTTTCGAAATAACCTTCCCAGATTTTCACCATATATTCACGTGCTTGATAACTTTTCCTGGCGAACAGGCGAGGGAAGAGGTTTAATGCAAACATCATGAACCCCGGCTCAAACGTACTAAGACAATCCGTGAGTAGGTAGTCAACTATGTGCCGCGAAGCCATTTTGCACTTACTACCAAGCCTGTTCCATCTCAGCATTACGAAAAGGGTTTCTAGGGCCGTAGACTCCTTCGGTAAATGCCAGCAAAAGTTCGTGGCGAACCCATTGGAACAACTTCACTGTCGTGATTCCTTTTCCTACTAATGCGTCTAAGGATTTGGCCATAGCCTGGATTGACCTCTTGTTCATATCATCGAGGCCTGGGCCAGGGATCAAGGTGGGATGAATGTATTTGGGGAAGCTTGTCAAATAGTTTCCATGGCTCGTCACGTCTCGACCAATGATCTCATTGGTAGCCTTATTAACACCAAGAATGTTGGTTACGATACCACTTTGTATAGCGGTGAAAGAGAGTGTTTGAATTTGGCTTTGGGCCGACGTAATGAGAGCCGGGGAGTTAATGACATATAATCGTGAACCAGGCAGTCGCAATGTGTGAATCGGCAGATTATACTGATCCCTGAAGGTTTTCATGTTATCACGAGTACACCTTGTCATAACAACGGGAAAGATGGTGCAAGCTCACCTCATCAAACGATGAAGCCTCGTGCCCTTAGATAACGTGCTTAAAACAGTTGTAATAAAAGGGAAGGTATCATTGACTGACGGCGGCTCGGCCGCATCTTGAGTGAGACGAAGAAGAGTTAGCAGGAGGATGTAGGTCGCGGCAACGGTTCCTGCGATGATGGGGAAGATGGAGAACATGTTGGAGGCGTGCCCAAGGGCGGTATCTTGCAGAGCCTCACGGAAGCTAATGTGCCTTCGTGTGTGCAACTGCAAATGGTGGGGATTTTATCAATCAAATTCGCATTCTCAGGGTTGCAACACTTGAAAGCGTTAGGTCTAAAGATTTGCGACTAGTAATATCTCACACGTAGGTAGGTATATGGCAAACACTACTTTAAGTATATAACTACTATGGAATCGGCTACATGTGCGGTTCGTTTGATGAGCGGCGTAAGGGAATATGTGTATGCATTAGATATTACTTGGTTGGCTGTCCCATGCAGTGAGCCTTCTACAACAGCATAATTTGTTGGTTTTACAATAATTTTCTAAGAAATGACGGCGGACGATAGTACCGAATCCGCCAACCCGCCAATTCATTTTATATACTGCAATGTATACAGTATATATGCATAGTACATTAAATAATTGTTATTATATTTTTAAGCTTATAAGGATTATAGCGTTAAAAAATGTTAAAAAATGTTATAAATTATAACGTATTATAATATATAATTTTTTATAATTTATAAAAAATTAATTTATTTAATTAAATTATAAATTTTATTTAATTATTCGTTAAATTTAAATAAATATTTATAATTTAAAAATAATTTAATTAATTAATTATTTAATTAATTAATTAATTAATTAAGTTTAAATTTAATTAAAATATATTATATAAAAAATAAATATATAAATATTAAATAAATTTATTAATATTATATTATATTTATTAATTTAAAATAAAAAAAGTTATATAATATTAATTATATATTATATATTAAATATTATAAATTACGTGTTATTTTAAAATTAATTTTTAAATAATAATTATTAAATTTATTAAAAAAATTTTTAATTAATTATTTAATTAATTATTTAATTAATTATTTAATTAATTTAATATTTAATTAACTTTTAAATTAATTTAAAAATTAATTATTTAAATAAAATTTAAAAATATTATAATAATAAAAATATACGTTATAATATATTATAATTTATAATGTTTTTTAATATTATAATTTTTATAATATATAATATTTTTTAACGTTATAATTTTTATAAGTTTAAAAATATAATAATAATTATTTAATATATTATATATATATATTATATATATCGTAATATATAAAATAAATTAATAAATTAACGGATTCGGTATTATCGTTCGCCGTTTTTCCGCCGGGTAAATGTTTAAATTAAAAAAAATTATTTTTTATATATATATAATATTAAACCGGTTATTATAATTAAATTTCAACGGTAAACGATAATACTAAATCCGTTAACCCGTTAATTTATTTTATATATTATAATATATATAATATATATATATAATATATTAAATAATTATTATTATATTTTTAAATTTATAAAAATTATAATATTAAAAAACGTTATATATTATAAAAATTATAACGTTAAAAAATATTATAAATTATAATATATTATAACGTATATTTTTATTATTATAACGTTTTTAAATTTTATTTAAATAATTAATTTTTAAATTAATTTAAAAATTAATTAAATATTAAATTAATTAAATAATTAATTAAATAATTAATTAAATAATTAATTAAAAAGTTTTTTAATAAATTTAATAATTATTATTTAAAAATTAATTTTAAAATAATATATAATTTATAATATTTAATATATAATATATAATTAATATTATATAATTTTTTTTATTAAATATAATATAAATAATATTAATAAATTTATTTAATATTTATATATTTATTTTTTATATAATATATTTTAATTAAGTTTAAATTTAATTAATTAATTAATAAATTAAATAATTAATTAAATTATTTTTAAATTATAAATATTTATTTAAATTTAATAAATAATTAAATAAAATTTATAATTTAATTAAATAAATTAATTTTTTATAAATTATAAGAAATTATATATTATAACACGTTATAATTTATAACGTTTTTTAACGTTTTTTAACGTTATAATTTTTATAAGTTTAAAAATATAATAATAATTATTTAAAATATTATATATTTATATTATATTTATAATAAACTTTTATATATTTTAAAAATAATTTTAAAATAATATTTATTTTTAAAATTATAATATTATTAAAATAATTTTATAATAATTACGTTAAAAAAAATTATTTTAAAATTAAATTAAACGTTTTAAAAATTATATTTTATTTATTTATTTAATTTATTTATTTATTCGTTTTTTTATTTTATTTATTTATTTATTTTAATTTTATATATTTATTAAAATATTTTATATATTTAATTATATTTTTATATATATTTTATTTAATTAATTATTAATTTTTTTAAGAATTTATAAAAATTATTATTTTTTAAAATTTTATAATTTTATTATTATATTATATTAATATTACGGGTAAAAAATTTTAAATTTATTATTTTAAATAAGTTTTTTTAAATTTTAAATTTTAATTAATTATATTTTTTTAAAATTTATAAAATAATACGTTAAATTAACGTTAAAACGTTTATAATTAACGAAAAATTTAAAATAAATAAAAAATATATTAAAATTAATACGTAATATTTATAATAATTAAAATTATTTAAAAATATTTAAAAATATTTAATTTTTTAATTAAAATTAATTAATATTATTTTAAAATAATTAATATTATTTTAATATTATAATAAAATTAATTTTAATTTACGTATTTTTTTATTAAAAATATATTATAATATATAAAATAAATTAACGGGTTAACGGATTTAATATTATCGTCCGCCGTTTATAATTATAATTATATAAGGTTTAAGCATTAAAGGTACCCCTCTATAAGTGGGTTAATATGCCTAAGCGCATGTTTTGATGACTAATTTGGCGTATTGTTTCTCTAATTGCATTATCAAAGTTATTTGTAGAACTGCTGGGTAGATTTCATATAATCATTAGATAAACCAGTATGAATACCTAATCATTCAAGCTGTTTTCTATGCCGAGAAAGGATAACGGACTCCTAGTTCCACCAGAAGCTCACGCTGAAGCTTACACTTAGCCCGCGGACATAATGCCACCACCCAATCGGGATATAGAGAACGTCGCCAGGTTCCAGGATACAATCTGAAAACGGAATCTCTTTGAATGAAGTAAGATCCTCATTAGTCGGCCCACCTTCCTCATATCCAGCGCCCACATCCCAGCCTTCAACAACTCCGACATCCATCAAGCTAGTATTGCCCATTTCCACCCCGTTTTCTCTTCCTCGCGCTTGCATACGTCCCGTATTCAAAGGCGAGTAAAGGCGTAGGTATTTACGTCCCACAATTTGTGCTAATATATTATGATAGGGGTCGTTGTGCAATGGGGTGATGGTACCAGGAGGTCCAAACCAAGCATTGAGAAGGGGTTCATCCAATTCCGGCTGGTCAATAGTAGGGTCCGTAGGATGCTTCGGAGGTGCCGTATAGCAATAATCGGGGACGAGTATATCGTTTCGTAGAATAGGAAGCTGGGTAAAAAGTGGGTGTTGAGCTAGATATGCTATTGGGCCATTTCGTGGTGAAGCGGGAGCGATGCCATCACCCAAATTACCTTGGGTTCTAGCCAGGGATGGATCGATATACTCATGCAGGAACTCACCAAAAGTCATGATTTTCTGACCCCAGCCTTCATCCACATAGCTACGGCCAACCTCGATGGGAACGAGCCTTTGACCATCAAACGTCCGAGAGAGAAGATACGATGGTTGATCCCAGGGGTTCGTAGTTAGAGCTGGCCAATGGTCAATAGCGCCGCGTATGATGAGTGGCTCAGGCCCTAATTTCGAGTCCATGGGATTATCCATATATGCTTGGAAATCCTCCATAGAGAGAGCATTGACACAGTTGATGGGATGCTTTATAGGGGGCGTGAATGGCTCAGTCGTTGAAAACACGGCCCCTATTTCAGGCTTTTCACTTGAAGAACCCAAATCTGGACTATGATCTAACTTCTTTCTCTTGATAGGCGGCTTGAAAGTCGATACATCTGTGGTGCTAGTGGTCTCTTTCCAAACTGCACCAAGTAACTCGAGGGCTTCGTTGACCCATTTCCTACCCCGTTTTTCACCCGCAGCTCCGGCAAGAATCAATGCGAGATCGAGGGTTTCCAAAAGCTCGCTCAATTCACAAGCATTTCCACCAAAATTCTTCTGGTAAGATCGACTGCACTCTGTTGTATGGCCATAGATGTGTGGGAATCGAAGGATGTTCAAACAGAATTTTAGGATGCTTGCATCGGTATAAAGTTGCCGCCAACAAACCGGGAGGTCTCTAAAAAGAAAGGCATAGAATTTGGAGTAAGAAATAGAGATTATGTCGTCCAATCTCTTCAATACAAGCCTTTGCTTTTCTGGTGGGATCTCGGTCGAATTTGGATTTGTTGGTTGCAGCTCTATATAGTAAGTACTGATCTGGCAAGCTTGTCGCGACAGCAGATCAACTAGAGCAGGACCACAACCCGCTAGAGAACCATCCCTAAGCTGATCCGTTCCAGTTGATATCGCATTACATTCGTTTTGTATTTCAGATGCTGCTCCAATGCAAAGCTCAAGGAGCTGCACGGCAGGAGACGGCGAAACCATTTTAAATGGACGCTTATATTATTCCGATTTGAGGAAACATTCGCATGTTTCTAGTAAGGATGATATTTAGGCGTTGATTTGGTGATCGAATACCGAGTTGGTGCAAATGATTGAAATATGATTGAAATATGGGCAACACCAAATTCTTTGGCCAATAATAGTCCATGTATGTCAATATAATTACCTAATCAGGCAATAGACGATCCATCTAGTATTCTTGCTGTAAGCCTACATTTTCAAGAGTACCTTGCTAAGTTCAAAGATCTAGAATAATCAAATCTAAGGTGGATGAATGATATTAATTTGCTCTTCGATGAGAGGTGGAAAATTGATATCCTCTTGGCTTTGCCCGATTGCACTATGTTTCAATGAGGCGGGAAGGAAATGATTATGTAATAAATGCAGGGATTGTGTGGCTGGGCTGAAAGTGTCAAAAGTGGATTAGTAAGGGTTGTCCCGCACAGTGCATTCTTCACAGTCCCGAAAATCAATTAAAGTTCGCATGGACCCAGTACTTTCACACGCTACACGCTTTACACGCTTTCGAAGTACCAAGTCGCGTCTACCCACTTTCAAATCGCGTCCATCAACATTTGAACATTTGAATGTTGTACATCACTTACGCTAACCCTGATCGTGATCTTCAACTTTGTTTGCTGTTCCCCAGACGCCACTCTGTGACGGCACTCATACTTATCCATATCGTTTATGGAATATCTCCATTGACGCGACTCAATTCATATTATCTGGAGCGAGTCGAGATTTGTCGCCGACTTGCCTCTTACTTGTAACCAGCACTATTTGCGCACCTCTACCATTGCCTTCGTCTCATTGCGTGTTTATTATATCTAATTTCCTCAATCGATCCCATGAATCCACGGTAGACCTCCGAAGACGCGTCTAGATACTTCGAAATCATGTATCTACCGCGCGATCTCCTGTCGAAACTTTACATTCACCTTCAGCATACCCGTCACCAGCATTCCCCCACCATTCTAATTCTTGTCGCTCTTGAACCTGACGCTCTCTGCGCCTGCCGCATCCTCACCAGACTTCTAAAGAATGATTACATACAACATACCATACACCCTGTTTCTGGGTATGGAGACCTCGAACGGGTAGGCCAAGACCTCGTCAGGCCAATGATGGAATCAAATGGGGGACCCGGGGGGGTTGTAGTGTGCCTTGGTGTAGGAGGTATGGTTGATATGGGCACTATCTTAGGCCTCGAAGTTGAAGGCGAGGAGTCGAGCTTTAGTGGTGTCGAAGTGTGGATTATCGACTCTCATCGACCATGGAATCTCGGGAACGTATTTGGCGGCTATCCCTTAGAACCCGCTTCCGACGTTCGTTCAAGCTACCAAACACGTGCCCCCGAAGGTGTAAACGCAGGCCGAATCGACCGTTCGTATAAGCCCGGAAAAGGTGGGATTGTAGTGTTCGACGATGGTGATATCGAAGAGGGATTAAGCAGAGAACGAGATGCATATTTGGCGTTGGTTGATATGCCTGATATCGAGGACGATGATGAGCCTTACGGGGGTAGCGATACCGAAAGTGAGGGCGAAGCCGAGGACGAGTCTCCACGCTCTGGCCAGAAAAGGAAGTCCTGGTCAGATCGGGATGACGAGAGTAGCGGCGAGGACGACAGTCGACCACAACAGAGAAGAAGGAGTAATTCTGTAGGGCGCCCTCCTATCATAGTCGAGGAGTTTTGCTAACCACCTTCTTAGTCTAATGCAATTCCCGAATCGCCACAACGCCCTCCCCAGCGGGGGCTGATATCTATACGCGATGCCGACATTTCTAGATCCGACGAGCAGCCGCCTAGTGGCGCTCAGCCCCCCAAAGGGCCATCAGCTCGTAGCCTACGACGAAAGTTGCTGAGGATGCGCAGTGAGAACGAAGGTATACTTCGGAGATATTATCGAATGGGATCCTCATATTCTGAGCCCATTAGCGCGATGATCTATTCCCTAGCATCAGAACTCGGTCGGGAAGACAACGATTTGCTCTGGTTATCAATTGTTGGTGTCACATCCATGGAACTGTATGGCCGTTCTTCGGCCGGTCTCGCAGTCACAGTTCGCGGCTCAGATGCTAGGCCAACAAATGGTTGGATGGGTGTCCGGGGTGCTCGGCTACGACAACTTCTACGAGATGAAGTTAGACGTCTTAATCCGCCTGACATAAGTAGATCCTCGAAAGACGAAGAGGGTACCATTCCTACCTCAGCCAAATCCCCCGAGGATAGAGATATCAAGTTGTCTCCTGAACCAAGATTCTTGCTGATTCGACATTGGAGCCTCTACGAAAGTATGCTGCATTCACCATACCTATTTTCCAGGCTACGCATATGGAGTGAAAGTGGCGTCAAACGCTTACACAAGTTGCTCGCCAAGATGGGTGTAAGCCTTGTTGAATGCAAACAAAGCTATGCGCACATGAAACTAGATGTGAAGAAAAACTTGCGAGCGAAACTTCTACAGTACGCATCTCTCTATAACCTCGATGATATGGTGCCATCAGTTGACACTGATGGCGGAGACCGAGCCGGCGCGAAGGATGGATGGGGCTTTGTCCGGAGCTGGGGTTATCTAGCGACTCTCAGCGCGCAAGATGTAGGAGTGATCCTCGGTGCCATTTTAGAGGTAGGCAAAAACAATGCTTTAATCGACGGTGGCCACTTTCAAGCAAGTCAAATACGAGATTTGGAGGATGAAAGCGGAGCGGCCGAAGCCCAAGAATGGATCAGTCGGTTCTGGCAAGCATACGATGCTGTTGAAAAGTGAGTTGCATTGGCTAAACAAGTGACAACGTTATGCTAATATTCTATAGTCCTACTTCTCTTAAAGAGTCTCTACCTACGGCAAAATATCTCCATCGCGCCATCTTCCGAACGGGAACTTCACTCCTTCACAAAAAACAAATCAAGCATTTGCATGCTTTCCGTCTTTGTGTCATTAAAGACGGACCAGATGTCCCTCTGTTCAATCATCCTGCGGCACTGACAAAGCTTGCCCTCTGGGTTGGTGAGGCTCTCGCCGAGCAGGAGAAGGACAACCATGGCAAATTAGCCCATGGTGGACGAGGAACGCCTCTTGTTGCAGCAAGCTTAAACGAGAGAAGGGGTGTCTATGTGGTAGTAGGTACCGGTGGTGGTGGTGGACCTGACACGGCCTTCCTAGATAAAGAGGCAGCAAAGGTAAAACAGGCAGCTAAGGAGGCGAAAGCCAAGGAGCGTGAACAGAGACGAAAAAACAAAGAGAAGGTTAGAGAACAGAAGCGTGCGGCTAGGGCGGCTGCAGGTGACGATGAAGATGAAGAAACAGAATCTGAAGAGAGCGACGGTTCAGACTCAGATTCGGATTCGGAAGACGAGATCGAGGAGCACAAAGATCGCGGATACGGACTGAACAAATTCGGCAGCGCCTTCCAGGATGTTATTAACGAGACAAATGCACGCGTCCGAATTGACAGCTTTGAGCATTGCGTCGTCGAAGTTCGGAAAGACGACCTAGGTGGCTTCCTTGAGAGCCTAAGCCAGAAGACCGTCGTTGGTTAACATCATCTCATTCATTCGGACGCTTTTGCTCGCTAATTGGCTACGAAATCTCCTTTCAGGACGTCTAAAGATACACCTCATGAGAAAAGTGGTATGGGCATTTGCAGTAATTGCTAGAGCTTACACGATGCATGAATGGCGATGGGCAGGTAATGGAATGGTGTTAGGTCTAAACGTTGTAAATACTGTCAATGCAGAGCTGATGTCATCTCTGCCGGGAATAAAAATATTCATTCATGTCTCATTAATTCGACCTCGATGTTTGCACTAAATTCTATATATGCCCAAACCATGGATGCAATGCCAATGAGCAGCACTACTCAAGTCTACCTACTTAAACATCTCGTTGAGGCAAAGCTCCGTGACTCATATAGATGAGTCTAGAACATTTAAATTTACAATACATACCCACCCAGTAAGATCATGTATAGGATTACCATCCATAATATCCTCACTCACAACATCATCGTGGCTTGCCTTGAATGCTCCAAAAATGTATTTGACTTTACAGAGTGATGGTTGAGTGGACGCATGTGATGACCATCAATTCACCGAGATTGATGTCTCCCCCTATCATAGACCATCTGTATGAACAAGGGGAAAGCTAACACAAATGCCCTTGGTCGATCTCGGAACGTCACCCGCTCTCTATCCCGATTCTAGACGGCGTGTCTAACTGGCCACCGATGCCCAAGTCGGTGAAGTCACCATTCGAATCCGTAGTTTATTGAAGTTAGACCCCCCGATCGATAAGGAGTAGTCCTTAACCCCGGGTTCTGTCTATGAACCCTGCTTGAACTCTACGGATTCAGCGGGATAGCCCGTAACCTTGCATATCAGGGTTAGCATCGTTCGAAGATGACACTTCCCAACGTCGTTACTAGGAGTAGTCTATAACCAGGGATCGGTGTCTAGAGCCGATGCTCCTAACGAACGAATAGCACATTGGAATAATAGTCCATTTCTTGTGAAACATCAGCTTTTTTGCCGGCTCCACGACGAATTCGCAATAAAGCTTTTCCGCATGAAACACGAAATTAGGGAACAAGATGTATTATCTGGCTGCGTCCTGTGTATTACGTAGTTGGAGGCGAAAACGAGGCCTAATGACATAAGTAATCCAATTGGAAAGATGGAAGGGATATATATACCTAATAGAGACGATACGGGTGCACATAAAAGCGAATGCGCGGGCATTTATTTCGTAGGTACATAGCTACTTATACTAGCCCAATTACGTCAGTCATACGCGTTGGAAGGGGTAGAAATGGATTAATTCGCAGTTGGCAAAAAGAGCAGGCGCTATCCTGAGTTATCCAGGGATTTAGTGGCAGCTTCCCCATTCATAATGATCTAAACTGGTGGTGCATACTAGGTACCCCGCCAGGGACAAGGATCGCTCGATCCGAGACTTCGATGTACCTAACTAAGCCAAAACTCAACTCATTCACCATTCTTCGAATTTGACTAAATCCATCCATTTCTTGATTCTTCAAAAGTCCTGAGGTCTTCCCAACAAGGAAAAGGGATTGACGCTTGCGCTCACTTAAACCTCTGTTGTTTTCCTACATCGCCGTCTGTCTTTCAAAAAGCCGAAAAGCATTCTACTATTTGTTGCATCACACAGGGGGTATACACATACAAAACATTTCAACTGACAATCTTAGGGTCATAACTTGGGAACAGGGGTAGATAACCTCAACCTGCATTACATCGTCGCAATTGTTCCTAGGTGATCAGCGCAGTATCTCTCCTGGACCCTAGAGATCATGTAAGTGATCCGAAGAGGCCCACCCCTTTTCGAACCTACATACAGCAGATACAAACCGCCTCCACTACCTGACAGGTAGTCCCTCTTTGCATATGGATGTGTAGATTGCACTGATTACCTTCTACCTCCCAACTAACGAATGCACTTTGCAGTCTAATCCTATTCCGAGGCCGCCTTATTGTGACCTAGCCCAGCCAGCCCAGCCTCGATCCACGGCCGAATCAGCCAAGCCGGGTGGCCTACCACATTGTTTCTAGAGTTCTTACGAAGCATCATTGAGGCTTGTACTAGTCTTCTGCCTATCCAGCCTATCCAAGCCTATCCAGCCGCCGCATCCCATTCCAAGAAATTGGATTAAAACACAAACTTTCTTGTTTCCGTCTATCTCTTTTTATTGTTCCCGTTACTGTGTTTTTTTCGAAAGGCAAACACTGCCTATATTTCCAACTTTTCATTGACCTGTATATTTTCGGGTTGTCGGTCTTTCTCTATATTCCTGCGACACTTAAGACCTCCCTAGTCGGAATTTTATTGTTATCTTCACCGTTGCGACAACCCCACCTTATTACGATCACTCGGCTTGCAACTTGTCGCATAATCGACAACCCCCCCTTCATCCGCCCTCGCGAGTCCCGACACGACACGAACGCCACACCTTCTCGTTACCAAGAAACTGCTTATTGATCCTACCATTGCCACGAGACTAGAGAATCAAATATGGGAAAATCGTAAGTCGGTCTTGAATTACCTTGCACCGTATCCTTTGTCGCGCGAAGAACCCGGGAATTCCCTCTTCTGTGCAAGAGACGCCAAGGATACTCCCTTACCATTGTTCTCCTTACCGAGAACCAAACAGTTCTAATCCATGCGAGTTGATATAGTCAATCGAAGCTTTCACAGGAGCAACTAGCCGAACTCCAGAAATCCACGCATTTCGACAAGAAGGAATTGCAGCAATGGTATAAGGGTTGGTCGCCTCTGAGCTCTCTCTCTCTCTCACCCTACCACTTCCCAGCAGCGCCCTACTAGGCCAATAAGTACTCATTATGTGTTAGGCTTCCTAAAGGATTGCCCGTCCGGCATGCTCACGAAGGAAGAGTTCCAAAAGATTTACCGGCAATTCTTTCCATTTGGTGATCCGTCTTCGTTTGCAGATTATGTATTCAATGTCTTCGATTCCGACAAATCCGGCTCAATCGACTTCAAAGAGTTTATCTGTGCCCTGAGTGTCACGAGTCGGGGTAAAATGGAGGACAAACTCGACTGGGCCTTTCAATTATATGACATCGATGGTGATGGCAAAATAAGCTATGACGAAATGCTCAAAATCGTGGAAGCGATTTACAAGATGGTGCGGACATACCATTCTAGAATTACCAAGGGCGAATTCCTTACTAACATTGCAACTTGGGACAGGTCGGTTCGATGGTAAAACTCCCCGAAGACGAAGATACCCCGGAGAAGCGCGTTAGAAAGATCTTCCGCATGATGGATAAAGATGAGAACGGTAGTCTAGACATGGAAGAATTCAAGGAGGGTAGCAAACGTGACGAGACCATCGTCTCCGCCTTGTCCCTATACGACGGGCTGGTGTAATCCCTATTGTCTAATCGGGGGAGAGTGGACAGAAACGAAGTGCTCCAAAGCGAGGAACATTTAAGGAATAGGACCGGGCAAGGAGTATGGGCCGAAAACATAAAGAAAAAATGGCGACGTCGCCGTATTGAGAATTCCGGGGTTGGAAGATTATTGCCAATGTCCATGTTATTTTTCCCTTTCCTCTATCTCCTACAGCGGGCTTCTATTCATCAAGAGAAAGGATAAACGCGGTTGTACGTCGACCCAGGTCCCGGTTTTAGCATAGTGTTCTGGATAAGAGCAGTCTAATGTGATGGTCGAGCATCGACAACAACAACGCCGCATCTCATGAAACCGGGTCCTAGGCTTAGCTACTTATATTCGTTCTCCCGGTCGCTTCGGGATGTTCCAGGTGGCCCTGAACGAGGCGCAGCAGGTAGCGTCTAGATAGGCGATCTCTATATAAGATTAGACGTCAGTGCCACTTACCATATTAGACAGTGATCATGATGATACCTCGTATCGATCCTTGTGTCTGCTTGAGTCTAGTCTGTTTCAAGAGGGGTTGCACTTCAACGGTTAAGTCGGCTTCACGCATCTAGGTGTCGCCAACTATCGAACCCTATTGTACTTCGATGGCTTAGACTACTTGGCTGCTTGGTAAGACAATAATATGGACTACAGTTGCAATGGACAAGGATATATCTTCCACACGGTTCCAATGACCCAGCAGTTTGGTTCACTTACAGGGAGTACCGCAATATACATGATGAAGGGGTTGATATAAAGGATTCAGATATATTGGAGATTTTCCGGCATTGGCCAAGAGTAACCCGGCTATGGGTCTCGTTAATTCATATTCACATGCTGCTTAGTGGGTACCGAATAGGCCGTACCTTGCGGGTATAAGAGATAGCTGTGAGAGGAATTATGTCGTTCACTAGGTAGTACACTCAAAGCCGAGAAAGTGCTTCTGGTTTCGAGAACCACCTATCAAAGTAAACAGTTCACTCCACTAATAGAGTAACGTAACCAGAATCAAAGTAAGAAACTAGGCACCTTTGCAATATGATACGTGCAAATTCAAGGTCTTGGAAGACACAGCAACTCCTGCTATCAAAAATACTTCAAGCGATGAGTAAGGCTATAAAAATGTACATATCATATGATTCTCACATGTAAAGTCCCCCCTTTGGTATACGATAGGAATGGATAGACTAAGTAACTATTAAAATCTATAAGCTAAACTCTGACAACTAACCTACTTGAGACCTCACTATTGAATACTTCAATGGCCTATAAAACGAAGAAAGAATATTCTTCGCTCTTCGCAATTGACTATAACTATAGCTACATCTAAATAGGTACGTATCTATTATCTATATTAAACAGGCCTTACATGTGTATCTTCGAACTGTCCTTCATACCAAAGGTAGGTACAAATACAGCCGTCACAATGCATATAAAATCCAGGTCGAAAAGACTGATACCGTCCAAAAATACTATAAAAGCCCAGCACAATATATGTCACTTATAGCCGACGTCTAGTGAAGCACGCAGTAGTATCTGCCAACTCACAACCGCTAGCCCATCTATAGCCTAGGCGACAAGAATCACACCCAACATCCGATATCGACACCAACCATTCCTTGCGTAAGCCATACGATGGATCCCTAGGTAAGTAACAAACAGAAGAAAACCCCCTTACCTCATTCTAGTAAAGGCCTTACATAACCCTAGCCTCGGTGGGATCCCCACCACGTTCACAAGCCTCGGTTGCTATATATATATAGTAGCGAGAATACGCCCTTGGCACACCTGTTGGAACATGCCATATATAGGCACATACTGCTATATGAGGTCACCCTCGATTTTCATTTATTCCCAGAACCCAGCTCACGCCTCAGCTAGCTAATTTGAAAGAAACAAAAGGGGCAAACCTTTACAATCTTAACTTCTCTAGAGATGTATAACTTTACATGTATAAAGACACGCTCAGGCAACAAAGTCATCGCATTAAACAGACCCGTCCCGTGAGAAGGAAAAAAAGAAAACGAAAACGCAACGCAACGTCATCTCGTTAGCTCTAAGTTGCAGTCTTACCCTGCGCCTGCGCCGCGTACGTCAGTGCACCCTTACATTTCGAAATCCCTGACCAGGCCCGTACCAAGTCAGCTTAGGTATTACTCTCCAGAGCATCTAACACCTAGCTAGAGGAGCCGTAAGCCGCCTTCACTTCCTTCTCGTACTTGTTGAGAATGCCCTTTCGGTTAAGCTTCTGCGCGGCAGTCACAAGGCCCTGGGGATGCTGGTTAGCTACAATGTCAGCTTGAAGGGAAATCTCAGTAACATACGTTATATGGCGTCCATTCCTCATCTGATAACGCAACTCCCTCGATGATTTCGATACCAGACAGGCCACCGGCTCGTCCCACGTTTTGCAACTCCCGTAGCACAACGCCGTTCAGCTTCTTGTTGTGAACGAGCTCTTCGAGGCTTGCTCCCTGTATCCCGTTATCCGCGGCCAGCTGCTTCAGCGCTGGTTCTGCAGGCACGATAATCGCGATGGGTTTAGCCTTTGACTGATCTGCGTACACGCAGATGTTGGCCACGACTTGGGTTGACCGGTAAATAGCCTCGAGCTTCTCTAGCGCGATATACTCGCCGTTCAAAGTCTTAACTAGGTTCTTCTTACGGTCGATGATCTTCAAGTGGCCATTGGGGGCCCATTCGCCAATGTCTCCCGTCTTGAACCAGCCGCCGAGAGCTATGTTCTCTTGGGTCTCCTTCTCATTCTGGTAATACTCCTCCATGACACTTTCGCCTCGGATCCAGATCTCTCCTTGTGGGTTTGGTTTATTGGTCGCATAGTATCCCGCATCTGGGAAGTCGACGAGTTTGACCTCAATACATGCAGGCATCGCCCCAATCGTCTCGGATGACCACTCAAGAGGGTTCATGAGGGAACCCATGGCGTTTGTCTCCGTGAGGCCATAACCGATGACCATCGGAGCAATGGCCATGGAAATGAATCGTTGCGTGTCCTTTGCGACGGGGCCACCACCATTCAGACAGAGTTTGAGCCGTCCACCGGTGGCTTCCTTAATCTTTCTGAATACAACGGAATCAAGCACGCTAGTTCCGGGAAGGCCGGTCGCCAATAGCCTACTCTTCAGTGCCAATGAACCCCAAAACAGGTTGTGGGCGATTGCGCCTTGAGAAGTGACCTTAGAAGTGATCCCCTTCTTGACCGACTCCCAGACTGCCGGCACACCGACAAGGACAGAGGGCTTGAACTCGCGAATATCGCCGGCGCAGTTGCGGACTGAGGAATCAGATAAGGTTTTCGGGTTTCCGTATCCCATGGTCGAACCCCAATAAAGAGATGCATTTTCAAAGACAAGCTCGAGAATGTGGGCCAAGGGGAGATATGTCAGTAGGCTATCTCCTGGACCAATAAATGGCTGGACAACAACACTAACACCGGTAACTATTCGCTAAATCAGTATTGCATAGTTCCATTGTAGGGATGGTACTTACCGGCAGCTATGAGGTTCTTGTGTTTTAAAGGAACACCCTTAGGAGTACCGGTGGACCCCGACGTGTACATAATGCAGCAGAGATCTTCGGGCGTGGGAGGCACGGGATCGACGGGATCTTCCCTACCAAGCCTCTCCAGTTCCTTGAAGCTCTTGACCGTGATGTGGGGGTAGTTGCTCTTCAAGTTGTTCATGTGCTCCGGTCTGACCTGATGTTGGTTATTCCAGATGACATAACGCACTTCGGTAGCATCCTTGAGGACGTTGCCGAGCGTAGGTAGTAGGTGGGGGTCTAGGAATATTGCCTTGGCACCGGTTGCGACCATAGAATGCCTCAACCCTTCCTCGCCGAGCGTGTCGTAGGCGGTAACGATAGGCATCGATTGGGAAGCGGCGGCATGCGATGTAGCAAGCCAGTTGGAGCTCGTGGCGGCGAAGATATGGACTCTGTCCCCCTTGTTCATACCGAGCCTCCTCAGGCCAGAACCGAGGTTCATGACCAACTTCTCGAAGTCATTGTACGTAAGGTATTCGTAGGGACCGAGTTCGAAGAACGTCCAGGCCTTGTCAACCTCCTGTTCGGCACCATCCACCACCTTCTTCACTTTCTTAGTCTCTTGGTGGGTGCGTACAAGGCGTCGAGAGCCCATGGCCTTTGCGTTGCCATATTTGGCTACGCTCACACGCAGAAGTTCGTATATAGTACTGATATCATCGGACGGTTTCGTGATGAGCCCGTTTGCTGTCAGAGGATGTCGGCGTGGTTTTGTCTCTCCTACGACGTCTTCGGCTCCGGGCGACTCGATGGAATACGGGGTTTTTGCGGTAGCCTTAGGTTGAAGGGGTAAATTCCTCAACTTGGATTCACGCCACTCAGCCGCCATGGTTGCTTTGTTTTATTATGGAATTTCGGAAGTTTGGGGGGTTCGAATGTTTGTTGAGGAACTGTGATGCAGATTATCTTAGTCCTGCCGTTTATGTAACAAGAGTGGCGGGACAGGCAGGATGAGAGACAGATGACGACTATCTAGTACAGTTATAAGGAAGGCGTCAATGGAACTTGATAGGTTGCTACCTACGTGGTAGGTGCCAGGTATGATGGTAACAATGGATCTGAGAGGAAGGCGTTCTGGGCTTGGTGTTCTACTTGGTAGTTTCCTTGGTGGATTCTTGGTTCCTGTGAGCTCGAAGATGCCAAGCGGACTTTTTGGGGCATTCCAATGGGGTCTTAACCCACAGGCAGCTGCAGAGTTACTCTCACCTTCCAAGCTTGTCCCATGACGACACTAGTATGGCTCCACTCCCAATCAACCTTGCCAAATGGAGCTCCCCTGGGTGCCGAGATCTGATCCACAGGGACGGCACTAGAGTAACTTCGTTACAATCCGTCTAAACCTTCAGCAACTTCAATTACATAAGTACATATACCAAGCTCCCAATTCGCTACCTAGAGTCTTTTGATAATTTTATTCTATATTTTCTCCTTTTCTTCTCACTTCTTCAGTTAATATTCATCGTATCATACGCATATATGCTTTATTTGCTTGTTGACCCCAAGCTTGTCCTGTTGTTTCATCACTCGCTAAAGAAGACTAGCGAATTGGTGGTTTTTTCCCCGGCTTTTTTTACCTCCCCAACAATTGGCCATTAGACAACAACGTTGCAGTCAAGAATACTATCTACTATAGTACTACCGCTACCAACTAACGCGTAGAATATTATCGGAGTTCGGATCAGGTTGCATGAGAGGATAGCATCTACCGTACTGTATGTCCAGAGCAATTTAGCCAAGACATTGAAAGCCCTACCTCTCGTATCTATGTACCCAGTAGCTAACGAGCTGACAAGTAATAAGCCGCAACTCATAATAGTAAAGTTTGAGATGATCCTTTAAGATCTTCAAGTAGCTGGACACGTAATTTTTCAAGCGGCACATTGATTGCCTACATACATGTATAACGTGCAGCACCTCAGCATCGACCCACCGCGAATCAAAAAGCATCTCCACTCGCATGTGGCTTCAGTACTTGCGTGTCAGGGACTCTACGACAGCGCGGCTAAATCACAATGGCTTCGGGATGCGTATTTGATCGGCTCGGGCTAGAGATATTGGATCCAGAAGAAGGCAAGATCAGAATCGGCATCTCGCCGTCTTCAATGCCCGACCTCATCAACTAACACACCATTGTCAGAAACTTTCTTACTATTCTCTCAGCACATCCCCTCTCAAAATCTGGGATTCGTGGACCCGAAATCAACCACGTTGGACATCAACGTTGCTGGCAAAGACTACGTAATTCACCAATCCCCAACCATCTTGAACCGTCCGGGAAGCACCACTGGTGCCGTTGTGTGGAAAATCACACCTCTAGTGGCTGATTGGTTGGCCCGTTCCGACAATCTTCTCTGGACATCTGGCATCCTATCACCCTCTTCCAACGTCCTGGAACTGGGTTGCGGAATATCCGGCCTGGTGGGATTGGTCCTTGCACCATTACTTTCAAGATATACCCTGACAGATCAGTCCTATGTCGCAAGACTTGTAGAAAAGAACATTGATGAAAACAGCCATCTACAAACCTCTAGCAAACCGAGCACGACCTCTCATAAACGCAAAGGGAGGCCGACGGTGGTTCAATCTAAAACCGAGTTACGGTTCCTGGCTCTCGACTGGGAACTAGATGAGGTTACGTCGTCACTCACCGGAGACGATAAAGCCAAAAGCTTCGACGTTGTCATTGCTTGCGATTGTATCTATAACGATACTCTAATTCAACCTCTAGTGCAAACTTGCGCTGACGTATGCGGATTGAGATCAGCAGATGAAAACGCCACCGATAAGCCAGCTGTCTGTTTAGTCGCGCAACAACTCAGGGATCCGGAGATATTCGAAGGCTGGATCAAGGAGTTCAGTAGATATTTCCGGGTGTGGCGCGTACCTGATAACGCCTTGACTGAGGAACTGCGATCTAATCCCGGCTTCGTGGTTCATCTAGGTATATTGCGGGATGCAGCAGAGATACGCAATCCATCGTAATCCGCGACGTAATGCTCATTCCTCATTCAACTAGAATCATCCCTTCGTATATGCGTGCCTCGTTCGACTTTCTTCGGAGTCCAAATAAGGACTAAGCTAGCATCTATTCAAGCCGAAGGATCCTACCGTACCTCAGTACCGGCCCGGAATATTCCTGCGTTATGTGCCGTACAACTTGGTAATTCGCCAAATCTGGGCATCGCAATGTATCGTACAGCAATTAAGAACGCGGTTTTACGTGGAGGCTCAAGTAACGAAATGTCTGAGATCAGTAAGAGTAGAAACTCTTACGACGACGTACATCCATCTAGGAGTAAACAAACGTAAACCAAACTTGCAAATTTGCGATTCTAATTGCTTGAATGTAACCGGTAACAAACTCGGGGGTAAAGAGCATGAGACTACCGGTTAGTCCGCGGCGTTTAGTAATCGACTTAGCGAACTGCAGCCTCCTGCATATCATCATCGCCATCCATCGCTACCTTGTCTCGACTACGACTTAAAGACCCTTAATGTCGAAACGACACTATATAAATCGCATGATATTACTTCATATCCGGGGTGGGTGTACCTGTGGTATCATATACATACATAAGTGTTAGCAGCGTCGGAGCGAGACATGCCGAGACTTAGCAGGATCGGCCCGTATGGACGGTACCGTGATGTAGATCCCGAAGGATGGCGATCTCATAAAGCTTATAATTTACCTATGACTCGGAAGATATAAAAGCCTGAGATTGCCCTAGTTGCGGATGTGCCGGTACGGGTAGGTAGAAGGCATAATTCTATTACCTAATTTTGTCTACATCTCATGGGAGCTAGTGCCTATAAAACCGGCATATACCACTGTACGGACAGGTATGGTTGACAATAAGATGAGTGTTGCTATGCGGAGAACTGCCGGCATGGCGTCGTATTTCGACTACCGACGCGGTGATACTCGAATCTGCATACCTGAAGACTAATGCCAACATTTTTTCTCATATAGGTATATGAAACCCCAAATTCCCCCAAGAACTTGCGAGCATGACGACCACGGCTTACTACTCTTTACGCGTGAATCAAGATTTGATGGGCCATGTTGAGGATATTGAAGATAGAGGAGATTCGACCTTTGGTTAAAGCCGTGAATCGGTAACTGATAGTCATCCAACCCCGTTTAGGCGTTGCTCGATACTATTACATCCAGTGCCACTTTCGCCCTTGGAGACCCAACACTAGCTACCCCCCTGACTTCATACATATATACCTTGGTTGTCAAACGACTAGGTAATGTCGAGCGAGCCACATTCCAGCCACACATTCCATAAAATTGGTACTAGATCACCTACCTGATGTTATGATAGGCGCTCGGATCCTTGAGAAGATCCAATAAAGCAGGCAATTCGCGATATTCCCCGGGAGTCTTCGATCTTGAGCCCCAAGCTCTGTTAGCTCAATGGACCGCGAGAAAAACTCCAAAAAACTCCAAAAAAGAGTGGCGCGAGGACTCGATTTTTCGGACTATCGTCTTCCCAGACGAGAGGCTACACTCCTAGATACGGCTCTCCTGAGCCGCTGGTTCTTAGAAAGATCATATCATCTTACCTCGCCATTGACCCCGACGAGGCAGGCTACGCGGAACGGCAATAGCGGTGGACGAACTGCCGAGGCATGGCCGAGAGGGCCGAGTTTTCGGTCCGTGCTAGTGATGTACGGGGACGCAACCGTGACCACGTTTTCTTGACGCTGTACGACGTGTCTCATGCTCCCCAGAGGACGCGGTTCCAGGTCGTCGGGAGTACAGCGTCTTGGCAGTTCGTCGCTTTGTATTCAGGGGCAGCCTCGCACGGGTTACCCAAGTAACATGCATCACGGGACGAAATAAACCTGATTGCTAACTCAGAGGCGAAGGCTATAAAATTTGTATTGGTATGTTTGACATTCACATACATTGCCAACTCGCGTCGTTGCAATGAGTACCTAACTACTTACTGCCCTGGATATCTGGAAAAAGAAAAAAAGAACGAACAAAAACCAAAACCAACAAGAGGTGAAGTTGGAAAAAAACGACCATCAGAGTAAACATTCCGTCCAACCTTCGATGTGAGAGGCATTGTACAAGATAACGACGCTAAATTCGAGCACCGCTAACGCCTAGCTGTGAATCCAGTGTCCTTTTCCCCATCATGATCCCTCCCCGAGACGCCCCGGTTCAAAATTTCCGCGGTAGATGAGTGGTTAGATATTGCTTTTCCCTCTCACCTCGCCCCAATCGGCTGGCATGGAGTTTAGAAATCCACCTCCTGTAGATATTGGTAAGACGTATCTGTCAATACCGGGATGTAAGACGAGTCTCCGAAGGGCATTTCGGACACGGCTAGTTGTGAATCGCCGCTCGAAAAATATCCAAGATCTCCTATCGTCCCGATTCGGCGCGGCTCTTCCTTTTTGAACGAGTCCCAAAAGGCTCGATCGTGAGCTTCGGCGGCAATGGCAGTAGTATCGACCATTGTCTCTGACGTGGGATATACCTGAGCAGGTGTTGGCTGTTGTCGGATATTGTTACTGTGATACCTCCAAGAGTCGGCGTATGCTTCGGGTTGGGGAGTTGGATACCCTGCTCCACTGCTAAACGGACGCCCACCATCTGGCGCCGGCATAATTGGTGTGTGGTTGATCGCGGTAAAAGAACCGGAGGCGGCGGTTTTCGAAGCTTGGGTCGCTGCAGATGCATTCACAGCATCCGTCCCTCCCACCGACAAGTGATTTACTCCGACCGTTAAGGCTGGATCAGAAGTATCACCATGTTCATATTCATCAGGTCGAAGAATCCCGAAGTCCTTCAGTTTGTAAGTCATAGGTTTGTATTCTTCCAGCCCACCACCGGTACCACCCTCGCGAACCCGAGATGTCGTCTCATCTGTCCCTGCGTTCTTTCCGGCAAATCGATGATAGTCCTGCTTGATTGTGTCGAAATACTTGTCCATTTGTTGCAAGATCGCCACGTACGTACCAGCCATTTTGAGCCACATCGACATCTTCTGAAGTGTGACAGATGCGAATGCTACGGACCCACGCCTAAAAACGTCAGCTACAGACTCGGGTTGTCGAGTGTCTTCGAAATCATAGTCTAGCATATGCCTCTCCGTGTCCATTTGGGGGAAGTGCTCGGCATAAAGTCCTACAAACCCGGCCGTCCAAATCGCAAAGAGCACGATAGTTGACTGCGGCAACTTATCCTTCCTCTGGCATATGTCGATCAAGTCGATAATATCACGGGCCGCCTTAAATACATGCTCCGCGCTGGCTATCCAAAACCCTTCGGGGGGAGAGCCGTATTTATCCTTCGGAAAGGTTGGATTATCGAGCGGTCCTTCGGGTTTTTCACACCGAATAGGGACGAAGGGTATATATTCACGATGCAGCATGATTAAGCAGACGGATCTGAGCATGTGCAGCAGCACGTACGCGCTGGAAGCCTGGTGGTTCTCATGCTTGAAGTAGTTAGATCGTGAAAAGGTGAACGTGCCTGGAAGCCCGGCATCAAACTCGGCGAGCTTCTCGTTAAGCTTGTAGAAAGTGCTGTCTTTGGTCCATGGCGGGCGATCCCTTTCCGTCTTGTTAAGACGACCACCGTCTGAACTAAATCTTGATACCTCTCCCCATAAATCCACCAACTGAATAAATCGACTTAGCACACTATCGTCCATGCCGTGCCGTATTTTATCCTCGAGGAAGCCCGTCGGAACTTCCATAGCTAAATCGAATTTATCCTCGGAGCACGGAAGCTGGATATGGATATCTTCGGGTCGTACAATAGACATTCGTTCCTTGCCGCAGGAAATCATGCGATCCAGAATGAAGCAGCTAAACATCGTCCGCCTCCTAACTTCTTTATCTAACGCAATTTGAGATTGATGGCACGAGTTTCTATTCTGAAGCTCAAGAACTTTGGCATGGGGATCTCCTGATTCAGGAACATCACCAAGTCCAAGCCTCAAATATTGCGCCATCCTGATAGCAAGGCCAACGTACATCCAAGCCCCAAGTCCTCCGGTTTTAGGTCGCGTCTGACTCCATTCGTATAACCCTAGCATGAGTAGCGCCGCTACCCTCTCGACGGACGCAGCTTTCATTGCAGTTCGAAGTGGACCCAGGGCCATGGTAAGAACATCGGCATAATATTCGGAAGCGGCAGCGGGGTCAAGTTGCGTCTGAACTGGTCGAGTCCTGGCATTGCCAGGTTGATTATTGCAGATGTGAGCGAGATACTTGACGAGATCCGGGTGAAAACGTGCGGTAAGAGTTAAAACACCTAGCAGTACCAAATTGAGCTCCGAATTTCCTTCTGGTTGGGAGGCTTTAAACTTCCGGCCCAATTTCTCCTTCATCGTAGGTAGGTGTAAGAAAGAAAGCTCTGGAGCAAAATGTAGCTTATAGAGATCCAATACTTGCTCCCATAAGTCTTCTGTTAAGAAAGGTGCCGAGAGCACTTCCTCGGCATAAACGCTCGCCCTCTGATTATCCCCTTTAGATATGTCGTCTATCTTTTTAAGCTTCTTTCTATCGGAACCTCCATCTCGTTCCTGTCTAACTCCTGTGGGCGGCTCGGTTCTCTTCGGAGGAACGGGATCGGGCAGTTTGAAAACGCATTCTTTTCCAGTTTTGATGCAGCTATCGCAAGGGCTAGTGCCACCATTGTTCTCGCCTGAGATAATCGTATTAGCCAATGATTACGGAAGCTGCAAGTCGACCATAATTGTTATAATGTGATGGTGAATATTACAGAATAATGGGATTTCAGAAGATAAGCAATCCAAATAGGGAATGTTCTCATTCCCTTAATTGCGTGTACTCGACGGAAGCGATCAGGTCCTTGGGGGATTGACATACACTTTATTTTACTCTTCCGACACCGTGTGCAGGCGATGCTTGATCGCATGGGGGGACGCATCTTAGGGGGTTTCTTCCCCTCAAGATTTCCTGCTACCATGGCCTTTGTCTCGTCATCCCCCAGCCCCCGAGCGGCAACACTTCCAAGGACTTCTATTCGTGCTGCGTCGGTAATCAGGAGTTGCCGACCTGGAGGTACCGGTGGAGTTGGAGGTCTGAGGCTACTATCCGGGGGAGAGTATGTCTTTTCGAATTTCCTCTGCGGAGTGGCCTGATAGTGTGCTATATTTGAAGTTGCATCGGCGTCCGACCGATCAGGAGGGGAAAGTATCGACTGGATGCGGATTGGAGTAGAAATTGTGGCGGCTGGGTCTAGGGTAGACCCGGGATATTTAGAGGAAGCACAAGCGGCCTAGCAGGCCTTTCGAGATGACTCGCAGGGCGGATTGTGCCGTGCTATCGAACACGATACTTCGAAAGAGTGATAAAAATCAAGCGGGAATGACAGCGTTCGTATTTTTTAAGGGAGCTAATGCCTGAGTAACGAGAGACCTAGGCGTTTGTGCTCTAGAGATGGCTTCTAGGTTGTATTTCGATGGTGTTGAATGGTTAGACACGATTCCCGGTAATGTGCTACAGCGTCGAAGAGCTGCGACTAGCCGCTAAGGGCGCGACCTGTCGACTACGGTTGCAATTTTTTGAATATCGTGGTTAGAACTTGTGACTGCCAGGAATTGCCTTATCCTTGTAATGTGACAGAGCAAGCTTCGTCCTTTAGAATGCATACGCCATCAAGCAATACTGGTACGGGTAACAAATTGGTTATGTGGTTATGGGCAAGAAAGTAAGCTAGAGGTAGTACCGGCAGCACGTATTGGCAACATGGAGTTGGAAATAGTTCGAGAAGACTGCGGTCGTACTAAAGTCTGGAATGTGGAATATCATGGATGGATGAAGGAAAAGCCCAAGCGCAGAACGCCTCGCGAATATGGATTTGACATTTGGTGGGCGAGGATAGTTGGGATGGGTTACAATGAAGTTACAATGAGCATTGGAGGAAGGGAAGAAGCTCTTCGTTGGCGGGTAAAGCCAGTCTAGAAGGCAACCTGAGAGGGACCAGGATTAAAGTTCCCCGGACGCGGACGGGTCGGGTAGGGTCCAATCTACACGAGCTAACAGAGTTGAATGGCGGACGAGGACCGGCTTCTTCGAGTAAACGTCCAATGAACAGGCGACCTAGGTCCTGATCGAAAGCGCCCATCTAGCGCACAGGCCGCGGTTGCTGGCCCCCGACAGGCTCATATGTACGTCGCAGCGGGGATGGGGTGTTCCCTAAAATAATAATAATAATAATAATAAAAATAAAAAAAGACAGCCCTGGAGGTGCAGATTCCATGGTCGATGATTTGACCGGCCTGCGAGTTGGTGTCAATGATCCTACGAGAACAAGGCTGCCGACGCAGCGAGGCGTTATAGGTTACGCCATCTACAGCAGCTATAACGCTGCAGAATAATTAAAAGCAAACGTTGTGGATCGTGGATCGTGAAACCCCATGGTACCTAAGCCGTTTGCTGGAGGAATTAATAGTGGTAAGGTTGTGTTAACCTTTTGGCATGTCCACGGGCCGATGGCACAGATATTACCCATCCGTCAACGTAAAAACGTAGTCCTCATATGTAGACAGTTCCGGTTTCCTTATTCGCCAGGGACAACAATTGCCCCGTCTCCTTGCTTTCGCATGACAAAAGAGGAACCAGATAAACCGAGCTCTGAGGCAATAAGCCACTGTAAAAGCTTCTATTCTGACCACCCAGTTGCCAGCGTCCCAAAACTGTTGGTAAGACGGGACACGGTAGTGCTTAGATACCAAAGCAGGCCTAGCAAGTCTAGGTAGGTATATGCCGAGTTGGCTCGATAGCCTGCTTAGAAGGTCCCAACACTGCGGTCTTATTTTGGGATTAGATATCAGTCTATCATTGTGATTTATAAGTCTGGATGTGGTAGGCTGTAACGTTCCTCGGAACGTAACTGTATCCCGGTCCAATCACCAGCGCCTGCATCCGCGACCCGTGGGGGCGCCGATTTGGTGCAAAGCGGCGGAATGTGATCTCCTTTATGATTTATCAACCCAAGAAATTGGTATTCGAAGGATGTTGTGTGAACACATTGGCAACCAGTTTTTTCTTCTCTTCTCTCAGTTGAAACTGAGGTGGTCGGCCCGATCCGACCCTCGAAAGCGTGATAATTGGCCTCGCGCCATGTCTTTCAACTGCCGAGGTAGGGGCACCTAGGTCTCTTAGCTGCTTAGATGTTAAAACTCCTCGATGGATGCTGTCATAATATGAAATTCTCAAAATTTGGCAACTGTAACGAATTTCCTTTTACGCCCCCGATCTGCATATTGACTGCGCGGGTTAGCTTCAGATGAAGATAGAAATCTCATCTCGTATCTTGGTTCCGATTTTGTGTCGAGAGGTTGAGACCGGGTAGTGAGAACCTTGGAGCGTGCCAATTTAAAGCCTAGAGGCGTGGCTAATATCCATGCCCAGTGCCCACAGACAATTGTCTCGAAATATTTCCTCTTCGATGACTAGACTAAATCGTCTCGGCCGTCTTGAGCTACATACCTTCCTCTTTCCGTGCGAATAAGATGCTGCGGTTTTGATCTTTTCATTGCCACCGACCTGGTATGATGATTTTGGCGATATGCATGACAGTGGCTAAACAGGGTAAGAATTGTCAAGGATTCACTGTTTTTGGTCACCAACACATTTTGTTCCGACTGTCCGCATTCATTACCGGCTGGGCAAATGTTGGATGGTTTTCCGTGATACCAACGTCTTGTTCCTTGTTGGAGAGAGGTGGAGGACTTTTACTCCACCGTCCGCCCTTTTTTCCCTTAAGATTCCCCTCAGCCCCTCAGCCCCCCCTTCCCCCACTTAAGAACATTGAAATCATAAGTTGGTCGAAGTTGCCCCTCATCTCGTAGATATTTGTAGATATTTGCGGCATTACATAAGAGGGTACACAATTATGCCAACAATGTACCTAGGTAGGTATGTATCTACTATCCATAACTAAGTATATAGTACCTGGTATATTATTATGTATGTATACTGGATTATATACATAAACATGCAAGTCGTACCTACCTACACATCGGTGAGTTAACAATTTGGAAATGTGAATGTACTTATGTATATGCGGATACCTATACATCTACACGTGTATTTATTTTGTACCAAGGTACGCATGACCGGTCTGGAAAACTTCGGCAGCCGCTTAGGGAGGTAGATGCCACTTTTGGAGTCCTCTTGGAGTCCTCTTCTAGCCCCCTTTTACCTAGCTCATATGCTCTTTTTAGAGTAAACTTAGAAGCAAGGATCTATTGTGGCGATCACATCTGAACCACCCAATGACGTCGACTGTGAGGCCTCTCGAACATAGCAAGTCCCAGCCTTGTAACCCACACGGCGCTTGTCTCTAAGCGCTTGAAAGTTGTTTCACTCCAATGCCCAGATAATACAGATAATAGGGTACCTATTTAAGATATTTATGTAGGTAAGTATTTTAGGTAGTGAATCATGCTCCATTCTGCACGGAATACGCGAGATACAGCATGGAGTCACTGCCCATGGTTTGTCGCTAATCTTTGTTCCTGTTGGCCGCGCTAGAGTTGCCTGCGTATCACCACGCTCAGCACGCTTCCCAAGGGATATATGCCAAGACGCCGGTATCTTGTTGAAACTTGGAACATAGGTATGACACAATAGACACCCAAATACAAAGGTGCTCACTACCTACCTATTGATACTTGACTGTCCTAAAAGAATCAATTCCTTCTCCTTATCTCATCATAAGTAATTTAGAAAAGATGGCGTCTGGACATAATGTAAGTTGGCGCGATTTGCACCTACGATGTAATGCGACGCTATAGTCTGACATACTGACATACTGACGTCGAATTACCAACAGGACCCCAAATTATTATACGCCATCCCGGGTGTCTCGGCCTACCACCTCGCCTATGGCAAAGAGGAATTGCTCACGCCCGCCGGGCCGCAGACCTTGTCATTGCTGATGGTCCCAACATCTTCTCCTTACGCCGATCCAGCACTCGATAATCAAGATGCGCCACCGGAGGATTTCTACCTCCATCTCCATCTACCACCCGAATTAGACATTCCCCTACCCGCGACCACCCAGATCTACCATCAACCACCAAGAAGCTATCTCATCCCTAGATGGGACCTTGGTCCTGATAGCGGCGCATTCACGCGCATCGAATTCCCCCCAGTTGGCAGTCGCAAGGGCCTTCAGGAAGATGTAGATACGTTCGAGACCATCTTAGCACAGTGCACCGCGTTTCTCGAAAGAGCCCCTCCACCAAAGACTACGCGGAAGGAAAAGGAGAGGGAGAAGTCATCCTCTCCGACGTCCCCAAGCTCCAGAAAATCGTCACCGACAACTTCAAAATCTAAACCTACGTCAGAGAAGCTTCCAGCATACAACCCTGCTTCATATAAACCTGGAGAGGGCTACGTGAAAGGCAGTCAAAGCTCCCAGCGAGGCGGCCAGATTGTGTTAGTAGACGAAGAAGATGGAAGTGTGATAGGGGAATTGTCAGAGGGATACCAGGTCGTTGACTCCGACGTGAAGCCGGGTTCCAAAGGTATGGATCAACTTCTGGATTTCTAGGCGGCCAAGAAAGCTAAATGCGATTGCAGATCCTGTTGAGATCACTCTTCCCGAAGAAGGCAAAAATCAACTTGCGGTTGTCCCAGCATCGCCTGAGACTCTAGAAATAGAGTTACATCCGGCTTACCAGAAGTCATTCCTCGTATCGAAAGCAGCGTACGCGTCCCGATTGATCATTACAACCTCAGACTTCGTATCAAATGCTATGATGAACGGGTCAGATAGCTTTGTCAAAAAGACTAAGCCTGCCGGTGAAGCGGTAACTTTCACGCCAGCAACGCATGACCGCGTCCGCCGGATAGGGAAGTTTTCAGGCGGCGTGGCTGACTTGTCGTCTAAGACGGTAGGACAGGTCACCAAGCTGGCTCAGAACGTGGGAGCAACCATCTCAGGGCGTGGTCCTAAAGAAGGGAAAAGGGGGTACGGACCGGATGGGAAGCCACTTGAATCGTTTAAACCCGGCCTACTGAACAAGAGTCTAATGGCTTTCGCGACCGTTACGGACGGAATTGACCATGCAACGCGTAATATCTTGACTTCAGCATCATCGTCTGCGACAAATATGGTCACTCACAAATGGGGTGCAGAAGCGGGAGAATTATCGAAACATCTGGGAGGTAGTGTCAAGAATGTTGGCCTAGTCTACATTGATGTGACGGGGGTCTCTCGAAAAGCCGTCATCAAGGCCGTTGGAAAGGGCATGGTAGTTGGAAAAGTGAAGGGAGGTGGCGAAATTATCGTGGGAGACGATACCTCAAATGATGTTCCAGGAAAGGGACCCGATGACTCGAGAACTAATCTGACGCCGGACTCTGCCAGCAGCGGGGGCAGTGGTAAGTCAAATGGTAAGGCACAAAAACGCTAACGGTTCATAAAATAAGATTTGGTATTAATCAATAGATATTGTACGATTACTATTATATTGACGACTTGAAGTGAAGAGAACTCTAAAAGTAAAGGATCATTGATAATGAAATAAACCTCCGTGGTCATGACCCATGGATGATCCCTATGGATGTCACGTGATACTCGCATTAAGCATGACGCGCTTAGAGTGAAGCAGCTGCGAAGGACGAGTAAAAGAATGACACGGAAATAACACTGTATCGTAACGCGAAACTCAATTACCACCCTTGGTACGTATCAAATTAATTGGTTGGGGGTTTTCTCTTGAAACTCTTCAGATGAGATGATGCTTAAGTTCCCAATTGATCCGAACTACGTTAGAAATAACAAAACAACAACAATACAATAACAAAACACATTGCTCTTGGATTTGAAGATAGGTACCTAGGTAGGTACATATCAAAGTACCTGGCTTCGCTCCGTCATCCGTCATCCGTCGGTCCACCAGTTGATGTCCACAATACGCCGGACAACTCGCGTTTTCGCCCATTCAGATGTGTCGCTACGAATGTCTTGGTTCCATCATTCTCTTGATTCAAGATATCGGCGATAAGATCCGGTCTAAGGAACCTCCACATGTCTTACAAGGGTTGGGCTCCCACTTCTAAGCAATCCTACCGCCTCCGTCTCTAACGACTTCGTAGCTCATCGGCTCCACAATGCTCCATGAAATCTTGCTCTCCCTATCGGGGCACCCATCGCCTTTACTCAGGACCAACTATACCGATCCCAAGGCACAGTCCATCATCTCGCCGCCCGAGAGAGAACTCTTGAAGACAGCTGGCCATCTAAGTGATCTTCATTGCAAACTTATAAGTTACACTGCACAGATCAGCGCATCTCATCCTTCAATAATATGTCGTGCAGTATCAACGGCTATCAACTCCCTTTACCTCAATGCCTTTCAGAGGAAGGTCTTAGAAGTGGAAGATAGTGTTCTTCGGAAAGATGCTTCCCTCGTTGGCGCTTATAACATTGTGCCTCTGACCGCGGTTATGGGCGAATTCTCAGACTGGACTCGCAGGATGGAATGGCTTTGGGATCTAGTCCAATTTATCGATAGAGAGATCGAGGGTTCGCCATGTCGAGGAGCGCAACTTGTCAACAGGCTGCGTGCTGAGCTTCAGACTGGTTATGCTGACGTTGGGGAGACCGCGCTCAGTCTTGTTCGGGTCGCCGAAACCGCATGGCTAAAGCAGGTCTCAGCTTGGGTCCTCTATGGCAAGATACCTGCATTCAGCGACGCAGATTTCTTCATTCAGAAAGATGAGGATGACGAACAAGTAAGGGCCTCCAATCCCCGCATACCTTGTAAAAATATCATCACTAATATGACTAGGGCTATTCGATTAGACATGGGTTACTCCCGTCATTTGTAACATCATCAACGGCTTTATCGATGTTATTCATTGGAACATCATTAAACCGCGTAAAAACGAAGAGTAGTATACAGTCAAGTAACAATGGGCTCGACCATCTCTCATCCCAACTCCAGACTCTTGCAGATGTATCATCACCTATCAACAGTGTAGCATTCTCAAGAGCTATCACATCAATCCGGCTCACCTTATCTCGGACGACTCTACAGAAACTCTTACCGTTGGCTAAGGTTCTTGAGATGTTAAACCTCTTTCGGGACTTCTTCCTAATCGGCCGTGGTGAATTTGCTATGGCTCTCACGCAGCAAGCCGATGAAGTAATCCGCAACCGCTGGCGACGTGCCGATAACCTCGCTTATGAAAAGCGGTATGGGCTTAATAACGTGATGGTCAAAGAAGGCGAAGTTGCCGCGGTTCTGACCAAAACCTGGGCTTTGCTAAGCTCGATGCAAGGTCAACACGCAGATGAAGATGAAGGTCTTGAAATAGCACGCGATCTGCTACGATTGAATCTCTCTAAGACCAAGCCACCAACCCCTAAAAAGCCCAAGGCCGGTGTAAACAACGAACAGCCAGGCGCCATCGCAAACACTCCATTTCGAAATTTACTTTTCTCCGTTCCCGTCGTCCTCACATCACAGTTCCCGCCACCGCTGGACTTATTCTTAACTGCGTCTGATGTACAGACTTATACCTCTATCAATTCATATCTTCTATCTATCCGCCGCTCCCACCTCCACCTCACAGACTTGTGGAAAATAACGTCCCTCCGCCGGCATCACCCACCACCCCCTAGACCTCCCTATAGTACCACGAAAGGCGGCGTCGCAAGAACGAGGGTCCTTCGCGAGCGCTGGTCCGCTCGTTCCTCTACGATGCGAGGTACCTGGAGCACAAGCAGCGCCGCGATATTCTTCTTGGCGGAAACCGAGACATATCTGCAAATTGAGGTCGTCGAAAGCCTCTGGGACGATTTCCTCAGTTGGTTGACGGGAGAAAGCGAGCACAACGGGCATTACAGCGCTCCATCATTCAACAGCCATCCCAGTGATGCCAATGATACCCCTGGTGAAGACCACGCTAGTTCCTCCCAGGACAAACCGAAAGAGACTCAGACCCAAAATTCCAGCCCTGCCCATCACGACCCGCAGACGCTAGCCACTGCCCATCGGCTGTACCTCCGGACGCTCTCCCGGCGCCTCCTCCTAACGCGGCCCTCCTTTACGGACGCCCTGTACGAGCTGCTCGTCCACGTCGACCACCTAGTCGCGCTCGTCCACCGCCTGCACGGGATATGGACGTCGATGGACCTGGAAGCGGACGAGGGCGTCGTGGACGCGTTCTCGGACCTGGCTACCGAGGAAAAGGACGTGCGGAACAATATCCGTGACGTCGAGCGCCTCGTCAAGAGCAATATCGAGAACGTCATCGCCACGCTGCGCGGCCTGAGCATGGACTCCGCGTTCATGGCCGAGCTCGAGGACGGCGGCAGAGGAGATGATGAGGATGAGGATGATGGCGTGGGTGTGGGTGATGAGATGATGCTTGGCGAAGGGGGTGGGTATGTGCCTAGGAGGACGGGGGGTATTGATAGGTTGTTGATGAAGCTTGATTTCGGGGGATGGTTTGATGCTGGGAAGGTGGGGGCTGGAGATGGAGAGGGGAATGATGATGATGGGTTTTGAGATGAATTATGCTGTTATGATGCTGGGTTAGGGGAGTAGTGAGAGAGGATAGTAAATTGTACGATGTTTTGCTATTGAAACACTTTACCTAAACCCAAAAGATTGGGCTGGGATAAGTTGGTTGAGTGTTTTGAGGGCCAAGATGCGAAAGCTGCGTGGGACTTCTATTAACTTACAACAGGGTATCGGAAGAGCAGAATAGCTACCTGAAAGTAATGCTTACAATGGACCATCGAAACACCAAATATGCATGAAGAAGGCTAGCGATATATCAAATATGGAGGGTGGTCAAGCGAGATTGCCTTGATAATAATATATGTAGTTGTATGTACACATGTGTTCTCCATACAAAGCATTCTGCTGCTGAAGAAACAGCCATAGCCGTGTCCCCAATTGAATACAAACGGAAAGCAATAGAAACGATACTAGCTAGTATGTGTTAAGGTATATGTAGATATAACTGTTCCCTGCGACGAGGACGCTGATGAGGATATAATGATAAAATCAAAATTGTAACAGACTTGTACACTCCGCAAGCTGATGCACCGACCGATGCCCAAATACTCCATGTTCCATAATCCGAAATACAAAGGGAAGTAGATATATGCAGACCAGTCCAATATAAAGCAAGTATGCATGCGCCGTTGCCAATTGCCATTGCCGCTGCCGCCCAATGCGATGCATACCTCAAACGATATATAGTAGTATAATATAGTATAATTGATGCCCGAACACCGTGTAAGAAAAAAAGAAAACCGACGTCAGGCCAAAAGATGTTGACCAGAACGAGAGAATTTTTTTTTTAGTAAACATGAGGAAAAATGTATGAGGGAATAAAGATAAGACAGTATAGATGAAGCATAACTTTTAGTAACATGAGATGAGACGCTCTTTTGTCATTCATCAATCGTCGTCCGATGTTTCGAACTTGAGGCAGTGCCTTTCGTTTTCTTCCTTCAACCCGTAAGCTGGGGATACGGTGCTGTGTGAAATGAAGGTGTTTGCCCGCGGGAGTGTATCGTCCGGGGTACCGTAGTCATTAAGATGGTGTGTTGGCTGAGGTATTCTTTTGTCGGTATTCTTGTGTCAATAGACTTTTAGTAAGCAGCGACGGGTCGCTGGTGGAAGCGTAATGGACTCGGATGGTGCTCCGAATTCCGACGGGTAAACATGTGTTGCATGAAAGTCTTTGGGCTGACGACTTCAACATCCAGGGATCTGGACATGAGTGGGATCCCGATCTTGCGGACCTTCTTCGTCTGCCAACGTTCCTTGATGCAATCATCAACAAGTGCCATAAGACCAGTTGCGACAACAACACTGTAGTAATAATTAGTATGAGTTTTGAAAATAGATGAGAATTGAATCAATTGAGACTTACTCGGCAACATCAGTCACAGCTTTGACCAACTCAGGGTCGCTGATCCACATGTGGCAAGGAGGTACCCAACCGCCGGCTTCCTCGTCAGCCTCGACTTGGTTTGGCGATCGAGTTTCTGGCACGATGTGTGCTACAGGTGAATGGTTTTGACCATCGCGGAGAAGGTGATAAGAGACGGAATCTGTGAGCTTGTCCACCACTCTCTTCCAAGAGTACTTGTGACCCCACCATTCGAACTCGTATCTCTTCGTGTTCCTGTTTCCACGCCGCACCACGTCAACCCGCGCATAGTTGGAGAACTCGAGTTTGATCATGTTCGTAGCCGTTGGGCGAGGCTTCTCCTTCTTGCTTTCGATGGAATCGGCACGGGTAAGGGTATTGGAAAAGACGTCGTCAACCTCGACCGCAGCAGAGTGGCTTGTCCCTGGTCTGCTCTTGGAGGAGAAGACCGAGCCGCTGGTGGGGATGCGGCTGAGCGTCGGTCGTCTCGTCAGGGACTTCACTGCGGTTGATACCGACCGCTGTAAGTTAGGGCGGGCTGTATCGACGTATTTGCGTTTCGAGTTGCAAATTTCACGTCCAGAATCTCTGCAATACCGCCTGAGAGAAAACTCGCGCTTGTTCAGATCGTACATGCGTAGGTGGAAGAGTTGTATGGTCTTTTTTCGTCTGCCCGTAACGACTGTGTCTACCCTTAGGTTCATGTTTCCATCCGACGTAAAGTCGTCGTGACGAATAGTCAATCTATTCATAGACGGAAACAGGCTGGCGAAGTCCTCGGGCGTCGAGGGTCTGACATTGATATCCTCGATCTCATGTCGGTAGGCAGGTAGCTGGGGAATATCCGAGAAATACTGACACTCTTCCGACTCCAAGTCATCCTCATAATCTTCACTTGAGGCCTGTGACGAATATGTGTCGACTGATGACCGCGGGTATATGCTCGTGGATGAAGGCAGGTCCTCCTCGTAAAACCCTGACTGGAGCCTTGCAGCCCGAGAATCCGAATCCTTCGTGGATGGTCTAGGGCTGTCATAGAGAGAGGTAGGGGCGGTACTCCGAGAGTCATATGAGTCGGCGCTCCGCCTCGTATCCCGAGTGCTAGCGGTATGAGTAGAGTAGTCGGTGTCTCGCCTTCGCGTCATGTTGGTGAAAGGGGGGTACGAATTCATGGGGTGCTGTTGGGTGAGTTTGGGAGTAGTAGGCATGGATGATAGTAGGAGGATAAAGGGTCAGTAGTGGACTCTTATATCTATCTAGCTGGCCGGCTGGAAGATATGCGCGCCGGGTCGATCTCAGGGTCCTACGCCGCGCAGTCGCGAGCGGGACACTTGGAATTCAAACAGTGGTGATTCGACAAGAGACCCACTGAGGCCTGATAACAGATGGTGTTGATCTTTAGACGCAAGGGTTTGTTTGAGAGCTGCTCGACATGCGGCCAAACCGGGGAATAAAGGAGGAAGCCGGTAGGATGTATATATGGACAGAGGGGAGAACAGTATGGACCCTATGATTTAATATGTAGGGCGGATGAGAATGTATGGACGAAGAAGAGGACAATGGATATATGGATGGATATGGAGCGGGAGTTTATGCACGAGAGTCTGGACGAGATCCGTTATAAACGAACACATGCTACTGGAGCAACCTGGCACAACAAGAGAGATATAAGGTACGGTGGGACGACGAGGGGGGGCTTTGACTTGAAGATATTGGTTGGAGCTGAGCTGACGAAAGACAGACGCCCTCAGGCGGAGGGGATAGAGGGGTGAGTGAGTGGGAGACGAGAAAAAACAGGGGATGAAAAAGGCGGCGCTACTAACCCTGCTAAACCCTGCAAAGCACACTGATACCTACTTAGGTAATTGTCGTGAAGATAGCTGCATATACCCAGCATATACCCAGCATACGCCGTAGGTCCCTCCTGTTGGTGGGATTAGAGAGAAAGGCGAGAGCCTAGCCTAGAACTGCCAGACCACCCAGGAATCTTCCGCCGGGCGAGTGGGGGGATTTTCTGATTTTCTGATTTTTCTGACAGCCAAGTCCCAAAGTCGAAAGGTGAAAGGTCAAGACTCAAGACTCGAAATGTGGCACCTGGTACAGGCACGGCTACGCATGTCCGGCATGGCATGTACCTGCTATATTGGAAGAAACCACGCTTTCTTCGGAGTAGCACGATACTGGCTCTGCTTGGGGGGAGACATTCAATTCCCATCGCCCTCCGTTGCACGGCTTTTAGGTATGCCCCGAATAGTGGCGAGCTTCGTCGCACCACCATCACGCTACACTGGCAATTTCTGCAAGCTCGCCGGCGATAGAAAACAAGAAGCTATCGCATTAGCTTCGTCGCTTGTAGGTATGTAAGTTAGCTGTAAGTCTTTAAAGCCGTGCTACAAGAGTGACGATATCGTCACGAGGTCATTCTATGTTGTTGTCCTCTTTTTTACAGATTGTACGTGGGGGGAGAAGCGAGAGTTGTTAGTAAGAACCTTAGGTAAAGTAAAAATCTCATGTTAGCGACTTTTTTTCGCCAGGGTTAGCTTATAGTAGGTAGGTACCTATGTACACTACTATTATAGGTACTTACGCTAAGTACGTACTTACAGTTTGGTCTCTTCGCAAAGCTAACGGAGAGTACCTGCTCTACTATAGTACCTACGTAGGCAAGTAGGTAGGTACCTACACAGATCTGTTATAGGCAGTTCTTGCAGGGAATTACTTGTACTGTCTTATTCGACGTACCCCCGAGGGGGTACTGCGCTTTAACTAACGAAATGGGCAGAGAGTTGCGAAATACCCGAAGTACTTCCGGATGGGTGGAGTTTGCTATTAAAACCATGTATATAGGTATAAGTAGATAGCCCTTATTATTACATACAATATTCATCTATAAGTAAGGCAGCTATCATAAGCCCTATAATGCAACAAGGTAGCTTGTATTTTATTCAACTAGAGGGTATAGGATAATCTTCGGATACTTTGCAACTCTCTGCCCATTTCGTTAGTTAAAGCGCAGTACCCCCTCGGGGGTACGTCGAATAAGACAGTACAAGTACCACTTGAGAGCAGCTTCCATCTTCAATTCTCGGGTGGCATCATCGATTGGAAGGAGAGACGAAAGATTTCTAAATGTCCTTCCAACTTGTTTCTAACTCGTGCGCCGCAAAAAATTTTCTTTAATTTTCTTCACAATTCTCAACCAATTGGCCTCTACAATCCCTCACAATCCACGCACTGTAACTTGTTCTTCGGCAACTCAATTTCGTTCCACGGCAGCTTACCTGAGCATCTCTTACCTGCAGAAGAATATGCCATTCTGCCATTCCTAGTAGCCGTTCCCGGGCTATAGTGGGCTGACCGTACCACTGTTGGTTAGCCTTGATCGAGAATATTCGGGATAGAGAAAGAGGCTCAGAGAGACAATGTCTACAACATCCTCGCTTGCAGCTCCATCTATCCCGGCAGTCAGGTAGTCGTTGGTCCCGCGGGATGACGGGTGCTCGACCAATGCGACGGGAATCCCATAAATTTCCATCTGTAAAAGCCACGAGTCCGTCCAGCGAGGCGCATGTGTGTGACGAATTGCCATGTCACCGCGGGATAGGATCGCAGCAAGAATAAAAGAAAAAGAGGATCTCAAAACGGAGCACTCGAGAAATCCCATCTACCTTGGAACTAACTACTCCTGCATCGTGCTCCGTTATGACGTTGTAGTGATGACCGTATACTCCATAGCCCATGGCAGTTATGGTATTCAACTTCGGAACTGTTTGCGGAACTGCATCGCCTACCCGTTTATTACCAAACGTCGTACACCACCGTCGTCATTCCTCCCGTGTGCCGGCCCCGGTAAGGGAGAGAGATAGCTGCGACCTGCACGCCCGGTAAATCGCCTACCACCCTTACCATCTTTAGGTCGCTTGAGTCTGGGGTGTCGCTCGTGCCCAACCAGAACGCCTCGTTTAGTACCCAGGCGAATACATCGTGTCCATCCATATCAGGGCTGCAACTTTTGATTGGCACTTACCAACAGTTCTCTGCGTTGTCGACAACGTTGGTTCATACTCAATCTGTTTCTAATTCCAATTTCTAACTGCCACGCCTGGGTTCTAGATGCTGCGATAGAAAATAGAAGCACTACCCAAGATGCCATCGCACCTCCATTACGCCTGGCCAATACATTCGGCTGGAGGGTTCGCCCAGGTATGGCATTGGACTTGAATCTTTCACTCACTTGCATATAGGGGTAATTATTGGACCAAGCTTTCCCATTAGAAGGCCACCTCAACAGATTGCGATCTTAGGTGTGTTTGCCATCAATTCCCGGACACGCGATTCTTCATGGACGGAAGTGAGGTTGCCAATTTTTTAATGCCCCGTGTTTCGTCGACAGTCATGACAAGCTTCTTACTCAGTCGAAGCAAGGAATATCATTTCCATGTTGTACAACGCTGCGTTCGCTAGTGCCCAGTTCACATGGGCGTCAATCACACGAAACATCTGTCGCCATCAATCACCATTTCTAACGCGCTTGTCTCTGTGCGACAGCTGGTGAGCTGCCATCGGTTGCTCCAAGAAATCTTCCAAACTCTTTCCGGCCTGGTCTCAGCTAGTGCATCTGTTCCTGCCGTTTTTCTGGTCGTCTGCAGGTCGTCGAATACGGGCCACCGTGTGTGTCAATCGTTGATTCGCCGGCGGAGCCTGGCATATTTGGACCCAACTTCAACGTCAGATGCGAAGACCCATGCGCACAGAGAGGCTCACGCACGTGCTGCCGACCATCCTGAGCTTCTTAAGCTTGTCTGATTGATACTTGCTAAGAATGAATTACTAGGCCCATTTCCGTGATTGGCTATCTAGGTCTCCTTCCTTATCCTGAGGGCGAAGTGTTGCCGAAGAATGCAGCGTGAGAGATCTCCTCTAGTTAGGTCACCCTGCATACCTCCTAGGCACCTGAGTTTTCCAAGAATGGAAATCTAGTTCTTCGGATACTTTCTCAATCCGCATTTATAATGGGTCTGGCCGATGAGCATTGGTGCCATCTATGTCGATGTTAAGACTATGCCACGATGGCACGGACAAGCTGGATCCTGCGAGGATCTCGGTCCTACAAGCTACCCGTTAGACATCGATGCCTTAGAACACTAATGTCCTGCTTGCTTGGTTTGAAGCATGTTTTTCAATGCTCGTGTCTTGGAAAAAGGGGTATGTGGCAGTTCATCGACAGTCGAGGAGCGATAGCTCGCTCTCGCCGTCGACGATCTTCACGATGCCAACCTCTCGATTATAGCCTCCTTGCCGATTAGCATTGATCTACCCTTTGTCTCGTACGCGGCTCCTTTCCCTGCCTCATACCCCACACACATGCAGGTTGCCGAAGTCGGCACCCAGATCGTTGGATACCCTATATGACCGGGTGTGTTCCCCTTGACGCAATCGCCCTACTTTACCAGCAACTATAGCCCCTCCCCTTAAACTATGTACCTTGGGCGATCTTCAATGTTGGAAGCTATGTTATAGATATGGCCCGTACTCTTTGCGGAGTACGACTTCACTGTCTTTCCGGGGTCAATTGAGAAACCGTGACGTCGCTGGTACCCGTATTTACAGCAATGGTTTTAAGCCTCGTTCATTCTAAATATTCTTGTGTATTCTAAAGTCTAGTCGACGTAATAACCGCTCGTCTTTGACAACTCAGTTTGCTACATTTTGTAATTAAGTAGGGTGCTTGCAACGTCGTCTTCTGGGAAGTTTCACGGCGCATAGAGCGGCAACATTGGCAACGCTTTTCATGAGTCCTACGCCCAAATATGCCCGAACGGCAAGCTGAGACCACGGGTAAAGAAAAGAAAGGACCTGGGTTACCAATTGGCAAAAAAATATGGGCAAGATTCTCAATGTCTCCACGTCTTCCTTGTCAGCCCACTAGGTCGGGCATAAGGTTCTTTTCCAGTGGGATTTGGTAACCAAAGAAGATTCAGGGTCTCCAGGACCCGTGAATTTGAATTTCAGGGGGAGCTCCCCAAGAGTTAGTCGCTCCAATTGACTCCTCAAAGATAAGCAACTCACTATTTGATCCCTCACGGTGGCTCCGACCAACACATGCGTTGCTTTTCTCCGATATGCTCAGAGATGGGAACGTGGGGAGCGCGGGCGTCGACGGGTATTGGATAATAAATATACCCCGTAGTGAGACTGTGACCCTGCGATGCAAGATTCATCCTATCGGGGTCCCTCGGTAAATCCAGCGGACAACTCTCAGAGTGTCGATTAACGTCCGAATTGCCTCTCTATCTACCTTGTTCATACCCCGTTGCGTTTTGCGCATTCGATGTTACTGGCTGTTGACTTTCCACAACTTTGGAGGCTTAACCTGTCAGCACGGTTTCTCAGCGCCATTTTCCGGGTCATTTTCGCCATGGAGTGAATATATTCCGCTTTCTTGCAAATGGCTCAGTTAAGAGTGCAGTTAATTCGTCTTGAGCTGAGGCGGTTTATGTCATGATGGGGTCGGCTTAGCAAACATCGTGAAGGGAACATTGGCTTGCTTACCCGACACCTATCCGACCTGCTTTCGTCTAAAAGACGTGGGTCGCACTCGAAATACATTGGACACAAGAGTGTTATAGCCTCTAAACTATTGGCTATAATCTACGCTCTAGACCGTCGCTCGTTACGATCGCCACCTTTGGCGGCTCGGGATATTCTCCGATGACCTCCTGTCTTACACTTTGGTATCACGCTTTGCTGAATTGCGAATTATTCGCGACCCAAGCCAAAGGCTCGGACCACCCAAGAAGGCAAAGACCTGCCGCTTACCCTCGAATCCGCGTAGCCCGATCGTCGCGGTCATAGACGGGATCCGTATCGTCGGGACTAAGGTTGTAAACACGTCCAACACCGGCGGGATAAATAGCGATGGGAGTAGCTTACGGTTCGTGTTATTCGCCTAGGACGCTCGAACACATGATCAGACGTGCTTCCAGATCAGATTCTCACCGCAGATGCTAGCGTCACGATACTTTGAGCCTGAGGATCTTAAGACTAAGCTTGCAACAAGACCGGCAAGGCACGCGAGACATACAGATCGAAGAGAGTCGGACACGCTCACACATGTGTTTGTAAGACGCTCTCGATGTTACTAGATAGTACGTTCTAGCGAAGTCTAGATGCTAGACCCAAGCGAGATTTGGTCTCAGGTGTCCGCGCTCTTGCGCTCTCCGAGCCAGCCGTAGTCCGAAGAGTGTCGGCGGCCGGAAAAGAAGACAGGAGGAAGTAGAGGCGGCACGACCTTAGGGCATATATGTCATTATGCAACCCAGTGCTTACAGGCTTACCGACGTTTTGCTGGCCGAGGCTTAGATAAGCATTGGGCAGGATCGCATGTTTGACGGGTTCATTTTCTTCCTGCAAGATCGCGAGAGATGGTGATTACACCTAGATACCTAGTAACAATAAATTAATGACGTCCCCTTCCCTAATTTCGCTTGCACCCATTCACCGGTGCCCCTAGGGCTGTCGTACACCGAGAGTTCATCCAATGTACACATAATTGGCCAGATCCCGACTTTCCGCTGAAGAATGAATACCTAGGCATCTCATTCGAGGTGATGACGTAGGGTATATCATCATGCCGCCGCCCGCCGGTTCTCCTTATTCTAGACGAGTCCGCAATGGAAAGTATAGACGTGTCGGTCTTAGGGGATAGGAGTACGACATAATTAATGTAGGCGTGAGGCATGAAATCTGGTCCATACATAGGCCATAACCCCGTACTACAGACGTAATCTCGCTTCTTTATATACGATGTCGCCATAGGAGAAAGGGAAAAACAAAAAAAACCGATCGAGGCAGAGATAACGTACGTACATGAGGCATATCATACGATCTCGTCGCCCTTTTTTTTTTCTTCCCCTTCCAAACCCCAACCCTTGCTGCATGATCAAGTGACCTACGGAGACGCCACTTTCGTAAACTCGAAACACAAGATAGACGGCTACCTACTTATTTTCTCCGCGGTGCCACTCGATTCGTTATATGTGTATGTAGGTACATTGGCCTTGCTTGGTGTATCTTGTGCTAGGTGCGTTGGGGATTGGGGATTAGGATTTCTTTGGCAAAATTGAGTCAGGGGAAATATGACGAGTAGTTTTTTTTTCTTCCCCGAGGACAATGCGATCCGCCTGTCTCCATCACCTTAGGTATTAAACTCTATAGATAGGTAGGTAGGTAGATAGTTGTATCTCATTATGCAGGCAAGTAGTTAGAGGAGTGCCCTACGTGCGCATGTTCATGCTCACTCCACCACCATACAAGAAATGCTAGAGTAACCAAAGATAGTAGACCGATTATCTTTCGACTTCACACTAGGAAACCCGGGTTCACAATAGCCACCATACGTGAACGAAGTTATCATGGTTCCTGTGGTAGAAGAAACATCATCCATAGCTATGACTAACATTGACATGAACGACTTTGACTCCTCAGCGAATGCTTTGCTTTGTACTTCCCTCTCTTTCTGTCCATCGTCATCGTCGCTGTCGTTTTCACGACATCTCCATCTCAGGCTTTCGTCGTCTCTCTATTGCTAAACTAATAGGGAAGATGATGAAGACTAGAACGGTATCTGTATCGAACTATCCATACTGACCCTTCCATCTGTGCTGACCCTCATAAGTATCGGGCACAGATATTCGTAGGATGGTCTTCGAGGCTCCTAGTCTGAACTCCACCCAATCCAACTACGCGGCATCACACGCCAGACCTTAACCTCACCACTTCTTAGGTCTTCTAGCTTGAAACTCTCCTGTTTTACTTTCTTGCTCTCACGACCTTGTTCCCAAGCCCGTAGTTTCTTCTTTGTACCATCCCACTCTGACACGATAGCCACGTGGTCCGGTTTGCCCACTTCCATTGTATACTTCGCGTGCATAGGTCCATGTTTGCCTTGGAATTTGGCGTTGCGAATACAAAGAATGTCGCCTGGTCTTATCTCATCATTCAACTGTGTTGAAGCGTTGGCCAGGTTGGCGTAAACCAAAGCACCATAAGTACGTGTACCGACTGGTAGTAGGGCATCTTTGAGGGGCTTGAGAAGCTCATGGATCAACGCCTGAGGAGTACCGTCCCCAACAACCGAGTCTTTTCTTGATGCAACCGCGCTCGAAATTGACCGACCAAATCGCTCGTAAGCCTCCTCTAGCTGGTCCTGACGAAGGGTCCGAGGGGGACCTTCGTGGCGCTGCTCAAGCTGAGCACCTGCGGGGTTTTGGCTATCGAAATGAATGGTGATAATAGTTTGCGAGTAATCTTGGAATAGGAGACAAACGACCTTAGTAACTGTTGTCCCAGAGGTCGACTCATCACATTCGGTATAAATATCCTTCCTGCCCTGGAAAACTGGAGGAATTCCGTTTGGCTGAAGCCACCATTGAGTATGAGGGGCCAGGTCGATCTCATTTGCTACGAAGCCGGTTTCCATAGATGGTCGGGATACATCGACTGATCGCCTTCCACCTGCTCGCAAGTCTAAGGATTTTCGAGCCGGGCCTCTATTAACTGGTGGCGCCGGTGGGGGCCCTCGGTTAATCGGAGGGGGCGGAGGAGGCGAATGGTAAGCTGAAATCGGTTGTGGTGTTGATGCTGCCTCATCCTGGGCAGCACCGTGAGAGATCGAAGTGGCAAGGTCTTGCGTAGCGTTGTAATTATAAGGATCATAATCTTCATCGTCAAAAGAGTACGATACCTCTTTTGGCGGTGGCGGTGGCGGAGGAACGGCACGGGGTGCATCTGTCGATGGTCTTGAGCTCGGTGCCGGTTGGCTCGGAACTGGTGGTGGACCAGTTCTTGGGGCAGCGGCGCCCGGCATCGGCGGGAGCATAGACGGGCCTTCGCCAACGGGTGAACGCATTGAGGTGCTATCGTCAAAGCTGGAATCCCGCGCATGTGCCTTGAGCGCATCCTTATGGTGGACTGAAGATCCAATATCAGTGTCGTAATCGCCTTCATACTCCGTCACTTCGCCCTCTTCGCCATTATCCAATACACCAGGCCTCATTGGGGAAAGGATTCGTTCGTCAGCAGTAGATGAGCGACTTGGGGGACCACCGGGAGGGGGAGGGGGAGGAGGACGGTTCTGGGTAAGGGGAGGAGCGGCGCCTGGAATAGGGGGCGGGGGTCGGCTGTTTCTCTTACTCGACTGCGGAGGAGGAGGCGGTGAGGTTGGCGAGGCCCCTTCTCCTATGTAGGAAGTACGCCTGTTAGGCACCCGCGGCGACGTCGGAACCGCAGGAGATCCTAACGGGACAGGGGGAGCCCGATTCGACGGAGCTTCGCTTCGAGGGGTCTCGAGAGCTCTTTGAGGATTCTCTGACAACTCATCATCGGATTCGGAGCCTTGACTAGGAGAAGTTACACCGGCAGGCGGAGGTCGAGCTGGTAAATTAGTTAGCCTTTATTCTACGGGTTGAACGGGGCCGGACTGACAATCCGCAGGCACCGGAGGTGGTGCAGGTCTCCCTCCAGGAACAGGAGGCGGGGCACCTGGAGTTTTTGGTTGAGCTACCCGTGGTGTTAATCGTCTTATAGTAGTCATAATAAGACAAAGCACACGCCTAGGTTGAAACTTACGTTCTGTGATCGAACCAGTCGGTTGGGCACTGACAACGGGTGTAGTGTCCTGCCCGCCTGGTTCCTCGTGCTCGGACTCGGCAGCTTCTTCTTCTTCTTGTTGCTGCTTCGGCATCCCCATCCCGGGTAGAGCCATCATGGTTGGTACGGGAGGGGCCGCCATTCTAGATGATGAAGGCCTCTCCGATAGCTCACTAGAGCGACGCTCAGATGGGGGTGATGCCCTAGGCTTCTTAGCACTTGCCGGGGCTCCCATGGACATCATCCCAGGCGGGCCGAACATGCCATGGAAACCCATGCCACCGCTCATCTTTGCCATCCTAGCACGAAGTTCTTCTTTTCGTCTAACTTCAGGATCAACATCCTCCTCTTCTTCTTCCGCACCTTCCTCTTCACCTTCTGGAATTTCCGGCCCAGGAACAGCGGCTCCGTGAGGACGCGACTTTTCATCGCTGTCTTCCCTTTCGGTGATATCTTCCTGTCCCTCCGTTGTATCCCCGGCGCCTGACATGTCCGCCTCATTGCCGTCATTTTCTGCAGGTGCTGTGGTAGATTTCCGTCGAACGGATAACGATTGTCTTGGAGGTCTAGGCTCATCAACGGACTTCTTACTGGCAACCTCGGCCGTATCTTGCTTCTCCAAAGGAGCCGGGACATCTATTGCTTCCTCAACAGGAGCGGTGGTAACAGGGGTGGTGGCAACAGGGGCGACTGCAGATTCCTCGCTTTCGAAACGCTTCTTGGGGGGACGCTTAGGCTTCTCCTTCTTGGCAACAGCATCGGCATGCCGCTGGGCTGCTTCGGCCTGTTGTTTCTGGAGCAAAGCAATTCGTTCCTTTAAGCTAGTTGGCTTAGGTTGATCTTCCGCTTGGCCTTCCGCGGCACTTGTAGGGACAAGACCGGCTTTCTCAGCGTTCTCCAGAGCTTCCGCCTCTTTAGCTTTTATCTCGGGATCTTCGTCTCGTCGGTAGACCTTCGCAGTAGGTACATCGCGAGGTGGAGGAACGTAAGCATTCCTGCTCGGCGGGGGAGCAACGAATGGCTTCTTGATGAAGCCGGAACTACCGGAGCTTAGTTTGCCAGGCTTGAAAGGCGCAACGGGCGGGGCCGCTGGCTTGTTGAAGGCAGCGATACGATCCTTGAACGAGTTACTGGCGGGCTTTTCAGATACCGGGGGAGGACCGGTCCGAGCCGGAGCTGGAGCTGGGGCCGGGGCCGGGGCTGGGGCTCTTGGTGCCGGCCGAGCAGTAAAAGGCGGACTTGTTGGCTCAGGCATCTTAGCTTCGACAGGGACGGGAGCCGGGATGGGAGACGGCTCTGGCGGTTTAGCCACAGGAGCAACAGGAGCTGGAGGAGAACGGGGTGCAGGAGGCGGAATGGTAGGTGAAGCAATATGTGGTTCGTCATGAGCCACGTTTGATGGTACATCCACAAACTGTTCCACAGAGGGGGGTTCTGATGGAGCAATAGGCGGTGGCGGAGGAGGTGAAGAAGCAGTGGGTTCAGCCTCCTTCCTCCGATTTCTCGTTGGGCGCGGCGGGGCAGTCGGTTCGTATTTCTCTACGAAGTTTCGTGGAAATATCCCCTCTCGCTTCACACCCAGGTCATCGACATATTCACCACCGTACCAGTCATCATCTTCCTCGTCAGTGACTGTAATGATCTGACCGATGCCGAAAGGTAAGTCGTCCTCGTGGCCAGAGGTGTACTCGTAGACGGCCTTTACTTTGAATGGCACGGCCGCCATGGTGCATCGGCGTCGTAAGCTGGAGCCGTTTAGTGTGGAAGTTGGGTCTTGGTCTTTTGAATTTCGATGCACAATTGGCGGGTTGGCGGGGTCGTGGATTGCAAACGAGATGATTGCGACAGTATGATGTGCAAACTGTTTCTTGGGGTTCTAGCTGTTGTCGGTGCTGCTGACGCTCACGATGGAACAGACGTTCTAACTCGAGTCGTTAAAACAATCCAAAGGGTGATGTATCACAACTAGTCAAATTAGGTAGAGGGGGAAACGCATGAGGCTGAGCATTCGCAGACTAGCCTGTCACAGCTCGCGGCTGGAGTAAGTCGACGTCAGCGCATGAACTTGTACCCTATATCCTTTTTTAACAAGACCTAGCAGACGAGATGTAACCCACCGCAGAAGCCCTGGAGCCAAGCTTGGCTAAGTCGACTGACGTGCGTGCCTCAGGTTGGGTCAAGTGCATTTACCTAGGTCTCGACGAATCGTACGTATCGTATCTATCGAATAGTCTGTATGTATTTTCGACGTTCCAATGTTGATCTTGTTGACCCTCAAATATTGCTTGAATTAATTACTACGTAGTGTAGTGAAAACCAATTTAATCGACGGACACAGACACAGACACAAAAAAAAGGAGAGGGTCAGACTGGAACGTGAGGGAAAGGATAGGACGGCAATAGGATGGTAATGCAATGCAATGGATGTTTTAATGTTCTGGTGCAGTTTCTGGTGCATTTCAGGTGCAGGGTTTCGCTGATTTTGGCCAAGCTTGGCTTTGATTGAACCTTGCGAACCTTCCGAACGTCCCTTCTAACATTGTTGCCTGCCTGCCACCCTATCTTTCCTTGAACGTTAAGACGCACGGGCCAATGACGATACCAAATGCACCACATGCACCTCAATCTGCTCTATCCGTCTTAGCACCGTCTAGTGGCTTGGAATTATCACGTGCATTGTGAGGTTTTTTTCTCCCTTCCCACCAGCGCTGCGGGGAACATGGCAATATAGAATTAAGCGCTTCAGGTTAGACGTATAGGCTGTTGTAAAGCCAATTTTCGCATAGTCTCCTATAAGGAGAGATTTGTCTTGGTGGCTCAGTTGGCTAGAGCGTTGGTCTCATAATATGAAGCACTCCCAGAGTGAGCTATCCAAAGGTCGTGAGTTCGAGCCTCACCCAGGACATAATACTGGAAGACTTTCACTTTTTTCCTATTATTTCTTTTTAAGTACTTTGTCAGATTCGTTGTATCAATTAGTTATGATATCCTTTTTTGTGAAATATGTATTTGAAGGATGTCACAGGGCAATTAGGTAATCCATCCTGTTAAGGATTAGCCCTTTTAGCTCAGTTGAAGCGCAAAAGAGCGAGCTCGCTATTCCGTGGGAGCAACGCTCCCGTTTGATAGATCATAACGTTCACTAGCTATACTAGAGAACTGGCACCTATAGACTATGTGAAAAAGTGCATTATGGTACTACCTATACTGACGAAACGTTGTTGTTGGTGTCATATTTCTGACCTTAAAGAGCTGCTTCTGTATGACAAGCTTCTTAGGCTCATATTACAATTATAAGAATGAGGCCCGAGTAGTTTAACTAATTACTAGGAATTAACAGATACTTAAAACACTGATTGTTTAGTGGCATTTACATTCCCGTGAGATCCTGTCGTATGGGGTCTTTCGACAACCTACAATAGTATCTCAACAAGCCTCGTGGCAGAAGCCGTTCGGTGAATCAGGTACCATAGCACATTCGTCGCTTTTGGTCAGGTTCGGCTCAGCCTACTACCAATCATGTACCTAGAAGCATTGTACACTAGAGATTCCACCGTTCAACACTTGCGGCGGCAGTCGTCAAATGATGATATTATCTTGTTCGGGCCGCTATCAGGAGCTTTGGGAGGTAGATTAGATTTTGACATTTTTAAATATGCATTGAGCTTGCTGGTAGTTTTCGTTCTTTGTTGAATGTTACTCTAGGCTAAGATGCCCAATTCCGCTTGCGCCTCGCTGGTGACCTGGTCATCGGCTTCTACCAGGGAAATGAGTACTTCGCTCTCGCTAAATTACCAATCGAAGCGCTCATTCATGATAGACCCTAGTTCAAGCCTAATATTACTATAGGGACTGTTCTCGAGGACACGACTAAACCATATGGAGTTGTCACATTTTCTTTTCCTCGGCCTAAAGAACAGGGCTCTCTTAGGGTACACCTGATACTCGTCAGCTTCACTAAAATTGGCGGATGTTGTTCTGTCGTCCGCCGTCTGATTGCCCCTTTTGGGAACTTCTAGGGCAATATTCACTCGTGATTGGTTAGGAAAAGAGGCGCTAGAAGACCTTCAGCAAAACGACGTTTGCGCAACCGTTTTCATTACTAGGTACCTATCCAAAGTCATGAGTACCTTGAGTTTATGAAGGGATATTGTGTTGAAAGTAGGGTGCAGTATTTTGGAATATGGCTTTGTATGTAGGACGTGTAATGGCCTCTGTATGAGGGACAGAACGGAGCCAGAAATATTGCATTATAAAGAAAACTATCCGCTTCCTCACCTCCTTTTTCTTCACTCCCCTCTTCTTCACTATCATCACTCCCTTCATCAAAGGTATTTCCGATACCAAGGTATAAAACATTAGAGCTTGCCCGGCATATTGTAGTATCCACGACCACCACAACAGCTGCCGTATTCGGCTTCTCTTCCCCTACTTCCTCCTCTATGCCGTGTTCCATCATTGAGGACCCGAAATGTTATCGCTATCCTGCCTGAGGTGATCCACGAAACCTATCAACTGGTTTCTTTTGACGTATTTACCTCTTGTTCCCCAATATCTGTTCCCGAGTTCTACTTTCTTATCTACCCCTATTCCTCTTGTAGCTTTATAACGGTACGATAGATTTACTACCGAGTTGAGGTAGGTCCACCATATATAACGGGCGCGAGAGCGAAAGTTCGTCCGGAATTGGAGTCGTCGCCCGTCAAGGTCTTTAACATGTTGTCGCCTCACACGCAAATCGGTGACGGGGTCCTCATTCGTATCAGGCTCCGGATGAACATCTGTACAATCGCAATATACCCAAGCTCTAGCGCCTTCTCGATGTCGAGACGCAGAAAGAGTCCATTCGCGGTCGTTATTATCTCTGCCTTAGTTCTATCTCCAAAAATTATATCTATACCTATGCTCGATTGATTTCGCAGGGTATAGATGTGTAGTATATGTCTATTTGCTGCAAAGCCAGGCCCTGCGAATTAGTTCCCAGACGCAGTCCGGCATCTCTTCTTAAAATTCCTTTTCATGGTATTTTTCTGGTATCTTGGCGCATATTCTGCTTTGTGCCTGGTTGTCTCTTAGGCCAGAAGAAGCTGTACCTAAGCTAAACCTACTAGCCGCGCCGAAAAAAAGCTTAATCTAGGTATGACTTAAGTAATGGGTGTTGCTTGGCAATGCGAGCCGCCTGAGACTTCGCGGCAGATAGCTTTAGGTTTATAGCGCTTCGTTTTCTTCCTAGCTCTAGGCCCATGTCCACTGAGCGTAGCCATTCATTGTAAGTAAGACGTGAATCTGACCCCTCTGCCTGTTCTCTGAATGCCATGATACTAGTGCCTTTATGGAGTTCCTTCTCCATCTTGAGAACTTCTAGATGAGACGACCAGTGGCCGGAATTGAAGGAATAGTCATTAATCTTCTGACTCGTTCGTCGTATAGTTCCTTTGAGCTCGTCATTCTCCTCGACTAATTTCCGTACCTTGTCATCAACGCTTAATATTTCGCCTTCCATGGATGTAACATCCTGCTCAATGCCGAACAATTGCCAACCCAACTCTTCATCCACTTGGGTTTTATGCTTGTGGTCAGCGTCTTCGAAGGCTCTTTCTTGTTTTTCCAATGGGGTGATTTAAGCCCAATCTCTCAGTACCTAATTTATCGGTGATGATGGCCTCTAGAGCCCGTTTGCTCATGTGAGTAAGAATGCGTGTTGTATTAGGAAGAATAAAGCACAAAGAGCTTATGTCGTGCGGATGTACCCCTCATAGTGCCCATCGCACTTTCCTTAGATGTAGAATCCATCTATGATATGGGTCCGGCTGGACCTGAGAATCTAGGCGACATAGGTGGGATTTCTTGAGAATCCATCGTTCTTTACCTGGCACTTGTCGTCAATCAGGAATTAAGAGGCCAAATATCTAGCCATCCATAATCTGATCGACTGAGAGCACCGTTGGTAGGCCATAGCTTGCTGGGGAAACTGGCATGAAGTAATAATGAATGTGAAATCATGTATCATTCATGCTCTTGGATACTTTATATTCTGGGTTTGCCTCGTAATCGCTGGTTGCTGACAACTGACATTGAGACATTGGAAACAGGATTAGGAGAGGATAGAATGTTGTATCGTTCAGGTTTTCTTAGACTTGAAGCAGTCGAGAAACGTTCTTATATACCCTTCACAGTGCTGGTCACACCTTCTATTAATGTACTATAAAATGCTCAAAATCCGCTCTTATACAAGGTTGCCATTACATAAGTGTGAGCTGTTTTTAATTAGGTAAGTGAGGTTGTGCTCCGGCTCGAAAACGGCAGCGCTCACCTGGGCAGGTACTTACGTATTGACAAAGAACCAGAAGCTACCTATACCCAATTGGGTTAAGCGCATTACCTTAACATCGGGCTACGTAATGGCTCCAACACCTCCAAAAGAAATTCAGATCGGGGATAGAAGCTTCTATAATTCTCACTCACTGTGTCACGACTCACTTCACGCTTCACCCTCAACCGTTCACCGCCAACGCAACCCAAAAAGTCCGATCGTAAGCAATCGACATCGCAAACCGTCAACCACCAGTACCAATCGCGTGCGCAAAAATGTCTTCGCCCGCACCGGGGGCCACGCAGGCCACACAGGCCAAAAAGCCCAAGGGCATCCTCAAGAAGCCCTCCGCAACCGCCACTCCCCGAGCTCCCCGAGCTCCCACGACACCCGCTCCCGAGCTCGCCGAAATTCCCGTAACGCCCTTCCCAATATCCGAGCACCAACAGCGCACCGACAAGAAGCCCACGGCACGAGAACTCGCCATCCAGCAAGCCCTGCTCATCCAAGCGCAGCGGGACCGCGAAGACCAAATCCAAGACTCCATCATCGAGCTCGCGCGGTTGCCATTGTGCACCTCCTCTTCCCCATCCTCCACCACCACCACCTCCCCCTCCCCCCAAACCCCAAAAACAACCTACACAGCCTCCAACCCCTCGCCCAGCGACGCATCCCAATTCCTCACAGCCGTGCGCCTCTTCCAACCAAGCGAATACGAAGACCTAATCATCGAGCGCAACGCGCTGAACAAGTGCGGGTACTGCCTGTGCCCGCGCCCCCGCACGCGGCTCTCGGGCGGCGGCGCCTACAAGCTCCTCAACTACGGGCGGCCCGACTTCAGCATCGTGCCGCGCGCCGAGCTCGAGCGCTGGTGCTCGCGCCAGTGCGCCCGCCGCGCCATGTACGTCAAGGTCCAGCTCGTCGAGACCGCCGCCGCCGAGCGCGCCGGCGTCGAGTCCATTCGCATCGAGTTGCTTGAGGAGGAGGAGGAAGAGGAAGGGAAGAAGGAGGCTACGTCCAACTCTACTACCAAAGCGAAGGCTAAACCCGGAGCCGAGGAGGACGTCTTGAAGGAGGAGGATGGTGGGGAAGATCCTGCGCGACGGGTAGCGAAAGAGCTGCGGGATTTGGAAGCTAAGGAAAGGAAGGCGGCGCGGGATGCGAAGGAATTGGCGCGAGAACGAGGCGATAAGACGAACTTACCCTCTACTGGGAAGCAGGTAACGGTTACGATTAGGGAAAAGAAGGTGATTATGGCGGCGCAGGAGCCTTCCTTGGATACGGATGGCGAGGGTCATTTGGTTCTTGATGGGTATAAGACCAAGTTCGACCCCAAGGCCGAGCCTGATGAGAGATGATTACAGGCTATAAGATACAGTTGTCACCATTTCAAGGCTGACATAATGCATACATGAGGCGTTCTGGTTAGCATCATCGATACCCGCAGGAAAGACAACAATTTTGTAGTCTTCAAAACCAAAATGATATATTTTTAAGGCTACTTCGTTGGCTAGAATTACGTCTATCCTTTGTCTACGCTTACCGTTTTGTTGTAGAGAAACTACAGGGTCAGAACCTAGGTTTAGTAAATCCAAATCAAAAGCAAGTCACAAGTGAACGGGAGAGGATAAAAGTTGGCCATCAACCGTCATCTCCGGTTTGCACCGGAGAATCGGGGACACCTTGTGTGGGAAAGATCTCGTCAATTGCGGATCTAGAATGGACCTACTATCTTCGTAGTAGAGACGCCGTAAGCCGTAAAGCCATATGATACCGATGCCAGTTGCCCAAATCAACCACCATACCCATCCTCATTCATGAACCCATCACGTTTGTCGCACTGATTTATCGGGGGGCGCGGTCACCGAATCGTCGAGGTCGCTCGGCGACCTGGGTCTGGGTAACGGGGACGACGTTGACAGGGACGTTCTCGAACTATATCATAATTATTGTAAGTAACCAACCACCGCAAGAGTAATAGTAAAATGCGAGGGTTGGAAAAACGTACGCCAAGGTGCTTGAGCAGGTCCTTAGTCTCGACATCGATGTCGAGCTGGCCGGCCTCGGTGTTCTGGGTAAAGTCGAGAGCGGAAACCTCGGGGACGTATTGATCCTTGCGTTCACGCTCCTCTTCTTGCAGCTTAAAGGAGATACCACGGACGGGTCCTCGCTGAATTCGCTTCATCAAGTGCGTAGTGTAGCCGGCAATCTGAACATGTCCAAAATTAGCTACCAAGTCTATTTCATTTCAATTCGACAACCCCCGATCGCGAGATGAGTCGATTTTAGGGAGCGTTTGAGGATTGCTGACCTTGTTGCGAAGGCGCTTGGAGGCGATGATGGCGATCTCATCGCAGACTCGCTTGTTGGTCTCGAAGTCGAGAGTGAGCTTGGGGTAATATCGCTCAATGATGACCTTGGCGGACTTCTTGACAGTCTTCGTACGAACGCGACCCATTTTGGCGGTATTGGCTGTGGGTTAGTCGGATGGTGTTTGGTGTTGAAGGAAGTCCGAAAATTGTCGACGAAGTTGCTATTGGGAATGTTTGGAAAAGAATTATTGGGAGTGTGCAAAATCTATGTGGGGAGACGTCGGTAAAATTCAAAGTGGGGACTAGGGCAGAAAAAAAGGTACATAGGTACATAGGTAGGTGTGCAGATGCTCTAGGTTAATATTGCATTAAATGATACACCGCATATAACGATAACATTAATAAAACCGATATATTCTAATACGAAAGATATATCAAAGTAAAAGGGGTAGAACATATGGATACTTTTGCTTTGGTATTGAACTCGTTTTACAAGGTTCATTCTATAAAATTCGCATCATACTAGAGACCAAGAACTGTCAAAAATGCATAGTTTGGAAACCGTTACGTGTAGGTCACATAGCAACAGAGCGAACCTCTGAATCAGTAGATAGGTATATACAGAAATCCTACCAGGCATAGAGTTTACACCATATATTACATGATGCCCCTCGATCTCATCCCCTTTTCAAAGAAAGCATCTAAGCGAGTTTGGTTACGTAGGTAGTCTTTAATTTTAAAAGAGGTTGTATTTCAAACCATAGTTACTCGCGCTGCTCTGGACCCGTCTACCGATGCCGGGGCCGTGCGACCCAAACCCGCTCGATCCAAATCTAGGGTTGAGAGGGATCTGGGACCTCTGCTGCGCCCTCTCTCTAGCATTCACTAGATGCTGTAGCACGCTTTCCCCTTCCGCCAGCTCGCCCGCCAGTTCTTTCTGGACCACCTCAGCCTCCGAAGCCGGCTCGTCGATGTTAATGATGATCTTGCCGGAGGAATCGACGGTAGCCGAGGAAGGTTCCACGTAGAGCTTCGCCCCGCCGCGCTTCTCGAAGTCGAAACCGTAGAGTGCCCTCTGGAACCTGGTGGCGGCCCTGGCCTTCACCGCGTTAAACGACGTGTCCGAATTAGACGTGTTGGCGACGAAGCCGCCTATACCGATGATAGGTTTGTAATTTTGCGTGTTGAGATTCGTGGGTTTTAAGACGCGCGCCTTGATGGGAGCGTGATGCTTCTGAGGTCCGTAGAGCGCGTGGTTCTCCAAGAAATTCCGCGTGCGCAGATAGGAAATGCCGGCAGAGGGGTGCGTGATAGGGGGGCCGCTTACTCCGTACGGACTGCCATTCTCAAACTCCTTTGCTGTTCCTGGCATAAACTTGCCAAGGAGACGGAGATAAACGTTAACGTCGACCGGGGCAAGATCCAAGAACTGGCTGACGAGGTTGTAAAGGGTCATACGTTCCGTTCTTAGCACCCTCAAATATCCGTTTAATCTCTCTTCCGTGATTTCATCGGCGGTTACTTTGGGTGGCTCTGGCTCCTCCGCTTTCGCAGCCGCCCTCGCTCGATCCGCCGTCATCTCGGCGGCGAGGTTTTCCTTCAGGAAAGCGCGAAATTCTATACGACGTCCTCGCACCGACTTCTCCAGAAACCTGCTGAAGTCGCCGTCCGTCATACCGGCGAGCCACGGTCCCGTGAATTTCCATCTCTTGTTCACCAGCTTCTTCTTTTTGGCGTCGTCTAGCGCAGTAACGTCGGAATCTTCCTCGAACACTGACTTCATATATCTGTGGGTGTGCACAGCTGGTATAGAGACCGGTAGGGCCATTTCCTGGAATTTCCGCAGAGTAATAGCATGATCCGAAGCGGATTCGAAGTCCGTGACCTGCTCGGTAGAATCTACCTTCTTTATTCGTACGAGGGGGAAGGTGGTACTTGTCGTAGTCTTCAAGGGAAATGGCCGCTTGAAACCCCAATCGCCGGTCAACCGGGAAGAGGAAGTGGTCGTGACGGTGAGATGTGTCGGGAAATTGATGGTGGCGGTTGGCGAGTAATGTTTGGTTGCTGCAGAATAATCGCCGGGAGGAGGCGGTATTGGAGGCGGCATCGAGAACATCCTCGACGACCTCAGGAGCGCCGCCCCCGGCGAAACACTCTTGGTGGCCATCGTGCGGAGTTATGAGCTCTGTCGCGAGCCCAATGGTGTATCGATGGTGACCTAGGTAATTAGATCATTAGCTCGGCCAGCTTTCGCATTGAGGATTTTTCGAACGAAAGCCGCACCGGCGCACCGCGAAAAGACCCGGTAAATCATCGGCGGCATTAAATTCCTTATCGATTAGCTGCGGAGTTGCGGTACGTACCTATAAGCGCTAGCGTTCCTTCCGGTCCTACAGGATCCCAACCTTAAGGAAATAAATAGGGGCCGTACCGCACCTGCAGGGGCTCAGGGGTGGTTAAAAGGGCTCCACCAGCTGAGCCTCGGCCGGCCGCAACCTAAAGAAAGCGAAGTTGATACTTACTAGTATCAACTTCCCAAACTAAACACCGGAAACCGGCTTCGACGCCTATAATACCTCAGGTAACTCTTACCATATTACGGGATATCTCGTCTTCTCGGCGAGTAAAAGAGAAAAAAAAAAAGAAACAAGACGGAAAAAGAGAAGAAAACCATGGAGGTAATCGACCCGGCCACCGGCCGCCCGCTCCCGTCCGACGCCATCCAGAGGGTGCTCTTCGTGGCGAACTCGGTGCACGTCTACAATATCCCGCCGATGACGCCCGGCAAGGGCCACGTCGCCGCCAGCTGGACGGCCGACGACGGGAAGCGGCAGATCTTCACCGCGCGGGTGCGCGTGATCGAGACCGCCGTGCCCACCTCTTCGTCCGAGGGTAGCGACGGCGAGGAGAGAGTGAAGACGGACATCGCGCTCGAGGACGCCAGCAACGGCAGCCTATTCGCCGCGGCTCCGTACACGGCGCCCGCCGTGGTCGAGCCCGTGTCCGACAGCTCGCGCTTCTTCGCGCTGCGCGTGCAGGACGAGGCCGGCCGGAAGGCGACGCTGGGCATCGGCTTCGAGGAGCGGAGCGAGGCCTTCGACTTCGGCGTGTCGCTGCAGGAAGCCCAGAAGACGCTGGGCTGGGCCGCGGGGGGCGGCGTCGGCGGCGCCGCCGGCAAGAAGCCCGCCGCCGTCGAGAGGAAGGACAGCGCCGAGAAGCGCGATCTCAGCTTGAAGGAAGGCGAGACGATCACGATTAACCTGCCCGGCAGGTTCGGCAGGCGGAAGCCGGAGCCGCCTCCGAAGTCCGCTAACGACGATGCTCTTTCGTCCTTCTCGCTGCCTCCGCCTCCGCCGGGTAATTCGGGTATACTTCCGCCGCCGCCAAGCGCGACGAGTGTACGAGCGAAACGATTGTCTGCGCAGAAATTGGGTTTTGATGATGGGAAATTTGGGGAATTTGCTTGAGTTATTACTAGTCTAGATTCTAGTCTAGATTGTTCCTAGCTACGATTCATTATCGCCATAGACTATGTTGGAGGCATGTTCTGGGTAGCGCCGCTGCCTTACCCTCAGGACCAAATGAATTGATATTCTGCACACTCTGACTAAGAAACACGAACGCCTTCCTAGAATCTCATTGTTCCTCCATCACCTCCGTTGTAAGGGGTCACTGATAGCTCAAATTACGTTTAATTATTTCCATTTCCCTCACTTTGCCCACTCCATGTGCGACTTAGCGAAGGCATACTACTCCGATGTGTAGGTCTTGATTCCGAGAATGTCACCAAGGATTGCGACCGTCTGCGAGACTCGCTACCCGGACTGTGGTCGATAGCTGTGTCATCCAATTCGTGCGCTTCAGGCCCAAAGTCATTATCAGACGGATTCTGCCCGTGTGTTGGAGTTTCGTGGTCCTCGTTATGACTAGAATAAATACCTCCAGCAGAAATTGGCCTCTGGTAATATATTCCAGGTGATCCGGTGTGCACATAGTACGGGTAGTTGGGGGCCGGCAACTCAGGAGGCAATGGATACGTTTGGGGACCCCAAGGCGTTAGCGAAGGCATAGGGGGGTTTGCATATGCAGGGGCATGCTGCGCTGTGATATTCAACCTCTCTCTTTCCCTCTCGACCCTTGACCATCTCTCGCGGCATTGGATTTCAACGTGCAACTCACTTAACCTTGCTAGTATCTTCTTTTCTTCCTCGACGGTGTCCACAATACGATGTCTCAACCAACCACGATGTTTCTTAGCTTGCTTCTGTTCCTGCGGATCCCTGGCCTGGTAGATCTTCTCCTCGACAACGGGCACTTTCATAAACAGGTCGATAGCTCGTCTATCGTGCTGCTGAAGCATCTCAAGGAGGTACATCCTTTCAGTGTGAAGCTCGTTAAATGATCGTGGCTGCAATCCCAACTGTAGTGCACTAACTGATTGCCAAGGGTCACCGCGGACTTGGGTCATCGGTTCTGGAATTGCCATTGCTTCGAATGTGCCGTTCTGAGGCCCCTGAGCAAAATGGGGAGGAGCATTCTGTGGATTATGAGGCATGATGGAATAATAACTTCTAAGTAAATGTTATGAGTTTTTCTATGTTATGTAGGTATGATATTCGACGATTGTGGGAGATGTAGGCTCATATATCTATATAACGACCTCGTAATGAACTCTATAAGACAAAGGAATCCTAATGCTCAAGACTTTCTAGGAACGAACGGCTTCTGGGGTGTTCTAACCTTACAATAATCGTATCTGTGTAAGGCAATGTATAGGCTTGGGAGTAGCTAGTCGCTTCTGCGTAGGTGCATATTGCAAATGCAATGAGAACATATTCTGTTTGTATTAGTCCTATATTGGTGTTAACAAAAGGGATTGACTCGAATAACTTGGAATGCCTTACATATTTGACTTTTTCTAAAATAAGTAGACGCGAGACCATGGTAGAAAGTTGTGTCAAGTCGCTTCTAGAAAAATGTATCCTCTAGCTTATAAATGGATTGTCCTTAGGACGCCCTTTTGTTATATGGAACCCGTCGTCTAAAAGATATATTCTAAGTTTGAAATTGGCCTAAAATATAGTAGAGTCCCATGAAGTCTCGGACAGAGGCCTCATATAGCAAACCCGTCGTGTCTTGGAGGATCGCAAAAGCGCCACTGTGATATTAAGATTAGCTATTGCGAACCTTGAAATTCATGATACGGTTTAAAAGCATCTTAAAAGAAAAGCACTTACTAAACCCACCGCCTCCGCGGCCTTCCTCACCGCAGAGACCTCATCCTTCGTAACAGGTCGATTGATATCCGCGTACCTTACCTCCTCCTGGTCTCCCTGTTCGGCCGTTTCCTTCTTAGTCCTTCTCTTTGGTTTCCCAACGTGAGCATCAGGCCTATATTGCTCCATAATATTAACAAAGATGTCCCTCGACACCTTTTCCGCCAGGAACTTCATGATCTCCTCGGCTTCCGCCTCCTTCCCCGGCATGACCAAGTGCCTCACCAACACCCCCTTTTTCGCTATACCGTCGCCGGTGAAACACAGATCTCCGACCTGCGCATGCATAGCCTTGACGCTCTCGGCAGCGGTCGAAGCATAGTCCTCGGCCTTCAGCAGGCGCTGCGAGGTAGCCTTATTCCAGACCTTGAAGTCGGGGAGGTAAATATCAACCAACCCATCCATAAGCTCTAGCGACGCGAGCGAGTCGAATGCAGACGTATTATACACGATCGGCACCTTTAACCCTAAGTCGCGCGCGGCTAGGATAGATAAGGCGACCTGCGGCACCACGTGCTCAGGTGTGATGAGATTGATGTTGTGGACGTTGCCTACTTCTTGCAACTTGATGTACCACTGCGCGAGTTCCTCGGGCGTCAGGTCGAACCCGTTCCTCTGATGCGCGATGTCGTGGTTTTGACAAAACGTGCATCTCAGATTACACCCAGAGAAGAAGACGGAGCCGCTGCCGTTGTGGCCTTGTATACAGGGTTCTTTACCTCATCTTAGCCCGAATCTACATAAATGTCTTGGGTAGGTAAGTAAGGGATATATTTCACTCACCCTCCCCGAAATGCGGCGCGATCACATTGACCTTGACATTATGTCCGATCAGACACATGCCCGTCGTCTCATAACGGTTCACACCGCAAAGGCGCGGGCACAAGTTGCAGTTCCGCAAGTGCGCGTAGGCGAGGGAGCGCTTCTTGGAGGCCTCGACCTCGGACAGCAGCTGGTACCTTGGGATGTAATCGTCCAACAGGAACGGAGGCGCGAGATGAAGCGAGCGACGACCATCGCCGGGTCTTCGCCTTTGCACAATATTTGTAAGCCGCTGTAGGGTTGCGCGAGAGCCGACCCGTACCCTGCTACCTCTACTTGATAACATCGTGGGGCGTAGATCGCATGATTATGGCTTAGTCTCTTATGTACGGAGCGTATAACGATGGAAGGTGAATGTTTGAATATGTAAGCTACGTAAGCAAAGAGCCGGAATGTCGATGACGAAAATTGGCCGTATGGATCTCGGGCCGCCGGCTTGCGGGGCACTTTGGGAGATAAATCGGCCGCAATCATCCAGCGAGACCTACAAAAGCCGGCTTGGCACCCATCTTATATCAACATTCTTCACTCACACTTCTCATAGTTAGTAACTGTAATATTTCTGATTCGAATAGGTATGCGTATGGAGATTTCTTTCTTTCTTTTTTAATTACTCATTCTCATCTCGCTGATTTGGTGTGGTTGACTTGAATAGACTCACTAATATCTTTAGCCTACAACTTGTCCTTAGTAATCACCGCTTAACTCACCTATCGTTGAAGGGCTGATAAATATGGCTCCTCAAATACTATGGATTGGTCTGGGGAACATGGGAAGAGTGAGTTTGGGACACCACAGCTCCGACATATTGTCTACTAACCCCTTCCTAAGGGAATGGTGAAGAACTTGGTGGAAAAAGGCGACCTGGACAAGCCCGTGCTCTTATACAACCGGACTAGAAAGCGTGCCGAAGAGCTAGCAGCCAAACTTCCCGCGGGAAAGACAAAGGTTGTCGACTCTGTCGAAGAAGGTGTCAAGAGGGCCGACATCATCTTCAACATCCTTTCTAATGACGCCGTGGTGAAGGGAACTTTCGACACCATTCTCAAAGGGGATGTTGCAGGCAAGCTGTTTATTGAGTGCTCTACGATCGCCCCGGAGACTACGGAAGAAATTGCCAAGTCAACAATAGAGAAAGGGGCTGAGTTTATTGCGAGTCCCATCTTTGGCGCACCACCCGCGGCCGAAGCAGGCCAACTGATGTAAGTGGCTTAGTTCTCGGTTACGAGCCGATGAATATGTGATTACTAATAGTAGAAACACAGTTTCGTTCCGGCAGGGCCCAAATCGAGCATCGATAAACTACGACCCTACATTAAGGGTGTGATGGGCAAAGCCGAGATCGCCTTCGACGATAAACCAGTAGGGACGTCGTTGAAACTGAAACTTCTCGGCAACAGCTTCATCATCAACATGATAACGCAACTAGGCGAGGGGTTCGCAGTAGCGGACAAAACCGACATAGGCCCGGACGCTCTCAAGCAATTCCTAGACCTGATGTTCGGCGGCGTGCACAGCCTGTACGCGCAGCGCATGACCCAAGGCACGTACTGGAAGATGGCGGAGCCGCTCTTCTCAGCCGACAACGCGCGCAAGGACGTCGGTCATGCCATGAAAATGGCCAAAAATGCTGGTGCCGAGCTTAAGCTGACGAAGGTCGCGGATGACTATTTGAAGAGCGTTGCCGACTATGCTGGTGGTGATAAGGGCGACGTCGCGGGAATATACGGTGCCGCGAGGAGGAATGCCGGGTTGGAGTATGAGAACGATGCTTAGCTTTTCACATATCGCTCAACATACCCAGTTTATCAGATCATGTATAAGATGACCAAGGACAATTCGTAAATCCTGAACTCATTGCAAAGAATATGATAGGTGACTTTATTGAAGATGGAAACTTAGTGAACTCAAACTCATCTCACTTCAAACGGACCCAACGAAATAGAAAGGATACGTACCCCTGAAAAGATGACTAATCATAAATTAGCGTTTCCGATTGGAACCTCCAATGAGGAAGTGTCGGCCAGGCAAGCTCCAATCCGGGACCTTCCTAGCTTCTAAACGCATTTCATACTTCATCTTCACAAGCTATTAACACATCATCCTGAAGACTAGACATACCCTGCTTTACAACATGGCAAAGGGGTTCGTATACCTATATCAATTATCGTCGTTTCGAGACGTTCCGCTGACCTTTCCCATAGTTACAGCGTCTTCGTCGGCCTCGCCATCGTGGCCGCCTTGTGCGTCGCCGCGTGGTTCTTTTCGCCGAAGGGCGAGAACCAGACGTGGGTTTATCTTCCTCTGCAATGCCCTAGATGTCCATTACTGACTACGGGAAAAACAAAAGAACGTGGCGCTCCTCCCTCATCCTCGCTTTCATCAGCTGCTACCTCATGTGGTTCATCACCTTCATGGCGCAGCTGCACCCGCTAATCGAGCCGAGACGATCCAACATACGTGAGGGTTTCCAGCACGAATGAGACTCCTGTTCTATCACATTTCCCACGAGACGAACCTGCGTGAGGACGTATCCCGATGGGCGTAGGAACTATCGAGCGTATAAGAAATAGAAAGACGGATAACGGGACATAAGACAAGTTACTAGCATCCAGCCTAAACGTGACAAAAGGAAGAATGGAAGAATAGGCACAATACTTGCTACGGAACGGAGGGGAGAGGAGAGTGACCGAGGTGAAAGTGGACTTGTACAAACATCACTACCATTGTTTACATTGGTTTCGGCGTTCTGGAAGATGGGAGGCCACCAATACTCAGCAGCTGAGCAGGCCATGCGGCTAGAGAGTTGTATTTTTGCGTGTGTGCGCGCGCGCGTGTATCCGGGAATATTAGGAGACATAATAAACGAACATTTCGAACATGTTGTCCTGTTTCATTTCTTCATTACGCTTTCTCTCTCTATTTCGCTTCATGACCATTAATCCATTAATCTAATCTATCAAACCCGCAGCAAAGCAAAACCAAAGCAACCCGCGTCAACCGAACCCTCACCCAACAGCCAACCTCCCAGCCCACTCCCTAACATACACAAGCGCCGCCCACAACGCCCTACCATTCGCCGCGACGCCGCTCTCGCCCGCAGAATCGACGCCCTCCAACCCAACAACCCACAGCACGGCCCGTCCGACCAACCACCTGGCCACTGCTCCGGCAGCCGCCAAGATAACGGCGACGCTGTACCCGCAGTCCAGCAGGATCTTCAGCGCCTCGACGTTGTTGGCCACGACGGCCCAGCCGAGGCTGCGCGCCGCCGCCGGCACGTCGTAGTCCCAGATGACCATGAGGATGGGGAACAGCTTCGTGGATGAGGACACGAGGAGCGCCGTCGAGACGGAGTTGGGCCGCACGTACGTCGGCAGCAGCCCGAGGAAGTTTAAGGGGGAGAGGGGGGACGAGGTTAGGAAGCGGATGCTCATGTGGAAGGCGAAGGTCGAGAAGGTGCAGAGGATTACTGGGGGTTGAGGCGTGTGTGGTTAGTTGGGCGATGGCTTGATAGATGTGGTGTTGGAAAGGGAATAGAAAACTTACGGAAGAACAAGTACTGGCATACGATGGGCTGCCGTGCTAGAGTCCCCAGGTTACTCCCACCCACGGGCGAGCCCGGGTCAGGCGCGGCTTGCTTCTCGATACGCGCCCATGTTAGATAGACATCGAACAGTAACAGTAGCGTTCCCAAGCGTATAATAGATGGCTATATCAACCGCAACTCATTAGCACTACATCCCCCATTATCCATTATCCATTATCCAACAAACCCATCCAAACCAAACCGTAACCGTAATTGTAACCTTTCCCAAACGTAGGGGCCAGGGAGAAGAACGTACATCAAACTGATCCCTCTCGCGCATAAGCGTGTTATGCAGCAGGTGCCGGTAGACCTGGGGCTTGATTAAGACCAGGTCGATGAACAGCACGACGAAATCGTGCTCGACGTACTTGTCGCAGAAGCGGCCGCAGTTCTTACAGACCGTCAGGCGGATCCCGTGCCCGCTCGACGGGTCGCCCGCGCCCGAGTACTGCGTCCAGAGCGTCTTAACCGGGTGCCGGCACTCGATGCAGATCGGCATTTTTCTATAGATGTGTAATATATGTTTTTTATTTTCTTCAGTCCCTGCCTGCTATCCGCCGCTACTGCTACCTTGCGCTCGAGAGGAGGGGCATTCGTGACGACGCGTGCGATGGGCGTGGGATAGGATAAGGAAGTTGATGGATGGTTTTACGAAGGTAAGATGTGTCGACTATTTATTATATCATTGCAGTTAATAAATTTCATCTCGACAAGTGTTGATCTATTAGGTGCTTCATGATGTAACAAGATTCAGCTTCAATTGACATGGCTTCGAAGCAAGACGTCTTATTGATGTAAGTCGAACCTAAAGCTCCATCCCTGGTACGCATCAGCCTCGCATTATCTTATCGCCAATTAACCTATAATTTGCTAAAGTAAGCCGGAGCTCCTTATATAACACCAACCACTATATCACCACAATTACACGGAGACCGACATCGATTTACAAATTAATTAAGCAGGTATATAGTCTATAAAGAGCCCACCGCCTACTCCCTCTTTCTCTACTCTGTATTTGTAATTTACCTCAGCCATCTTCTAACCCCGTATAGCTCTCTTATACCCATCCCCGCATACAGGTAGTAAATAAGCCAACAGGCCAGCAAAGATACATATATACCTTATATTCATATATATACAAAAAGAGCGAAAGCAATCAGTGAAAACCTCCCAAGGTGCAACTTCCGCTTCCCGCTTCCAACTTCGTAGCAAAAAAATGATTCGAAATCGAAAAACAAGAAAGCAAAAAAAGCACCTATGCGAGGGGAACCCCGAACGCCTCCGGCAATGCAAGCAGCGCGCGTGCAACCAAGATGTATTCCCACCCGGCTCAACAAGTACACGGCCCTCTTAAGTGAAAAATGGCACTTGAGTACATCGGATCTCATCTATCGAATTGGTCTTGAATCTTCTATTATCACTTGTGTCTTGCCTGCCCCCGCCGTTCCTTTGCTCTCCTTTCGCCTTAGCCTATTTGCACCTCTTAATCGGTCTTCTTCCCCTTCCTTCCTCCCGTCGCTATCGGTGGAGCTGAGCGTCCTCTAACTGAGCCCGCCCCGTCACTTCTCGCCGTTGAGCCGGAAAGAGCGAAGGTTTGGTTCAGCAGACCAGTGTCCATCGTTCTTCCCGGAGTCCCGCCCTCATCACTATTAGTGTCTGTCAATTCGATTAGGTCCAGGTCCTCTGGAGGTCTCCTATTAGAGCCTAGTCTAGGGGTACTGGGTCTTTTCGCCCACGCGCCGCGCAGCCACGATTCAATAGATGAAGCGGCTTGTTCAAGACCGATCCCGTTTCTAGGGGGTGACGTCGCGTTCCGGCCTTCTTCGAATGGGCTCTCCACGATTCCCGCTGTCTCTTCCGTCGTATTATTAAATCCAAAATGCGCTGTCTCAGACCCCATGACCGACATGGACGGCATCGAATCTATATTGAAACCAGGTAACCTTTTATTGACCCACGTGTTTAAAGAATCTCTCGCCGGGCCTGGCGCCTTCACACTCCTCCCCATAGACCCCACCCCTCCTGGTCTCCGCATCCATGCTGGAACGCCGTCTCCTTCCCCTAAACTAGTGACCCTGCTTCTAGCAGAGGAGGAAGTCCCGAGGCTTGCAGGAGTAGGTCTGGCGCTAAGAGAACTCTGCCGTCTGGACGAAAGCCTTCCTGGGCTATCGACCACTTCAGACGAGTTCGTGATGGCTTTCGATAGTTCAAGGGAATGTCGCGGTGTTGAGAAAGTTGACGTTGTGTGGATACTCTTCTTTCGTCTAGGAGGAAAATAGCCCATTGATTTCCTTGAAACTCTGACAATTTCAACGGGCTCCTGGACCGAATCGAGCTTGACCCACCGTACATGGGTCCAAGGCGGTTCCTCATCTTCCTCAATGGGTTGCACTGCGGACTTCCCACCGATGGACTCAAAGTAACTATCGTGTAACGTCTGTCGTCGTTGTGGAGTAGATGCTGAGGAGAGCGTGAAATCATTAGTCTTCGGCGTGGTAGCTAGGTGGTCGACTTCCCGGGAGTATTCCGACGGGGGATCGCAAGGCCGGCCTTTGGTCTCGCATGCGTCGACGGGAATCATCAATTGCTTCCGTATCTGGATATTGTCCCTAGACCATAGACCATTTGCCTTCTTAAACGCGTGTTCCTGACACCTATATCGGAGAACGATACCCGCGTACGTGTCTGTAGGTTTTACGTGGTGCAAGTAGACTAAATGCTCCTCTGTAGCGGAATCCGTTGTGCCTCGTGGAGTCTCGTCCGAGTTCCTCCTCTTATATCTCCCCGCCACGTCTAGGCCGCCATTAACACCCTCGTAGCTTTCCAACACACTAGCTTTCTTCCTAGCCTTTAGTTGTGCTTCACGCTCCGCAAGGGATCCCGCCGCAATATCCCTGGCGCCCGGCCGCGATTCCTCGGGAGGGGCTGGTCCCCAACTGCTAGACGACTTACCGGATTTCCCGGTACCGCTCCCAAGCCCTTTCCATATCGATTTCGGTCGTGGCTTGTTTCCGTTGCGACTATTGGGACGCGAGGGTTCACTGGTATATCCGCCATCTAAGAAAGAGGATGCGAAGTCCTGAACTGATGCCCAGCTTGGTGCCCATGAGCCCTCGAGCAGTCCGCGCGAAAAAGCGGCGTTAGAAGGTGTCGTCTGCCCGCTTGAGAGAGGCTTGCTGTTACCAAGGCGCGCTGCTGGCATAGGACTCGCACCTCGACTAGTGGTGGGACTCTGACCAGGGGTTAAGCTCGGTGTTGGTGCATCTCTATTAGCAGGAGCCTTTCTACTCCGCGATCTCACAGTGGTAGAATCGTCAACGCCGGATGGGACCAGACCGGTAGTCGACCTCGGTGCGGTGGGGCCTGATGTCCAACCCGTATCGGCCATATTCTAGGACGATACGAGCCTGAGGAGGCTAGGGCTGACGTCGACTGGTAGAGAACATTGATTTCATCGGAGGGGACGTAACTCGTGAGTGGTTTCGGTCTTATCGTCGCCGTGGAACCTATGTCCGATATCTTGGGGCCCTTTTAATCAAATCGGAAATCGGCCGAACGGGGACATGCGTGAGCGCTGCGTCAATAGTACGTGTGTGGAATGTGTAATTGACTTGTGCGGTGAGGATCGGAGGTTTGGTCTCGAGCACTTCTAAGATATAAAAGGAAAGAAGGAAATATCAAGTCCGGTGATGGGGAATGAGGGAGGTATCAGAATGATTCGAACCGGTTATCTGCGTGCTACGGGTCTCACTGTATTCCAAGGTTGTTTGTCAGAAAGAGTTAAGAGTTTACATTAAACAGGAGTTCTCGTTTTGTCGAATTGTACACGTACCATTGGACCCCTTTAGGGACATACAATTTGACAAGGGTATGCACGTCATGTACTATGTATGGCATGTACGTACTTCGATGTAGCACACCTTTAACCATATTCCGTTAGTACTGCTGATTTTAGTGCTACCAAGGTGCACGGCCAAGACCCCAAGACGGCTGGAACGGCGTTGTGGGCACCGGATGCCCGACTTAACGATAATTGATGCCGTACCCTGACCCCCTTTATAAGAGTTGGATAACTTCATATGATTATACTCTTCTAAGAATTTCATGAATCACACCTAGGTACGTGATGTCCACGTACAGTTAAATGGTTATAAGTACACGCACGCCAATGCGTACTTTATATATGTATTTTCAACATTCATCGTAGATAGTAACTATCATCTCATCCAAATATCACAAGACCGACCTGTAGGCCGGTTTTATAGGATCCTCATCTCCAAGCAGCACGCCAAAACTCCTAGTAAGAGCGATAGTACAAGCCCCATTCCATGCTTCATATAATACGAGTCACGAAATAGATCGGCCAAGGTATAATTATAACCACATCTAACCCCATTTCCTTCATCGTACAATTAGGCCCCCACTCAGCCTATAGGCATATCAAGGCCGGATAGGTTTATCTCGCTGCCGTTGATGCCGAAGAATTGGAACCTAGAATCGCAGGTCTATATTAGCAAAGTACCCAGCTCGATAATTTGTGCCACGTACCAGTCTTCGACGTTCAATGTAGCCGGAACAGGCTGTCCCTGGGCCGATCCCGTACTCCAGCTATCAGGACTTTGGCCATCCGGCAACGTCGTATTCACCTCGCCGCCTGGCCACAAGTTATTGTTCTGGGGCTGATACCCTCCAATTCCTGGTTGCAAAAAATTGTTAGCTTGCTGGGGACTTGTATTCGTCGTTTTATTCGGCATTCGAGGTTGGAACTGGCTGGTTTGCCCGGGCGACTGTGGAGACATACCAGCCTGTATCGGATTGACGAGACTTGGATCTAAGCTCTGTTGATTTTGCGGCGGAGACATCTGTGGCAACGGGATCTGCGAGCTCTCGGGAAATAATTGGTCCGGCTGGAAATTCTCCCAAAGAGATTGTGAAATATTCGGCGAGTTACGAGTCACGAGATACAAATCTGGCGGCGTGGTCGGAAGGGAGAAGGAAGGGTTAAATGGAGTTGCAGGCCGAGTGTGTGGCCTGCTGCTGGTCCCTCCCATAAAGGTGTCCCCGGATTTGGCGTTCGGAGAGTTGATAGGCGGTCCCATATGAGGTTGATTCTGAACTTGTTCGTTCCTCGGAGTTTGCGGGCGTGATCGTTCGTACGACTCCTGATGCACTGGTGTATTTATACTAAAGTCAATAGCCATTTCGTCATATTTCCGTTTTGCCGCCGCAGCAGCTTCTTGTTGTCGTTGATGGTGTTGCTCCAGCTGAGCCAAGCTCTGTTGCACTTTCTTATGTCGTTTCCCTGCAGCTTTCTGCAATCTTTCCTCTAGATTCTTGTTGCCTAATATAGATTCGAATAGTGTATAAACCATCTTTCCCACAAGCCACACCCGAGAAACTTCCTTAAGTGCTTCCATGCAGGTCCGAATTCGAACTTGTGTAACTTGCTGAATGGATGGAACAGGTGATCGCATCTGATATACATGCATAATGAGAGCAGAGAACAAGCTATAAACGACAAACGCAGGGCAATAGCGGAGCTCATCGTGTGCTGATAAGTTCTCGATAATGGACGTAATCATTCCCGCCGCCTGAAACGCGATATTCCGTGACGGGTAAGAAGAGTCGTCTGGGAATCTAGCCGCATTACTATGATTGGGAGGCATATGTGCTCGATGCAGGAGGCAGAGGGTGGTATAGTAGTTAGAGTGAAGTAACGCACTCCAAAAGTGGTGCCGTGGCATCTCCCAATATACCAATTTAGGACAGTTTTGTAGCCAATCCGCCAAAGCCATATCACTATGAGTGAGATCGATGGCATTCTGGCGTCGACCTTTAGATGCCACCGAATACTGCTGAGAGAGGACCAGGCCCATGATCTCACAGAGCTTGACATACTGTAAGAAGAACTGGACATGAATGGGGTCAGGAGCAAACCCGCTTGCGTTGTCTGGCTCGTCTTCGATAAAATCATCCTCGGTTAACATCTCAACGTCGGAATCGTCCAGGTTAATATTGCACGGTCGCCCAAGCGCAACTGCAACGGATCGATCGCGAGTGAACAACGTCCACCAAATACGCTTCCACAACCTTTTGTCAGCTTTGCTTAGTTGCGACGCTTCCACGCTTCTGTGCATCCCGGAACCTTGAGCGACGATGATGGCAACTCTGCTCCAGTAAAAGACATTTTTAGTGACATCCTCCGGGCCTTCCCAATACCAGCCCATAAGGAGCAGGGCCTGAACTATCGTTACGCGGTCATCCTCGTAATTGGCATCATAGAGTGCCTTTGCTCTCTTATAGAATGTCAGCGCAGCCGGAGTAGTTGAGCCATTCGCGTCCATGAGTTGTTGGTTATTGCAAACTCGCGAACCAGCAAGGAGGACGGCTTGCAAAAGGAGCAGCGAAGGCGGGTTCTTCGGATCTCGATACTGTCTCATAAAACGAGTCTTATTTATGACAGGTACTATAGGGTGTACCCATTTGAAATAGGAGTCGATAAGCTCGTCGCAGAGGGATCTAGGTGGCAGTAAGAAAGCTCCACGTTGGTGAAGGATGTCAATCTCGATATTGTCTAACTCGGTCAAACGGGCCCTAGAACCGCGCACGTTCTCGGGGAGCGGATAATGCACAACATCTGAAGCTCCTTGGCGATCGTGAACCAATAGCGTCAGATTTGACGATTCCCCTAGGAAGGCAACCCTACCAGCTTCAGTGATAGGGGCTCTTGTAAATTTCGGCTTCATAATCAGGTTGACGTATGTATCATTGTCAACCTCCTCTTTCCTAGCTTGGGTCTCCGAGAGGGTTGTCGAAGGTATGCCTTCTGAGGAGTGGTACACGGCGGGTCGCGCAGGGAAGGTGTTTGAAGAACCAGCATTTGGTGGTGCTGGTGCAGGTGTTGATAGTGGTTTTGGAGAGGGGTCATCGATGACATCTCCACGATCACTATAGGTTCGCTAGTCAACCACCGTACACTTCATTACCCTACTATAGTGAATAGGATAGGAAGACTATGCACACACCTGTCCGAGTCTTTTGTTGCATTTGCCTGGGTCTTCTTCCTCTTTGGTTGTGGGATTTTACATTCGATTTGGAAGGCGACGCAGTTGGTGCACGGGACACCGAGGCTCGCCGCATCGCATCGCACCTGTTACTCTGTAAATGTCGGTCCCCTCTCGCATAAAGGTTGTAGTGGTCGCATGTTCGCATGTGTTCGAACTAGCGAATTAGAATAAAATAACGGATAATTTCGTACCTTCCTAGCATGGCATGTCTATTGGTGGCCGAGTAGTCAGTTTAAGAGGTTCAAGGACGCGAGGGAACGAGGTAAGAAGAATATGGGCCGCATTCTCGAGATGCCTCGGCATGTCTAGAATAATCCCACCTCGAGCCCCAGAGAGGTAGCTCGGGTCGCTTAGAATAGAATAGATAAAAACAACCACCAACCCCTCCGAAAGAAATAAGGTAAAATATATGAATTACGCACCTCACACGCTCTCGAAGCCCGTTGCCTGATTGAGGTTCATCCTCGGTCAGCTAATTGATCACAATCTCGCAACCGTACACGGGGCACTACGACACGAGCGCATCTACGAACCTTCGAAAACTCATCTGGCCTTGCGCATTTTGGATCGACGCCGCCGACCCTGGCGGTGTATTCTGAGAGGGAGGCGTTGGTTGCGACGGAGAATTCAAGTGCTGCTGCTGTTGCCCTTGTTGCTGACTTGCCGGCTCACCGCTGCTGGGATTCATCTCGACGTCCATCAGGGTTCGTCGCCCACCGAGAACAATACAATAAGTATTTCTATATACAATGTGAGCGGGTAGGCACGTGCCGGACGGGTTAATATCGTCGTCGAATCTAAGAGAATGCAGTCGGCGAGCTCGGATTTTCATTCAACTTTACTGTCGCTTGCGATGGGATGAGAGAGAGCCTCGATAGGCAAAATGTGGCTTGAAGGTTATCCTAGTAGGTAATGATTATTTGAATAATATGTTGTTAAAACGATTTGCGCGTGCGCAAGTTAAGGAAAAGAGAGTGCGCCCAGATAATGAATAAAGAGTTTGGGACCACAAATAGAGGCGATGCGCTGACGGGATGCAAATTATGCTTGATGCGACCAAGGTAGCGAGGTGAAAGAGGTGACAAGGGAACGATGAAGCGGATTTCGATTTTCACGAAATGCAGAATGTCCCGCTCTTGCTTCTGAAGAAGTTCTGAGATCTGGCAGGTGTCTCTACCGTAAACAGCTAGAGTTTCCAAGTATATTTCCCACTCGGAGCTTCCTATTTCCTATTATCGACCGATTATTACAAGATGGATACCCCAGCGCCCGTAGCTGCCGGTATGGAGAAATTTGATGTCAACCACCACCGTACCTTGCATAGAAATCGGGCAGGAAGGTACATGCGGATATGGCCCTTTAGCGCCGTTTGTCCCTTCGTGCCACCTACTAGGTACATACCTTAGCAGCTTAGGTACAGTGCCTTCAATTATCTAACGCATTCCGAGTCTTACCTTCCAGGATCTATTGTGTAATCTAGCATGGATCTGCTTATTAAGATAAGAAGCTTTTTACCATCGAGGCAGCCCTGATCTGGTACCTACCAGTGTTGGACATTTCCAACCTGACCCTCATACGTATGAGCACACGGACGTGTAAAGTAGGCATATGAAGTTCCGTAGTGCTATCTCCATCCTTATTATATGTAATTCCCGCCGATTACACGTGGTTGGATCTTAAAGCCGTGCCACCTCCTTGCCGTGATGATTTTTTCTAGAACTTATCCCGGGTTTAAGGGGTACTTAGCCCTAGTTCGAATAGTTTGAAGTGATCCTTCAGGAAGCATTGTTGAGTACTTGTAAGTCGGGAAGCACTCAAGTCACTTGATCGTTCCGTGCAGATCTATTGATTGTTTGCCTCATAATCAGAAAGGTCAGACGATGAATATGCAATGCACTCTCTACCTTCACAGAGACTATTTGCTCCGAGAGGGTCCAGCGTTGTACTACCCTCCTGTTTATATCCATACGTGTTGTTATTGACATGTGAATGCCATCCATGGATGTATGTCTGTTAGCAATGGAAGGTCGAGTTTAGCGGCAAGTCCGCGCTCATTAGTCAAGTCTTTACCCCTGTTCCTCTAATAAACGGTCGGACACTGAACTGGTTTTGGCTCTCTCGTCCGTACCTAATCAAGATCTAAAAATCCGGGGCGACTCGTAAGGGCTGTCATTGCCGTAAATTCTAGGCTGTTTTCTGTATCACTCGAGGACGAACTGCAGGTAAGTGTGTCTCAATTCGATAGTACCTATGCCGAAATAATGACGACAGAGCTATTAATGCGTAATCAGAACATGTGACGCTGACTAAACTCTATCTACTCGACTTTTATTGGTGCAACGTTATTTACGCCGCAAGAAGCCACTCGCCATTTATACAATTAAAGATGTTTTAATAAAAGGATGATAACTTATAATACTCTCAACATTGGTTAAATATTTAAACTTACGGCCAACTTTATATGTATTATGCCTCTTGTATTGAAGTTTGATCGAACTTTCCTTCCAATGGTAATGGTGATGAGCACCATTGCGCGCGGAAGCCCTCTTTACCGCCTTACTGAGAGCTGTTGTGATGACTGGGTGAAGACCATGGGTATCACGTGATGCATGATTACCCCCTAAATTCAGCCTCATACTGATATAGTTCAATAGCTGTATAGTCATACATCATGCTCAATAAACCTTTTCAAGATATAAGTTTTCATGGGCGCCAATGGATTATTGTCTGTGCTTAAGCGTATTCCACTTATCAAGCTCTGTCTGAAAACAATTGCTTAACACTTTTTCCACAGGTATATATATACCTACCTCCACAACTCATAAGGGTAAGACTTTGGCTTCTACGTCTCACTATACATACCAAGTTTCATTTACCCCGAGACACTCTCAACATGGCTGGCTGGAATGATTTACCTGCCGAAGTGAGGTTGATCATCTACGAATACCTGTCTAACCAGCATGACAGTCTTCCGATTCGCTATTTGCCTGCGTACGCAGCAGTATCGCGTGAATGGCAAGAATTCTTCGAGGAACGGTTATTCCGCCAACTGACTATACGCCAGGCAGACTTTCCGGAATTCCAAAGAGTCCTTGTTCCACGTCGAAGACGTTGGCTGCGGCGCCTATGGCTGGGGGTACAGCTTCCATTAGATCGTCCATATCGCCACTCGGGCCCAGGCGTAGAACGCGCCAACGGAACCGACGAACAAAGCAAAATCTTCACAACTGCAATATGGGAGCTTTTCATGATACTTAAGGAATGGGAAAGCAAGGATCAGACACCATTCGGCCAAACGTCATTCACTCTTATCCTCAGTGCATGGGTCTCACCATTTGATATTCAATTCTTGCGTTCAAATTGCAATCTATTGGATCCCTATTTGGAACATAACCACCGGGACGCCATACATAATTGCAATCATTGCAGTCCTTTGCAATGCCGGTGTTACGAATCGCCGGACATGTCCACGATGTACCCAAGCCTCCAGATGTTTGGTATAGGCCCCCTCAAGATTGACTTGAGTCAAATCAACACAGACCCATCCTTTCGTTTACCGAAGTTGAACTCCGTCACCGGTTTTACTATCCCAAGGGAATTCTACGGATCGATTCTCACCGTTAGGCCCATCGTGCAAAGCTTTCCGAACTTACAACATATTAGCCTCGAACAATGGCGCCGGCCGGAAAGATATCACGGCGATGAATATGCTGTTCTTCGCCAAGTCGTAAAAGCTTTACCACCCAGACTTCAAAGTTTCTCGGCTATTCTAGATGCAGATGTGATGCTAGCGGCAGCTTATGGTTCGCAGAGAAGACTCGGCGAGGGTGACGTTGCTTTCGCACATAAGTTACGGAAAGCAAGCTACCAATTTCGCAACATCGACGTCTTCTTTTTCATGGACGCCAAATATTTCTTTGCTACTTTCATGTCGGGCTCCTCAGGAGAAGAGGATTGGCCGAATCTAGAAAGCTTCTCCATGACTTCCAATCTGCTCAGCTCGCGCTCGCGCGACAGCTACAGCGACTTGCTCCAGGGTGCCGCAAAAGCTGCCTTGCGCATGCCTAAACTTCGCATGCTCCAAATCTGGTTTGGATACGACGATGAGCTTTGCATCTTTTGCTACACAAAAGACCAGGAAGGCCCGCTTATTGAATGGAAGCGTACAAGAACTGCGCCTAAAGGCCCAGGTGAGGAGGTCGTAGAGGCTTGGCAGTCGGTTGCGAACAAGACTCGGAATCATTCCATACGCATCAAACAAGTCAGTATAACACATACCAAGGCCCAACACTTGAGGTCCGTTCACCCTGTCATCTGGGAGCCCGACGGGCTCACACTTTAACCATTTGCTTTGTAACTGGAGTGGGAGAGTATACGCTATACCAGTATCATGATGCGAGCTTAGTAGATATGATTGATGGCAACAACGTTATTGCGCGCAAAGTTATGGACTTATCTGCTTGGGTTCACGTTATACATATAGGGTCGACATCGAACACATTTTGCCATACACAGAAACTGTAGCGACAATCACCAACAAGAAGGGAAATAGATACCTCTTGCTAGGCGTTTGTGTCTTATACTCCAGAGAGGCGTTCGAACTCCCACAAATTTCGAAAAGACTTCGCCGAGGCACCAACAGGTCTTCTCCAACGGATTGAGTCTCTGATGAACCGAAAGCCAATCTAACCGGGCCTTCAACGAGTGTATAGATAAACTCTTGTTCGTCTTAAACATTCTACCAAAATTTATCCATGCTCATCTGGTGCTACGTGAGACTTTATTAAGGGTGTCTTTCTTTCCGAATCAATACCACCACAGATCAACAAAATTTATAGGTCGATACTCAAATCCCTTAGGTCTGAGGGGTTTTGCTGCTGTCACCACACTTGGCGTTGGTATTGGTCTCGGCTTCGCCATCGTCGGCTTTGCTCATATCTCCTTATGTAGAGCATGATGATCAGAGAACGCCCATTTTCTGACAGACGATCAACTAACGGACCATTGAATGGCACCCCGTCTGACCTTAAACTACCGGCAAGTAGACGCCAAAAAGCATTACGATCAAAGACATGTGACGACTTAGCGTTGGCCGTGGTATATTTTCAAGGCTTCAGTCTTGCATCTCGGGAATTGTGTAGGGGCTGGGTGCCCCTGAACTTCTGGAATTAGATATGGATAGCTACCTATTTTCCCCGTGTACTGTTACTAGCGAATCTGTTTATTTCACCTCTTGAAAACAACTAGGTGTCTTGACGACCTATCCAGTTGTGACTACTATAAATGCATCGTTTCGTGACAAAGTCATACGTTATAAATTCAAGGGAACAAGTCACTCACAGCGCCATTATTGCGAAATCCGCATATCAGCATATACAAATTTTATTATGCCTACTTTCCCTCTATGATTATAGGCAGCTTGTAACCTTACATAAATCATTACAACTATTTCCCATCCTCATCCTTTACGGGAGACGAATCCTCATGTTTCGCCTCGCCGTTGGTCGCTTCGACCGGTACTTCCGGCGTCTTCCCGTTTGTTACTGGTTTGGCGGTAGCCGGCGACTCGTGCGAGTTATTTACTTCAACACCGGTGATGAATAATGAGCTCACGCCTTCAAGGGCGGCGACGAAGACGCAGAGTAGACTGGCTATGGCAAAATGGCTGATTGTGGATCCGATCTCGAGCCAGGAGCCCTCGTCTTTCACGACCCAAAAGAAGTGGAGGGTCAATATATCGCTTAGCGCTATCGCAACCATGAAGAGGGCTGATGGCGCTACGCCTATCCTCTTGTTGAGAATGCCTAGGTTGGCCGATATGAGGACGAAAGGGATCATGATCTTGAGGATTAGGAGTGCCCCTTGGGAAAAGGGGTCAAATATTGGGAAGAGGCGGCATACGCTCTCTAAGCTGAACGAAGAGACCGATGCAACGTTGCCGGTACTGAAGAAGGCTGATTGGAGCAGAACGAAAAAGAACAATGCGACGCGAGCATCTGATAAAGTTAACGGCCGGAACTTGGACACAACGGTCGCTGCGGCTGCTTTCACAGCGCTATTCCCCTCTGCTAAAGCTTTCTTGGTTGCTTGTTGGAATTCGTATCCATGATGTTCTAGCCTTACCCAGGTGACTAACAGCAAGTTGAAAGCAAAGTAGAAGAGACCCTCATAGGAAATAGTGAGGATAACGAAGGTCGGGGCGCACGTCAGGAATATTACTAGGAGCCTATGAAGGTAGTGGTTATTGGGTTGAAGTCGATGAGCAAGTGGCATCAGAAAAGACACAACTAGAACCAGCCACGCAACAACTTGGTTTCCACGCGGAAGGCCCTCTTTCGCCTGCAGAGACCGGGCGCTGTCTCGAGTTACAAGCATAGCTAGGATTATGAGTCCGATCTGCTGAGGGTCAGAATGTGCTTTAAAATAGAGGCATGATACCTACTTGAACACCAATCAACGACCTCGAGATTTCATTGCCTTTTTTGGCCGCGTTAGATCTCTTCGAAGTCGGCAGGTTGGCCAAGAATTTATCTTCAAAAGCTAAGTATATAATACCAACCACAACCATGAGTAAACCACCAATCATACTGTAATATATTAGCTTCGCACTTTGAGACCACGACTAAATCAACTTACGTGAGTGGGATGTTCTCAGTCTTGTTTGCTGGCAATAAAGTAAAAACGCTCATTAGCAGACTTGCTACGAACCATGTTGCAGACAGAATGGCATGCTTTTGTAAAAAAGAGATTCCCATGGTAATCGGGTAAAACGACCCGACAACGAACAAGACGGTGAAGATTTCCCGATGAATGTATCCAAGTGCCTGATTCGTGTTAATATTGTGGACTACTAGGCAAATAAAAAGGGGTACATACCAGTGACTCGATAATTCCAATATACGTGATCATGTTGAGCACGAGAGTCAGAACATTAGCTCCGGTTTTGATATGGCCAAACAAGGCTTGTCTTCCCTTGATCCAACTGTCTCTGCGAGCGTAAACTTCTTCCCAGAAGAATACGGGGAAGAAAGCGTATGCATAGTATGTAATAGGCGAGTGACCTATGATGAAAGACGAGTAAAGTAAAACGAGGACAGAGGAGAAAACAATGGTACTACCAAGAGTTCTCGAGGCCGCTGTCGTTCCTTGCAAAACGTGCAGATCTAAAACAGTTGTTAGAGCGTACGCCATCCATCCAAGATAACCGATGGTAATGAGAGCCCTCAAGAATAACCAATCGTAAGTCTGCAAATAACGCATTCCCTCGAGTCCGATTTTCATCAGCGCCGCGGATTCTTCGATGGACTCTTCGAAATTTCCCTTGTTGATCAATTCCTTGATATATGACAGCCGACTCTCAGGTGATGAACCGTTTTCTTCGCTTAAAGGTTTATAAGGACGGTATCTTATTTCGTTCTCTTTCTTGCTCTTCTCTTTCACTTTATACATTTCGAGGATCTCTTGAGCATTTACCAGAGACGCTTCAGCCTTCTCTTTGATATCGGCCGAGAGATATGATAGCGGGAGCTCACCCACAGAATTAGCCGGATATTCGACGCCGATCAAATAAGCCATCAAGGCTGCAACGTCGGCTTGCTGTACGTCATTCCTCTTGATGTGGTCCAAGTTCCAATCCGAGGAATATTCATCATGGCCTGGTGCGACGGCGCCCGGATGTACCAATGGCTTTGCGACCCCCGATCCCCATGCAATTAATGGCGTTCTAGTGTTGTCTGGGTGGCCATCTCCGTGGCTTCCCCAATCGCTCATTCCGTGGTCAGCCGTGAAGACGAAGGCAGTCCTATCATCATTATAGAACTTCTGGATCAGTTCGACCGTCTCCTTAACACCTTGATCGACAACTTTAATATTATGTAGATATTCCTTCGAGTATGGCCGGTATGAATGACCACTAGTGTCGAGTCCCAGGAGATGGAGGAAAAATACAATCTTGTCTTGCTTGAGGGCTTCATTCAGTGTCTTATTCTTCTCCGCGGCGGCGAACAGTTCCTTCACATGATCGAACACGTAGAGATCTAGTTCAAGTGCATCTTTTGAAAAGTCTTCGAAATCAGCACTGTAATAATCCGCATCTATCCTGCCGGGCGTTGCGCCATGCTGGAACATGGGAAGAATATCGGGACTGCCCCAACTCCACGTATGCGCACTTCTATTGAAGACACTGTCGAAATTGACCGGGTTGAGCTTCCAGCCAGTGGCCACAGCAGAAACATCCTCGTAAAGTCCAGCTATTAGCGCGACGTGACCAGGTCTAGATTCCGTAGGAACTCTCGTATGCGATACGCCAAATGTGCCGTGTTCTAGTACGCGGGAACGGAGGTAAGGAGCAAGTGGCCTTGGGGTGTTGTCCGCTTCGGTCTGTGGGTATGGTTCGGGATGCGATTGGAAAGCCTTGTCAGCGCGCAGTCCGTCGCCTGGAAGATATGGGATTAGCAAGTAAGATCTACATAGTAACACACTGCAAAGAACGGTACACACCAACAAAGAGAACCAGTCGATCTGCTGGCGCTTTTATTCCTACAGGCCTCTCTACCCGGAACAATTGCATGCCACTAACAATAGGACTGACGAAATATATATCAAAGATAGAGTATATATAGACCAGATGGAATATCATGGCTATAGCCACGAATCTAAAGCGGCTGGTTCCCGCCATGGCCGTTTACTCTAATGGGCAGGTCGTGAGGTTGTGTCGATGCGGCGGAGTAAGCGGATGTAAGTCGAGGAGGAATCTCGCTAGAACTTCGACTTTTTACACGAGATATTGGTCGACCTGAATCACGGTCCATACGAAACAGGGATGGGAAGTAGACAGATAGGCGCAGACTGTACCGATGTACAAGCCATGAGGCTTTGGTTGTGTAGGTCTTGATTATGCGAAACAACAAAATAAGAAAAAGACAAATCTACAAAAAGTTGGGATTGGCAAATTGGAAACTGCTCCCTGGTTGCGGCCGTCAAGGTCCGTCCACTGTCATCTGGGGAATCGCGTTTACACTTGCAGGGATCATTACAGGGCTGATCAGGTACCGACGTACCATGATTTCTTGCGGAAAGCTCCAATTAGCTTCACGGGTTCGGGGACGTGACACCGGCCCGAAACGGCCTACGCCCGGTAGGTTCCACTCTAAATATATCACAAAAAATTAGAGGAAACTGTTACCTTTATGCAACCCGTTTCAACGCGTATTTATCGGGGACCGAATCACGTAATGATATTATTCTGGTATCCGAGTCCGAATATGTACAAGAATTCACCCTCTCCCCCTGTCCGCCTCAACTTCATGTAACCGAATGAACTTAACCCAGACGCCGTTCATCATTTACGATTACGTTCATTCCGGACGTTCTGTCAAGGATCTCATGACTCTTGAATAGAACCTTGCGGCGTGAGATTGGGGGAAAGATATCTCCTCCACAAGGTAATCTGGTAGCAAATCAATCAAGTCTTGATCGCGGTTTGGATCTAGTTGAGGCATGTATACGAATTGAGGCTCGTCGGGCTTTTCCGACGTTTCGTCACAGCCCACGGCAAGTTTGAAATGGAGAGCTGGAGAATGAAATTAGTAAATAGTTCGATATATAATGTCAATGGTATGAAATAAAACCTACTCCCGTTTCTGCCCGTCTGAATGCAATCATACGTGTCACCGCCATTCTGTTCTCGCTTGACGCCACGAACGATCAAGCCGGTCAAGTCTCCATACAAGTCTTCCTTCATCTGTGCTACGTGGGCAGACGCCTCGGCATTAGCGAGAAGTCGGTTATTTAAATTGTTATTGCCTTTAATAGCACTGCCTGGAACCTTCGATGTCGATGCTTCGGTGGATCGGGCAGCGGATAGCTTCGTAGTGAGTGTCTTGATTTCTGTCTTTGCTCCCGTCAAAGAAGCGTTCGTATCGTCAACCTTGTTTTGTAGCTCTTCCACCTTGGTCTGACTAGCCTCTAATTGCTGTCTTAGGCGTTGTGTCTCCTTAGCTAGCTCAGTCTGTGTAGATAATTGCGCCTTCAAGGCAGCAATAAGTTGATTAGCGGCTAGCTACTTGTTAGTCGTCTTTCTTCATGTAGAATTCTTTCTTGAAGCTCACTATTAGCTTTGTCCTCTGTCTGCTTTTTAAGGAGATCATAGTTGCGTTCCGCCTCCTTAACACCAATCTCTCGAAGGTCCCGATACTTCGCCTCTAGACTCTCGTACTTTCGCGTCAATTCTCCCACTCGCCTCCGTATTGCCGGCTCGTGAAGTTCAGAATCTGATGCCGGGACTGCTCTTCGATCTGTACCGAACAGATCTCTCGATTGAGGACGTTGAACAGATGATAACACGGGTCGATGAGAGGGCAAGTCTTCTATCCGATCATTCTCTTCGATACTTAACTCCGTCGTCTCGACCGCTTGTGTTTCCGGAATTTCACGCTGTGTTTCGGGTATTTCCTTTTCGGGAGGTGGGGTGTTGTCCTTCGCCTTTGGCTTACGCCCTCTTTTGCCAACAGGTTGAGCTGTGGGCTCTGGCTGATCTACGGTCGATATGTCCGAATCATTTGATATCTTCGCAGCTTTGGCGGCTCTTGGACGTCCCCTTCCGCCCTTGGGCTTTTCCTCGACAGCCATCGAAATTTCGTCGTCTTCATCATCCGCCGTGGGAGTAGGTTCTTCTGGTGCCGCTCGCTTTTTCCCCTTCCCTCGTGTGGGTTTATCTTGAACATTCGCCGGTTTATCAGCCAAGACCTTTCGCGCTGGCGCTTTCGAAGCGGCTGTCTTACCACTCGTTTGACGCGTCGCGTTCTGAGTTGATTTGGCAGCTCGGTTCGCAGCTGTCGCGCGGCCTTTCGCTGGCGCCATTTTCGTAGCAACCACCGTATCCTCCCCCAGGATATCCGCCGCCTCGTCGTCCGAGTCCACTAACCCGCGTAACGCAACACCCTTTGCTTTTGGCATCGAACGCGACAATTCAACGACAGCGCGTGTTCCGGTCTCTAGAAATATTGCTCGAAAATCTGGCTACGGCCAATTATAAGTAAGCGCGGTCGTGTTTCTATTATTGTGTAAATCGAAAATTTATGCGGTTTCTTTTATCGTTGTAATTTAATCGATCACGGGACGTGAACGCCGAAGAGATATGAACTATTCCTACTAGGTAGGTTATGATGAAATATAGTGGGATAAGTTTTCGCCAATCATCTACGTTGTTGAGGGGCCTGGGTAAACAAAACATTGATTGACAGGGGTTATAAGTGTCCCACTTTGATAGTCTTGGCCAAGCCTAACCCGATAAGACCCGGGGTGTGAGCTGAACGCTTAAGGTGCAGGTGCTCCGGTGCCTTACTAAAGAAGCAGCCACATTGATGTGGCGTCAATTGCTTGGACGGTCTAGGTTATCCTTGATAATTCAGCAACCGATTCAAGATTCTGAGTCGGAACTTGCATGCGCGGCCGTCCAACCGTCCAATATTGTGGCGTGGCGTATTTTACAACAAACATCACAGCCTGCACTTTAATATCTTCTTAATCTCTCCCAGCCGCCTGGGAGGCATATCAAATGATTCTCAGTGGGATTAAGCAGTCCTTAACCATGGTTGATCGAAGACGAAATGGTACCGACTACATCTGGGACGTACTTTTAATCCTAGGTACCGTATGTAATTGAATCTATCATCTGATCGAGGCACAAAAGAAGTCGCATTTTCATTATCTAACGTCTATTCCGTACTGACATTGATGGTTGGCTGGCTAGGCCGGAGCAGCCTGGTTTTTAACCAGAAACGTCATATCAACCCTCCAAGGAACCCTCGCCGACCCGGATAAGGAGAAACGTGAACAAGCTCGAATCAAAGCGAAAGCGAACCTTCAGAGGTTACGGAAGGCGAGAAGTCGCGAAGATGGCAATGAGGACGACTTAAGCAGCAGCACAGGGAGAGGTCCTCGAGTCGAAGATTTGGTCCTCAATGAGTACGAGAACCTTGTTGCGTTGGAAGTTGTTGCTCCCGAAGATATACCTGTTGGGTTTGATGGTAGGCTTGCTATGCCTCAAGAATATCCAAGTTGGGCATGCATTCTAATATGAATAACAGATATCGGTGGACTGGAAGATATTATAGAAGAAGTGAAGGAATCCGTCATATATCCGTTAACGATGCCACATCTCTACTCCCACGCAGCCCCCTTATTGTCTGCACCGTCGGGCGTGTTACTCTACGGACCTCCTGGCTGCGGAAAGACCATGTTAGCGAAAGCTGTTGCACACGAGAGCGGTGCTTCTTTCATCAACCTTCACATCTCGACTTTAACCGAAAAGTGGTATGGAGACTCCAATAAACTTGTACGAGCGGTATTCTCGTTAGCCCGAAAATTGCAACCCGCCATCATCTTTATAGATGAGATCGATGCGGTGTTGGGGACCAGGAGAAGCGGTGAACACGAAGCCAGTGGCATGGTCAAAGCAGAGTAAGATTTCCATTTTCTTAAACAGATGTGTAGATCACAATGCTAATGAAGAATAGATTCATGACACTGTGGGATGGTTTAACCTCGGCGAATACTCAAGGACTCCCCGCTAGAATTGTTGTCCTCGGAGCTACGAATCGTATCCACGACATCGACGAAGCCATTCTACGCAGAATGCCTAAGAAGTTCCCCGTATCATTGCCGGATAAGAACCAGCGATTACGAATACTTCAATTGGTCTTGAAAGATACCAAGACCGACCCGAACAATTTCAACTTTGAATATATTGCTAGGGTGACTGCAGGCATGTCTGGTAGTGATATCAAGGAAGCCTGCCGCGATGCTGCCATGGCACCAGTTCGGGAGTTTATTCGCGAGCACCGTGCAAGCGGAAGTTCTATGTCCTCCATTGACCCATCAAAGGTGCGAGGAATTCGCACGGAGGATTTCTTTGGACGAAAAGGCGCTGGCCAAATTCTCATGAAAAACCCTCCTTCCTCACGAGCGAAGTCATCGAGCGATGAGTACGAAGACGTTGATGATGATGCTGTTACGGTTGAAACATCAACTACAGGTGCGAAGACCACAGAGGCTACGGAGCCCACGGAAGCCTTGGCTTAAGTTGGTATTGAGACGAATATTATATGAGCAATCGAGAGGGACTAGGACAAGGGCGTTTACGTAAGGATATATTTAAGGACTGAATCATCGCTACTCGGGTCTTGAATTGGCACTAGATAGTGGTTAAAGAGATATCACTTGTACAATGATACCAATTATCCCTTGTTGCAAGCTCGAAGATGGAAACCATTACGGGTTTAAATACCTACCCAATTTACCACAACAGCATGGTGGCTTTGTGGAACTGCATACTAATGAATGAGCCCCCGATCTAATTAAGCTATTATAACAAAAAGGCATTATAATTCATATCTTGCCCGGAGGCTAAATAAACCAATAAGGTATGATGCTTCCAATGCTCAGCCCTACCTCAGTGGTGAAAAGCCAATATTCAGCCAGAGTGCCTTCCGAACTGAGTAAGAAGCTATTGATAGGTGGTACATTAAGGTTGCATAGGTGCTTCCCGTCTCCAACCACCCTGGTATAGTGGTATACATCAGCCCTGTAGATTCTTCGAAGCTTGATATCCATGGTATTGTCTTTGCGCACAGACCATTTTGTCACATCAGGGCCACCTGAGCCACATGGATACGCTTTGTCCACTTTGAAAATCACGTCATTTGTAGCGATACCCGCGTCTTCCCCAGATTTTAACTCTTCCAACCGATAACCGGAAGCTGCAAGGGGCGCTGGTAGGTTATAACCTGGTTCGAGACCCACACCGCCCTCTTGAATCATTCGTGCCACTTCGGAGTTGTAATCACGGAATTTCTAATTTGTACATCTTTCGCAAGCACGAAATCTCAACTTCCATTTCTAATTGACTCATACTATTCCTCTCTATACAAGAAGGCCGAAAGTCTAAAGTCACTGAGGAATTGCAAACCTGGCCAATTGGGTTCCTACCTATATCGCCGAGTATATAGAAATAGGTCGAGTTCAAGCTCAAATTGCTGAACTATTTCAAGCTGCCGGGAATCGCCGGTTCCGCCTCATCAGTGTCAGCTATGGACTCTAAGCCTCTTAACAAAGGCCTCTCCAAGGTCGACCTCGAAGGTCACAACCTACCTCCTTCGCCTGCTCCCTCGAGCCCGTCCAATGGTCGCCGCCGCTATGCCCTGGCTACTGAGCTCGTCTATACAGAAACCAAGGACCAGTATGGCGCTTCAAGTATCCCAATCTACCAATCTGCTACATTCAAGCAAACATCTTCCAATGGTGGTAATGAATATGACTATACACGATCGGGTAACCCGACTCGGACACATCTAGAACGCCATATGGCCAAGATCATGAATGCTAACCGAGCGCTTGCCGTTGGCTCCGGCATGGGTGCTTTAGATGTTATTACCAGGCTATTACGGCCGGGGGATGAGGTGATCACAGGCGATGACCTCTATGGGGGTACCAACCGGCTACTTACATATTTGTCGTCGAATCAAGGCATTATCGTCCACCATGTGGATACCACTGAGGTCGAAAGAGTGCGAGAAGTCATTTCAGACAAGACGGCTATGGTACTCCTGGAAACCCCGACGAACCCCTTAATCAAGATTGTGGATATCCCGAGCATCGCGAAGGCCGTCCATGATGCCAACGATAAGGCCCTCGTTATTGTCGACAACACCATGCTATCTCCTATGCTATGCAACCCCCTCGAGCTCGGAGCGGATATAGTATACGAGTCAGGTACCAAATACTTATCAGGCCACCATGATATTATGGCGGGCATCATCGCATGCAACGACACTGCTCTCGGTGATAAGATGTACTTCACCATTAATGCGACTGGTTGCGGCCTCGCTCCCAATGATTCATTCCTTCTCATGAGAGGGGTTAAGACATTAGCAATTCGCATGGAGAAGCAACAGGCAAACGCACAGATCCTTGCCGAGTTCCTTGAATCCCACGGCTTCCGGGTGCGTTATCCTGGCTTGAAATCGCACCCGCAGTACGATCTTCACTGGTCTATGGCGCGAGGTGCCGGAGGTGTCTTGTCGTTTGAAACCGGTGATATTGCCTTATCCGAGCGGATTGTCGAGGCCGCAAAATTATTTGGGATCAGCGTGAGCTTTGGGTGTGTCAACAGCTTAATCAGCATGCCGTGTCGTATGAGCCATGCTAGCATCGATGCAAAGACGAGAAAGGAGCGGCAGATGCCCGAAGACATCATTCGACTTTGCGTTGGTATCGAAGACGCGACCGATTTAGTCGACGACCTCTCTCGCGCAGTAAGTGTCACAACATGAATCATCTTATCATTGTTATATCCCTAACCTTAAGTAGCTCGTACAAGCAGGTGCCGTGACAATTACACTAGACGGCATCGCTGCCGCAGGCACAGCTGCACAGGCCGGAAATGCCAATTCGAACAACGATACGTCGTCTTAGTCTAAGGCTACGTTATCTTGAGATCCTGCGGGAGTTCCGTGTTTCGGAGCAAATGCACATGCCATTGCGTAACACCGCAGGGAAATCATATTTCAGTCATATAGAAGAATATCCCATTATTCATCCACGTCTCTACCCAAAATATTCCACACCCAAGGACAGTAACACAACGCTCGCCTCCCATGCAAGTGCTTGGTCTTGGTTACATTACGATGGCTTAAAATTTTGCAGCGAGTCAATGCTGTGCGGAGGATCTATACATATAATTAGCATCTGGATTAGATGTGGTCAGGATGGGAAAACACTTACTCGGCGTCCGGCTGTTGGACGACCTCGGTGAATGGGAGTTCCGATCTCGATGTTTGAGTTGCCCAACGATCTAACATAGTTGTCTGAGAAGAGCGAGTCCCCTGCTGAGCATTTGCTTGCGTGGGGCTGCCGTCGGCTTTCTTGCCATGGGCACTATTTACGTCAGAGCTATATCTTAACATCAAGCTGTTGCTCTCAACGAACCTATTGGACTTCTTGGTGGCTTCATGGGTACTGTGAGGCATTTTGTTCATGAAAGGTCAAAAGTGGCAGTAAAGGTGTTTAAAACTAGCCAATATGGCTTCAGCAAAAAGCGGTTGGGAGTTTAAAAATATCTTAGAAAATACAGAACTAAAACTGACTGAGCGAACCTGACGATCCATCCTCGTCTCCCGGGCATAAACGCCCAGATCTCACCCTTATATAGACGAATTGCCAAAGACCTTATCTCGTGTCGACTTGGTTTATACCCGCAATTCACTGCGGTCTCGAGACACATCGCGCTTTTCATACTAGCAGGGTATCTCGAAAACGGCCTTCGATTGGTGATCCGGATCAGGGCTGATAGAGACTATCGGAATCCTCTGCTGCAGAATGTCATCGTGATATCTTTCCAGAGTTCTATGCATGACACAGCTAGCCCTACTACCAGTCATCCATGATTTTCCCTCGTCCAGGGGCTATCTAGGTAATAGCCCACAGATCCGTTACACTTAATTAGGCTTTGATGGTGGAACGGCGCCTGTTCGTTATTGACCTGAGCGTGTTACTGTGGCTTGCATAGATGCAATATACGCCATGTCTAGTTAGCGAGCGAAACTGCTTTTATGGTAAGGCTTAGCGAAGATTAGACCTGCGAAGGAATGAACTCCTTAACCTGAAACCCCCAGACTAACGACCTCGCTAGTACAACGCGCTGCAAGCTTCAGTCTGTGGACAAGGATGTCCGGGCTTCTCTCCGCTTCCTTCTAGACATTCTCGAACGTTGGTAACCGGTGAAGAAAAAGGGGTGTTATCTTTTGCTTTTTCGACGACGCCGGTCTCACCTCCTCCTAGCCCCAATGAGAAATATTCGACTGGGGTAGCCAGTTTAGGAGCCGCCACCGGTCGATCGATCGGCGTAAAGGGAATCTATCGAGTGAACTGACATCAAGAAGTGTGGATGGGCGTGGACGGGGTGTATGGTCAAGTGAGCAGCCACCTGCATTGTGGAAATGCGGCTACCCGTCAATGCCATCGTGGCAGCTGCTATTACCTGAACGTCGGGGACCCCAGGGCCGGCCATCCCACAATCTCGGCATTTCCACGCGTCATTGGATTCCTTTTTCAAGCCTCTGGATATCGTCTACCTTGAAAATATTCGCTTATCCTACCCAAATCCGCCGCCGGCCACAACAGCGTCTTCCACGATCTTCAATCGTAGGAGCCGCGTTACCCGGTCGCTTATTTCCCCCCGAGAATTGTTCATTAATCGTTTAAAATCCGTCGTTGAATTTTGCTCCCGTCTTGGCTTCGTCTATCTATCTTTAAACTCAATGGCTTAGGCGAACAAGAAGCGAAAAGCTGAGGTAGTGACACATGAGAATGCTAGACTTTGATATCTTGGCAATTTAGGAGGCCAACTTTACCTCATACTACTCAATGCTGACTATATGACCCCTTACTATACCATATGCACCCGAGCAAACAAACTAGAATCTACCTAAACAAGCGAATATAAGCACGTCAAGAGAATGGCTCGAGATAAGTTTAAGCAAGAATATGGCGTGGTATATGGTGTGATTCATGCCGGTTTCCCTTCTCAACGTCATACTCCAGGTGCCAATTTCGATCTGCCGCCGACATCTATCATCTGCATGCGAGATACGAAACATGGGATTCCTACTTTCTCGATGCTAGACCGGGGGAAGTGGGAGGGATTCGTCGTCGACAGCGGGCGGCCTCCCGTGCTCACCTACTTTTACCCCTTCTAGCGCTTCGGTCTTCTGGAGGAAGAGCGCTCTCTCACTCACTCGGACCCTACGTACCTAAGATAAGGAAACCTTACAAGGGTTCTATGAGCAACGCATGTCTTAGAACTGCAGGATGACAGGTCATATTTGGGGTCGAGCTGTCCCTCGTACGGGGCTAATCTGGCTTGCTTAGGCCGTATACGAATATAGGATGTGCTGTCGTGGATCACCACTGCGACACCTATAACGTCTGATTTCCGCAACCGTAGGCGCGGCTGACATCCATGACCCCGCGTATCCTAGCCAGTTAATGGTTGGTATAGTTAGCACAAAGCTTGATCACCGACGTCCCGTTCAGTCACACCGACGATATAGCTAGTGTGCGGTCTGGGGGGCTAGATATGTTATGAGACCCTGATGAGGCTCTTAGATAGGATGTCGTCATCTCTACGTAAGAGGATCCTGGTTAGACTGAAGCTGTATTACCGCTGAAGTAGTTTACCTTGAGTATCCTCGCGGTGTCTAGCAAGACCGGGGCTAGTTACCTAGTCTACCTATAATTTACCCGTAGTAAGAAGGTATCCTCTGTTCTTGTCTTTTATCCATAGTGGCACTTGGGTCGATATTTGGTTCTGATATACGGCAGTCTGCTGATGCTAGCTCCCATGTCTAGCTACATGATATAACCCCTCAAATGGCTGTACTCCCATAAGCGCCATTTGCTGTCGTCCACGAAATACATACTCATAGGCCAGATCCTATTTTCTACTTACCCTAGCCCCCTTTCATTGCGAGATACTCTTAGGCATGTTGTGTTATTATCATAGCAGCTAATACTCTTACTATTTTCATAGTTGCACAAGCCCCTATTTCTACGTTCATTTCACTGGGGCCAGCTTAGACGATTCATACAAAGACAAGAATCGTTAGAATATTCACATTATCATACTAAATCATGGATTTACAGTATATAACTTGACTAGAAAAAAAAGAAAGGGGAAGGAACAGAGGAGGAAATGTAGTATCAGAAAGGGAATTGAGACATAAAATGAGAGTTGGTAGGCAGAATCATAGAATAACATATAAAAGGAAAGCTATGAAAGCAAAGGGGGTTAAAAAGTTCAATCCTAGAATTCTCTTATTTTCAAATCCAGAACCTACGGAAAACACTTGGTGTCAAGTCATGGTGTAGTCTCCCTACTATTTTATGTCCCATTTAGGGGTATCCAGAAAAACATTAATGCTAAGTACATATATGGCCATATCCCACCTATAAATTCAATCACTCGGATTCGATATTTACCTCTTCAAGTCGCAGTTCCTTTCTCAGCGTCCACCCTCTCACTACTACCCGTTGTGGCTGCCTGGGTCTGTCTGCTCTTTGTTGAAATCCACTTGCAGCCAAGTAGGATTAAGAATGTAATGGCTGGTGAAATTGCTGGTATATACTTCTTATGGTCAGCCTGGATATTTGAACATGAAGAAATAGGAAGCAATGCTTACGAAAACCTGCGTGACGGATTTGCTATATTTCTGAATCACCACAGGTAACTCCGAAGCGCCGACGAGCGACCTTACGTTAGTGACTCCAGAGTTAATGATCTCTTGCACCACATTACCAGATACTACATCACCAAGGTTTACTTGAAGCCGCTGTTGGAAGACGGTCTGACCGATGGCCATAAAAATAGCACAGCTAGTTGAGATAATAGCTAAAAGCGTCGAGGACCCAAGCGGAACAAGATCTTGCGGCAGCGAGGATTGCATCGCAATGTGAGACTAGGAGTCAAATATCAGTGTGGGAATTCGCCGCAAACACGTATAGACCGCTTACCAGGTTAGATGCTAACGAGTAGCCAACACCTCCGAATATCTGGTAGCCTACCCAATGAGCGCCGGAGATATCGGGATAGATAGTTGTCAGTAGCCCACCACCAACGCAAACCATAGCTGCGGCAAAAAGTAGAAAGGGGTTCCACCAGCCTATTTGCATAACCATCGCCGAGCCTATGAAGGCCGCGAGCACGTCCGAAATCACTGTAGGGAAGAAATTGACGCCACTGCTGATCGGAGACGACCCTAATACTCCCTGGAACCAAACCGGAAGGTAGTAAATCACGATCTGGAATGGGCCGTTGATGAAAAACGAGGCCGTGCAAAACAATGCCGGGTTTCGGTTTATGGTGAATAGCCGCGGAGGAATTAGAGCGCCTTCTCCTTTCCAGTAGGACCAAACTACGAAAAGAATCATGACCACGCCGAAGCCCACGAACAAGCCGATAATGACGGAAGACGACCACGCGTACCGGACGCCGCCCCATTGGAATGCTATTAAGAGCATAGAAATAGACCCTGCGAAAAAGGCAAAACCAAGAATATCTAGGCTTCGTACCTTTTCCCAAATCGTCTTATCTTCAGTCTCGGCGCGCTTGATGTGAACGAGGAAGAAAAATACGATGGCAGCAGCACCACCGATTGGCAACTACCACTCTGGTCAGCTTTGAAATCCATCTGTGGAGACCACGTTGCAACCGTACATTGATATAAAAACACCACCTCCAAGTAACGTTCTCGGTTAGGGCGCCGGCTATGACAGGCCCTATAATGCTCGCTATAGCGAACGTCGAGCCCACCGTGCCGGTCCACACGGCGCGTTTATGCAGCGGGATGATGGTGGTTTCGATAGTAAACCCACCGGCGAAGACTCCGGAAGCGCCGAGTCCGGTGACGACACGGCCGGCGATTAGAGCTCGCGAAGACGGCGCCAGCGCGCACACGAGGCTGCCCAGTTCGAAGACGAACAGGTAGAGCAGGTAAGACAGCTTCTTCGGGAACAGCGTGTACATCTTGCCGGCCAGGGGCTGGCTCGCGCACATGGCTACCATGAAGGCGGAGCTGTACCAGCCTATGTCGCGGGTCGAGTTGAACTCGCTCGTGATGACGGGAACCGCCGTGGCGATGAGATTGAAGTCCTAGTAGCCCTTTTCTTCAGTACGGAATATCTCGCGAGTGGGCATCAAACGCTTACTAGTCCGATGAGAAAGGTGCAGAGGCAGATTGATATGTGAATCAGGAGCAGGCGCACTCCCTGGACCTCGTTGGCGGGATCGATATCTTGACTAATGTCAGTTTTCGCGACATCTCCTGTTTTCTCGTCTCTACTCGGACTAGGAAACACTTGTTGTTCCTTGGCTTTCGTTGCGTCTTCGACGGACGCCGCAGCTGGAGGACTAGTACTAGAGTCCATCTTGTTGAGGCTGCTAGCTTTAGAGGCTGCATTGACTGGAACACAAGGCCTACGAAGAGGAAAACCGGCTAGGATGGAACTACATATCTACATCAGGAGTTACCTTGCAGGCTTGTAAGGATTCCATTATCCCTTGAAAGAGCCGTCTCTGTTACACAAAGGGAGTGACTGCAACAATATGCACATACTTACATACTTACAGTACCAACATCGGCCAAATGTACTATGTAACACGAAAGAAATATCGGGGCCGGATAAACTGCAAAGTTTGTATGGCCGCCGCTAACCTCGAGAACACGGTGATCAGGTAGGTGTCATAAAGCCTTAGACGGCGGACGATAGTACCGAATCCGTTAACCCGTTAATTTATTTTATATATTGCGATGTATATTATATAAATGCATAATAAACTTTAATTATTAATATTATATTTTATTATTTATAAAAGTTATAACATTAAAAAATATTATAAATTATAAAAAATTATAACGTTTTTTAATTTATATTATTTATAATATATTAAATTTAAAATTATTTTATTTAAATTTAAATATTTCGTATTTAAATTATTTTAAAATAATTTTTAAAATTAATTAACGATTATTTTAATGTTATTATTATAAAATTATATTTTAATAAAAAGTTTTAAATATAAAAATTAATTATTTTATTTATTTAATAAATTATTTATATT